TTGTTCTCTGTCTCCTAGTGGGACTCGAAGGGGAACCGGTCGGCAAGAGTGCGGTGCTATTCGCACATCTTGCGCAGCGAGAGCGGAGGGACGAAGGGTCTTCGTGATCTCCCGATGACGATCTGCGCGTCGACGACGGTGTGTCTTGGCCCGAACAAACTTTGAGTCGGCTGCCCTCACCATCACTTTAAGGCTAGGCCTATCTTTCCGTACTGACGAGGAGGCTGGGATAGTATATCCAGTTTCTCCTACACGAATGGCGGAACCGTCCGTGACGCTGCGGGTGACGCTCAACTCGTAATTTACGTGGAAGTCCTCGCCTAGTAAGAGAGGTGCGGTCATCCCTGGTACGACGTAGCATTCCGCCGTCATTTTCAGAACGTGGCCTTGCTCCGACTCGACGTAGATTTGAGTCTGGACGTAACCTGAGATACGGAACCCTCCCGTCAATTGGTATAGATTCATTCTAAGCCCTTGCTTGATTTTAGGTCGAGACGCCTCCGGGAGAGATTCCAGGTACTCTTGGGAGACTAAGGAGATGTCCGCCCCAGAGTCTGCGCGGCAAATGACTGCAGGATGCGCGAGGCTACCCAACCGAAGTTGGAATGACAGAGCTGCTACTCCCACTGTAGAGTGTCCTGGAGGAGGATCCCGGATCCTGGCTAATGGAACGACCAGAGGGTCGGCGATAGGTAAGGAAGGCTGGGCAGCAGGGATGGTGCCCTCATCCACTGCCGCTGCAGTCCTGACGAACCGATCGTGAGCCTGAGTACTGGCATAGTGTGTAGAACCGTCCACGCTTAGGGCCTCGGCTAAGGCATCAACTAAGGACACGCCTGAGTTGGAATCGGGTTTCCGTATTTCCTCGAGGATGTGAGGGTGGTCGTGAGGTAGTGCAAACGAGGGACGCGACGGTAGTTCGTCGACGTCCTCGCATAGCACACTCGATGGCTTTCGCATCTGTAGGGACGCTTGGATATACTCTCCTTCAGCCCGGCGGACGTCCGCCTCCAACGCGCTCGACAATCTAGCATTGCTCATACTACTACAGATGTAAGCGACGAAAGCACGGTCATACTCCTGATTTTCGTCTTCGTTGCAGTCGAACTCGTTACCAATGAGGAGGGCCCTACGCCCGATGTCATATTCGTTCCAGTGCGGACAGTCCCTGTCCCAATGATAAGGACTGCCACAGACTCGACAATCACCCGGCGGCGGTCTCTTGCTTTTGACCGAATCGCTTCGAGGGAACTTGTACCCGGCTGCTGGAGGTTTACGCGCGAAGCTCTTCGCAGTCCGAGAAGGGAACTTTCGGGGTTGCGCTTCGAGAGCCAGAGCTTCCCTGGCATTGCTATCCGATTCTCCGTCAGGAACGGTTTCCTCGTTCGCTGACGGTTGTTCATCTCCGGATTCGTCGTCCTCACGGGATTCGAAAACGACTCCTCCTGATAGCCCGTCGGCGGCATAGGCCCGCCGAGGCGTAAAGGAAGAGCGCGATTCGGTCTTGGTGGAGGGAAGGTGGAGCAACTGCTCGTACTGAGACGTTCGCGCCGGGGCCATGGAAGCGAATGCGATAAGCTCATCTGTCTTATCGGCCACTTTCGCCATGAGAGCCGCGATGGTGAGGATCGAATCCAGCGTGAGCACGGTGGACCAGGTAGGCGGGGCGTTCTGCATGACGGCCAGTATCTCATCGACTGGTCGCTCCGGGGTACCCGCAATGTGGCGGTGGTAAAGGAGTCGTCGATCTACGAAATCCATGGGGAATTCCTTCTCGTGTCCTGGCTGACGGAAACGTTGGCCGTCGTATTGTGTGCGCAGAGCGACTAGGAACTTGTGGGTGAAGAACTGAACTTTGATACCTTCGTACAGACTCCACCAACCCGACGAGTAGAGCTTCTGCGTTTCGTAATCGAGAAGTTGCCACCATCGTTCAGCACGACCCGTGAATCGATCAGGTGCGGCGGCGCCGAGGTCTCTGGCCACCGAGTCGTTTTTCCGAGCGAGGTTGTTCATCTTGTGCAGATAGATGAGAATAGTCTTCCGGCTCCCATTCCACTCGGGTATAGAGTCTCGCGATATTTTCTGATCCAGACGGATTCCGGATTCTCTCAGAGCAGGCAATTGCTGGATGATGATCGTGGGTCGGTTATCCGGTGAGGCTTGAGCGGAGCTGGATCCACCGTAGGGAGGTCCGCCTCCTGGAGGGCCGCCAGGGTATCCGTCCGGATATCGGTCGCCCCCCGAGTTCCTGCCGTCGTTTCCGTCGTCGCGATCGTTCTGGTTAGGTCCATCATTGCCGTTTCCGCCGCCTCCGCCTCCCGGAGGGTCTCCTCCCCCGGGAGGACCGCCCGGAGGGCCGCCGAAAGGAGGACCTTTCCCAGGACGGTCGGCTCGGCTGGAACGAGTGCTGTGAATTGACTCGTCGTCGCGATGGTTCTGCTCTTTGGACTTCGGAAAACTGGGTGCGTGGGGTTGGTAAACCCCTTGCGCCGAGTAACCGGTAGGGCGAGCTTCGTAAACGAACACCTTTTCGCCCGAGGCGCCTTTGGATTGACGAATTTGGTCGTAATGCAGGCCCTGGGCCAGGTGAGGAGGGGTATCGTGTCGAGGGACCGGAGCAGGTACTGCCCGGAATTGAGAAAGCGACATAGAGACAGGACGTCCGGCAGGGAAGACGGCGTCGCGGACAGCCTGAGCCGCTGCCGATTCCGGAAGGGCGCGAGAGTGACTCCTAGCCCCGATAGCTGAGGCTCGACGCTCGACTGGAGGAGCTGGAGAGGAATTATCGAGGGGACGAGAGGCCCCGTCCTCTTGGAACTGAACCTTCCGCCGGTTTCCGTCTTCGTTGGAGGGCAAGGTGAAATCCGGGTTAGCATGACTCGAACGGTGGGTGAACCGTCGACGACTGTCCACCGTGGGAGGCAATCGAACACTTTCCTCCGGCTTGAGGGGAGGAGAAGGTTCGGAAGGGACGCTCGGGACGGGCCGAGTCAGTTCCAATTCGACACGATCCATGGAGGAAGCACGCGAATGTTGAGCCATGCTCTCATTCATGGAAACCGAAGCCCCATGCGTGACGGGAGTGACAAGCAAGGAAGCCGGGAGTACTCGAAATCGGAGTTCAGGAGGTACTTGCTTATTCGCCAGGTCGGGATCGAGTCCCTTAGTCTTGCCCAGTCGACGGAGTACTACAGCCTGATATTCCGGCGTCAGGTTATGAAAGACGTCGGGGTGTTGCAGCCATTTATCGATTACGACCCTTTTGGAGTTCGAGTCCTTGACGTGCAAACTGAAATCCGAGTCCGTCGACCTGATTGAGCTCGGGTAGAGTTGCCCAAGATGGAGGGCGCGACGTTGATGAATCAAGGTAAGGGCTTTGGCCGCTCGGTACTGGAGGACTCGGAACGCGTCGGAGAGTAGACCTCTCGACGCGGATCCTTGAAGAGCTTCGAGCAAGGAGTCGGCGTGGTCGGCTTTCCACCGACGGGAACCCCCTTCCAACTTTAGCATGGAGGCGACCAAGGTCTCCAAGCCTTCGACGACATAGTCGACCCGCCTCATCGCTCTAGCGGTCAAGTGGAACCGTGACTCTTTGTCCTCCACTTCGGCCGTGTTGCGGACGTCAGAATTAGCGAGGTCGTCTCCGACAAACGCGTTCGCTTCTTCGAACAGCGTGCCAAATTTGCCCATCGCGTCGGGTGCATTGAGGTCGTTGAAGAGAGCTTCAGCTTCGGCGGGCTTGCGCAGGTGCACGTAGAAGTGACCTGATTCATCCAACAAGTCCTTGAGATGGGATTTGTCGACAGCTTCTTTGGCGGCCTTCCTAACTTCCGCCGCCGAGAGGGGTGTGGGACCCACCTCGGGCAGAGGGGGCGGGGCGCTGGGACGCCAAGGGGTGGATGCGGCGAAAGGAGGCGCGTTGTAATCGAGAGGAGCGACTTCGCTCGCAAACGAAGGAAAGAACAGGTTGGTTCGGGGCCCAGAAGGCAAAGCGGACGTCGCCGACGGTGAATGATGAAAATTCCACTTCGACGGCAACGCGGTCTGAGAGCTAGTGTCTGCGGGGCGGGGCCGAGGAGATTCCACGAGCGAGGTACCTCTCACATCGTGGAGGGATACAGGGCCAAGATTGACACGAGGAGGGAGATCGTCCGGAGCCGGGATGAGCGGTGACGAGTCCCGCAGGACAACTGGAGCTGTCGCGGGGGAGGACCGACCGGGATCGCTCATCCTTGAGGAGGGGGTGGAGAAGTTGGAAGACTTACTTGTCCTGAGAGACGGGTTGGGATTACCCGCGTCCTCGGTGTCCTCCACGTAGGCCGACATGTGCGTGAATGGCGTCGTGGAGCCTGACGGAACTGCTGAAGGCGGACGCGAGGGTCGAGATGCGTCTCCGAGGAAGGAAGTACCAACTCCCGGAGCCCGCCCAGCCATACCGTTGTTAGCAGATGGTGCCAGGTAGTGGACCGCTCCCCTGAGTGTCCACCAATGTGAGAGACGGTAGTATCGTCAACTCGCTAGAGGGGAACGGGCTACCTGGCAGCCTCGAGCGTTGGTGACCGCCCTGCGGTCGAGCCTTATAAGTCGTGAGCTGGCGAGGCGCCAGAGGTGGTCGTGATACGTGATAGGCGAGGAGCCTAGTGAGTCGTGTTAGTCGTGCGTCGGCGAGGAGCCGACGAGAGAGTCGTGCCCGAGGCGAGGAGCCCGGGAGGCGAGTCGGCGAGGAGCGCGACGCGCTAAGCCGGCGAGGAGCTCGACTTAAGGAGCTGGCGAGGGGCTGCTCCGTTGCGCGGTGAGTAGCACACGCAGTCGGTCAGCGCGCGAGGAGCGCACTTCGACCTTGGAAGGAGCTCCCGGTTCGGACGGCGCGGTTAGTCGCACACGGACGAAGTGGTTGAGGAGCAAGTAGAAGTGCGTCTCTATTAGGCAAGCGCGCGCGAGTCGGTCGCGAGCGCGCGTCTTAGATAATTACATGAGGGTTAGAACACTAAATACTAATGATAATTATGTACGTGCACAGAAGACGTGCGGGTCGCGATTCTTGAATACCATTTTGTACGTAGTGGTGTACGCGGACTTGATGCGTTCCACCGCGTCCGTAACACCCGGCGCCTCAAGTTCGACAAAATCACAGAGAGGCTGCTCAATGATTCGCTGTATGCGCAGCTCCTCATGAAGATAGTAAGGCCTGTCATTTATACTCTGAGGCTGTGCTCCTTGCTGATCTTTCTATATCTCAAGCCTGTCGACAGGATGTCGTCAGTCCGAGGGCCGCTCTATGATGCTAGCCGGGACATCGTATGGGAGAAGTACGGGCTCAAGGCCATAGAACATGATGGTGCTGAGCTGAAGAAGGCGGTACGCGTCTTACTCTCTGGCAATCGGTTCATCTGTCCGGGCAAGCTCTCGGTCAGTGCACACCACACGCTATCCTGAGCGCCACTGATCTCTTGCCTAGAACGGAAAGTACACGGATTTCAAGGCCGACCTACCGTTCTGCGCCCCGGCGATCATTGAGATCGCGAGCACCCTATTCTTCTGTCCCGACGCTGTCACGCCTCTTGCAGACGAGTTCTTTACGTCGTCGATCAAGACTGGTGTTGAGGCGACTCAACGCGAGATACCCGAAGTCATGGCAGCATTGCTGGCCACCATAGTACGTTTTATATTGGGTCATTGTGGCCATTAACTAACTATTGGTTTCCTACGTAGGCAGGTGCAGCCATACACGAGGGACTGCATGGCGTCCGCGCCACGTTACGAAAGAATGGCGGCTTTAATGCGGACACGCAAGTGCCGCTTTATGCGGTACACCTTCAAACGCTCAAGGAACTCTCAGCTATCGGACGCCACAAGATCCTCGGCTACCTCTTCAAGACTGCGAAGTGAGTGTCCGCGCAATGATTGCGGATCGATCAAACTGAGGACATGTGTTCGCAGGGTTTACCATGTCCAGGCGATGGCTGACAAAACCAAGGCTAACACGCTCGTTAATCCCGCGACCGCGGGGATGAGTATCATTCTGTAGACTGTTATTTTGGGTTCTTTACTGCACGACTGAAATCCCGGTGTCGCATAGCGTAGTACATGTCCTAGAGCCTGTTCTCGTGGGCGACACTGTTTATACCTGGTCTGTGTAGCATGTCGAAAATATAGGGGTATTGGTGTCTAAAAAAAGTGTGAAAATTTGTGAATGAAAACGATGAGATGCATGAGCTGAGAACCCAAAATTTGGGCGCATTTGCACGAAATTCGTGCGAATTCATGGGGGGGTCAGTCAAATGGCTCTAAATCAAATTCGCGTGAATTTTGGGCAAATTCGCCCGAATTCGGGTAGGGGTGGTTTCCTGATGATCGGGAAAGGAAGGTGGACGATCCCACTCCATATGATAGGAGATAACAACTTCCGGAACGAGGTGAATAGGATAGGCAACCAAACAGTCCGGAAAATAAAACGTTGTGTAGGAGACGGGACTCGAAGTGATAACAATAACCCACAACTCATATACAAAGAGTTCAAGAATAGCGTAGCGTCGCTAGCTCGCGACATGATGAAGAAGAAGGCACCCAAACTGGACGCTGCAATAGACCGGCTGACGAATGAAATGCATAGAATACAGGACTCACCATCATACACAGAAGATCCAAAACTCCTCACTGAGGCAGAGGTACTCCTTGACCGAATTGTCCAACTACAACGGAAGAGACACGAATACATACGAGAGGCAACCTCGGCAAGGTACGCCCTAAATGCAGAATCAGTCAGCAAGTACTGGTCAAGTGTGAATAAGGAAAGAAAGCCGAGAGACGTCATATACTCCTTATTGAAACCAGGGACTCAGACCCCAGTCAGCAGGTCCGATAGAATGGCGGAACTCGCAAAAGACTACCATGAAGGATTACAGCAAGATGGTCTGTCGGAGACTGATGAAGACAGAACAGACCGTATGCAAGACGCTGCCAACAAGCTCGAAAGCAGTCTTGACAACTATGAGGCCGAAGCACTGAAGGCATCGGTTAGTAGAGACGATATAAGAGACGCCCTTAAGAAGGCGCAACCAGGAAAGGCTAGCGGCCTGGACGGTATACCGTATGAACTCTGGAAATCGCTCAGTAACGCGAATGGCCCATCGGAAGGAGACGACAATACCTTCGATAGTATAGACCTTCTCCTGCTAGTGTTCACAGACATAGACACATACGGCGTTGATCCACGCTCAGGGTTTGCTGACGGCTGGATGTGCCCGATCTACAAAAAACAAGACAGACGTGAGATTAGCAATTACAGACCCATCACCGTCCTTAACTCAGACTACAAACTTTATACGAGAATCCTGACATCACGTCTGGCGTCTGTCGTTAAGCAAATAATACATCCCAACCAAGCATCAGGAAAAACACTTCTAACTTCAGCAGTCTTGAATGAAGAACACCTGATCTTATTCAATCTTTCACAACTTGTGTTCCTCAATTAAGTGCACCATGTGCATGAAGACTGCTGAAGTTAATTATAGTACCTTTGAGAAATTTGTCTTGTGCCCAAGTTGGAAGATATGCAACTTTAGTTCTGCAGATTAAGACACATAAGTACACATTAGTTGGAAAATGACCTCTTAACTAGAAAATATGCATGATGAGATGTCAGATTGCTCAATATGAAGACTTCACCAAGATTTCACCTGACAAGTTAACACATACTATATCTGGCAACAGTAATGGGGTACAAATAAAGATTATTTGTTTTACCCTGTGATTATGAGTATATTACCCTACTTACAACAGATGCTGTGGTCAAAGTCATATTGTCAGGGATTTGGACATATTTGACCTGTTAAGGTTGAGAGACAGCAAAAGAACACTTAAGCATGCAAAGTGAGACAAGAAGCCTGCCCTTGAGCAAATTATGAGTCTACACAAGGTCTGCAAGGCAACAGATAGTGCCAAGAAGAAATGAGTGTTGAGCAGGCAGCTCCACGCAGTGGTGCGCCCTCACAACTTACCTGCAAGGTTGCTGATGCTTGATGCACACGCAAGTACTTCGACTGAAGGTACTGGGGATTGAGCTACGCTACTGGGGTCCTTATATACATGAGGAGACCGCTTATCTAAGCTACTGTATAGTACGTTCCCACGACAGACAAGGTAAGTGGCGTAGCCATGTGATAACACACAAATGACATCATAGATGACATCACGGACCCGGAGCTTCCCATAGAACCAGTCCGGCCTGTGATTGAACCCGGCAGCCCGGTAGGCGCCTTCCTAGTTCAACACTCCCCCTCGCTTAGTGCGTCGTAGACTCACATAAGCGTACTAGGCGCATAACGCTGCCAATGGTGCTCTAGGACGATTCATAGAATCTAAGTCCGAGCATTCCTCTAAACTTAAGGAATTTGACACGGCCTAAGTTCTTGGTGAACAGGTCTGCTGGATTTTCATCCGTACTGATGTAGAAGAGCTCGACTTGCTTCTCCTCAATCAGTTCCCTGATGTAATGGTAGCGTATGTCGATGTGCTTCGACCGCCTCTCAGTTACAGGGTTGGAGCCGATGAATATCGCTCCTTGGTTATCTGAGCAGATAGGGAGTGCGCCAAGTAGGTAACCGATCTCCTTGAGGAGCATCTTAACCCAGACGACTTGGCGGCTACAGTCGCTGAGCGACATGTATTCAGCCTCAGTTGAAGACAGTGCAACCGTCTTTTGCCGTCGAGACAGCCAACTGAACACTCCGTTCGCCAACTTCATAAAGTAGCCACTCTGAGACCGTCTCATCTCTGGGTCATTGGCCCAGTCAGAGTCTGTGCATGCCAAGACACCTTGTCCAGATTTGCCGCTGTATACAAGCGCATAGGACTTGGTACCCACGAGGTAGCGGCAGATATATAGCGCTTTATCCAAGTGGTCCTGTGACGGATTCGCAGCTTGTTGCGCGAGTTTAGTCACGGCAAAGCAGATGTCAGGTCGAGTTCCAAGCATGATATATAGCAAGGAGCCGATGACGGTCTGATACCGGCTTCGAAGCGCAGGATCAACCGGGCCAGTGTGCGGCTCAGGTTTGTAACCCGCAGGGAGTGGAGTAGGCGCAGATTTTGCATTCTGCATGCCACAGCGCTGCAGCACAGTCTCAAGGTAGGCAGTTTGGTCGAGATGAATCTCGTCGCCTTTCCGAGTAATGCGCATACACAGGAACTCCTTGACGTCGCCTAGGTCGCGACACTCCCACTTCTTCATGAAGCGGTTCTTGAGTTTGGCTACAAGGGCCTTGTCTTTGCCACAAAAGAGGGCATCATCCACATAGACTATGACTAGGACGAAACGTCCGTCTTTCGTCTTATAGATGAAAATTCCGGCGTCGGATACAAGGCGTGTAAAGCCGAGTTCCTTGAGAGACTCATTAAGGGTGCGCCACCACGCTAACCCTGCCTGTTTGAGTCCATAGAGAGCATGCAATAGCCGGAGGACTCTGTGCTCTTGGCCTTTGACTTTAAAGCCTTCAGGCTGCTCCATGTAAATCTCCTCGTCGAGTTTACCATAGAGGTACGCATTACGGACGTCGAGTCCGGAGATGTGCATGCCCTCGAGCGCAGCTAGCGCGAGTATAAGGCGCACGGTCTCAAAGCGAACGACTGGAGAGAAAACCTGATCGTAATCGAGGCCTTCAATCTGGGAGTAGCCTTTTGCGACTAGTCTAGCCTTCTTTCGACCGTCAGTTTTGACGTCGAAGACCCAGCGGTTTTTGGTAACCCTACGTCCCTTAGGACGGTCAACCAACTCGTAAACACCACGCTTGCGCAGAGCCTCTAACTCTTCGCGACACGCAGCTTTCCACTTCTCTTGCTCCTCTTTAGGTAGCTTCGAGATATCACGGAATGTCCATTCGCGTACGCTGGACTTCGGAGAATCTTGGTCAACTAGTGGTAGCGCTTTTGCAAGCAGCATGTTAACCAATCCTACTCCCCCTTCCCGGCATAGTTGTGCCATGAGTAACTCTTCGACTTCGTCGTCGTCAGAGCCCGAGGAGGATCCAGAAGGTTGGTCTGGCTGTGGATCAGGCGCAGAACTAGGTCCGGGAACCGGTTGCTGCCTTGACTGTGGTTGAGAGCGGGAGCTACCCGGCTCTTCTCCGACAATCTTTTTCCATTGCCCCTTCTTTTCGATCTCTTTGTATATTTCTACGGGGGTCCGTTTCTCCCCATAGACATTCCCTGGGCGGGTTACTGGCTTCCGCTCTCTCCCTGAGCGCCGCGGCGCATCATCGCGCGCTGGCTCTTCCGGAGGTTGAGGCGGCAGAACTGGACTGGGCGCCCTAGGCTGCTCCTGAGCATCGTCACGCTCATTGTCCGCTCCCTTTGGAAGGTGATGAGAGGGATGATCGTTGTCATCATCATCATAATTCTCCTGAGAAGTGGGTTGGCGACCCGCTTGGTCAGGTCTAGGTGCAGATTGCAACCTAGTGTTGCCTCGCCGTTTCATGTCCGGGCATTTTGGGAACATGAGTTCATCAAACAGAGCGTTCGATGAAGTGTAAAGCACATTATTAGGGCTGCGCATGAATCGCGCCCCATGCCCACCAGGGGCAACTCCGAGGTACACCATTAACTCAGATTTCCGAGATAGTGTATTCTGGCGCACGTCTTTCGGTATGAATACATATGCGCCACACCCAAATATTCTTAGGTGCTTGATGCTGGGAGCCTCGCCATTTAATATCTCATAGGGGGTACGCCATTTGAGACGTCGGACAGGTGTCCTGTTGTAGAGATGGACAGCGTGCTCAACCGCAAATTCCCACCAGGATTCAGGTAGACACGCTTCATGGCGCATGGCCTCAGCTTTGTCCATTATCGTCCTGTTGAGTCGCTCCGCTCTGCCATTCTCCTGAGGAGTGTGCGGCGAACTTTGCAGGATCTGGATACCCTCGTCTTTCAGCATTTTGTCGAACGCTTCAGACTTGTATTCTCCCCCAGCATCTGACATCCACTTCTTAACCTTCTTGCCGTACTGGTTTTTGGCCATGGCTAAGAATTGGCGCGTGGCCGTGATCGCAGCACTCTTGTTGCGCAGATTCACTGTCCATGCATTTGAAGTGTAGTCGTCATAGTACAGGATGTAGTACCTATACTTATGGTAGGAGTCGATGGGAAACGACTTCACATCAGAGTGAATGAGCTCAAAGGGCTCTGTCGCTCTCAACGTAGATGGCGGAAATGCTTTGTTGTGCATTTTCCCTTCCGCGCATCCTGGGCATATAGGATCCTCCCTAGGGAACTCTATCGAAGGTGGGAAACCCTCGGTGTGCTTCTGTGCTTGCCGTAGTACGTCCTTAGAAGGATGTCCTAGGCGGCAATGCATAGTATGGTAATCGACAGAATAAACTGTCTGATGGATACTCATTGCGTCCTGTGAAGGCAAGGACTGTATTTCGAATATCGTTGAACTAGGGTGCCGCGGCTTGAACACATATAGTGGTTCACGCGCTCCTTGTTCATAGAGGTCGACGTGCTGCGCACCACTGCGCACTGTCATTCCTTCACGGAGGAACGTTCCCATGGATAGGAGACGTTGATGAAGACCTTGGAAGTAATAAACGGGGAATAATCTGGTCGTCGTATGACTACCATCGTCATTCTCGAAGTTCAAGAAGACTGTCCCACGCTTTGTGCATACGGCAGAGCCGTTTGCGGTCGACAAGACGATTGGCTCACTGAGGTCCTCAATCTCAGCAAAATCATCTAAATTGTTGGAAAAATGTAATGATGCTCCAGAGTCCAACATCCAGGAGTCTGACGACTCAACCGGCTCTGGTTCATGCCAAGCCTTAGCTTTTCCCTTACATTTGGTGCACGCAGCGAAATCGCGCGAATGCCGACAACCAACTGATTTGTGCAACGAACTACTGATACATTCATTCGTTACACTGCGACTACGACTGCGAATACTACGTCTCTTCAAAGTAGACCTAGTGTGTCTACTACTACATGCGGCTGTATGAAGCGCAGGGTTAGCAGGTCGCTTGGGAATAGAAGCTGAAGGGACTGACCCAGCATCAAAGTCCTCTCCTAAGCCGGCGGCGTTAGCCAGCTCGTCGTCGATGTCGTACTGACCGTCTGATCCCCAATCAAGTGGATCCTGAGTGGTAGGACCTTCGTCCTCGTCGTACGAGTTGTACGTCCCGTCCATGATCGTGTCGATCGCATGGCCTACTTCAGAACCATGACGAGAGCGTTTGGACGCCCGAGACTCTGACCCCGAGTCGGAGAGGTACTCCTCAATCCGAGCGGAATTGTCAACAACCTCAGACAACGTCGTAAGACGCTGTGAGGTGCCAGAGACATCGATGTCTTTGGCGAGCTCGAGGGCACTCTTGAGCCACCGGTGAGCGTTCTTGCTGTGGCCGGTTTTGGCGGGACGGGTGGTGACGGTGTGAGACTTGCTGCCCGAAGGCGCTATCTCGACGACTTTGGAGGTGGTAGGACCCGCTATCGACGCCTGCGAGGCGAGATGCGCATGGTCTGTATGATCTCCTTGGTTGGCGCGGGACTTAACTTGCTTGCCGCTGCGTTTACCGCGCTGCTTGCCTTTGCCCTTGCCTTGACCTTCCTTCGCACCGCTGCTGCTGCTGCCATCCTGGCGCTGCTGCTGCTGGTTGAAGTTTGGTTCGCCGTGCTTACGCTTAACGGCGGAGATCTTCTTCGCGCTCTGCGAAGATGACGCCTGCTTGCCGCCTTGCTCATAAGCAATGACGACAGACTCCCGGACGTAGTCGATCTTCATCTCCGTAAGCTCTTTGGCTTGGAGGATCGTGGTGACGACGGTGTCGTACCGGGAGGGCAGCGCATTGAGCGCTATCATCGCCCGCAGTGAAGCGGGGATGTCAATCCCTTCGCCCGCAAGCTTGTCAAACGCAGCTGCGATGTTAGCGAACATCGGGTTTGGGTGCTCGTTCGGAGGGATCCGAGCATTGATCGCTGTCCTAAACTCCTTGTAAACACCGGCGGGCGTCTGCTTGTCATAGAGCGCCTTCAGCTCTTCCCAGAGGGCCTTGCTGGTCGTCTTGTTCTTGACAGCCGCCTTGACGGACGACGTCAGGCGAAGACGGATCGACCCCTGTGCCTTCTGATCGCGCTGCAGCCACTCATAGTAGACTGAGGGATTCTCTGTGTCCAGAGTAGGCTGGGGCCAGGTCGAATTGACAATGATCCAGACCTCCTGCGCCATGAGGAAGGCTGACATGGATTCAGCCCAGGCGCGGTAGTTGGAGCCATCGAGGATGGGGACAGCGGTGAAGAGGGTGTTGGAGGCCATTGGTAGAGGGTTTGAAGTGATAAACTCGGTAAATGGGGAATACTGACAACAATGTCGTCAGCCCTCTACTCAATGACGAGTGCAGCCTTAGAGGCGCAACCACCGCTATGGTGCATGTGCTGGGGATAGCAGCAACAGAGTTGCGCTAAGACCTGCAGCGATGTACGCGCATAGTCCCCCCTGGCTTCAAGCCACTAAGGCGAAGCCACAGGTAAGCTGGTGCGCACACTGAGACGCAGCCAGTGAGGCGCAGTACTCAGGCAGTGACCAGGGCTCATAACCTGTTGAGCAGGCAGCTCCACGCAGTGGTGCGCCCTCACAACTTACCTGCAAGGTTGCTGATGCTTGATGCACACGCAAGTACTTCGACTGAAGGTACTGGGGATTGAGCTACACTACTGGGGTCCTTATATACATGAGGAGACCGCTTATCTAAGCTACTGTATAGTATGTTCCCAGGACAGACAAGGTAAGTGGCGTAGCCATGTGATAACACACAAATGACATCATAGATGACATCACGGACCCGGAGCTTCCCATAGAACCGGTCCGGCCTGTGATTGAACCCGGCAGCCCGGTAGGCGCCTTCCTAGTTCAACAATGAGGCCAGTCTGAGAGCCCAGGGATGCACAGGGGCTGGGCTAACAGGGGGCAGCAATTGCAGATTTCTCTAAGTCCAGAAAGATAGTCAATATAGGTTATTGTAGAAGGGAACAAGCACAGGGACCTATGGTGTAGTGGTCACAAGTTTGTGCTGAGAGTGTGGGAAATTAGTTTAGCAGGTCAGGGGTTCAATTCTAGGAAATGGCAGATTATTTTGGGCGACATTTTTGCATCTGGGATGCCTGTTATGACAGCATATGCACAAACACAGCAGAATCATGAGAGAAGTCACCCCAGTAATGATGAAAAAACATCATTCTTGCTTGGAATGAGTGTTTACTTTGGTTACTTAATGGAACTTAAGTAAGACAATTTAAGAAATCGACTTACCTTAAGGCTCTTGTGGCACATAGTGACACATAATGTCACTTTTGGCTCTCCACAAGACCACTTAAGACACGAACATTTTTCCTGATGAGCTGGGTTCATCCCTGGTAGGCGGATCACGGACCAGACACAGACGTGTCGTACAATGGTCGACTACGCTGAAGCCATGGAGGAGAATGGAGTTATAATTGCCCTGGACCAAGAAAAAGCATATGACCGAATCAGACACGACTACTTGTGGATAGTACTGGCAAAGGCTGGCCTACCTCGGAGCTTCATAGATAAGGTCAAGAACCTGTATAAGCACGCAACTACAGTTGTAATGATCAACGGAGAGTCCAGCTCACCCTTCCGCGTAATACGAGGAGTCCGACAAGGGGACCCCCTATCATGCCTGCTATTCGACCTCGCGATTGAACCACTCGCCGGTGCCCTCCGCCAGTCCGCCCTCAAAGGCTTCAAAATACCTGGATTCGCTGAACGCTTGATAACAACCCTGTTTGCTGATGACACGTCGGCGTTCCTATGCCAAGATGACGGATGGACAGACTTATGGTCCATATTAAACAGATGGTGCACGGCGTCCGGTGCGCGCTTCAACACCAGGAAGACGGAAGTGATCCCAGTTGGAACAACAGAATACAGGATGAAGGTTCTACAGTCCAGAAGAATCAACCCCAACTCGATAACTGATGAACAAATACCTGACGCAATACACATCGCTAAGGACGGCGAAGCTGTAAGAATTCTTGGTGCATGGATAGGAAACAGAACAGATAATGCCGCGATATGGGTCCCGACGATAGAAAAGGTCCAAGCATTCCTAAATAGATGGAGCTTCTGCAACCCGTCAATGACTGGGAAGCGCCATATTATCCAAATGGGGCCGGGTGGTATGACACAATACCTAACAACTGTCCAGGGCATGCCGGAATCTGCGAAAACGTCAATAACACGGATGATGAGGAGCTTCATATGGGGAAAAGGCAAAAGCCCATTAATCAGCCTAGAGACGCTTCAACAGACGAAGACCGAAGGTGGACAAGACGTACTAGACCTCAGTTCCAGGAACGATGTGATCGAACTAATGTGGCTGAAACGATACCTTCAGCTTGACGGCGAACGCCCTTTATGGGCCTACATAACAGACATAATCATTGCTAAACATGTGAGCAAAGCAGCGGGAGTCATACAAAACACGACTCAGCTCAATATGTTCATCCAAAACTGGAAACCTAGAATGGACGCTAGCTCACCTCTACCCCGTTACATTAAGAACATGCTAACATCGGCCAAGAAATATAATGCCAGCTTTGCGGCGATCAAGCTCGATAAGGGGCTGAAAGAACAACTCCCTGTGTGGTACCACATAAGCACAAAGAAGCAGCTACGACGGCTGGACAACACGAAGCTTAGTAAATGCTTACGTCTGAATCACCACACAGTTACTGTGGCTGACCTAGTACAAGCATCAAGACATGATACACTGATAGAAACGAACCCTGATGACGAGAACGACGTCTGCGTATGTGATAGGTGTGACGAGGACCGACGCAGAGGCTGCGAAGACCCTCTAAAGTGCAGAGAAGCCGCCGGAAGGTTATTGCTAAACATAGATGACAAATGGAACCCAACAGCGAGGTCGCCGAACGACAATCTAACACTCACAAAGCGACGCAAAGAATCTAACACACAGGCCGCAGAGACCAAGGGAGCAGTAACCTTTAACCCATCAGTGACTGAGCGAGGCGGCATAAAGGAAGCACTCAGGGTATTCGTAGATGAAGAGAACATACTGAACCCACCAGCGATCCGCCCACGTAAAGGGATCATAGTTGAGGAAGAGAATTGCAAGGCGTACATCCTGGCGCACCCGAGACTGAGGTCGGAAAATCAATCGTCCTGGCTAAAGCCGAACGGAAGAGGCCTACTTATAATGAAGCATATCAGTGTATACAACCATCTGACGAGCCTTGAACCGCACTTAATAGAAGACCCATACACGAGCGGGGAACTGGCGGCGGCCATACACGCCATACAAATGGTGCCAAAGGATGTACCACTGCACTTCATATGCGAGTCCGACTCGTTAGGTACTGTTCTATGCAATGAGCTTGATCGATGGGAAGGAGTAGACTGGAGAGGTATCAGTAACAGAGAGGCCTGGAAAGCCATCACTAATGTCCTAAGGCAACGATGTGCGGTAACAACGTTCCGAAAAGCCAACAGCAAGACTGAATGGGATCTAATGGAGAGAGGTAGATCGGTAGCAACACAACTAACGAGAATAGGAACACTCCACATAATAACACCGCTGACTGACCCGCGGTTCAACCTCTCCGGCGTAAAGATTCTGGACCTATCACAACGCCTAGCATACAGGATCATCAGGAGCAAGAAGGCAATTTACAGGAAAGCTACGCAACGCAACCTAGACTCAATCATTGAGACCCTACGAAGGTGTGACAGACACGAGACATCTGCACAAGAAATATGGATTAGCCTTAAATCTAAGGACCTACGCAAGAACGTAGCAGACTTTCTGTGGAAATGTGTACACAACGCGCACAGATGTGGTACATTCTGGAAGAATATACAAGGGTATGAGGACCGAGTCGAATGCACATACTGCGGCGTACCTGAAACGATGAAACACATCATGACTGAGTGCCAAGCACCTGGACGAGACGTCATATGGGACCTAGCAGGCACCCTATGGAACAAGAAGCAGGCAGAATGGACCCGCCCAAGCTACGAAGAAATCATAGCGGTCGGCCTAAAGGAATGGTACACCCCCAAGTTGAAGAGGCGACCCCTAGCAGAACGATTCTGGAGGATAATGATATCAGAATCAGCGTATATGATATGGTGCTTACGATGCGAAAGAACGATAAGACATGAGCCTGACCAGAACTGGGTCCACACGACGCGCGAAATCTCTGCAAGATGGTCAATGACAATGAATCGACGCCTCCACCTAGAGATGGCAATGACGCACCGAAGATACGGTCGGCTCGCTCTGAAAAAGGATACAGTCTTAGGAACCTGGAGAGGCACCCTAGCTGACGAACACGCCCTCCCTGACGACTGGACGGGCGTGAATAGGGTTTTAGTGGGTATTGCACCCTTCGTGAGCGACGCTCAGGGCGAAGGATGACGGAGTCCCACACTGGCTGTTGTAGCCGTGCGTAAAAGCATTTTCTTCCCTGGATAGCACGAGCGGGGGCACCCGCTGGCTGGCTGGTCCTATGGGTCTGACCAATTGTTAGATGTCATAGACCGCAAGAGCCCTCCAAAAAAAAAAAAAAAAAAAAAAAAAAAAGAAGACCAATGCCAAGGTGAGATTCAGGGACCAAGGAACAAATGCGGGGAACCCGGTGGGCGCTCGTATGCTCCGCCGCCGTCGGACCCTAAGGTTGAGCGGCTTAATCTTTGATAGGGCAAAATCCACGCCATGGCACTACATAACTGACTGCCCGGGAGATCAGTGAGCATGGCTACTAAGTCAAGCCTCAATAAACCTGCCAAAAGTCTGCCAGTTGTCATAATTTGCTAATGAGAAAACATGCGGCGCCGCTCAACAAACGAAGAGAGTACGTCGGTATACAGTGACGGTTGCATATGAACTGTATTCTGAAATCCTAGCTGGCTATGAGCAAACCAAATGATATCAATCACGCCTTCAGATATCTTTACCTCCAAGCTCCTCCGAAGACTGCTCAGCTGCTGAGTGTCGATTCTACCCCGGATGATCCTCGTCCTCAATAAGGCCCGAACGGCGGCGCCATCATCTGGTTCGCTAGAACATCAAGTTACTCGCCGTGTGTTCCCTCGCCCTGCGTTTCTGCGCCCTGCGCCCTGGCTCCAAGAACACGAATGACGCGACAACTTCGTCGCGGATATCCTCTGCTCGTTCGTCCAGAGCGAGGGTTCCGATCTTCTTGCCATCGTCGCTGCGCGTCTGACTATAACTTGCGATGGGGTCCGTGCTATCCTCGGCAGTAAAGAGCTAGCAAGGTGTCGTGAGATTGCGGAGCCCCGAGGAATTTAATGACACAAGATGGTGTGGACGTACTTGTAGCTTTCCCCGAGGACCATTCGCCCGCCACTTGTATTTCTGACCCTTCGCGTCCTGCATCGTCACATCCCTGTCACACACGATCGTGAGTCTCTTTGAGGCATCGCTGCAGCGACTGACTTGCTTACCGGTCGAACGACATCATACTCACACGTAACCACTGGCTGTACGGCACTGGTTCGCCCTCGCGAGCCGCACCTTGGACGACGCTATCGACGTCTCGAGCGTGGCTACGTTGTCGCCAGCTGCGTCGCTCACGCGCAGGGAGGCGCTCCATAATCCGCGCGTCGTGCTCACTTCATAGAGCGCTGTCCCACGGGGGGGATAGGAATGTTGTATCGGATGGGTTGTCGGGGTTGAGCGTTAGGGTCAAGACTGGGTCGTCCACTGGCATTGTAGGTGGTCTTGTATAGCGTATAATTTTGTGTGCACTTGGTATAGATATACTTACACCCCGCGGCCCATATCATATACACCGCCCGCAGAGCTCATCGAGAAGCTGCGCATGTCTCGACGGGGCTGTCCCAGTCAGGTCAGTGACAGCATCTCTATAGTATTAACTTGACTGACCGCATTTTGAGCGCCGGCTCGCCGCGGCCCAGGAAACCGCTGAGGAAGTCTGCATTCCCTCGCAATCACGAAGGACCAGTCCACACACAACGTCTGGCGGACACGGTACCTGTAAGATCAAATTCAGGGGAGGATGCAGAGAACATGGGCGCTCATGTGATCCGCCGTTGTCGGATCTTGCGCTCGGTGTACTTCGATGGAGGGTGTGCCCACAATCTGCAGAGCCGAATAGATGTCACTCAACGCCCTTTTAAACACCCACCTGCACCTCACCATTACACACAGCTCGCAATGGCCGACCATTCGGAGATCATCACATTTACACTCACCCCAGACAACCCCTGCAACACGACGATCACCAACGCATCCGGGGAGGTTCTCTATGTTGTGTACACCGAGAGCGATCAGAACGCGTCCACAACGCGTGTCTACGAGGGCAAATCCGACACAGTCGTCGCGGCGCTGCTTTGGTCGGATACGGGTTTAGTCCTCGGGAAAGTCACGCTGCGTGGGGAGAAGGAGGTGCCCATGCGCGAATGGATGAGCAAGAGCATGATGCCTTTCAACGAGTAAGTGGTGCACTCTTCCTGGGTCGGCGGCTGAGATCGACGAAAGCATGTAGCAGTGCGGCCTTCAAGGATAAGAGCGGGAGGCGGTACAAGTGGAAGGGCCTGTCAGCTGGGCGCGCACTGGAGGTCAGTCCTGTTCCAATACAAGTGTCACTCTTCCGAGGGATAGCTTCGCGCATATAGCTCTACGCGGAAGATGATGGCTACAAGCAGCCCGTCGCGGGATTCCACAAATCAATCGTCGACCGGCGAGTGAGTCCCCCAGGAGTGATCCCAGCGACATTGCGACTCGCCCCACGCGCAGACGAGATCCGGGAGCTGCTCGTATGCTCGTTCCTGTTCCTTGAGAACGATAGAAGGGCAAAGGAGAAGAGCTTCGGCGACATGCGATTGAGGATGGCCGGGCAATTTGCGATGCGTTGATCTCGGCCGGGCCACGTTCGCAGAGTGGTGGACCCTCGGTGGACCTCAAATCAATGTGATTAGTAACTAGATGAACCTTCGATGAATGATCTGGATGCACTTTGTACGAGGGAAGAACACCACGAAAGTTGATGTGCTACGCAGGACACTCGTCAGCATGCGCAACCTCGGCTCACCCGTACACTGTATGATAGCATCGTCTTGACCATCTCACGAACGCAGTAAACTGAGTTATACATTGACTAGCAGTAGCGAAGGGGAAAGCACGATTGCACAACGCTCTTCAGGTGTCCGGTGAAACTTGGTGGTGCTAGTGCTGCATCGGCTCAGGGCCTTTCCCTCCATTACTCTTCTTCGCGAGCTCGTTTCTACGCAAAATCAGCATCACGACCGGTTGAGCATCGAGAAACCACTCACCTCAGCTGCACGCTGAAGTCATCCTCAATATCATCGTCGTCCCAGTTGTCCTCCCAGAGCTTGTCACCGCCGCTCTTCGCCGCGCCTGGTGGCGCGCCGCCAAGGTGCGCGAGATCGGTTTGGGAGTCATCCCAGTCTGGCATAACGGATACAGCTATGTCAGCTCGTGAGCATCTGCGACAGTTTGGCTAACTGACCTGCTACAGTGAACTCCTCGAACTCATCGTCCTCCTCGAGCATGCCCAGATGCGGCACAGTTTGCTCCCCCTTCGAGGACTCTCTCTCCTTGGTTTCTGGAGCTTTTGAGGACGATGCAGCTGATGCCATGGCCGTGATGAGTCCAAGGTAGGGATATGGTGTCGAAAGGGCAAATGGCAAGTGGGTAGGCTTGACGCAGCTCGACGCGTTCGAGGACGAGGACGCGTCAGACTGGGTCGTGGGAACTTGGTCATGTGTGCAAGCGCGATCGCGCACCGCGACGCGTCTGTGGCTGCTCATTCCACGTCTTCAACCACGCTGTCACTTACCTACTTACACCTCTCAAATGGTGAAAGATACAGCCGACTCTAGAAAGGCGCGTGCAAAGGCACAAGTATCCTCGAGTATTCCAAAGGCCGTCAATAGTACCTCCCATCTCCCGCCGCTCGCCCAGGGCAACGCCTCCGAATATGGCTCAACTTCCGATAAGACCGAGCGCGTTCGCCAGGCGTTCCTCGCTCTCGGTGCACCAGCTATTTCTGCAGACGAAATGCGTAGGCTATGCAAAGGACCGCTCGCCGATGCCCTGCTGTTCATGGCCGAGCACCTGAAAGGTCGGGCCGAGGTTAACCTAGCTCGACAGGCGATCCAACAGTGCGTCTCTGTGACAGCGGAACAGCGGAACCGTATAACCTGAAAACAAACTTGAAGGGCACGGGAAGCAGGGCCGTCCAATCGAGGCTCCGATGGCCAACAGACCGAATTCATCAAGGTTAAACATGCGACGGCGAGACTGAACGGAGCGAATAATGATTTTAAGGAAGCGGAGGCTCAACTCAACATTCGGTTGGAGTCAATCCTTAAGTCACGTAAGCGTCACTAGACCTCTGGGCTCGTGGTGCCGCTAATGACTTTGTTGTCGCACAGAGCGTGAAATAGACCGGCTCCAGGTTGCCCTCGACAACAAGCGGAAAGTTCTTCTCCTGCTGCAAATCCTCGAGAGGAAAGAGACACTCCGAAGCTCGAGGTTCAAGGAGGTTGATCGACTGATGGATCAGCATCGGTGAGCAGTCTCGCTGTATCAAAAATGTTTCATCATTGACTTGCAGCTGGGAACAAGCGCAGACGCGTCGAAGCTCGTCAGTTGTTTTGTTTCCTATCGGTCATGTATTCTGTCTTCATAGTGACGTTTTCGCAGATTGATGAGGCTTGTATCCCCGCCAAGGCGACATCGGAAGTCAAACAGAAATGGCCGACGATGCACATACGAGCGGAATACACGCAGGATGTTCTCGCCGTGAGTCTGCCTGCTAGGTAACATCTAATGCAAACTAAGCACAGGTGAATTACAGGCTTTACAGGCCTACCACATTCGCCTAGCTCGTTCAAGCGCATCGTCCGGTAACCATCGTCACGGCGCCGAAGCGCAGCGAAACGCTAGCGAAGCACGCCTTCGTGCTGCATTAGAAGGGCACTGCGACGAGGACATCATGTGAGCACCGCTGGTTCCACCTGCTTACCAGACACAATGAATGTAAGTACCTTGCTGACAGCGAAGAGTGCCAGAGGGTTGCACAAAATCGTGCGGTGCAGAATAATCGATACAAGTCACCTCTTCCACCCTCCCAGCCATCGGACATGATAGATGGCACGCTGCTGGATGACATGCATGCCCGCATCGTAAGTATTGTACCCTTCTGTTTGGTACATCACTCAACAGTCGACAGTAGAGTGAGAAAGAAGAGAAACTACAACGTTTATTGCATCAAATCGCTCATCTTGAAAGCGAGTGCACTCGGAGTTGTCAATCTGTGCGATTTACACGCTTCATCCACGTATTACACATTCATCAACGACTTGCCATGCAGCTTTCCGCCTTCGACGAGCTCACAGAGCCAGAGCTACTTCGATCTCTGCAGGAGGAAGTGAGGGCTCTCGAAGGATATGTCGATGTGTTCAGAGGTTCCATCATGCAAGCCGATGCGCAAGTGCCTCACGAGCACCTGATGGCCGAAGGGAAGGTGGGTCGCCCCGTGGGCATGTTACTAATATTACGGAACTGACAGAGCTCGGGTTTAGTCCTGGCGACAAACATTGCAGGACGTTCGGGCAGACATCGAGCGAAGTGCGAAATTTGCCTTCTGTACCATGTCCGTCTTACCTGAGCTATGACACAGCGCACAGTACAGATTCCTTCCTCCGGTCTACGACACTCCTCGATCCATCAGCTTTACATGACCTTCGCCAAGCCGCGAAAGTTGAAGAATCCATTGGTGAGTCCCAGTCAATGCCCTCGATACGCGGCGGTCCCAACATCTTCGCGAATACTCACACCGGCTCGGCACACCTGTCAGCCACGTACCAAGCCAACCAAGCGCAGGTCAACAATCGCAACTCAACTCTCCTCGCTCGCAAGCTCGAGAAAGCAAAGATTGGCGATGAACTTGGCAGGCAGATTGAGACGCTGATTGCGGAGAAAGATATTGTCGCTGCGATGAGCGGGTCAAGCAAATGAAACCGGGGTACTCGTGGGACATTCCATTTCCCGTACAATCAACTCAGCAAGGGCAGCGGGCAGCAATGCTCCAAGTCAACCACGCTGAGTCTCGTATCGCGCTCTCTTGTACCCTACCAGATGATTACTCGTTAACTTATCAGTGGGCATGAGACCTCAAACACTACTTAGAGCCTCAAGATCTCGTGGTCGGTCTGCAGCTGACTTCCAATCTCGCGTCAAAAGCCAGTCCATTGTACTTGACCGGTTGTGTAGCTTCCGTGAATTGCTGTATGTTCGGTACTCGAAGGAAGTTTCGATGGTCCTGACGTATCCGGCGGGGTCGTTGCATTAAGCTTTTAGGCACTACATGTACAGTGAAGTTGTGATAACCTATAGATGGCATTTCTGGCTCATTTATCTCTGAGTACTCATGTACTACTGGTGCATGGCTTGGGGTTTGGAATATTAATGTGGGGGAGTTGAATCCTTTGTGCTGGAGTGACTAGACACCATGTCTGAGCGAGCTCGAGGTTGTTGCCCATCACGAGAAAAAGAAGCAGGCCATTGGATGACAGCGCTGTTGAACAAGGAAGATAAATTCCCGAAGCAACGGCAGAGTACTCGGAGGCTAGCAATCAACCGGACATGCAAAATCCACAGTAAGTAACAAAAAATATTAGGCGATAACCTAGAACCGGTCATATCCTAATCGACCAACCTGGGATTCGAACCCAGAATCTTCAGCTAACTTTCCTTAGCCGGAAACTGACGCCTTAACCATTAGGCCAGTCGGCCGTTGGAGAGTATGGACTGTGAAGTCGTCAATACCCGATACCCTAGAGCGGCGAGCGCAAGAACATCTGAACTTCAGGTTGTCCGTTTGCTCCGTCGAAGTTGCATACCTGTACCACGCAATTCAGAGCAGTGTGGCCAAAAGAAGCTATTGGGAAGTGTTCCAGTGCAGTGTCCAACTCCATTGGTCCGCCGGCAGCACTGGCATGGGGAGTAAGTACGTCTCACTGGTACATCCAACCAGCGAATCCTGCTGCTGGCAGAGTGCGGCCTCTAGACGAGGATAAGTCGTTTGACGCAACTCGACAAAATTTGCGACACTGTGAAAGAGGTGTGGCCTGCGGTTTGAGGGCGGTAAGTTTGTATTCGGCTGGCGGCGACGGACGATCGAGCTGGCGTCGTGAAGGCGTGGATCGGTACCGGTAGGTAGCGCACGACGTGTGGAGTCTGGACGTCGACGATGTGCACAGAGCACAACGCTGAATCGGTCGATGTTAGTGGCGAGAACGAGCTTTGACGATACTCGAAGGAGGATCGCACATTGGGAAAGAGACATGACTTGTATAGGAAGTCGCATTGTTCGCTATTGCGTGCACGCCGATAATCAGCAGAGTTGATTTGCCTGTTTCTACCAGTTATCTGAATGAACCACACCCGAGGATGTGGGACATATAAGAAACTCACCACCATTGACACAAGTGACAAGCCATCCTGATTTGGCTATGATACAAGCCTACAATCCCGAGTAAGTACGCGACGTGGCTGCATCTTGATGACCACACCACGAGCACCGTCGAGAAGAATGCACGTGCGAGGCGGCCAAGCCAACGGGGATGAACGTCGGGCAGCGTAGAGGAATATGATTGCGTCACTCCTGCGGTCACCATCAGTGGAGGCGGCGAATCGCTACGCCCCCCTTCCGAATTTGGGCAGGATCGCGCCATACATAGACATCCCTGCTTGATTTGGTGACGACCGACTGACGTCGCGCCCGCCACACCCCGCTGTGCGTCGTGACGAGTCCCCACCCGCCGCGCGACACATATAAACCTAGCCTCGTTCGCGGCGCGTCCCCACCTTTCGCCCAAAAGACGCATCCGCACTTCTTCACCGCCCTCATCATCGAATAAGCTAGACATCATGCCAGCTTCAAAGGGACCGTACAACCTCCCGCCCGGCGAGCGTGGCGTCGACAACCTCTCCTACAACCCCCAGGCGGACGCCCGCCCCGACAACGCTGCGTTCGACGAGAGCACCAACCCCGAGCTGCACCCCGTCGGTGCTCGCGGTGCGAACAACCAGGCCACCTTCCGTGATTACGGGAAGGAGGACTTCGAGACCGAGCGGTCGGAGGCAACCGGCCGCATCCCCAAAGGCGCGTTTTCGCCTGCATTCCGACCTGACGCATACGCTGACGAGTGCGTGTAGGCGAAGTGAACGACCTGCTGGGCTCCGCGACGGGTGACGAGCGCAATGCCAGCGGTTACACGCGAGGCAAGAAAGTCGATGCCTTCCGTCAGGAAAGAGACCTCGACAGGGCGTTCGACGAGACCGGCATCTCGAATGCTGGCCAGGACATCGAGGTTGGCTCGGCTACGGGGCGCTGAGTGCGCATATAGCCAGACGACGACGGAGAGGAAGCTGAGGAGAAGCTATTCAGCATAAGGATTGTACATTAAAGTCGGACCTGTGGTTACTGTTGTAGTATTGTCGCAATTTGCCCTTGGAGTTCTGTATTGAATCGAACCACCACGCGACTCATGTGAGGCGAGAACGTCGTTCCCTCCCAAAGATCGCACCCTTGCAACGTCGAAAGACCAATCTGAACGATCATAACGCTGTTCCACCCCAGCCCAGTGCGTCGGTAGCCGCTAAACACACGCAGCACTGAAGTACTCACAAACAGCCTAAATTCGTATGAACCTGCTGACGGCTCGGTCGACTACATGCAGTAACATAACGGCCTCCCAACTAGTCGACACCCCGGCGGTTTGCGTTGTTTCATGCACTTTTCGAGCGCGCCAGCCTGAGCGTTTCGAGACACCATGTGCAGTGCATTGTGCCGCCGCCGCTAACGTCGGAAGAGACCGACTGAGGTTTGAACGGTGCTGATTTCTGCACGTAGTTGCACGCACAAGCGACAAGATGCAGCAGGACTCTGAGAGATGGCTTGTATACAAATGGACCAAATTGGTGGTGGAAGCGGTACAAGAGGCTAGCGGTGTGCAAACGAGGCTACTTGATAGTTGGTGGCGCCCATCTCAGCCACCGATCTCATCTCAATCTGCCCGGACTTGGGCCGAGCCACCGGTGTGCACGAACGCAACGCCTGCACCGCGCCGCCACGAGCCCCTCTCCCCGCCCGCTGCCCCCACACGCCCACGCGCGCAACACCGCACCCGATGACGGTCTTCCTCCCCCTGGAGGCGTCGTCGCCCGTCCCCCACGCCCCCGCCTTCCTCGTGCCCACGGCCCAGCCAGCCGCACACCTCAGCAAGGTCATCAAGACGATCATGAAGGCGCGGCGCATCGCCGTCGTCTGCGGTGCGTGCTGTGAGCGCGAGTGCGCTCGAGGTCGTTGCTGATGCGTGGCATCCGTGTAGGGGCTGGTATCTCCGTGCAGGCTGGCATACCAGACTTCCGCTCGTCTGACGGCCTTTTCCAGACGCTGAAGAAAGACAACCCGATGCTGAGCTCGGGAAGAGATTTATTTGATGCATCCGTATTCAATGTGAGTGCTGTAAAATCCGTCAGCATTCAGTTCCGCTATGATGCTGCCTTGCATCGCACGCTGGATCCGTGCGGTTCGTCTCGCCAGCATAAGGGGCTAGCCTTGGTTGAATCTGGTGATGGCCCGAGTGCATTGACAGAGCTTGTTCCTGACTTGGGAACATGGGAGTTCTGTTGACCGGCTCTGTTTGCAACGGTATAGGGCCTCAGTTGCAACTCTGCGAGGCGTTAGTTGCAACTCTGCGAGTTGATCGCACTGCTGCCCGTCGCCGCTGGTACGATTGATCAACGACTCCCCTCTGGTTTCCGTTTATTCTGAGAAGTGGTGCTGAGACTGTCTCGTATCATGTGCCCTTCGGCAGGACTCCTGACTATGGGTGGGGGGTTAGGTCTCAAGCTGACGTTCAAGCTCACTTTCGTCCGGCCTTCGCTCCTAGCCCCCTAGCATGCCCAGTGTCGCCGACCTGGTGCACCATGCATCTGTATGTGACACCTCAACGTCCGGATGGTCAGACGATGCATGCGACCAGCGGTCTCGTTAGGATGGGATCAACTTGAGGCCCTCGGCCATCCACATTGAAACTAGATCAATGTCTCGCATCGTGCCATTTGTCGGGTGTTTCTCGTAACTGTCGGCGCATGGCCCTGCGTGGGGTAGCCTCGTACGTCAAGCCTCATCCCGCTCTTCGTGCTGTGTGCCAGGCGCAGAACCTAGTTTGGTGCGTTGGTGCGTTCCGCGACAGGCCGTGTTTGTGTGGATCGTCTTTGCACCGAGACCTTGACGACGGATACTATCCGCCCTATGTGGTACCCAGCCGTGTCCTGCAACTCGTAACCGTGGTATGGACAGCCAGCTTTCTTCACAAGGTTCATCCGGTGTACGTAAAGTCTGGTTCCGTTCCCTTCTCACAAGTGTCTCATGGGTTATTTTGTTCAACCATGGTCGAACATGTGCTAAAGAGTTCCTCACAGGCCGAGGGCACGACGTCCATGTTCTGCCAGATGATTGCCCAGCTTGCAGAACTTTCCGAAGTCGCCCTCCCGACCTCCTTCCACCACCTCCTGCGCGCTCTTGACGAGCGGCGCCGGCTCCTCCGCGTGTACACGCAGAATATCGATGCGCTCGAGCAGAAAAGCGGACTCACCTTTGGCGTCCCGGAGTCCGATGCGAAGCGGAATAAACCGCGCCTATGCAAACCCAAGACAGACGCGCAGAGCGAGGCTGGCCCCTCCACCGTCGTCGAGCCGCCGCAGAACCGGCTACCGACACCGCCGATCGAGACCCCGCGGTGCATTCCACTTCACGGCACGCTCCAGCAGATGCACTGCCAGATTTGCACGCACTCATTCCCGCTGCGCGACTACCTGCCCGCGCTGAGCGAGGGCAGGCCGCCGTACTGCCCGGAATGCTCGGCGCTGGAGGAGACACGGCAGCTGGTCGGGAAGCGCTCACGCGGAGTGGGCAAGCTGCGGCCGAGCGTTGTGCTGTACAACGAGATGCACAAGGACGGCGAGGAGGTGGGCGACGTCGTGCGGCGCGACCTGATCGGAAGCTCGAAGGGGAAGGGCCGGGCGGGCGCGGACCTGCTGCTGGTCGTTGGGACGAGTCTGAGAGTGCCGGGGACGAAGCGGATCGTGAGGGAGTTCTCGAAGGCCGTGCACGCACGCGACGCACCGGCGAGCGAGGCGACGTCGGTCATGGGCCTCGCCACGCCGACGCCGTCACCCCGCCGGTCGCCGGTTGATGATGAGGAGGCCCCGATACGCGCGGTGTACCTGAACCTCGACTTCCCCGTGCCGACGCGCGAGTGGGAGGGTGTGTTCGATGTGTGGATCCGCGGCGATGCGCAGGAGTTTGCGCAGCTGATGCTGGAGGAGATGGACCGTGAGCTGCGGGCGAAGGAGGAGGCGGCGGAGCGGAAGCGGCGGAGGGAGGAGGCCGCTCTTGCGGCGAAGCTCGAGGCGCATATGAGCGTCGGCGTGGATCCGCAGAGGAGTAGCGGGAGCGCGAAGAAGCGCAAGACGCCGTCGTCGTCGGCGGGGGAGGGGTCTGCCAAGAAGCACAAGGTGACGCCGCCGACCCCGGTGTCGATGAAGAAGCCAGCTGGCAAGGCAAGGAAGTCGAAGAGTGGCGGTGATGATGTGTTACCCGTCCCCGCGAAGGAGAGCAAACGATCGTCTAAGCCTAAGAGTGGGCTGAAGATCCGCATTCCACCTCGGCCTGTGGTACTCATCACTACCCCCGTCCCGAAGCCCAAGAGACCTGCATTGGTTACGCCCGAGCCCTCTCCGCCTTCATCACCTTTAACACCGGTTCCTTCATCCGTGTCTCGGCACAGGAGTACCCTGTCTCCTCTTTCGCCCATCCTTAGCCCGCCTTCCAAGCCACGTTCCACCCGCCCCTACGACTACGACTGGGACGACCGTGGCGAATTGACCGAGTTATCAGACAATGATTCGAGCGATGATGAGGATGCGGAGTCGTACCTTCCCACTTTTCATTGCAGTCCGCACGGACCTGGACGATAGTCTGCCTTGACCCCCAGGACCGGACAACGGCCGTCGGGACTCGGCTGGACATTCTTTAACTTAATAATAATCCCTATTTCTGTGTGTAGATCCTGTTTACCTTACATTTCCCGCAATGTGTATAAAGCCTGCTTTAGCTGGCCTCTTCTCCTCGATTAGGTGGTCTGCGAGTGCTATGGAAACTTGGACGTGAGCGTACCTTTGGCCTCCGTTATTATGTAGAGCGGGCGCTTGGTGGAAGCATGCATGATCGCACTTGCCGGATTTGGAAAGGCGCCGGGGACTGTGGCACAAGAGTCGAACGTCTTGTGAACAAGACGCGCACTGCTTGGTCCTCGTCACTTTCTCCTCCGCTTCTCTCCCATCTCTCGCCGCGGGGACAGCGCAATATGTCCTTTTTTAACACGGCCAGCTCATCTACCGCTCCCAATACGTCGACCAACGAGAAAGATATCGAAGTTGCCGACCCGCCGACAGACTCTATTTCTTGTTTGTCGTTCTCCAGTCAGGCGGATTACCTCGCAGTCGGAAGCTGGAACAATGAGGTGGGTAGCAATCGTACCCGTGTTGACCTCTACGCGTACTGAACGCGTGTTGCACCCGCGCCGCTAGGTCCGGATATACGAGGTCGGCCCGACTGGGCAAACGCAAGGGAAGGCGATGTACACGCATCAAGGGCCTGTATTGAGTGTGTGCTGGAACAAGGTATACTCCTGTCATTGCTACCTCGCTCGTGCGCTCGTTCAACGCGACCTCCGGATTCTAAGGATGGCACCAAAATTCTCTCCGGAGGCGCAGACAACGCAGCGCGGCAGTTCGACGTTACGACGGGCCAGTCGTCGCAAGTCGCGGTGCACGACGCGCCCGTCAAGTGCGTACGCTGGATCGAGTCGCCGCAGGGTGGCGTGCTCGTCACTGGCAGCTGGGACAAGACAATAAAGGTGAGCTGCACCTCGACTGCGTTCTCAGTGGCGTACTAGAACATCAACGACGTGTAGTACTGGGACCTCCGGGCGCAGGCCCCTGTATCGACAGTCCAACTGCCTGAAAGATGTTACACCCTTGACGTTGCATACCCTCTCATGGTCGTCGGCACAGCAGAGCGCCACATCCAAATATTCAACCTCACCAACCCGACGACCCCGTTCAAGGTCTGTTCAGTCCGCCCGGTATTTGGTCTGGTCGGGCGATCCTAATTCTGTCCCGACAGACCATGATGTCGCCATTGAAATGGCAAACTAGGGTAGTGTCTTGCTTCCCCGCTGCGAATGGGTTCGCTGTTGGGAGTGTCGAGGGCCGCGTTGCTATTCAGTGCGTATTTGATGATCAACAGTGAGAAGTAGGTTCTTGAGCTTACGCACTTGGTGCATACAGATATGTCGAAGACAAAGATGCTTCGTATGTTGGCTTCGAAGTTATAGTTGCGCTCATCTGACTTACCTGGTCTCAACGAGGAATAACTTCTCGTTCAAGTGTCATCGCAAAGACGCAAACCCAGCGAACAAGGATCAGTCCCTTGTCTATGCTGTGAACGACATCACATTTCATCCCGTCCATGGGACGTTCTCCACATGTGGTCGGTAGCAAGCGCTCTCCTCTCAGAGATGACGGATTGATCCGTCTCGCAGGATCTGACGGTACGATTAACTTCTGGGACAAGGACGCGCGCACGCGTCTCAAGAGTAAGCTACATTTGTCCACAGCAAGACGACCGCCTAACCTTACATCTCATATAGCCTTTGACCCCGCGCCGGGTCCGGTCCCTGCGACCGGCTTCAACCGCACGGGCTCGATATTCGCCTACGCGGTTTCGTACGATTGGTCGAAGGGTCACTCTGGAATGACGCAGGGACACCCGAACAAGCTCATGTTGCACGCATGTAAAGACGATGAGGTCAAGAGGAAGCCGACGAAGCGGTAGAACGCTGGAGCATCGGAGACCGGTGACGGAAGGAGGAAGACAGTCGTTGATTCGTACATAGCGTCATCGACCATGTTTTCATACAGTATGTAGCACTTGATGTCCGCGATCGTATTCTTGTTTTCCGAATGTGTCCGAGTGAAGGCCATGTTGTCCTACAGACAACACGGGTCGAAGTAAGATTACAGTGTAGATTATTGTACAGGCGGGAGAGTACCACAGCACAGTCGGGACGTCATTTAGCAGTCGTAGTGCAGTCCGAGTACAGCACTGTCATTAGCGTGGTCTTCCTGACCATTACATCGATTCTATATCCCTATCCCTCCCGCCGACCAGTAGTAGGCATGTCAACTAAGTAGTAATAGATACAGCACAGACACTCTCCGAACTCAGCTCACAGCTGCTTGCCCGGAGCCTCCTTCTCCTTGCTCGCCAGGTGCTCTTGCACCTCCTTGAGCGGGTCCAGCTCACTTAGGGGTTGCCTGTACGAGCTGCCCATGCGGTCCGCCCACGTGAAGTACTGCCCGTAGTTGACGGTGAAGTAGAGGTGGTGCAGCGTGTGGTGAGCGGGCCCGTTGATGACCTTCTCCAGTGGATGCCCGGTGATCATGTCCGAGTCGTGGATGAGGATGGACCAGAAGTTGACGAAGACGAAGAGGCCGAGGTAGAGAAGGCGGTGGAGCGGGAAGACGTAGATGAAGAAGTGGTACGGAATGGACTGGAAGTAGCCGTCGAGCGGGTGGAAGGCGTGCGAGGCGAACGGCGTTGGCACGACCCACTTGTGGTGCGGCTTGTGCAGCCATTTGTACCACATCGGGTTATGTTCCCACCGGTGGATCCAGTAGATACCGTAGTCGGTAAAGACGAGGAACCTGTACGGAGCGGGTCAGAAGGGCATAGGAATGGCAGCGCATGGACGTACCAGGCGATGGAGAAGAAGAAGTATGGCCAACCGTACTCGTCCACGCTCGAGTACAGCTTCGAGTAGCCCCTGACCTCCGCCATAAACCACGGCAGGGTAAGGATGATCATGCCAGGGAACGACCTCAAGCTGAGCTGAATCTCGAGCTTGACTTGGTCCTTGAGGAAGCGCGGGTGCTTCATCATCTCATGGTTGAAGACGAACTTGTACGACAGCCATGCGAAGAGGAAGTAGAGGACGTGAATGCCGACCAGTGTGAGGGCGAAGAGGGAGATGATCTGGCGAGGGATGTAATCGCGTGGCCAGGCGGACGCGAGAGACGGTCCGATCGGCGCTAGCTCATCAGGAGTGGGCAGCGGTGGACGGGGAATGTACGAGAGGAACTGGGACCACTTCCCCGTATCCGTAAGGACAGGCAGTGATGAGGCGTTCATGGATGCCTGGAGGTACGCCGCGCTGGGTGATGAGGCGAATGCCGTTGCAGGCAGCACGGTTGCCCATAACTTGTCCAGGACATAGTCGTCGCAGATGCCGAGCACGAGATCCATGGCAGCGTCGCTTTTGGGTGGTCGGTGGTATACGGCGGCGACGGCAGGACAGCGACGACGACCGCAAGGACGACGAGGACGACGGGGAAGCGGCGGCGCCCCGCCCAAGTCTTTTATGCGGCGATTGGCAGGAAATGTCAGACCACTTTCCGTCCTTTGACCACGTGATGGCGCTGATTCAGGCGCCCGCCGCCGGCCGATGGCGGTCGTCCCTTCGGCGCCAAACTCAACGTCTCCCGCGTCCGGTCCAGCTCGCCTCGCCCAGTCTCCCCTTTATCCAGGCTCCCTACTAGGCCTCCCTGAGGCGACGGGTGCGCATTGGGACTCGTCGTACGATGCGCCATGTCTTGGTGCTCAGAACACTAGGTGCTGCGGGTGGATGTAGTCGTTGCGCACGACCCCCTCCGAAGCGTCTTCATCAGCATGCGCCACCAGTCACTCGTCTGTCGATTTCTTCTTGAATGAGACCGGAATCAGTCGGCAGCCAATGGGCGGTCGACGCTGTGCAGACCTTTTCCCATAGACTGTCCAACCAACGTCTGCACTCTCATCCCGATATAAGTCACTCACAAGCTAGATGGTTGTACCGAACTCCTGTGGCCGCGGCGAGGAGGGCCTGCTCCAAATTTCCGTGACCGGCACACAGTGGTCCACGTTGGCCTCCATTCGAAGCATGGCCGTGGAAGCCTCCCTGAGCTTTCGTGTGTCCTTGTCACGGCTGCCGAATGGTCAGCAGGAACACATCATCGCCCTCCGAGGCCACTACCGCTGTCACGGACCACTGCAGTCAGACACTGATAGTCGACGACATGCATTTGAAGTGGCGACTCGCTCCCGCCCTATGTCCGTATGGATGCACCGGAATTCGCTCGGAGTCGCACCAAAACTCGGTGAACCCAGAGTGATTCGTGAATCAGTGAGTAGTTGACCATGGATACGACGGGGTCCAACAACTATGACGACTGCATTTTGGGCAGTTGGCGATCGCCATAGCGAAGGATGGGCCAAACGGACATCCCGCGCGTATCATGTTGCGTACCTGTGGCGTAGAGTCGCTGGTTGGGAGGTACGTCGTCTCCATCTCCTCCTCGACGAGTCCTCGTACTGTGACGATTCAGCGCAGTAAAGTTTTCGTCGGCTCCGTCAATTGATGTCGTTGCGTCGAAACCGAGGTCATCGTCGTGGAAGTTGAAACTTGAACGAACGGAAGAAGGCTTTGCTATGCCCATAGAAGCCGCCGTCATGGAACCCATTTGTCTGACGACAGGCTGCCTGCAACCGGATGCGTAAACCGGGCAGCGACGGATCGAATGCTACCAGAAGAATCGAACACTGTTCAATCGTACTTAACCCGCAGAGTGCATTGTCGGAGGAATACCAGTCCATGTCGCGTATACTTCTCTCCGGGACTTGATCATCCCTTAGAGTGCGACAGGACTAAACCCCTTCCCCAATCTCATGTTGTGACGGTTGATTGGGTGCCGTAAGAGCTGGACCGGGTGAAGGTTGCCCAGAGAGATGTGCCGACAACCTTTGGAAGTGGTGATATAAAAGGTGCTTCGTGGACACTACCGCAGAGCGACCGCGAAGCTGTCCCAAGCTGCCCAAATTGAGCGAGTTCAGCGAGTAAGTAAGCTCCTAGCGGAGTAATAATCAGTCAAGTGCGTCTGTTAGTGGATGCTTTCGGAGAATGAATGCCGACTAAGCTACGTCACATCCGCCCTACAAACGGAGCTAAGCTTCCCCGGTGGCATGGCAGGCACGAGTGACCGCAGCGACGACCGTGCTCGCCCAGCAGCCTCCACATCTCACAACAGCGCCGCCAGCACCTCAGAGTGTGGTCAACGGTCTTCGCAATGGCTTCATTCAGGCGCCGCGGGATGGCCCTGCCCGCGCTGCTTGCACTACTCTCACTGACCTCATCGGCCCACGGAGCTCAGAACCGATCAACACTTCGTAGTAGCTTCTCTGCGTATGAATACGATTTGTCGGTACGTGGTCAGGTATTGCGGAATCACACTTACCCTGACATAGGATGTGTTAGCCATTAGCTGTAGCGAACACGCGACCAGGTACGTCTTACAGCCGCAACGCGTAACATCCCGCTCACTGCTCAGGTCCTAACAGAGAAATGCCCACCATGCTTCAATTGCCAGCTGGATGCGTTTGATTGTGGTCAGTTTGGAGAGTGCTCAGCATACGATGGACAGTGCAAATGTCCGCCAGGATGGGCGGGGATTGACTGCTTGACACCACGTACGTCCCACCATACCTCGGAACAACGCCGGAGTTCACCTCTTGAGCAGAGTGCGACTCTTTGGCCGACGGGGACAGGCGAAGGCAGCGAGATCCGGGCCAGAAGTGTGATTGCAAGGATGGATGGGGTGGTGCAAACTGCAATGGTACGCTTCGTCTCTCCTGAGGTCTCCGGCGCGCGCGCTCATGGCTCCCAGTGTGCAAGACAGATGACGCATGTGTTGGGTTTCCACTTGCTGGCAGGCCCCTTGAGGATGGGGAGGAGATCAACAACATGACTTGCTACAAAGGAGGCGTGACCGTCTTTGAGAACCACCAAATATGCGCAGTGACGAGTACGTGTAACGCACGCGAACATCCTGCGCATAATTCATGACTTCCCAATAGACCGCAAAATCATCGATATGCTCCCGGATCGTCCCCCCGAGATCACATTCAGCTGCAACCAGGCTGCAGCCTCTTGCCAGTTCCAGTTCTGGACCGCGCAGGAGGAATCGTTCTACTGCGCGCTGGACCAGTGCGCAATGGGAATGGAGACGGGTTACGATAGCAACACTACTCGCTACTCATGCGACAGCATCAAGTGCAAATGCGTTCCCGGCCGGTTTATCTGTGGAGAGAACGGGAGTGTCGGTGAGTTATACCACACCAATGTGTAGAGCATACACTCAGTGTATGCGTCGCAGATATCTCGGACTTCTTGAAGGAGGAGATCAAGGGTCCTGCTTCCTTCAGTTGCAAGACGGGTCAAGGTTGTCAGTTCGAGGAACCCGCTATGAACGAACTGATAGACACTATGTTCGGTGATCGTTACATCACCCTTCAGTGCGATGGCGGAGAATGCTTGCACTACTCCCAGGTGCCTGGCTATGAGGTAGGAGAGCCCGCTAGTCACACAAAAGGATTGCGCTCTGACACTGTGCGAAGCCTCCGCCTAAGCCGGACAACAGTCGCTTCATTGCATTGAGCGCTGCAGGTGCCGGTCTCTTTGTTATCATCGCAACAGCAAGTAAGTGCTCTTCGCCAAGGTTCCATCCGAAGGCTCACATCGTTTTCAGTCTTTTGGTACGCGGGGAGGACACGCTCAGGTGATTTCGGCGGCATCCGCCTGCCCGAGAACGAGACTGCGAGATTGATGTCTGAGCACGTCCCCGCCTCCCTGCACTTCTCGGGCATCTCCTACGCGCTCGGTAATCGCACGATCCTCGACTCCATCTCGGGCACGGTCAAGCCAGGTCAGCTCATGGCGATCATGGGTGCCTCGGGCGCGGGTAAGTCAACATTCCTCGACATCCTCGCGCGCAAGAACAAGCGCGGCGTTGTCAGTGGGCGCACACTCGTCAACGGCCGGGAAGTTGCGGATGAGGACTTCAAGAAGATGATGGGCTTCGTGGACCAGGAAGACACGCTGATGAGCACGTTAACTGTGTACGAGACCGTGCTGTACTCTGCGCTGCTGAGGCTGCCGCGGGAAATGAGTCTCGAAGCAAAGAAGTTCAGGACGCTCGAGACGATGCATGAGCTGGGTATCCTTGCGATCAAGGATTCGCGGATTGGCGATTCTGGTAGGTCTTGGTTGTGGCTTGCGACACGGATGCATGGCTGATTCAGACTATCCTATCTGAGGTCGCCGATCCATCTCAGGAGGTGAGAAGCGCAGGGTCTCAATTGCTTGCGAACTCGTCACCAGTCCTTCTATTCTATTCCTGGACGAGCCGACGAGTGGTATGTCGCCCATCCCTGGGAGGTCTGTCGATACTAAAGCTGATCACTTCTAAGGATTGGATGCCTACAATGCACTCAGCGTCGTCTCCAGCTTAGTGACGCTTGCAAGGAATTACAATCGCACGGTAGTGTTCACGATTCACCAGCCGCGCAGCAATATCGTGTCTCTTTTCGATAGGTTGCTCGTACTTGCGCAAGGCAAGATGATTTACTCCGGCGATGCAGACAAGTGCGGGGAATATCTTGAGGCGATTGGGCACCCTTGTCCGCCTGGTTTCAACATCGCCGATTATCTGAGTGCGTTCATCATCGCTGCTGGAATACCCTCTAGCTACTGACGCCTATCCTAGTTGACCTGACGATGCATGCTAGCATGGAGCCTCGTTCGTTGGAGAGTCCCCCGACGGAGTTGTCTACCTCGGAGGCGACGAATGTCAACGACGAAGAGCGTGGATTCAATGGCGGTTCTACCTCTGGACACTCCAAGACATCGAGCTCCACTGAAGAGACTGAGCTGCAGCCGCGCGCGAGCTCTGTTGCAGGCTCTGCCTCTGGCTACGTTAGGAAGAAGACGTCGCAGCTGCTGCAAGCCATCTCGCCGAATGCGTTGTCTGGCGAGGGTCCCCTAGCGCCTCGTTTGCAGGCATTGGTAGACTCATTCGCTGACAGCGACATCAATGCCTCGCTGAAAGAGGAGATTGCTGACGTAGCGTCGACCGCCAACGCCCCGCAGAGCGCCTCGAATCAGCTACCTGATGCGGCGCTGGAGACGAGCATCACGAGAGGACGCAAGCGTGCTAGCTGGGGGACACAGTTCCGCATCCTGAGCGGGAGGGCGTTCAAGAACTTGTACCGGGATCCTGCTCTGCTGGCTGCGCACTATATCGCTGCAGTTTTGGTCGCACGTAAGTCGGCTCCGGAGCGCTGTCGTCATTGAATGCTGACCCGCGTATAGTCATGAGCGGATTCTTCTTCCACCATCTATCGTGAGTGAAGCTCAGTGCTGATGACTGTATGATCAGTTGCTCACTCTGCTTCAGCAACGACATCGCGGGCTTCCAGAATCGACTTGGATTCTTCTTCTTCACGCTCGCGCTCTTCGGCTTCTCTTGTCTGTCTAGCTTGAGTCTATTTGCCAATGAGAGGCTCCTCTTCATGCGGGAACGGTATGTACTGTCTCATCCACATGTTGTGTCTGCCTAATTCACTGTATCATCAGTGCCAACGGCTATTACTCTCCGCTGACGTACTTCGCCTCGAAGGTAAGCCAAATATCATTTGGTGTGTCTGTAGTTCGTCTGACACAACGTCTGCCCAGGTACTGTTCGATATCCTGCCGTTGCGTGTTGTCCCACCGCTCGTGTACGGTGGCATCGTCTACGGTCTCATCGGTCTAGTACCTGAAGTTGCAACCTTCTGGAAGTTCATCCTGGTGCTTGTGCTCTTCAACTTGACTACGGCGAGCGTAATCCTGCTGTTGTCAATCGCCTTTGCGAGCACTAGCGTAGCTAGCCTTGTCGGCACACTCATCATGCTCTTCAAGTACGTTGATTCACTCCGAATACCTGAACTTATGGCGCTGATGACCTCACCAGCTTGCTGTTTGCCGGACTTTTGATCAACCGACAGACCCTCGGGAAGCGGTGGGAATGGCTCAACGTCTGCTCTTTCTTCCATGCCGCTTACGAAGCGTTGGCCGTAAACGAGTTGCGGTACTTGCAGCTGAGAGAGACCAAGGTATGCAAGACGACATTGCTCATGTCCAAGACTATTGATTAATTTAACCTACGCAGTACGGCGTGGACATTGATGTGCCAGCTGCGGCCATCTTGTCAACGTTCGGACTGCAATCACAGGTTAGTTCTTCCAGCCTTGCTTACTCCTCAACGGGCGTACTGATTTGTTTTCTGCCAGTCTTTTTGGTGGCCGGATATCGCCCTGCTTGGCATTTTCTTCGGCTCGTTCACAATCATCAGCTACCTGATCCTGCACTTCTACGTCAGGGAGAAGCGGTAGGAAAACAATGTCCGCGTCATGTTGTGTGGCATAGCATTCACGTACACGTACGAGCTGTCCTGTGACTGTAAAGACTGTATCATTGTATAATCATTGGCATCTTGCATTTTCGTCCTAATCTCTTGACCAGTTGCGTTCGTGCGTCTCCTCTGGGTGAATCAGAACATGAGCCTGAGATTGGCGACCCGATTAATGGCGAAGAGCGTCCTCGGGGCACGTGCTCGGACGCGAAGCGTGTAAGTAGGTACGCGACATCCTCAAGACTCGACGGCTGGGGCGATCACAAATTTCGGCTTCCTTTCTCGCCCACCTCCTCCCTTCCTCCTGCTGTTCACTTTCACCTGCGAATTGTTGCCTGCTTTTGGGATATATACTCTCCTACGCAACCGGATTTGAAGCCCTTATTGCTTGGTCACCCGGCCTTCAATACTATCGCACGAAGTCGGCAGCGAGACGCCACTGAGATCGTGTCAGACAGCAGACAGCCTTCACCCTCCTCCACCGTCCTGAGACAGTCCAAATAGTGAGCATTTACCCCGTCTACGCTATATACGGAGTACGGACGTGCTGTTAGTGCCTGTGGAGACGGGGTTATACGATCTACTTGGAGTACATCCAGGAGCAACAGAGGGTACGCATACATCGTGCCCTCTCGTACATATGACAACTCATTGACACTCGGATGCGCAGATGAAATCAAGAAAGCCTATCGCAAAAAGGTATGTTTCGTTCACTCGATGAGTGGCCGATGGGCTTACTGAGCGGGAACGTTTGCTAGGCCCGGGAACACCATCCGGTATGTCTTATGTGAGGTACACAAAGGCTGAACGCTAACCGTCAATGTGAATTGCACTGCAGGATAAAGTGCGTCGTCTTTTACTACTCCTCACATGTATGGATCTTGAAGTCGAACGAACAGAATCCAGATGACCCGACAGCTGGAGAGAAGTTCCAGGAGATGGCTGCTGCGTGCGTCTTCCGCCTTCACTCTATCACTATCCTCTAAGACTTGTTTCATAGATACGAGATCTTGAGTGGACAAGAAACCCGCGAGATTTACGATGAGTATGGCATGGACGGTCTATCCAAAGGAGGTCCGAGAGGGCCAGGCATGCCCCAAGATGATATGTTCGCAGAGATGTTCAGTGGCATGTTCGGCTTCGACTTCGGTCCGGGTAGGAGACGAACACGAGGAAGGGATACAACACTGCCCTTCGAAGTCACTCTGGAGGACCTATACAATGGGAAGAGCGTGAAGATGAACATGGAGCGGGAAGCGATCTGTGGGACGTGCAAGGGGTGAGTGTTTACTGCTTATTCAGTCATGTTCGCGTGCAAACTTGTCGTAGGACGGGGGCGAAGGGCTCTGCAAAACCTAAGCAATGTGTGAAGTGCGAGGGCAAGGGTTGGACAATGCAGACCACCCAGGTGTGTACAGAGAACGCCACCACGAATAATCACTCATCGTGCCACACGACAGCTCGCCGCAGGTCGCTTTGCAACGTCGCGAGCGGCATGTCCAGATTGCGAAGGGCGCGGCGAAAGGCTCAGGGAGAAGGATCAGTACGTCCATCGACTGACGCGCCGTGCAGCTTCTGATGTTGAACGTGAATGTGCAGATGTAAGAAGTGCAAAGGCAAGAAAACGGTCAAGGAGAAGAACCGGCGAGAAATCTTCATTGAGCCCGGAATGCCCGACCGGCATCGAATAGTGCTCGCTGGCGCTGGCGATGAGGAGGTATGCCGCTTCCACCGAGGTCCCACACCTTACCGACTTTTCCTCTATAGCCAGAGGTTCCGCCAGGAGACGTCATCTTCCTGCTCAAAACAAAGAAGCACGACTCGTTCGAGCGATCGGGCAACGACCTCCTCACAACCGTGCACATCACCCTCTCAGAAGCACTACTGGGCTTTTCCCGTATACTCATCACACATCTGGACGGGCGCGGGATTCAGGTGACAAGCCCACGAGGGAAGATCATCAAACCTGGAGACAGTATCATCCTACGCGACGAGGGCATGCCCGTACACAAAGGTCCGGACCAGAAGGGTAACCTGTACATCATGCTTGAGATCGACATGCCGGACGAGGAGTGGCTCCAAACGGTTGACCGACCGGTAAGCTTTACCTAATGACTACGACTTCAATTGTCGCTTATGCCCCTTCGTCAGGCGCTCGAGAGTCTTCTGCCACCCAAAAAGCCCGAGATGGAGCCTCGTCCGGAGGTCGTGGAAGAGGTGCCGTTCGAGGAGAGTGACATCGTCGAAGTGCGTTCCCAACGTTTCTCCGGGTCAGGATTCTTTGACCGCTCCGGGTTTGCTCGGCAGTTTGGCGAAGACGAGGGTGGATGGGAGGATGAGGACGAAGATGAGGACGAGGAGGATGACTGGGGCCCGCATGGCCATGAACCGGAGTGCCAGCCACAATGAGGTGCTGGGACGGTCGAGGTTGATGTGTTTCTTACAATATCTTAGAGCTGCTATTGTTGGGCATGAATACTCTCCGCTCTGCATCTGTGCTGTGGAATGCCATTTGGATCACATCTTACGGCGAACCGAAGAGTTTCTAGACCGGTTCAGTCTATTTAGCTGGAATACGGTTACTGATAGTATCACTAATACAGTGACGACGTAACAAATGCCGTCTGTACATGCAGCACTACAGCGAATCCATCCTTTCCTCAGCAAGAAAGGCATTGGAATTGAAGGTTTTGCCCAGTTACATAGGCATGTGGACAACGTTCCGTTGTGATTTCCGCTCCTCCTTTGTAACAGGTTCTCTCGAGAGGAAAGGATGCTGCCATTGTAGTGTAGTAATAGATTATACATACATGAAGTGCATGCCACAGCCCTACCGCTCACTTCATCCCCCCATGAGAACCTCCCAGTCTTTACGTTAAGCCCCAGCTTCTGGAACGCCCGAGCCACCGCACTCATCCAATCAGCACAATGAGCCGCATCAGAGGCGATGCCCGTCCGCGTTAACAACAATACTAGTCACCCATCCAGGCCTATAAAAACAACATGCTTAGCTCATGAATAGCCAACAGAATCACTCCAGAACACTCGCATTAACACCCTCATGCCCAACGACCCACAACGACAAGGCAAACGATCATGCCACCGATCGCCCACAACACACAGCGAATCGAAGAGGCAACCCAAACAAATAGTACTGGGACCCTTGCCACCCCCATCCCTCCCGATCCTCCACCTACCCGACGACCGTAGCGCAATTACGATCGAAGTTGAAGGGATACCAGAGAGCACTGGAGGACTCTTGACATGGGTGTTGAAGTCGCGCCCTATCCCCGACTCCTCCCGAAGGGAGGGAGGGCTCTGTCAAGTAGAAACGATATTGCGCCGGGGATGCCGTGTCGCCGTGGGAGATTTTCGTCCATATACGGTACGCGCGATACCGCATAGGGAAACTGTCCACATGCAAGCCGTGCGCTCGCGTCTGACCGAGGCTCTGCCTGGCTCTGTGTTCCGCTCGTGCGGCCGGATCTTCCTCCGGTTTTTTCCGAGCATATATAACATGCCTCCTGCCACTATTATCGAGACATTCACTTCAACACATCTTGTCTTCCCCCCTGAAGCAGCTGCCATTTCCATGTCACAACAACTAACTAGTATTGCCACTTCTCAACTACCAGATAGGGCCTTGGGCTCAATACCAGTTTTACCAGACAGTGTCTCAGGCCCGCTACCAGTTTTACCAGATGATTCTGCAGACTATATACCAGTCTCATCACCAGACAGCATACCACATACAATTGCAAGTGTCCCTAATGACACAGTCCAAGGCATCATGAATAGCAATCCTTCATGGTTCTATTATACTGATGATTATTACCTGCAGCAATCACAATCCCTTACCAGAGCTGAATTATGGGCTGCTGTTTGTACATGTGTTGATCAGACACAAGGTATCAGACAATCCAAAGCATCTTTGGCTAAGCAACTACTGCAGCATTTCAACTCATCTAAAGTGTTATTGGCAAATATGTCAGATGTTCTCCTGTGCCAAACATGCAACTGCTCTCTGCTGCTCAGTTCACCATTCCACTGTAGATATATAATTTTGAAGCATTACTATATACAATTATATGGCTGCAAGATTCTGAAATGTCTATGCCAATCTCCTATGCTTTCCAGTATAGCACATGATGTTGCTCATTCAAGTACAGCTCCTGATATAGACCCTCATATTCTCAGCCAACTGAAACTTTTAGACAAGGACATTTTAGATCATTGTTACACCATATTTTAGACTGACTACATGAAGAGCAAAACAAGAGCAATGCAAATACTGGTTTCCAAGCTATTGGCCATTAAGCAATATATCAGTGACTTGAGTATTGCTGAAGTGTACCAACAATACTTCACAGCTGTGACACACAGTGGCAACATGTTATCTAATGTGCCAAAGCCATGCAATATTGTTGAAAGTATCTTAATTGCATACTATGGTGATGATGTGATAAATGCAATATTCCATAACACACTCCCAGAAATAAGGAAACAGCAGCAAGTTCAGTATCAAAGAGACTATAGAAGGTTGAAAAGACAAGACAAGAGCATACAACTAAAGCAATCATACCTCAGTGAAGAAATGAATTGGCCTACCATACCTAGCACTGAGACTGAGCTACAATGTGCATACAATTATTGGAAAGCAACACAATGGCATTATCCTCTCATCTGCTCTGTGTGCTCTAGCAGTGCCCATAGATTGAAAACAAAGATCTATGATATGAATCAAATCCCCAACATAGTGCATAACATGTCTGTTTTGCAGGTACATGACCCATGGATTATTCAGACATGCATTGTACAACAAAATTCCAATGAGTTCTTGTATGCAAATGAATTGGATGGCTTCATGTTGGATAAAAAGGGCTGCTATGCAGTGATCCTATCAATCACAGAGTAGCACTATGTTCAGACTGCTACAATTCCCTAAAGTAACCAGCTATGCCCAGATATGCACTGGCAAATAATCTATATAGAGGTCATCTTCTTACTGAATTTTGTGACCTTACGTGGGTTGAAGAGATGGCATGTGCTATTTATCATATCACTGCCCATGTAACCCGTTTGTATGGATCTTCAGAACCTGCACAGCCAAAAAATTTTCATGGAAACACCATAACACATGATATGAATGTCATATCAACAACAATAGTGCTTCCTAGAACTCCTGCAGACATCACTGGGTATCTCTCAGTTGTATTTGTTGAACCTCATAAAATCAAAGCCTGGGCAATACATTCAGAGTGCGAAAAGCCAAAATATGGCATTTTCTTCTTTGGTTGAAGCACCATAACAGATTATATGAGCAGATCCTGTTGGAATCAGAGTAACATAGATCAATTTCCAGATGATGGTGTGCTTCCTGGTGTTGATGCTCAATTCATCCAAGACATTCACCAAAAAAGTGATGAAATCTTCCAAGAAGAAACAGCAGGTTTTACAGAACATCCTGCAGAGGCTTTTATGCATGACAACTCTGAACATGCAGATGATCAACCAACTGTACTGCTGGAACACACAGGTGTATCTGACCCAGAAGGAGACAGCATTAGTATACAGTAGTGATGCTGATACTTATGTTCCGCTTTAGGTCTATGTTGTACCACTAAAAGCGGAGTTTGAAATCTATGTAGATTATTGTATCATCTTATCAACACCACCCTCACTGCTCGATCGATGTTCATCCATAATACGGTTCAGGCACCCACATGGAGTCGGGGACGGCGCTTGCGCCGCTACAGGAATAGTCCAAATTGGGGAAGGACAACACGTAGTCCTAGCCACCGGGATCATGCGAACCGGAGTTGGCCGACTCGCCGAAATATCCACGATGTACAAACACTGGATCACGAGACTCGTGGCCGGCGGACCCGGCCGATTTTGCATCCGGATCCCGGTCTCCTGGTCCAGACTCCACCGTCGGGAGAGCCGCATCCACTCACAGCTATTCCAACATCTACCCTCCCTACCCCCGCCATACGCGACGCTACGAAACGATCAACTCATTACATCCGCGGCCGAGAGCCCGTACGAATTCGAATGCGACGAAGACGACGCAGGGGAGAAGTGAAGGAACCGAAAGAAAGGATCAGGAACACGTACTGTAATCTAAATGTAGCTAAACGCATGGCGTCGTATACCACATCCCGTCGACAAATGTCTCTCTCCCACGCGAACCACACCATGCACTAGCCATGCACCAAGCGCTCGAGACCCTGACGAACCAAGAATCAGTATTATAATAGCCATCCAAATAACAAGCAGAAAATGTATGGTCATTCAGTCTCCGATCAGCAGGATCGCTTCCTTGACGTTACCCTGGCTGAACCAGTAGTGAAAACGCGTTTTCACTACTGTCATATAATATCCATATTGAATGGTAAGAACGCACACAAATATTCTCTAGGGTTCTAGATTCCGAGAAAGTGCTCTTGGCAGCCTTCAAAACGAGAGACCCGTTTGCCCAAGACTTCCCGATACTGGCACCTGTACTATACATAACAGACGCTTGCCGGCTATTATGGTATGCAACGGAGACTAACTTACACCTGTACCTGACTGCGCCAAAAGACACATTTGAATTTCTCTGGCAGCCGTCTGCAATGATTCCCGTTCCTTGTGCATCATGCACAAGACTGAAATGCTATCTAGAAATACTATGTCATTTTTGGAGGGCAAACTGAACGTATTTGGGCTCGGAATCCTACCCGTTTTCACTACCAAGTTTCACTACTGGTTCAGCCACAGTAGTGTTGACGCGGACGACTCACGGTGGGTGGCGCTACGTATTGACAACTCGCTACCCTTCATTTCCAACCTTCATGCAACCACGACGGCAGCGATGAGCTTCGTATTGGACCTATATCTTGTCGGCGTGCCTTGGCTGCACGTACTGCTGGCGCCCTATACCAAAGTGGAAGAGAGCTTCAATCTACATGCAACGCACGATGTACTCATGTACGGCGTGCAGCCTCATGCCCTTCAGAACGTACGTGTTCCTCCTCCATGCATAATACGGGATGACAACATCATGTCTGAAGTACGACCATCGTGTCTTTCCTGGAGCAGTACCGCGGACCTTCATAGGAAGCGTCCTCCTGGCATGGGGGACTACACCGCTAGCGTATTTGGCCGGTACGCAGGGAATGATTACCCAGAAGGCCGACCTTCAGGTGCTAGGTCCGTGCAACCCTGCGATGTATTGGAATATATACAGATCCAGCTCTATACTAGCCCGGTTGCTTTTGGCGACCATAAATGCCATAGCATTCTGCCTCCTGCGCCGCGCCGTGGCCCGTCGATTCGGTCGTCTTGTGAGCTGGGCATTCGTGGCGCTCACCATCAGCCAATTCCATTTGCCATTCTGGATGGGCAGGACGCTGCCAAACATGTTCGCACTGTTCCCTGGTACGCCCTTTCAGTTGTGCAGTCGCATTGAGCTAAAACAAGTTGGTGCGTACAGTAAACCTCGCTTTGTACCAGCTCGTGAACCGTGCATCCAACTCTACTCGCCCTTCGCCGACTGCGTACCATCGCGCGATAGCTCTTCTGACGTTTACAGCTACTGTGTTCCGCTCTGAGATCGCGTTGCTGCTTGCGCCTCTGGCTCTGCAAGGTCTGGCCAAGGGCTACACGACGCCCTCGTCACTTCTCAAAGTCGGGGTCATCAGTGGCGTTTATTCTGCAGGTGAGAAGTCTCGCGGCAACGCACATATCCAACATAGATTTACGACGTCCTGCAGCATTGACAGCTCTAGTTGATTCCTACTTCTGGCAACAGTGGCCTCTGTGGCCGGAGTTGCATGGTGTATTCTTCAATGTCGTTGAAGGGAAGAGTGCAGAGTGGGGTGTACGCCCAAACTGTTATGGTGTGGTACTACCACTGACTTTCTCATCTACACGCTAGGTCTCCCCATGGCACACGTACTTCACGTCCTCTCTGGCCAAACTCCTCATATGGAGCCTCCCGCTATCTGTACTGGGTATTGGCGCAGATCGGCGCATCGGCGCGATGCTCTTTCCCTACCTCTCTTTCATAGCGCTGCTCAGTTGCCTTGGTCACAAGGAGTGGCGCTTCATCATCTATGTCGTTTCAGTGTTCAACATCGCTGCTGCAAGGGGCATCGCGTGGACGTGAGTATCATTCGTTCACCGGATTCTAATTTTGCTGATTGATTCGGCACTGTTACTGCTTCGGCTGTGCTTGTAGCATAACCAAACCAAAGAGCAAATTCCTCGTTCGTTTGTCTATTATTGGGTTTGTGGGTCTCATTGCATCCAATTTCGCTGCGACAACGCTCTCCACCTTGGCGTCGATGAACAATTACCCGGGAGGCGACGCATTATCGATTTTCAATGCGCACTATGTCAATGAAACTAGAGGTGTGGCGTTGCTGCTAGGCCTCGTCACTGAACCTCTATTCACGCTCCTCGCAGTGCACGTCCACATATCCAACTTAGCAGCGCAGACCGGTGCCTCCCTCTTCCTCCACACTCATGCGCCACCCTTCCTACCAGGCCTCAATGTCTCGCCTCCGAACCAGAACTGGGTATACGACAAAACGGAGCACCTCACACCGCAGATGCTGAGCGGATCGAAGGAGGTCACACACGTCATCGCAGAGAGCGACGGTACTGGTTCATCCTTGCCCACCGGTTTCTCTTCTAGCTACTGGAGGCCAGTGAGAAGTATAGAAGGGTTTGACGGGTGGAGGATCAATCATCGATTGCGCGAGCTGGTGAAGGGTAGGGGGAAGGGGCTGATGGAGAACCTGGACGTGTTCGCGCGTCCGTTGGAGATGGTGTTCAGGGAGAAGTTGGTGATTCTCGAACGGGAAGGTCGTTGACACCCTGAGACTGTATGCTCTTAGTTTCGCATACTAATGCTAGTGGGGTACCCTTCTTACAGACCTGCAACCCCATACTGCGATGCGTAACCTGCGGATGAGGAGGGCTATCAGGAGATGTACGAACCATACGTATTACATGCCAGATGAGGGCGGTCATGACTGCCCCGTCAACTGTGCTTCAGCAGCCTTCTGCCTCTTCTCTGTAGCCGCCTTGGCCTCGCTTAGTGGCCTGCTCCAGCGCGCCTCCGGGGGGTCCCAGATACCCAGCTCCCTCTTCAACTCGTCCACGTTCTGGTTCCAACGCTCTTCCCAGTGCACCGTGATGAGGCTCTTCGCGCTGCTCCCGCACTTCACTGCCCACGGAACGAACTCGCTGAAGAGTCGTTGGCGCTTAGCCGAGGTGAGGCGGAGGTGGCCGAAGGCCGCAGCGAAGCCAGCCATGGGCAGGCCGAGGTTGGCGAACTCGAAGAACTTGAGCGCGAGCTCGGACTCGACGTTGACGGGCAGGTTGCAGATGCAGTGGTAGAAGTCGTGGCACTCGCGGTAGCGCAGGAGGACGTACGCCAACTCCGGGTCGTCGACGTAGTGCACCTGCAGATGGTCTCAGTGAGTCTATCACTGATATACTGTATGTGGGGAGTGTGCGTACCGGCTCACGCGTGTCGGGGGTCACACCACACCGCTCGAGCCAGGTGACGTACGCGCGACCAAAGGTCCCCTCTGGGAGCAGCGCGAGCTTGTTCATGTCAACAGTGCTTGAGTTCACACGAGGCCTCCCTTTCAGAATTCTCCTTCCTTCAGGACTCTCCAGCATGGCATCCCGAAGGCGGGGCAGCACAGGGCCAGAGGTTACGTCCCCCAACGCAGCCACCATGTCTGGGGACCGTCATGTTAACTCTTTTCAGGGACGCGCGAGCGTCAGCGCACCTCCTCTCCTCGGATTTGCCAGCGACATCAGCGCGGAGCCGACAGCGAGAAAGCCAGCCTCGAAGGTGTTCAGTGGGATGTGTCCCTCGTATGCGGGTTGCGTACTCTTCAGACGTGCTTGTTCATGCAGGATCCTCAGTCTCGGGCCTGCGAGGGCTGGTGCAGCTCTTGTGGACCATATTGACGAATGCCGGGCAGCACGCGGTACGGAGGTAGCAAGAGACATGGATATGCTGCCTTTGGAGCCCGCGCACGGCGACCATCGGTGGAGTGCGAGACACACGGTCACATGTCGGACGCGCCACAGGCGCGTCGAGATCAATCTCGACCACTGTCGGACCCGTTCGAGTTGCTTCGACACAGGATGCTATTCAGATGTGTGATGCTGCTTCGCATCCAACACCTTTCTCCCTGAAACAGTCTCTAGGAGCGTTGATGTTTCAATATTAATGATAGCTAGGTCGTGCACTCTCTGGCACTGTGGACAAGCGGAACAGGCCAGTGAAGCAGTGACATTCAAACTTGATCAATATAGCACGGCTGGCACACCTCGGTAGCTGGAAGTCTGTATCTTGGGGTGGGTCAGATAGTCGTGCTGCGCGTGGGAGGTCCATATCATCATATGTATGTCTTGGACAAGACATCCACAGACTACGTGAGATATCGATGCAGCCTCGAGGATATGTCCGGCAGCCGCTGTCGAACCTCAGGCCTCAGGCTCCAAGGCCAATAACACCCGGCAGACCGAAAGGACAATGAGGGATGGAATGGAACAGCGGCGAATGCCATGACTGAATGAGCCCCCAAGCATCCCGAGGAATGCGTCGACATGATGACTTGAGAGTGTCGCGACTAGGAAGGGTGAAACGGATTGAACAGTACTGCGGTGAAAGCTTGCGTCTCGAGTCGCGTACTCCCCATACGCACCTCACTTCGGACCACCGTCAAATCAACTGGACTTCAACCGACAGGTAGTGACCAATGTATTACTACGTTCAATCTTCTTCTTCAGTGTTAGTACCTATCACACCGTCCTCTCAGCATATGAAGGTCGAGATGACTGGGTGCGAACTCACGATTGTCAAGACGCTGCGCTCTTCACTTCCTCCTTCTTTGGCCTGCTGCCAAATATACCCGTCCCCACCCTGACTATATCACTCCCCGTCCTCAAAGCCGCCTCGAAGTCGCTCGACATCCCCATGCTCAGCAGCAACCGTCCGTCCTCACCCCACTTGCCCTTCTCCGCGGCGAGCGCCTCCTCGAGGAGGTCCCGCGTCTGCTTGAGCTTTTCGAAGTCCTCGTTCGGCTTCACCGTGACGTGCAGGGACTCGGTGAGCGAGCCGATCGTCATGAGGCCCTGGAGGTGGAGGTGCGGGCAGGAGGAGACGATGTGTCGCGCGAGCTGGACGAGCTCGGCGTCTTCGGGCGCGGGCGAGGAGGTGAGAGGGGGCAGCCCGGACTTGGCGCCCTCGCCGGAGGTGTTGACTTGGAGGAGGACGTTCAAGGGGGTTGTGCGGGTGGTGAGCTGTTTGCTAAGCGCGTCCGCGCCCTTGACCGACCCGACGGTCTGGACGGCGTACAAGTTAGGGATGGCTGGGTGCGGCGGGATCAGCGAAACTGAAGGGCCATGGAGAAAGGAGGACTGACAGTCACATACAGGCAAGAATCTTGGACTTGTTCGTCTGGAAGGTGCCTATGAAGTGCCATCGGATGTCTGCCGGTAGCTGCGTTGACTCGGTCAGAGTACACTGTCGCGTGCGATCTTCTGGCGAGAGCGTACCTGCGCGGCCTTGTCCACCAGCTCCTGCACGTAGTTCTCACCAAAGTTCCTCTGCCCGTCTTCGTAACACTCGAGAATGTCCGACGCGGGCTTGTACTTCGACACGGCGACCAGTGTTGGCTGCCTATTTGCGCTCGCGTTCGCCGAGGCCGCCTGCTGGACGCGTGCCCTGATCTCTGCGAGTGACGTCCGTAGCTCCTCCGCGCGTTCAGGCGTCCTGACCACTGCAGCTGGTGTCGCAGACATTCTGAAGAGCGCGCGAGAGATGCGCATGCGATGGTGAGGGCTGGATGAGAAATGGGACGGCGGCCAGTGGGCGGATAAGATTAGATGGGCGCTCAGTGACATCAGTCGCAGCGCGTCTCCGTCCCGTCCTTCACGTCCATGCCATGATGTCCGACGCGCACCGACTTCAACTTGCACCCCAACCACCACTAGCTCTCCCGCCCCCGCCATGGACGCGCCAGGAGGTGCGACGAGCCCGCTGTCCTGGGCCAACGTAAGCCTCGCGTTCTCGTTCATCGTCTTCGATGCCGTCGTCTCGCTCGCTTTTGGGTTGGGGGTCGGAAGTGGGCTCGTCACGGCCGCGCTGCGGTGCATCGGACAGCTCAGCGTTGTGGCGCTAGTGCTACAGCAGGTATTCGCGACGAATAATCCGTGGGCGGTGGCGGGTATAGCTCGTGAGTGTCGCCCGTTATTTCGTCTCGGACTGGTGTCTCAACATTAGGTCGCACGACTAGTCTTATTGAATTTGATGGGCACCATCGAGACTGGTGAGGTTTTAAATCTCTGCTGCGTGGTTCTACCTTGCTCATCAAGTTCGGTGAACAGTGGTGAACAAGTCGAAGAAGCGATACGCATTCATGGCGAGTCCACATATGCCATTCACTCCCATTCATTGATAACCACGCAAATCACAGTTCCCTTCAGTACTCGTGGGCATGCTTGGATCCACAATACCCGTATCTATTATTGGCATCCGCTTTGCCATGGCGGTTGATCCATTTTGGAAACCAGAACAATACAGTACGTCAACCCTGGACAGCTTATTGCGCGCAACTCATCTGGGGAGGAAACAGTCCCCGTTGTGGGTATGCTCTGCGGCAGCACAATCTCGGGAATTGTCGTGTCGGTGTCCTATGTCCTGAAAGAACTACAGTGGGCCTCCGAGTTTGCTGCGCCAAAAATAGCACACCTAACCGCTCTATATCCGCAGTGACAATAGCGACAAAGTCCAGATGTACCTCGCCTTCGGCGCATCTAGGTTCGAAGCGTGCAAACCAATCGCAAAGGAGGCGTTGCGGCTCGCACTCACTCCCAACATCAACCAAATGAGGTAAGCGTCCCTTGTGCTTCCTCGCTGCCGTCCGATGCTATAACCGCCCTCACGGTCACAGCGTACTCGGAATCATCGCCATCCCCGGTATGATGACAGGTGCGATTCTCGGAGGCTCGTCCGTGGAGCAAGCCGCACGCCTACAAATGGTGATCATGTTCATGATATCCTCGTGCACCGCGCTCTCGTCGATCGCGACCACGATCCTCGCGCTCGGCGTCATCGTGGATAACGAGCATCGCGTGCGCCCGGACCGCATTGACGTGCGCCCGCACGCGGTCTGGCGTGCGCGCAACTACGTCGTCGGCAGGGTGGTGGAGAAGGCGAAGGCCGCGGGGAGCAGGGCGTGGAAAAAGACGAGGCCCGTCATTACGAGGGCGGAAAGTAGTTATCGGAGTGGGAGGAGCTATCAGGAGCCCGACAGTCCGTTGACGGAGAGGGGGGATCGCGCGGACAGGCAGAGACTACTGCCCGGAGGGAGCCAATGACACTGCCATATGGATTGTAACTCACGCCAGGAAATAACCGAGAGTATTTTTGTTCTCTCTTTATCGCTACTGTTGCAGCACCATGCAATGTTGGAAAGCACCAGTGAGTATGACTGTCATTCATCCTAGCGCGTGTGTCACAGAGGTGTCGCTGTTTGAACCGTTCGCGAGATTTTATGTAGTATATTGTTGCACCGCTATGGCGTTTGCACGGTGCATTTGAAACGACCCATTCACGACGAGCACCGACAAGTAAGATCGTTCTCGTGGGTGATAGACGGTGCAGAACTACTACACCTGCCTAAAGCAGACAGCGGTGCGCTCGATCGCGAATCATCGCGTACCGATTGCGATGACTCGACTCCGCCGGGCTTGAATCTGTAGTGATTCAGAACACAGATGCATCGTCTCTCACTTCATTGCATCCTCTCTACGAGGAGCGTACCGCCCGACTAGTCCCCTAGCAACTCTTGATCTCTCCAGGCAATATAATATCGCAATGGCCGTGAAGAGTCTTCCGGCTGAATTCTACTCGGCTTTCCTCTCCGATGCAGCCAAGGAGCGGAAGCCCAGCCCAAGTACGTCTGCATCTACTTCGCACCATGTCTGCATACCCATTGACACAAACTTTGCCTTGCAGTCCGTGGCCTCTACCCGCTCGAAGCGCGCCCCGGCGTGATCTCCCTCCTCGCGGGCAAGCCCAACGCGACGACCTTCCCGCTGACCTCCGTGAAGCTCACCTCGCGCTCGCCCGCGGACCCATCTAAGGAGATCGAGACGGAGGTGAGCGGGCAGGCGCTCGCGGAGGGTCTGCAGTACGGGCCGACCGCAGGCATCCCGAGCCTCCTGGAGTGGGTGTATGACCTTCAGCAGAGGGAGCATGGGCGGAAGAAGGGCGAGGGGTGGAGGGTTAGCATTGGGAGTGGGTCGCAGGATGTAATCTACAAGGTAAGCTCTCGACTCGCATGAGGTGCCCATCCGGTGGCTAGTTGACGGTTGCTTTAGGCTGTAGCCACCATGGTCAACCCCGGTGATGCCGTTCTCATAGAATGTCCTGCTTACGCGTAGGTCTGTACGGTACATCCTATGAGCTCCGGCTCTAACGATGTTGCAGTGGTGTTCTGCCCATGTTCCAAGCTCTACACTGTGACTTGATCGGTACGTTATCCTCCACGCCTCGCCTGACATAGTGCTCACATCGAAGGCTGCTTGCAGAGGTCGAAACCGATGCACAAGGGATCAAGTCGAGTTCCCTGCGCTCGATCCTCCAAAATTGGTCCGAGAACAAGCCGAAGCCGAAAGTACTCTATACCGTACCTGTGAGCCAGACCTCCGATCTCTACACACCGGTCGCGGTACTGAGTGCAATCCTAGTATGGCTGCAACCCCACTGGAATGACAGCCACGCTAGATCGCCGGCGCGAAGTCCTCGCTCTCGCTCAAGAGCATAACTTCATCATCCTTGAGGGTTAGCCGACCTTATACCCAACAACGCCTCAGACATACTGACACTCGGATGACAATGTACAGATGATCCTTATTATTTCCTCTACTACGGAAATGCCGCGCGGTACCCGTCGTACTTCTCGTTGGAGCTAGAGGAGCCCGAGGTTGGACGGGTCCTGCGGTTCGACAGCCTGTCGAAGATCCTCTCCTCCGGGATCCGTATCGGGTTTGCGAGTGGACCGGAGCCACTCCTTCAAGCCATCGACATGCACGTAAGTTCTCACCTTCCATTTCACCGGCCCCTTGTTCTCAAGCTGATGCCCGTGCTACCAGACTGCCGTCGCGAACCTGCAGACGTCCTCGCTTACGCAGGCGATCGCGTTCTCGCTCCTGGACGCGTGGGGCTACGATGGGTTCAAGACGCACACGGAGACCGTGTCGCGGTTCTACCGCGAGAAGCGCGACGTGTTCGAGGTCGCGATGCGGCGGCACCTCTCCGGGCTCGCCGAGTGGAGCACCCCCGAGGCGGGGATGTTCTTTTGGTGCGTGGCCCCTCGTTCACATCCTCCCCCAATCAAGCGAGCGGTCCTGACGCGATGTGCCTGCGTAGGTTCAAGCTCCTGCTCGTAAAGGATGGCGAGGAGGGCGACTCGGAGAGCATCATCCGCACGAAGGCGTATGAGCGCGGCGTCCTCGCGCTGCCTGGCACCGTCTTCCTCCCGCGCGGCGGGAAGACCGCATATGTGCGCGCGAGCTTCAGTTTGCTGGGCGAGGAGGAGGTCGAGGAGGCGGTCAAGAGGCTGAGGGAGACGATCTTGGAGGCCCGAGCACAGGCGGCGTAGCGTGGGGGTACATGGGTATGGTCCCAGGTATCGTGTTGATGTATTGTGGTGGTTCCGAGGCGACATCGAAAATCGAAGTGACTGAACACTCTCCGAACGCGCAACGTGAGGTAAACTCTCGTCCAGATGCAACAATTTACGAAGTGGCGATTGTAGCTCTCGCCCAGGCTTTCAGCGAAAGCAGCGTTATCTACGGAGCTCGCTGCCTCGTTGCGAGCGCGAGGCAACAAACTTTGGCCATTATCGGTCACGAAGTACGCCTGGAACGAAGTACGACCGGAGAACTTCCCAAGATATAGCAGGTGACTCACGTTGAATTTGGACAGATGTCAGAGACGTTTCGCGAAGCAGGGTTCATGAAACTCTCCCAGCAGTGAGATGAGTGGGCAGCTGATCAGCGTGCTCGTTTAGCAAGGAGGCTCAGGCATATTTGAAGCTGAGGATAGTAAGCTTCCGCGGTTCCCTCCCTCACCCACTCGGAGACTCACCAGGAAGCGGGGTGTCCAATCGTACGTTCATTTAACAGCAAACTACTCGTACCACTAGTAGCTCTCTTTGGTGACAACAAAACAGTGTTTCAGGCCACCATGTCTTGGGCAACCTTAGTCGACATCGCTCCACTGGTTGCACCTGTGGAGAAAGCACTCGACGCGATTACAGAAGACATCAACATGATCGCCACAGAATTGAAGCAGGACGCCGACGTACTCACAAGACAGAGCGATAGGACCCTCAACACCGTTACGAAGGACGTCCACGAAGTACTTGTTGGATGTCGCGAGGCTACCGCCACCGTTACCGCGCAATGTGTCGATAGCCTGAAGGCTGCCACGGACGACGTCAGAAAAACCCTCGCGTACTTGCGCGTATTCATCGTGGTTATAACGGGGTGGTGTGCGTGGGCAATGCTCGCCCGCACCTTCAGATACATCCTCAGCTTGTACAGCTAGACTGTGATGCCAATTCTTTTGAGTGCGTCCCACTTGGAGAGCTGGATCATGCCCATACTTGTGTGGTCGGCATGGAGATGGCTAGTGGTCAGGAAGAGGGTGGGAATGGAGGAGAACAGGAGAACGGAAAGCAAGGGGGGAAGCAGAAACTATGGCCGGCCTGCGGCTACGGATGCGGACTCGACTGAACAAGCTCGGAGGAACTCTGGAATATGCCTTGAGCTGGATTAGAACGAAGCAGGGTGAGTCCGTGTGGCCGCGAAGATGTGTGTTCATACAGTGACCTCAGGCTGACCTCTCTGCAGGCTTGTGTAGCCATAGACGCATTCCAATCGTATCAAATGTTGGGATCGAGGCGGTACCGCATGTGTCTTACCGAAAGAGCAGCTGCAAGGCCTGAGAACGGAATAATGATTCCCACTGTCCTTGGAAGTTGCTACGTCTGTCGTATCCATATACAGAGTACGCGTTCAATTTGCGATCAGCAAGATTGACCCACAAGATGCGGACTATTTCCTGCGTCAAACTTTGAACTGCTGAGGGCCAGGATCAAGGTGACGACGTCGACAGTCACCCACAAGTATTCGGCAACTCATCGCGCCTCACTGGCATCAAAATGATATGTACCAGCGTACCGTGACAGTGGGTGACCTGCAACGCGTGTACCTGCCGAATAAACAAGGAAACAGCACCTCTCAACGATAATCCGATCTGGATCATCATATTCAGCTTCACTAAGTATACAGTAGAAGCTTGACCGGAGGACCGCACAGTGCATGACATACATGACATCTCATGCCTTCGACCCTGGACACGTTATCCAACTGCTGCGAAGCTAAATCATATGAGTGTTCCTTTCCACCGACCGTGACGGTGGGCACGCACGCCGATATTCACGACGTGGGCAGGAGGCTGGGCTGTGCGGATGAATACTCACAACACCCTACTCCCGGCGAAGCAACCACCAGAGCACTTACGTTCGATAGCCTAGTGAGTACCCTCATAACTCTGACGTCTCAAGCTCCCCGACCGCGAGCACCATCGCCTCCGACGAAGATGTTGCGCCTCCTTTTCGATGCCCCCGCCTTCGGTGCTGGCCCTGCCATCGTCTCAGATCCAGAGCTGTGACACGATGCCGTCGTCGCGCTTGACGGCAAGCGCATGGTCGCGCCCGTGTTCGAAATACTGAGGCCTGAGGCTCCGGCTCTGGGGCGCGGCTCAACGCCGCGGACGGCGTGCTGCGCCAGCTCAGTACGGGGTGATAGTATATTCCTGGAACGTATCCTCATCTCAGAAGCCACACTTGAGACTACATACACTGTAGGAGGATAACCAGCCCACACGCGGAGGCCAGGGAATCGGAAGTGTACAGCGGTATTTTGCAACCTTGGATTGGCAACCATAACATTCGGACCTGTTGGTGACGAGTATCAGTACACCACTGTACGTTCTCTTCGGTGCGCACTCAGTCCGCTGTGAACACGAGGCAACGAGCATCAAGCCCTGTCAACACCATAGCAGCCGTAACAGCAACATAGAAGTTTGACCGGGGACCGCACAATGAAAGGGAACGCATGCCCTTGACCTGAACACGTCACCCAACTATCGCGAAGCCAAGTCATATGAAGGTTCCATTCTAGCGAACACTGTGGGCGCGCAGCACGTCAGTATCCTCGCGGCGGGCGGGAGGCTGAGCGGCGCATATTAATGGATAGCAAGCTCACAGACCAGATCCGCCCTGCTCCCCTCCCGCGAGTCCCAGACACTTCCGTGAACCACAAGAGCACTTCAGTAGCCGTGTAAGTACAGTCACCCAGCACCGACACTTGCGTCTCACGCGTCCTGACTGTATCGCATACCCGTCAGCGCTGCAACCCAATTCATACGAAGATGTTTCCCCTCCTCATCGGCGCTTTCTTGGGCGCCGGCTCCGCCATACTCTCGCAGCTGCAACACGAAGTCGACGTCGAGGTCTCGCTCGACGGCGAGCGCATGGTCGAGCACGCGATCGAGAAGCTGGAGCTCCGGGCGCGGCTCGACGCCATGACGGACGAAGTGCAGCAGACGCTCATGTGCGTTCGCCTGCTGCTCGTGGTCGTGGGCGTGTGGTACATGGTGCGGATGGCCGTGTGGGTCGTGTGGTGTTGGAGGGGCGAGAACTTGAAGGAGAAGGGCCGCGAGCAGCCCGTCATGCTTGTTTCGTTGGCTCGGGATGGCGCGAGGGCACTGGTTGGGGAGCTGGGCGTCGCTCAGTTGGTGAGTGAGCAGTTGGCCTGTCGTGGAGGACGCAAGACTGATTGGCGTTGGGCTAGCACGACGCCACCGTATCACGCCAGCGAGCCCGGAGTTCGCTATGACTTCGTCTCCCACGTAGCATTCGGGGACGTTCGCTGGCCGAACGTATCCATCTGGATTTACGTGTTGTTGGCTAGGAGGGCTGCGATATCTTGCTGTATTCCAAACGTGCATAACGGTGCATGCACATACCCACTTGTTTTGGCGACCAAGGTCTTGGGTCATAATCAAATTACGATCTTCCAGCGAAGTTCAGACGCAGGGCGGCGCATACGCACTGTGCGACCTGTCCGCCGAGTCAGATGTGCTGTCTCTCTGGCTTTGCTCCTGAGTGCGAGGACGTTAGCGCACCATCGGTATCAGAATGGAACCTACCCGCCGTCTGACATGTACATACTCACCTGGGTGGATCAGCGCCCTACATAACGAAAGAATGACCCACGTTGCTACAAGCTTCCGTCATACGTCGCCCGTCACATCCGCAGCATCTGCCCTGGACCTAAAGAGTCAGCGTTCCATGCAGTTATGTACTGCCCTCCGTTCCCTGACGAATCTTACTAAGTTACTTCGTCAAGCAGGTGTCTGCATCGTCCATGTCACCTTCACCTGATACGCCCGGCCCTTGATGCTTGATATCGAAATTCGAACAGGACAGGTAAGGCTGGCAATGTCTCTACCCGATACATACACAGCGGTGCGCCGCCTGTGCCTGAGGCGATACCGTGCCGTCCGCGGGCTGTCGTATCTGCGTATCGGGCACATGTTCTGTTTCAATGCCTTGAGATGACGGTAGATCGGGCTTGTGATTCGAATGAGCAACGCTCCAAGCGTGAGCGAGAGAGCGAGCAACGGGGCCAGGGAATTTGGTATTCTACAATTGCCACATTTAATGCTGATCTACGGATGCCTGGTGCAGTAGATGGTGAATCAGCGTACGCGGAGGTAAATCGAAGGAGCCACGCACTAGTTGTCGGCGTACAAAACAAAGCGCACTGAGAAGCCTACACCGCTGATCCCAAAGCCCAAGGAAGCGACGAAAACGGACCAAACAAGACAGACACGGGAGCGGGACGGACGGGCAAGCGTGACGACGTAGTATGTGGCACTGTAACCAAGAAGACTACCAATACCGGGAATCGTGAGGAAGGAGCGTCAGGAAAGCAAGGAGCGATGAACGACCGGGAGGAGGTAGGAAGACAGATAAATTAGGTACTACACGTAGGACGGTTTGCGATCGAATCGGCCGCCCAAGCAGGTGCCGAGGCCGACGTTCGCTGCGACGAGTGTCTGTATTACCGCGGCGGCAAGGGACATCCACAACTGCGCGCATACAGTCAGCATACACCGCCATCCATGATGGCTGAGAGAGTTACTCACCGCAGCGCCAATACTCGTCGAATCGCCCGCGCTTTTGAAGCCGGAGACGGCGGAGGCGGTGAGGTACACGCCGACAACGAAGGCGGCGATGGAGCATGCAGAGGCGGCGAGGGAGAGCATGCCAAGAAGGAAATGTGGGACTTGCATGCGTGGACCGCAGATGAATGGGAAGAGGCCGAGCATGAGCAGCAGGCTCACACCGGCCGCTGCGGAAGAGTCAGTCACTCGAATAGAGAAGGAGGGGATGGCGGCCCACCTGCGGGGAAGAGGACGAGGGTCGTCGATGCCGTTGTTGTAATCTCGGTGCCATAATGATATCCGAAACTTCAAAACCATGAGCTACTGCGGTGTGCAGTGAACAACAACTCAGACGCACTTTGTCGCCGAGCAAGTCTTGCCGCAATAGCCCAAGACGCCGAACTTCGTCGAACCTGAGCTCAGGCTCGCCTTCACGAAGAATATGGGCTGTATGATGGGGCCGGACAGTGTGACGAGGATGCTGCAGAGATCGCGTCGCGTCAGTCTCACTCTCTCATTCATCCAGCGCGATTGCTCATCACTCACAGAAGGACAAAGACGGCAAATGTCGCGCCAAAAAGCAGGACGAAATGGTTGTAAACCATCCTTGATTATTCCTTCCTAAAGACCGAGGGGGAGGCTGGGCAGATAAGGCGACCTCTGGGTATCGCGCTGAACGTCGTGTCGAGGGCAGGCGAGCTCAAGACGACTGCTGCATCGATGCGCGGCTTCAGCGTGCTCGGGGGAGGGAAGGAGGAGCCGGGAGCGTGGACGGAGACTGCGGAGGCGCAGACCAGCTTCTGGCGTATGTCAGGCGGGAGTTGGAGGAAGTGCCTGGCTTCCCGAACAGGCAGGAGGCCATCGGGCGACGATCAGGTTGGCCAGGAACCGCCGGCGCCTCCGACCCCGCCGATCGCGCGTCTCCCCAGTCCCCGCCCGGCACCGCGTCTTCCGTTTCTCACCCCGCGTCTCTCCCACGCATGCAGACAGTAGCTGCGCGCAACAAGATCCTATGCAAATATTGTGCTACTACTCAAACGCCAACGCTACACTGGCGCGACAGCCATAGGCACCGGCGTAGATGCTGCCGCGCTGGGTCTGCCGGACGCGCGAGCTACGAATGCCGCCCACTCCCGTGCCTCCGAGCCTGGCACCGCGAACTGTGCGTACTCGTCGTCCGAGGGCGTGCACGCGTGCACGACAAACACCCACTCGGACAGATCGCGCAGCTGGATCAGCCGCACCGTGTTCGCACCCGGGCGGATGTGCGGCGTGATATCCACGGCCCCGCCCGCGGCGTCCTTGCACGACGTTAGCGAAAGATTGGATACAGGCAGGACCGCGGGTTGGCCGACTTACCAGGTGCGCGGGGAGGAACGTGTGCGCGTACACCGCGTCACCGCCGTTCACGTCGACAACCAATGCGCCTTTGGGTGGCCATTGTGTCGGTATGTTCCGCAGCGCATCCGTCATCGCGCTCGGGCTCGCCGATGCGCCCAATGAGCTGTTGGCCTCTGCTACTGCTAGTGCAGGCAAGCAGAGGAGATGCACCGATATGCATGTCTCACGCTCACTGACGTGAAGGTGTCACTATGTCCGTGTGCGCAAGGAAGGAAGTCGAGGCACTCACTCAAGTTCAGTATGCCGTCGGGCCCAGCGCTGGACGGCAGGTGCAACGCTGTCTTGCATGTCGAATGTGATCGTCGCAATCTCTGACACCCGGCTACCCACCCGGAGAGCCCATAAACCAGACTCATTATCCGCAGCCGTCGTCGCCCCCTCAATGGACGCCGCTTCACTCTTGGCATGGACAACAGAAGCGGGACCAGCACTGGACGATGGTCCAGCTGTATGCGACGGTCCAGCGGTCTGCGTAGAGTGGTCTGTGGCCTCCCGACTCATCGGACTCGGTGGGCGAGGTGTGTTTGCAATGAAGTTTTGCAATACACGAGCAGCACCATCCAGCATTGTCCCGCCAGGCGGATGTGGATGTGATTGGACTTGTGGATGTGGATGTGATTGAACTTGTAGATGTGGTTGTGGTTGCAATTGCGGTTGTGGTTGAAATTGCGGTTGCGGTTGCAATCGCAGTCGCGGCTGCAATTGTGATAGAGGTTGTGGTGGTTGCCCATGCGCTTCAACCACCCGCAACCTCTCCTCCTGCTTGCTCATATCCATCTCTTCCGCACCCACATTGGAAGTCTGGTTCTCAACTTCAGCGGCCTTTCCCTTGTTATCTGCCATCTGCACATCCACACTCTTCCCCGCATTCACGTCCACGTCCATACGCACCTCCGCCTCCTGGCTCACACCGCGCTTGCGCATCTCCTCCCGCGCGCGCCTCGCATGCGCGATCATCTCCTCGCACCATTCGTCCGTCACCAGCTCGCGCGCACGGCGCGCCGCCTCCGCTGACCGCACGTCATCCCATGCGCCAGTGGGATCGCGCGCGCGTGCGTTCGCGAGGATGTGCGGGAGGAGGAGGGCGCGTGTGGAGGAGAGGAGGCCCGGCGGTGATGCGATTTGTGCGGAGGCGGGCTGGGGTGCATAGGACGGAGGTGTGGAAGTCGAAGGCTGCGACTGAGTGGCGGTGGACGGAGGAGGTGCGGAGGACTGGGAGGCAGAAGTGGAGGTGGAGGGCGCCTGGAGGCGCGAGGCTACAACGTCCGTGGTGAGGACGCTCGCGAGGAACGCTTCGACGGTCTCCTCGGACGGGAGGGCCACATCTTTCGCTGCTACTTCCTGACCATTTTCCTGACTGGGAGAGGCAACTTGCGTCGGTGCAGGATTTTCCACTGGAGGGCGCGGGTGCGGCGGGTAAGACGTGCGCGATGGTCGAGTGGGGCTCGACCCAGCGGGCGTCGAGCTTATGCGGTCAAGCAGGGAGTTCGTGGGCGATCCCTTGGATGGGGAGGGTTGGCGATTGTGGTTGGAGGAGTAGTTCGGACGGGGCGTGTTGTGGTAGGGGTGGTAGTACCCCTGGCCGTTGTGCATTTTCCTGGCTAGTCGATTATTTGGAGCGTAGGATGTGCCGCACGCTCACCACGACGATGCAATCATGCAGCCTAAGGTTTGTCTTAGGTGAAGCCCGTGCTGTATCCAGCACGGAGAGAAGATCGTCGAACCGCCTAGGGAAAATGCGAAGACGTCTGGAACGAACGCGCGATCGGCCACAGCGGGTGTGATCTCGTGCTTGAGCGTGTTAGTGCACGCTACGGCGCATCGCCACACCTGTGAAAAGTCAATGTAGGAGCAGCTTGCCTATGGCAAGTTGTACAACGCGGTCGGTCGTCTCAGAGGCTCATCGCGCGCAGACGCGAGGCACGTCGATTCGTCGAAGGCCATGGGCGCGTCGGCCGCACGTGCTGGGGATTATCCCAATCCGTTTCCCGATTCGGTACTACATACCGTAGCCTAGCACACAGCCTAGTAAATACGCTTAATGGTGTACGAGAGGACGACAATACAGCTGTCGGAATGTTGAACGGCGTACGATATAGAGCATGTCCTCCTGAGTCCTGACTACTTATAGGTGACGAGTCACGACAACTTCCGTGTGACTCTGTCACGCCCCGTGACGCCGATCCGAGTGATCTCCTGCAGCCTGCAGTGTGCACCGTCCAGCGTGCAGCCACCATCTCTTCCCCGTCGTCCCACGCACGACTCTCCTCCGGGTCTTGTCTGCCGATACCCTTCAAGCTCACAAGTCTTTAATTCTGTTTGACTGCCACTATGCCACCAAAGAAGCAGCAGAGCGGAGGCTCTTCCTCCAGCAAGGTCAAGGATGACAAGGTGAATAGTCCCGCTCCTCCTATACCAGCGGGCGAGGAGCTTACGAACCCCATCTCGAGGAATTTATAGACCTTTGGAATGAAGAATGTCAGTAACCCGTCGTAGTCACTATTCCCGATCCGTCGCTCACGCTCACGACCACCCAGAAAAACAAGTCGGCAAAGGTGCAAAAGCAAATCGCCGTGATCGAGAAGCAGCAGTCGCAGGCGGGCAAGTCACGCGCGGCGCTCGAGAAGGAGAAGGAAAAGGCACTGCGCGAGAGGGAGAAGCTGGAGCAGGAAAAGCGCAAGAAGGAAGAAGCCGCGCTCTTCAAGCCCGTGCAGACGCAGAAGGTCCCTTTCGGCGTCGACCCCAAGACAGTGCTCTGCGCGTTCTACAAGGCGGGCCACTGCGAGAAGGGGAACAAATGCAAATTCAGCCATGATCTTAATGTGGGACGGAAAGTGGACAAAAAGAACTTGTATGAGGATAATCGGGAGGAAAAGCTCTTGGGTGCGTTTGCTATCATAAGGGGCGAATGCGTTTTGTTGACTGAGTGTTCCATCGCAGATACGATGGACCAGTGGGACGAGGAGAAGCTGCGAAGCGTTGTGCTCTCCAAGCATGGCAACCCGCGGACGACCACAGATGTTCGTTCCGTTGCAAGATGCATCATCTCTTAGTCTGACCTCGCGCCATAGATTGTCTGCAAGTTCTTTATTCAAGCCATCGAGGACGAGAAGTACGTCTTTAGGCTATCTCTCGATTCATTAATTTTGATGGTATGGCAAAGGTTCGGATGGTTCTGGGAATGTCCAAACGGCGAAAAATGTCAATATCGGCACGCATTGCCACCAGGATTCATGCTCAAATCTCAGCGGAAGGCCGCGGCAGACGCTGAGAAGGCAAACACAATCAGCCTGGAAGAGTTCCTGGAGGTCGAGGTATGTATTTCCCAAGGCTGTGCGCTGTGTATAGTTGACAGTTTGAATTAGCGGCACAAATTGGGCACAAACCTGACGCCTGTGACGCCCGAGACGTTCGCGAAATGGAAACGGACACGTATGAACAAGAAGCAAGCCGAGGAAGAGGCAATGCATAAGGCAAAGGAGACGCAGGCGGCGGCTGGCAAGAGCAGTGGCATGAGTGGACGAGACTTGGTAAGTCATCCGCTGTCTTCTTGGTCACGATATGCTAATTGCTACTCCGCACCAGTTCACATACAACCCCGAGTGGTTTGAGGACGAGGACGATGACGAAGAGGAGGATTGGGACTTGTCCAAATACCGAAGAACCGAGGGGGACGAGGAACAAGAAGTCGAAGAGGATATGGAGAACCTCGACATCAGAGACGGCGCGGAGTCGCCAGAAGGCAGCGGCGAGTAGATCTGCGCGTACCTGCATCATGCCCCTGTCATGCCCTACAGTCTCTACTCATTGCTATGGACCTGTCGTGTACGCATAGCGCATTCCCCGCGGATATATGTGCATATATAACAAATCCGATCTGTATGAGTACAACCGTGCACTGCAATGCTCAGTCCTCGTCGCTGCCGTAGTCTGCCAGCCCGAGCCCTTCGGACGGCGATTTTGGTGCAGGCGCTACCCGCACCACAGGGTTCCCTAGCGCGTTCCGCTTGCGAATCTCTGCGAAATACTTGAGCCCTTCCAGAGCGTCCACGCTAAGAAGGCCTGTGTTCTGTGGTTGTGGTTCTTCCTCGGGCTCCGGATCAGGCTGTACTGAGGCCGGCTCCTGTGGTGCGTCCTCAATCTCGAGCCTCCGTCGCTTCGCCGCAGGCTGTCCATCGTCCTCCTCCTGTGCCTCGCCCTGCCCGTCCACAGCATTCCCGTCCTCCAGTGCCCGAATTGCCCGCATGGCGTCAACGATGCGGGGGTCCATCTTGGACTGGATGGCTTCCCGGCCGATTGACTCGAGCCGTTCTCTCTCCTCGACTTTTGAGGTGGGGTTAGGGTCTTCCGTCGCCCACCGGACATTGAGGATCTCGTCGTTATCGAGAGACTGGCACGCCATCGACTCCTTTGCGAACTGAGCACTCATCTCGGAGACGTATGTCACGAAGGCGACACTGCGATACTGCAGAACCCGAACTGCTCAGCCCCGGTTAGCCACTGTTCTTCGTGCGCGAGATGATAATGGCACGCACTCTTCTCGATCGGGCCCCATTCCTTGAAGTGCCGCCTGACAACCTCCTCAGTCTCCACACCGGTCCCTGTCTCCTTAATGCGTCCAATGTACAGTGTGCGGTTCTGCCTCTGGAAGCTTCCCACACCGCCCATGTCGTCGCGGTAGTCCGCGAACTTGTCGCGCGCGAAGCAGTCCTTGGAAGTGTCTGGAAGCGTTGTGGAGGCATCCGGGAGCGTATGTTGATACTCGCATTCCCAGCCGTAGGGACAGCAGCCGCGCGCGAAGAAGAGGCAGCAATACTTGTTGCCCGTAGTGTTCGCCCGCGTGAGACCCGCGTCGCGCTTGATGTTGCAGCGTGTCTGCGACTTGACTTTGCTGTTCCAAAGGGGTTAGTGATAAGCAGACGGGCTATTTCGAAGTTTTACGCACTTCGAGTAGCTGTCCTCACGGTCACCTCCTGCCCATTTGTTGTACCAGATGTCTACACAGAGAACAGAATGCTCGTCAAACGCAATTTAATCATATTACAATGGGCCCACTGTATTCCTTTCCCGTCTGAGGTGCCTCCTTTTTCTCGACATCCCCAGGCTTCACTTGTTTGCGGGCGGGCTTCAGCTTCTTCTGTTTCTTGGGCGCTGCGACCTGGGTTTCTGTAACGTTGGAGCCCATAGTTGACATAAGAGTGAAATTTTTCTATGTCTCGACCAGGTTCAATAGGAGGATAAGGAAGCCCTGTGGGTTGTGCGAGCAGCAACCTTGGAATTGGGTTGAGTTTAGCGGTGTGCCACCGGCGCGCCGGAGGCCATTGTTTGCACATGTTAGGATCCCAAGCCGTTGACTTCCTTCTATGAACCCCACCTTCATGACGGTCCATGGCACTGTCGGCAGCCGCACCATGCCAGATTACCGACTCTTATAGTAGTCCTTCTACAGAACTACTTCTCCCTGAGGACAACCACGCATTTTTGTCGCCCGACGTGACAAATGATACAGACGCGTCAAGACTAGTCTAAGTATTTGCCAGTTTATGTCCCTCCGATTCAGCCTCGAGGAGCAACCCTCGCACGCCTGTAGTGGGTATGGCAGTATCTGCGCCTGATAGAGGTACAATAACCGACGTATATACGGCATTCGACCAGCATTCCGAGATCTGAAGGAGTCTGCTCGCCCACCGCGCTACTGAAGCTCGATAACGACCAAAGATCTCAACAAGGACGCGATGTAGGAAGTCATACCTTGTAACTTTTCTCTCGCGTTTCGCTGATCTCTGGCCCATGATTGCAGCTGGATGACTGGATGTGCAGTGATGCAGACGTCAAGGGCCTACCAAGATATATCAATCGTCCAACGACGCACTCAGCTTCGCGAGCCATTGTCTCTCATGCGTCCTCGCCCACTGCGCACCCACGCGGGATTTGATAGACGTCTATACCAATTCCATGGCACTTAGAACAGCGGTCTGGGTGCGGCTCAAGTAACAAACTGTCAATTCGGTTTCAGGGTCATCCGAGGCGAACCCGCTGTGCGGTCTCGGCGGTTGCTTACTGAGGTTAAGCATGCTGGTCCACAACCACGGTGGGGGTGCGCGCGCGACTACAGCATCTGTACGGCATGCTTCCTTGTGGAAATCGCCACACTGCAGTGAGATCCGGGACTGACTGTGCGTATTGCTGTTTGAGCCGCGGAAATTGGCTCAACCTTGAACCCACTGCTCATGCAGTCAGAGGCATCGGTCTCGGTATCCAACCCGAATGTGACAACCCCCGCGCATGGTATCGACCGATACCGGTGATGCCACTTTCAGGAAGACTCCGAAGAGCTGCACAACGTCGGAAATGTCGTGAGCCCGTCGCGGGGCGCCGCGTGGGACCGTCCCCGAGATTCATATCGTGCGGTGCGTCAGTCAGGCTAATCACGCGGTGTTATGCTCATTCGTAAGTGACAACGACAGTGCTACAAGGAATCGGGAATGAGCCGTGCCCAAAGTGGCACCGATACTGTCAGCAGGCGTAGCGTCTGAGGTTTGACTTGTACATCGCCGCGCACGACAGCCGCGCGGGTATAAATGGCATATGCCCAATGACCTCAAAGCGAATTGACACCAGTCATACCCTGCCCGTGCTAACTCCACGAGCGAATGCACGCTAGAGCATACTCTGCATCTCCAGCTCACACCCGTAGTCTTGCCATCAAGTCTTGCGCCCAGCACACCTTGATCGTAGATATCTGTGGTACAAGAGACAGCGGTGAGTGCTGCGCGTACATACAAGACTGCATCCTAATCAAACCATCGTGCGTTGCGTAATCTCGCCGCTGGGTCAGTCAGCCCATTGTGCCTTTGTCATAAGCATGCCTCATTCACATCCGTGCACTTCGGGAGTAGTGGGTTCACCACCAGATGCCGTCGAAACTCTGTACACCCGAGTCCGTTTCAGTGTGTGATCGCCACTTATACCCTCCTCCCTAGGTCGTCGTGTTTCATCGAACATGCTGAGCAAGTCGGCTTCGTCCTCAGCAAAGCCCGATTTCTCGAGCACACTCGGTCACGCAGCTCCACACTCACCCCCGCCCTAATTTACGCAGCGTGTACGTGGGGCGCCCGAATGTCCTGCGACGAGTCGCTCGCGGTTCATGAACCCATATCGCTTTCTCGCGCTGTTCAGGGCGTCGCCGACTGCCTTGCGCACGTGTCGCAATATAACATCACTCACGTCATTCAGGCCGAGGTCCTGCTCGCAACGTACTTCTATTCCATGGGCCGATCTATGGAAGGACATTACCACACCAGCGCGGCTGTGGCTCTGGCTGTGATCCTCCAGTCAGACAATGCTAGCGCTGTCTCGGGTTCCTCCCGTAGACCGGAATATTACCAACAATCTCGCACAATAAGCAATGCCGAAAATCTCGGGTCATCCGTAGATGAGGAAGAGAGACAACACATTTTCTGGGCCGTCTACATTCTGGATAGAACCTGGTCTGTCGCAACAGATCCCCGCATCGGCGCACCTTTCGTGATAACCCACGACGTCCCACGAGTCGCGGCGTTACAAATTGTGGGTGCTTACCGTTCGCAAATGGCTATGCTGACAATGTACCAGGACGCGCCTACACAAGCATCAATCAGCGATTACACATCTATTCAAGCACATACTCACTGCGCTTTAGGCGCACAATGTACCATGCTTGCGTTACGCGCCAGGGCGGCCGACTTATACGAACGCACTTCCTCGACGACTTCGCAGTTCTCCGGTGTGTGCTTACCGCGCAATACCGGCGGATGTCTAACATCTTTGTTACCATCGGTCTTCTCCTTCGCAGACACGAGCGTCTCCCGCAGAACCACTGCCGAATTCTTCGCGTTAGAGAATACTATCAGTACATTCTTAGGGTCACTACCTCGGCTTGACGCAACTGCTCGCCCTGAGGATGCGAGCAGTCTCATGCTAGTGCGTGCCCTAGCTTACACAGCGGCAATACAACTCTTCCGCGACTGTCATGATCCCCGGACATCCGCCCGCCGGAAGGCCCTGGCGTCCGCAATGTCTGTGTCCGCACTTCTAGATGACCGCGACTGGGAAGAAGACCGATTCGTCGACCCCATCCTATCGGTACGTCTGGTTCCATCCGTGACATGTTCCGGAATAATCACATATACGTATGGTATGCGTTCTAGATACTTTGGGGAAACATCGCTCGCGTTCTCATAGGTCAGTCTGCTAGTCGGCGGATCTGCCATTGTCTACCTCATACACTGCCTTTACTAGCTGTCAGTAAAAGAGATCCAGAGCATGAAGACGGTCGAATGGCCCTTCGCGCGTTGCAAAAGGTACAACAGGTCATGGCACTTAGCAGCCGCACGATCCCTAACATGGGTGCGCATTTGCCTCTTGATCAAGTATACTAGTTGACAAGATCCAGCCCTCCAGCTGGCCCGGATACAGCAGGAAGCCCGACCCTAGTAGCTGACCTTCTGCGGCACGATGTTCTGAGGAGTGACTAATACAGTGCTTGGCTCTGAGTCTGTGCCTCGTTGAAAGCCCCGCCACAGAACTTGAGGGGTGATGGCAATCGAGACCCAAACGCATGCCCGGATTCTGAGCCTACAGAAACTTCGCTATTGCAATAGTGTGAGGACATATCGAAAATGGAAAGTACGCCCCTACGGGTCCGGACCGCACTACGGACCGTACGCGCACGTGACCATCCTGTCACACACACAACACGCGTATATCCCGCCCTTCTTGCAGCATTTCTCACTGCTGCACGCATCGCAAATGAAGAGGATTTGCGAGCAGATACCACCACTAGTATTTGGGCGGCGGTAGGTGGAACGGTGACTCAGTGAGATGGTAAGTAAGTATGCATAAAGGGCAGGCCCGCCACATGCTTACGTAACTGTACCGTATACACTCGCGCTACCCTAAGTATACCACCGTACTCGATTCTCAGTGTTCACTCCTGGTTGTATTTCCCTGTTATTGCAATTACTACTGCGATGGACGAGGCCGCTTGAGGGCACAACGGACAGACAAGTCAAAATTGAACTGTGACTGTCCGCTTTGGGACATGTCATGGCAGCTGTCACGTGTGTGACGCGGGCGCTCTGCGCGCAACAGCCTGTGACGGCATGCACACAGTGTTGTACTGGACCCATACAGTCTCCTACGCTGATTGGATGATTTTCAGCCACTCTTTAGGAAGTTCATGGTCTCTATACATCAGAATACAGTGCACAAGTGTCGAGCTTTGCCACGAAACAGCGGGCAAAAGTGCACTTGCCATATTAGGCAGGCGCGGACTACGGTCGGCGGCTATTTCCGTAGGGGCGTAGTTTCCAATTTACCGATCTTCTGAATAGTGTTGATATTGAATTCGCTCAGGCAGCCAAAAGGCAGCAAACACGTGTACGGCAAAATAACCTGCCCCAGTGAGGCTCGAACTCACGACCTTCCGATGATTACGTAAGCATAAATCAGTTCAATCGTAACAGTCGGACGCTGTAACCAACTCAGCCATGGGGCACATAAATGACAGAAACGTTTGCTGTACTTATGGGGTTGAAATCTCGGCAGGCCACCCAATGCATTGCTCAAGTTGGACGGAAATATGTCGTTGTATTTTGTCAAGGCATAAGACCTCACCTGAATCAAACTTCTAAAAGGCGTTGACGAGCTAGAGCAGTCTGAAAGATGCAGTATGCCTTCGTGAACGTTGCATCCGATTTCGGCCACCGGCCGGTGGTCGCGTCCGACCAGCACGATCACATGATGGATGGCGGGGCGCGAACCGAAACTGAACCGCGACCGGCGCCTCGCCACGGTCTCCACGCTCAACCACCACGACGCCTGACGAGACTGTACAGCGACCCTGCCACCTTCACGAACGGACGACTCACTCGCCATGACAAACAGACCACGTAACAGTGTCCTGTACATGTTCGACCCTCTCGAGTCGATGACGACGCCGCGCAGGGATGGGTCACCCGACTCTGGGAGTTCCGACAAGGAGAACGACATCCAACCGGGAGAAGTCACTGTCTTCTTCAACAGAATCTACACTACGCAGATGAACACCGCTCCGAAGAACCCGAATGGCAAGCTCATCGATATTGGCGACACGACCACGGACGACGTGTTTGGAGAAGAGACTGTAGATTGTATGACTGCATCACCCGCAGACACATCGAGTGCGGCGAGGACGCCAGATGGACATCCTACGAAGAGGACACCGCTGGGCGACATCGAGATTGAAGAGGTCCCCATGTCCGCTGGGGCCGCAGCGTCGCCACCTGACCCGACCAATCCTGTCTTTGACGAGGAAGACGACGCAACCCCACTCCGAGTCGTTACTGCTGCGCCCACAGGCGCGCCGTTGGCAGATGTCATCAACTCCATTAATCTGTCTGCGATGACCATCTCGGGTTCGGCGCCTCCAAGCCCCCTCGCGAACCGCAGCCCGCTCCCCCCGCTGCGAGAGGACTCGGACGAAGATGGCACTGACGAGGAGGGCGAGCTCAGGCCAAACTGCGGAGAGGTCGAAGACACTGTCTCCATTCCTCTTATGATTACTGTCAGCTCACCCACGAGCACGTATGAAGAGTCGAATTCATTGACGGACTGGGTCCTTCCGCCTTCATCGGAATCACCGACGGACCGTCTCTTCGCGTCATCGACTGTGGCCCCGCTTCCCCCGACACGGAGGCCCTTGGTGAAAAACCGCATCCCGAATGACGATCCTCGACGAGCGTCCGTTGATTTGCAGGCATCATTCAACATGCAGATGCAGTCGGCGGAGATGTCGTTTGACCTGCTCAACGACAAGATCTCCTTCCAGGCTGGGGACTCCATGTGGGCGGGCGGCGATGACGAGGAAGAACCATTTGACATGGCAGCTGAGATGATGAAGATGGAGGCCGCTGCTAATGAATACGAACGTATCGAACATGACAAGGAAGAAGTCGTCGCCAGTGCAGGTACGGGTGCTGCCCTTGGAACGTGCGATATGATGTCTAACAGACCGCAGCAGCGCCTTCGGTGTTATATACCGGGCAGAACGAGGGAACGCAGCCAAGCGGAGATGCCCAAGTTCTCATTGATACTGGCATCGCCCAACTGGACATAACGGATATGCCAGAAGTGCCAGCATCTCAGCCTGTCATCGAGACCCCGCCCAAGGTGTTCAATGCTACGCCGTCTTCTACATCAAGCAAGAGCGAACAATCAAGCGGGACAGAGCGCCGTCAGTATCTGAAGATGCTCACAGGTTCGCCAACACTTGCGCCGACATCGCGAGAGCAAAGCCCTCCTCCCGCTGCAGTCGCACCCGCCCCTGTCCCTGCTTTGAGGATCGTCAAGAAGACATGGAAGGTGCACGGCCGCACGGACTCCGGCACGAGTGCAGGGTCATCCACGTCCACAGCCAGCTCAAGCTCCAGCTCTGGTACGCGGTCCACCTCGCCAGCCTCGAGCAACCCGATCGACTCCGCACCGAGAGCATCCAATAAGGATGAGAAACTTGCGGCTCTCACTGCCGAGCCCGTCCGCCCGAGGACCGTCATCCGCGGAGTGCAACGCCCACCTGCGGGTGCCGAGCTCACCAGCGCTGGCGTCGTCGTCCCCGCTCCAGGCAGCACCCGGCCTGCGGTTGCTCCAGCGAAGTCACGGGCATCCATCGCGCGCGAGGCTTCAGCACGCTTCGCCGCGGCGGGTGTGCAGCGCCCGAATTTGCAGCAGGGACAACGCGCGCCACAGGTACCGGTGCAGAAGGCTCCGCCCGCTGCTGCAGCATCGAGGGCGCAGAGGCCAATCGCAGGCACAACCAGCACGACGTCCAGGTCGGCCAGCTTGGGGCGGCTTGCTGGTGCCGGGCTTGCGTTGAAGATTGTGGGGTCGACGTCGGGGAGTCTGAGAGCCCCCAGCACGAGCGGCATTCCAGCGAGCAAGTCTTCATCTGCTCTGCCCAGGCCTGCGTCACGTCTGCCTGCCCCAAGCGCGGGTGTGAAGAGCAGAGACGCGAAGATACCGGCGCCGGGAGCCAGGACCGCCTCGACTGGCATTAGGAGGGCCTTCTGAACGACGCACGATTGACGAAGTACTGCATATGCACTCATCGTCTGGTCCCCACTCATCCCCATTGACACGTAACAGCATGCACCATGTTTCTTATGATTTGGCACGTCGCACGCATAACATATACCGCCCAATCTTCCAAGGTAAACTATACACATAAGTCTCTTCCTTCCTGTCACACTGGTGCCTTTGCAATCTCCTCGTTACTAGTTCTTGCTAGGTCTCTCTTACTCAGACTGTGTTGCATGCCTTCACGAACTAGCACTGCGCCGAATAGCATTCATAGTACAGCGCACTTCAATCAATCCCGCAAAGGTCATTTGCATACTGCAGCAATCAATAGCATGCGTGTCATAAGACATGGTGAGCGTAACAACAGTAGGTCTGATCATATTGGCTAATGCGCATACACACAACCAGCTCTTCGTCCTCACACCCCCGCTCACTGAGCGAAGAGTGTGTTGAGGAACGCCTCGCCAGCAGCCTTGGGCTTCTTGGGCTTCTTCTTGTCCTTCTGCGCCTTCACGCGCTCCTGCTTGACTGTATCCTCATGTTCAATGATCGGACACATAACTAACGGAAGTAGGCACTTACGGAGTTCCTGGCGGCGCAGGGTCTTGGCGTAGGGGTTGAGGCGGAAGAGAGCAGCCTTGTTGACCAAGGGGTTCTTGTGCTGCGTCCAGGGGCGCTTTTGGTGCTTGGGACCCGCGGGGCGGACAACGGACTGGATCTCGTCGCTGTTGATGAGACGGGTGACGTCAGGGTTGCTGATCTTCGCGGTGGGGAGCCTGCAGGCAAATGTGAGCGTATATTCATCGAGACACTGTATGGTGCACGTACGTGTAGTTCTTCTTGTAGACGGCAGGCTTGTCGAAGGTACCGAAGACCTCGTCAAGGAGACCGAAGGCACTCTCGGTCCAGATAACGAAGCGGCCAAGGTGACCACCGGGCGCGAGCTGGAGGAGGTTGAGCCTCTTGACGTTGACGATCTCGACACCAGGGAGGTTACGGAACGCCTTGACGATGCCGTTGTCCTCGTTGTAGACAATGAGAGGGCCGCGGCGCTGGCGGTGACGACGGTTCCGCAGCTTGCCCTTGCCGGCGCGGAGCTTGCGCGAGTTGGAGACCTTGACGACGTCGGTGTACGCCTTGAGCGACTTGAGGAGGGCAACAGCCTCCTTGGTCTTCTTGAAGGACTCAATGGTGGAAGAGACGACGAGGGGGACCTCCTCGATCTCCTCGATGCGGTGGCCGCGGGCGAGGACGAGGGAGGGGAGCGCAGACGCCGCGAGAGCGGAGACCGTAGCGAAGCGGCGCTGACCCTGGTTCACCTTGACGTGCCACTTGCGCCAGGTCTTGGTGGGCGCGAACATGCGACCGCCACGGCACATGTTACCGAACGCGGCCTAAACCCCCAGTGAGTTCATGACCTCTTTGGAGGTTCGAACATCATTGTGCGTACCTGACCAGAGCGGTGGGTACCTCCACCGCCGACACGGGGGATACGTGCAACAGCACGACCGGTACCCCAGGACTCGGCACTGGTCTGGTGGCCAGCCTTCTCGCTGACGGCGTACGCCTGCCTCTTGTTCTTAGCGATGCTCTCTGAACAGACCAATTCAGAGATAGTCTCTTTCGCGTATGATGCTTCACTCACTGTGCACCTGCTGCACGACATCAAGTCGGATTGGCGCGGTGAGGACCGCGGGCAGCGGGAGGGAGCTGGAGGCCTCTGTACGTCGAGACGACTGTTCAGCATCGTCCCTTCACCTCCAGGCATCGTTGTACATACCTCCAGAGGTCGAGCGGACGTTGACGGTCGGGCGAGAGGCCATTGTTGAGGGGAGTCTTGAAGTCTTGACGGTGCCAAAGCCTGGTCGCGGGTGTGTGTACTCTGAAAATTAGAGTTTGCCAGTACCTCCCTCCGCACAAGCACAGACAAATACAGTTGTGGCTGAGGGGCGCGCGGCTCTCTGGGCGCTCCCCCCAGTGTGTTCGCCCAGTTGACCACGGCTAAGTACTATATCCCAGACCACAATCCAAGTGTCATATTCAGCCCTGTTTTATTTCTTCGGCCTTTCTGTTGCTCAATGCGCCTTCACCGTCAGCGTTCACCGTTACAGTAATGGGAGAAGACATCCACCGGCGATCTCTGATGTGGCGTTTGCACTGATATCCCGGAAAGGCAGGCGTACTAGTAGTGAACCGTTCTCATAGCAGCCGCGGTCCGCCGAGCATGCAGGTAAGTCACACAGTCGGTCTGCAGCTTGGCATCCCGAAGCCTTGACTCATCCTGCACCGCTATCAGCCTATCACGCCTCATTGTAACACTCCGATCCGGGGCCTCAGTGATAGCGGTCAGTAAGATCTTGCCTCTAATGGGCCCCTGTTTTGTGACTCATGTGTCGGGCGTGCACAGAGTACATAAGGACAACAGATACCAAAGCCTTTACCTCCTACACTCTTTGTCACAATGTCGGGAGCCACGACGACCCACGTTGACGGCGTACCCTTCCAGGACTCTGTGACCCACTCTGACACTGCCCCAGGCAGTAGTTTGCAGGTTCTGCCGGCTTCGTTCTACGCATCGAGGCTTTCTCATGCGTCACTCCGGAGGAGGGAAGATGGAAGTAAGTCCGACGTTAATCATTAAACAAGACCATCTCATTTAGATCCTTGGTAGTCCGTGCGCTCCTTCCGTTGGAGAGTCGTCCAGGCCTCATCTCCCTTCTCGCTGGGAAGCCCAACTCGGAAACGTTCCCAATCACTTCATTACAATTCAATATTCGTGACCCATTTACTCCCAATGGAGAGACCACCATGCAACTCAGCGAAGAAGAGCTCAATATCGGCCTGCAGTATACCTTAACTAGTGGCCTACCTGACCTGCGGGAGTGGATCTTTGGACTGCAAGAACGTCTTCACGGTCGCAGGAAGGGTGAAGGTTGGACAGTCACTGTTGGTGCTGGATCGCAAGACATGATATTCAAGGTGGGTCGTTTGTCGCTACTAGCAATTGCTTCGTTCACAGGGCAGCAGGGAGTGAACGCGCTCATGAACCCTGGAGATGCCATTCTGGTCGAAACACCTGTCTATGCGTATGTGATGTACTTATCGCAGCGAATCGCTCACTCATTCGTTGACAGAGGGACCTTGACGATATTTCAAGCACTAGATGCCGAAATGATTGGTGAGTCACGTATCAAAACAGAAGCATGCTGCATGGAACTCACTGTAACAGAGGTCGAGACGGACAGTCATGGTGTCTGCTCACGCAGCATGCGTGAGATGCTCGAAAACTGGCCATCATCAAAACCGAAGCCGAAGTTCTTTTACACTGTGCCAGTACGTCCCAATGATGTTCCTGACATCACAAAGTCAGAGTGTTGACACGTTCCATGCGTACGACGCATATAGTACGGCTCTAACCCTACCGGAAGCACTGCCACGCTCGAACGACGCCTCGAGGTTCTGGCCCTGAGCAGAGAGCATGACTTCTTCATCTTGGAAGGTGGGTCGCATTCCACGCAGAGTATTATTGAGTATTGAAGGGCAAGTTTGCCTACCGTAGATGATCCGTACTATAACTTGTACTTCGGGTCATCCAGCCGCCCGCCATCCTATTTCGAACTCGAGAAAGACCAGCCAGAAGTAGGCCGCGTGCTCCGCTTTGACAGCCTCTCGAAGATCATGTCGTCTGGGCTACGCGTTGGGTTCGCATCTGGACCCGAGTCCATTTTGAAAGCCATGGATCTGCACGTAAGTCTGACGTTCATGATCACCGCATATCGCTGTACGCCTGCCCTGCCGATTCAGAATTGCTGACTTCCCTTCACGCTTCACAGAGTATGGCAGTGAATCTGCAGGCGTCGTCCTTCTCACAGATGATTGCGCTCAAGGTTCTGTCGGCGTGGGGTTACGACGGCTTCACCGCACACACCGCGCGCGTGGCGCAATTTTATCGCCAGAAGCGGGACGTCTTCGAGGCCGCGATGCAGCGACACCTCGCGGGGTTGGCCGAATGGACGTCGCCCGAGGCAGGCATGTTCTTCTGGTACGTCTTCCTTACCCCCCTCCCCTCTCCGCAGCGCCGCTCCAAGGGTTCCCAGACAACGTGGACTGATATATGAAACTTCGATTTACGTCGCGCAGGTTCAAGCTCCTGTTAAATGAACCAGGATCGGGGGTCGAAGGAGAAGGCGACTCAGAGTACATCATCCGCACGACGGCGTTGGAGCGGGGCGTGCTCGCGCTCCCCGGTGCGACCTTCTACCCGAACCCGCGCAAGACGCCGTACGTCCGCGCGTCGTTCAGTCTGCTGCCCGAGGACCAGGTGGACGAAGCGCTGCGCCGCCTGCGCGAGGTTGTCCTGGAGGCACGCAAAGCCAACGGCTCGAAGCGTAGCTGAGCTAGATTCCTCGCGGATTCTGATGCGCCTGACCTCCGCGCATTTCGGAGGCGGGAGCATCAGCTGATGGCGGCGGTCAGTAGCTGCGTGTTCCTTTCCTGGGCGGTTCGCTGTGACGCCGTCTGTGTACGCTGGACCTTAACTCACTGCAAATGGTGTTATTTGATTGATCGCTCTGCTTGCGCTAGAGCTCGATCGGACGAGGCTAGATGCCGGTGCGGCTTCGAGGCGCCATGGCCGCGAATCGTTACTGTAGTGCTCAGCGTTTTGGAGCTGGGCGGTGCCTGCTTGCCCGTATGCGTAGGTATTTAACCAGTCTAGAGTGATCATGATGTTGCCGCAATACATGGATGGCGCTCCTCACCTCCTTGTTCGGCTCAGTTCATTCATGTCAAACCAGATGGGTACACGTGCACCCCGGGCCTGCAGTGGCAGCAGTTCATTCGCCACATAGAGAGTGTCGACAGCATCTGTCACAATTGTCCGACGAGTCGGTGGAATGATGTCTGGACATTGTGTTTACCTCGAGAAAGGACCCGAGACGCGCTCTCTCGGCGAGGGGTAATGTCAGGGCAATGTCGCCGCGCCATATGGGTGTCGGTGCCTTCCCATATTTGCTCCCGCCCCGTGGACTTGATCTATTCAATATTAACACGGGTCCGTTGCCTAGCGGGACCTTTGACTCAGGCGAGGGACGCCCTGGGACGCGCTATCCAACAGCGATTCGGAGCTACATACCGTTGCTTCCTCTGGTCCAGGTGAGAATGAATAAATTTTGCACGACCTTCGAGAGCGAAAGTGGTTCTGATTTCACGCTATTGGAACTGCCCGACCGTCGTACCCCTTCGTACCCAGCGGCAGCTTGTCCTGATAAAGCCATGAGGAAGGGTTGTGTATAGCCCGTTTTAGTACGCTGATCCGCCGGCGGAGGCTCGTAGGATGGCCCCAAGACAGGTCTCGACCACGTGGAGGGGCAGCGGAAAGATCGCGGGCTGGAATTAGGCTGGAAAGCATGTGCAACACTCCCAACCTTGTCTCTGTCAGCAACTGTGCAGCGCGGCACGTCGTAACTTCTCGGTTGCCCAGACGCGAGTGTGGTTCGGTCAGTGGGACTCGTATGGTAAAGTAGCAACCTTTCATGATCCCTTCCCACTGAGGTAACAGACGTCGAGGTACTGCGGCATACGTAACGAGACAGATAGACGTCTTCGTGGGCGTTGTCGACTTGATTTGATCCTCCACCGCAGGACGCTTGCCGGTTATTATGGTATGCAGCGGAGACTACATACCACTGCAAGTGACTGCTCAGTGCTCTATTTTGCCCACGTGATCGTGTCATGCTTACCGAGAGGGAGGGAGGAATTCGAAAATGCATACGCCATTCGGATCGGGCAAGCTCAGAGGCGCATAAATCGCGCTGTTCCCGCGCGCCTCCTCTCTCGCACTTCGTCCAGCAGGTTCGTCCAGATTGTTGTGTGCCGTATTCCAGTGATGCTGACGCCTTTGGGACCTTGTGCTACGCTCACACGCTTTCGGTGGGTACGTGCTTCATTCATGTCGTCCGCCGATCCGCTGCTCTCGTCTCGCTGGCTCCATCTTTCAAATATCCCTCATTCGTCGAGCCCAGCCTCTCTAGATCCTGCAAGCTTCCGTAAACCGCTTTAGCTTCGTGTCATAGTCACCAAGGTAGTGGTTCCGCTCGATCGACACGGATCTCGCTTAATCCTACGGGCAGATGGCGTTCCTCGAGACCTCCGTTCCCGCAAACGCCTGCTTCCAAGTCAAATGCGACAAATGTAGCAAGACGACCTGGAAGGTACGCACCATCCCCCGCGTCCTTTCCCCACATCGCCTCCGGCAATTAGACTCTGCGATGTGCTCGTACGGCCTCTCAGCGACTGGCTGATCCGCCGGGCGAGTCCGCAGGCTAGCCGGGCATCGATGTGTTCTTTCTTCCCCCATCTGGGAGCGGTGCATGTGGCGAGCGTTCTGACATTACGTTTCGCTATGCTACAGGGGTGTGGGCAGCACGTCGATTCGGTGGGTACTCTGGCCCTTCTCCCCAAGTTACCTGATGCTGGGATCACATCGCGCAGGGCGACGGGCACCTAGACCGACCGCGACGTCTGTGGCGGGCTGGGTGGCAGCAGCACTCTATTGCGATCTGTCCGAACGGGAACGCTAGCTGCCACTCAGCTTTTGATTCGTCGCGGGGCATCGGCAACGGCCCTCAGCACGTCGAGGCGAGGACAATGGGGAGGAGTGCAGCTATGTTCCTGTGCCTTCCCAGTGTACTCGCTTCGCGGTGATGCTGACGTACAGCTCTCTCCGAGCGGCGTCCGCGCTGGTGGTTTGCTCATCAGACGGTATTCATCGTCGCTGACGCGGCTGACATGATTATGGCTACGCAGGTGATGAAGAACGTGAAAGAAGAGGACAAGTGCACGTGTCCCCGCTGAGGAGCTTCTCTGTGTGCGAGTTGGGCAGTGCGGGGGCAGGGAGCTGGGGCGGTGGGACGCAGAAGCGTTGACTTCGTCGCTATCGCTAGACTGTATTGTAGGGAGCTGCGGACGACATGGGGGTGCCGTAAGAGTGGAAAGCAATAAAGTAAATGACCGCGGGACGAGCGGAAGGTGCGGCGGCGGAGGGACGAGGACATGATGATCAACAGAGCGCCGCTGAGCTCGAGCGACACGGCTGGCCAGATCGTCGCTGGGATCTAGCCGGGCGCCTAGGCGAGGGGCGTACTCGCCAAACAGGCGCCCACCACTTGGCCTCCCACCGTGGAGTGTCGCCTGCATAAAGTGCTCCTCCTGTCCCTGCCCCCGCCTTCCTCTCCTCCTTCTCTCCCCTCCCCCTCCTACTCTGGCGTCCCCATCCCCGCTGCCATGGCAGACGGCGGCGGCCCCTCTACCCTGCGCTACCGCGACCCTGGCGACCCGAGCGCCCCCCAGCATGTACAAGACCTCCAGCCTGGCGCTGTCATCATGACGCATGAGATCCGGACAGGCCACAGCCGCACATACAACCGCCGCATGGTGAATCAGTATGAGTTCGACCATCGTGTAGGAGTAGGGCAGCATGGAGAGGTGTATCTCGCGCGGGACACGTCGAAGCACAACATGGCTGTGGTGCGTCTCGTTCTGTTTCCCCATTCTGTCGCGCCTTCTCAACAGCGTCCCATCCCACGCTGTATGCGCACGCGATGCAGGCCCTGAAGGTTGTGAAGCGTAAGAACCCAAAGGCAGACAAGATGAGCAAGTTCCGGAAGCAGAACCAGAACCTCCCCACCTCCCCACATCTGCCGCTCACCGACAAGCTCGGGACGACAGAGCACAAGATTCGCAAGGAAATCGCGATCATGAAGAAGTGCAACCACCCCCACATCGTCAAGCTGCTCGAGGTGATAGATGATAACCTCCACGAGAAGATCTACATGGGTACGCCTTCCTGTCCTTCCTCTTTCCCACCCTGCACTCGCTAGCTCCATGTATGCCCCGTCTAGCGACGCGTGTATGCCCACGTCCCCGCCATACTGAGCGGTCGCATTACCGTGCTGGCCCGTTATCGACGGTGTCGGACCGTATTGCCTCGGCTGTAATACGCGGTACAATGTCGCTGCCATTGTACCCGCTACCGGGTGCTCCATGATGCTTCTCGTGGCTAACTATATGCTCTTTACTTCCTTCAGTCATGGAATATCTCGGCGGCGGCGAAATCAAGTGGAGGACAAATGACGGTGAGCCGGTGCTGCGTGTTGACCAAACACGGCGCATATGCCGTGATGTCATCCTCGGCCTCGAGTACTGTGAGTCTTCTCGCTCTCCACGACAACGAACTCTGTTTGACATGCGCATATAGTACATCACCAGGGCATCATACATCGAGATATCAAGCCGTCGAACTTGCTCTGGACCGCGGACAGGCGAACAGTAAAGATCGCCGACTTCGGCGTCGCGCATTTCTCCTATGCCCAACGCCTCGCTGCGGCAGGCCAGGGTATGGTGGAATTAGGCGATGAAGACCCCATTCTCATGGACGATACCGACCTGTCCAAGACGGCCGGCACGCCCATGTTCCTCGCACCCGAGATTGTAAGCGACACTGGGGACCTCGCGGCCTCGTCTTCGACCGTGAACGTCAACGAAACGGCGGGTGGTAAGGCGCGCCCGCGCCGGCGGCAGCCCATCACGAAGGCGATCGACGTGTGGGCATTCGGCGTGACGTTGTATGGCCTGCTCTTTGGCCACCTCCCGTTTCTCGCGGACCGTGAGTACGAGGTGTACCAATTGATTCGGCGGCAGGACTGGTCCGTCGACCCGACGATGGGTGTTGACCAGATTGAGACCGGCGGACGGCATCAACGACCGCAGCCGAAAGGGCAGGAGACCGAGGGTCACCTTGTCATCCAGCTCCTGGAAGGCCTGCTTGAGAAGGATGCGCGCAAAAGGATGACGCTTGACCAAGTAAAGGTGATTGCTCTACCATGCGTATACAAGGTAAGCAATGATCTGACAACCATTGCAGCGACATCCATGGATACTGCGCGATATGCAGGACCCAGAAGGTTGGCTGCGCGAGACTCAACTCGGGCCTGCACCGTCCCTCGAACCCACCGCAGACGAAACCAGCTCAGCCATGTCCTCCGTCCGGTTCAGATGGACACGACCGCTCCGCCGCCTTTGGCAAGGCGTCCGGCCTACGCGCTCCTTCCTGAATCGGAACGCCGTGACCGAAGCGGATCAGTACAACGACGTCGGTGTTCGCTCCGCTCCCTCTCATTCGCTGTCGCGACGTCGGTCAACACCAGGAACTTCGCAGCACGAGCGTCGACGAGAGAAGAGCAGGGCGGGGTACTCGGGACGAGATGCACCGCGGAATAAGTCGACGACGGACGTAGTCGCGCGGCAAGACTATGGGTATGCGCATGACGACTGGGCGGCTTGGGAGGCAACACATCTGTCGACTGGCCATCCACCGAAGCGACGGCGCGGCTCGTTCCCATCCAATCTCCGTCCTTCACGCGCCGCGTCACCACAGCCCTCACCCATATCTGCGTCGACACCGAGCGTGAACGGGTCAGGGATGCCTTCGCCAGAGGAGCGCCCGCCGAGCAGACTGACCCTCACCCATTGGTTGAAGCTCCCATTCCGGAAGACATCCACGCTGCCTATGGAGCAGACAGTGTCTAGTGGTAGTTCGGGGCATAGCCTGAGCAGGCGGAGTGGACGGGGGCTAGCACGGCGGAGTGAGGATGCGTTCCACACCGTCGCTCCGTCAAGACAAAGCACAGCCAGCGGGCAGCTCACGATGGCCATGCGTGCCGCAAGCTGGGGCGAAGTCGCAGACTATGCGAGGCCGTCGGAGGACGTGACGAGCGTGTACTCCGCTGAGCGGGGAGACGACGCGCTCGACGACGACACGCTCTTGCTCGGCGCCGGCGGTATTGCTCAAAGTCCTGTCTTGTCCATCCCGACAAGCGGCGTGCTCAGCACGGTATCTTCTATAGCCTCCCTGAACGCACACGTCACCGGTCCACCGACGCCCGCGACAATGTCTGTCGCGCAAGCTCTCCTCCAGCGGACGGACGTAGGCGAGCTCCCATCCGCCGCCGACCCTGCCGCCCATGACCCCTCCATCCTTGCCCGGCACTCGCAGATCCGCTCCCGCGCGACGAGCCCGCTCGCCCAGATGGCGTACAACCCCGTGCAGCTCTCCATCGAGTCGGCGAATGCGTGTGACTACGACGACTCCTCTTGTGACGACGACGACGATGACGATGACGACGATGACGACGAGTCATCGTACGGCGAAGAGGTCGACTTGCAGCCCAGCACGAGCCAGCGGTACCAGGAGGAAGACGAGGAGAGCGAAGAGGAGGGCGAGGTGCGCCTCGAGCTCCGCGGCCGCCGGCCGTCGCAATCCGCCTCCGAGATGTCGCCCGTGCGCGGCGCAGATACGCCCCATAGAGAACGGCCCATGATCTGTACATAGTTCCGATGTCTCGGTGTGTAGGTGTGCGATGGACACTTTGCTGCAGCTCACTTAGACGGACAGGATATCCCCTCCCATTGTTCGGCCGATTGTTTGGCCCCACTACACTCTCAGCTCTAGCTTAGACATATCCCCCCTCCCCTCATCACCACCATGTCGCTGTATCCCCTATCATCCGGCATCTTGTTACCCATTTTTCCAGCATTCTTATTCCCCTTCGACATTCAATCCCACTGCATCATTGTATAGAATTAGCCTGGCGCTGCTGGGCGACAGGAGCGCGTAGCCATGCTTGTTATACAGCCCTGTAACATACATCCTCCACATGGGTACCGAGTGGTATCGTGGTATCATCATCATGCAGCGACGGCGCGCGCGTATAGAAAGATATACTACAGAGGCTCCAGGTCTTGGCAACATAAGAAAGTCGGAAGGTCATAACATAAGAGTAAGGAGATGGACAGCAAAGAATGTGGTCGTCGGAAAGGAGCGAGCTGGAGAACACCTGCGGGCATGCAAAGCTATGCACACGTATACACATATATACAGAGGCCTGGCCGTGAATCACATCGGCCAGCCTCGCAGGGTCCTCGCGGCTCCCCCTCCAATTCGTCCGATGAAGTCCCAGACGGCGGCACCGTCGCCCGGGAAGCCTTCACCGGTGGCTCGTATGGAGTTGAAACTCGACCACGCAGCACGATCGTAGGGTGTGAGGCCACCCGGGATGGCGTACTGGGGCGCCGTCGCCTGCCCGACGACGAACGCGACCGCAGCGGACACACCGACGCAGAACAGGAGCTGACTCGTTGACAATACCGAAGAGCCTTCCGAGTCACCACCGTAGACGTAAGTGTTGTAGATGTTGTAGAAGCGGCTGCTCTTGCGCCTGCTGGAGCGCTCGCTGTCGCGGCGTCCTGCACCGTTGCGCTGGGACTCCTCGACGAGCTTGTCGATGACGGAGCACTCGACGCCAAGCTCCTCCTTGAGTGCCTTCCAGTCCTCCGCGGCGTCCCCAGAGATGCCGCCTTCGACAGGCTCGATCGGCAGCTTGAGACCTCGGTGCCACTGCTTCACCGTCTCTTCCGCGACGCGCATGGCAAGCTGCTCGCGCTCTTCGGACGTGACCTGGTCGTAATCTGGCGGAAGGTCGTGCATGTGATCGTGCAGCTCCTCCGACTTTTGGCGAGGTGTTGGTGGCAGAAGCGTCGAAGATGAGGAGGCCATCGAGTCGATGTCCAGATCCAGACCGAGAGCGTTTGAAGTAGGTGGTACAGACTCTGGTTCATCGGTCTGTACCTCCATGCTAACCATCTCCCGCACTTCGACGGCCTCAAGTTCTGGCTCGGGGTCGGTCTGGATGTCCATAGACACGAGAGGTCGCTCGTCGGTCTGCATGCTGAAGGAGGCGGTGAGGATCTTGGGCTCAGGGTCGGTCTGCACGTCATGGGAAGCTGTGAACTCGGACATCGCGTGTTGCACGCCGGTATCCGAATACTCCTTGACTTCGTCGACCTTGATAGTCTCCAGGCGCTTCGCGCGACTGGCGACTTTCTGCAAATCAGAGCGCGTCAGCGCGATCGTCAATCGTGATACTTTGATCACATACCCGCTTCGTACGTGTGATGATGGTCTCGACAACGTCTTCGCCTTCCGTATCGTTGTCCTCCACGGTGGGACTCACGACCGTCTCGTTGGCCTCCTCTTCCAACTCTTCCTCTGGGTCTCCCAGGTCCTTCATCCTGCTCAGCAGCTCTGCGCCCAGGCTGCGACTCACACTTCCACGCGCGCTCACAGTGCCCGAGCCGCCCGGGCCCGCGCCGCTGGACGCATTGCTCCGCATCTCGTCCATGTCGAAGCGCATGCGGTCGATCGTCTCCTTGAGCATCATGTTCTCCTGCTTCTGCTCATCGAGCTGCGCCTGAGCCTGCTGTGCGATGGAGAGCTCGCCCTCGATGAACGCGATCCGCTCCTCATAGTTCGCCTGCTCGCGCGCCCACTTGCCCGCCTCGATCTGCTGCAGGCCTGCCACCTCCTTGTGGTCCTTGATCTCCTCGTCGCGCCGCCGCAGCGTGTTGCGGTACCGCTCCGACTCCGCGCACTGCTCCTGGTACTGCTTCTGCAAGCTTTGGTACGACGCACGCGCCGTCTCCAGGCTCTTCTGCAGTTTTGCGATCTCCGACTCGAGCGCCGAGATCTGCGTTTGGTTCGTGCGCTGCGGGGAATGTTCGGTCAGCCGTGGTCAGCGCACCACTTTCGCAGGCTTGACTTACCTCCTTCGACCGGAGCTCCTTCTCCTCCCGCTTCGTCGCGCTCAGCTCGCTCACCATCTCCTCCAGCCGGCTCTGCATCTCCTCCAGCTCGCTCTCGTGCTCCGCGAGCTTCAGCTGCAGCGTCCTCTCCGCGTCGCCCAGCTTGCGCCTGAGCTCGGTGTTCACCCGCTGCAGCGCCTCGATGCGCTGCTCCAGGTCGAGCGAGATCGTCGACGAAGCCGCAGAGCGGTCCATGATCAGGCCTAGAGCGGACGCGTCGTCGTCATCCGAGTCCGAGTCCGCCCCAGAAGCCCGCGGCATCAGCAGCGAGTTGATCGTGTCGGCGAGCTGGTCCTCGTCGTACGAGTCCGAGAGGTCGGAAGGAGGGGGGGACATCATGCCGCTGGAGGACTGCGGTTGCGCTCGGTAGTCGCCCTCGCGCTCCGGCGAAGAGCGCTGGTAGTCTCCGAACGCGTTGTCGATGGAGGCGAAGTGCGACTGAGGCTGAGACTGGGCGCGGGAGTGTGGTCGGGAGATGGATGCGGCGAAGGGAGGCGAGCCTACGGAAGAGGAAGGTGATATTGGGTTGGAAGGTGCGCGCGATCGTCCGGGTGTGCGTCCGAACGACGTCGGCGGGCCGGAAGACTGTGTGCGCATCCCATCAGACAGCGATATCACACCAGAACGCTGCACTGACCTCTGAGTCACTGGATGATCTGACATGCTGGCTGGCATCGCTCTTCCGCCTCGACGGAGGCGGTCGCCTGCTCCAGCTTGAGGGCGCTTTGTTCACGTTCACGAGCGGCGTCGACCGCTGTCTACGCGACGCATCAAAAGGCGACTCGCGCGAGGTAGGAGTCCTCGGTACCGGTGGACCACGGGACGGCGGGCGCGAAGATGGCCGCGAACCTGGTCGCCAAACAGACGTACCGTTCGAGTCCCGACTGGACGAACGCGAGTACGGGTCGTCGTAGTCGCGGTCCTCCGAACGCCCGCGTTCCGGAAAGTCATAGTCATAGTCCTCATGCGGAGGAGAATCTTCTTCGGGACTGTGGTTAGTCCGCATGGCGATGAATTGCAGCAAAACTTGTGGCGTGACGGCGAGTCCGGGGTTGCTGTCGATCAGTTGGGTGAGCTGGTCCTCCTCCGTGGGTGTCATGAGCTCTACAGAGTCATGGCTGCGCGAGAAGGCACGCAGGACGTCGACAAGAGCGTCGGCAGGAACGACGGGGTCGCCGCTTTCGTTGATGTGCGCACGGGGATGGTCTTCGAATATATTATAGAGCTCTTGCTCCAGATCTGCGATGGATTGTCTATTGCGTCCATATGTTTCCTGCGGACAATGCATGAGAGCACGAGCACGCTGCAGGCGGAGTTGACTCACCACGTCCATGTTGGGTCATCAATTGTTGCAGGGAAAGAGAACACAGAGAGAGTGGCCAGCGCCCCGAATACGTCGCTGCTTTGTTTATGTAAGCTGCCACCCCGTCCCAGCTCATGTGACCGCGCATTGTCCGCCCGAGTCTCTCCGGTTCCCCAACGCAACGACGCGTTTTCAATTCGGGCGACGAGCCTGCAGGCAGCAAGGAAGTGGCAGAAAGGTTATACCATGTTTCGTCCAGTCATCGACATTGTGGCCGAGGTGCGGTTCGTGGAGGGGGATTCGGCCAATGCCGAAAGGCTATAAAGCTGTATCGGGAGTTTGTCATGCAAATCAGTTTCTCACTCTCCTTGCAAGAGCGTCGAGTGGCAAGCTGCAGAAATCGACCCGTCTGGATAGGCGATACATGTTATAGTCGGGACCCGCGATATAAACTGATATTATGAGGGTACAATCACTGGCATTGCTCTGGACGTTGTCCTTCAAATAGCCTCTGCCACAGTAAGGCTCAATATAAGAGCGAAGTTGGCCTGTACCGCGATGAAGGGAAGACACGCAGACGAATTGCGCTCACCGTTCATATGGCCACTACGATGATGGTGGGTCGACATAAAGGAGGAGGGGCCCGGGGAGAGGACGACTGGCAGCATCTTATACTAGTAGCATATGACTTGATTCTAAGTGAAAGGATGACATGGAGCACGATGAGGCTCAAGACACTGGGAGAAAGACTCGCTGAGAGAGCTCAGCTGGCTCAGTGCTACTCAGATCTCAGAGCGCGTCGCGCGACGCGCGATCCTCCTCAGGCCACGACGTCATGTCACGTGTCCGCGTCTGGTAAGTACTCGAGAGGTGGTAGAAGGGTCCTGCCGAACCGCGAAATACAGTCAATGTTACAGGTATCATGCATTGCTTTCATATGCATACAGGAGACATGACTCGTAAGGATAGTGCATATGACTTTTCATAGAAATGGGTGTGGGACGCGCACCACGCACTACAGTGACACGGTGCATCATACACATCCACTGGCAGCGGCGCTGCGTCGCGTCCCCCTGCACTTGGCAATCGAATGCAAGGAAGAGATCGCGTCGAGCTCCGAGTTGCCAAGACGCCGGGATACCTGTGTATCATAAGGAAGTTTGAGCCATGCTGTCACGGTTGTATATTGAGGAACGACGTACAGCATGCACCCCCTGGTGACTGCCACCGCCGGCCGGGTCTTGATACAGCGTATTTACAATTGATATCGATGCCGAGGGTCCAAAGCGATGACAACATATGTACATGGACAAACAGAGAGACGACGTAGTCGAGACACTAGATAATACAGAGTCCTTGGGAGATATACAGAAGGTCGAAGAGTCACCAAGACGGCTATGAGACAGGGCATATAGATACGGGAAGAAAATTAGATCGTGGGTCGAGTGACGTTGTGCGCGAGACATTGAGGCAATAGATATGTAGCGATGCGGCCGGAACAGTTCTTGACGCGGCGGCGTGTGTAGAATAATAGTCCGCGAAATACCGGAAGGTTATGATACTGTATGGGGCGTCGCAAGCGTGATTGTCGTAACGGTCATGAGCGGAAGGTAGATTGTGGCCCTCAAGGGTCGTATTGGCAGACGCTGCAGCACCGAGTGCACGTCAATAGGCACAGAAGATGCCCCAAGGTCTCTGCGGGTTATGCCGGCGTCAGTATGTCTGCTATACAAACGCGGAACAATCAACGCACTCTTGACACGCTTGAAGGAGAACCGTGGATAATAGCCGGTTAGGTCGACCTCGAAAACGCGATTCGGTGGTGGTGTTTGTGGTGGCCGATTGTGCGGTGTCGCGGGCCACCCATAAGAGTGAATATGCCGGCTGACGCAAAGTCATGTACACGTTATGTAATGGGAAATAGAAGCATACCTCTTGAGATCATGGAGTTGCAGATGCCATGCCATATCCAGGAGCGTCGGGTACGCTTCTCTACACCGAGGGCGCGGACACCGTATGAAATTGTGGCCCTCGTACCAGGCTGCCATCATCTGCGGGTACGCCTCCTGCATCTGTCGCAGCGATAGATCAGTCGGCCACCGTCACCTCGTCTTCGTCACGGGATGGAACATACATATCGCTCTTCAACGCGCGGCTTGAATGGCGCGCCACCATTCCTCGGGTCCGGGAAGCTCCCAATGCTCGTCGGCGCCGTTGTAGACGGCGGATGCACGAACAAGCTGTCTCCAGGGCCCACAGACAAACCCGCAGTCGAGGATACCGGCGTCGGGGGCAACGGCTTCTGGGTGCGATAGCGCGCCGCGATGACCTGCGCGTCCGTCGGCCGTCTCGAATGTGCAGGCCTGCGCGCGGACCGGGAGGGATGCGGCGCGGTCGCGAACTTGGGCGGACTCCAGCGGCTCGCTATCGACCCGTACTGAGGTCGCGGACGCGGTTGTGGCCTGTGCCCCGTCTCGTGGGCATACGCGACGTTCGGGGTGCCGAAGTACACCCCGGCGCGCCAGTGGAGGGGACGCGGGCTGCTGGGCCGAGGACGAGTGCCCGATGCGAGCGGGCCGCTCTGTGTGCGGGTCCGGACATGTCGCGAGGTTTGTTGAACTGGGGCTACGTTGATCACATTCGGCGGGGACGTCTGGTATACTGGAGCTCGCCGTCGCATCGTCGTATGGGCATGGGAGGAAGTGTATCGCGTGGAGGGAAGGGCCTGGGGCTAGATGAGTGAAAGCGGCGAACAATGGAGGATTAAAGAAGATTATAAGGGCATTGCAGTACAGGGACGGCGCGTCGAGCTTGGGCGAGGGGCCACAGCGAGTGTCGCGGCGGGGACAAAGCGAGCGTTGTTCGGCATATATGCTGGAGCCACACCGGACCTCACGCCGAGGGATTAGGCTTTAGCAGACAAGGTCAGGCTGCTCGATCGTGAGTGGCGGCAGAGACTAGCGCAACAAGTAAGTAGCGGGCACTGTTTCAGCCTCTCATTTGACCCTTTCGGGGTGGCTCAGGGCAGCAAGTTGCCATAGGGGCTCTTGACTCGGAGCTGCCCTCCAAGTCAGCATGTGGCTATTTGTGGGACCTCGTTCGCAGCTTGTTCAGCCGTAAGTATATGAAGATGTGATTCGGGATAGACTGGACGGACCTCTGCGAACGACTGAACCTGAACCTGAACGCTTTCGGAGGAGTGGCTTGCCAGTAAATACACAGAGGGCGCTTACTTGCCTGATTGCCAACACTCCTGTATTGAGAGGCCACTGGATCGCGTGACCGCGTCGAACCTCCATGGCCAGCGGTGGCGGCGGTCGCGATAGATTGACATGCCTACTGTACAGTGTACATACTGATACTCAATCATGTCCTGCAATCATCGTTATCAAACGTCGCGTCAAGGTGCACAAAGGTAACGCCTCGATAACAACAAAACCTGTCGTGTACTACATACTAATATACATCGACCCCAGACACACAGCACTTACAGTAAGACTCGCACGGATATGTATACAATACAACAGATTCACTGACGGCCCGATTCCTAGCTTGCGATGTTCGCTTCAAGTGAACACAGCCGGCGGAAGCCTCCGTCCTTCATCTCCACGATCCTCGTCCGACCGACGTCGTTTACGGCCCTGCATGATGAGCGATTGTGGTTGGGTGAAATACTTTTCGATGGGGGGCTTGCGCTGTCTCGGCTCTGACCTAAATTGCTGTGTGGATGGCTGCCTGTTCGGAGGGGTAGCATAGCTATTCGAAGGGCTGGTAGGGTTCGAGTGCACGAGCGCATCGATGGACATGGCGGCCCCGCTTGCCCTGCGCTCTCGCTGGCTGACGATCCATGGAGCCTTCTTGTACTGCCAAGCGGTTCAGATGAGAGATGAGAGCTGCACGTTGGGACATAGAGGTGCACATACCGTCTCGAGCTCAGGCTTTCCCCGCCACCGCGCGATAGCTTCGCAGAAACGTACAGCAGCGCGCTCAACAGCCTCCGCAGGAAACTGCCACTGAAGATCCTCCATGTGAGTCGCCAGGTCCGGCGTCGACGGGGGAACATCATAGAACTGTTCGTCTCTTCGTCAACGCGCAATCTAATGGTAGACTTGTAGCGACTCACACGCTGCAGACGCTCTCGCATTTCTATCTCGTATTCCAGCTCTGCACCTTCCCTCCGGAGTGCCCCAGACGCCCCAGTGACCGGATCCCTCAGCGAAGGGAACAGTACACGCGCTGCCTCGTCGAGGTCAGGGAGATCGTCGGGATCAAGCCTCCTGAACTCGTCCTCCTCTTCTTCCTCTTCCTCCTCGTTGGGGTCGCCATGATTCGCACCATTCGTTGTGGCGTCTCTTGACCTCGCAGCGCCCTGTGAACGATCACCTGGCTCCAGGCCTGTGCCCAAGCCAACGCCTAGGAGCAATTCAAGAGGTTCTGTACTACGCCATCCTGCTGTCATATATCCCTCGAAGACGGTGCGGGTGAGCAGACCCGCGAACAAGTAGTACCACTCGCGTGATGGTCGCAAGGCGTAGTAGTATAATCCAGCTTCCGCAAGGTTGCGCTGTGTCAGCGTCCGCGGAGACGTCTGCGGGGATGACGGAGGACGTCCAGTATGGTTCGAGGATCCTGCTGCGGACGGCCCTGCACCCTGACCTCCCTCTTCGTCTCGTCGGTTGTCCCCGCCATCGACAGATGCCCTGTCTTCCGTCGCCTCTCTCCCAAGCTCCACTGCCACGAGTGCGCTGAGGCGCATGAAGCGCACAATTAGCTCGGCGAGTTTCGTGTTGAACATCTGCGGCGTCCCGTCCTCGTTGTTAGTCGCATACACTGCTTCACGAGCGTCGGTTGGCCTCCGCAGAACCGTGCCCTGGGGACCTGGCCGCGCGAGACCGGACCCAATCCCACTACCGTCCAGCCATCCTGTCACACCGCCGACGAGACCATTGCTCCCGGGCACACCACTGGGAGGTGGATCGCCGGGACTGCTGCCCGTCGTGGATCCTGCTCGCCCTTGGCCGGTGCGTGTTCGATTCTGGCCCATGCGAGGGGGCGGAGCCTTCGCTTCCACGCAGATCTCGCAGCCCATGTGCAGGTGCCGAGGACAGCGGAGGGAGGGTGGCGAGTTCTGGGTGTCGGGGTCGGCACCAATGTCGTACAACGAGCGGATGTATTGGTTAGGGATGAGCCTGGGGTGATCGGGGTTGGCGCCGGATGATATAGCGCTGAGCGGGATGAGGGCGGACGGGAAGGTAGACACGGGAGGAGGGGCAGAAGGTGCAGAGCCTGGGGTGCGAACTGGAGGTGTGGGCGCTTTCCGAGAGAATAGGTCGTTGATCACCGTGGCGAGGGTGAGACGCAATCGGACGCCATTGGGCAGCTTGTGTGGATGTCGCTGTCGGACTTGGGGACGCAGCTGGGGAGATGTAGGGGGATCCAACAGGTCGTCCGGGTGTATGGGTGGGACCTCTGGGGGCTGGTCAAGCATGGACGTCGCGACCTTCTCCACCGCTTCCGCGCGCTGTCTCAGCGAGCGCGCGAGCGTGAGGTCCTGCATATCGAAGCGTTCATCCTCCTCTTCCCCATGAGTATGTCCTGGACCGCCTGCCCGCGCCTGCAGATGTGTGACCTCCTCACCGTCGCTGTATACCTCCTCGGTCTCCTCGTAGTTCTCTGGCCGCGCACGATGCGCATAGTTGCTCGACGAGGGTCCGCCTGTGCGGTCTGTCATGCCTAGCTCTGCGCGGGCCTGCGCAAACCGTGTACGAGCATGGACCCATAGTAGATGGTCAATAATCAGCGTCCTTGTCGACTTCTCGCGTGGAGGTATCGAGTGCAAATGGTGGGCATGTTTGTGGGCAGGGGCCTTGAAGGGCGTGGGACCACCGCCTGTGCTTGCGTTGGAGCTAGGGACGACGGCCCTGTGCATTACAGGCGACGAGGATGGATGGCGCGCATAGTGGTCATACGAGATGTTATAGCCGAGGTGCGACATGCCGTCGTCGTCGTCGTCGTCGATGCCCGTCTGAGTGGGAGTCGGGGACGTGGGGGCACGAAGTAGGGAACGATCACATGGTTTCAGCGGACGCGCGCCCGCGCGAGCTAATACGTCCCCAACCAATCCAGCGATCCACGTACGTAGATCCTACGACTGCAGCTGTATACCGGAAGAGAGAAAGGTAAGTGTTTGATACAAGAGAGTCGGGGCTACACTACCAGTCGTACTACGAGGGTAGATAGATAAACAAAACTATCAAAACAGCCGAAGTGCTTTCGCAGCGTACTCGCATGAAATTGCGGAGGTAACGCGAGCAAAGGAGGGCAATACATGGCAGGTGTCTTCCTAGTGAAAGGATAGAAAGCTCTGTGAACAAAAATAAGGATGATGCTATAAATCGTCAAACTACCTGTCGTCGATGTCGGTATGTCACGTCCGAAGGAGCATTCAGTTGTCCGAATGTGCGTCGATGTGCAGAGGAAGAGTTAGGACTTCGGTTGCACCGTCGTGCAAAGCGAACAGCTCGATTAACTCGAGGTCGAGAGTACCCCAAGCCCCCAGCTGAGAAGCGAACGTTCGCGCTCATGCCACTCGTACGGACCCAGACGAAAGTCAGCGTAGTGCTCGAGCAGCACTCTTGCAATGTGTCGCGATGCGCGCGACGGGGGGTCACTTCCTCGGCATCGCATCTCGAGTGAGCAAAAGGGAATTTCTGGATTGATCCTGCGATGTGAGCACTTATAGCATAGATCCCAGGTGACCGGAGGTGTCCAAGTCGGGGAAATCTTGGGGAAATCTCAAGGAAACCAGTTTATCTTGAGAGGATGCCTGTAGCATGGGAAATTGGGGCACAAAGTATAGGTAGGCTGTTCAGCATGACCCTAAAAATACATACATTCAGTGTGATATGGATCCAAGTAGCAGCTGCAGTGCAGTACAAGACGAAGGTCGTCACAGGGAGTCTTCCAACAGGCTACAGGCTCGTTCAGTTACGGGTCTGATGGTACAAGGGAAATGGAACTTACTCTAGCAACTGCCTTTCCATATGGAACGGCCTGACGACCTCGTTGAGAATGGCAGAATAAATCACCTGAGACCGCAGAGCCTGCGGTTTCGCATCCTTGCATTCGGCCTTATGCGCTTTCCAACCCGCCTTCTGGCACTTCGCGCTGCAGTAGTAAGTCTGCGTCACTGCTACGTCAACAAGCATGGTACGACCACACAAGTCCGCGACGAACCGTTTTGCACGCGCTACAGCACTTCATCTTCAATCCGGGGCGCTCGACCGCTGCACATTCAGGTGCCTCGCAGCTCTTCCATAGCGGCCCTAGGTCACAGTCCAGCTTAGCAGCTTGCTCGATCTCGAGTATGCTACGCTGGTCCGTCCCGAGCGCAATGTACTCATCGATAGCGGCGTTCCAATTTTCGTGCAAAGTGATGAGGAGGTGCTTTTCGTACCGTTTGTTCATGGGTCTGGAGTCAGAATGTGAATCAGTCATGGAGAAGCCAAGCACGTAAATCACTGACTGGGGTAAAGCTCGATACTTCAGGAGTGCGTAGCGGAACGCCGGATCGGCTTTCTTCTCGGACACGCGATCGTTGAGCCCAATGGCCATCTCCACAAGTTTTTCCTCCTCCTCCATATCCTCGTCCTTGAGGCTGGTAATCGTTCTCGCTAAGCTGTGAGGGTTCTGATAGATCACCGCGTCGCCGTCTCTGACGCGCCGTACGACCGTCAAGCGTTTGCGTTCCGCGTCCCAATTCTCCAGAATCTCGAAGTTCCTACGTTTACAACATTTCGCGTACGTCTTCGACTTCCCGCAGACGCACGGGAAGAAATGTGGATACGGGTGATGCCCTGATTCGTGGCACTCGGAGAGCGGTTTGCCAGACCAGCACGGGCAAAGGCGAGGCGGGCGAGGCGGCAGCCCATCTCTCGCGAGTCGAGCCAAGAGCTGCCTGAGCAACGGTATCTTCGCGGTATTGGCGACCCAGAGCGGGGCTCTACCCGAGTGTATGTCGATGTCTACAGGCAGAGCAACGATTTCTGAAGCGCCGTGGAGAGCGAACAGCTCGAGCAACTCGAGATCCAGAGCATACCACGCCAAATGGACTGGCGGATTATGCTCGCCGTGGGGAATGATATGAACGTCGGCGTGCTGCTCAAGCAGCACCTTCACGACGCGCCGCAGGCGTTTGAGATGAGCAATCGTGACACTAGTGTCGCTCCCCAGGCGCTGCCTCTCGACCAGGTCGTAATGGAATCGGATGATCTCGTGCACGGCGAAGTGCAGCGGCGTTTTGCCTTTGGCATCGCGAACATCGACGTGGACCCCAAGACGGATGCATTCGTGCACGAACGGTACGTCGCCGAGCTTAGCCGCGAAGTGAAGGAAAGTGCTGTTACTGCCCGGATAGAACTGACTGCGCATCGACCAGTCCCCCTCCTGCTCATCGTCCCAATTGTCGCCAGCGGTCATGAAATGGTCCCTTTCCCCGATGACGTAGCACTTCAGTAGGTCGTCGCGCGTGCCGAGGCTCATCTCGTCGATGTGATGGATCATCGACTCGTCAAATCGCAAGTCCGGGTCGGATTTGAGTTCATCGAGCAGACCCCGCGGTAAACAGATATGCTTGTTGCGCTTCGGCTTCAGCAAGTCGGAGAGATCGTCGTCCAAGCTCATCGTGAGTGTAGTAGTGGAGCCCAATCGTCCAGTGCGTAGACAAGACTCAGAGTCAGCGATGAGGCCTTGAGGCCTTTTAGTCTGCTTCAAAATGACTGCCCTACACCGGGACAGCCTGTTAGCGGAGTTACATAAGCGATTGATCTCCGAAACGCGTCTACAAATCTCGACGCGCTCGACGCGTCGCGTCGCCTGTGGTCGCCCTACCCTTACTTCCCCCCAGATCCTATGTACGGTACCCTTGCTCTCAAATAATGCAAGGCCCTTATACGCATGGGCCGTCATCATCCTCTTTTACATTGTTTAGCTCCCCTGACGACATCGCGTTCTGCCGCAACATTGCGTCGAAGAGCTTGCCGTGGGACCCGCACGACTAGTACCAACTCGAAAAGGCTTGTAAAGCCTTGGACGGCACAGACATCTTTGCGATTACGCCTACGGGATTTGGTAAGACGGGCTTTCTGCTTGTCTACATCATCGTGGCTCAGGCGATCGCAAATGACCCAGCGCTGTGCCCGGGAGCCTTACGGATGCGCTTCAAACTGGACCCAGGTATGCTTGTTGTTTGCCCTACGAAAGCACTAGGGCATGGCATGGTGAGTCTTCTATATTTCTATCTAGTCTGTGTCTCACTCTGTTATTCTAGGAACCGAAGTTCGGGCCTCAGTACCCTAGTGATCAATGCGAAAACCACGAAGGCGGCAGTCGCAGCGCGGCGTGATGGCAACCTCTCGAAGGTTGCTCGTTCCAAGGAATGCGGTGATTCTGTTGTCGCCAGAACAGCTTGCCACTCCTGGATTCTTCTCACTCATCAACGACCGTCCTTTGCAGCGCGCATCATGGCACTCAATGTCAACGAGGCCCACCTTCTGGACAGCTGGGAAGCCCAAATCCGACCGCTCTTTCGGGAGATCAGAAACGTTCGCACTCGACTGCCAGGTAACCCCATTCTCATCGCGTTGACCGCTACAATCTTCCCGGGTTCGCAGACGAAAACCGTCATGGAGTTCCTTAGCATCCGGTAGTGCTACGTCATCCGCCGTTCGAACGCGCGGTACGACATTTGCTGGATCTTCCGGACGATGGGAGCTGGACCCATGTTGCGAGAGTTGCCTGAATTCAACTGGGTGCTCGAGGGCGACCGGCGCGTCATCATCTTCTGCGAGACCATAGCGTTTGCTCGCCGCATATCAACAGATCTACGGCGCAAGTCCAAACATCTACCTGGCTACAAGGACAGTGTCTGAGTCCTCACCTCGATATCCAGCGAGTCATACGTCGGCAGGACGCTCGAGTTTTCGTGACAACTCGGACACTCGGGCGCAGGTCACCATTGGCACGAATACGGCGATCCCTTCGGCATCGATGCATCCGCAACTGATGACTACCGAATCTCATTGATAGTATGAAATGCTGACCTTTTCGATATTGTAGCTTTCAAAGCTTGTATTTACCGTCGCTCGTGCATGCTTCAACCGCGACGCGTGGACACTGGACGTAGATCTAGGCTACCCGCGGGCGATCTCTTCGCTGCTTGGACGGTACGTTGATGCCTCCGTCTGTGGGAGGTACTGCAGTGAGGTATTCTTCTGAGCAGTGGAAGTCTACGACCCTGATAGGTGCATAGTACAGTGACGACTGTTGTTGGACGAGGTGCAGGGGGCTCATGATGTTCGAGCGGTAGTAGGTTGTGGTTGGTGGGTAATTGATTCGGATTGCTAAAAGAGTATGGCGGATAGTCTATCTGCATGTCTCGTGCATGGCGATATGGTATATAGGTCAGGATGGACTGAATTCATGCTCAACTCGAGGTATCATTGAGGTGCTATCAATTATATCGTCCATAGATCTGAGTGCAGCCACCGGCCGAGCTGCCGCAACCGCCGGCATTGCTCGGCCATCACAGAATGGGTAGCAAAGGGGCTGTCCCGGTATTGGGGGCGCGTTTTGAAGCAGACCCTTAGAAGACCGTCCTCTCCCTCACTCAAAAAGGTCTTCTTTGGGGTCTGCCTACGGGAGACAATGAGGCCTTGCGGAGCGAGCGCGTCGATCGCGGATTGCACTCGCAGAAGTGCGTTGCCGCCCGATACGCGGGCGCGTGACCGCGACTAGTGGCAGACGAGCGTTCTCGGGCAGACTCAGGGCAGACTCGAGTCTCATTTCACGCTCAGAGTCAGCTCAGAGTCTTGCGGTTACAGTATCCCGAACGCCTAGCTCTCTAATCATTGCAATTTATCACCCCTAGTAGCATACTCATCTCGAGTATTCTGGCAAGATGTAAATGGTAGGACGCCTCGAAAGGTTGGCCATACTCGAACTGACTGACGTGAATCATTGAAATGACAATCAAACCGGCTACGTAGACCAGTACCGGTGTGAAGTGGCGACAAGCACATCTGTTGAAATCAGGATCATACTGAATGACAGTTCATGACATGAGAGTACATCGGAAACCCAGCCTCATATCCCCGTCGACGGTAAATGAAAAGATACACTTCAGCAGAGCTACCACGTCATTGTTTTGGATCGTGACATCTGCGACTCATTGCAGAGCGTACGAGGTGTCGTGTCAGCTTTGAAATTTTGAAACGGGGTCAGACAGTGCCATTGGTCTTAGCTCGAGGGTAAGGCCTTGAGGCCCAACAGTGTGAAGAATGTTTCTGAGTGGATCAAAATCATCAAACAGCTCAAAGCCAGAAAGGAAAGTGACCCGCCAGAACTTACGGCCATCCCGCCTTGTTGTGCGAAGAATGTGAAGACGATGTTATATCTCGATGAGTGGCATTTCGTTCACGTAGGGCGTATCATCGAATGCAATGCAGTGACGGCCCGGGGTACAGACCCCGTATTCCTGTGAACAGAAAAGTAATAAGCCTGCAACCACGACGCGAACACAGGCATCGAAATGTGAACCTCTCAGATCATCAGCCCGTCTTGGGCCCGTCCGCGGCTCGATCCCGTCATTTTGTTATAGACAACGTGGCCACCACGCGCAGTTGAGACCCGCGAAGAACAAGAACAAGTAACAGATGCACCTGAAACGATCCCAGCAGTGACGCCTCCCTTCGCCTGATACCTCCTCTCACCATCGCGCCATCGCGGGACCATCCGCACCTCCATAACACGAGTGTCAAACCTTATTCGCTTGTTATGGCAGCTGCGCGAGGATGGCAACTCGCGCCCAAAGTAGTGCGCAGGACAGCCGCCGGCACTCCGCATGGCAGTGACAGATGTCAGCGGAACAATTGCGGTGTGGTTGGAATGACTGTGGGAGCGGCCACAGAAGTCCACGCAAGGGAAAAGGTTGCGAGGGGCGGCCGCGGTGGTGGACCTGCGCCGACCGTGGACAAGGTGGAACAAGGCAGCCGTTGTCCTCTCCGACGTCGACACGGGCTGCGCAGGCCTCACGAAAGGGGCTGCAGCAGGAGAATCGAAGTTGGCCTGACGGCACGTCCGCGCTCACGAGTCGACACATCTCGGATGTCGACCGAGTCGACCGAAGAGCAACGTCAGTGCTGGACTTCTCGCAGGACGTGCATGCATCACCGATCGATCATGTACTTCGAGTTGCAGGATCTTCTCGAGGTTCCTGCGCTGCTATCTGGAACCCAATGTATGTAGTCTCGCCGCAAGACCCTCCACACGTGTGAGGGGTTTGTGTCGAACCTAGAACCAATCAAATGGTCCAGCAGTCGTATCAGGTACGCTGCACAGAGGCCGTGAGGGTCTTTCAGTCACCGCAATTTCTACGGAGCTCAAGACTCACATGACGGTACCACTCGAACCAGGCACAGGGGAATCTTCGCGGCCTCGAGGTGATGCTGCAGAGCGACAGGCTTGGTGGTCGTACCTCGCGCAAAGATGTAAAGGCGAAGTCAGCAGGACGTTGCAACTGCGTTGCGACGTGGCCACTTGGCGGCCATGTACGGAACCTGACAGGGTATCTAGGCAAGAAATTCAGGACATTGGTCGTATGCGACGCACGATAGCGACGCCACCGCCAGCAGGCATCAGTGAGATCCACGACGGCAATCGCACAACCTTGAGAGATCGAGTACTGACCGGACGATTAGGCTCCGTCGCTGTGCAGCGGCGGTGTTGTTGAGCGCAACATGGTGCACACCCGATCTCACTGTGCGGCACCGATCACGGAGTCGATCACTTATAGGCGTCGGTGGGTCCCGCACGACACCTCAGGCTCTGTACGCAGGTCCATGGTGAACGTTGTAACAGTCGGGCCGACGGGCAGACATGACGACGCGAATTTGCGAAACGAGCCCTAGAGACCAGATTCATCTGCGTTGTTCGTAGCAGGAGTCACGCTCGCGGGAACCGCACCACGAGACGACCCGACGTCCGACAGTTGGACAAGATACGCATCGCGATTAAATGCATTACAGGGGGCGGCCTCCGCTGTCAGACCCTGTTGGCCGCAGACAACAAGGCGGGCGGTCACCTGGATAGAGGTGTTTGACCCGCGAGTCAAGACGCGTGGGTCTGTCACTCAGATTCAGAATATTGAGCGGAAAGGACATAGTCCGCCACCGGGGGCGGATCTGCAGCTGGACGGACCATGCGCGATCGTAGGCAAGGATACGGATGTCTGTCGGGCCAGCAGTCGGCCCTCCGAGCGGGAGATGCGATGAAACCTGATATGCCAACAACTGGACATCAGCGGCCTTGGCTGCAGAGGCCCATTGATCAAAGTCGCTGGCTTCTCTGGCGACTGACACGCGTAAAGACCTGGAAGAGAGCGCTGTGGACTGATGCGTGCAGCGAAGAGCGCGCGGGAGGGGATTGAAGACGACCACCGTGTGGCGGACGGGGAGGTCCGAATGACAATTGGCGTTGGCGATTACCTAAGGAGCGCCCTGGGCTATATCTGGAAATGGCAGCTGTGGCACCGCCTCCGTGGTCCTAGCGGGGGGCGGTGCGAGGCTGGGCAGGGATGTGTGCATGACTCGGTGCGTGGACGTTCCTCGGAAGACACGGAGGATGCTGGAGGTGCGGCGAGGAGGAGGAGAGGGCGGGCTGGGACTTGGCTGGGACGCGAAAGATGGATCATCATGGACGCCGTAATCAGGCGGAGTCTGAAGCATGCCGACAGACAGACAGCGCGCATAAGTTGTCGAGTCGTCCCCGTCTGTCTCCCGTGGCCTTGACCCCCTCCTCCTCGTCCCGCACTGCCTCTGTCCTCCCTTCGCTTCCTGCACAGCCCCGCCTAGCCACTAGTACACACACCATCATCGCCTGTTCCCCAAGTACCTGCGGGCCTACAAAGCTCGGATACGCAGCCATGGATACGATCCTTGTGTCAGACTTTCAGTCCCCATCTAACGAGCTGGACGGCAATCAAATCGACGCGTCGCCAAATCTCGGCTCTCCCTACGACGCTTTTGACTTCGGTCCCACCGACTCCCACTTCCCCCACACGCCCTCCTACAACGGCTCGTACCAGAACTCCCCCTACTCCATCATCTCCGACCTCCCCTCTTTCGACGACGACAACGCCCTCAGCCTCTTCGACAACCCATCCGGAATCACCATCACGGAAGAATACGACCCAACGCAATACGATATACCCGACTCCGGTGATCTGCTGACACTTGATCAAGGATTCATGTCTGGAGAGGCCTTTCCGCACGTATCCATAACCCCCGCCCCCATGTTCGACTCAAAGGCCCCTGCGTCGAACGAGTCCGGCCCATTTGAACACAGCTCGCCAGCTTCCAGCAACGGAGCGGAGGACGACGCCCGGAGCCATGCGTCCTCCAACTCCTCGTTCCGACAGAACAACGGCTCACCCCACCTGGACTTCGAACAAAACTTCGAGGGCCTGCACTTCGAGTCGCCAGCGTGGCCTAACCGGAACCTACCCTCGTCCCCTCCAGTGCAGAAGGCCCCGTCGCCGCCCCAACTGGTCATCCCTGCCAGCCCAGCTCCGAGCTCGACCGGACTTGACGCGACGTCGCCTCCGACCATCAACGCACCTGCGGGCGATGGCATGCACACAGGCCCGCAACTCCACATCGTGCCCGCGACGCCCGTCAGTGGAGGTGCTGACGGGGCGCAACCATCCTTGTTCCAGTCCGTACCCTCGGGTGAGTGTTGTCTATTCTACTCGCAGTCTACTTGTTCATGTGTGTTCCCCCAGACCGTCAACAAGGGATGGCATCCTCAGATCCGACAAACTGGGATGTCCATGCGCAGCTGTCGCAATCCGGCCAGGAGCAAGGTGTGTTGCCCTCAGTTGCACAATCATGCATTGTCTCACGGCATGAAATGATAGTGGGTGCATCGGGAATGTCCTACGGCGGCGATGACACGTCGGGTGACACGTCGCAGGCCCAACAGTATTTGTTGGCGCAAGCGCCACAACGGTCGCGAAGCCTGTCTGATACATCGCTCAGACCTCTTACTTGGGATACTATGCCGATGCTGGGTGGCCATCATCAAGGGGCCGGCATGAGCGCTGATGGGGGTCTGTTGGGTTCTCACGACGGCAGACGGCCTGCGTCTGCAGGGACAGTCAACATGAATGATGTTCTCCCCGGTCCTCCTTCATCTAACCCCATCTTCCAGCACCAAGGTTCCTCCCTCAGGACCCAGCCGCTTCGCCATCCTGCCTCTGCTGGTCACGCCCAGAACTCCTTCGGCCCCCAGCCACTACAGCCTACCCTCTCGAATCAGTTCGGCTTCGGTGGCCTCAACCCTAACTTCGGCAACAACGACTTCCTTTCGCCCGACGTCGCCGCAGTCAACCTGCGCCGTGTCAAATCCGACAGTAGAGGACATCGCGCAGTGCGCTCCGAAGACTTCGGCTACGGCCCCCAGAGCTCTCCCTTCCTGAACCCCAACGGCATGTTGGTCCCTCCGCCGTCCGTCACTCAACAGGAGTTCCTGCGGAACGCGGCTACGCGCCAGTTCCTCCATCCCGCGGAGCCCGTCGCGTCAATACGTGGCCATCATCGACGCGCGTCTTCTGGATCACGCGAGCGCCCAGGCATGGGCGGCGTTACCGGTTGGAGCAGCGGGGCGAGCAGCGCGCGTGCGAGCCCGTACCCGTCGCCGTCGGCTAGCCCGCGGCCAGGGTACGGTCCGCTACCGGACATCGGTGGCATGCCCATGAACGTCAGTATGACCGCCATGCATCGTACCTCGTCGGGGACGATGATGACGACGGACATGGGCATGAACGGCGGGATGGGCACGATGGACACGACTACCGTGCCGACGCACATCGCGAAGGTGAATGTGACGACGCCCAGTACCGCGGATGCGAGTCAGAAGCGGCGGAAGCAGCCGGCAAACTTTGTGTGTCCCGTCCCTGGATGTGGAAGCACGTTCACGCGTCACTTCAACTTGAAGGGTGAGTCCCGTCGTGTGGTATGTTGCACAACACAGTTGAGCTGACGTGTCCATGTGTGCTGCAGGGCATCTGCGGTCTCACGCGGAAGAGAAACCATTCCAGTGCAAGTGGCCCGGGTGTGGCAAAGGCTTCGCCCGACAACACGATTGTAAGCGGCACGAGCAGTTGCACCTCAATATCCGCCCGTATCCTTGCGAGGGATGCAAGAAGAACTTTGCTCGCATGGACGCGCTTAATCGGCACTGTGAGTACACTCGTGATCGTCGTGTCCGTGTATAGTAGCTGATAGTCATCATATAGTACGGTCCGAAGGCGGCGCAGAATGTCGGAAGATACAGGATGAAGTCACTGTACCCCTCCCCGAGGGCATGGAGATGAAGGTCCCCGATGCCTCGCCCAACATGAAGCCCGACCCGGACGGCCCCTGGCAGGGCACCGGTGGTGGGTATGTCATGTAGTGATACCGGATATGAGTGATTGCTCCCATAAACGCTCATTTACGCCCTTGACGTTCATGTCCATCTTCTCGCTTATCTATTGGGTTCTGGCTCCTGCTATGGCTACCCTACAGCTGGACGCTTCAAGCGAATTCTTGTTTGTGTATTGTACCAGTCGTATACGCGTTGCTCTCGGCCCGAGTCCTCGCATTGCTTTTCTCGTCCCTCGCTGTCAACGTGTTCCATGCTGGTCTCTCGTCGTCTCCCACAGAAGTTTTAATCCCTGTAGTCTTTCCCATCCATACCTAGTCTCGAACCGTGCCTAACCAATCCTTGTAGCCTAGACACCCGGTAGAAGCTGGAGACTGTTATTTATTGTACTCTCAATGTTTATGACAAGAAGAATAACGTTATTGTATTTTCTTTGTGCGATGTCTTTTGTCCTTGTCATTGTCAACGGGTATGTCGACGCTGCTCGCTGTGGCGTTTAGAAGGTGTGCACGCTGTGGCGCACATGGGCTGCACTCAGGCTCGCTTCCGCTAGCTCCGGTCTGTCGCCGAGGCTCCTGTCGACCCCCACAGGCTCCTCACCGCCTCCCATGCGTGCAGCTCACCGCCTCTGACCATCCCACCTCAACACACCTCCGCATCACATCGACCACCAGACAGCTTCTGGCTGGCGCGCAAACGTCACCGAACAGCCACGGACAGCTCGGCCCAACTCGCCCAGTTGTGTGGCACGGGACAAGGCTGCACATCTAGCCTTGCTCGGACATTGTAGCTCTAACTCTCTGCCTGCGACCTGCTGGAACTCAATCGCCCACGGCGACTTCTCGTGTCTCCCCACCGTTCCGTGTCTAGCCAGGGGGTGGCGACTCGGCGGTGACCCGACCTTGTGCTTTATACCGACCACCGACTCGCCATGGCTCGCGGGATCTCGACGCTGCTGACCTCGACGACGCCGCGCGCACTCGCCCCGGCGAGGGTCTCCATTGGACATGTGTGAGTGTCTCACTGTGGTCTCTATTCTTGTTGGCCGTGGAGATTGGGCGGGTCTCGGCGGATGCTTCACGTAGAGTGGCGAGCGCGCAGTGGCCGTCCGGCCGCTCGGATGTCGGTTGGCGATCCTATAACGAGGCTATCGAACGTTGGCTTTCGAGATGCGCATCGCAGCATTGCGGGAATGACAATCCGAGACGGTAGCTATGGGTATATGCGTCGGATGCAACGCCACAGGGTATACTCTAGCTTTGTGCGTAATGTATGGACGAATGCAAGCTCGGTGCCCCCCCCCCCCTTAGATTTTGGCCGATACCTATCCCACTATGTTCGAAATCGGGATGTCTTCTGTCGTTGAGGTCTCTCGGGCAGTACGCTTCTCCCTTGAATCTCTATGATCGCCTTCCGCATTGTGGTCATCTGAAACCATATGAGCTGACAGTGTACTGCTTCCTGTAGACAGCTCCGTGATGTTGTAATCTGCCCCCATGACAAGGGCCTAGTAACTTATCCTCACCATTTCTCTATTGTGGAACACGACATACACGCCCCCAATTCGGTATGTTGCACTCTATCTCCGTTGTTCAATCATCATCTTGATCTCTCCTCTGGCAGGCTCCCCGGACACTTGCCGAACTCGATTTCATTCCCAACTCCGTGTCTGCTCTTCCAATCCCCGGCACAGATGACACTGTACTCGCAGCGGGTGGTCAAGAGGCCGAGCTGTACCTCAGCGTGTTCTCTTCCACTTCGAGCGGCTACAGCAGCACAGGAATCCCTCGCCGACCAGCGCGAGGATTCGGAAAGAAGCAGTGGGAGAACAAGTTCACCATCGAACCAGGCTCTATCAACAACTCTGTGTCCCTCACATCGATCAACCTGACGCGGTCAAACGAAAGCAGTGTTGAGCCCCGCTTGGTCGTGAGCAACAACGACCACACCATCAAGTTCTTCGAGATTGGCATGCGACGGAACAAATCAAACGCGCCGAGACTGCAGGACGGCGGCCAGCTCAAGTTAGACGTCGCTGTCAACCATTGTGAGTGATTGTGCTGCGCCTCATCAAGATCCCTCGCTAAAGATAGATGCAGCGTCCATCTCCCCGGACGGACGGACGCTCCTGTGCGTCGGCGATTCGCCCGATGTCTTCTTGTATCGCATTAGGGGCGGAGCACACCTCAGTTTCGATCCGATATCGAAGCTGTCACTCGCACCATATATCGCCAATAGCCCTTACTACTACACGCCTTCGACATTGTCGATCAACTCGGTTCCCGCGTCGTTCTCAACTGCGTTCTCCGCTGATGGCTCCAAATTTGTTGTTGGGTCGCAAGAGGGGGCTGTGGTCGTGTGGGATGTGCGCAGCACGAAGCCGCTGAAGGTGATGCAGACGAATAAGCACAGGGGATTGGAGCGGATTGCGAACGGCGAGGCAAGCGGATATCTGTACGATCAGCCATGGGACTGGACGAGGGGAGCGGGTAGTGCACCCGGGTGGGGTGTCCGGAGTTTGAAGTTCAGCCCATCTGGCGTCGGACGAGAGGTGCTGACCTTCACGGAGGTACGGCTCCAACCACATCCCACTGCACTGTCTGACATTGATCCTTTCATTTCGCTAGCACACGGCGCTCGTCCATGTTATTGATGCCCGGACCTTCGAGAAAGAGGAGATCATACGCATGCCCACTCCCGCCGCACGACCAGTGCTGGAGACAATGCCCATTCGGCCAAGATCAACATCACCGCCTATCCCACATCCTGCTAGTTTCTCATCGATGGCGAACATACGCTCGTCGCCACCCCCGCGGATAGTCCTCTTCAGTGGTGCACTCGAAGACACCTTCCGTATACCCTCAACCTCGGAGACCAACTCACGGAGGAGAGCCCTTGGCCGTCGGTTGCGCGGCAGTGGCAGGGATGATGTCAACCCGGATGACGATGTCGACGGTATCGTCGTCATCCCGCCGTTAGGCGATCCTCAGGTAGAGGACGACGTCCGCCGGCTCCTCAGCGAGCAAGGCCTTCGCACACGGTCGGCGGTCCTCGATCGTGGCGAGGTTCGGGACACCGCTATGAGCGAACGAGAACGCGACCCTCCAGAAGATGACGATGCGATGGACGTTGACGAGCCTGAATCCGACTGCTTCTCGTCGCATACCCCGTCGCGCGCGTCCTCGCCTGCTCTGCCTCCGACTCCGCATCCACCCTCACGTTCGGCCGACCATCTACGCGTGCCCTTCCCGGTCTCGCTCGCGCCACGCGAGAGCGTGCAACGGCTGTCGTCGCGCCGGCGTAGACGCGTAAAACCCGCGGAGCCGGAGGTCGACGTCGACCTGGCGGGTACGTGCTTCGACCCGACGGGCTCGTCGATCTACGTCGCGTCCGTGAAGGGTATCGCGGAGTGGACCGTGCGCGGCGCGGAGCAGCGCTGGTGGACAGACCCCGAGTGGGCGTGAAGCGGTGTGCGGTTTGTAATTGTGTGTCTGTATCTGTGTCTGCTTGCTCATGCTGTGTGTGGTACATCTCTCCCTTCCGAGTCTGTATACTCCCTGTCGCTATTGCGGATGGTGGTTCCTACATGTCTACATGTATGTATGATTATGCACGCTATCGGATTCTCAATTGTACCTGTTTTACGAGACGTCATGACTATCTATTGCCTATGTTCGGATTTCTGAGTGCACTGAAAGTTTGAACTTGTTTAGGACCTGTGACCCTTGACGTTTGGCTTCATATGTGCCCACTCGTTTCGAACGGTCCCTTACAATCTGAAATCTCCGCTGGCCTCAGTTCATGTAGCCAGATGTAGCCGGACGTTCCGCGACTCGAGTTAGCTCGAGTTGTCCCCCGAGACACGCTTGTGGCGCGGCCGGACTTCGGCACACGTGTCACAGACACGATCGAGATGGATCTCGCTTGAGGCGACGCGTCGCGACGCGTCCTCAGCGAGACCAGCCGGTAGCGTACACGGACCCTCGTTGATACCTGATTTACTAGATACAACTCCCAAATTTTACTAGGATGTGTGTCTCTGCGTAAGAGGCGCTGTCCCTGGGTGTACAGATAGAGTGTGGGAACCGTTGTCACGCTTGCCCTTGGGGAAAGACTCGCCTGCCCACTGTAAAATGGTTCAAGTCAAGACGCCTCGGCTGTCTGCAGTAAGAGTGAGATATGTCATACACGAAGGCTAATGACAGCCGCACGACATCACTAGGTGAAAGGGGGAAGTGACTTCGAGGAGTAATTTCATAATGTCGACCCGCCGTCGTACGGTTATGGTTGAAGCCAAGAAAATAGGACGGGCCGCACCCAGGGTAGGCGCCACGCTGCGACTCACAGAATGCTGGAATGGATGGTATGACTTATGGGATCCATGAGCGGCCTCGTCGGTCGACAGTCCCTGCATTCTCCTCGCATCTGCGACGTGATGGGCCGGCTGCGAAGATGGACATCACGATTGGATGTCCATGCATACCAAATCTAGCTTGCTCTGCTGCCCGACTGGTGACTGCCTGCCAAGGATGTGGCATGCCCTCCCGGCTCCATGCCAGCCATCTTCGCACTAGTTGCAGCTTGCGCGCCACTGGCGACGGGCATGTCGTCGCAGCTTCCACCAGACACTGATAGGCTTGAATCAACGGCGGAACGGTGGCAGACTTCTTCTATGTCCGTATATATAAGTACAGTTGGCAGCCTTCCAGGAGTCATGTCCCCCGCATCCAGGTAATGAGTGTCGGTGGTTCATATTTGCTCCTGCCCTTGCCCGCACTCCCATAACCGGGAACCTGGGTAGCGGGTGTGATCGATCTCGATTCGCCGACGCAGGCAGCAGGCCGCGCTCGAGCTTGGTCCGTGCGTGCCCCGGCAGGAATCGCTACGCAAAGTTGTACGTCGAGGACCAAGGCACACATGTCTCGAAGCTTCGAGGGCGGCTCGCGCTCCGTAGCACCGCGGGTATGACGCTGCGTTGGTGAGAGCGCGTCCGGATCCGTGGCTCGCTGCATCTGGCTCGCGCATGTGATCGGTTCCTAGACGTGTCGCTTATGATTAATCCCGCGTGCCAGGACGGGAAAGTTCTGCAAATGACCTGGTCCAGCGTCCCCTGACCCGAAAATATTGTTTACGCCGCCCACAGTCCTCGCAGTGCTCGGGCGGGCTGTTTGAGCAGAAGGGGAAGCCACAAAGGGCGCGTCCGGACACGCGTAACACCGCACAGCTGGAATGGTTACGGAACCTTTCAATTGTCGTCCGGCTCGCGTTCGCGCGACACACCGCCGACTAGCGCCCATAGGCGCCCATGGGATTACATAAGGCCCGGCAGACGCCGACGACGCGACGCGCTCACTCCGACTCGCCGCACCCGCGTCTCCCCTCCCACACGTCCCCCACGGATAACGCGCTCGCCAGCCAACACACACGCCCCCGCCGTCCCCTTCGCTCGTACGCTGCTCGTCGTCCCAGAACACGCGTTCATCGCCACCATGGCGACCCCGTCGTCTTCCGCGACGACTCCCTCGCCCCAGCTTGCGTTCATGCAGCCCCACACGCCCGTCGCCCCTGCAACCCCCGCGACGAACGGCCTCACCGCCACCGATAAAGAGGAGAGGGAAAGAGCGGTACAGAAGTTCCTCGCTAGGGCCGAGATTGGCAAGGTATGTGCGCGATTTCCACTCTGATCTGTCGGAGGGGTGGCTGCGCGGGCCTCCTCCCTGTGGGCCTGAATACGCGTGTCGAGCGCAATAGTTCTCATTTAAACTCGTGTGGTGCACCATCCCTTGACTTCACCATCCCTCTCCGGAATTTCAAGCCGTAACATCTTCGCCCTTATTTTTTGCTTGCCGGGCTTTTTGCGTCTACAGGCCGGTTCGTATTTCGGGGGCGGTACATTTGCACCGAGCACCGGGGTGTTTCCTGTCCTCCATCCACCTAGCAGTTCTCGGTGTGTTATATGCGCCTTTTTTGCGCCACATCCTCTTCGTCAACATGTCCCGAAATGAACCTGACTAATCTCCATTCGTATTTTTCTTCAGCTCACTCGCGGCCTCCGGACGCGTTTATCGTACGCGTCATTCAAAGCCACGAATAATCTAGCGCACAATACGCTTCACGACCTCGAGAATGACGCGCGATTGCAGTCCCGCGCCGCGGCTCATCGGACTGCCAACTACTACAACAACCCCGCCACACAAGGTAACACTGGAATGACACCTGGTGGACGTGGGCGTACGCCTGGCCGTAAAGGCCCTATGGGCCCTCCTGCCCCAGTCACCGCATCTGCGACGCAGAGCTTATTCGCGACCATTCTAGCGCCGCCACCCGCTAAACGGGCGCGCACAATTCATAATCCTCAGGACCCCCCTGTCCCCGCCCCTGCAAAATTGCAAGCACCTTCTCCGTCACACAAACCAAGCAAGTCATCCCGCAGTGCAGAGAATACCACCGCCAAGCCGAAGCGTAAGAGAGCTCGGGAAAGCAGTGGCGCAAAGGGCAAGGGGAAACAACACCCCACGGTGAACAGCACTGCGGATATGGATATTGACTACGCAGCTGCGACGGCGCTAACATCGCTGTTGCTCTCTTCGAAGGCCTCGAAATCTGCGACAGCATCCTCACCGCGATCGAGCATATCGGCTGGGTCGGACGCCGGGTCGTCTCATTCATTCCCCCACTTCCAACAGAGCTCTACGCGTACTGTTGCTGGACCCGCCTCAATCAGGTCAGAGGCCTCCTTTGGCATGTCACAGCCTCGTTCAGGCACCCCTGCGTCAGCCGCTGATTCCACAATGCACCTCCACTCGAGCAATTTGCACGAGGAGGGAAGGAGTACGCCCAAGACGGGCAGGCGGCCTATGTATGCGTCCGATCACTCGGGCACGCCCCATCCGCCCACTGATGCCGAAGCTGCGAACTCGCTACTCTTCCTGGCAACTTCGCCGTCGCCCGTGCGCGCTTCTGCGGCTCGTGACCGTGATAGCAAAGACGCGGCGGCCTTCCGTACCGGCTCGAACCTCAAGGGACGCGTCCTATTCCCTACGCACGGAGGCGGTACTGGAGGCGGTGGGGATGACGCGTCCAGCAGTGGTGGTCGGTCATTGCGCAGAGAAGATACCGGCAGCTTCACGTCCACCGCGTCAACCACCTCCAGCCAGTTCTCGATTGGCAGCATGGCACACATATACAATAGGTACGCGCAGAATCGGCAGATGTCGGGCTCGCCGATGAACACGAGTCCCAATTCCGGTACACCGAACGCATCGCAGTTACCCGTGCCCAAAGAACCCACCGTGACTCCACCCACCCCGACAGAGCCCGCCGTGCCCAATCTGTTGCCCGCGGCACCATCTCCCACTCGTACAGACCGTTCATACGCGTCTCCGCCTCCCGCCTCGCCAGAGCCGCAATCGGAGTCCGCACGTGCGCAGCCCGTCAGGCAGCCGGTCGACAGCACACCTGGCAATGGCTCATTCAACCTGAGCGACTTCATCAATGTCTCGCCTTCACCTGCGGTTGCTGCTGGATCTATGTCGCGGTTGGGGTCGATGACAGAGGTCGGACGGAGATTGTTCGAGGAGCACCATGCGGCTCCAGGTGCAGCGCGGAGTAGCGATACTAGCGCGTCCGGCGCAGGGGGCGCGCTGGCGGCCGGGATCGATTTGTCGCGGAGCTGAGGGCGTGCGAGGGACGTCGTCCTGGAGTGGTCGTGATGCCGCCAGTCCCTGTCTATAGCCGATGTATAGCCGATTCTACGTCGAGGAAGGACTTCGTGCTGTACGAGTTGTTCACTAATCACCGGACCCTCAACTGTAGCCCCACCGCTGACCGCCAGATATCCCGCACCGCCCTCGCCCGGCCGTCCTATTTATCCTCTTCGCGTTCCACTCGCTCTGTCGCTGAAGCTCTGCACGCCCTCACGACCCTGTTCACGACCGCTTCGTCTCTCACAGGTACTATTTATGTGCAAACCAATTGTATTGGCCCTCGGGCGTCGGGACGGTCTCCTTGTAGCCCAGCCTCCATTATTCCTCCCATTCGCCTCTCGTCGATGTTCGCCCTTCCTTCGCGTCACTCTTCGCTTTTCCCTTTGCTGTGAATAGCATGTGTGTATCTTTGCCCGTTCGTCGCTCGCGCCCACAGATGATAATTTGGGCCGACGATGACACGCTGGCGTCTAGCCCACTTTTGTCCCTCCTTCAGTCAACCATCTCCTACTTCGCCTTCCGTACGCATCTGCGCTTATTCTCATCCTGTTACCGTGTACCGGGTCCATCGTCGTTCATTTGATTATCGTTTCTCATTCCTGATTAGCTTTGCTGTGCTCCGCGTGTCGTGGCATATCTTACTCCGGCTTCTCATGTACAGTAGCTATCTAATGAATTTCACCTTCAACAAGCACTAGATACGCTCAATGCGCAAGGATATGTGGAATCAGTATGGCACCGTCGTCGTCCACAACCACTCTGCGCGTACGCGTAACGCGACCATGCCATGTTCACGTGATCGTATCGAATTCGAACCTCGCGACAGCTGAGCCGCTTTAGCAGTCTACAGACATGTACCGCTTTTCATGTACCCTTGCAAAGCGGTACTCAAGGAGCTGGAGCACGAAATGACAGGACTTCAAGAAACACATCGCAATAATGTGAAGACAGGGCTGGTCCTCACAACTGGCAGTGCCAATGGCTGGTGGGCCGTCGAACACCTCATTTGCTCAGCGCCCAGGCCTCCGCCATCACACTGAAACATCTACTGATGGCAATGCTGACTGGCGGCCAACAACGTAGATGTTTATGCAATGTCCAATTGTCGACTCACGACAGGCTCCTCGACAGGTTCTACACCGCTGCCCGAAGGCGTCTCTACAACCTCGTCGGGCGTCGTCATGAGCTTGTACACCATACTGTCGTACACACGCATGTAAACCACCTGCGAAAGAAGCAGCTGCGGCTTGTGTGATTTAGCCTTGCATGCTTCCTTGTGGTCCTTCCAGTGGCTCCTTTGACACGTCGCACTGCAGTAGCAGATCTGCAAACGGGTCAGATGGGTCAGATGATGGACTTCACAACAGGTGGAGAGCGACACGAACCAGTCTACAGCCACTACAAAGTTTCAGAGCAAGATTTGGCGGCCCGGAGCAGCCTGCCGTACAACCCGGGCGCTCGCACTGCTTGTAGAGCGGGCCACCGTCTATGCCGACTTTGGAGCACCTCTCGATCTGGTGTACATCCCGCTGATCGGCACCCAGGGCGATGTAGTCATCTACTGCAGCGTTCCACTCCTCCGCACGACGCTTGTTGTCTATTTTGCTGTACTTGCGTCCCCAGAAACTATGCAAACGCAGTCTGTCAACGTAACGGTAGAGTGTGGTGTCTGCCACGGAACGTACATTGGAATGGCCACGCCTACCCATTTGCATTTCTTCATGGCGTACATGAAGGCCGGATCTGACATGCCGACCTGCTCCACCATCGTCTCGACGCCCATCCTGAACGCCTCGATTGCCTCGAAAGTCGCGAGCCGCTCGTGTCTCGCAGCCTCCGACAAGGGGTCCGACAAGGGGGGCTCGGGGTCGTATGGTATATCAGGCTCGTCCGTGCCGTGCCGAATGCGCCTCGACTGCACGAACTGCTGCAGCTGCATGCTCCATACCTCGAGGAACTCAAAGTCTCTGCGCTTGCAGCATTTCTTGTACACCTTGTCCGAGCCGCATGCGCAAAGGAAGTGCGCCGGGTACGGTTGTGGCCCTGCGCCGTGACATTCGGCGATCAGTTTCCCTGACCAGCAGGGACATGGTCTCGGAGGACGCCCGGTATGTTCGCCCAAGGTACGGATGACGCGGGCGAAGCGACGAGACTCTGCCAGGGCGTCGAACCCGGGATATCGACTGGTGCGATCTGGAGGCGGTGGCCGCGCGCCATGTTGGAGGAGGAGCTTGATGAGAGACCAGTCCTTCGCCTTGCAGGCGTGCAGGAGCGGGGTCTGCTCGTCAATCGTGATGTTGACGATGGCGTGTTGCTCGATGAGGATGGTTGCTGCTTTGATCATGAGCTTGGTCGCGTTGTCCTCGAATGGCTCATTGCGGGCACGCAGGACACGGTCTGCTCTGCAGATAGCTTCGACTTGGCGCATGGCGAAGACGAGCGGCGTCCAGCCGAGGGCGTCGGGCTCGTCGATATTCGCACCCATGCGTATGCATTCGTATATGAGCGGGATGTCCATGTGCGCGATGGCGAAATGCAGATGCGTCCGCTTGAGCGCGTCCGTGAACTCTTCGTCCTGCCAGTCAGCAGAAGGAGTCGACGTGCCGATGGGGGGTATTGGCAGCATTCGGTTCTGGTCGCGTAAGATCAAGGTGCAGTCAGGGCTACACTTCTTCTTGATCACTGCCGCACGAAAATGCTCGTGCTCCTCGTCGCATATGCTGGAGTGGGTAGCCCAGCGCCCGGTCCTGAGGTCGTCGAGCATCTTGGCCGGCAGGCAGGGATGCGCATCCTTGCGCCAGTATTCGCAAATTGGCATGGCTGTGAACAGAAAGAGGTCATTGAGTGGGAGAGCTGGTCGGTTGTCATGATGTGCGCGGTTTTGGCCCCAGGCACGCCCGACATCGTTTCGATATTGGGAGGCGTGATCGCGTTGTGGCTGACTGCCGCGCCGGGTCACGGTCATGCGCCGTCGCAAGTAACGGCGGTCATGTCACGCATTCTGAGGAGGAAAGCGAGCGGACAAGGCACTCAGGTTACGGCAGTACTTATGGGCATTGCAGTAGGACGATGTCGATGCAATAGCCGAATACAACTGCAAGGTCCCCCGAATGCTGTCGCTGTAAGAGCACTCATGCAAAACATGAGGCCTGGAAATGGACACTCCACGTGCGGCGCCTGAGCAAATGGGATGGAGGTGGCTCAACCTTGCACGATACAGCACTAGAGGCTTTCTCTCTTCACCGACTCTCGATATGCAGGGCTCTCGCTTGTGCTGAATTCTCTGTGCGACGAGTCCCTCGCCTCAGAAGAGAGCGAAGATGGCTCTACAGCTGTGGCAAGATCGCCCACGTGAACCTTATATAGCAAAGGCGGCCGATTTGGAACGCTCACCTTCGAGTCAACTTTCTGGTTGAGCCTCGCCAACTCGTCTCGGATTTCGTCCATACCAGGGCTGCCAATCTACTCCGGGCTCCTCCTTCCTATCATCTGCTGGAATGGCCTCCTATCTTCGCAGCTGGCTGTACAGCCAGGCCCCGGAATCGACAAACCTTCCTAAACCGAGCGATGCACCAAGAATCGTCGAAGACTCAGAGGTTCCAACCATCACGACGGAGGATGACGACGATGACTCTTCGACAGTTCATGGAGATGACGAAGACGACGTCGCGCCGTCGTTCCCCGCGCTCAATAGCGCACAGCGACTGGGCACTCAACAATCTGGCAGCGTGCCCCGTATCTTGAGCGACGCACAGCTGATGCCCCCGCCTCCCATGCCATCGTTGGCTGTACGACGACCCGGGGTGCCGAGTGGTAGTTCACTCGCGGTCCCACCTTCCACGACGAAGCCTCCGCCGAAGCTATCCACGAAGCGGGGTAAGGTCGCGTTAGCGCCAGGACACGGGCCGTTGGATTGGGCGAATCTGAAGAAGTCCGGGCAAGATCTGAGGGTTCGTACATTCCCCGCTCCTATTCAGGGTGTCAGTCTGACGTGGTCCATCCATTAGGGTGTTGATACGCTGTTGCGGGTGACGCCTTCAATGCTGAAGGAGCATAGAACACGAGACGACGCGTGGTCTGCGTTTAATGGCAAGGTGTATAATATCACGTCGTATCTGCCGTACCACCCCGGAGGCGAGAAGGAACTGATGAGGGTGGCAGGCCGAGATGGGAGCAAGCTATTCGGTGGGTCTATTCACTCTTGTGGCGCGCTTGACATGCCCATAATGCCTGCAGCCCTTACGCACGCATGGGTCAATCTCGACTACATGTTGGACACTTGCCTCGTCGGCTTCTTGGTCCCGGAGTCATAGTGGACTTTATGCGGACGTTTTAGAGGTTCAGCGTCCATGAATGCGTCTTGCTATCGATTCACTGCCCTTAACGACGTTACCCGCATTCTACCCACGTTACTACTGCACAAACTCCCATAGGTCGGACATTACCCATACGTCGTCTCTGCATATCTAATACAGGAATATTTATCGGGACCACGATCAATCCCCTTCACTGTTCAATTATGCCGGTGTAGTTCTGTACCAAGGTCAATGCAATGTCCTGAGGATCTCAACTTACTGTAGTGGGCCCCCGAGATGGCATTCCCGAAGGCGCGGTTGATTTGCAATCATTTTTGGCTGAATAAGTCAGCTAAGCGACACGTAAGGCCATTTGACGCCAAAAATGTGTGTGCATGTCATCGACGCGTTCGTCAGCGCGGCGAGCCCATCTCTTCCTCTTCCTCCGCCATTCACTTGTGCGGCCCACTCACGATACACAAGAGGTATGTCGGCCGCTCGGTCTATTCCTACCAATTTCTGACATTCTCGTCTCTCTCAGACGACAACTTGCACCTGGCGGGTCGCATACAGTCACGCTCGCCTGACCAGTCATATCTAATCGGACTTGCACATCCAGCAAGTGTGCAGGTGGTGCAGTGCCGCTGGAACACGTTCTCCGTCGATAGAGCACACTGCCGACTTCATTGCGTATGAACTTTCTCGCCAGCCTTAGAACAGCTCGGACACCTGCTACGCGGACATGTAGCCGCCAACTACTCTCGCTCTCGGAACCCGGTCCCTCGAGGTTAGCACCGCAATTGCCGTCTAGAGTCCCGAAGTCCTCGTATGCACCACGGCGTTCCTTCTACTCAACGACAGTCAACGACTGGCAGTCCTCGTTGATTGCGCAGTATCCGAGGTGGGTGAACAACAAAGCTCACCATGCACGGACAGTGCCAGAGATCAAGGAGGGAGAGGATGCGGACTCGGACAAGTCAGAAGTAGTGCGCATGGATGGCGAAGAGGACGGCCAGGCTCCTCCAGCCCAGTCAGCGCCTCCCGCATCGTCCTCGTCATCGTCCTCGTCCGGGGACAATCCGGAAAGCAGCGACCCTCCGTCATCACCACCTCCCGAACCACCCGCGCCTCCACAGACGTCAATATCCAAACAGTCTGTCCCGGAAGTCTATCCCCAGGTCCTGGCACTCCCCATCGCTCGTCGTCCCCTCTTCCCCGGTTTCTACAAGGCAGTCGTCATTCGGAACCCCGCGGTCGTTGCAGCGATCAAGGAGATGATGCGTCGCGGCCAGCCGTACCTCGGTGCGTTCCTTCTCAAGGACGAGCAGACGGACAGCGACGTGATCACGGACATCAACTCGGTGCACCCTGTCGGCGTGTTCGCGCAGATCACGAGCGTGTTCACGGCGGGCGGTAAGGAGGATGACAAGGAGGAAGGGCTCACGGCTGTTCTGTACCCACACCGGAGGATCAAGATCACGGAGCTGATCAAAGGCGGCAGTGCAAAGGTCGAGTCTGCAGAGGAGCCTGCACAGGAGTCTGCGTCTGCGGAGGAGTCTTTACCTACGCCGCCACCTGAGCCGACTGGTACACCAGGTATGCTGACCCCAGTTCGTTGCGTGATACCACGATCGCTGAATGTCTATTAGGACCCATCCAGACCTCGTTCCTGCAGAACTACGCGATTTCCATCGTCAATGTCGACAATCTCGAGACGCTGCCCTACAACAAGGACGATCAGTACATCCGGGCGTTCATGTCTGAGATCGTCTCTGTGTTCAAGGACATCGCGCAGCTCAACCCGCTCTTCCGCGACCAGATTACCAACTTCTCCATCAACCAGGTTGCGTCGAACGTTTTCGATGAGCCGGACAAACTCGCCGACTTCGCCGCGGCAGTCTCTACCGGTGACGTGAACGAGCTGCAGGACGTCCTCGAGAGCCTGATCGTCGAGGATCGTCTGCGGAAGGCGCTTCTCGTGCTCAAGAAGGAGCTGATCAACGCCCAGTTGCAGAGCAAGCTCGCGCGCGACGTGGACAGCAAGATCGCGAAGCGCCAGCGAGAGTACTACCTCATGGAGCAGCTCAAGGGCATCAAGAAGGAGCTCGGCATGGAGTCGGACGGGAAGGACAAGTTGATCGAGAAGTTCAAAGAGCGCGCGGCGGCGCTGAAGATGCCCGAGGGCGTGCGGAAGGCTTTCGACGAGGAGCTGAGCAAGCTCATGCACCTCGAGCCGTCCGCGTCCGAGGCGAACGTCACGCGGAACTACCTCGAGTGGCTCACGCAGATCCCGTGGGGCCAGCACTCGCCAGAGAACTACTCGATCGCACACGCACAGAAGGTGCTGGACGAGGACCACTATGGGCTCAAGGACGTCAAGGACCGTATCCTCGAGTTCCTCGCGGTCGGCAAGCTCAGGGGGACGGTCGAAGGCAAGATCATCTGCTTGGTGGGACCGCCTGGCGTGGGCAAGACGTCAATCGGCAAGTCTATCGCTCGTGCGTTGAGCAGGCAGTTCTTCCGATTCTCTGTCGGCGGCTTGACGGACGTTGCGGAGATCAAGGGTCACAGGCGTACTTATGTTGGGTAAGTTGCCCGTACAGGTAGTGCTAGACTCGAAGTATTGACCACGTCCTAGGGCATTACCGGGCAAGATCATCCAGGCATTGAAGCGAGTCGGGACGGAGAACCCGTTGGTGCTGATTGACGAGGTTGATAAGATTGGCCGAGGAATCAACGGCGACCCCTCTAGTGCGCTCCTTGAGATGCTGGATCCCGAACAGAACAACGCCTTCCTTGACCATTAGTAAGTTGCCGCTCAGAATGCCTAGCGCGGCTATTGATGGTGATCCCAGCATGGATGTTCCTGTTGACTTGTCCCGCGTTCTCTTCGTCTGTACCGGTGAGTCCATCAGCCATGCGTCCGATGATGGCTGTGACTTACGCCTTATGTCACAGCAAACACTCTTGACACCATCCCGGCGCCCTTGCTGGACCGCATGGAGGTGCTTGAAGTTAGTGGATACGTCTCGGAGGAGAAGTGCAAGATCGCCGAGCAGTACCTGCAACCGCAGGCCAAGGAATCGGCTGGTCTGAAGGACGCCGATGTTCAGCTGGATCCGACTGCGATCGATGTTCTCATCAAGTACTATGCTCGCGAGAGTGGTGTACGGAACCTGAAGAAGCACGTCGAGAAGGTACGCTGCATCAGTATGGCACGTTGAATAACGCTCACCACATTTCGTAGATCTACCGCAAGGCTGCCTTGAAGCTGATCCAGGACTTGGGGGAGGACGCATTCCCCGAAGCAACTGCCAGCGCTGCCGAGGACAAGGACAAGGGCACGACAGTAGAGAAGCAGGAGCCGCCTCCGAACGACCCCGCCGCGCCGGAGTCTACCGTCCCGAAGACAGACAAAGAGGGCCCGTCTGAGCTCAAGGTCACCACTGTCGAACGCAAGCCGTTGAAGGTCCCCGACACCGTGCATGTCCGCATCACGCCGGAGAACTTGAAGGACTACGTCGGGCCGCCGATCTACTACCGCGACAGGATGTATACTAGGCCTCCGCCGCCGGGTGTTAGCACCGGTCTGGGATATCTGGGTAATGGTTCGGGAGCGGTCATGCCGATTGAGGCTACTGTGAGTAACCCGTCAATTGTTGTTGTGACTATGCGTCTGACGTCCGAATAGACGATGCCTGGCAAAGGTGGTTTGCAGCTCACCGGCAAGCTCGGAGAGGTCATCCGGGAGAGCGCTCAGATCGCTATGAGCTGGGTCAAAAGCCACGCCTACGAGCTCGGGATAACGTCGACGGCGGACGAGCAGTTCATGGTTGATCGGGACATTCATCTCCACATGCCAGAGGGCAGCATTGGCAAGGAAGGGCCCAGCGCTGGCACTGCCATTACGACGGCGTTGGTATCCCTCTTCACCAAAACTAAGGTCAACCCTGATATCGGTACGTTCACACATGTGTTGTCGCCGTTCACTTTACTGATATTCTCTGTAGCTATGACTGGTGAGATCTCCCTTGTTGGACAGGTACTGCCCGTTGGTGGTCTGAAGGAGAAGATCCTCGCTGCGCACCGCGCAGGCATCAAGACGATCATCGCGCCCGAGGCCAATCGTCCCGACATCGAGGAAAACGTCCCAGAAAGCGTGAAGACTGGCATCCGGTTCGTGTACGTCGAGGACATCCGGGAGGTCCTGCACGAGGTGTTCCGCGGCGAGCCGGTCGCGGATCGGTGGAAGGACACGCTTGCCCTGCCATGATCGTCGTCCGTTACGTTCGTTAATTGCTGTGTCGATATCCGTACCATTTGCACTAGGTTAGAGCACGCTTGTCCCACGGCGACATTACTACAATATCTGTATATTATCAACGCGCCCAACCCAGCTCCATGTATCATCAGCATCGTACTACTCAGAGAATCGTCCGTGTTCTCGCAATCCGGGCTATCGACCTTGAGGTTGAACATGTGAGTCTCGTTCGCAGTGCGGTGCGTCTAGACGCGCGTACGCCCAGCACGACCTCAGGCTGTTCCGGCCATCCATATAGTCTACTGTTACAGCGATCCTCTGTTCTTGCTGCCTGGTCTCTGCTATCGCCTGTGCTCTATGTCCGCCATGAATGTCTGTGCAAGGACGCCAGGGCTATTGCGTCTATCGCCGACTGCTCACTTTCTCCTTCGCGGACCAGGACTCGTTCTCAGAGCACACAATTCTACGTCTGCAGTGCCAAATATTATGCTGGCCACGTTCATGAGAGGCGGTACGTCGAAGGGCATATTCCTGAAGCGTGCAGACCTACCGAGCGACACCGCCCAGTGGGACCCCATCTTCCTGGGCATCATGGGTTCGCCCGACCCTAAGTACGGGCGACAACTCAACGGCATGGGCGGAGGCGTCTCGAGTCTCTCCAAGGTCTGCGTCGTCGGGCCGCCGTCGGAGGAGCAGCGCGCCGCGGGCATCGACGTCGAGTACACCTTCGCCCAGGTGGGCATCCGCGACGAGCTCGTCGACTACTCCGGCAACTGCGGGAACCTCTCGAGCGTGATCGGCGTCTTCGCGCTCGACGAGGGCCTCTGCGTGCCGCGCGCCATAGACACGTCCGCGCGCGTGCCGACCGCGACGGTGAGTGCGTGGAACACGAACACGCAGAAGCGCATCGACGCGACGTTCCCCGTCTTCCTGGAGAGCGAGCGGCCGACCGCCCTGCTCGGCCTGGAGGAGGAGGCCATCGCCGGAGTGTCCGGGAAGGCGTCCAGGATCACGCTCGACTTCGTCTCGCCGAGTGGTGCGCGCACGGGCAAGCTGCTCCCTACGGGGCAGCCCGTGGACATCGTGCAGTTCGCGTCTGAGGGCAACACAGCAGCCGTGCCCATGTCCCTCGTGGACGCCACGAACCCGACCGTCTTCATCACTGCAGACGGCCTCCGTGCTGCGGTGCCGAAGGCCAATACACTCGACTATACGAGTGAACATACGACCGTCCCTATCCAGCTTGCAATCGAGCAGCTCCGCCGCCTGGGTGCGGAACGCATGGGACTCGACCCGCAAGCGGAGGCGCAGCCCAAGATCGCCATCCTCAGCGAACCCGCCGCGGACGACTCAGAGTCGGACATCGTCGTGCACGCGTACTCCATGGGCGTGTTGCACAAAGCGGTACCCATGACGCTCGGACTGTGCCTTGGGGTCGCGGCGGGGGTGGAGGGCTCAATTCCGTGGCAGATCGCTCGCTCACGCGGCGCGAAAATACCGACAACGGGCGACAGCATGGTCAGGATCAGACACCCCGGTGGCGTCGTCGTTGTCGGGGCTGCGAGGAAAGACGGCGATGTGACGAGCGCAAAAGTGGTGCGGACTGGCAAGAGACTCATGAAAGGCATCGTCTGGTGGTAGCTGTCGCGCTGATTGGTCTCATCCGGATATGCCAGTTATTTTATCATGTAGGTGCACAATGTGGATGATGTATTTTTATAGGATGTGTGCAGAGCGGTCAGTTCAGGAAAGCAACGACAGAACAGCTCGACAGATAGATACGACGATGCAGACACTAAGGACGAACAACACTATTCTATATAACAACAGTTGAGAGATCCATTTTGAACGCACGGATGCACGAAAAGCCTTCAAGGCTCCACCATTGCCATCGGCCTGTTCCAGGGGAATTCGGGAAACTCGAATACAGTCAGGGTGTGCAGGAAGCCCTTCCATTTCGCTGCGTGGTTTCGGCGCTGCTGCAATTCCTGCAGCTGCGAGTCGACAGGCGTGTGGATATTGAGCGTGAAGACAGAGTCGGAGTGGTCCCGCAGCTGGTAGACGTGCATGACGTTCTTGCCGAGCGTGACATGTTCGCTTAGGTCGACGACCTGCTCCGTCTTGCGCTGGGTTTCTAGCGTGAGCAACATGGTACTGTCAAACTGAGGCGTGCTCACCATGAGAGGCGGAGAAAGCGTGATTCTGTGCTCGCCACTTGAATTGGTGAGCTCGGCCCAGAGTCGCCCGTCTCTAGGCCACTTCATGACGACGCCCCGACAGAGTTTCTCGTACGAGGAGTCTGCGCCGTTTGACCTCGCCCGTACGTAGTCCACGCAGTCGTTGAAAGGATAACACGAGAATGATACACATTTAGCCTGCGACACATCACTGCAAGTGGGTCAGACCAGTACACAGGAAGAGAGCAAAGCTTCGACTCACTCAGTTGATTTGTAGCGTCCTACCCACCGCGACAAAGACGCCATGAGTTCAGCATCGACGTTGAACTCAAATGCCATCATACTCTCCGAGGACCCACGACGACAATCGAGGATGCATAGCTCCGAGTACGCAAGCGGCTTGTTCAGATCAATGTGAGGCGACGGGATGGAGAGTGTCGTAGACTGTGGTGGGGGCAAGGCGGGAAGTTGTATTTCACCCTCTTCTACGGTCTGCTGCATGGGAGACGGTATATTGGAGATGGTGATGGGTGGCTCCTCGTACTCATCTGCCTCGCCTTCCTCTTTCTCCGCGGGGGGGCCTCTGGGTGCTTGGACCTCAGTCTCATCTGCCTCGCCCTCCTCTTTATCCCTATTGTCTTCTGTCGATGCTTGGACCTCGACGTTGTCAGACACGCGAGATGGAATCTCCATTGTCTGCTCAAACTCCGCCCCAGCGTCTGCGGGAGATGCTTGCTGGGTGTCAAGCACGCCTTGCATGGCCTCCGTGGGGCTTTCCTCCGAAGCTGGGGGACCACCAGTGACGGTCGGTTCTGGTGTTGAATGCTCAGACGTGGATGCGGAGTCTGAAGCCGGGTGGCCGACATCGGAAGCTGGTGCTGGTTCTGGTACACTGACCATTGCAACTTGTACTGGGACCGGTTGATCGTCGATGCGAGCAGCTGTCTCCGGGGCCGGATGATCATCCTCAGCAACATGAGGTGCAGGTGTAGGCGACGATGACTTCGTCCTTCGCTTTCGCCTTGCATCATCCTCGACGTCGTCCTCAGGATGCGACTGAGAACGCGATCGCTTGCGAGGGACGGCGGGGCCAGACGGCGGAACGAGGACCACAATTGACTCACTTGGAGTCGGCGAGCGAGTTTCTGTTGGCCAGTCTGTTGGCCACTCAGCCGGTGCTAATTTGAACTACATAGCAGTGAGTCGTTGGGAACGGTAGTGTATGCATCGAGAAAACGTACGTCAGTTCCATCGGGCCTCGTGTCCTGAGCTACCGCATCCACAATCCTCGACACAATATCCCCCGACATCCCCTTCTGGTCGGCCAGCTCCTGTATGACCCCTTCGTAGGGCTGGTCTGTGCTCAATGAAGGCTCAGCCGCTGTGGGATCCATGGTAAGCGGCAGAGTGGTTGTGACAGGCTCTGTGTCCACGTCCATACTTATATCATCCACTCTGTGGTCCACCACGCCTTGAGGCTGTGGGTGGACCTGGCCAGGCGCTGGCAATTCAGCACTGGCCACACCGGTATGAGGATTGTCATTGGTCGCTGACGGTGCCTCGTTGACAGAGACGGCACTGGAACCCCTGTCGTCGCTTTGACCTGGTGCGGGCTCCCTGACGACATCCATGGCTGGCTCTTCTGCCGCTTCCTTAACAGCAACGCCAACGCATGGGATGCTGTCGATCTCCATAGGCTGAGAACCCAGCCTCGCTGGGTCTGCTTCGGGACTTTGCACCCGGTCGCCCATGACGATGTCCTCCGAAGGAGGTTCAGGTGAGTGAACTACCGCAGACTCGGAGGCTCCTGGTTGTGGTTGGCCGTTGTCGGACGTAGGCTGTTGTTGAGGCTCTGGGCGCTGCTCCTGCTGGTGCGGCACACCAGAAGCCTCTCCTATCATCTGCGCATCCGCCAAGTCAACGGAGGCGGCCTTTGGCTCTCTGGTCGCTGCTCCATTACTGTCTTCCATCACGACGTCCTTGTCAGTTTGTGGAGGATGGGGTAAGCTCCCGTCCCTTTGTCCTGCTTGGCCATTCGCAGCAACGGGCTCAGTTGCGCTACCGTTCGCCTGTGGCGCACTTGAACGCCCCTCCTCAGGTGGTGGATTCAGACGAACAACCATTAGGCCCGGTGAGTTTTTCTTTCTCTTCAGAGGCTTGCTCGTAGACGACATGCTCTCCGGGACGATGTGGAACTCTTGCGACGGCCGCTTCTTCCTGGTCGACTTCGGAGAGCTCGGAGCTGTCATCTGTGCGCGCAAGTCGACTTCCGCTGGTCTGTTTGGAGAAAGCGAAGTCGACAGGATTGGAGTTGGCGGCGCTCGATCCGCTGCTGGAGCCGCTGCGGCAGGAGGAGGCGTCGATTCTGCAGAGATCGCCGAAACGGCTGTCGTTTGCTTTGACAAAGCGGGCGCTGGTCCCGGGGCAGGGGCAAAAGTCACCGGAGGAACAGCCGTTCCATTCATTGTGGAATCAACCTCAGGTGCAGCTGCGACTGGAGTACCGCTAGCCCTTGAGCCAGAAGGACCAGGTACAGACCCCTCCCTTGGGGTCTGAGGCTCAGCCTGCGCATTCGTCGCCAAGTCCACCTTTATGGGTGGCGCTATGCTCGCGATACTAGTAGAAGGCGACGCAGGCTGAGAAGCCTTGCTTGCTCTGGCAGACTCCCAGTCCGCCAGGTCCGCGAGGATGAAGTCATCCTCTGTCAACCGTTTCTTTTTCTTCTTCTTCGCCTTCTGCTTGGCCGACGCTGCAGAGATTGACTCGGGGGCCTCGGTCGGCTTTGCATCGCCTGGCGCCGCTGACGATATCGACGGCGAAGAGACAGATGAGATGACAGGCGACGCGACTTGAGCAAACGAAGGACCTGCACTGGGGGCAGAATGGGTCAGGTCGACGGCCGGTGTGCTCATGCTTGGGGAACGTGCGTCGACGTTAGCTATCGGCGCGGATAGGCTGGGTGTGGCAGGGCCAGGCGAGAACGCGGGCAAGGTCTGCTGTGGTTCCTGCTTCAGCGAAGAAAGTGGGACATGTATGGAGACTGGTGGAACGACAAAACCGCTCTGCGGGGACGGGGACGAGTGCAAGGCCGGCGGGCCTTGCGCAGGCTGTTGCAAAGACAAAGACAATGGAGGGACTGGCGTCCCTGAGCACGCTCTACCAGACCCTGGAGGTGTCGCCCGGGCATACCCTGTGGATAGTGTTCATCGCCTTCCATCGTGCACCAACAAATCTCGCACTAACCTGCAGCAGCCGACCCTGGAATGACTGGCGTGTGCAGGCGATTCACCGGCGAAGCTGAGTGCGCTGCCCTATGCATGATGTGCGGCGACGCACTGTGGGATGGCGGTCGTGTTGGCTGCGTCGCCGGCAAGTCGAAGTTGATCGTCTGCAGGAGGGCTCGCAAGCGAGCTATTAGTGGCGACATGAACAATGCATCAGGGAGGACTACAATGGAGTGCTTCAATGCGCTTACCTTGGAGCTGCGGCTCTGGGAAAAGGTGGTAGAAGGGTGCCACTGCCTTGAGCAGCTTGATGTAGGGCTCGACCCATGGCTTCAGCGATTCAGGGCACTCGCTTATGTGGAAGGGTTTGTCAGGTGCATTGCTGTGACGACGTACTTGTGAGTTGGCAGTCTATGGACGTTCTGCGTTCAGCTCTCTGTATCGGACAATGTACGAAGTAAATGGCAAGATTACGCTCCATAACGAAGGAGAGTACTCATAACTGAGTTTACAGCACGCGCAAGCTGCATTGTCTACTTCTCGGTGTGTCATCGCCCCAGTCACTCCATGCCGCCGACCAATAGCACTTTAGGTCGTCAATCCACAAACGACGTCTGTCTGTACACGACCTCCGCGCTCCCGTTTTACAGCCCAGCGCCGGCGGCGAACAGGTAGTTCGGCTCACACTACATTGACAAAGGAAAGGCTGGACATACCTCGAGCAATTCCACAATCTTTGGGTACGCCTGGCGTCAGTCGCGCTCTGCGGACCACTATGTCGAGTACTCACCACCGGGCGTGCAAATGGGTAATATGCCTTGTCCCGCGCTGCCCACAATGCCAACTTGTCGGCCGTGGCAGCATACAGGCCCACGTTGTTCTCGCTGAGGTTCCTGCGGAAGAGAGGGAATAACTTCTCGTTATTCTTCTCCGCATTGCGGCCTGACATCGAGTTCAAGTGTGATACAGTGCGCACAGCACGTACGAGACGACCGCTGAGCACTTCTCGACAGCCTAGACAGTGTTGTCCAAGTGGTGTCAGACTTCCAGTGGGCGGTAAAACACAGGACGGGCGGCCATAAGGCGGCCAACGCGGGATTCGAACGCATGGGGGAACCGAATTGGATCGCCACCCATGATGGTGTCGGGGTTAGCTCAAGCGGGTATCTAGGATCAGGTTCTGTGGTCTAATGGTTATGACGTCTGCTTCACATCGGAACTGTTTTCCGAGTTAACGCTGAAGGTTCCCGGTTCGAGCCCGGGCAGAATCATTTTGCTCGTCTCAGATGCTCAACATTTTTGAAGTTGAATATACTGATGTTCTTCATTCACACGCTGGGGTCCACTCGAATAGCATACGTACTACGTACGTGAACTCTCAGTCTCACCGCAAGACCCGAGGAGTTTGTGTTATAACTAAGTACGTGAGTTTTGCCAGTGCACTGGCAGTCATAGAACTGAATCACCGACTAGGCCCCCTTCAGATGACAATGAGCCTGGGCAGTGGACAAACGAGCCGGCTGCTGCTGGCCTTGAGTAATACCGGCCAAAGTCTTATCTTGAAGTCTATATGTTCGCAGAAGCCATCCACCCGGAGCTCCTTCAGCTCCATTGCCATGGGTGTGCCTCGGTCTCCCGTCCGTCGATAAGCAGGCTGACTTCCTGGGGACCTGGCCTTCGTCTTCTATCTCTCCATTGCGAGCCAATGGTGACGTATATCTGTAAGCACTCCTGCGAACATGAAATGGCCTACGTTCCGATCCCTGAATCCTCATCCTCCCCGACTCGATGTCTGCCGCTCTTGCTGACCCTCCCGCTCCCAAGCAGTCACCCGTCACACGAGATGTCCTCCAGCAGACGGCTGCGAAGATTGGTGTCCGCGTTCCAGCAGAGAAGGAGATTGAGTTCACCGAAATGCTAGCGAGTGCCAGGGAAGCAATGGAGCAGGTGTTAGCTATGGATGGTACGCAAAGTAGTATTTCCGAACGTCTCAAACGCTGAGGAACGCCTGTCAATCGCATATAGATTATTATCCAGTGCCTGACCTAGAGAAGTACCCTCGCACAGAGATCGCACCTGTTCCTGCGGGCGAGAATCCGTACAACGCCTGGGCTACTAAGGTAGTAGTAAAGAACCCCAACAAAGAGGAGGTGGAAGCCGGTATCCTCGCGGGCAAGCGAGTAGTTCTGAAGGTAATGCATGAAGCGACGCGTAGAGCCTCTAGACTGCTGCACGGATAACAACACGACTTCAGGATAACGTTTGTCTCGCTGGCGTCCCTTGTCACTTCGGGACAGACGTCTTCACAGATTGGGTACCACACACAGACGCCACAGTTGTCACTCGCACACTTGAAGCAGGCGGAATAGTACGTCTTTCATAGTACGACCGAGCAACGAGACAGTCTAATGGTGTGCGCAGATCATTGGGAAGGCCACATGCGAGAGCTGTTCGTGATCTTGTCAGAACTTGCCTTCAGAAATCCCCTGACGTCGACCAACCATACAGTTTCAGCCTTCGGAATATCAAACACTTCGGCAATCGGTCCTGTGGGCAATCCGTACGACAAGACACGGTCTGCCGGCGGCTCTAGTTCTGGTTGCGGTGTGCTCATCGCAATCGGCGAGGCTGACCTTGCCATTGGCGGGGACCAAGGAGGTTCCATCCGTCTGGTGAGCATTTGTTCTCTCCAGCCTCAAGCCTCAAATTATATACCCGGCACTTATCTTCTCACAGCCCGCCTCGCACGTCGGCATCGTCGGGCTGAAGCCGACCTTCGGGCTCGTGCCCTACACTGGCATTGTCTCCAACGAAGTCTCGCTCGACCACACCGGGCCCATGTCGCCCGACGTGCTCTCGAACGCCCTGCTCCTCCGCGCCATCGCAGGCACAGACGGAATCGACGACCGGCAGATCGCCGGCACACCCTCACGCGCACACGTCCCTGACTATCCCGCGCTGCTGGCAGCGGCGCGAGGCCGGCCGGGCGCCCTTCTACAGGTAGGCTTGCCGTCGAACGCGACTGGCTCGGAGCCGGGAGAGACGCGCAAGATGCGGGTGGGCATCCTGAGGGAGGGTGGGATGTGCCAGGCGGCGGACCCGAGGGTGGTGGAGTGCGTGACTCACGCGGCGAGGAAGTTCGAGGAGCTCGGCGCGGAGGTCGTGGAGGTCAGCGTGCCTGGCCATGTGCAGGCGTCGTTGATTGGCCGCGCGCAGAGGTGTGTGTCTGTGGGTGTGCGGTGATTGTGTCCGAGGTACGCTGAGCACGCGACAGGTTCTCGCAAGCAAACAACATGCTGGGTCGTGCGAGCGGGACGCGGCAGTTGTACCTGACCGACTTTGTGGAGAAGGTCCTTCCGTGGAACCAGGGGAAGTTCGATAAGGTGAGCTTAATACGCCGCGGACCTGGATCTCACTCAGCCGTTACCTACAGCTTTTTGCAAACTCCGCGAACATTCTCATCAATGGCATCTACGCCGACGAACATTATCCGCAGGTACGTGCGAGACCCTCGTACATAAACGGGCGCGTTTGCCACTGAGATGATCCCAGCTGCATGGCAAGACCCACAACCTTTTCCGTAAGTTGCGGTCAGAGTACGACGCTGTCCTCGAGGACGTCGACATCATCGTCATGCCAACAATCCCATGGGTCCCCAAGGTCATGCAGGTCAGGCGACTAGATGCATTACCAAAAAAAAACGTTGTGTCTTGAACTCATGGTCTATGTCCAGCCACGGGAGGCACCTCTCCTCGACCACTACAAGGATTACAATGGACTGGTCAGTATTTAGTACTTAGTACAGTACTGCGTGCTGAAGCCATCTCAAAAGACATTCAACACGCTGCCGTTCAACAACACCGGCCATCCCGCGTTGTCCATCCCTTGCGGAATGCTATCTCCACCAGAGGGCCCAGAAGCTCTGCGACTGCCAATCGGCATGCAGCTGGTCGGGAGGTTCTGGGAGGAACTCACGCTGTACAAGGCCGCGTTGGCATGGAGCGATGCGTACAACTGGAAGGAGCTCTGAGAAAGTAGGGGATGCAATGTAGATTTACAAGTGTATATTTTGCTCAAATGGAACGGGATGATCAGGAGTACAGGTCTATTCTACTCAAACACACAACAGGCACCGCTATGACACAATTGCTCCTCAATATTCCTCAATCATTCTACAGCCACTTTCTACAGCCACTCAATGGTCTGGAGAGAATACAGATGAGACGCGAGGATATATGCCGTGAAACGGTGTAGACACTCACAGCCGGCGGTTTGGACGAGATGTCGTAGGTGACGCGGTTGATACCTGCGACCTCGTTCGTGATTCTCGACGAGATCTTCTTCAGCACATCCGCCGGGAAAATAAACCTACACACGCAATTAGCAGTCCCGATTAATCGACGTCACAGTATGATTTACCAATCTGCTGTCATGAAGTCCTCGCTCTGGACCGCCCGCAGTGCGATGACCTGCTCGTACGTGCGCTTATCGCCCATGACGCCAACAGCGCGCACAGGCAAGAGCACCGCAAACGCCTGGCTGATTTGTTCGTACAGGCCCGCCGCGCGGATCTCCTCAATGTAGATGGCATCTGCCTTCTGCAGGATCTGTACCTGTTCGCGGTTTACAGGACCCAAAATACGGATAGCGAGGCCAGGACCTGGGAATGGGTGTCGCTGCACGAGCGGCGCAGGGATGGAGAGGAGGCGGCCGAGGGCGCGGACCTCATCTGGGAAGCGATCGACGTCAGCATCAATCTGAAAGAGAACGAGGGCAGGAAGCTTCACCCTTAAAGAGCTCGCGCAGAGGCTCGATGAGCTTGAGCTTCATGTCCTTCAGGAGGCCACCGACGTTATGATGAGTCTTGATCGTCGCGCTCGGGCCCTTGAAGCTGATGCTCTCGATAACGTCCGGGTAGAGCGTGCCCTGCAACAGCCACTCGATCTTGCCCTTAGGCTCGCCACCTACGCGCTCCTCTGCCTCCGCGGCAGCCTCGATCTTCGCTGCGACTTCCTCGAAAACGTTGATGAACGTGTTTCCGATAATGCGACGCTTCTGCTCGGGGTCCTCGACATCCGCAAGCCGCGAAAAGAATAGCTCGGAAGCATCGACGACCGTCAGATTCACGCCCAAGTCGCGATTCAGCATCGTGTGGACTTGCTTCGCTTCGTTGAGACGGAGGACGCCGTTATCAACCATGATAGCGTGGAATCTGAGACGGAACTGGTTTAAGGGCGAACGTCATCTCGGATGAGTATGAGAGGCGAACCTATCTCCAATGGCCTCATGCATGAGCTTCGCAGCTACAGTGCTGTCAACACCACCGCTGACTGCACCAATGACACGACCCTTCGGTCCACAAATTTGCCTGATTCGTGCGATCTCCTTGCCAATGAACTCTTCCTACAACTTGCTTGAGTTTTGCCAGAATGGAGCAGCAAAATGACAGCACAGACCATTGTCCACTTCGCCTCGCAGCCGCAGATCTTCAACACGAAGTTGCCGATCACCTCCTTGCCTTTGGGAGAGTGAGTAACCTCGGGATGAAACTGAATGCCGTAGAGCGGCTTGCTGTTATGCGCGAGTGCGGCGAAGGGAGCAGTGTTGGTGCGGCCAATTACGTGGAAGTCCGTCGGAGGCTCAGAGAGCTGATCGCCATGCGACATCCAAACCTGACATAGGATTCACCCTTGAGCGTCAGTTGACAAGTGCGAAACAATGTGCCATACCTGCATCTCTTCGCCGAGTCCTTCAAAGAGAGCATCCACTGACTGTACACCGGAGCCAGTCTTGTTTACTTGAATCTGCGCGAATCCGTACTCTCGGTGATCGCACTTCGATACTTTACCCTTCAACTGCCATGCAATCTCCTACTTGGCCGCAGCGTGAGGTGCTTGTTCTGCCTATCTGTGAGCCGATCCGAGAACTCACCTGGAGGCCGTAGCAAATGCCCAGAATGGGCACACCCAGCTCGAAGACATCGGGGTCGACATGTGGGGCATCGTCATCGTATACAGAATAAGGCGATCCCGACAGGATAATGCCTAAGCGATCCTTATGGGCGATATTGTGTATGTAGGTGGTGACAACTTACCCTTAGGTTTCCAGCTGAGTGCCTTGACCTTTTGGGTACATGGCATGAGCTCGGCATAGACGTTGAGCTCACGGCATCTCCTAGTGATTAGGTGACTGTACTGCGGATGAGCTTTAGCTTGGCCGACTGAGATGTCATCAAGACTTACCTGGGAACCGAAGTCTAGGATGAGGATGGTATCGAACTGGTCGTGAATCTCGGCCATCGCACAGACGACGTCGACGAGGAGGGAGCAGGTAAGAGTGGCTGAGGCGCGGATAGCAAAACGCGCCACCGCAATCAGCGCGTCGAAATAATTTTTGGACGTGACTCGCGTTTCCGCGCCAGGCGCGTACGCGGTCACATGCTCTCGTATGCAAGCGCGTCTGCAGTCTTCGCGCGCGCGGCGCATAGTCCAAACAAACAGACAGATTATTCATTGTACAGGCGCGTCAATAGGATTGCACCTAAATCTCATTATACAATGAGATTGAGAATGTAATGACTATGCGAGCAATGACCAGTTTCAACGGTACAATGACCGCGGTCGTTCGACGATAGTGAGTGGTGTCGATGATACAGTACAATCTTGATACAGGTACTTAGAGTGGTGGGGTTGTACACTGAACGTACAATAGACAACGAGGGCATTGGGTAACAGCGGTAGGATAGCGATGCACGGCGAGGGGTGAATTACACACTAAGATACAACACTATAGTCCCGGAAGTCCCAGTTGCAGGTTGATAAAATGATATACACTTGTATGGTCCAGAATCAACGCATTCACGAAACAAGGGGGTTAGAGGCGCCTCGACCACGCCCCCTGTACCCGCCTCGGAAGTCTCCGCGCGGCGGCCCTCCTCGTCCTCGGTTTGCGTTCGGAACAAAGCCACCGCGGCCACGTTGAACGAAGCCTCCTCGGGGAGGACCTGCTGGGGCTCCCCTCGGTGGCACAAAGTTTCCTCGAGGCGCAAACGGCGCTTTACCCCTGCCACCGTTGTCAGCTGGCCCTTGCGTCGCGGCGGTATCATCCGGAAGAGAGTGGTCTCCTGCAGGTGCCCCTCCTCGACCGTTGACATACGGGTGACCATCAGTGGATCGACCAGCACCGTTAGATGCTACGTGAGTCGAACCTCCGCGACCATTCGCCATGCCTGAATGACCGCCGCGGCCATTTGTGACGTGCGGCGGTCCACCACGACCGTTCATAAACCCTCCACGGCCACGGTTGGGGTTCGTCATGATGTGCACGGGAACGCCTTGGCTATAATCTTCATGAGTATTTGTTACGCCGCAAAGCACTACATCAAACATACCTGGGAGGCGCAGGTCGGAAACCAGCAACGGCCTGCTGTCCGTGCGGAGGCTGTATTGCAGGATAAGGACCAAAGCGAGGTTTGAACGGTGCCGACGGCTTCTGCTGCGTAGGCTGATCCGGGTTTGTCGATACCACGAACTGCGGATTCGTTAGGTTCAAGCAAGAGGTGAACTCCACCGTCGCGCCGCGGTACTGCGAACATCTGTCTCCGAGTGTCGTCCCCGCCATGAACGGTGCATCCCAGATCACATCCATGGACTTCGCATTCATGCCAATGACGATGCCTTTAAGTGACAGGGGGACGCTGCCCGAATCTTGTACCATCGTCACCCGGTCGCCCAGGGCAAAATGCTGGTTCTGCAGCCGGTAGACGGCGTGTGCGGGCTTCAGGATAGCCTGTCTAGGGATTTTCTTCACCATAGCCTTCTTGATAGCACCAGCGGACTTGGTCGAGGTGATCTGGTCCGCGAGTGCTTCAATCTCCTTAACAGTGTCCTGTTCCGATAACAATCAGTGGACGGCAATGATCGAGATGACATAAGGAGACATGCCTTCTTCAATTGGTCACAGAATAGGGAGACGGGCTCGAAGTCGCGGACGCCCTTCGAGTGCAGCCATTGCTTCACCTCCTTCACTCGGCTGTCCGCATCAGCGCCCGGGAAGACATCGGGTGCGGTCAGCATCGCGTCGCCTCCTCGGTCCAGCGTCCGCATGACCTCAGGGTACTTCTCCTATATGCAACGTTCAGACGCATGTCTATCGTTCAGGCATCTGGACCAACCTTGTACTCCCGGATCAGATCCACAGCCTTCTCGCTGAATTCCCAGTACCGCCCATCCTTGCGAGAGTAGTCGATGACCTTCAGGCCCTTCCCCTCAAACTTGAGACTCAACCCGAGGTTGTTCTTCTGATTATCGCTTGTGATGACCATGAAGCTCGACGTGATCTTCGACAACGCTCGCCCAGACAGCCCAACCATCTCGCCGGCCTTGAATGAAGGGAAGTACCTGCTCGACATACGGTTGTTGACGATGCTCGTGAACTTGTCATTCTCTGTTTCTTCTGATGGGAAGAACTGCATGGGCCGTCAGCGTGTTGAGAGATCAAGCGACGGTATGATCCTACCGCAAGGATGACAGAGAGCGTGTCTGCGGTCGCTGCAGAGACCGAGGCAGCGACCCCGTAAGCGTGTTCGCCAAGGAAGAAGACCTTGCTCCCTTCCGGGAATTCTTCAGACAACGGCGGCGGCTCCTTCTCAATGTACCGGGGGTCTTCGGACACGACTTCCGATACAGTCAGCTGTACAGGCTGCTCCGTCTCTTTCTCAGGGCCCTCGTAGTCCTTCACGAAGGCACCCGTGTCCAGGCGCTTCATACCTACAGAGGCGTTACCTCACAGAACCAACATCTGAAGGCACTCCTGCTCACCCTTCAGAGGCCGGACGTGTACAAGGACATCGATGTCGCCCATGATGACACCGCATCGCTTCGAATAAAACTGCTCCTTCTGCTCCGCCTTCGACTTCCACAGCGAGAGACCGTGCGCTGAGTGCGGGTTCGAGATGACCTTCAACGGCTTTCCAGGAATCACAGCCATCTTCTCGTACTTGAACAACGAGTCCGACACCGAGGTGACCATACCCTCCTGCAGGAACGGCCAGCCAATGAACGTGCGCCGACCGATCATCTCGTTGGCGACGTCCTCTGCCTTCCTCTGCTCGTGCGGGTTCTCGATGTGCACGAGCATCGACTTGTTGCGACTCTCCGACCCGTGCACATTGACGCCATGATAGCCCAAGGACGCGGTGTGCGGAAGGGTCTGAAGCGACGGGAAGCCTGCGAGGGAATCCGCGCCGAGGTGTACGCCGTCCAGAAGACCTTCCAGAAGGTGCAATCCGTCCAATGTCGGCAAGTCGAAGGGTTCCATCCTGCAAAAGCATCGGTGCAGGTTGGGGAAGAAACCGGGTAAAGAAGAGGGGTAGTAGGTCGGCTCTCCCCCGTCGTACGAGAACATCGTGCTGGTTCCAAAGGAATTACGACGCTGCTCTTCGTCCGTCAGACGGTGTTCTCGTGCTGTAAAGAACATCGATGAGCCTCATGGTTCTCAGACGCTCAAGGAATGATACTGACAATGCATTGCAGCAAGGAGCCGCTTCTCATCAATGAAGGGTATTTTGACGATCGCCTCCCACTCTGCCTTCTTCCCGTTGAGATCTTGTTCAAACTCTTCTGGATAGAAGTCAAGGATCGGCGAGCTGGAGTCCGTCATGAGGTCCTGCGGTGGCGCGACTTCAGCGTTAGTCAGACCACCCGTATTAGAAGACCTACCTTGAACGCCAACGGGATCATCTCCATACTGGCCGCGGGAAGTACACCCATGAGCTGTTCGAACGGCCGGAACGGGGTTCCCAGGTCAAAGTTGAACGTCATCTGATCAATGCCCTTGAGGTCTGGACTACGGTCAGGAAGGTTCGAATCTATGCGACAACGACGCGCTTACCTGAGATTCTAGGGGCATAATGGTAATTGTAGAACCAAGACCACGACGCTACTCCGCTGTAGTAGTAGTGCATGACCCACTGCATACCCTCGATATAGCGGTATATGAGGGCGTGCATTTCCTCCGGGGTGTCATAACCTATCTCCAGCTTGCCCTAGAAGCCAGTTCAGTCACTTCGTCCGACGATAGTACGCATATTCTCGACTGACCTTGTAGTAGTTCCGCTTCCACTCGTCCATTTTGTCGTGAATCGACATCTCATAGCGAGCATCGAAGTCCCCGTCCTTGTCCTCCTCCATCACCTTCGCCTTCTCGTACTTGGCCAGGATGCGATCGACGGCCGCCCTGCTCTCTTCATCATCCTCGTCCTCCCATGCGTCCTCCTCCTCCTCTGCCTCCGGTTGCAAGGCCTCCCCGTTCTCCGGTAGCGGCTCGTCTAGCTCGCCGGGGAAGCGCCATGTTATGAGGTTCTGATCGTCCTCGTCGTACTCATCCCACGTCAGGTATAAGTGCAGCTCCTCAGCGAGGTTAGTGATGAATAGTCGATCCCGAGCGGGGAAAATGTTCGGCATTGTCAACCGAGCCCTCCGTGTCTCTGGGGACGGAGGATCCCTGTGCTGCAGTATGAACTCCTTGACTTGCTCGAAGACTTGTCGTTGTATCTTCGTCAGAACTGTGCGATGTCAGGAAATGGATATGAGACAGAGGACAAAGACGCACCTAGCTTGTTCCGCTTGCGGGCGGCATCCATCTCCTTCACGTGCTTCGCTTGCTTCCCCTTGTACCAGTTCAGATCCGCGTATTCCTTCTCGAATACCTCCCGCTCCCAGTCGGCCATCTCGTCCAGAATCACTTGCAGCCGCTTCGTATTGATGACACCGCTCTCGTTCAGATACCCATCTGCAGATACTGGTTAGCTACGGCGGAATCTGAGTAAGGCCGTACTAACCTAGGGATGGTAGGACCTTCTTGTACACATCGAACAGCTTCTCCAGACCATTCTCATGAATATGGAGGTCGGGCAGGTTAGGTAAGAAGTCGTTTCCGACGAACACTGCCAGCAGGATGAAATCGTCGATGACATGCTCTAGGCTATATTCGAAGGGGAGCATGGGCTCTATGTCGTGGAACTCGAGGTCCAGATACTCCCGCATCAGGGTGAGATGCAGCAAATAGAAGTTGATCGACTCAAGACTGCGACCTCTGTTTCAGCTACTGAAGTGACAGATGTACATTGAGGCGACATACCTCTTGTTGCCTTTGCTCCTCGAAGCTGGGCCAAACTTCACCTCCTCTCGCAGCAGACAAAAGTGCGGGTCGTGACTCAGTAGTCCCAGCATGATGAGATCCGCATCGAGCCCGTACAAGCAATGACGGACGTTGGGGTCGTAGTCGGGCTGCGCACGCGACAACCGAATGTACTCCATGATCTTGTGTTCACCTTCGCCTGGAACGTCGTGTCCTGACAACACGACGGTAACGTCTCGCCAGTTCGCATCCTCCGAGATCTTCTTGTTCACGAAGTAGCGCAGCTGTTCGGACAGCCGTGCCATGAACTCCGTGCCTTGCAAAGGTGGTGGTCAGGATAAGCTTAGCACTTTTAGAGTCGAGTATTGTAGCGCACCTGGTGTAATACAGTTGCTGTCGAATGCCTTCGTATCCGGCAGCTTCTCCCCTTTCCGCTCCGCCTTCTCCTTGACCTCCTTAGCCTCCTTCGCCGTACGGAACCGGCGACTCCGCTGCTGGTTCATCTTCGCACGCGGGGCTACGCCATCTATCGCCATGAAGAACAGCTTCTTGGGCTTGATCTTGCCGAAAAGGTGATCCACATAAGCAAAAATGGAGGTGAAGATCTGCTCTTCGGATAGCCGGAAGTGCGCGTCTCCGTCATTGGGATGCGAGCCTGCCCAGGGTGTCACGGCACGAAGCTGCATAGGGTCGTGCACGGCACTCACAATTGTGGATAATGCCGTTGAAGTCAACGTAGAGGTTGTCTGCATCGAACCGTCAGACATGCCGAATTGGAAGTCGACTCAGGGCGGCGGTCACACACCAAACTCGGGGATCTTGTTCTCCTGAATGAGTTGCGACGTCAAGGGGTAACGTTCTCTGCACAGGTTTAGATTATGAAGAATATTCACGCATTGGAACTCACGATATATATCTGAAGAACTGCGTAGACACTGTTAGAGCCACCGACCCGGCAGCGACGAAAGACTTGGCGACTGACCTTCGGAATCCCTAAAAAGTGGTGTGAGATTCAAGCTATAGGCACAACTGGGAGATATTCACTCACCCATGTCGGATAATGCACAGATGAAGTGAGTAAACGAGGAGCAGACCTGCTCCTGAGGTGGATGTCGGTGTAGCGCTGAGGCCCGAGGGCGACGCGCAAGGCGCGCGTCCTCCGCATTCTAGTCACGTGGGAGCGAACCTAGTTCCCGATCAGGCACCGTCACTTATGGTGGTCTGTACGCTCGTGTCAGACTGCAGCTGTTGTCTACATAGACTGTATACTTTCCGACGTTATGCTTTGCTGCTCTGGAACCATTGCGGAATTGCTTTCCGCAGAGATGCGCCTCAGGTCCCCTGCTCAGGCTCAGTCACGGTTTTGGCGACGACTCAAGCCTGAATCGCGTCTACCCAGCGGTACACTAGAGCCTAATGCGTTGCGGGTTCAGCTAGCATTGTTGTCTCGTCTGTGTGCGCTTTTCTGCTCGACCAGCTTCGCAGCAAGTGTTTACCAGGTCTTACCGGTGAGTGTACACATAGAACGACTCGCAACCCGACGACTCAACCTACGATGCTCGCCCTGCTCGGCTTGTGCCTGATGTGCTCACCTCCGTCGGAATGTTGCATTTCTGGCGTCAAATAGGCTCGAATTTGTGCTCAAGCGTCGACGTCTGCTCTAAGCTCGTCGCCCGAGAGTCGTTCGTACATACGGTGTCCGAGATCAGGCCCGCTCGGCGGAATACACCATTTGGTGCTGTTCTCCCGTCTACAGGGCCTCGGGTCGCGCAATCTGTCGTTCTCAAGCCATATCCAGCCATATCTATCTGTTCTCCAGCACGCCCCTGCATGTGGGGTACGGACGTGGATAACGGCTCGCCGCGACGCCGCCTACACGGGCGCCTGTAGGTGCGTCAACCCTCCTGCCTAATCGCAGTCGCGGCGAAGACGACCCATGACCAGAGATGCAAACTGTCTATGGCACCGCATCATGCGCAGGTTCGACGTCGATGGTTCCGATTCTAAGGCTCAGAAGCTGATACTGAACGACATTGCGAACAGGGCATCATTGGGAATGCAGTGAGAACACCTTTCCCGGACCAATGCTTATCACGACGGTACCTGCCAATCGAACAATGCTCACGACATGGATGCGCAGCAAGCCCAGATCTCGCTACCTGTCCCACGGAGTGCGCTCTCCACTGAGAGGTGAGTTCATTATGGTGTATCGCGGTCACGTGTACCGTGTGTCGCCATACCCCCTTCCACTCGCGCTATACGGCCTGTGCCTTTCGCATGCGCAGGTGAACATCAGCTCGACTATAAATGAGAACAGCGACATTCATGGTCTGCATCGCCGCCGATCCTTCATTTCGAAATGGCTCCCGTCGCAACCTCTGACTCTGCTACCACCAACGGCACCACTAACGGTGCCCAGCCATCCATCGAAGCCTTGAAGGCTAAGGTGGCGGGTACCTTCAACCCGTTCTACTCTCCTGAGGCCGGTGATGAGAACGACGAGGGCTACGAGTACGCGAAGTACAAGGTCCGTCTGTATTGATCGCCGATAGCGCCTTAAGATCAATGATCTGACTTATTCCTTTCATGTGTAGCCGCACTTCCCTGACGTCAAGTGGGAGCCCCTCGGACCTCAAGAGGTCACTGATCGCGGCCTTCTCGCTGATCCGGAGAAGAAGGCGCTGCTTTCCGCTGCCACCAAGGTTCAGAACCTCACACCCGCCATCGGCACTGAGCTCTCCGGCATCGATCTCAGGCAGCTCTCGGACAAGCAGAAGGACGAGCTGTAAGTTCTTGACATAATCGCAAGCATGTTCGTATCTGATCTATGTACGTGTAACACAGTGCGCTCCTCGTGGCCGAGCGGGGCGTTGTCTGTAAGTATTCATGACAGTATGAAGCATGATATGCCCCTGACATGCATTCAGTCTTCCGTGACCAGGAGATCAACATTCAAGAGCAGCTGGAGCTGGGTCGTCACTGGGGCCCTCTTCACAAGCATGCGACCACCCCTGTTCCGCGGGAACCCGGCCTGGAGGAAGTCCATAGTACGTTTTATCGTACTAATCCCGCTCAATATCCGCTCATAGTGGTTCCAGTCGTCTACAACGACGGTTCTCGCCGCCCCGACCCGTCGGCGTTCTCGAAGCTAGAGCTCTGGCACTCTGATGTCACATACGAGCTCCAACCCCCCAGCACCACGTCCTTGAAGGTCATCACCGGTCCCCCGTACGGCGGCGACACCCTCTGGAGCTCCGGGTGAGTTCACCTCCGTCGAGCGCGTATTACTTCATTCGCTGACGGGGCGTCTACCATCAGCTACGCTCTCTACTCTTCATTTAGCCCCGGCTTCCAGAAGTACCTCGAGGGGCTGTCCGCCGTCCACAGTGCTGTGGCGCAGGCAGACGGGTCGCGCGCCGCCGGCCACACTGTCCGTCGTGAGCCCGTCGAGAGTATCCACCCGGTGGTGCGCGTCCACCCCGTCACCGGCTGGAAGTCCGTGTACGTCAACCCCGGTACGTCGATTCATCTCCGCTCCGAGGACGCATCGCTCACGGACCATCAGGTTTCACCCGCCGCATTGTCGGCGTGCCGAAGGCGGAGAGCGACGCGATTCTCCAGCTCCTGTTCCGTCAGATCGCGTACGCAGTTCACTTTCCCACCCCGATCGTCCGTACTGATGACACGCTGCCGCTGCCAGTGTGAACGTCGACTTCCAGGTTCGCTTCCACTGGGAGCCCAACTCCATCGCCTTCTGGGACAACAGGGTGAGCTGCAGATCAGCCGACGCCAGCTCGCTGCCGACCCTGACATGTCTCCCCGCTAGGTCGTGACGCACAGCGCTACGTTCGACTTCTGGCCGCACACTAGGCACGCGCTCCGTGTGACGCCGCACGGCGAGAGGCCTACTTCCGTCGCCGATTATGAGAGCAACACCGGCAAGGTTGCGAAGGACCGCCAGCTTGCTATCTGGGAGCAGGAGGGTGTGCTGGACTTGGTTCTCAAGGGCGCGAGCCCCGCGAACGGTGCTGGCGCGAACGGGCAGGCAAAGGCTCGCGGTTACAACGACTGAGTAGAACAATCCGGAAAGATGTACAGTACCCTCGGAGGTGTATGTAGAATACCGCGGCGCGTGTCTTGCGGCAGATAATAGGGCTGCAGACGCATGCATCAATCTTCTGTGCGGCGCGTGGACCTGAGATCGATCATCGCACATCGTCGATCCTGTCACATCTGTCAGCCACTCAGCGGGATAAGATCCCCAGGGCCGATGACACGAGGACATTCATTAAAGACATATATTCTGTAGTCAATTACGAGAAGCTGAGACACGAGGCAGCATACACAGGTACACACCAACACAGACATGGAAGGGAGTGCCGGAGACAAGACGACTGAGGTTACTGTATGTTGGACTAGTCACAGCAGACAAGATACGATAGTGCAAGTCATGAGAGGAATGCGCGGAAGTCATGCAAGGATAGTGCATAACGCATGCACGCTAGAAGCCCTCAGACCGAGCTTACTGAGGAGACGCCCTTGCGTGCGACGGAGGGTGCGACGTCCTCAAGTAGGACTGATGTTCCGTCGAGTACCCTGCACGAGACGAGGATGAAGTCATCCATGGAGGTGGAGGGACCGGGCCACCTTCAGCGTGCGCTTGTTGGGGCGGGGGCGGAGGCGGCATCATCTGCGCGTGGGATGGAGGAGGGCCGCCCGTGGAATTCATCAGCTGGTAGGAATGCGGGTGAGGAGACGGGTGTCCAGCATGTGGATGCGGAGGTGCATGGGCGGGGTGGTGGCTCTGGTGCATGGGCGACGGAGGAGGAGCCGCCTTCTGTTGGTCATACGGCGCATGCATGATAGCAGGGCTCTGTTGATGATGCGAGCTTGACTGAGACTGTTCTGTGTCTCCTCCGCCTCTGGCTGACTGCGTCGACGCGCGCAAAGTCTGCAAGTCAATTGGCGCCGCCTTGCCATCCGCGCCCTTGTCGCGCTTCCGCATCAGCTTTGCATAATCTATCATTGTCATCAAGTAAGATGCAAGCTCGACGGATCGAAGCATATGCACTCACGCAAGCCGCAAGCATTGCACAGCGTTCTAGCCCCATCGGGACCACGCCTCCACTCCGGCGTTTCACGGATGTTGCACGAATGACACTTGCCGGGCGGGGTTGCGCGCTGTCGTTATATCAGCCACGTCTGACTGAGTAAACAACGACATACAGTACTGACGCTTCGCTTCCTGTACTTGCTCTTCGGCTGACCGGGAGCTGAAGCACTGGCGCTAGTCGCCCGTTTACTGCGAATGATTTCCATATCTTTCTCAGCCGTAGCCCGGTCGCTGATCTCAAATTGAGCCTGAGCCTGTGAAACCAATGTGTCAGTGTCCACACTACTAAAACATATGCGACAACTCACATCAGGATAGCTGTTTGGGGCCGGAGGGTCGTTCTCTTCACGAGCCATGTCCTCCCACGGCCGCTTCGGCGGGCGAGTGTGATCTTCAGGAACGCTCGGAGGAGCTGCCGGGGCAGGAGCGCTCTCCCTTGGAACTGCACCCTCAGGAAGCGACAAGCGTCTGACTTCCTCCAACAGACGCATGACGGTATTAGCGCGCCAGGTCATTTCCGCTACTTCTTGCGGCGAAGGTTGGGCGTGTGGTTGACTAGTTTGCAGTTGTGCTGAATCGATTTGTGCGTCAGCTCGCAAATGGATGACAGGTCAGATTGAATACATACCCCAGTGATGCGAGAACTGATGAAGAATGGAACAGTGCTTGTAGATCTAGTGAAAGACACATTCAGCGGCTGCATAGAATGTGGCGCGATATGCTAACCTCCGAAAGGGTGCTTTGCCGCACGTTGAATTTCTCGGCCTCGTTCGGGCTAAGCGCTACACTACGCGGGTCCACAGGGGCAGCCACGAGCGCTGGTCTGGGGAACGCACCATAGTGGTGTGGCGGAGGCGGAGGCGCATGCGGCGACCAGTGCTCGGGGGCGACAGGAGGCGGGTAGGAGCCCGGAGGATGCTGTGGAGGGACCTGGGGAGGGACCGCATAGTGCCGTGGTGGCATGTGAGTGACAGGCGGAGGATATGGGTAGCCCGGCGGAGGCGGGTACGGAGCCGAAGGGTGCACAGACTCGTGAGACGTGGGCACTGGAACCGGGGGCGCGGTGCCGTACGATGGCGGAGGCTGCGACGCGTAAGACGGGTGTGGCGGAGGGTACGCGGTAGCCTACAGAATGCCCGATCGATGTGGATGCACGATTAGCTACATCACGTCAAGACCACATCTCATGAACGATGCTTACGTGAGAGCGCCCCGGAGAGGCACTGACGCCGACGCCCGATTCGGACCGCGGACGCTTCGAGGTATTTTGCGGGGACGGATCGCCACGGGAGGGAGGCGGTCCAGAGGAGGCAGGCGCTATTGAAGGCGGCGGGGCCTGCTGAAGAGGCGCATACTGCATGTCCGCCTTTGCAGGATATTGAGTCTTCGGACTTTCGTGTGGCGGTGGCATGCTCTGAGGATGCTGAGACGTCGGTGCTGAGCTCTGCGCGCTCGAACGGCTCCACGAGGACGCGTCATGACGACCGACGCGGGCATGTTCCGTCTGCGCCCCGCCAGGCGGTGCCGTAGAACCTTCCTGCGCTCGGTGCTGAGGAAAGTTCAGGTCCTTAATTGATGGGAGGCGAACATCGTCTCGACCGCTTGGCGGAGGCGGGTGCGAATAGGAGCCCTGGTATGCGGAGGCCATGACAAAGAGACAGAAAGACTGGTGAAGGTGCGCAAGGCAAGGGCAGCCCGAAAGTGAGGCTTCCTCGTGTTTTCGGGGACGATCTCAATGACCACGCTATACGATGCCTTAGTATGATGACGAATAATAACGGAGAAAGGCCTACAATGCAGACGGAGGCAAGGCAGAGGTACTGGAGGCGAGAAGAACGCGCTGGAGGGGGACTGGAGGGGCCGGAGGGCAGAATCGAGGAGAGATCTGGGAGGGACGCGGTGGGCAGGAGGAGGAAAGGAAACAAAGACAAGAGTGCCGCAGAGCCAGATCATCGACGAATCTGAGCGGAGATTCAACTTGGTGGCGCCGAACGGGCATCGGGCAATCTCGTCAAACTCCGATACAGGGCGGCTCGAGCCTACCTCGGGCGCCTTCGCAGCCTTGTTCCACCTGGCCCTGCCCCCTGTTGTCTCTTGTGCCTCCCAATTTGTGCTATTGCGCGGCGCGGCCGGCTACAGCAACGCTGGCAAGCGGCGTGGGCGACGAGAGACGTCGAACATCGCGTAGGCATGGGAAAACAAGATCCATCATATCTGGAGAACCGGCCGACCGGGAATCTGAACTGCCCGATACTAGATCCACTCTGTACGTAAATCCACATCGCGGCACGGCGAATCTGCGGGAAACATCGGCCCTCGCCCCATCGGGAATCAGCCGCCAAATCGCAGGGATCCGATGCCTCGGTCCTCCTCCGCGCCCTGCCTCCTCAGTCGCTCACTGCTCCCAGGACCTGAGTTCCTTCCCTTCTACCATGAACCTACGCGTAGCGACCGCGGGCGTAGAACGAGCGAACTGTGGGTCCGGTGGCATCGGCGAACTCTGCGTGAAATTTCTTGCGAGCGCCAGAGCGCGCCTGAAGCATGATCAGTTGCTAGAGCTGGGCCCGAATCCGCAGATGGCCGCCAAGGTGCCTGGGGAGTCAGATCCAATGACTATGAGTGCGTTTCACCCGCGCGGTTCAACATTCCCGTGAAGCAGATCCCAGCGGTCGCAACATAGCTAACATCGCAATCCCCGGGGACGACCGAGGTTACGAACATGGCCCCCAGCCTGATGAACCTCGCACACACAGGGGCATATGTCGGCCTACGATGCATCGGCCATCGTCTAAAGCACCCGCGAACTTCGCGAGAAGTGGCGCCTCAGAAGAACGAACAACCGCCTGCTTGACCAATGCCTGACAGGGGAAGCCCCTTCAAGGAGACTTTCCCTGGTCAGGACCTGCCAAGATAGACACTTCCTCCGCAACGACTAGATTCCTTGTCGGGCTCATTCCAAACCTTGGTAGTCATATGTCAGTCATCGGCGACTCCCTGAGCAAGCAAGCATCACCTGTTCTCACCATCTCAACGGTGACCTGAATTGCAGCGCCCGATAGCCGTCCTTGCCGACCATATGAGTTCGCGGTGGTGCCATATAGGGCATCAAACGTCGCCTGCTAGCGGTTGAGTGACCAATGAATTGCAAGGTTCATCAGATCCACCCACGCGGAGACCTAACAATGTGGACTCGAGGTGAGCACCGCCTAACCGCTACCTTACTCGCAGTTCCATCTAACTTATGTACCAATGCATCAGAAGGGCGGTATACATGACGTGTCGCGCATGGTCTACGCACCCGCAGCGCATGCATACGCAAATTCGAGATGAAGAGGCAATGGCGCGGCCTCATCTGAGATGTTCTGGACGTGTCATGGATCCTTTGCGACAGCGGAGGTGAGGCATACGCCTCACTACCTGATTAATGCATTGGGGGAACTGACAGTTAGGGTGGAGAACATACATATCAGGATCGATTTACTCACAAGGTGCTCCGAACGGTATCCTCGTGGGCGACGAAGCGGTACTTCGCGAGTCCTTACAGAGCCATTTGTCCACGGGATGTCAGCGACGCTGGAAACGTCATGCCATCCCTGTCTATCGCCGATACAGACGCTTCGTGCATCTGGATGCGAACGCGATCATATCAAACGCTCGCAGGTCAATCCATTCGGAGGCTGACCTGCCAACTTGCGTGCCATACTTGGGTACGGGGACTATGTAACCGGCTTTTTCGACGGGGCCCGAGTACATTGTGGCGACGAGGCTCAGGCCATGCCAGCAGACGTTTGGCGTTCACTGACGCAGATGCCAAAAGGAATCCGCGGTATCATGACAAACCTTGAGCCTAGCAAGCATAGCGCTTTACGGAGAGTTCAGCCAGCCAACAGTCAGCCAGCGCACAAGTCCGAGTCGTCCGTGGCGGCGGTGAAGACGTGCGTGGTGGCATGTTCCCGCGACGGCGGGACTCCCGCCCGCACAGAAGCTCAGAAGCGGATGCATCCAGATCCGGAAGCTGTCCAGCGTCCGATAATACTCAGATTTGCCGATCCATCGCCGACGCTATCGAGATATTGATTTTCTTAGTTCCCTCGTGGCGGAGATCTACAAGCACCTACGCTCATTGGCCTCCCGCACTGTATTTCAATCTCCGGCGGCTTGGTCGCCATGCGGCTATCTAATTTCGAGTTCTGAGTTTGCCCCTAGACCACGACTGTATAACACCGGCAGTCCTCGTCACCGTTTTATTTGGGCGTACGGACGGCGTTCCGGCCAGATATTGAGCAATGTCCGTCCCGGGCGCGCATACGGCCAAAAAAGCGATAGGTTCAAGTTGTGGCATTATACGACGGACACAGCCCCATATAGGTGTGCGAAGGGGACAATGCCAGTGTACTGTGCTGGACGTCTCGATATCGATGTGCGTTCGTGATGCATAGGCCTAAGGCAGTCAAGGAAGGCAACGCCGCTGATCTACCTTTGCAATTACCCGGATCCGGACTGGCTTGGTCCAGGTATGCTCCAATGGTAAGCTATTTCTTCCGCTTCTTGACGCTGTACTGTTCTGATAAAGCATCAGGTTCGTGGCTGTGGCACAAACGTCTCTGGCCTTCACGATGACTTCTCGTAATGTTACTAGGCGCGCTTCTAGTACCGCTATACTTAACCTGCATCCGGAATGAACTGCATTCCCGCGGGCCGCAGCGGTCAGCGCATCCTCATCCACACGCGATGTATGGTCACGGAAGTGACTGCGACACAGATCTGAACCGCATGGCGACGCCGCCCGCCCGGTCGGCGAGGCGTTCAAGTTCATTCAGTCGCTGAGCCCACGACGCAGGATTACGAGCAGCCCCGAAGCACTCGGCCCACATTCATATCGCTACGGTCTGGGTCATGACTGAAACGATTGCACTCAGCGAAGATGGCTGTTCTACACGCGCCGCGTCTATGCCGGCGGGAGCATACGTCATCTCCTCCGGTACGTCTGGTCAAGATTCCCACTTATGACTCATGAGTGTTTTGTGCTAGCTCTGTGGCGTTCAGGGTGGTGAGAGCGATATCGCCTCCTTCGGTTCTCACATGAGCGCGCTCGCAGTGCACGGCCGATGACCACGGCCACGTAGTCAGATTTGCGCGTTGTCCCTGAAGACCCGCTACGTAAGCTCTCTGTAGCGTATGCTTGACTGTCGTCGGTGTGTTCGCGCTTGTCCTTACGGCTTGAACTCTCACATTTTCTTCGGCTAGAGTCTCGCAGGATCTTCCTTCAAGTTTCCCGCGACCAACAGCCACAATTGGAATAGTGGCGATGGTCGTTCCGCTTTGGGTTAACGGTGAGTTAGTAACACAGTCTGTTGACGTGTTAATCATCAGAGATAATGTTGTGGCTTTTATTCAGTCTAGTAGTGGTTGCCGTCCTTGGTCATCGTACGCACGGATCAGCGGCTCTCTTCCGATTGAGGCAAGCCCGCGCGCAGAGGCGCTCGACAATTGTGCATAGGCGTGAGCAACGGTTGAACGAAAATGTCTGGCCTTCGCACGGCGCGAGGAGCTTTCGAGGAGCAGAAAACACGCAAATAAAGTCACGAGAGAATCCACGCTCATCCTCGTCCTATCGGTAAGCCCCGCGTTGACAGCCTGGCTCGTTCGTTTGCCTGCTTGGCTGGGAGTATGAGACCCTTCCGCAAATATCGGATGGTTCTGACATCTAGGGTACTGCATGCAGGGATATGCGCATTGCCACGTCGGGCCAAACTGCAAGGGCCTTAGCTCGCTTGGTCTGCCGTTACTTATTCCTCATTAGCCGCTCGCAACGCGGAGTTCGCTCGACCGGCGTTGGCGTCCTCCGAAGCTTGGTCGCACCTTCCGAAGGGCAGTGCCTACGTTGTTTGGCACCGTCGTCCCCACACGCCTCGTGTGATCTGCCATCGGGATCGCCAGTCTCTGCAGGTGTCTTGGCTGGTTCGACGTCTCCGCGTTGACGGAAGTTGACGGAAAACATCACCCCTCAAGCCTTTCGAGTCAGCACACCCTGGCCCAAACTGAATGCACTAGCGATGTCGCCTGTCACAGTCGGGAGGGGCCGCGCGTGGTCATCGCAATTCAATTCAGATATGAATGGACGATTGCGGGTGCAGAATGCCATTACAAATACTCTGACGTCGTGGTGCCTAGAGGAATCTTAGCCATGCCTCGTTTGATGGTTAATGTTTTGGTCCCAGCTTCTGTTCGGCTCTCCCATGGTAACGGGTGTCGTTTCAGGCGCCTCCGCCTTGAGCTGCGTCCGTGCACAGTGTTGCGCCCACACGGCCCCGTCGTCACTGGGATGCTTCAACCAGCCCCGACGCCACCGGTATCACACCCTTGGATGTAGAATGCTGACTGGCCTGCGGCAGTCCGAGTCCGAGTCGTTGTAGTTCATCTACTGTAACATCACTCTCCGTGGCCGACGATATTCAGTCCGCTGTCTTTCAGTCGTGTTATCCTGTCCACCTATTCGCCACCCTCGTTTGTACGGCCGCGCGGACACAGACAGCAAGCCGTCGGCAGTTGCCTCGGTGAAGCAGGTGGGACCCGACTTCGTGTCAAGTCTTGATGATATATTTGGCTCACTGGCATGCGCCGCGGGGCGGCTATGGAAAACGCTCCTCCAACGGTAATCCTGTACATATGTGCTGCGCACTGGAGAAAGGCAAAATCATGGTACATAGATGGATGGTCAGTCTACGGTGCATTGGCAGTGCAAATTAGCACTCCTATAGTCTGCTTATCCAGAGCCTCAGGCTGAGCTCGAGCGCCACGGGTCTACCACCGGCATTAACTCATTCCATGGCCGCCGGTGGAGCACGACAGTACTCGTCCGTCAACGTCCAACCCTCAAGTTTCTGCAGAGTTAACTGGCCTGGGTGTTAATGGACGTACCAGCAATGATTCCGGCTTTTCTCAAGCGAGGGTGAGTAGTCGCAGACAGTTCACTATCCGTTTCAATTGATCTAGTACTCACGGACTACAACCGTGACGATGATGAAATTGATAGGTCAACGGAACGAACGATGCCTTGAGTATCGCTTACTAGTAGTTCCCCGCAGCACATCATGCCGCGGCGTCGATAGGACGTGGTGCTTGCCCTGTACCCATAAGTCAAACTTAAGTCGGTGAGTACCTACATTGCGTTGCCAGTGGAAGGTTACCGACAAGATTATTCGTTCCATCCTACGGACTACGAAGTGCCCATCAGTACATATATGGGGCTGGCACTGATGCACCTGCGCGGGTCCGGTCCAAAGGTTTGAGTAGTATGTCATGCCCATCCGAATCCCGAAGACGATCCGCTGCGGAGGACACGTCAAGTGTGATCTAGGCTCCACAACACCGCGGAATTCCTCTGCTACGGTTGTTATTTAGTATGTGCGCTCAAGTGAACTCGGAACTGAAGCCACCTTCGACGCAAAGGGAATCCCTTTCCGTAGGCTTGGCTCTAGTGGTACTCAAGCACCTCTATTCTCCCTCGGGACATGTCAGTCCTTCGCCGCTCTTCCTCACAAATCACGGCGTGTCCCGAAGGTGATGTTCCACAAGACCTTCAGTTCGCGGTCTCACTGGAGACCGGGCCAATGTGGGGCCAGTTAAGGTAAGCATTATAATACCATATCTCATTGCAGTCGAAGATCAACGTATACTAGGGCCTGATCAAAAAGGTGCACATTGAAGAGATCGAGGTGGCACATCATGCGTGACATGCCGTGATACAAGCTCAGGCTGTATGTGGTCACATATGGCGGTGCAGACACAGCGGACGACCTGTCGCGTCCGTGGAGCAATGGCACGCACTAGTATGATACTCCTTCAGGCCACTCACAGCGTTGAGCCTCGCCTTGGTGCGGAGAGACACCGACGGTGTGCGGCGCCGTCTTGCGGTGATACCATGTCTCCAGAGATGCATCGACGTGCTATGCACCCCGGTGCGAACGAACATTGCTCGATGCACCTCAGCAATGTGTAGCTACAGTGTACTCTCAGCAGGCGTGCCCAGGGGAGACACCCCGGCCCACAGTGTCCTCCGGTTCGTACAACGCGTTCGCCCATGATTTCCGGCCTGCCCCGCTCATTGAACAATCCAAGTCACGTTCCTGCACGCTCGCCGCATCAGAATCCGTCATGTCTATCATGGCGATGAGGTACTTCACCATAACGCCGATTAGGGGAGGAAGCCATGCGTGGTGGGCAATGGATATGTAGGAGCGTGAGGGTGCTGTGCGAGCTGTCCCAGGCTGGTGCCGGTGGCTCGCCATTGGGTAACACAGGAGATTCCTCGAGAGGTCTATGATGCAAATAGACCGCGAGCTGTCCACACGCAACAGGTCCAACCATTTGCGAATGTAGTGATGAGTAATCAATACAGCAAGACATACGTATGTCTCACCTTGAAAGCCACTCCTGTAATCTTCGTCCGCCAGCCAGATTCAGATTTTCACTGCGAAGGCACCTAACGTTACCGCGGGTTCACACGAAGGACCCAGCTACGTCAGCGATCATCTTGGGGGCACAGGGTACGGCAAACCAAATTACTGACAATGACAAGGTTCTCCAAGTTTTATCAAAGCTGACTCACGATATCGTGGCGCGCGATGTGATTGAAGTTACCGTGGGGAATCAACTGGGGTCGCCAGTGCATTTCGCACTCCTCCGACATGTCGACAGTTCTGTGCTGCCAGTGGTCTCTGAGATCTGAGCTCGCACGGCAATCGAAACAAATAAGCTTGAACCCAAGCACCTGGAGTCTGCTGGAGATGGCTTTCAATGGCTTTTCTATGATCTGATTCACACAATGGTCACATTCACTTGATCCGAGTACAATTTAAATCACCTACTATTAGCCAAGAGCCTGACTCGGAGGACACATCCGGTGGGAGCCATGACTTGTTCAACGACCCAATGCTCAGTCTCACTTTCACCGAAGAAGCCAATAGGCACTGCGTGAGTTCTCACCAGGTCTCCTGGTGACCGATGTCAACAACCCACTGGCAAGAGGACTGGGCCGGGATCAAAGCCGAACGCGGCCAGCCAGTCAATCGTCATGTGACCGCGCCTTCGCACACTGTCGACGTCAGTTTATCAGCTTCAAGCTTCAAGTTGAAATTTGATCCAAGTCTTTCGCTCAGGCTGGCGACCATAGTTCATTTTCCTGTAATGGCTACCAGTGGTTAGCCGTCATTCTATCTAGACCTATTTGCGTCAAATCCTATACGAGGAGGACCCTGTGCTGGCACAGTCGACTACTACTAGGACCGTTCTCCGCAGGCGGCGGCGCATACGCAAACTGCTTGCACCTCGCGTCAACTGCGCGAATCCTTCGAGAGAGATGGAATCATCAAGCGCAATCGCTGTGCTCCTCTGCCTCGGTGTCAGTAAGTCTTTCAGTGTGTGTGCCTGTCGCAGTTGACTCGAGTCGCAACGTCAACAATACGCCGTATGACCAGGACCACAAGAACTTTTCCCACCACTGTAACTCTCGGGGCGGGCTGCCGTGCAACATCATCTGATCGGTATTCAGCCTCGAATATTACCGATGTTGCGGATACGAGGGGTCGTACGGCGCACTCGTATGTCTCCTTTCACCGAGAATGTGCCGAATGGGGGGCACTATCCGGTATAAATAAGCATCTCAGGCATCCTCCCTGTCGACAATCACACATTGCCAACTGGTCACTTGAGCCCCGCAAACTCCACCCACTTAGCTACCGATATGTCTACAACCGTCGAGTTCGATGCAAAGGGCATGCCCTTCAGGAGACTCGGCCCAAGTGGTCTGCGAGTACCGTTGTTCTCGCTTGGAGGATGTATGTTCCACAATAGATACGTCGGATGGTGCTCACGCAATTGACTATGAAGGGCTGACCCTTGGTGGTTCCGTCCGTGGCGATCCTGTCAGGGTGAGTGTACCGCTCATTGATCCTGCCGAGTACGTTCGATCGAGTTATGCAGGAAATTATCAAAACCGCGTTCGAAAATGGCATCAACATGTTCGACACGGCGGAGGGCTACGCAGCTGGTCGCTCCGAAGAGGAGATGTGCGTATGTGATTCTTAGGGGAGAACACCTCTGACCGGTATAACACAGGGGTCGGGTGATAAGGGAGCTGGGTCTGCGACGGACAGACTTGGTGATCTCAACGAAGCTCTTCTGGGGTCCCCATGAACCGCAGAACAACATGGGGTTGTCAAGGAAACAGTGCGTCGGAATCGTCCCGTCGCTCGCCCGTGCTCAATAGCCTTGTAGTATCATCGAAGGCACGAAGGAGTCGCTGCAGCGTCTCGGGCTCGATTATGTCGATATCATCTTTGCCCACCGGCCCGACAACACTGGTCAGTAATCCGAACTCTCGCTACCGGACAGCAAGTTACTCACTCCTTTCCGACAGTCCCAATAGAGGAGACCGTCCGTGCATTCAACTTTGTAATCAACCAGGGATGGGTAGGTATAGCAAAGACGTCGATACCGCCGGTGGTCTGACTTGATGATCTGCACTTAGGCCTTCTACTGGGGAACCTCCGAGTGGTCCGCACGCGAGATCGAGGAGGCCCACCGTACGTGCAACGACCGCCCGACGTGCATGCTCTGCTCACTGGCTCTTAGATGTTGCAGACAAACTCGGTCTCATCGCGCCCGTCGCGGAGCAGTGCGAGCATCAGTACGTCAATCCGACGACCTGTCCCAGACGAGCTTGCTGACTGCCTTTTTATACATGCAGTATGCTCCACCGCGACCGTCCCGAGGGCGAATACGCGTGAGTCTTAAGTTCTACGCCGAGGAGATATAACTGATTGTTACCACCATTCATCGTCAAGTCCTATCTACAGCAAATATGGCACGGGCACAACCGTGTTCTCTGCACTCGCTGGCGGTCTGCTTACGGGCAAGGTATCCACATCTGGTTCATCTTATCATACACCGACCATGCTGACCTCCGTCACCAAGTACAACAACGGCATCCCTTCGGACTCCCGCCTGGCGATCCAGAAGGAAGAATGGCTTCAGGAGCGCGCGAAGTCGCTCGGACAGCCCGAAGGCAAGGCCATGCTGGCTAAGATTCGAGCCCTCGCAGACGTCGCCGAGAATGGTGGGGCCTTCCGTCTTTCTCTAGGCAATATATGTTCTCGCTAATCAGGGCTCCTACTCGCGCTAGACCTCGGTTGCAAAGTCTCGCATCTCGCCCTCGCGTGGATCGCCCGGAACCCGAACACGTCCACGGTTATCCTGGGCGCTTCGAAGCCCGAGCAGATCGTCGACAACCTCAAGGCACTCGAGGTCCTGCCGAAACTGACGCCGGAGATCGTGGAGAAGGTCGAGGGTATTCTGGGGAACAAGCCCGCTCCGCTCGTGCGTCTTCGTCTATGGTGTCTTGTGGGTGCCGAGGCTGATGGATCTCTGTGTCGCAGGCAACGTGGGGGCGCCCGCCACTCGATCCTTTTGGCAGGTCGAGTCTGTAGACGTGGTAGAAGTGCTGCCGCATCGATTGCAACGGGGGATTGTCGTTCTAGGAAGAAGTACACGATGTAGTAATGCGCTGTGATGTATGGTGAGAAGTGTGTATGTGTGTGGCAGCCCGCGGGTTGGGCCTCGCTGAAATTGAGATTGAAATTGTCGTGGTAGGCGTGATGGGTGATCAGATTCAGTGGACGGGCCGGAAGCTGTCAACGATGAGGCACCAGTCCTCGCAGGGACGCCTGTGGAAGAGCGTCGGGAGCGAGGGGACGACATTCGGGAAGACCTGTACTTCGTGGAACGCCCTCTGTCTGAGATTATTGCGCGGAAGAAGAAGATGTGCCACAGGTTGTGGTGCGGCGGAGCGCAGGGCTTGTCGGGGATGTACGAGTTCCTCGAGGTGCGGTAAGCCACGCGCGATGATGTCCAGGGTACGCACAGATGGCTCGACGGTCGTGAAGACATGGTCGAGCTTGAGTGACCGCAGCTTTGACCAGTGGCGGGTGATCTCCACGATGTCCGCGTCCGATAGATGAGCGGCTGCGGTAATATCCAAATCGAATTATCAAATGCCTCTAGGTCTTACATGGCGAACAAGGGTTGAATGATCTCGGCAACGTATTCGAGGCCTCAGAGAACGCAGCCGCGGGTATTTGACATTGATTTAGAGATTCTGCAACCGCCGCCGACACGTGTCCCTAGTAAGCCAGCGCTGATAGACACGGTCAAGGAGTCGGGGAAGTTGAGTGCCCTCGAAGAACCACTCGAGGGCGGGAGGAATGCCTTTAATACGAAGCGACTCAAGGCTCCTAAATCCATGGCACGTCTCCCCGCGTCCCCTGATATCGGATAGATCCATCCGTAAGGAGTTGAGGTTCTCCAGGTGGTCCGCCAGCATCTGAAGGACAGCAACCTCGACGAGGGAGCCGACATACACGTGTCGGAGGTGTATCCAGGCGCGTATTGCAGAGCGTGTCTGGATTATAGATGCCACATATATGGAGGTCCTCGACGTGAGGCGCCCGCCTAGTTGCATTGTTAAGGAGCGCCTTGAGCGCGTACTCGCGTCTGCGAGCGTGCCCAGATCTCCAAGTCTCCGATGCGAAGTCGAACTCGCCGGAGGGACGGCCCGATTATGTGCAGCAGGTCATAGGTGTTGCACGACTGCTGTTGCCACTGCAAGTAACGGAGGCTGGGAAGCAGCGGCTTGCCACCGTTGTAGAGGGAGAGTTGCAGATAGACCGACGGGTCGATGGTTGCATCGTAATCATGCAAGCAGATGTGGACTAGCCCGGCGTAGTACTGAAAGCGCTCCCAGTCCGCGGGGCTAACCTCTCCGCTCAGTACCTGAGTGGATGACGGCGTTAGCCTGGCTATAAGTATGTTCTCGATTGGCGTAGGTTACCTGTAGAGTGTTCCGTTCGTCCACGTCCTCAGGGACTTGCTTGCTCTCTTCGTCGTCAATTTCGCTACAATCGCTCTCGATTTGTACCACCTGACAACACGAGAGCAGGCGAAGCAGAGGCTCAAAGTCGTCGATGACCGCCCAAAGGGCACATATTACAGGCCCAGAGAAGGCGCGAGAGACACGCGCCAAACGTGCCAGAGTGCGGCGTAGCTCTGGGAGCGACACTTTGCCACTCCGGAGCCCGTCGGTGTCCAACCACCTCTCCGGGTGGAAGTGGTTCAGGACCATCCAGAGGATCTCCTGGATGCCAAGAGCCCTTCGAGCTGACATTGTCGATCGCTGAGCTACTTAGTGCCCGAGGGGCGATAGTCCTAAAGCACTCAACAGTTAGACAAGGTGAACATGGTGTGGGGTAGTGAACGAAGGGCACTTACAAGGTGCGCGGGGGATGCTAATCCCTTCAATTGCAATATAGCTTCGGCCAACCTCAATGACAGGGCCGCAAAGAAGATAGCGCTACGTACAGTTCACTTCTCCCGTTAAGCGTCACCTTCTCCCGGGCAGTGAGGGACGGCGAAGTCGGTGGGAACGCAAGTCACTCACTGGTAGTACCGTCGTGGTGGCAGCGAGACAAGTCCTTGCAGATTGGCAGCGGTCTGAGTCTGACTGGTGCAATATGATCAGTCGAGGATAGGAGGCCACGCCGGAGAAGACGCATCAGTTCCGCCTACTTAGTATTCAGCGGGGCCGCCAGGGCTGGCCTCGGCTCGAAAGGGGGGTCGCAGTAGCATCGCTACCTCAGATGCTACCAAGTCTTAGTCTTCCGTCGGGCACCGCGCCAAGCGTTGCTCCCTCCTCGGTGCAACGGCTCCCTGATGTTTCTTGCTCGGTCTAGGGCGTTTGTACAAATTGGCGAGGGCGTCCACTGGGCGTCCACGACTCGTATTTCACTGGAAGCTGGTTAACGACGAAGAGTTGAACTGTCCGCCTATTGAAAAGAACGGGCCGGGTTGGGGAGTCTCAAGCTCTCAAGGTCTATGCACCGACGCAATATAGGTGACTCTCGAACCTGCCCAATTACAGTAGCGAGGAAGAGGGCTGAGGACATGAAGCTGAAGTCCTACCAGTTGGAAGATCGAGGAGTGGATGCGTCACGTGCATGACGACTTCTCGGCCGCGCGGTTGGCGCGCGATGTCCACAACCTTAACGCGACCTGCGAAGCATGTCTGTCGCATTCTTCTCTTCGCGCCTCTCACCGCGCCCTCATCTCCCTTTCGTTCTCAAACAAAGGGAACACCGTCCTAGACCAACATGAAGGTACATATACTCGCTGACAGGCACTGTAGTGGTCGAGTACTGATTAACCCCCGTGTAGGTCGAATCCATGGACAACGGTGAATGGGAAGACATCCCGGAAGTGAACACTGCGCGGTCGTCGCGTACGCTGTCTGTGCCTCCTAGCCCTGCCAGCACGCGCATGGCCACCCGCAGACGGAAGACCCCCCACAAGAAGACGAACCTCACGCCTCCCCTAATGTCTCGTCGATCGGCGACGCCTGCGGCACAGCTGCAAGAAGAGACACCCGCTTACGTCGATCGCGAGCAGATACAACAGGCTGTCTTCACTGGCGCATCGGCTATGGTGTCTTATGTTATGGACGTCCTCGGCACTGCGTTCTGGCTGCTCAAGAAGCCTCTCGGGGTCCTCGCTTTCTTTGTGGCCCTGGGATTTTTGTGTGGCTACGTCGTGGAGAAGTTCCGCTTCATGCTCACACCTGTGTGCATACTCCCCGGCATCCGGTCTAGCATTCTCTGCCAGCTGCCCAGCATATCGAAATCAGCGAACTTCACCAAGCTGGTCGAGGTGGAGGACAACTTCGAGGGCATCATCAACGCGAACGTGGGCACGAGCGAGCTCAGCCTGAAGCTCAAACAGTCAGAAATCGTCACGCGCGACCTCGTCACGCTCGTGCGCGTGAGCGACCTGAAGAGCCGCGACACCCTCGCGGAGGCTCTCATGCAATTTGTGGAGGATGCGAAGAAGACGGGAGAGGGACTGCACAGACTTAGCGCGAAGATCAACGGTGCCGTGGATCGGTAAGCTCTCTGATACCTCGTTCAACACAACCTCTCTAACGGACAAGTTGTCCTTATCCAGCGTCGCTCATTCAAACAGCCACGCCATGCGCACAATAGGGGCGGCTATAGAGAAGAGCGTCTTCTCATTGTCACGCCTCTTGACCCCGTTCACGTCTGGCTCAACCGAGGCAGCCGTCCTGCGCTCGTTCGAAGATGCGATGGACACACTAGCCCAGGGGACCCAGCGCGCGCTGTTCGAGGCCTCAGTCAGCGTGGCAAACCTCGAGCTCCTCCAAGAACACCTGTTCACGATCCACGAACTCTGCTCGCGGGAGGGCGTCGTGCTGAGCGAGGAGCACGAGCAGTTGCTCTCGGAGCTCTGGACGAAGCTCGGCGGGAACAACCAGAAGGTGCGCAAGCACGAGGTGCACCTCGCGCTCCTCAAGGAGGTCGGCCGCTACCGCCGGGAGGCCCTCGCGCACGTCGTCGTGACGCGCGACGCGCTGCAGGCGGTCGAGGCGGACGTGGCGGAGCTGAGGGCGACTGCGGCGGCGGCGGGCATCGCGGGCGATCGTATTGCTCCGCAGGCGTTGATCGGGAGCATTGGAGACGGGATTCAGAGGCTGAAGGACAAGCAGCTGAGGGCGAACGAGCTGCAGCAGGCGATGGTGGACAGGTTCCTGGCGTCGTCGAGTGATGTGTTGGGCATCGAAGGTGATCGATTGTGAGCAGCGGTCTCACTGTTTTGGCTATATGTATGTAACGATTGCTTCACCGGAGTGCGTTCTTGTATGATCTTTCATGTACTTTTGCTGTACCCTATGTATTTCAGGTCTAGTGTTTGAAGTTTCCGCCACGATGGCGTCTTCGCGTCGAGGGATCATCCTTGCCATGACCTAATGCGGGGTGCGCGAGTCTTCCATTGCAATGGGCGGCACGCTTCGAGACATCATTCGTCGCCATCGCGCCATCGCGACGAGTTCGCGAAGACTTGGAGGCTTCCGATGCCACTAGATGCGCTCATAGCGCTCCCCGCGCGGGCGGTAGTGTGGATTCTGACAATAGGATGCCTTCGGACGGTCTTTATGAGCTAGACTGCATTGCATGTCAGTGATGCGTGTCGCGGAGGCCTCAGCTTCACTGTCAACTGAGGAATGTACCTGGCTGCGGCACCGCTGCTTGTGAGCGAGGCAGATGGGCGGAGAAGATCAGCAACTCAAATGCTGCAATTGACAGTTGCCTTCGGACGCCCGGAGAAGTGAGATCAGGAACGGCGCATCACCGAGTGCCGTTGTCTTGTTTCCCGGGCTCGCATCGAATCTTGACCGCGCGTTCTCGAAGCAGATGTGGAGTCGATAGTCATGAAAAGAAGCAGCCCGTGAGCGCGTGGCTACTCAACGCTCCATGCCCTCCCCGCATACTAACTCTGCCCAGTAGGGTAAGTCTCGGGCGAAATCGTCGTGATCCTTGATCCAGCACGTTCGTGATCCTATACGCTGCCACCGGTGGGTAGCCAGGGTGCGTGCTGACGAAGGGCGAAGCTAGGTTATTCCTGTCCGCGAGTTCTCCCGCTAGGCCAGGACTCTTCTGGCGCTGTAGGCGGGCGCATCGGTACTCACGCTGATGGCCACGCGCGAACGCTATTTAGTATGTATGCTCAGGATCTCACCGCCGACCGGGGCGTCGCACTCGCGGGATCTCCGGCTATTAGCTCTTTACCTATTCGCGGGGCAGCCTAGCACAGTTCATTAGGTCACCATATGTCATAGGCACATGAATCCGTCTCACTGACCACTCGATTGCGTGCTATATCAAGGCCGCGCTCACAAAGATCGTGGGTGTTTACACCATCGCGTACGGCGGCGTTCATGTGGCCGGTCGCATCCTCGATGCGGCGCCTCTGCAGTCTGGGGTTTCTCCGCCTCGGGACCGCGCGCTGGTCAGCATTCACAGGTCTGCAGGGCAGCATCACTGCTGGACGTCCGTGTAACTCACTGTCAGCTGTCGATCTGCCAACTTGCACAGGGGCGGGCCGGATGAGGATGATCCCACAAGTTTCGGGGTGCGCGCTGCGGCCATAGGAGAGCTCCCAAGTGGCGGCGGGTGCACATGGACGTGTCGGAGGCGTAGGGGTCCCCGCGCGCGTCGCTGCCTGTCACTGTTTGCCCCAAGCATCGCGTAGCCTAGCTAGGATGCCGCGCGCGGCCACTAACACGAGGCGCGCGGTTTGGTGGGTGGTGGCCGCGGTGGCCGAAGTTGATAGTTCATACCAGAGAGGGTGGTGAAGGGGAGCCACGGTGCTCGAGGGTACCGGGTGCTGCGGGTGTAGATGTGGGCGGATTCGGGAGCAGAGCACGTCGGCGCGGTGCTTGGGCATGCGCGGCGAAGGGAGCAGCATCGGGCGCGTCACGCGAGCTCTGTATATCCCGATCTAGATCGATCTGAGATTGCGCGTGCACACACGATGGACTGCCCCAAAAGGCAGGTGGGGCACAGGCTGCCGTGCGCCTCGGAACCCCGGACTGGTCGCTGCATGTGTCGGTGTGAACGGCGCCAGCAGCGCGTACTATGCGACCACCGTCGACGTCCTCGCCAGCCCCGCCCCCTCCTGCGCCCCCCGCCTGCGCAGTCGCCCGCAGCGCCGACATCGATGCCGCGTCCGCCGGGCAAGGCCCGCGCAAGGGGCGAATGTGCTGTCATAATTATCCAATTGCAGGGAATCCTGATGCCGTGTGATTCCTGACGCTAGCCCAGAAGAGGAAGTCATGATATAGCAATTCGAACTCCCAGCAACAAAACAATAAGCTGCGCGCATGCGCTAGAGCCCTATACCGTATCCGCGCATTTCCCCCTCTCCTCCTAGCCGCCGCCCACGTCGCCCGACACGCCTCCTGGCCGTCCAAGCAGCCCCATTGTCCCAGAACGCGCAGGGGCCGACCGTGCGTACATCGCGCGGCCATTCCGGTGCACCGTTGCTCACAGGGAGCGCGCAGGCCAGATCGCGTCGCGTCGCCATACGTCCTTATTGTCTTTGCCCAACCCCGCCGCACGTTCCCCTGGTGAGTCATCCGACTGGATTTGCCGGCATTGTCCTGATCAAGATACCGCTTTGCGGGGCACAGGCTGCTCTCTGAGTCGCCATCTTAGCTGCCAATCTGGCTCCTCGTCCTAACTCCCACTCGTCTGCGGGGTCGTCCGTATTTGCCGTCACAGGGATGGCCATACCATCTGCATTAGCTGGCGACTTCATGGTGAGCACACCTGTGGCATCTAGTGCATCCAACAAGCTGAAAACCATGCAGGCCGGCCCCGGCACTGGGTCCCTTGGAGGGCCTCCAATACAGCACGTACGTCACGCGCGTGCCCATGATCAACAGTCCTTGGTGTCCTGATTGTGGAGTTGCAGAATTACAAACGAGCAGTATGCCGGGCACCTCCTGCTCTCTTCGATGTAGAGGTATTACCACCAACGAAGTTCGGTGAGTTGCGTTGATTGCGTGTGGTGGTCGCATTGTCTCACGCCGACGATTTTAGGGAGCGGGTTTTGCTATGGCATGCGCATCTACCCCGTCATGCACTCAGAGCTCCCAGACGACAAGTCGAGCAGGTCGTCAAAGTCGTCGGGATCGATGAACACGGAGTACGACATCTGGCGGCGGTGGGAGGACTGCCTGTGGTTCCAGGAAATCCTCGAGTCCGAGTACGCACTGATGGCGCGTCAGAAGCGGCAGCGGCTCGCCGCAGGCAAGGGCGTAAAGAAGAATGGTATGTACATCCATTCGGACCAGGCAGCGTCCTTCGAGAGCTTGCCGCCCGGCCCGGAGGCGAGCAGCATCGCGAAGGACATCCACGAGATCGTTCCGAAGCTCACGAAGAAGGGCACCTTCTTCAAGGCGAGCCAGGCGACGATTGACCAGCGGGGGAAGGAGTTCACGGCGATGATGGAGGCGCTTTGGGGCCAGGACGTCCCGACGCTCGTCAAGGAGCTCAGGGAGACGCGGCTCGTGCGCGACTTCTTTGGCTACTGGCGGAGGGACAAGGACCATGACCGCAAGATCGCGACCCAGCGACCCAGCTCGAGCGACGGCACAAAGCCTTCTAGGACATCTCTGTACTCGAGGGCGTCGCTCGCGCCAAGCTCGCTGTCGATGTATTTCTCCCCATCGAGTGTCGACCTCTCGCAGATGCCACCCTCACCTTCCACCGCGAGCCAGACCACGGTGAAGTCCCCGCGATCCGCGCCGAAGAGCCAAAAACCGGCACACGCACCGTACGATCCTACCGCATCCTCCAGTGCGAGCACATCCCCAACCTCGCCCTCCCCCGTCACGCCCACGCCGACCGCGATGCAGTTCTCCATCTCACACCGCGGCTCGCTCACGCCACAACCGCACGCATCGTTCTCGGACGACGAGACATCATCCGGGCACCGCTCGATCTCGTCCGTGCGTTTCACTCGCTCCCAGAGCAAGCACGAATCGAAGGTCGCCCTCGACGAGATGCCCATCGTCTTCATGCCAGACGCGCAGCCGTGGTCCGAGACGGGCATCAACGGCCAGGCGCACGAACGGCACACCGCGCTGCAGGCCCTCCCGGAGGACCAGGAGCTCGAAGCGGGCATGAGCGGACTGAGCATGAGCGGCGCGAGCTCGCCGCCGCGCGCCGTACCCATCCGGCGTGCCCGCAACAACTCGTGCCCGGACCGGACGAACCGCAACTGCGTCGTGTTCTCGCCGACGCCCGAGGAGGGCGCCGACGCCGACGCCGACGGCATCGCGGAGTCGCCGCGGCACACGATCCTCAGCTCCTCGCGGCCGTCGTCGATGGCGCTCTCGATGTTCTCCGAGATCTCGGGGGTGTCGAGCTGGCGCAGCTCGGTCGCGTCCGAGGCGAGCATCGCGACTATCTCGACGAGCCTCCCGCGCGAGTCGTGCCTGTCGTTCGAGACGGACTCGTCTGGGTCGCTCTACTCGCAGGGCTCGTCGCACGGCCATGTCCTTGACCACCGAGCGTCCGTCGCGACGATGAACTCGCTCGTGTCGGGCTTCTCGGTTGACGCGGTGCTTCCTAGGCGGGCGATGTCGCCCCCTCTCAACGGAGGGAGCGTTAAGCGCTCCAAGAGTACTGGGTCGAGGAGGCCGACGAGCGCGCTCTCTGGCGGACCCATCTCTGCGGACGACGTGTACGAGTATGAGCAGTCCGACGAGGTACTTGATGGGTATTTCTATGGTGCGTGTAGTGTGTTGCAGATACAGAACTGATCAACTCATGTGCTTGCGTAGACCCTACCCTGCAGCGCACACCATCTCCCGATGACTCTGCTCTCCATCTGTCCGAACACTCTAGATACCAACAACCAACAAAGCAAGTTGTCCCTCCCGAGCGATTCCCCAAACCCTTCCAGAACCGCCCGCCAGGGCAGTTCCACCTCCCCTGGTCCGCACCCAACTCACCCAACTCGCGCGCCTCCGTAGCCTCCACCAACCCCATGTCTGTGTTCCCCGACTCCGCCGCGTCCGTGAGCAGCCCGACCGGGCCCGACACGCTGACGATCAAGGCGATGCTCGACGACTCGCTGATCGTGCTCGTCCGCGTGACGCAGACGACGCCGTTCCTGGACGTGCGCGAGCGCATCCAGAGCAAGTTCGCGAAGCATGAAGGCGTGCAGCTTCCTGATTCTTTCGTCATCGGCTACGTCCCCGCGAGCGAGCGAGCGCGCATGGCGCACGGGCGCGGCCGGGTGCGCTCGAACTCGACGCCGACTCCTGCGAGCGAGGCGGCCGAGCCGCTGAGGATCGTCTCCTCGGAGGAGGAGTGGCACACCGCTGTCGCCAGCGCGTCTTCGAAGCTTGCTGTGAGAATACTCAGGTCAAGATCCTGAAGCAAGAAAATCAACATACCGCTCCTTATTGCATTTATTGCTATCTCTCATTGATCTCTCAAGTCCATTCTCTCTCTGTTCTCATTGACTCTCATGTTTACGACCTCTCATGATGATGACCGCCTGTACTTCGACCTTCCTCTTTGTGGCGACTCGGTTACCCCTTCGGCCTTCGCTGTTTGTACGCCTTATTGTCATATGGCATTTGTTGTGTGTCTCGTTATATCCTCTGGTTGTGTGTAGGTTAATCGTCATGGTGTTCGTTTACCTGGGACTATTCCCGGATTGGGCCATGCTAGGTATCAATGTGGTGGTAAAAGTATTGTGTACATAGATTGTCGGGAGCAGATACAGAATAGACTATCATCGTTTGTGCACGCAGTCTCAATTTGTGTCTCGACTTTCATTGCCAATCATGACCTGGGTGAGCTCGAGGGAGAGCGCTAGCCACGATCGCGTTAGCGCCCACGTAACACGCGCGGGTGGCTGCACCCGGGCCAGTGGCAGGTTATCCATCTGGACGTCTTGAAATTGCCTCGGCCTTTGTCTTTCTGATCGTCTTTCCAGCTCGCTGAGATACGTCGGGTACGGCCTACCCTCCCCTAGGAAGAGGAAATGTCTACAGTCACTGCGACTCCAAGAAGGGCTGGTCATGACTCCAGCAATATGGCCACCACCACTCCTCAAACAACGCGAGTAGCGACTTCTCACATCATCCAATCGTCCCCGCACTACCAGACCACTCGGAGGCATTCGCTATACGGAACTGAGGATAGGGTGGTCATAGACCCCGGGTCGCGCATATGGAAGGTAGGGTTTAGTGGAGAGGGCAAACCAAGAGACGTCTTGACAGCCGGAGACAACGGCTCGTCACTCTGGACACTGAATCGTGCGTCCAAACCTGCCGAGCGGGAAGAGGAGGATAAGATGCTGGAGGCAAGGTTGCAAAGTCGACTGCGTGCAGTATTCCACGAGTGCGTGTGTACAATGACCGGACTTGTGCATCGTGTGCTGAAGTGCAGACAAAGCTCACTCATGACCGACCCGAAGTCGCGCAAAGTGATATTGGTGGAGCACCCGTTAATGCCACTGCACATCAAGGATATTGTTGCTCGAATATTGTTCGACAATCTGCAGGTGAGCTTGCAAACCTCTGGTACATTGTACAGTCCGTAACGGTGTTAGGTCCCGTCCATCTCGTTTGCTTCAAGCCATCTCCTCGCATTGCTTGCAGCAGGCAGGATTACAGGTCTCGTACTAGACTGCGGTCATCTAGAGTCCACAGTCCTACCCGTGAGTGTCTCCACAATGTTTTCATACCAAGCTGACGAATAGTTGTCGTAGATATTCTCCTCTAGACCATTGTTCCCCCAGCTGCGTACAACCCCTCTCGCCGGTATGCGCTTGTCATCGCACATCCGAGCACTACTCCTCCTCTTCGGTACCTACATCCCGCCGTTGACTTCACTGAGCGGCGCCGCCAACATCCCTGCCGCTACGCGCTCTATGCGTGTACCCGACGAAGTGCTCGCAGGCCCGGTCATAGAGGAGATCAAGACACGCTGCTGCTTCGTAGGCGAGACTCTTGACCTGGCCGACAGCGGTGCCACCCGTGTCACGTCACCCTCGGGCGACGACTCGTTTGAGCACGACCTCCCTCCCTCCAGCGACCCTGCGTCGATGTCCGAGTCTGATTTCTCTCGCGTGTCCGCATCTGAGATGGATAGCAACTACGCCGCGTCGTCAGGCTTCTCCGTAGTCTCGCGGTCACAAGTCCATCCCGATGGCCCGCGTCCTGGCGAGACTCACCTGCAGGCCCTCGCGGAGATGTACAAGCGGCATTCTACCGCGACGGACCTCCATATGCATATTGACCCGCCGAGAGACCAGCAAGCGGGGACTGGGAAGGGCACCCTCATCATACCAGGCTGGATCAGGGAACGCGGGGCAGAAGTGCTCTTCGAGGGTGGTGATGTCGATGAGAGCAGTATGGCTGAGGTTATCCTCGACTCCCTGCTGAAGGTGGCTGTCTTGATGCTGACGCCCTTACTGTCCATGCTTAACCATTTCTCGTAGGTACCCGTTGACCTTCGCAAGACGCTTGCCTCTACCATCCTGGTCGTCGGTGGCACGCCCATGCTGCCAGGGTTCATCCCTCGTCTCCAAGCAGAGCTCGTCCGCGCCATCAACTCATCCGCGCCAACGTCAACCCGTCCTCCAAGCCGCCCCGGGCGGCCGCGGCCGGCACCATACGACCGCTATGCCCCGCTCCGTCCATTACTTCCCTACTTTGCTATCCTGAACAATCCGTCCCCACCCCCGCCGACATCCGCGAGCTTCGTCACGAATGCCGGCAAGGCACCCGCATTCACACCTGCTACAATGGCATGGGTAGGAGGATCTCTCGCTGGGTTCGTCTCCTTCGTTATACCCCTTGCCACCCGACTGATCATATTTTCACTGTGATACAGAGCGCTGAAGACCGGTGGTGTCGAGGTTGCAAGAGAGCGATGGGACGAAGCGGACGCTCAGCCGGAAGACGAAGATGATGCTATGGAGGGCACCGCCGACACCGCACCGTCATCGAGGAACGTTTTGCCAGACTGGACGCGCACACCGCTCCCGGTCGGTGCACCCCCAGCTCCTCGGCCTCAGGCGGCCCCTATAATCGTCACGCCTCAGACTGAAGTTGGTGCATGATACTCATGTTATCGCTTGGGGTTGTGCTATCGTTGTACATTACTCGTTTGGTTTTCGGGTTGCTGCCAGGCATAGCTGTCAAGTGTGAACGCAAAACAATGCGATGTGGTCTGAGACTGTCTCCAGTATGCTACGATGTTTATCCTAGACGCTTCTGCAGTCCATATGCTATATACTACGGTCGAGGCTACATGTTCTGAGGTCCGCTAGATTAGGTAGATGAAGCAAGTCCGAGGACGACGAGCGTAAGCTACGTGCAGCCCGTTGTCTACTCAGCATCGTCTTCAGAAGTCGAACAGTCCACCAATGTTGCCGACAGCGATGTCGTGCAGCTTCCCGAAGTTCGGCGTGCCGAATCCGGTGACGGGGTCCCAGCCAACCTCAGCCTAACGACGCACAAATCAGTCACTAAAGTATGCATCGAAGGAAACTCAGCGACGACGTACGGTGAAGCCCTCGGTACCGCAGCCACGGTTGCTCCCGCCCACGATATCGTTGAACGCATCCGGGACGATCGCGCCGATGGCGTAGATGAGCGGGTTCAAAAAGCCGAGCGCAGGGAGGCCTTTCGCGAGGCGAGCGTCGTTGAGGAGCGATACGATGCCGCCGACAGTGGGCGCCGCGGCGGACGTGCCGCCGATAAGGAAGTTCTCGCCGCCGCTGAAGATCCAGAAGAACTGGCCTTGGGCTGCGACGTCGGGGTAGGCCTGTTTGGACGAGGTTAGAACGTTGATCCCAGTGAGCATTGCGAGTTGAAGGGAGAACTTACACGACCAGACCTGCCGGAGGATAATATTTGAATGGTTAACCGTCGGTATGGGTTCAAGCATTGTAGTGAACTTACGCGTTGTAAAGACCCTCGTAGGTGTTGCCAAGGTTCTTCACGTAGTGAGGAACAGCGATGTCCTGGTACAAGGGCCGAGAGAACTATACAAACACATCTCAGTCACAAATTCACGTGAGCAGAGAGATACTCACGTAGTTGCTGAATCCGCCGCCCGAGATGAAGTACGTCTCTTCTGGGATGTACCAGGTCGCACCAACGGCGGTCACGCTGATACGCAAACATGTCGACATATCGTCAGTCACAACACCTTAAATTGAAGGGACCACACATACTAGGGGCAGCTCGCAGGGAACGCTGGGACGAACTTCGTCTCATTAAGACCATTGTTCGTGTAGCATTCCTGGGTGGCTGGATCCGAATCGCCATCACCCACGCCGTTGTCACCAGAGCTGAAGATAATCGAGACGCCGCGAGCACCTGCACACAGTCAGCTAGATGCTCGCTCGACAGCTACACGCTGATTGACGTACCGAGCTGAGCAAGCTCCCGGCAGACGCGCGTCGCGTAGCTGTACGGGACTGGGATCACAGGGTCAGCGAAGTCGTGCAATAACGTGCGATGGGGGCCTCACCAGTCTGCTCATCGTCTCCGTAGCTGGTGGAGATGGTCTGCGGCGGATTGGGGTCGTTCAGGATGTAGGAGAGCCACTGGAGAAGAAATATCAGTGAGCAAAAATTCTGTTTTAGGAGGCAAGACGTACATCAGCATATGGCTCGTTCGAGTCGGAGGTCGTGATGTCATCGGGAATGAACGGAGGACTTCCGCCCGTCGTGTAGAACGTAGCTGGCGTTGGGTATGACAAACCGAACGCATACTGAGTGTCTAAAATAGTCAAATTATATACACAATGAGATACCAATGCCAATTGTAGCTTTGAAGGAACCGTACCAAGGTCTGCCTCAACACCCGCTGCGTCAAGACTCTGGTCATTGCTCCCATCTATGGTTCGACGTAATTAGACCTTGGCTTGTGCTGATGATCACCGAGACTCACTGTTGATGTATATGACGTCAAACGTCGAGTTGATCGCCTCGGGGAGGTACTTCGCGTTGAAGTCATTGAAGTCCTCGAAGTTAGCGTACTGCTCAAGATAGCCTGTGCAAGCAATCTTGTTAACATCCGCAGCCTGGGGCGTGTAGTCACCGATGTTGTAGAGCTCGCGGAGGCAGGTGGGGGTGAGCGAGCCGTTGCAGCTCGAGTTAACCTGTCCGTTGTACGCCGACGGGATGGGGATGGTGGGCTGCGCGATGTTGACAACGCGTGCTTCCTCGTCTGCATAGTGATACGTCGCCTTCATACCCCTCATACGGGCAAACGTCGTAGTAGGCTGGACGACGTCGATGTGCACGTGCAGATGCTCAGGCAGGCTGTAAGACGTCGTGCGGACGACAGCATCCCCGCTCTCTTCGTGTTGCCAGACGTGGTACTCCTATAAACGTATTATTATAAGGCTGAGAGTACTGCTCTTAGGGGCACACGACCATTCCTTACCGTCTTGAGCATCTCTTCGGCAAGGCTAACCGGGATGCGGAGCTTCACCCAGTCGCCAGCAGACGAACGCGACAGCTCGTGCGATGCAAACCCATAACTCGCAAGCCATTCGTCGACCGCGCTCACGCTCTCTTCGTGAGGCGCAATAAGGGCCTCGACCTCCTCTTTCGAGAGGTGGGCTCCGTAGCGCTCATGGAAGGGATCGCTGATATGTACCATCCGATCGTCAGTTGATCTACACCACGACCGGACCGACCACGAACCTGATTTCATACAAGTGCTGCTCGAGCTCATGGAACTTGGGCTGCGGCAGACCAATACGAAGGTCAATGAAGTGGTCGGCCGGGGCCGGCTTGACCTTCGTCCAGCCCCTGGGCGGCGCGACAGATTCCTTGACCTTGTGTTCGTAGTCCTTGCCCGGCGCGGCGGCGACACCGGCGGCGACGAGGAGCCCCACGAACAGTCCGAACGACTTCATCCTGGCGAGTCTAAGTAGAGAGGCCGGGCTGGAGGCAACACGCCATTGCCATGCACCTATATATATGCGGCCATTGAAAGCCTGCAGGCTGACGGATGGCTCACAGGGGAGAACAAGATACGCGCCATGTGATGACTGGACATATCATTGACAAGTGATGCGGTGTCTTCTCACAGGCATCCGACTCCGAGTCGGCAGGCGCATTGGACATGGAGGGGCCGCATCGAGAACGAGTAGTAGACGCGTTGAAGGCCGCAAAGGAGAGTCCGAGATAGGTGCATCCGACCCCCCTAACCCCTCGTCTTCATTTCGGTACGCGCACCTCGGTTCAGGTCGCTGGCCTGGTGACAGCGCGACTCCGAGGAATCAGAGGACGACGCCCGCGCGATCTTTAGCCCAGCCACGCCAAGGTAGCGTCTATCGACCCTATTCACTGTCCAATAGTACTCGACCGACCCGAGACACGGTACGTCGCATGGCGACTAAGTACTACATAAGCATGCACTGCCCGGGCGTCGTAGACCAGCGTAGAACGTTGACATCGCAGTAGGATGCATGAACTTCAGATCAGAGGCTACTGAGTGTTCAACGATATCGATACTCAGGCTCCGTAAGCCCTCGCTCTTCTCATGAATCCTCTACGTAGCTCTGGCTTGCACTCAATGCTGAAAGGCATCATTCCAGGCAACCGGAGTTATCGCATCAGACTTATGTGGCATTATGTGTTGCGCGCCGTACTTATCGGTGACATCGATTGGGCGCGTTTGAGCAACGGCGTTCCTGGGTTGATCCACGGTCCGTAGCGATCCGCAGACAGGATCCTCGGGAGTCGACCAGGAGAAAGCTGTGATGCATCGCTTTGTCCTACAACGGCGCGGGGCTCGCTGCGGGTAATGCGGGCAGAGTGAGATGAAAGACCTCGGCCGACGCGGTAAAGGTCATGACTATCAATACAATGCTGCAAACGCCGTCGCCATCCATATAGTCCGATACAAATTCACGCGCGGATGCTCTCGAGCCCGAACTCGGCGGTGCTGCCTCTATCGAGCTCATTAAACGGATCACGCATGCTGCCCGTCTTTTGGCGCCAGAGTTGCGTGTAGAGCATCTTGATCTTCTGTAGCTCCGCGTTCAGCGCGGCGGTCTTGCTCGCGAGTGCGACGAACGTTGCATGCTGTGCCCCTAGTGTGGTCGAGATGGCTAGACGCGCACGCGACTTGAGTACGACCGACATGAAGAAGACGCTAAGGCACGTACCCTGTGGAGTCTGCTGTGATTGCGCGGCTGCAGAAGAGAGCTTCCGCTCGATTTGCTAGGGGGAGGTTCGGTTACGCGTTCGTGCGCTCAAAGGAAGACATACCTCGATAGTTGTCTTGTACCATCGTAGCCGCTCAGCCATTTGTTCCGTCACACGCATAAAGAACCTAGTCCGGCACAACGTCGGTAGCTGTCGGGGCCATCCAACGACGATAGAACGTACTCTAATGGGAAGTTCGCGTGACTCTTCAAGTAGGCACCGTGTTGTTGTGGATTGCGGAAGCCATCGACGATGTGTGTCGCGACGATGGTGTCCTGGACGGTCTGGTTCACCTTCGCCTTCAGATCTCGCATGTGCATGACATCGGAGTGGAGGGTAGTGATAGCGTTGACGAGTTCCTGCATGAAGCAATTCAGACATGAGATGCTATGGCACTACCAAACCACTCGCCTTGTGTACTGCTCGAACATCATCCTGACCTTTCGTTGCCTCCTCACCCAATTTCCGCTGCTTCAGATCATTGCTGATCTGAACACGACCCTGTATGAACGTGCTGCGAAGAGACCGTCGTCAATGACGCTATCGGAGGGAACGAAGAGGCACATACTCAATGTCCTCGAAGGTCTTCTTCAGGCCATCAGGGAGGTCGTTGAACTTTGTCGACTTCGTGAAGGGGGGTACACCGGACGCTTGGGCTGTCGATAGTGAGCTGTTCGACGTTCATAAGCAACCTCGTTAGCAGCCACAGCGAGTGGCATCTGTAACTTACGACCCTTGAGCAGACGGTTTGGACAACAGTGAGTTACCAGGTGCCGCTATGTTTAGAGTAGAGGTACCTAGTGTAGATGCACCGAAGCCTCCACCAGGTTTCGCCCCACCAAGCGCGCCCAAGCCTGTCGACTGACCCAAGGTCGGCCCAGTTGTACTTGAACCGAAAGCACCGAGATTATAGGAACTCTGTTGCTGAGGTTGCTGAGGTTGGTTCTGCGTGTTCCCGAATAGGGATGAGCCCAATGTGCTGCCCTGTTGCGTATTCGCTGCGGGTTGTCCAAACAGGCCCCCCGACGGCGCTTGCTGCTGGTTGTTCGCGTTCGACTGCCCAAACAGGCCCCCCGATGGCGCTTGCTGCTGATTGTTGGCGTTCGACTGTCCAAACAATCCACCCGAGGGCGCAGGCTGATTTGTATTCGTATTTGACTGCCCGAACAGGCCACTGGATGGTGCTTGCTGCTGGGTATTCGTCTGGCCGAACAGCCCCGTAGACTGACCAGGCTGCTGGGCCGGCTGTTGCGACTGCCCGTAAGCATTACCTCCGAACAAGCCCGTTCCCTGCGCAGGTTGGTTCTGATTTTGCTGCTGGTTCGGGTTCTGGCCCTGTGGCATGCCAAAGAGGGACGAGCCCGCTGCAGGACCCTGGTTCTGTGTTTGGGGCTGTGAGCCGAACGCGCCCAGGCCCGTGTTCTGCTGCTGCGTGTTTGTGCTGCCAAAGAGAGATCCCTGCGGGTTGGATTGATTGGGTTGCCCAAAGAGCGAGCTCCCGGTCTGGTTAGCTGGCTTGATGCCAAAGGCGGAAGAGCTGCATTCGACTGTGGCTCAGTCGATCGTGGAGTTCAGCCTAGAGCAAGCAACTTACCCGCCTGAGAACGACGCCATTATAATCCGTCAAGAAGTAATGTGGCGCGTTGAGAGCCAGCAGGTTGTGATGTCAAGAAGAACAAACCACCGCAGGACAAGCCGCAGGATGCGACTCGACGCGACCGACGCCACGGCGCGTTCATGTGACACATCGTGACGATGTCACGGTACGTGGCTGTCACGCGTCTGTCACGAACGTTCGCCATAAGTTAGCCGCGGTGGCGTTGTGCGGGCGCGCGTTGCTCTGATGTTCAGCTCCTCCACCTCGTCCTCCAGCTGCTTGATTCTACCACGATCCGCGGCGGTGTCTTGATATTTAGTATCACAAAGGGCGCCGACTGCCAACAACGAGTTTTCCCCAAATAGTTTACTCTCGTGGCCCGCTGGGGGAGCCGCCGTCTCCCGAATCTGATTCAGACTGCTAACCGATAAGTTGAAAGTGAGTGCACTAAGCTGCTTACAAAACGATCTTGCGAAGACACTGCCGTACCATGTTCCCACAAGACGTCGCAGTTGGACTGCTCCAGAGCAAGACATTGAGGTCCAGGATGTCGCGCTCGGATCGCTCTGGAGCAAGTACCTGAACCTTAGGACCGACCTAGTAGGGACCTACGGAGCCGGGTACTACTGTCCCGCTACTTCCATCTGAAATGCGCAGCATTCTGGTCCTGTCACATCCTAGGTGATTTACGACAGTATGACGACGGTGCGTCTCAGGAACGATCCTTTGCTTCCCCCGCTTCTCAGTACTTACTTAATTCTCCTGCTGTTCAAACGTTTACTCTTCGTATATCCAAGGAAATTGGCGCAAGCCTTGTGGTCGCGCACCATTTGTAGCGCGTGTACGCATGTTCTGACGGCTTGGTGAGTTAGCGGTGACACAGACTCATCCTATACTTATACCTGGGCGTAGCAAGAAATAAGCGTTTTCTGCAAGGCTTCTGTGGGCCTTACAGTATTAGTAAGTGCACAGTTCCATGGGCACATCCCGGACCCAGCTATTTGGCTACGGTGGCACTAAGTAGCGGCTGTTGCGTCCTGTGCAATAACCAATAGTCGGCCCGTCGTACGTATCCTCTATTGGCAGGGAGCAAGGCTAATTCATCCTGACAGGTGCCCGAGCCCTCGCGGGAGCCTGCTCCGTTCTGTTTCCGCGAAGCACTGCATCATGGCATGCCGGGACGGCCATGATGGGGCGCGCTGATAGCTGCGACCATCCGCCTGTATTTGCATAGATGTGTTAGGTCGAATGGAGCAAGAGCTGGACGAGGCAAGACTGGTCTTGGCGTATAAAGTCATACAGAACGTGTCGTACTCCTTGCACGGAGGAGTGCGGTCCTGTCTCAAACTGGACAACGTTCGCTGCCACTGATGAACCTTTCAATGGGCTCCGGCTCCAGCCTCCGACTTCAGATCAGGGTTGCATGACGATCGCTGTCATCCGCAGCTGCACGAAGATATACGTGGTTCGCGACTGACTCGGCAGGTACCTAGGGCCGCACCTAGACCGCTCACGAACTGGCGTATGATCTATATTTCACCACAGAACGGTTCTTGGCTGCAGTGCCAGCTGTGTTCCGCCGGTGACCGGTGAACACAGACGCAAGCTCGTAGGTGGCAATGTCGTGGTACCGGGGAGTCATACATAGTAGGTGATGTGACAGTCCTGTGCATTCTGTCCGATGCTGACGAGAATTCGCCACTGGGTCACCCATCAATGCCTTCGCGTCGACTCACTGAGACACAATCTGCCCCAGTGACTCGCACAGGGATGTTGTCTGGTTAGCGATAACTTGACATCTGCGCAGTGGCACTTCGTTCAAGAAACGGGTTGGCTCCGAGAATAGTGCGTCCCCTCCTCATTTCCTGTTGAGGGTTGCTGCTCCGGGGAGACGCTATTTGCTATGGCTGCCATCATCTCGTGAAATTGTAACTATCATTCTGGACCCCCAAGGACCCTTTCATGTGTTCGTCGTTAACAATGTCCAGGGAGATGCGTTCCTCCTGGCAGGGTCTGGTCTGGTCTCCCGCTGCGCAAGAACGCGTGTCAGGGACACTGTATTGCTCCACATGTATGGTGCAGCCTGCGGGCCTGCTTCCTGTTGCTGTCTTTCTGACACGGTGTGCGGCGGGCGTGGCACTCCCGACGCGCACCCGGCGGACATGCCGCGCGCAACTTGTGCACTGACGAATTTGTCGCGAACACCGGTTGCGCACTGCCCACGCGGGTGCCACAGATCATACCGATGTGATCAGGGTTCTCCCGTCGTCGGCGCTCCTGCAGGCTCTGCACAGCTTGCAATGCCGAGAGGCCGAGGAGGGCCCTGGTCAGCCGAAGCTACGTAGTTCGCCTGCTTAGGCCTGCTTCTGGGCCCCTTCGCGGGCCTATAACTGGCAGCTTATCTCAGATTGTGTCCTGACGCTTGGTTCTGGCTGCGTCTTCAAGTTACATCTTGCGAGAAGTTCGGACTAGCACTTCTCTCTTGTGTTTCATATAAAATTGGTGGACACAGCGACAGACGTATCCAGGTGACGACCCAAGCGGGACACACCAGGAGTGGAAAGCTGCTCGCGGGTTGCAAACCCGCCGCACTCCGGCTACCGTGTCGTGGCCCACTTCTGTCTCGTATCATGACGGCATTTCAGGTATTCCATATTGAGGCGGTGTCAGCAAGTGTCGAGGCTTTTCGCTGGGCATTTTCGCCGGCGTACGGTTATTCAGAGGATCATATGCTAACGAACCGGCGGTACGCAGCGGCGTCGCAGCCGGCAATCTGAGCGGAGCAGATCTCCCGTTACGCCAGCTCGTGGCTTCCCGGCAAATCGGGAAGACCGCAGAGGGTCCTTGAAAGGCTAGTGTCGCGACCCTGTACGCGCGAGTACATGACTTCATCACGCCGCCTCATTAGTCAAACGAGTCGGTTGGCACCCTTTTGCTCCTGAGCGCTATCTGCTATGAATGGCCGCAGCTGAAACGCGTCTGGACTCGGTCACAATCGTCTCTCTTTGGCGTCCCAAGGTCGCTTTGTTGCTGCTGGGGTTTGCGTGCCGAGATGGTTACAGTATATGGGAACGTGGCAGGTCCCCCTACCGTTGTTCGCGGCTGATCGAAACGCAATTGGCAATGTCCTAGTATAAAAGCCCGGCTTATGGTACGGCCTGCGTCAACTTGCCCCACCCCGCCAACTACTCTATTCCACTCCTTCACCCTTAGTTCCTCTACTTTTCAGATCAGCCAATGTCCGAGCGCGAACAGGTGAGGTATTTTTGCTCCGACAACCAGAACCAGTTGCGCTGACTCGATGTCGCCTAGTCTCAGAGTGGCAATCGCAGCGATGACTCCGAGGGGGGATCTTATTCTCCTCGCACCCCGCGCAGGACGCCCATGGCATGTCAGTTCTGTCGAGGTACGTTCCGGTTCATTGTCCTCTCGCTGCTTTGTCCACCCACTGACTTCATTCCATTTTCAGGTCGCAAAATGAAATGCGACGGTCGACCAATCTGTGCCAACTGTAACAAACGCGGTATTGCGTGTGCATATGTCCCCGTGTAAGTGGTTACCTAGGTCATTTGCGAGTCGTTGCGTCTGATTTTCGGTCAAGATCATCGCAGAAATAACTTCGGTCTGCGCCGTCTGTAAGATTCACTCCAGCCTGTCTGGCTATTCGTTCTCGCGCTTTCGTTCCTTCGCTGTCCAGTTTTTCCATTCATCCTTCCGACCGCATCGACTGCCGTCCTTTGTAGCTGTAGTCCCGTCGTACTCTACCCTAATGCCCTCGTAGAAGGCTAATCACCCTAGCATCACCAGTAGTATAAATGAACAGTCAAATAGTCTCTTACCTTCGTCTTGGTCCATACATCCTATACTGCAGCTTCTCTATAGTACACTCCACTCCCAGTAATCATGTAATGGAGGCTTAGAATTCCACTTACGACGTGAAGTCAAGTGTGCTGTGCCTGACGAACAACGTACGCTTAGATCGCGATCCAGTGCCACTTGACTTGAGTTCTTTCACGTCCCACGTTCCTGGGAAGCACGATCTTGATGGGGCACAACTGTCCCTGCGAGTGTGCTTGCACGCGCTTCATGATCTTGTTTTGACCAAGCAGTTCCAGCGCGTCATCGTCACGGTCCGAATTCAATGGCTTCAGGCCCGTGCTCCTGCGTTTGGGCGAATGATACCGTACGCGGAGATAAGGATGCTTAGCTATCTCGCGGAGGACTAGCGAGTCTTTCAGAACCTCTTGCGCACTGCGGCACTAGGGAGTGTGAGTGTTCCTCTGACCATGACATACTAGGACTGAAGCTACATGCCATGTCTTCTAGCTGTCGCATGGCTATCGACCGAGATGCCTCGCAGTGTCCACCCGAATACACTGATACCGGGGGCGAACGCGCAGAACCCGTCAAATATACGGCACAGCTTGAGAATGGAACGGGAAAGGCGTGGTTGTGGCTCACTGTGGAGAGCCGAGCTAAGAGTCCCAAGCAGCGCCCTCTCTTCGCAAATGCAGACACGGTCCGGGGTACTGTCGAGATCGACTACGGTCAAGCAGGAAAGCCGAAGGAGTTGTCTATCACAGTGCGTATTTTATACAAAGCGGCCGCTTGTCATTCGTCTATATTGACCATGACAATCTTGCATGTACTATGTGGCGTTGACAGGTAGGCGCTAGCCTGACGGCTGTAGGACAAGAGGAGGAAAGGCTTCTCTGTATTTCAAAGACTCTGTGGAGTGGCAAAGATCCTTCAGCACCGAAGCTGGCTGCAGGTCGGAGCAATTGGCCGTTCTCTATCACACTGCCAGATGAGATCCCCCTCCCAAGCAGTGGCAGATCCAAGGCGTCCTCGCCGACATGCCCGCTCCCTCCCAGTTTCTCGGAGAAAGGCGGCCCCGCCTACATTGAGTACCAGCTCGTCGCCACCGTGCGGCGAGGCCTCTTCAAATCTAATCAAACGTACGTGCGATCCGTGCGGGCCTCGGATGAGTTCCGAGCAGTCTGACATGCCATCTGCAGACTGGTCTGCCCACTCGTGTATCTGCCCGTCACACGGGCGGAGCCACCCGCCCGACTCCGGATGGCTGCGTATCGTGATGGCACTGCACTTGTCGGTCCCGACGGAGATCCGGAGGGCTGGAAGGTTGGACCGTCCGCGAAAGTTACCGGAACGCTGTTCGACGCTCGACAGGTGGACGTCGAGTACACGGTGAGCAGATCCCGGCTGCTGTCTAGTACCTGGGAATCTCTAAGGTTCACTCAATCAGCTGGCGGTTGCACGACCGGTGCGCGCACAGCCTTACCTTTGTGTGCCTAAACAGATTGTGACATTGGATAGCTGAGCTGCGCGCGAGGCTCACCGATTCCACTGTCGTTGACAGTTGCCAGCGACGATGAGCAGGCTCTGGATCTTCTCAGCACGCCGGCTTCCATGAATCTATATCTTGTTCGCTCCCGCGTGCTTGGACAGCATGCAATGTCTGAGGACGCCGGCGCACGCAGCGACCAGGTCTTCCAGGAGAGAGTCGGTACCGCATATTTCTGGCCTTCGGACGCCGGATCACCTAGTGGGGGCAAGCGTGCCTTATGGGGAGAACTGCTAGTGAAGCCAGACAGCAAGCCCAGCTTCGTCTGCCCAGGCTTCTCTTTGAGGGTACGTCCGTCCTCCACACCGCCGAGTTTGACGCGCGCCCGCTAGGATGAGTGATCTACCAAGATTACTGATGCGAACAGAATAACGCAGTACGCCTTAGCCCTGCTTCCTCCTGAGGCCGCGGGATTCGTGCCAAAAATACATACCAATGAGCCGTTGGTCGCTCAGAAGATTGCCGTCACGACTGCTGGTGCTCCGGGGGTCAGCGTTCCCTCGCACGCACCACCTGGGTACACGTACCCGGAAGAAGCCGACTACACGAACGCCCTCGGATATCTGGAGAATGGAAATCAACGGCGAGTATGACAAAATCGAGAGAATCTTTGTTAGAGTTTGACCGCTCAGACTCATTGTGATTTTTGACAGGTTTTTGCACCATAGTACAGGAGGGACGTTCGCGATTGGCTGAAATACTCGAAGCTCGAGAGGTTTTTGATATGTGCCTAGTCATGCCAGCAGTCAGAGTGCGTGTAACGTTCCGAGAGGGGAGTTCTCCCATTCAGACTATTTCTGGAAACATCGTACTTACTTGCGAGTGAAGAGACCGGTGACCACTTCTTTCAGGCGCCTTCAAAACAGGGTGTCCCTTCCGTTCAGCACGAGGCCAATCAGTGAAACCGACGTTCAGTTCCTGATGTGACTTGCTCTCGTTACCATGTGTTGAGATGGGATGCTCCTTGTCGGACCAGTCGCCGACTTCCCATCGCTACTAATATGTACTGGCGACATTGCCTCGTTTCGTATGGCACGGTTGGCGAGCTGACCTCGAGACAACATAAACATGCCAAAATCGCCACGATTCTATGACTGTCCGCGTCCACCCGTCCGGCGGCGCTGTCAACGACCTGTCAGCAATCCTCTCAGCAAATCTCAGGCAAGTACCGCGCGCACAACTGCGACGGACATGGACCTTGCCACAGTGATATGTCGGCCGTTTCAACGCCAAAGTTTGAGATATGTCTGCCTTGGCAGGGTCATAGTGCGCTAGCAACTTGACATCGTGCACTGCCCAGAGTACACCGAAGTGCATTGAGTCAGTGTTTGACCGTTCATGATACATAAGGCGCAAATAAGGCGCTCACCTGCAGGGCCCCGGGAGCACTCCTCTTTTTGATGAACAAGGATCCGTAGTGACTCCGGCACCAGTCCTTCTAAACTAGGTGGCTGGATTGGCTTTGATGACAGTTAGTGTTTATAATTACTATGTTCCACTTACACCACCAGCTGCGGCAGTTCAAACGTTCCGAGTCACCTCCGAGAGTCTGAGTGCCTCGAAGGCTCAGTTCGCCGGTCCACCCTGGCGGTGATGATTTGTTACAGAGGAATGGAATCACCTGGCCCTTGGTATGGTATACATATTGTCGCAATGATGCTGTGTCAATGTATTGCGAGGTCGGTGAAGACACTGTTATGGAATCTGGATTGAATGTCTGCGGCCGCTGTGGCTGCAACTGCCGGGACTGGGGACACAATCACGTGGAAGGATGCCCGACTCTGTGACGCTCGGGCACTCGGGCGTGCGACGCGTCCCGGTCGTGTCCCATGAGCAGCTCACGCTCCAGTGGGGATGCGAACGCCCACATCTCTGCTTTCTCCCTCATCTACGTCTGGGTCACTGTCTGTCGGATCAGCTAGAGCTAGCAAGAAGGAGGGCTAGCTTCAACCCCGCCAGAGAAAGCACTAATTGGTCAACCACGCTGTGCGAGACCTGGACAGTTCACGGATCTCAAGACTCAATTCTGGACGGAATTGCGCTCCTGAGATTGGCTCATGTCTTCCTCGAAACCTACGCAACTCACGCCCTTCGGATATGCTCTCGCAGGGGCATTGGGCGGGTGCTTCAGTAATGCGTCAGTCCGCGATTCGTTAGTCTCGTATGGCTTGATAGCTGAACTGGTCTAGCGTGGTGTATCCCCTCGATGTGTGCGTAATTCATGTGCCATGGACGATGCATCTTCTCATACGTCTACTATAGAGTCAAAACTCGTATCCAGGCTGCGGCCGAGGGGGAGGACAGGGAGAAACTGAGCGTCAAGTCTCTCCTCTTACGCATCCTAAAGGAAGAAGGCATTGCTGGCTACTTCAAAGGCTTCACAGCTACCATGATTAATACGTTCTCCATGCGTGAGTCCATTCTTGATGTCCCTTTCCTCTGTCAAGGTCCGAACACGTTGAGAGTCGTGTACTCTATTGCTGTGCTAGTCAGCACACGAGATACTACCGCTGTTCCCCTTTCTACTCATTCGCGCTGTCAATCAGCCACACACGTAGATGGCGTTACGCAACTCCCACAGAACTGACTAGACCATTGGTGAAGTCCTGGGCCCATCGTCAGGCCCCTAGAGATCCCGGACACATCCTGTCAGTCGGTACAGCCGCCTGTCAGCTTGCACATGGTGCACTGTGACGTCTGCTATTGCGGTTTGATGCGAGCACTCAGACAACCATACTTGACGTACCTGACTCAAGCCCTACGGTGCGTATGTGGCCATGTCAGTATCCCGCCTGATTTGCTACGCATCATGCCGCCATAGCAATCACCAGAACATGTAACAGCGAGACATACGACCACTATACTCGCCTGCGACGGATGTCCACCGTGTCAAGCAAAAACGTCGGTGTGTCCAGCATGTGTATCTAAAACTACTACGTGCACGTATTTCAGCAATGTTGTTGCTACGAACCGTCGGAAGCACGATGCACGATAGCATCTCTAGCCCGTCACAATGCGACAGGCAAGCAGTGCCTGTGTCCTACGGTTGGGCATGCACCCCCGCTTCGTCGGACCTTTCAATCTGCCACCCATGTAGTTTCACAAGCTGACCACTGAATGTCACACAGAATACGCCTACTTTTTCTTCTACTCCTTCGTGCGCACGTCCTACATCAAGCGCCTCGCCGCACGGCTCCCAGCGGGGTCGAAGGCCCCGCCGCTTTCGACGGCGGCCGAGCTAATTCTCGGTGCGATTGCGGGAGCCCTCGCGCAGATCTTCACCATCCCCGTCGCCGTGATCGCCACGCGCCAGCAGGTCGGCGGCTCCCTGGAGCGCCAGCGGCGTTCGCGCGCCGCATCACTCGCCGAGAAGGGCGGGCCCTCGTACGCCGCCGTCGCCGACCCAGCGAAGGACGTCAGCACGGACGTCGAGAAGGCCGCGGAGCAGGGGAAGGGGAAGGGGGAGCCCGACGACTCGTTCTTCGGCGTGGCGCGGGAGATCGTCGAGGAGGAGGGCGTGACGGGCTTGTGGCTCGGGATCAAGCCCGGCCTGGTGCTCACGGTGAACCCGGCGATCACGTACGGCGCGTACGAGCGCGTCAAGGGCATACTCCTCCTCGCGCAGGAGCGCGCGAAGGGCCCGGTGAAGGGCGCGCTGAAGTTGAGCCCGTGGACGTCCTTCCTCGTGGGCGCGCTGAGCAAGACGCTCGCTACTGTCGTATGTGTCTATGCTTCCGTGGGCGGCTGGGTGGTAAAACTGACGGCGGGCGCAGGTTACGTATCCGTATATCATGGCGAAGGTCCGGATACAGGCGCGGAGCGCCGATAGCGAGGAGGCGGTGGAAGAACACCAGCCCGTGCCGCCGAAGCATGCGTATCATCATGCACATAGCAAGCATGTCGGCGCGCTGGACATCCTCGCAAGAGTCTATCGTCACAAGGGAATCTTGGGCTGGTATCAGGTAAGTCGTCACTCAACTCGTGCTCCCTTTGATGACCCACTCATCGTCTCTTTAGGGCATGAGCGCACAAATCACGAAGGCAGTGCTGTCGCAGGCATTGCTGTTCATGTCGAAAGATCAGTTCGAGCATTGGGCTCTGGCGATCATGGTGCTGTGGTGGAAGATGCGGCATGCTAAAGCCTGAGCAGCCCCATTAACATTGCACATACCTCACATACAATCGCATTGCATGTAGACCTTCCTTCTCTTTTCGACGAGTCTGCGCTCGAAGTTTCTTTCGTCTGCTAGATGTCGTGCCTACAGCAACCGTTGTATAATGTACACTTCATGTTGCGGACTACAACCCGTTCGTGCAATCAATTCTGAAGCTAGATCATTCATCCATTGTGCCGAGTGACATCAACAACATCGTCTCGAAGGTGTCATCTACTTTGTGGTCCATCGTACCCCATGCGCCAACTCCTCCGAGCAGACCCTCGTCGTCTTCCGGGATACTCCAGATCCTCGACTCCGGTCGTCGATGACCGATGAACACGAACGTCTCGTCCTGTCCGGGAACAGGGACGAATCGATCCCACCGGCCTTCGTTACGTTCACCATCCCCTGAAGCTCTACGCCTGGCGAGCACAGGCGCGAACGTGAACCACAGTCCGAATGCACCCCAAAATGATGTCTCCTTCGCGAGACTGCGGATTTTGTAGGAGACGATAATCCTCGGGGGTGGTTGTGAAGGCGCGACGACGGGCTCGGACGTAAGATGGAGGAGGGTGCGCAGTAACGGCGCGAGGAGAGCGGGAAAGTATACCTGCGAAAAACCCAAGTTGGTGAATGTGTAGGAATAGGACTTAACATACCAAGTCGCTGCATATGATGTAAGCAAGCCGGCGCGCGGAGCCTAACGCTAGGCTGGACGCGATCGACAGCGCATCCTGGTGGCTACCCCAGGAGAGCGGGTGGACTTCTACCGTCGCGCAGCCTCGCAGGTTCTTCTGGAGAAGCGAGCAGACCTCTGGGAGGTCTGTCGCGACCATGATGGCGCGTTCGTGTTGCAGATATGCCCCGATGCGTGCTGCCACCAACCCGGTACCAGAACCCAGTTCAAGGATGGTCAATGGGTCGTCCTCGGACGTGCTGCCAGACAGATGAATCGTCTCTGTGAAGGGCGGTGGGTCCAGAGTTATAACGTCGTGGCCGTCAAGAGTGGGAGATGCGCGATCCAAATAGGCTAGCATAGCATACGACGCTTCCCTTGTCAGAGCAGACATGGGATGAGTCACTAGTCCGATCTACCGCTACGTGTGAATTCCAGACTCACCAAACACGCCCGGCTATTCCATAGGCCTGAATAGCCTGTGTTTGCGCGTCTGCGCCGAACCTATCATCTGATAGTTGGTTGAAACCGTTCAGCACGCTACTTGAGGGCTTGATGTCGAGGTCGGAGGGAAAGTTGGGATTGCTGCGAGTCATTGGGCACAAGCAGCCTGAGGGCAAACAGTTACGGAAGTCATCATGCTGAACAATAGCTACTATATCTGGTAAGTAGTACTTACGTGTGGTGAGGAATACAGTACAGAAGTTCGGCTGCCGATGGAGTGTCACGGTCGTGAACGCGGCGAAGGGTAAGATCCAATGGATCTGGAGTCCACTTCGCGATTCGCGATCGGGCGATCGATCCACCTCGGTGATCAAAACTCCATCATGTGACCGTGACGAGCGGTGAGTCCACCGAAGAGACAAATCGGGATCTGGACAACGTATTTATATCTACTGAGTCCTCCATCTGCTCGCTCAGTCCTCTTCCTGCCACGAGGCTCAGCATGCGAATGTGGTAGGAAAATCTAGTTCATACATATCGCCCGACATGCGCTACACTTCATGCGATAGGCTAGGCAACTATCACGACTCGCCGGTATCACCCATGGCGAATGCCTCCCGTTTGGCCTCAGCTGCTATGAACGCTTCACACTCTATACGACTCTTTCCTACGTCGACGAAGTACAGGAACACCGTGCTCAGTGTACCGCTGGAGAGATGGCTTCATCAGTTTGTGCTCTGCTCAGAGCAACAACGATGGCTTACAGGATGAAGAGGAACACGAATGGGTAGTTGTCGTTGTTCCCCGAAGCAGTAATGATCGCCGACGACACGAAGGGGCCTATGAACGCAGACGTCTTCCCAATCTGCCCCATGATCGTGAGTTACCTCGGCGAAGTCCTTGGAAACCGGTCGACTTACCACCGAGAAGAGTGCAAAGAATAGAAACCTGAAATAGAGCGTGAGGCAGCGATCCGGAGAAGGTAAGATGATCTTACATTTGCGGCAGAGGGGATACCTCGCTTATCATCGTTTGACTGTATGCATACCACGGGCATACCATCAGACCGTAGTACGCCTGGTAGAGCCTATTGTCATGTCGTGAGTCGATACTTCTCATCAAGCATAACACGAGTATTACCAAATCTCCCATACGTGCTTGAAGCCAAACTTGTCGGTGTGTATGCCGATGAGACCCCACACGGTGAGGATCTACACACAGAGATGTCAGGGTCTCAATCTCCTTTCTCAAAGAACGTGCTCACGATGATCCAAAACACGTTGAAACAAAGCATCTGCGAATCGTCGTTACCCGGTTCATTGCTGCAGAACAGTGAACATGGCATACCGCTTTTGTGGATATATTGAAGCGCTTCTGCACTACCCAGAAGAGGCTACAAGGATGATGTCAGATCGCAGGGTCTCTTAACACTGATGTAAGAACGGACTAGATCCCAAGGGCTTGCGTCACAATCCCCACGATGAGGAGATATGTCAGTTGCAGCGTTGAGTACGATACCACGCTATGCGGACGTAAGAATCAACAGTGCAGCATACACGGAAAATGGCGAACCTGTTCTGCAGCGTCCCAATCACGGTACTGTTGAGGCCTCAGCTGACGATCAATGGTTGCACCGTGGGTGCACCTACACAGTCGTGTTCAGGACATCACCCCTAGTGTCTTTCAGTCGCTTCCTTAGATGAATGAAGCCATGGGACATACATGAGGAAGTAGAAGATCAAATAGAGGAACGTCTGCTTCAGCTTCCAGCATTCGCTAAAGGCTACGTATGTCTGCTTGAACCCTACGGTCAGGAGAGTCGCGCCTGGCGGTAGCGCTAGTCCCGGACGGCGCTTTTCGAGGAAGAACCACGGAAGTGCACAGAGCACTGCATGCGTCAGAGACAACTTGAACTCAGCATCGTGTGTATACACGTCTAGGTCGAGGGACGTACGCCAGACTCCTCCGGCGAATGCGATGAGCACGCTGAATGACTTCGTGTTGTTCTCCGTGCTCGCGTCGGAGTGGAGGCCTTTCAGTATCCCGACCATCACGGCGAGAATGAGGATCTCGCCGACGGAGCATACCGCGAATGAGACGTTGGAGATGCGATTGCGCTCGAGGGATTCAAAGTTGGCGTGGTCCTCCGAGCTGCGAGGAGGGGGCATGTCAGCTCATTATGTATACATTGACAATCGGGATGACGCACGACTTCGTGCCGTCTGATGCTTCTGCGGCAGATGCCTTGACCTCAGGAAGATCGCTTGCCAACCCGGGGAACGCGGCGGTCCAGAAAGTGAGTGCGCACTGTAGGCGGCTCGTATGCGAACGTCATTCAGCAGAATACTAGCAATTCACCTGGTATGCGATGACTGCACTAATTTGAGCATATTAAACATTCGGGAAGAGTGGGACTTACGTCCAAGGATATATAATGCGACCCCGGCTTTCCATTGGGACGCGTCCTCGACGCCCAGCCAAGCGAAGGAAACACCGACGGCAAGCAGAGTGAAGAATATCGTGATGTTCGGTCTGTCAAGAGATACTTGAATTGAGCCTCTGCAATGCTACGTGCTGCTGTACTCACCTCCACTGGCCGTAGTCAGCCCACGCACCGATGGTCAACAGAACGACAGCTTGTAACGCAAAACTTATTCCGTTGGTCAAAAGCACGATGGCATTTACTGTTGACGGCCCGGGTAGCGAGGTTAAATACTCCAGCTGTGAGGAAGCGTAAGGAATAATGGCACTCACCGTCTCGCACTTCTCCGAGATACGGAAGCACGCAGCCAGAGTCCGAGCCGCAAGGCACCGTAAACGGGGGATAGCTCGGGTCATAGCCTGCCAAATAGAGCAAGTTTTGGAACTGCGAAGGTCCGAAGTTGAAGCCAGACAAGCCGTTATTTCCCTGCCGCGGTCATACGATCAGGATCTGCCTCCGCGACGCTCTAAACACGATGGCCGACGGAAGACTCACGATGTAGTACACGTAGAACGCCCACAGTTCCACGCGGGTCGTCGTGAAACCACTGTTTTTACTACTGGACTGCTGTGCCACGGGCGTGATGACACCCTCTACGTCCTTCTCGGACGCCTTCGCATCGGCCGCGAAGTCATCTGCCGACATACTTTGACCGATGAGCAGCAAATGCCAAAGTTTTCCATGAACGTCGCATCCTATATAACAGCCTGTTGGAGCGTCTAAGGGAGAAGACTCAAGCGTATCGCGATAACGCGCTGTAGGGCGTCTCCTCATGCTCCTAGCAAATAAATTTATGGGTTGTCCTTCGTCATCAGCCACCGAAATTAACGCCACAATCAAAGCACGTTTGCCTTCGTTATGGCAGCACGCCCGTTCCTATCATCAGCACCACTGTAGGGTTTGACTCGCTTTCGAAATAGTACCACGAAGCCATTTCCGACGGCGGGCAACAGGATGCTTCCATGTGCATGAATTTTCTGGAAAAAAATGGAGGCTTACAACTTGAACTAGTCTACCAATCCAGCCTCGACGCAGATCAAGATGACGGATTATATCAGTAGGCATAAGCTCATGCTGGGCGACATGTCAGCTTATGAGTTTTCCAATCGGCCTTGTTGCATGCCGGGGAGCAGTACTTTGCCTGCTTACACTTCCCACACATGAACAGCTTAGGCTTCCCGGGCCCTCCACAAGCGAGGCACCTCTCATCAGCGCCAACCGACGGCCCCGCACCATCGGTATTGACCGTGCCTTGACTGAGGTTTACACCCTGTGTCCGCGCGTACACGCCCGCGTCGCGCGCTCCGGAGGCAATTTCTGCAGCGACGACCGACTCGAGGTACGACACAGCGAAGAGCGGCGAGATCGCCGCGCGCGTCGCGAACGGACGGGCAGCCTGCCACAGTCCCGTGGGCACGTCCGGCATGGCGTCTGGGAGCCCGATCCCGCGACCGCACCCACAAAGCGGGTTTGCGTCGAGCTCGACGGAAACTGGAATCCGCCCGGATGCGTACTCGCAGTTGGGCCCGTGCGGCCAAGATCGGCACCGCTCAACGACAGCGGGGAGTAGCTGCTTCCATGCGATCACTTCGAGTTGGGAGAGGGGCACAGCAGGGATGGCCAGAGGCTTCAGAAGGGGGCCTAAGATCCCGTCGAAAATGCCAGAGCTGTCGAGCGGAATCACGGCGGCGTCCGCGAGCAGCGTGAACGATGGGAGGTCGAGACGGACATGATGAACGAAAACCAGCATGAATGGCGTCCTCGTACCTCTTTCGAAGAATAGGAAGATCCTCGCGCGAGTGCCGTTCTTGGTCAAACCGAAGAAGTTATTGATTAGCTCCCGGATGGTGCATTTGAGGTCCATGAGTAAGTCGGGTTGAGGGGCGGAAGTAGTGGGAGAGCCTGGCATTTTCCGAAGGAGGGCTGTTTCACGCTCCGAGAACTGGCAGACGGTGTGTGCGGTGATCCAATCAAGCTCGTTTCTTTTCTTGGTGTCAAGAATGGGTGCTATGTCCAGGTTGACGTGGTGGACATTCCAGGGAGTCAGTCCCACTGTCTTCATGATCGGGAATATGTTCCCGTTCAAGGTTCGGCTTGCACCCTTTGGTTGAGTGAAAGGCGGCACGATGACCTTCGTCGATGTCAACCTCCGATGCCTGAGGAGTACAGCGACTGCTGACAGCTCACCTCAATATACAATGATTTCCGCGCAACGCGCAATTTGTGCTGACTACCTTCAATAGGGAATGGGAACTGGACGTGTCTCCGCTGTTCACCAATGGTAACCGCCATCGTGCATGCCCCGGCCTGTTCTGCAGTGATCGGAAGCGAAGGCGCGAGGGGTGATGTGAATCCCATGGTAGCCAAGTCGAGCTTGAGCGTCAAGGTCGCAATTCCTCGGGGGCCAGAGGTGTCGTCCATCTGAGCACTGACCTTGTTCACGGACGGTACACGGGCTCGGGTTGCTTCTGGGAGCACCTCAGATGCGCGTGGGTCGGCGAAGACACCTGGCCTCTCCTTGACAATGCAGACGTGCTTCTTGTCTGTTAGCTGAGCAGAGAAGATCTCCAGCATCAAACCGAGCTTCCGCATGAACTGCACAGCGACGCGGGGCGTTGACTTTATCGCGAAGATCACTTTCGTTTGCGGGATCGTCAGCAGCCACGAGGGCGCCAGGAAGGAGACGACGAATGATGTTGCACCATCCACGCCTCTGGCGTCCCGTACAATAATGGTCGACGTAGGATCAGCGGGATCCCTCTCCAAGCGGCCGGGAATCGCCTGCAGGTTGCACGAGAACGCATTGTCGTAGCCGAGGGACGAGAGTAAGTGACAGAGTAACACCATCGAACCCAGACGCTCCGTGCCGCTGAAGACCTTGAGCCGATCCCGTGGGATAGTGAAGAGGACGCAAACGACAGGTGGAACGTGAGCCCACCCACGGAACACCTCGAAGTTGCCGTTGGGCCAACTGGAGGTTGACCTCCACATCGGGGAGAGCGATTTGGTTGTAGTGACGCCGTGGAGGTGGAGCTGCAAACAGAATTCCTGATAGTAATTCAGGCCAACAATACGCGTGCGGTCTTCCTCCACGAGTTTGAACAGTACATCAAGCGTCGTCTCCCAACCGCCGACTCCCGGGTCAACGCGGGACATCGCCAGGCGCACCAGCTGCGCAAAGCTCGCACGGTCGTGGTCCTGCTGTTCTAGTAATTTTCGTAGACGGGGGTCGCGGAAAGCCTCGAAAGTCTTCTCGTCCCCACAGATTTGGTCGTAAACACTGAAGAGGATTGCACCAAGCTCCGCAGAGTCGAATACGATTGGCTGCTCCCGACATGCTTGCGGATCGCCGCTGGTCGGGGCGCACCAAGCGACGCGCTCGTGAAACTGCTTACTACTGGAATCAGAGTTGTAGAGCAGTTCGTGGACGTTGGAGTGTGTATTGAACCCCGACAGGTAAGAGCGAGGCGTGAGTCCGACGAGAAGGGACATCGTCGATACGCCCCCGCACATACGGCCGAGCAGAGCGACCGTTGTATCCTCTCCCTCGGCAAGCAAAGTCTCCGTGTAGAGGACAGAAGTGGGGAGTGGCTTGAGCAGCGGTTTCGTCGACACGAGGAGATTGAGCAGACCAATATGGTCCATGAGGTTCGACGTATCGATGAGGTCGAACGTGTAAGGTGGCGACTCGCCGTCAAGCTCAAGACCCTGTCCAGAGAAAGGAGAGGTGAACAAGCGTGTAGGGATGTCTTGCGACATGTTGTGTAGCGCTTTACAGAAGCGGAGGACGTCGCCTACGCAGAAACGAATGACGAGATGGCTACGCGACGAACCAACAGCCTCCTTGAAGGCCCCGCACCAAGAACTGAACTGTTCCTTCACGACGTCCATGGGGGTAAAATTTCGATGATCGCGTCGTTCATCGCGTAGGATATGAACGAAGGCAGGGGTCAAATGGAACGCTTGTGGAGGGAAGGTGCCGTAATGCGGTACGAACTTTTCTCCATGGAGAGTGTATATAAACGAGGGGTTGAGCTTCCTCGCTCCAGCGCTGTCTCGCGCAGAAGAGAATGTAGTACCCGTCTTCCAATATCGCTGGTAGAGGTCATTCATGGGCCTCATAGCCTCAAGCCAGAGCATGCCGGCCGAACGGCTGATCGAACCGAGAGAGTTGTAGTCGTTTGAAATTTTCTTCGACAGGTCCTTCTGTTCAGCTTGCATCTGGTCAAGCAGACTACGTGGCTTTGAAGAAAACGCGGCGTAGAGCTGCCAGTGGCGATGCATCTCCGCGAGAGTGTGGTTGTTGCACATCTTGAGGTAAGCCCCGAACTCCGAGCATTGCCAGGTCCGCATCGACTCGGACGCGGTTGCGAGAAGACGGCACTGAGCCTCCAGCAGCTCGTAGCTCTGGTCGTCCAGATAGAAGTGGTAGAAGATGTTCCAAACGTCATCTGGGGACGCGCCTGAACACGCGAGAGTGTACAACAAGATGTTGCGAGCTAGAATTGTAGAGTCAGTCGAGTGAACTCGTCAATGAGCGCAGCATAGCATTACCTAGAATAGCTGGCTCGATATCGCAGCAGGTAAAATCGAGTTCCCGCGTATTGCCTGACGTGAAGCTGAGTGGTCAGCGCTCCATTCTTATGGGCAAAGCTCCTGTACTCACCAACATGCGGGTGCAAGTCTGCATAGACGGTATACAAAATGTTTCTTATGTCCCCGCAGCCCAGTAGAAGCACATCGGCCGCCTGCTCAACAGGAAGGTCCTGAGTCAAGCAAGTGGCTGAAGTGTTGCCGATGGGATAGAAGAAGTGTTTGAAAGGCCAATTCAGAGGATGAGACATGGGTGCCGTCCCGTGGGATCTGTGCAGCAGCCGCAGGTCCCCCACACTATATATATGCGGCGCCCCATGCTTCTATTCCATGAGGCATGGTCAGCGCCAGTGCAGTGTTCCGTAACGTATAGAAAAGCCTACGAGTTACGGCTTGCAGACGTAGCATTGTGCCTCGTGGACTTAATCCCGGATCTGTAGCGTGTGATGTCAGATAAGCCGAGAAGTGTGTGTTCGGGTAGCTGGACACACCAGTATACAGCAAGAGGAGACTCCGCATAACTGAAACATGAATAGGTTGTACTAATCACCGACCCGTCCTTCAACCAGTGTTTGACACCGAATGCCGTGAAGAACTTGGCATCCAGATGAGGAGGCTGCAGGTATTGAGACGTCCGTTTACTCTTGATACGACCTGACGCTCTAACGTCCGCGTAGATAGCCGCAGTCATGAGCAACATGGGGAAGATTTGGCTTCGTGTCGCCGCACGAGGGAAAGGGCTTCGCGCTGGGCGCTGGTCGAAGCTACGAGACGCATGCGTGTACTTACACTCAAGGCAGGTCCATAAGCGCTTAGGCTCGGATAAGTCGCGGTAGAAGGAAGGTGCAGGATACAGTACTTCCCAAAAATTCCACAAGTCGGCAGCATTGGCGTCGTGCATCGTGATGACTGAGCGAGAATAGTACACTCACATTCACAACGTCCAGTAAGTAGTCTAAAATTATAGTGGATCTAGCAGACTGCACAAATTTTAGTCCTGGGCTACGAGCAGGGATGCAAGTGTGGCTTGTGCTTGTACAACCTGCGACAGCCCATACATGAGCCGAGCGACAGCATAGATCGTGTATGAGACATACCTCCAATGCTTGCTTTACCTCCAGCCTTCTCCGGGCAGCATCCAGCCAATCAGACAACAGAACCTTCGCAGGTCCCTTGAGCTGGTTCAACTCCCGCGCAGCATTGTCAAGGTCTTTCTCGTTCAAGTAGTACTCTGCTCTCGCGATCACGCTGAGGACGTCATTACCAGGAACCAGTCCTTGCCGGTGGAACGTGAATGTCGAGACTAGGTGCGATGCTACGTGGCTGAGGACGCCCGCATCCTGGTCAGGAACGAGTGCGACGCTGCTCACGGCCGGGGCGACCGACGTAGAGAACCATGTTGCAAGATCTGCGAAGGGCTCTACGCCGACATCAGGGACGTCCGATGACTCCAGGGACTCAAGCACCGATGAGACCAGGGAGTCCTCGCGCGCCGCGGCGAGATGTCGGAGAACACGCAGCTCCTCGCGGAACGGCTTACGGACGGGAGCGTCAACGTTGTGTGTAAGCGCGCGGAGAGCAGACCAAAGGGCGTGAATCCGGATGTTCTCGTCGAGGAAGTCGGAGTTGTCGAGGGCGATACGTTCGAGACGCTTCAGATTTGTTGCGAGCTCGTCGAGCTTGGCAAGGCGCCCGCCACGTTCCTGTTCAACACGGACCTTGATGTCGCGAATCCAGCGCCGCTGCAACTCGATGCCCTGAGCAATGACTTCCTCCTTGAGACTGTATCATAGGGTCAATATACGCTGATACTAAATTAGGAGGACGGAATCGCCCACCGTTCGTTGATGATCTCGCTCTGAGTTTGCAGCTCGCGGTTGAGCTTCTCCCGGTAAGCCTGCACGAACTTGGTCCTCTCCTCGTCGAAGAACTTGCGGAAGCCCTGCTCCTGGCTGTCGAGCTTGTCCTGCGCTTCCATCTCGAGCTCAAGGAGTTTGAGAGTGTACTCGCGCGTCTGCTCATCCAGCCTTGCCTCAAGCTTCGTCCGCTCCTCCGCCTTGACTTGATCAATCCGCGACGCGAGGGCCGTCAAGTCGGTCGTGGCCGTGTCAAGGATGTCTCGTGCCTTGTCAGCCGCTGTTGGGTTGGCGTTCAGGAAGGATGCGAGGTTGTCGATGACTGAGGCCAGCTGTGCAATGACAGGTTCCGATGCACCGAACTCTGATACAGCAGGGGCGACAAGGGGAAGTGGTGCAGGTGCAGGCTTCGCCTCAGCGGGCTCTGCTGGAGGTGCGGCTTTCTTCGGCGGTGCCGGGCGCGAGAAGCCAGGGGGAGGCTCGAAGCCGATGGGTAGAGGTGCCCCGTAGACGTTACCGCCATTGAGCAGATCCTTGGGGGATGTCTCCTCGGCCTTGTTATCTCGAGGTTGTGGGGAGACGACCTCGGGCTGCGCGGGTGTTGTGGTCGCCTCGGGCAACTTGTCAACGGCGCGACCAGCAAGTGCGGCCTCTGCCTTGCGCACGAGGTCCTCGACACCTTCGGAGAACTGCACGGCCTCGTGCTTGACGACCTCCTTCACCCTTGCACTCCTCTCGGCCATCCCTCCCTCGGTCTTCCGCACGCTCGTCTTCATCGACTCGGCAGCCTGCTTCATGCGGTCCTTCGTCTCCTGCACGCGGTTCTGCACGGCTTCCTGGATTGCCTCCGTGGAAGCCTCGACACTATGCACCACCGTCTCCTTGGTCTTGCCCATAGCGTCCTTCGCGCGCTGGAGAACATCGCCCCGTTCCTGCCCGCCTACGAAACCCTGCAGGTAATTGTAGACGCCTTTGCCGTAGGCAATGGCTTTCTCGACAGTAAGAGTGTCCCAGTCGTGGTCTTCGCCGTACTGCACGACAGCAGCACCTAGCGGTACCTGCTGCACGAAGACGTCATTGTATGGCGGATACTTGAACGCGACAAATGCGCTGCCGATGTAGAAAGTAGCTGTTCCCGCTGCCGTGTAGAAAAGAAGGCGCCGTACTATGCTCTTCTTTTTCTTCGGTGGTACAGTTGGAGGTTCGGTCGCGTACCGCTACCTAGACCATTAGCATGGCGGAGGTGCACGACCAACACGTATACTCACGCGACGTGTAACCCGTACGACGACCCGACCGGAGGGTGCCCCCACCGCCCTCGGGGCAGACAGCGCACGAATCATGAGCGCACTGGGTGCTGTAGCTTGTACACCGTGGTCGGTGACGAGGAAGAAGTTGTCTACGCCGGGTCGGACGGCGTCGGGACGGCGCAAGCAATTACTGCTATTGACATATTCGGCATTGGCGTGGCTTTAACTCCATATTTGGACTTATACTTACTGCCAATATTGCCGGCTTTCTACTGTCAGTACGCGATCGCGATTCGTGGCAAGTACTGGTCTTGTTCCACATCTTTACACTACAGCTCTACATGAAGTGCATCACATCTCGAGCACCTCCCAGATTTCACTGTGTGAGAACCAGCCTCAGTACTCAGTGAGCTTGAGGTGCTCACCCACTCGCAATGAGTCTTTGTGCCTATTCAATCCAGCTACAGTGCCACTGTACGTCTCGTCTCCGCTGACAAAAATCTACAGTTTTATAGGTGTGGGCAATGGCATCATTTATTGACATCTACGGCACTGGCGACTGGCGCGCTACGGACGTGCTGGTGGACGTACATGATTTTGGCTCGCTAGCGCACGCACTGAGGTCCGTCTAGGTGCGTAAACCCTGTTGTCTGCGACAATGGCATAACAGACTGCCGTTTGCTGACCGACTATGTTTCTTAGACGACCCTTGACCCTGGTCGGAAGGTCTTCAAGCTGAGGTCCAATCGGCTTCTCGATCCTACTCTGACCGGTCGACATTTGGCGGGACTGTTCCGTGCTCGCCCCTTTGGCTCCATGTACTTGTCAGAGGCCCGGTCTTCGTCGGCTAGGATGGGAATAGCAGCCACGGTACCGAAATCTGCATCGGCACGGACAACCCTTTGTTGTCGCAGACGTTGCCCGGTGAAGCAAAAATTCGGCGGGGATAAAGGTGGGTGCACACTCGGAGGCCATACCGGTGTGCACGAAGTTCCTGTTCGCTCATGGTCAAGCTGCCGCTGCGGTGTACCGGCATGCAGACATGGCCTCCTGGTATCGGTGACTGTACTCGCTTCCAGGCAGGCGGAGCCTCATGAAATGTACTAGTGCAAGAAACTTGGGTGCATGAAATATGTGAGTCCATCCGCGTGAAAGTGACGTTGGAGGTGTCTTTTGTGACTCAGGCTGGTGAGGATTAATGCCCGGATCCCGGGAATCGGGTGACGCAGGCAGGGTATAACGCTTCATTTCCGAGTCAAGTCTGGGTGTCCATGCCACGCCCTTGGGTCCACCATTGTCATATCTCGATGCATAGAAGCAGACGGTAAGCTTTGTGATGTCTACGACGAGAGGAGCTGTATACACTAAGTACTTATTAGCGTGCAAGAGGTCCTCACCTCCTGACATTGACAAGGCAAGAACGAGAACGAGAACGAGTCGTTATTGGGCAATGATGCCCTTAGTACTATCTGGTAACTCAATGCCTCTGATAACTGTACATACTTCAGTAGCTCAGGCCATTTCATCCTGCGTCTCCCAGTGGTCAACTGATATCCAGACTTGTCATCTACTCCAGCACGCGTTTGCGCACGCGTTTCAACACACTTGTGTCCTATCGCTGGCTACGTCATCGCCATGCTCGTCGAATGGACCCCCCGGGATCTAGGGTCTATACGTCGCAGTCTTAGACATACCGCTGCAGACTGACGGTGTGCGACGGGAGCGCAAAGGGCTTGAAGCTTTGAAGTTGTAGCGGTTACTCAGACTTGAGTCAGCCTCGAAGCCGTGCCCATCAACCAGAGTGTGATGGCTAAGTGGCTGATAAACATTCCCAGGCTCGAGCGCTCGAGCTCCGACTTCTCGTTTGGTTCCCGAGGACTTCTGAGCACGCTCACATGCACATAAATACCGAATGAAGTTGGGATATCTAGAGCATCCCTGCTCCTTCTCCGTACAGGCGTGTGTTCCTCAGCCTCAGGTCGTTTCGCTCCCTTCTGCATGGATTCGAAGATATCTGAGTCTTTGCCCGCTAATGCAGAGAAGCAGCGCCAGCAGACGCTCCCCTCGGACGTGGAGAAGCAACAATTACGGGGCGCGGATGTGGAGAAAGCACCGAGCGTACATCCCTCCGCCAAGACCATTGTGGGGAGCGACCAAGCGAAGTTCCAGGACGCGTTCCGTGTCGAGCTTGACGCGTCAGAAGACCCAAAGCAGCTGCCAACCTTACGAAAATGGGCCATTGTCATTGTGATCAGCGTCTCCGCATTGTGCACTGCATTTGCTTCTTCATGTGTATGTTCTCGATTATGATCTGTGCTACATGGCGTCGTACTGATGTCGATCGTAGGCAAGCTTCACGGAAGACGGAATCGCGCGGGATCTCCACACTGTGCGTGAAGTAGCGATCCTCAGCATTAGTCTGTTCGTCGAGGGTCTTGGTGAGTCCGTTGCAATGTGTTCATCAAGTCTATTCATGACTGACTCCTGCGCAGGGATGGGACCCTTAGTTACAGGCCCACTATCAGAGTTGTACGGCCGCAACATCATCTACCGCGTCTCGTACTTCCTTTTCTTCGTCTTTACATGGCCGGTAGCCTTCCCTCCAAATATCGGTATGTCCTGCCTTCAGGGAGACACAACGAAGTGCTGACATCGCACGCACCATTAGCCACCTTCCTCGTCTTCCGGTTTATCACCGGCTTCTGCAGCTCCGCTTTCCTGTCCGTTGCTGGAGGAAGCGTGAGCGATCTCTTCGAGAACCGCAAAGTTGCATCGTGAGTGATAATAGCCACTTCTATCTTATGCCTCCTTCGATTGGTGATTGGTAGGCCCATGGCCATATATACGATCTCTCCCTTCTTGGGGCCCATACTAGGACCTCTCGTCTCTGGATTCATATGCCAGGTATGATTCAACTTCGCTCACACAAACGTATATACTAACCTCCGTTACAGAACGTTGACTGGCGTTGGGTGTATCGCGTCCTGCTCATATGGCAATTCGCGATGCTCAGTTTGCTTATCTTGGTATGTTGTCCGTCATAGCAGCCGAGGCACGGTGTTCAACTGCAACGCTAGATTGTTCCTGAAACATATGAGCCTGTTCTGCTCAAGAGGAAGGCAGCGAAGCAAGTTCCACTCCTGCTCTGCTGTCACTGTTCATGACTGACTGTCACTAGGCTTCGGAAAACGACAGGCGACAACAAATATTGGGCTCCCCTCGACAAGCGCGATAAGTCGATCAGCCGCTCCATTCTCGAGAGTATCTACGTTCCGTTTGGTTGGTCATCGCATCCTAGCTACTACACCTAGCAGTTCACTGACAAGCTCTACAGAGCTCCTTCTCTACGACCGGATGGCGTTGCTCCTAGATATCTGGTACGTTGAGCCAATTTGAACTCCTGTCTGTTTAGGCGCTGATCCGACCATAGGACGGCCTTGCTGCTGGGTATCCTCTATCTCGCCTTCCAAGCATTCCCAATCATCTTCGAAGGCAAGCACGGATTTAGCATGCAACAGACCGGCCTGTCTTTCATTGGCATCGGTGTCGGCATGATCATCGCTGTGGGGTGCCAGCCACTGTGGAACCGGTAAGTCGTATTCAAGAACACGTTCTCTACCACTTCTCTTTTCTCATTCTTCCATGTTCTGTAGATACAATGCGCGGGTGCGTAAGAGGTACAACGGCAACCCGCCCCCCGAGGCAGGGCTCGTCGTAGGTCAAGTCGGCGGCATCCTCGCGCCCATCGGTCTCTTTTGGCTGGCGTTCACGACGTACCGCGGTGTGCCCTGGATCGTGCCCATCATCGCCTCGGTCCCCTTCGGCACCGGCATTGTCTTCATCTTCACGTCTGTCTTCACGTACCTCGTCGTCGCATACCGCCCGATCGCCGCCAGCGCCATGGCCAGCAATAGCGCACTGCGCAGTACGTTCGCGGCGGTGTTCCCGCTGTTTGCGGGGCAGATGTACGATCGCCTCGGGACCGTTGGGGCTACTGCGTTGCTCGCAGGTCTCACGACACTCATGGCACCTCTACCGTGCGTGGACACCTCATTACTTTGTCATGCTCGTGTCTCACGAGCTCTCGTCACAGGTTTATCTACTACAGAATTGGTCACAGGCTGAGGCAACAGTCCCGCTTCGCCGTGAAAACCTAATGCTTCATGACCTATTACTCACCTTTACGACACATTAGACCACTTGCATCATGACATAGATATTGTTCATGCACTGCCCGCACTATCACGTAGTATACGCCAGCATCATGCTCGTAATCCTGGATACCTCTTTTCATGTCATCGCGTTGCACATCGACAATGCAATCGTTGCCACCACTACAACTCTGACATGATCGAAGTCGAGCTTAGCAGTCGCTGAGGGTATAATTCTACTATCGCAAGGCAGGCGCGTGCAGTGTACATTACAATTCATGTAGACCTCGTGTTGAGCCTGGGGCTCCCTTAGTGGTAGGATAGTCGCCAAAGTCCCAGCTAAAACACTCCTGTACGCGTTGCAATCTCGGTGTCAATACGGTGTCAAACGGTCAGATGAAGCCTAGCTCATACCACGCAGTCCTCTTCTACGATAGCCTCTGGAACCTCTCTTCCCGCCTCCTCGCTTGGAGGCCAAGGTTGCGAGAGCAGCTTCTCTATGATATTCACGATGCCGTGTGTCCGTACGTCCACCGACCATGAAAGGTTTGATACCGTGTCGTATACGATAGAGCGGCCGAGATGACAGCTTGCGGAATCGAGTCGTCAATGGCGCGGAGCGAAATATCTTCAACTGCAACCCACCGGCTTTCCATAGCGTAGCCGCCTAGTGCACACGACGACAAGATCCCGTTACATGTGCCCATAGCGATCGGGTCAGCAGTGTGGTATATATGTGTGATGTGCTGAACTTCAGGCTGTTCGCAATTCCGATGAGACTGGGACGATTGTGCGCAGAGCGAGATGTCTACTGACCGGCGAAGGTAAGTGCAGCCGTCCCGCCGCCATCTTCTCCCCGGGCGACTCTATTGCGACAACGGGTGCACCGAATGTCACTCCCAGGAGAGACGCAAGGGACCCTCCCAACGAATGCCCAATGATCCAGATATTGGATTCAGGGTACATATACGTCAGGTTGTAGTATAGATTCTGCGACGATGCTGAGTGTCGACGCGTAGGTGCAGGGGCAAGCAAACTCACAGTTCCGATTGAGTAGAATAAGCTCTCCTCGACAAGGGACCTCTCTAAGCAATTCTGCTCGCACTTCCAGCCCCCACGATAGCAGTCGCATACGGTTGTCCATGTCCAGTCTACCCGCGCGCAGCAACAACTGAACAGTAGGTTGTCGTTGAACTTGTCCTTCTTGGATGTTGGTCCGCCTCCACCCACGTAGCCGGCGGACGTCCCCTTAATGGACAGCACCACAGTCGAGTTGTCGGGTGTTGCAAAGACGTGACCACGGAAGCCGTCAGCATCGGGCTCCCAGCCTACTGGGTAGCTCTGCGTATACAGTCGTGTGAGGCAGACGCAGGTCCAGGGGTCACGAACAAGCACTCACAACATTCCAGTCGCCTCCCAACTCATACCACCCAGCCTCTCCTGGTTCAAGGTACGCATTGTTTGTCATTTTCGCGAGCTCCAGTAGAGTCTCCCGACTCTCGACGTCGGGCCCCAGGACCTCATCTTCATCCCAGTCGAGCAACGCGCTCTGCGCGAACCTTATTGACCGCGTACGCGCTTCAGCAAGCGCAGAGAGGGAGACAGGGCGGTGAGTCTTGACAGCTCTGCTGCGCAGACTGTAGTCCGTAGAAGGGTCTGCTTCCAGGTTCTGGGAGGGACGTGCGTCGTGGAAGAGCACTTTAGCTTCCGAGGATACGGCATGATAATGGCGAAGCTGGAAGCTCAGGGTCTTAGGGCCAGTATGTCTAGAGCCGTCACAGAACCAGGACAAGAAGGGGACGAGCAAGCCTGCGACCGTCGAGAGCAGCATCGAGGTACATGCCGTTCGCAGTGGTGGTCCGGACGAAGCGGTGGCTGCTGCGACGGCTCACCTGAACTCAAGACATTGAACACATACGGACACCTCCCTCAACACGGTCCAGGGCCTCAGCACGCATTGAACACGATGAGCAAACGAAATGCATGTACTATGTACAGTATTGCTGGTATGTCAAGGCGGCACTGGTAGAAAGATTTGCTTTTGGTGTACTGTACATGGAGTGAGTTCTATACATCTATAATACGACATGGTGGGGACGTGCAGTCAAGAAAGTAGGAACTGCTGGCATAGCGATCAGAACGAACGTCGACGCATAAACAAGATTACGTCCAGAGAACGGGCGCTGAATTACGGTAACACATCTGTCAGCCATAATTCATGATGATAAGGCTGACGTTGACGTTGGACTGGCAGTGACATCCCGAGGTGCGGAGAGCTGTAAGTTCTCCATGGCCAGGTCGAGTGGATCCGTGTTTGCAGACGAGTACACCGGGGCGTTGACGGCCTGCTGATTCGCAACTGCACCAAAGACAACCTCTGGGCTGGTGCATGCGGAAACAGCACGACGCATTCCTGTTGAGAGGAACGACAGACCGACTTGATAGGCGGCTAACACGATTCTGTCAGTATCGACCGTTTCTGCGCCTGCACTCGACTCTCACCATTCATCCACCCGAAGCCCTCTCTTGGGACCATCTTGAAGTCAACTCCCTGGTTGCCATACTCGGCATCTACCAAATGGGACAACCGGACTGCGTCGAACTGCCATAGAGCTGTATCAACGTCCTGCCACACTGTGACAGCACCGTGTGCGCACCTTCTCCGGAACCACACCGTTGAAGTCGACGAACGCTGTCGTCATCCTGTTCGATGCACCGTCAGCTGACAGACCTGAACCAAAGCTGGCGTCGTACTCACATGTAGAGCCACCTGTACGCCAGTCTCTGGGCGTCCTCAAGGTAGCCATACCTTTCAAGACCGACCCAGGTCATGATCTGATGCGGGGGCCTGTGAAAGAAGTCAATAAGCTACCCGCAACGCGGTGCAGAGCACACCAACCAAGCATAGCTGTGTAAAGCCTCCGCATCAGCATCACGATACACACACGACATCTGCAATTCACTCACGGATAGTCCCACTGACGATTAGGCCGGTCGAGCGAAATCTTTCCCCGGGACTCCTCTGTCCCTGACACAAGCCCGCCCAGGACTTCGAACTTCTTGAGCGAGTTCGAGCTGCGCAATGGGTGTCAGCGGGGCAATTCAAAAGGCCACCAACAGTGGAGCGCAACCACGCCACGCACATCAGTTTCCAGCATTGCTCCTCGCTCGCGCAGCCAGCCCACAGGGTCCAGAACGCTGTGACACTCTCATATAGGATCTGCTTCTCCTGGACGGTATCGTAGTCGAAGTACAGGCTCTTGCTCTCGTTCCAGCAGTACTTGTCGATGGCCTTCTTCCTGAACTCCGCCCGCTCGAACCAGATCGCGCTGCTCTGCGGCTTCGCCTTGGAGCTCTCCCGGTGCGGGTTCGCGTACGTCTGGGGCGACGGCGGGAACGGTGCCAAAGGGAAGTCTTCTTCCAACTCAAGCTCGTCGTCAAACACCTCCCTGATCGCCGTCCCGATGTCGACCTCATACTTGTACAGCAGCGCCTGGAGGTCGATCGTGCCGAGGTTCGCGCAGCGCTTCTCGAAACGATACGTCGTGTCGTGCCCGGACTCGCGTACGGCGCGGTCGTGCAGGAAGTACTCGTCCAGCTCCGGCTCCTTGATGATCCCATCAGTGTAGCGCTCGCTGAACTCGAGCACCGACAGCCCGTGCTTCGCCGCGTACGGCTCGAGGATGTGCGTAAAGTGGGTCGCCTCCGTCTCGGGCGGGATGCCGAGCCCGTCGGGGCGATAGCGAGACAGGCCCGTCTTCGGGTCCATACGCGGCTCCGCCACCCAGATGGTGTGGTACTCCTTGATGGCGGCCTGGATGGCACGCTTGAGCCATGCCCGGTTGGCCTCCATGTCGGAGCGGTCGAGTTGGTTGTAGATCTGGAGTGCCATGTCCGTCAGAAAGGGCGGCTGCGTCCGACAGAGGTAGTAGCTCCGGCTGCCGTTGAGGATCTTGCCGTAGTGCCTGATCTCGAACACGAAGTGGTCCACCATGCCCTTGGCGAGGTTGACGTAGCCATCCACGAGCAGGCCGAGGGAGATGAAGTAAGAGTCCCAGTTGTACAGCTACGACGCAAGTCAGCACGAGTTAGGTACGCGTCACTGCGAGTATCGGACTAACCTCGTTGAAACGAGCACCGGGCACAACGAACGGGATGCCCTTCAACGTCTTGCCACCCTTGCCATCATTCACCTCGTTCATGGCAAGAGCCAGGATACCAGGCTTGCTGTTCAGGCTCTTTACGAAATGCGGGTCATCCGGTACTGGTGGAAGGACCTGGACGTCGAGGTTCAAATGCGACTTGTCTGCCGCGACCTTCCGGTAGTACTCAGCCATCGCAGGCTCGCCATGCGGCACATAGATACGGGGGTTGACGCGACCGGTACGGTTCTTTGGGTCGGCACAAATGATCTCAAGACCATCTCCATCAATGCGACGAGTCAATGCATGCCAAAATGAGTTCTTGATCATGCGTGACAGGCGGTCGACGGGATTCTCTGTTAGACGAGCCTCGTCTAGTACAATACGCTTGCGGCCATGGTCGCGCGCAAGGGCAAGCTCCTGGAGCAGGTTCGAGAGCATGTATGTCCCCTGTTCATTCGGCGTTCATGTCAAACGCGCGCACGGTCAAGATAGAACGGGCGGCACTCACTCGGACGTCGAACGTCTTGAAACCGTTGCTCGTCGCAGTGCCAAGGGACATGAGCTTCGGACCAGCATCCGTCACACTGATCTGGAAGTCGCCGTCTGTGTCCTCCTGCTCAAGGACTACACGGATAGTCTCCTCTACATCAATCAAGAACCGCCTAGGGCCTGTGCCCTTCTCGTCATGCGACATGCGTCGCGATCTGCGAACCAAGTCATCGTTGAAGGCAGGGGCACGCTTGGGGTTGTAGCCGTGAGCGAAGGACTGCCGAGAAGACGGTAAGCTGCAATCGGATGAGACAAAGAGTGATAACGTACGGCGCTGTACGTTCGGGAGCGACTAAACTGCTCTTCGCCGCCGTAGTAGGTGGTGGCGTCGGTGTTGACAGCGCGCTGCTCGTCAATGAAGTTCACGCCCGTTGGATGAGTGAGAGTGGGTGCCATAGTATAGAGAAGGAGGCGAGGTGGTTACAGCGGTGCGCGAACAGGGACTAGCGACGATGGAAGTCGAACACAAGCGAAAGACGTTCGGGAGCGCTTCGATCGTGACCAATGTAAAGTATCAGAGTCGGCCGTTCTATAGCAGCTGAAATCCAGGGGACTCTATGGCTTGGACGACGGGGCTGAGATGAGGTAAAGGGTGGAAGATGGGGGAGGATGATGGTGGAGTAGAGCAAGGACGACTATGAGGCCGAGGGTCGGAGCGTGGACCGGCAAGCGAGCGGCGAGTGAGCGGCAGGCGCTATGTCTCTCTGTCTTTGACCTCCACGACCAGTCCGCGACGGAGGACGATGCTGGCTGTTGCTGAGTGTCGGAGACAAGCCGTGCAACTCTCTCGCTCGTGCGGAGGGTCTCTACATTTATACTCTCCACGGGGTAGGCGATCAGCAGGAACTGCCCGACAGCGCCTACACCTGCGCGGTAACGTCCCTTTCAAATACTCTCACTGTCCCTTTCCTCTCCCCGCAGGTCGCTTCTGGGCATACTCTGGCCCGACAGCCATCCCATTTGTCAGGCCGGTTGCTGTACTCAAATATGTCGCGCACAACCTCCGCAGGCGGCAGGCGATTGTGGCCCCCGCATCGCTCTCTCGCCGGTGTCTACCCCATGGCACAATGCTTGGATGCATCACGGACGCCGGACCATAACAGTTCGCAGCCAACAGGTGTGCTAGCTTGATCCGTTCTCCTGTGTATCTGACATTCCTACGGGCAAGCACCTGGTGCACCGGAATTACGCTTTCGAGAAGGATTCGGACACGGCGTCGGATGCGCAACTCGGGTTTGGGCTGTCGGGCGCACTGCCGCGTGGTCCATCCAGCAGCCTGTCCACATCCGTGTGCCGTACTGTCTTTCCCTGTCCCTGTCGTGTCGGATCCTAGTCCTCCAGGGGATTCTCTCGTCGCTCGGTGATCAAGACCTCCGCGTTTCCGTTAGACACGGATACTAACCGTTCCTGGCCATCCTCTTTCCTACTCCCGCAACCTCTGGAAGTCCTTCCAAACAGCTCAGGTCTGAGGTGCCTCCCTCCTGACGTCAATAGCTCCCCTGGATACAGTCTTTGCGGCCATATTGCTATTGTTCGTCCGGTGATTACGCCAATCGTGTACGCTCTACCCGAGTAATGATCGACATTCATTATGCCTACCAGCCGTTCGCCGCCAGGCCGGCGATCCCTTACGCTCGTGTCAGCTAGCCGACTGCCTTTCTCCTCTCCGGTCAACTTATCTTGACGTCACGACCAGGGTTTGATATCATCATTCGTATTCACCGTTCGGGCGCGCTTTCGCTCATTGTTCTATCTTCGATTCTGTATCAGACGACAGTACTGTAGAAAAATATACACAGCTTGATAATGCTGCAGCTTTTGAGTAACACGACGTGCATAGACGAACGTGTGAGAAGAACTGGGTCGAGCTATGTCGAGCTACGTAACGGTACAGACAAAAGCGTGTGCGACTTCTGTGCGCCATGCGGCAGCGACCTCGCGCGCTCGTCAGTCTCTGTCAGTCTCATTGCTCTCAATCTCCGACCTCGCGCGTAGGCTTCTCCGATGTTTTATATTTAAGCTCGAGGATCCTACGTGAAATAGTGGGGGCTCGCCACTTGCTACTCTGCCGCTATGGCCATACTACACCAGACGACGGCGAACACGGTTGCGACGATCCTGGGCGTGTCTCAGCCATGGCTCCCTCCTTCGCAGCAGCTTTTCGTGGACACGTTTCTGCCGGGTTGCGCGGGCTTATTGCTTCTACTTCATGACCTATTGTCGTCAATAAGATTCCACAGAAGCATCCGGACAGCCTTCCGGAGACTTGCATCGCCGTTTAGGGATTTCCTGACCCTGGAGGACCTTGAAGAGCAACCACACCCTGTCGCGCCTCCGGAAGCATGGAAGGCGAGAGTACTCGTACTGGGATCCGCGCTCGAGAGCGTTGCATGGGTGTGCGTGCTTGCGTATGGTGCGGTGGGGGAAGACAAGGGCTTGTCTATGCAGGCCGCCGTTGCGGCGATTACATGGGTACGCCGTAATCCTCTGTTTCCCCCATCTTCATTCGTGTATACATGTGCTTAATTTGTGGGCGATGGCAGCTGTATGCCGTACTCAGAGTGTTGTTCAAGCCACCGGTCACTCCGCCATACCTCCTCATCGTGCTGTACCTCGCGCATGCCACCGTTGCTCTCGTGGATCTGCTCCAGAGGTTCATCGGCGGAGAGCGCAACCCAGCCTTCACTACGCTCGTCGTGCTACAACTACTTTCGCCTACCTTGTTGGCCTGGGTAGCGGGGTCACTGCCCGTCCGGGCGACCCTCCCAACACGGAATGTCGCAAAACATGCGGATGTAAGCGCACATACTGGCAGCGTGTCTTTGGATATACGAGATAAATGTGCACATAGGTTCCGACAAGTGCAGCGACAATGCCGGAGGATAGCGTCACCCTGTGGTCGTGGTCGACCTTCTCCTTCGTCGAGCCGCTCTTCAAGGTTGCGTCGGCACATACGCTCAATGAGACGGATGTCTGGAGCTTGTCGCCGTACTTCAAGCACAAAAATCTGTTCACAAAGTATTTGAAGTACCAGGAAGAGTGAGGCATGATTCGTTTGACATGAGCTATGGGCATTGATGATCAATAAAGGCACCCAACGCACTCGCTTCTGTGGTTCCTGCTTGCATCTAACTCGCTGGACTTGACGCTAGACATTGTCCTCGAGCTATGGAGTGCTGTTTTTGGTACGTGAGCCCGTGGTCGCATGTTTTTTCTCGCTAATCGTGCGTATAGGCTTCGTCCCTCCCTACGCGTTGCAGGAGATCCTCTCAGCTCTTGCGGACCCGTCCCCGGAGTCCACTCAGCGCGCATACTTCTGGGCAATCATGACCTTCCTCGCACATCTTTCTTTCGCTCAGGTCGACCTATATCAAAATTGGTACACGCGCCGCTGTTACGAGCGGACTCGCGGACAGCTGTTTTGCGCCTTGCACTACAAGTAAGTTGGTATATGCGGGCGTTGCAATTACCTCCACCTAACCCCGCCGGGACAGAGCACTAAGGAGACGGGATGTCGGCGGAAAAACTAGTCATGAGGACAAGGAGAACGATAACGCCGACCTCGGAAGGATCGTCAACTTGATGCAGTAGGTCGCGTCGACGAGGTCGTACTGTCTCCGCACTGATGTGCAACAGAGGTGATGCATATGCGGTGGCCAACCGCTTTTGGCAGTTCTCGGGCTTCTTCATGGCCCCTATACGTTTGACAATCGCCCTCATCTTCCTTTATCGGTACGTCAGTTTGGATCGAAAATCTGGTTTACACTCCGTACTCATTGAAACCTGATCTAGAATCCTGGGGTGGAGTTCACTGGCCGCGGTTGTCGTGGTTCTAGTCGCCTACGTGGTGAACTACCCCCTCGCCAAGTACAATGTCTACGTAAGTGCTCCGCAAAACGCGCGAGTTGTCGTACTCAGCATCTCCATAGGTTACACGTCAATCTTGGACCGCTCGCGATACCCGCATGAACCTCGTCAATGAACTGTTCCAAAACATTCGGTTCCTGAAGTACTATGGCTGGGGTGGGTATTTGGTCTCCAATAATCCGTGGAGGGCATTGATCTTAGCTGTCATAGAACATCGATGGTCGGCTCGTGTCCGCGAGGCGCGAGAGTCCGAGCTCAAATGGCGAGTCAAGGACAACATCGTCTCAGTCTTCATTACGTTCATATGGACCTGGATCCCTTCCGCAACTGCCGTGGCCTCATTCCTGTGCTTCACGCTCATTGCCGGCGAGAGACTCACGGTCGCGAAGGCGTTCACTTCTATCGCACTGTTCTCGTACATACAGGAGCCGATGACACAGCTGCCTGAGCAATTCTTCGCACTGCTGCATGGTGAGCCGTCTGCATTGCTCCATCGTTATCGACAACTCAGCCGTCTCTAGCGTACGTCAGCATGCAGCGTATCGAAAAGTTTCTCGCAGAGGCCGAGGTCCCCGAGTGGGCGTCATCCCTTAAAATGTCAGCGAATCCTGCGGCGCCTCTTCAAGATGAAGTTGGATTCGAGGACGCGGTATTCGAATGGAACGTTTCCCCGAGGGACGTACAGTCAAGGTTCCGATTGGGACCCCTGAATATCAAGTTCCCGAAAGAGAAGTTGACTCTGGTTAGTGGGGCGACAGGCTCCGGGAAGAGCGCTCTTCTTGCGGCATTGCTAGGAGGTATGCTTACCACGCCTCTTGTGCATCGTATGAGCTAATCGTGGTTCCAGAGATGCACTGTATCTCTGGAGGAGTAATCCTCGATAAGGCTGGTCACCAGGTCGCGTACTGCGCTCAGAACCCATGTGAGCATGTCAGATCTCGACTCAAAGGTACTGTGTATATAACGGCGGACAGGGCTAGAACACGCCACAATTCGAGACAACATCATCTTTGGTGCCGCGTATGGATATGACGAGAGACGCTACCGAGCTGTTATAGAAGCTTGCGCGCTCACGCGGGACCTGGAGATTTTCGAAGCGGGCGATATGACAGGTTATCTTAATTTATATGTTTTGCTCGGAGTGATTGCTCATTTCGGTGCCAGAGATTGGGGAGAAGGGCATTACTCTTTCTGGCGGACAACGTGCTAGGATAGCTCTGGCTCGTGCCCTGTACTCTCAGGCCACGGTGAGTGTGATTCCAGACTATCGCGGCGCAAAGACGCTTATGTTTCATCAGTGTCTTCTGCTCGACGATCCGTAGGTTTCCTCATGATCTATGCGTTTCTCGGTCTAATCCATCTTGATCAGGTTGGCAGCGGTCGACATGCATACCGCTCAGCATCTGGTAACTCACGCCTTGACTGGGATGCTCGCGCGGGGTCGAACGATCATTCTCGTGACTCACCATATCAGTCTATGCCTCCCCAAGGCATCCTATCTAGTCGAGCTGTCCAGTGGCTCAGTCATACGCCAAGGTTCGACCCAAGCACTACGGGAGCAAGGCCAGCTGTCACAGATCGTGGCGGCAGAGGACATCGTTCAGGAGTCTGAGTCATCCGAATCTTCGTCGGCTACACTTGAAACCGAGAACGAAGCCGACCTCGTCGACCAGCCGAAGTCTACAGATGAAAATGCGAACAAGTCCAGCGGGAAGTTGATCGAGGCAGAGGCTCGTGCTGAAGGGCGTGTATCTGCGCGAACATACTGGACGTATATTCTTGCCGCAGGCTTATTGTGCTGGGCTTTCACGATGGTTTTCATGGTGCTTGTTCGTTTGATCACCATCGCGAATCAGGTCAGTCGAGAGCCTCGAGCATGATCAACCTACTCAATCACCGTTACAGCTATTCATTGCCCGCTGGGGTGAAGCTTACGAGACCACGGGATCATCGATTATGAAGACGCTCCTGCAAACGCCTACTGTGTGGGCGAAGTTACCGCCGCCAGATGTGGACGTCAAGCCTTGGTTACTGATCTTCTTGTGCATATCCTTCTCCGGCGCTGTTGCCGTCATTTCCATTATCTCGCTGGGATACTACTCCAGTCTACAGGCCTCGCGATCGCTCTTCCTTGGCATGCTTAGCAGGCTGACTGGGGCGCCTTCGCGCTTCTTTGACGTCACTCCCATAGGACGGATACTCAACCGGTTCACGTCCGACATTAACACCGTCGACAACACCTTGCAAAACTCCGCAAGGTCGGCACTTGCTGGATGCTTCAACTTCCTAGCTTCGCTGGTGGTGATTATCTGGGTTGTGCCGACTTTTGCCCCCTTTGCCCTCTTCATCGCTTGGCTGTACATCCGTCTGGCTCCGCGCTTCGTACAGGCGTCGCGCGATCTACGGCGACTGGAATCAATCTCACTGTCCCCAGCCTTTGCAGGGTTCGATGAGTTGTTGCGCGGACTCCCTCACGTCCGGGCGTTCGGCATGGAGCAGAGGTACCAAGCGAGGTTCTACGATCGAGTTGATACGTTCCAGTGCTTCGATCACGTCTACGTAGGTGATATGATACTACAATCTTTGGAGCTTCTAATATATTTCTTGCATGGTACTAGTGGCTGGTCTCTGGGTGGCTGCAGTGGCGATATGACTGTCAGTTTCTGAGTGTGATGGGCTATTCATGCGCTCACAATTCATGTGCAGGCCTCGGATCCGTGGTGGTTTTCCTCACAACCATCTTCGCTCTCATGGGCTCGGTCTCGTCCGGGTTTGCTGCGCTTGTCATCGTTCAAGCTGGCGTCTTTGCCCAAGCCTCCAGGGTGCTCGTCAGGTGAGCCCAACTAGACCTTCATTCAGTCAGAATTCTCAAGTAGATAAGGGTATTGGCACAATTGGAGCTCGACTTCAACTCCGTAGAGCGGATTGGAGAGTACCTTGACGTACCACAGGAGGCTGCGGCAATTATCGCCAGCAACCGGCCTCCAGCCTATTGGCCTTCCAGCAATGGCGAGTTGGTCGTTGAGGACCTGGTGGTCAAATACGCGCCAGAGCTACCTCCAGTATTGCACAACTTGTCGTTCACAATTAGACCATGTGAGAAGATTGGAGTGGTGCGTCTATCTTTGGAGCCACGCACGCGACCTAGCTGAGGATGAGATTAGGTTGGTAGAACAGGGTCAGGTATGTCTCGGGTGGCATCTGTGTAGATACATACTCACCTTTTCAGGGAAATCGACGCTGGCACTGTCCCTACTACGCATGGTGGAACCCAGTGAAGGTCGTATAATGTGAGTTTACAGGTCATTTTAGCGCTGTCTCGAAGTTGACGGTGTTACTCGCAGAATTGACGGTATAGACATCACCAAGATCGGGCTCGATGACTTGCGTACGCGTGTAGTACGTCTCCTGCCTGACACTCGCTGGCCCTCCTGAGCTCACATTCAACTAGACCATCATCTCGCAAGATGTCTCCCTCTTCTCGGGCACGTTGAGGAGCAACATTGACCCGTTCAACGAACATTCAGACCAAGAATGTCTCGAGGTCCTTGAGCGATGCCACTTGCTCTCTATCCTCAGACATTCGTCTTCGAAAGCAGATGCGGGTCACCAAGACGTAACCCTCGATATGCCGATCAGTCAATCAGGTTCGTTGAGCGCGGGTGAACGCCAGCTCGTTGCAATGGCTCGTGCTGTATTGCGGCGTAGTAGCGTCGTCATCATGGACGAGGCAACGTCGCAGATAGATGCAAGCTTGGATGACCAGGTCTGTCTCTGCAGCAATATGAGTGGACCTCAATAGCTAACGGACCGACTCTCGATATGTAGATACAGCGCACTATCCGCGAAGTCTTCGCAGATGCGATAGTCATCACGATCGCTCATCGGCTGAAGACGGTCCTCGACTACGACCGCATCATGGTCTTAGGCGGAGGGAAGATACTGGAATTCGACACTCCACGACTACTGATGTCAAAACGTGACGGTCTCTTCGGAGAGATGTGTCGAGCAAGTGCTGATTGGCAGGAGTTGCAAGATGCAGTCAGCAACCTCTCGGAACGATCATAGTATGATCAATTCTGGGATGTAAACATGCGTAGAGTTGCAAAGGAACCATGGATTCTGTGAATTGCGCTGAACTAGATAGACTCGAATGTTATGATATTGCAGATTCGAACTATCGACGTTCATATCCTTAGCCAATCCTCGGCTGGCCCAAGGCTGGCCTCAGCTATCCTCAGGCTGTTCGTAGTTTCCTTCTATGGCTTTGACGACAGACCTGCCCTAAGTTTCCCACGCCCCCGTCTCATAACCTCGACCCGCGCGACGTTTACTTTTTCTTCGTGCGGCGACACGGCCATAATTTTCCCCATGTTGCTCATGACTGCGGCTCCCTACGCAGACGTTAGAGTGTCAGGCCGTGTCAAGAGCAAGCGGACGTCTTAGCACCCATTGCCTCTTCAGCTAGATGCCAGGTCTTCACGGATCTGGTGTCGAACAGTTGGAGGATGGGCCGGTGGTTCGTACAATCCTTGCATTCACGAGAAACTTTGTATTGCTACGTCTTGGCGTGTCTAGTACCCTGCCGTCCTGTATGCAACGTGCTACAGCGTTCTGGCAATCCACCGATTTAATCAACCAAGGAAGTGATCAATTAGTTGAACGTTGACGGTCGCGAATAATCGTCCGACAAGCAAGACGACAAGAATAGGACGTGCCTTGCCTTAGCTGGTTATATGCGTTCCCCGGGCTCATCTAACACGGCGACATCACCGACGAAGTCCACGAAGTGTCATGTCACGCCTACAAACAGCAATCCATAGGCCTATACAACTATGCATCGGGACATCGCGAGAGCGCTGACCTCGCGCATCATGGACAGGAAGCTTCAAGCCTTGCATATATGTGCGACGGGGGAAGTCCCAGGTATCGCAGCGCAGAGATTCACCGCAACGCACCCATGTCCTACCCTCTGTATTGGCCTTTCAAAAATCACTACTATCCTATCGGCATAACCTCACCTATTTGCTTGACGCAGTACCTTCCCGTTGAGCAGGCGGCCGACGTGCTCCTACTGGGCTGCGATGACCCGAGAAACATCTTATACACTGTTTACGCAGATTTGCGCCCGCAAACTGGTGAGTACAGGTGACCATTGAATAAGGAATAAGAAAGTGCACTGAAGGGTACGGCAGGCGATGGGCGGAGAGTCGATTTTACCTGCTGTAACATCGAGCCTGCCATACTAGGTGAAGTTGCGCGGTCATGGTCGGGTTCATTCACTGATCTTGCTATTCTAGCTCGCAACATCCTCTTGTACACCCTCGTATGCTCCGGCGCGTCTCTGGATGTCGTTTGGAACATCTTCTACCACTTCCATCTAGACGACCAGAGTTACGAACTGCTGGAGGCTCAATGCCATCTTCTCGCAACCGCTTCCAAGTCGATGCAAAACTGGCAGTGCTTCGGATTCGGCGCTTACCTCAAAATGTGCGATAGCTATACTCTTGCGGAGATGCATCGCCACTGGCAGCTCTACGCCACGTTCTCCTCGAAGCCACGTAGTCGCCTTGACGAGCTACACGCAGAACAGAAGAGTGTATCGAGGCGCATATTGGACGAACACACCGTTCTTGGATCGGTCAGCCGTTCAGCTGGCATGCTCTGGCCTGAGTCTCTGAAGACGATGAACAACCTCTACGAGCAGTACTGGAATACGGGTACCACCTTCTCCTGCGAGCAAGACTGCGCCCGCTCGAAGAAACTCAATCCCTCATTCGTGTACACACTCGCCGGGGAGAAGTTCGACCCACATTTCGCTACCTTCCCCCTGCAAGCATTTCTTTTGACCCCAGCCTTCGTTCCGGATGAACAAAGTGATCGCGACCGTAACCCTACGGACATCGCGAAAGGCCAGTTCAGGTCTTGGTGTGGGACCTTCAGAGATGCTGTTCGCTCGTCGCATCTCGTCGTTCGCTTTTGCGTAAGCGACGTAGTCAGCTTCCCCAAAGCGCTGCACAACAAACCGCAGGGCATCCCCACGCGTCTGTTCACCTCGGCCCTCTCAGGGCAAGCTCTTGAGCTTGACGGCGAATCGCCACCCTGCGCCTTCGACGTGATCGACACGTCGGGTCATGTGGACTACAGTGGAATGGTCAACATCCTCGTCTCGATGAAACCACTGCTGAAGGCGCTTCCCTCGTCCGTCTTGTACACGGAGAACTTGGTGCGTGACGCTCCAGGAGCGGATGCAACGATCGCTCTGCTCGGACGTTTGTGCGGGGACGTTTCGGCGATGTCCCTTCTCATCGGGCTCACTCCGCGTTCATACCTGTCGGGGTTCAATGCGTATTCCAACGTCCACGAAATCCTCTTCAACAGCGACCGCTTCAGCAGACAGTTTCAAGAGCGCGTCACCTGGTGCGCTCCGGCCAGCAGCGATCCGCAAGCATGGCAGGAGCAGCCGATCGAATTCAATGCCAAAGAGCTCGGCGCTCTGCTCTTCAAGGTCTACGATCAGCTATGCGCCGACGAGAAGGCCTTGAACCCTCTGCGCATCCCCAGCCTGCACACCCTGAAGTTGATGGAACAGCAAGATCACGATCGGGCGAGCCTCTCCCAGCTGGTGCGCCTGGCGATGTCGCGCATCGTCCCGAGCGGAGGTGGATGGGAGGCGGTGTTCGATGTGCTGTTCAAGCTCGTGGAGGAAGACCCCTCGCGTCTCTTTGCCGATTATTACCACGAGGAACTCTGTCTGCAACTTCATCTCCACGGCGTCATGACCACCAAGTCCCTCTCTCCGGCGTGGAGGTCCCAACTCATGCCCAACGCGAGCTCCAGGGTCTTCTGTGGATGGGCCGATATCCCGCCTGTCGTCTGCGTCTTGCTCACTGTCCCGCGAGAGAGCCTCACTCGGGCCTTCGACGGCACGGAGCGTCTGCTGTCGATGGCGTTGATGTGCCACTTGTCCTCGCCGGGCGGCCGCATCGATACGTTCGCGTGCGACCTGCATGCCATCCCCGGCCGAGTGGAGCCGACGCCCGGTGCTCCTGGGGCCGCTGCCATCGTGCGGGACGAACGGGGAGTGGAGGGCGCGCCGTCGCTGGTCGTATCCTTCCTGGTGCCCGCGTGGCTGCTCACGATCCCACAGACGCAAGTGTTGTTCGCGATCAGGCCGACGCCCGTCGTCGCTGCAGACTTGTTGGACAAGCTTGGGCCGATGCTGGAGATCTTCTCCGCGCATCTCACCGACAAGAGGCACGTCTGCGTCGCCAGGGAGAGGCCAGGGGTCTTCGCTGACCCACGCGCCTCCGACGTGTGGCCAGACGCGCCCCGCGCCCGGGCACTGTCATCGAACAGGGTTGCTGTGAAAATGGACGGCAGGTCTGGAAGAGTTGGGACTATGACGTTCAAGCTCGACCTGGCCGCCATGGGGTTCTCATCGCCCCTCGAGCCTTCGCTCCCGATCGCTGCGGAACAGACAGGAGCATGTACGATGGAGGTGACCGTGGGCGACAAACGAGGGTACGCTCGGTATCCGTTCCCTATCAAGGGAAGCGAGCATAGACTGCGCATCGCGCGGCGATCATTGTATGTCGAGGTAAGCCGTTGGCGGTCGTTGTACTTCGTAGGCATCGGAATCTGACATCCGACGAAAGGTCATCGTGCCGCCTTTTAGCCAGCCGAAGGGTGCAGGCCGGACCTTGGATGGGAACATGTTCCCGGTCATCAAGACGGCTGGACTGACTCCCTGGAACGTGCACCACGTCAGCCTCGACATAGCACCCATTCTCGACTTCAAGGGGGCAGAGGTACCCGCATGGCTCATAGAGCACATTCTCTGCCAGCACTCGGAGCGCGAAATGGCAGTCCCATGCAGGCTGGACCCCTCCGTCATTCCCGAACCTCAACCCGAGGCGCTCACAGGTCTCAAACAGAGCATCCGGATGATTTTCGATGCCTTCCATGGCCTGCCCCAGAATAGAGCTCCTGCAAGGATATTTCAATTCGTTGAGAGGGGGACGACCAGACCGTTCATGCTCATCTTCGTCCGCCACGTCCGCCTCGATCTCTCGTCCTTCACGCTGCTCGCTGACGCCGCCGTCGTCCCGCTCGTCCCAGAAACCTCCCATACCCTCGACGAAGCTCTCCGCTCCCTGCCAGGCCCTCTCCTCGCCCCGTTCATCTCGCTCCTCGCACCCGAGGCAATTGCGTGGAGGCAGCTACTTCCCGCCGTCGTTGAGCGGTGCCGGACCTGGCCGCACAAGCCCAACTGCGAGTACGCCTCCGAGTCCGACTCTGGGCGGATTCCCGTCTCCGTCCAGTGGGACGCCAGCCCGCTCTGCGGGTGCGGACACGGGATCGGGCTCCCAGACGCCATGCCAGGCGTGCCCGCGACGGTGTGGCAGGCCGCCCGTCCGCTCGCGACGCGCGCGGCGATCTCGCTGCTCTTCGCGGTGTCGTACCTCGAGCCGGTCGTCGCTGGGGGAATAGCCGCCGAAGCGCACGAGGCGGCAATGGCAGCGCTCGCAAGGAGGCGGGCCGCTGATCTGGGCATGGACATTGTCGTGTCGAGCCGTGCAGGACCGTCTACTCAGGCTGGCCCTGGCAAGAAGTGCCGTGTTTGCGGCGGGCCCGGGAAGCCAAAGCTGCGCGTGTGCGGAAGGTGCAAGCAGGCGAAGTACTGCTCACCGGACTGCAGCAGGGCGGATTGGGAAACGCACAAAGTGGTTTGTCGCCGGACGTAAGGGGATCCTCGCGTTGAGTCTGTGTGCGTAGTGGGTGGCATTTGTTTGGCATTCATGATGTGCGGGAGTCTGCATCGAAGCTAAATTCGACGCATGAGTTGGAAGCGCCCCTTTGTCACTCCAACCCCGTCTTGACCCTACAAATCGATATTCAGCGCTCAGCACCGAGTCCTCCATTGCAGAGACATTGTGCTGATACCTTCCTCACCTTCTGCCAGAGCCGGTAATTCCACGAAGGGGGGTTCTACAGAGTCCTACTTACCTTTTTGAACGAGACAAAATTAGTGTGCGTACTTACGTTCACGAGTTGTATGTAGTACGCTCGCACCCGCGCTTGCGGCCTTCATAGTTGATGACATTGATGATTCGCTGCATCTTGAGTACGAACACGAGTGATAACAGCGCGAAGCTAAAGGCCTGCACGAGGCCGTCAGCCAACCCGAACCAGCAGAGTCGACCAGGCGAAGGGGCGAGCGGTGGGATGCGTGGCTACGCAGAAGTTGATGCAATAGCCAGCGTGCCTTCGAAGGCAGGCTCGACGTGAGTGCGCGCCATTTGTCTACTCCGGATATGGGAGATCTGCGAGGCAGACAATGGAATCGAAGCAATCCGAAGCAAGTCAAAACCGTCAGTGGCTGCTAACTGGGCCATGGTCTGCCTTGTAACCACTCCGCAGGCTCGGCCTTGCCTGTTTGGGTGCGAAGGCGGGAAGCGCGTGACTCAGGAAGCGCACGGCAGGTCGGCAGGTGCTTCGGAAGCAGCGCAGGCCCATCCCAAGGCCATCCTGGTCCAGTTCGCTCACGCCCTCCTCAAGTCTCAGCCGTCGGATTCTCGCCTGCACTGGACCGTGCCCATATTCCACACTATGCAACGACCATCGCTGAGAATAGCGACGAGAAGCAGTAGTTTCCAGTGCAGCACATAACGACAAGTCGCTGGGGATTGCCGGCGGCTGCGTACAGTGGGGAGTGAAGCAGGGCGGTGTGAACGGCGAGGGTGGAGGGGGCGGAGTAGGTAGGGATTAGGTTGTAGGAATGGAGATTTGTGGAGAACACGCGCGGGCAACATCCGTACTCGTCTATTTGGTCGGAGCTTGTACACCCGTCCTCATAAGGACGACCCGAGCACAGTCATGAGGCTCACCTCCACCCTCCTTCCCATCATCCGCTCGTGCTCGCATCGCCTTCTCTCTCGCTCTCTCGCCAGTCGCAACTATGTCTCCCTTCGCCAACGGCAACGGCTCCCCCACCAAGCCCATCCCCATCGACGCACACCGCCGGCGTTCTGCCTCAGACTCTGAGTCGTCCGAGAGCTCCTGCTCGCCTACTACCCCGACCGCCCCCTTCCCGACACCGGCGACGGGCTATCCTCGCGTTGCACCCGTCTCTCCGTCTACGTCTCCTATCCTTTCCTACTTCTTCAGCCAGACCTCGCCCAAGTCTCCTACGACCTCTCTGCCCTTCCGTCGCAACTTCGGCCCCCCGGCAATCGACGAAGGTGTGTAACTTACTTAACGCCGATCACAAGACCCGGGTATTGAATGTAATCACCAGACGATGAGACGCCCGTGCCTCCCCAGACCACCACTAAGCACGCCCGCCGGGCGAGCACAGCATGGGCGGGCAGCGAGCGGTTCGTGCAGACCCCCGCACAGGCCCCTGCACCGACCCCTGACCAGCATGAGAGAGCGACGGGCGTGCTCAGGAGGCTCTCGCTCGGGGGAGCCATGGTGAGAGTGAGTACCCTCCCGGTCTAGTACCCATTACTCGCGTCCTCACCGGCACCGCCCTGCTAGCCACAGATCCCGCAGTTCAAGAACGCGAAGACGGGCGAGGGCGCGGGGATTCAGAGGAGCGCCACCCCGCCTACGCTCCCCTCGACTCCTCCGCCCGGGATGAATGGCACGCCTCGCAAGACGCGGCGGTCGAACACCATGAGTGCGGGCACGCAGCGCCCCAAGAGGGCGCCGTCCCCGATGGGCGAGCGCATCTTGACGGGTCACTTCGACAGCTTCCATTGAATGGTGTCGGGCTCACGCGATCCGCACGCATCCGAAATTCCGTGAGCCCATCGTCGTATCTTCCCCCGACATATCTCTGCGCATGAACGCTCTCGATAAACCTGTGGAAACCCGTCAAGTTCGGCAGGAACTTGGCGAGGTCTTGTATCATCAACCTTATCATCTGCTCTAGTGTGCCATCCTGTACCATTGTCCTCACCGCCCGATCTCTTACCTCCGCTCTGCCGCTCCCGCGAACTTCGCAGCATCCCACACGAGTGTGTCGCGACGCAAAACGTCTCTGCCAATTGGATACTCCCCTTACCTCCGCACCATCGTCTCTCCTTGAACCGCATCGCTGCCCATTCCGCGTCGCCCCATGTGTACTAAACCCAAGCGACGCCGCTGCCGCTCATTCACCGCCGTCAACAAACACGCTGTACATCTACCTGCAAGTATACAAGTGTACATCCGCCCGCATACTCGCGCTAATCTCCTCGGACCGCCCTCCAACTCCGCATGTACCCACTTGTGTCCGATCGTACTATGGTCATTTTGTCTGCGTGTCCAGACTTCTTGTCGCACCTTCGAGTCGTGTCACTATTCCTCTGCCGTTGTCGTCATCCCGTATTTATTCGCATCGTCGTGTCAGATTGGATGATAGGAATTTGGTGTATTTGTACTGTACCATCTGTCTTCGGTTTGTGTGTATATGGATTTGGAAGCTCATGTGAATGGACCTCGAGTGCGATTGCGTCTCGCTAAAGAAACTGAACATTCAACACATGTGTTCTGAAATCTATAGGTATAAGCCAGTTGTTGGCGCAACATCTTCTCCAGCCTGATTCTACTAAGTCACACCGTTGGTGTGTGACTTGTGTCACTCAAGGTGTCACATATACGCGCACCACGTGATCACGATGGGCCGGTCGAAATGTCAGTCGGACTCGAACACTGCGGACAAAGCAGGTTGCACGGAGCGCTTACATCGTCAGAACATTGTCAGAACGTGTATATCATCTCGAAATCCGAATATTATCTATTTTCCTGGACCGAACATTGAAAGGCAGCCAATGAGGAGCCGTGCCTTTCAATGTTCGGTCACCGATAATGATCCATGTTCGGATTTCGAGATGATATACTCATTCTAACGATGATCTGAGACTTATCCGACGCCAAACAAAGGGGTTTGTCCGCAGTGGAACGTCGCGGCGATTCACTTGCCACTACGGCTGCGTTCACAATCACAGCTCTGTATCCGCCGCCGCCGCTCAATCTACCACGAGTTGGGCTGCTTGAGGTAGACGTGAGACTCTAGCTCACCGGCGCCCTGGCGAACTGGCAGTACCACACAATAAGTATTCGGGAGGACGTAACTGCCTCGTCCAAAGACCGGATCTCAACTTCGAGTGGTCCCAAAACGCGTGTCTCCAAGTGAATGGGAGTTTTTGAGGAGCTAACTACACTCATGCGACTGGCGCACTGCCAGTGCAGTGGGTACACAGCTAGGTCGTAGCCAGTTCAAACTGCGGTCTCATGCGGGCGATGCTGGTGAGTATATGCGACCTTTCCTGGGCTACGTCGGTCTGTTGTGTTGACCCCTTACTGTCAGGGCCCAGAAACGATTCAGATGAAGACAACAGTGCACCACAAACTGTATGTAGATCTGTTGCGCGGGAACCCGGGGTTCGCGGGCTACTGGCCAGGGCTGACACAGTGAGTTATAAGTCTTTGCCTTGTCTGATAGAACTGTGACGTGGTTCAGCACGAGGCCAGGAACTCTGTTCGTGCCTGTGGGCCATGCGTAGGCGGATTCCCGTGTAAGACGGCTTCGACCACTGGCAGTTGACATGGTCAAATCGCAGCTCGATTCCGAACCTTGGTCTCCATTCCGTGAGTAGCATCAATCGGACGCCCTACGCTCGTACACGCTCACCGTGCATCTCCCAGGCATGTGTGCGGCCTATATGCTAGGATTATTGTGCGGAACTCCGGGCGTCCTGCGTCCCCGCCCATCTGTCAGGGATCATCGGCTGAATCTCGCGGACACCGAGGTAGCTCGGAACGTCTCCTACGCCACATGCGGGTGCATTAGGATGTGTGAGTTCCGCGGGACCCCTTCTCACCGACCACCTAGTGGCACACCGGGAGCCGACAGAATACTCAAGCGTGAGTTTGTCATACACGTCGACCAGCACGGCGGCCTTGGAGGACGTCCCGGGAGCGTCAGCGCTCGGTGGCGTCTTCTGGCAGTGCGAGACAGCGCAATACATGCGCCGGATGTTCCCCAACTCAATACTCTCCAGGTGAAGAGACTAGCTGTTTAACGCACAGTACTGATGCACGCTGATCCGCCTATCTCGCAGTGACCCGCGAAGCCCCTAAAATGGTATTCCAACGCCACCACGGAAGCGTACCTTCTCAATACGATCTTCAGTCTCTCCGTTCCGCCGGTCCTGAGCGCGCTGGCTCTCTCATTGGGCGATCTTTACATCTCACGTCAATTGACCTGTCCACGGGTCTGCGTAATGGTCCAGGAGCAAAATCTGCCGTATAACCTTCGTCGAAGAGAAGGGACACCGGACGGCAGACACGATTCCGTGACGGCGAAGGCGCACCGAAATAGACACGGGAAGACGACCATGTTTCCCTGCGTTATCTGATATTGAACCATCGTTTTGCGGTACCGGCTATGGGGTTTCCACGCTGCAAGTAGGAAAGCGCAGCAGTCCGGGATAGCGCTTATGTGCCTCCGACAGAGACTTTCGGATGAGCAACTGCTACATGTGCTGGGTTGCCTAAGAAGCACCGTGAGTGCAAATGAAATTCCTCTGTGAATCTTTTCTCCATGTACGGCCCGCTATACGACGCTCATGAATGCTATGACAGTTGCTAGTGCCGAGCACGACCCAGGCGTACCACGCATATGCATAACACTTGCGGCGTGCGACTCCATTGATACCGGAAGATCCACGATACCCACGGTCTCATATGCATCTGGTCCCAGTGGAGGCGCAGGAAGCGCGAGGACGGTGCTTGATTCCCCACTCGGCCAATTCTTCAGTAGAACGTTCAAGATCGGCATTTATGCATGTATCACCGTGGGGACGACTGTGGTTTGCCACTCTGCGTGGCTCCATTCTGACGGGAGGCGTGTCCGCGCAACCATATATCTTCTTACGACCACGGCTGACTGCCATTTCGCCCACCTTTGCCACCCCTCCCCCTCCCAGCAACAGCGATGGCTCTACTCTCTCTCAACTACGATGTGCTCTCCGCGATCGTCGAGCAGACAGACCCGTCCTCGGCACTCAAACTGTCGATGGCTTCTCGTGGGGCCTACGACCTCGGAATTGCCCAAGCCCTCGCTAGCGTCACTCTGTCTCGATCCCAGCGACAAGTCTCAGCCTTTTGCCAGTTTCTCCTAGCGGATCCGACTCGGTTACCGCAGCTCCGCGAGCTCACTATCGAGAGCTCTGCCTTTGGTGTTGCTCGTCACATCGAATTCCAGCGCACCGCCGACTTCTCTGCCGCTGCGGAGCTTGCAGACGTCTTGCGAAGAGCTCGCCGCCTGCGGCGCCTCTCCATAGCGTGCTTCGAGGACTTCCTCGCGCACGAACCACGCATAGGCGATGCCATCTGCGCGTTGCCGGAGCTTGTGGAGATCAGTCTTCATAACTGCGGCCAATTGGCAACGGGCGTCCTCTCTCACCTGCGGGGCTCGTTACGAAAAGTGCAGTTCACCGCTCTATTCAATCGAAAGCTGCCCACCTTCTTCCACCGACTGCAATCGCAAGATCGCATCGAAACGCTAGAGCTCGCTCATCTAGACCTGTCAGATGGCAGCCAGCCATATGGCGAAGTCCACGAACTTCCCCACATGCCGTCAGTGCGCTCTCTGTCTTTGCGAGGGAGCACGGCACGCATGTCCCTGTTCGTGCGCGCCATGCCGAACCTTCAGCGCCTGCATCTCTCCGACGTCTACAGCAGAGCGCTGGGAACGCCGGGAGGTCGGAAACGAGAGTGCTGGGTACGCTTGGCTTACCTGAAAGGCAACGTCCCCGATCTACAGCAGTGGGACATAGCATGCCCGGTGCGATGGCTCCAGCTTGGGCTTACCGCTTACCACTACGACACGGCAATCGACATCATTCGCCGCACAACCCCCGCCATTCTTTCGCTGCCCGTGGAGACCAAGGTAGACGCGACGTTCTGGACCAGGTTCGTTGATGTAGCCTCGGGTGTACGGCATCTCGAGCTGTGCTTGGACGAGGGGAAGGTCCATAAACTATCCTGGTGGCTGGTGCGTCTGTGTGTCCTTTGACGTCCCTCACACAGTTATCTGATAGTGCTGCTGTCTATAGGCCCACATCCCTGCGTTGCTCCGAACGCTATCACTCACGTCGATCTTCATTTGCGTAAGGCATACGCAGAGGATCGGTGCCGAAGAAGACTTCAAGCCTATCGATGTCAGGGTCGATAGGACCTACCAGACGATACGGGAGCGTGTCGCGGCGGCGATCCCCTCTCTCAAGTATGTCGCTATCGCCATCGCGACGAAGTGCGAAGACCCCTTCGAGGAGCAGCAGAAGGCCCCGCTTTGGTGGCAAGTGACGAGGGTATCTGGGATGACGATACTCGACATTGTCCCGTACGAAAAGGGTGCCACTCTCCGAGAACGCCTGATGAACATGCCTTCTTGAGCTTCTCAAAGTGATGTTCCGATTGTATAGGTATGCGCAGTCTTCGTCCCTATCAGCTGGAAATACTGAGATCCGACTCACTTCTGATGCAGGACTCCTTGGGTCGTCATAGCTCGACATGCAACCTTGACCAGCGCATCAGAATCTCGAATTGCAGGTCCCACACGCTCAGTCATCGAATCGGTGCGAAGACTTCGTCAAGGACGTTACTGAGAAGCATGAGGCATGAGGCATGGAGGATCACCGCACTGCTGATGGCACAATACCAGGTTAGCCGCCTACGAGGCATCTCAGACCCTCATTAGACTGCACGCATCGGAGTATGGCGCAAGTTACGATAGACACGCCTATAGACATGCGACGCAATATTACGGGGTATAAGTTGAAAGGACCAAACGACTGTCATTCGAGAAAGATAGCAGCAGAGAGCGTAATTCGTTCTAAACCAAGTTGTAGCATAAGTAGGCTGGGAGTCAAAGTGCGATTTATCATACACTACCCGTAGAGGCTGGGGTTCTTCGCTTTCACCAACATATATGTACAAGCACGCTGAAACGACAAGGACTGAACGTCGTTGAAAACCGTGCGTAGACGTAAGAAGACAATTGTACCTACCAAGTTCGGCGTGATTATATCGTCATTTCGTCCAAACAACTGTCGCCACTGCTTCACATCCCATTCCGTAGCCTTCCAAGATGCGCATACCAAGGTAACCTGAACTCTCATTCGTCGTCCGCTAAATCGAATTCGTCCGGGATCGTAGCAATGCTCATGGGCCGGGGCTTGGCCTCGAGCATATTGAGGATGTCCTCGAGTTCTGAGCCACCACCGGGAGTAGGCGTCGACTTTCCATTTACATGAGCATTCGCGTCGTGACCCTCTGGTGTGGTGGAGCCCGCTCGTTCCGCCTCGGAAGGAGTGGGTTCATCCAACTGAGCGTCGATGTGGTCCTCCGCCTGGACGGCCTCCTCGTGATGCTCTGCGTCTGCGGCAGCGGGAAGCTCTGGCACACCTTCTTCGTGAACCACCGTTTCGTCCGGCTTCGGAACAGCCTCCTCCAACGCCTCCTCGGCACTTGTATCCTGAATCCCATACTCCGCCAACTCCTCTTCCTTCGAGTTTAGGATGACTTCGACGGTCTCGTCTGCCGCAGCATGCACGTCTGGGTCATCGGTGAGCGCCGCTGACGCATGCTGCGGTTCGTCGATGAGCGTGCTTTCCGAGCCATCGTGTTCATGTGCCTGGACGGGACTCGAGAGCGTCTCCTGTTCCTCCTGTTCGTGCTCGGGCTGATGATCGTACTCAGGGAAATCGACAGGGATCTCTGCGTGTTCATCTTCGGGCTCAGTTGCTGGTTCAGTTGCAGCTGCAGGTTTTGCAGCAGTCGGTGTCGCCTTCGCCTTCGTGGGCGTGGCAGCAGCTCCTCTCGTCGTCACCCCAGTCCCCTTCGCCGCCGTAGCTCCACCCCGCGCTGCGCCCCTAGCAGCCGGCGAACCTCTGGAGGCAGGGCTTCCCCTCGTTGTGGTTGCCGCGGGTGTCGGAATCCTCGCCTTGCTCAAACTGGCTGCGGTAGGCTTGCTCAGCCTCTCCATGACTCCCGTGTTTGCTGTCGACTTCTTAGCCGGAGTGGGGACCGGCTGGGTATTGCGTGCCCTCGCGAGTGACGCGGCGGTGGGAGCGAATAGCCCCGAAGACGGCGTCTTCGGTCTAGCCGATGCCGGAGTAGCAACAGTGGTCTGCGAAGGGGTCTTTGGACGCATAGACGGTGTCTTGGGTCGAGAGGGTGTCTTCAGAGGCGCAGGCGTCGTATGAGAGGCGCGAGACGATGGGCGCGGCTTAGCGGGCGTCGTATGAGAGGCGCGAGACGACGGACGTGGCTTAGCGGGTGTCGTCTTGGGCGTGACGGCCTTCGCAGGGGTCGACGCAGACGTAGACGGAGAAGGATGGTAAGCAGTTGGAGGGGACTGTGTGGACGAACGTGCCGGTGTGCGGGTGGTACCGCCAGCCGTGCTGGGCCTACCGGTGGTAGTCTTCGACGGAGTACTTGGGACACGAGGTGGATTTACTGTACCCGTGCTCGATTGACGCGTCGGTAGAGGCTTTAGAACGGGCACCGCGGTTTTCGGTGACGAGGGCGCGGTGTCGGCTGCAGCCCTGGCAGGCTCAGTAGTCGGCTCTGGGATAGACACAGTAGCGGTAGGTGGGGACTTGGCCAATCCACCGTCGGAGAACCTCGAAAGCTGATCTGCTATGCTTGGGCTAGAGGTCGACGAAGGCCTTGGCTTCGGAGGCCATTCCCGTTTCTCCCTCTGCTCTATCTTCTCCGTGTCTCCGGTTGCACTGGTCTGCGACGTAACGCTGGATGTGCGTGTAGGAACATTTGGCACGATCGACTGGCGTTTCGTCTGCTGTTCGAAGCGACCGATAAGGTTGGCGACACTCGCCCTGGGACGTTCGTCAGGCAATGGCCTGCATTGCGCACGAACGGTGACGCGATCAGCAAGCGGTGATGCTGGATGAGCAATGGGCAGGCGTACATGCTGTTATGACCCAATGCACGAAGAGTAGGGATACGGGTATCTGATCTGCGCTGAGACTAGGCGATAGTCAAGAGCAAACGGCCCTCGCCGGCGAGAGCGGTGTAGACGTGCTTCAGGATGGCAAACGCGATGATGACAGTGAAGGTTCAAGTTGTATAGAAGAACCGGTACAAAAGCTCAGTAGTCTTGGCTTACTACTCGTCGTATCATACGTAATCGGAGTATGAACATTTGTAATCTTCCATACTGTCTGAGTAAAAGGCAACTAATGCCAATACGTGTCAGTTTGCATATCGGAACTGTGGCCTTCCGGCGTACCATACCCGTATACGCAAGTGTAAGCTCACTGCATTGTGCTGGGACTGATGGCATACAGTATATCGCTGACGTGTGCCATCTCCCCAGCATCAACCAGACATTCTCCGTAGGGTACGTGTTGCCGCTGTCAACAGAAGGTATTGAGTCTCAATTCCAATCCCGGTAGCTACGGTGTCAACGGAACCGCCTACAACAGAAGGTCGGTAAATTGGAAACTACGCCCCTACGGAAATAGCCGCCGGCCGTAGTCCGCGCCTGCCCAATATGGCAAGTGCACTCTTGCCCGCCGTTTCGTGGCAACGTACGACACCTGTGCACTGTATTCTGATGTATATAGACCTTGGCCTTTCTAGAGAGTGGCTGAAAATCATCCAATCAGCGTAGGTGACTGTATGGGTCCAGTACAACACTGAGTGCATGCCGTCACAGGCTGTTACGCGCAGAGCGCCCGCGTCACAAACGTGACGGCTGCCATGACATGTCCCAATGCGGACAGTCACAGTTCAAACATTCAATTGTGATTGGTCTGTCCGTTGCACGCTCGAACGACCTCTTCCGAGGGGTAGTCGCAGATAACAGGTAAATTCAACCAAGAATGAATACAGACTTGAGTACAGTGGTATACTTAGGGCAGCGGGAGTGTATACGGTAAGTACAGTTACGTAAGCGCGTGGCGGGCCTACCCGTTACGCACACCGTCTCTCTGAGTCGCCGTTTCACCTACCGACGCGCACGTGTTAGTGGTGGTATATGCTCGCACAAATCCTCTTCAAGTGTGATACGTGCGGCAGTGAAAAATGCCGCAAGACTGGCGGAATGTACTCGTGGGATGTGTGTGACAGGATGGTCACGTGCGCGTACGGTCCGTAGTACGGTCCGGACCCGTAGGGGCGTACTTTCCATTTTCGATATGTCCTCGCCTACAAAGACCGCGTCACAATCGGTACTGCGACCGTAGACGATCAGATTATCGGCAGTGAGGCCTATATGTCGGGTTTCACTCTCATAGAGCCCTTCGACGGAATACGTGAGTACCTCTCCGACCGTGTAGCCCTCAAACTTGAAGCTTGAATAGTAACTGGATCGAACCAAGGAGAAGTGTCTAGCTACAACACGACACCAAAATTCATGGACAACCTGTATGCGGCGGGAAGCATATCAGAGCCCGTCTCTGGTGTGTACATCGCGCCGTTCGTTGATGGTGAGGAGAATACTACAGAGATAAGTTTTGGCGGGGTCGATCCGAGCAAGTTCACCGGTGCGTCACTGCCACGATCAGTATCCGCGCTGTTGACTCATCTAGTCCGTCCAATGTCATACGTTGCATGTTGCGGGTGACATCGAATGGATACCGTAGACAACGCCCACCAATGAACATTGGAACTTCATGGTATGAATGCCTTGTCTCTTCAAACAAGTACGACCAGACAAATGAAAGCGTGTGGATCTAGGCTTCCAGTCTGTCATGGGGCAACATCACAGTCATTCCCCCGATCTATGCCCGTATGGACTGTGGTGTCCTATATATCCTCATCCCCACGTAAGAGCCTTATCATTCGCCGACTCAAGGGAATAGCAAGCTGACTTCGATACGATTACCAGCGAGACTACACTCTCCATCACAGACAGCGTAGCCAACGCGAGCCTCGATTCGACTGACTCCCAATTGGTTGCTGGCATCATCTTCCCGAGCAATATGACCGTCGACAAACTGCCCTCACTCGACATTGGTTTGGGAAACCTGAGTGTGTCGATCGTAGCCTCATAGTACGCGGCCGTTCTTCGCTTCTGACACTCAGCTGACAAGGGGCACTGACGTCGAACGTACAGTTATGTTGTGCCGGAGAGTGCATATGCGCCGATGAACATTACTGATGACGGACAGATCCACACATGGTTGTGTCCTGGCGGGCCTTCATTGATTGGTCTCGGACAGAAGGCGTTGGAGCACATTTGTTCAGCTTATGACAGTGCGTCCTACAACCTCGAATCAATGATTCATTGTGACTGATACTTTCTGCCGAGCGTAGCTGTCAACAACCGTAGGTTCCGACTACTGCATGACTCCGACGCCGTTCTGATGATGTCACTACTTCCAGTGGTTGGATTTGCGGCTGCGGCGAATGCCTGAGGCCTGAGTGGTTCAGCGGGCCATCTTCACTGAAGCACACAATGTTTGTCGAGCTGGGAGTATGGCTACGAGGATGGACTTTGTGACCGGACATCGAACATTGTTGCATGTTACCGACCCCGTCGCCGCCGTTGTATGCGGCGACGAAAATATCCTGATGTATGGAATCGACCATATCTTTACAACGCATATATGTCCAAAGTCTCTGAGTTCACCACAGATATCATACACTCGACATGTCCGTTAGCTCCTCCAATCCCTGAACCTCATTTCGCTTTCGTTCCTCCCTTTGAATCAGGTGCAATTGCCGATGCCCTTCCCACCATCGGCATCGGTCGCCTGGAGAAGACCATCTTGCGCTTGACCACGGCCATTACATCCCAACTGACTGGCTCAGCGGATTGTGAAACCGAGTCCCCATGTGAGGGGGCATCCGAGTAGTCTTCTCCTGAAGATTTGACGCTAGGAGGAGTGTGACGGTGCAAGACAGCGAGTGGCTTTTGCAGGTTCACCAGCTTGCCCTCCAACAGGTGGTGTCCTATGCGTAGGGTCGATTTTTTCTGCGAGCAATTTGGAGTCATATCTACGTCAGAAATCTCATAAAGACAGAATGGTCGGCGTAATCGCTCACTGTTGCATCATCTATACGCAGCGTTCCGATCGTTTGACCCTCGCTATCCCCAACTACGTCTAGCTTGCCTTGCAGCTCGATGAGAACGAGGCCCTCGGTCCCGAACTGTGCAAGTTGTGGCGGGAAAGTGTTCCCATCGCTCGGTGACGAGAGTGAGATGTTGATTGGAACGATCATGGGGATGTGAGGCAAAGGAGTGCGACCGTGTCTGACTCTGAGTTGAGTCGACGCGTCGCGACGCGCTGTCGTGGGATTAACGCGTCTGTGGCAAAGCACGTGAGACACACTGAGCCTGCGCAAACCTGGATCCTCTCCTCTTGTTCCTCCTCCTCCTCTCCCCTTTGTCGTTGCCCCGTCGCTGCCATCATGAGCTCTGCTCCATCTCCATCTTTTTCTCAAGATTTGCGAACTGGACACCAGCTCGTGCAGCTACCCTCAGGGACAACTCTCGAGTGCGACGTAGCCCCTCCACCAGCTCCATGGGTCGAAACGACGGACGTGTCTCAGTCGGTCCAAGCGAAGCTAGCTGTCTTCCTACATCCGTGGTCGTGGCTTGGCGGATGTATGGGTGATCCGTGCGTTGTGCAGCGTTTTGGAAATCCGCAGTCGACCTGAAAGTGCGCTCTCCCACTGGTCTCGGATGTGTATGTATGGGGTCAACAACGGATACGCTCTATCACCATGACATGCCAGTGTCTTGAATCTGCTGGTCGCCCCTTTACACAGACTCCGCTACCATGTCATACGCTACAACTCTCGCGGCGTCGGGAAGTCGTCCGGCTGGGCCTCGCTCACGGGCAGCCGAGAGGCGCAAGACCTACGTGAACTCGTTCAGTGGGCTATCGACCGCCTGCAATCTGTTGAATCTGTGGTAATCGTGGTACGCATTCATGGTTCTCTTGATGCACCTCATACAGAGACGTGGCCGTACCGCAGGGCTATTCCTACGGCTCCCTCATAGCTTCCCTCCATCCACTACTCCCACACCCTAGGGTTTCTCACATTATCATCTCCTACCCGCTCTCTGTGCGCCATTGGCTCACAGCCTTCCACGGGGGTACCTACACAGCGGCAGTCACTGCGCTCGTCCGCGATGACCGCGCGCATGTACTCGCCCTCTATGGCGATCACGACGACTTCACGAATCCCGAGGCGTACGAGGGATGGACACGTAGCCTCTCCGAGGCGACCGCGGAAGGTGTCTTGAAGATCGTGAAGGTTGAGGGAGCCGATCACTTTTGGAGAGAAAGTGGTGCGAGGGTGAAGCTGGTTGAGACAATTGAGACGTGGTTGTCTTGACTTAGATGTTATCTATGTCATTGGTTACTGGTCGAAGCAGTTATCTGTGCCGACGCACAGGAGCCCGATGGTGCATTGGTGTCACAGCGATCTCTCCTTGCACAAGCTCATATAGCATTTGACATCGCCATACCCGCAATGCACCGATATACCCTTTGTCCGGTTTTCTCTGTACAAGCCCGACCAGATTGTGGCTCCCATTCATGAAGTCCCAAGAACTGCTTCGCGTCCTACGGGTGATCATGCTATGTGCGCAAATCCCACACCTGCGAATGTACGTTTAGCATGCACGTTCGTCAGTGACTGCTCACACATGTGTAACACTCACGATGGTTCACGACTGCACGTTCATCACAGGCCCGCAAGTCACTTCGTGGGACGATAGGCAGAGGGAGAAACGAGACGCACTATCGTATGCCGAGTACAGGTGCTCCAGCACTTTCTGACCCAGCATGACAAACGAGGGTCCGCCAGCACAGACGTATGTGTGCATCATACCGTCGTCCGTGATGTTCAACGCTGAGTACACGCTCGGTGAGACAATATAGCTGCCGCCGACCGTCAGGTCACCTAATAGCGATGAACATGGACCACTCACTCTTCTGCACGTACCTGCACTTGCAGACTGCCGAGTCCGATCTCCAAGGGCGGGAGATCAGCCGCGGTCATGTTTGCCGGGAAGATAAGACATCCTGCTAAGAACGAGCCGTTGCTCTCATCAAGCGTCGTCCCTGGAATAGTGTCAACGATAGTGAAAAGCTGATCACTTGTTCAATGGCGAGACCCTATCAGCGAGACTACCTCTATGGTAACGACTATGAGCAGATACTTACTTCGGGATCAGGATAGCCAGAGCACCACAGTCTGTACGGGCGAAGATTGGCTGAGGTGCGGTGATATTGCCCCATGAGAAGCTCGTCGCCTGTTAACAGTATGCAGCCGAATGTGGTCTGAGCAGCATGAGCTTTGTAAGTGAACGACGCACGTTGAAGTTCCAGTGCTGATTATATGGTGTATCCTGAGGAATCCACTCAATCTCACCTGCATCATGTCAAAGACGAGTCATTAAGCTTCTTGTACGGAGAATATCAAAGATGATATACAAACCAACGAACCGGCTTGAATCAACCCCTCCGAAGGTGATCTCGCCAGTGTTGACCGCGCCTGGAACAAACGAGGGCACATAAAGTCCAAAGATCGATTCGGAAATGCTTCCCTGCGCATAGAGGTTCTCGATGAATGTCGGCGTCGTGGGGTATCCCGATGTCTGGTTGATGTTTGAGCCCGGCGGGCCAAGGCCGACTGCGAAGAAAGTGTCATCGACACTGCGAAGGCGAACGTGAGGAAGACTTGTACGCACAGATGCCATCATACACGCCCAGTTCGGGGAAGCCCTCCACGTAACTTGCGCTACCAATGATCTGGTCGCTGGCGGTTGCAGAGCCAACGGTCACGGCATCTTTGTAGGCTGTCCCGTTGGCGTAGCCAGAGCCGTATCTATTCAATGCTGGGTATACTGTGTCGAATACTGAAAGGAATTCAGGTACGTACGCAACGGCAAATGTCGCATTGATCCTGCCAAACGCCGCCATGCAATCAGCGACTGTGAAGCATGTAGGCAGAAAGATGCAAAGTCTTACGCTTGAGTGTCGGGCCCGGGTTCGTACCGCTGGTGCGCACCAACCCAAAGATACGCACTTCCCGTGTCTACCAGCACGTTGGGGAACGTCTGATTGTCACCGGCTTCAACTGCACCAGGGCCAATGAATCACTATGACATCACGATGTGCAGTGGAGAGTTGGGCATACCTGCGGTGAAGACTGCGAACTGCGTGTTGGTAATGGGCGCGGACAAATCTGTCGACATGGTGAAGGTTGAAAGCAGATAATACCTCAGCTAATGTTGAGGCGAGGAGTTGCCTACGTACCGTTGGCTGATGAATTGAGGTAGTCAGCGAGATCACGTCGAAAGAGGACGGACATACATCATACAAACCTAGCAAGGACTTGATAGGGACCTTCAGTAAGTCCGCCGCGTTTGCTTGACCAATTGCGAGAACAATCAGGCCCACGGACAACGCGCACATCATAGCCACAACGATACTGGGGGCGAACAGGTCTAAAGCCTATATAGATTCTCGGGCGGCCTTCGCGAAGGGGCGATCGCATGTTTCTGTCCGAGAATCCTCGGTGGCCGACACTACATCGAATCGTGCATAGCGGGTGCCTGGCAGAAGAGCGGTCAGCGACGACCGTCTGTACTACATACTCACATGCGTAATATAATAGACACCATTTCGACGACATGTAGAAGACGCCACAGTGGTTGCACCGCAATCATTGCTTCGGGTCAATGAAAGCGTGGTCGGTCATGTCTACTGAGTCCATGAAACGAAGATGATTGTCTTCCGGCGATAGGCAAGATAAATTCCAGCTGCTTCAGAATCAAGAAGTCCGTTGTGATTGTCGCGAATGATACCAAACGTAAAGCAGCAGCCCGATGAACAAATGCAACAATGATACTGCTGAGCGTCTGACTCAGCATCGCGGTAGTGTCCGTTCTTCATTGATAGCTTGGTCCGTGGGTGGAGTTACGCCGTGAGCGCAAATCCAACGACTGACAGTCGATATGAGCTCGTATGCCTTCAAGTCTGAATGATCACTACCACGTACGATGGTTCACGACTGCAAATCACACGCAGTGCGGTGTAAGACTAAGGGAGAGGCCGTAGTATGAAAGCGAAACGCACTGTCGTAGGTTGAGTATACGTGCTCCAGGGCTTTTTGGCCAAAGTTGACGTATTCAGGCCCGCCTGGGCAAAGGTAAGTATGCGTCTTCCCGTCAACAGTGACATTGAGTGTCGCGTAGAGGCTCTCAGGGACAATAGAGCTGTAAATCATGAAGACTGCCATGGGTCCGCACACTTGTGTTGACAGGGAAGTATGAACAACGCACCCTGCTGCAGGGATCGACAAGAGCAAGTTTCCAAGCCCGATCTCGAGTGGCGGCAAATTGTCGGCAGTCATGTTGCTTGCAAAGATCAGACAGGTGGTAAGCTGGCTATCACTGCTGAGATCAAGGCTAGTCCCTGGTACATCGTCCAGCATATCGAAGAACTGGTCACTGAAAGCGTGGTCAGTCGTCGTCAACATGGCGGTAGCGAGACTTACGTCGGTAATAGAATCGGCAGCGTTCCGCAATTCGTGCGAGCATACAGAGGGCTTGTCATGGTGATGTTGCCCCATGCGAAACTAGACGCCTGAGAGAAATTTCAGGCACCAGCTGCAGGAATAGTGAGGGCGAGGCTGTACATTGAACCCCCAGTGTGTATTGTACGGGGTACTCTGCGGAATCCATTCGATGTCGCCTGCAACGCAGATTCAGCTGTACCCCTCGATGCAGTAGATCCAAGAGTACTTACCAGTGAAGCGGCTCGAATCGACGCCTCCGAAGGTGATCTCGCCAGTGTTCGGCTCATCGGTGAACGGCGGAATGTACAGACCAAATACAGGATCGTCGATGCTACCCTGCGAGTAGAGGGTCTCCATGAAAGTGGGCGTAGTGTTAATCCCCGACGTCTCGTTGACGTTCGAACCAGGTGGTCCGAGGCCAACTACGCGTATGTCAGTGATGTCGCTGCGGCCAGGTGGATATAACGCTCACGTATTCCGTCGAACGGCTCCCAGAGCTCGAAGCCGTCAATGTAGCTTGCACTTCCGATGATCTGCCGATCTGCGGTGGCAGATGCGACTGTGACATGGTCCTTGTACGCAGTTCCGTTGACGTAGCCAGAGCCATACCTGATGTGTCACGGTTTCAGGGAGCCACCAAGCGCGGTCAGCCTCGGGATTATACTCTAGACTCACCCAACACCAAACGTCGCGTTGATACTGTCACGTCTGTTCAGTAGCATGGCCGAACTGTGTAGGTGAGCCCGTCTTACACCTCTGTGTTTGATCCCGGAGTGTACTGTTGATCTCCTCCTACCCATAGGTACGCGCTGCCCGTGTCTACCAAGACATTCGCGAACATTTGGTTGTCTCCCGCTTGGAAAGCGGTTGAATAGCGAAATTGCATTGTGGTCCAATAGTACCGCCAGACATACCAGCCACAACGACATCCACGTTTGTGTTCGTCAAAGTCCCAGAGGTCACGGTATCTGAATAATCTAGACACAGAGTTAGCCCTGGACGTACGCATCAACTGAGAGGTAAGCCACTGACTCAGCCCTGTTGAAAATCTGCTAGGCCTTCACCAAAAGCGTCGACCAATCGGTATTCTCGGGCACCTAGACTAAAGACAAATTATAGACGTACCGCAGAGTTGACATGCTAGGAATGAATACGGCGGCATTCACGTGGACATAAGCAGCGCTGCGGCGGCCTTGGTGCGAGCTTCGTATCCGTTCAGCATAACGTCGTCAACTCCTCGGGGATCGCGATCTGCACGCAGAGCCTGTCGAGCAAACCGTCAAGCATCATATACCTCACGGCATACTCAATCAAGATCAACACGAGCCGCGTATAGGCATCGTCATCCTGTTGTTCGGCGCAAGGGAGAGCCCGGACCGCCTCCTTTAAGCTCGTTCAGGATCGGATGTGAATATGTCACACAGATCGGGAAACTCTAAGCGGGCGTGTGCACAAGGTGCGGCGGCGGCGCCCCCATGGTGGCCTGTAGCTACCGCAGAAGTACTGAGTTGGTACTGGGTATGTACTCAATCCCCTGTGAGCATTGCTCTACAAGGCGAGTGTCACCTGACCGGGGGCAGTGAATCAACGAGCTGGAGACTCTGTAGACGTGAGGTACAATCCACCACTCACTCTGGGGTCAGAATATCCCACAGGCTGATCACTGGCGACCGGTAGCTCCTGATCGTCGGGCTTTTCAACCGAAGTCGCACCGCCAACTATGTAGGCATGGTATTCTTTGCCTTAAGTGTCCATAGTGTCCATGAAGAAGTGTAAGAAGTCCGAAAGAAGCAGTGTCTGGTGCGCAAGACAAGAGAGAGCACCGTCGTCTTACGCAAGGTGTGCAAAGCCGATGACTGTCCATTCCGGTCAGTGTGAGTCTCACATAGTTTTGATATGACGCGACACTTACGGTGGTTGTCCACTGTGGTACATCCACGCATGAGCGCAGGTGGTATTGGTTAGCGGGGGCGAAAAAAGACAGTAGAAATTCAACGCACTGTCATACGCCGAGTACGCATGTTCGAGGAACTTCTGGCCGAGAGTCAAGGCCGATGGGCCACCAGATCCAATCCAGGTGTGCGTCATCCCATCATCCGTGATGTTCAGCGACGGGTACAAGGTCTTCGGGACGATGTACCTGAACATCAACGTCAGCCATCACGCAACGCATGGAATAATTCACCGCTGGCGGCATGTGACGTACTGGTCCGCAGTGATGTTGAAGAGGAGGCTGCCGAGGCCGATCTCGAGCGGGGGTAGCTCGTCTGTGGTGGCGTTGCCCGGGAAGGTGATGCAGCCATTCAGGAGCGAAGAATCATCGATCGCCGCGCCCTGGATCATGTCGAGCATGTCGAAGAACTGGTCGCTGAACAGACCAGACTGGCGTCAGTGCGAGTACCGTGATACAGATGGTGGTACTTGCAAGGGAACGGTGACGGGAAGAACGCCGGTGTCGGTGCGTCCGTAGAGAGGCCCACTTGCGGTGAGATTGCCCCAACTGAAGCTCGAGACCTATACAGCCGAGAGCTTCAACAATTGCATGCGACTAAATAGATGTATCCGTACGTTGAACTCCCAGTGCAAGTTGTAAGGCGGTGTCTGGTTGAGCCACACGAGGTCTCCTGTCATGCAGGTGCCTTCAGTATGGTCAATATACTCCAACACGTATATGACACGTACCGTTAATCTTGCTCTCGTCGATGCCACCGAACGTGATCTGACCGACGCTCTCCGCGTTGTCGTCCAGGGGACCGACGTAGATCCCGAACACCGGCTCGTCGATCGTACCCTCCGACACCAAGTTCTCCACGAAGGTCGACGTCGTGTTGCTTCCGCTGACCTCACCTTGGTTGGAGCCAGAGGGTCCGAGGCCGACTTCACGAGAGCAAGAAGATGAGAATCCAAGGAAGATCACGTGGAATTAAGGGATACGCACGGATACCGTCAATGGGCTTCTCGAGGGTGAAGCCATACATGTAGTCTGCGCTGCCGATGATCTGAGAGTTGACCGTAGCAGAACCGACCGTGACACGGTCATTGTATGCGGTACCGTTGACACCGCCGACGCCGTAGCTAGCAAGAATTAGGTGATTATCGAGGGGAAGGTACAATGCGACTCACCCAACGCTGAAGGTATCATTTGTGCTGGTATGCAAGGAGATGAAACTCGTCGTCGCAGCACAGCAGAGATGACATGCTCACACTTGGGTGTATTGTCCAGGCTGGTACGCGTCCAAGGCACCAACCCAGAGGATGGCACTTCCCGTATCCACCAGCACCTCACTGAACGTCTGCTCGTCGCCAGCTTGCACTGCGTGGCGCACACACGGGTATGAGAACGAGGGAGTCAAACAGAACTTGCTGAGACGCACCGGGAACGACGATTTTGAGAGCCGCATTGGTCGCGGGCGCTGAAGGGTCTGTTCAAGGTGACAATCGCTCCATGTCAATCATCACATCCTTGACTGCCCACGCCAGCGGCTCCTACCTGACGACGACGAGAAGCCAGCCAAGTAGGGACTTCGAGAGACTGTTGTCAACTTGTGTGGATCGTCATGAGAAACAGACAGGAAACGTACGCGAGGGAAGACTTCGTAGAAACATTGAACGTATTCGCAGCCTTCACAAGCGGGGCGCCCAGCAGAGCTGCTGCAGCCGCACGCTTCAATCCTCCCTGGTATCTTTTGAACATTCTTTGTCCTGTACTAGTGAACGTCGGCAGTCGAACGAGTGTGGGCTGCGAGGCGTTGAGGCCTCACGAAGGGTATGAGATGGGGGTAACGGTGATCGTCAGGGTGCCGGGATGAAAGCTGGACAGATTCATTTAAGTCGTGTGCGACCGTGTATATAACACTTTGTCCGATGATCATTCATCACGCGGGCGGTCGTAAGGAGATCCACCTTCCTCGACGTCGGGATTAGAACCAAGACCAAGTTATTGCGGGCGCCTGCTGCGTCACCGCGCGGACATTTGTGGCTTCTGAGATGGTCTCTACGCCCCGAACATATGTTTGTGTTCGAACTTGGTTCAAACGGCCTTCTGCTGAGGCCTTGAGGCCTTCGGCTTTGAGGAGGCCGTAGATGAAGTCAAGGGGTCTCCCCATGCACTGAACCCTTACATCGTGAGTTACATGGGACCGCCAGTTGCTTATGCTTGGCAAATGGGGCCGGGCAACCCAACTTCACATTTTGTCCTACGATTTGATTGCAATATCAAAATCTTGCACAAGATAGCAGGCCATACCTGTGCAATGCCCACGACTGTCTGAGTCTATTGGAGCTGCGAACCGAAGGGTCGACCCGCACCGAAGATGTCTCCCGCAAGATTCAAGATGCCAACACACAGTAGAAGAACTACGCTGCAGCGGGCAGCTTTCATCCAACCCATCCATGGACGGCCAACTTCAATCGAGCACTCCCTGCGGAATCCCTGAACTGGGTAGAGCCCAGTTAACCTTCGGTACCATATGGAATCGGAAGAGGAGCTAGCCAGGTTTGTGAAAAAATGACTGTATTCGTGGAACATACTATAAACTACTGCAACAGAATGTCGGCCCTCCCCAACGCAGAGACTCATCCTTCCAATCCACCGCCGTATCATCATGAGCACCAGCCGAAGCGATGCCTCCAAGACAGCGGACGAATCAGTCAAACAGACGAACCCCAGACGGCAGAGAAGTAGCCCCGGCACCTCCTGAGAGGCACCGTCTTTTCGTTCTAGAGGACTGGAACGCGGACAAGGAGACGGAAGAGTAACCACCGAGCCCGAACTTTTGTGTCCCCATGGATTTGTTCGAAGTTTTCAGGACGCGCAGACGCGCGTTATAAGGCCACCGCAACGCGTACGTAAGCAGTTCCCACCGCGTTGACCGGGCTTCGAGCACGTGTTATCGAATCCCCGGACGCACTTGACGCTGCCCCGCACGGAGCGACAACCGTATATCAGGGTCTACTTGCGACTCTCGCGTTCTCGCTGTCCCATCTCGCTGGCTGACGCGTCTTTAGTGCTGGATATTTGTCTGGAAAGACGTACCACTTCACTCCGGAATTCGCAGAATGTCTAGGCCGTCGAAAGCGCTCACTCTTGCTCGCATCGAAGACCTGACCCTCGGGTCGTTTGCGCTGGTGCCGACGTCGGAAACGTTGAGCCATCTCGTGCGATATTTGAGTACATGGAGTGGAAGCGAGTCAGTTCGCCATTTTCTGCTACCAGATTTTAACTAACACGGTCACGCTACTCAGTAAACTGTTCATGGTCGGTGCACATTCACCTTCCTGGTCCCCTTTGCAACCATGTATTGATGTGGACACGCATACAGCTCCTTGAATATACCTTGAAGCTTACTGTCCCGTTCTTGTACTTCCGTGCTCGTATGCAACATCGTGCAGGGACGAGAACTACCCCTGTCAGTACCGCAGCGACAGGCATGTCCAAGCTAGCAAGCCTTGCTGGTGACGCAAGAATGTTGTTCCGATTGTGGGGTTCGTCCTCCTTACTCTTGTCACGATTGTATGCGCGCTGTGTACGGATTGTGTTCACAGTATCTTGAGACACAGCATGCATTCTGCATCTGCGCGCACAACTTGCAGCGAGAATATAATCGTCGAGCACTCACCACCTCGTACTCCACAGGTCTCCTACCGATTGTCCAATGGCTCACCGGGATCGAGCGTAGCCCCCCTCCGACGCGCAAACTGCTCACCATCGAGCGACTTCAGGGCTGGGCGATGATCGCATACTACCCGCTCGAGCACACATACTACATGCTCGCGCACGACATCATCCCCGCCACGATGTCCCTCCCAACGCTCGCCTCGCTGCTGCCGTTCGTCGCCCCCAAGCCCAGCGGGAGGCTCGTCACGCTGAACAAGGGCGCGTTCGCGCTGTGGTCGTGCCGCTTCTGGGCGGCGTATATCTTCCTGCAATTCGTGCACCTCAAAGAGGACTATAACCTGTTGAAGATGCGCGAGAGATCGGTGAGCAAGTCCAAGGTCAGTCATCTTGCCCTCCAAAGCTCGGTGCGACTGAAAGATAACGCTTCCCAGCAGGCTATCTCCTACCCTGCGGAGAAGGAGGAGCTCCGGAAGAGGTGGGACGCGTTTTGGGGCGAAGTTGTCGTGAACGCGGGTTACCTACCTCAAGCCCTTCATTGGTGCGTGGCAGGCATTCCTCCAATTGATTTGAAATGTGTCGCTCGTTGTCCGTGGAGATGGTGTTCACGCTGCCACACACGCTGTTTTGCCCACACTCGGACCAGGTGGTTTTGCCATCCAGCTTGCCTCCTGAGGACATCTGGTTCGATTGTCTCCGCATGCGCTCAGGATAGGATTGCGGCCTCGAGTCGTTGCGCACATACGCTCTTCGATGAACGTCGCAAACCCAGCGCTCGTCCGGAGGAGATGGTCATCTGGAGCTCTTGTTGAGAGCCTTCGGTGGTTTCGGGTATCGTCTTCAGCACAGCTGACTTGGGGTCCGTTGCGGCTCTTCACCATCATCTTAAGATGAACGGTGTCTTTCAAGCCGTCACCTTTTATCGTGCGACCGCCACCTGTAGCGTGCCACTGGTCGGATTATACCCCGGCCCCAACGTAGCCATTGGGACCATTTCCTCTTGACCGCGGTAGTGTCCTTGTACACGTCCGCGAACCTCGTGTTTGTCACCGATGTCGTACGGCTAGCTTTGGTGGCACTCCCATTGGGGCTCTGGCTGGCGTATTACCCACACTTCCGGCATGCTCTTCCATGAAACCGGCCACATTCCGCGTCTTTGCATCGGGCTGTGCATCACTATCCGTTCCTCGCGTTCATTTGTCACGAACCGCGTCAAGGTGGCGTCTGGCGATCTTCTTCATGTCATAACCTTTCCGTAGGGAACGTCCTATGCCCCTTCTGGGGTCTCAACGTCCCTCGATATAGACGAGGCTGTGCACACGTGATGCCGTTCAGTGCTTGTTCGTTCGCCCGTTATCCACCTTGACTCCGGCTGCGCCAAATGAGACGGCGAATGCGGTCGGCTTGAAGGTTCACTGGGGCGCACGGGCGTCCGGACGAGGCTGTACAGGTACTTCCATCATCTAGAATGCCCCCTGCCGACCCGTACCACGACTAAACCGCGCCGAAGACACGCTCTCTGTGGACTAACTCTCGTCGAACTCGAAGCAGACGATGAGAATGTTTGGTCATCGTTCCGCAGGGTCTCCGCGAGGGTTGCGAGCGCGATGGACAACTGTTCGCTCGTTCAGCTTGCGTTTCCCGTTGCCGTCGCACTGCGTGCTCGCGAAGGGCTTTGGATTATGGCCGGACGTCAGAGCTTGCGGAACGTCGTTGGGATGTGGTCGTACGGGGCTCAAAGTGGGATGCCGTCCCGCGCTAGGGAAGTGGCCAAGAAGCCGTGTCATATCGCGTGTCTCTTACTATCCGCCCTTCATGCTGCCTCATTTCTCTGTCCAGTGCTGTCATGGGACATGCCCAAGCGGTCGTTATCGCACTGATTCATTGAGCATGAACCCTGACAGCCGTCTTGAGGCTTTGTATACGGCTTCAGACCCCTTCCACTTCTTTGCCTCAAAGTTCAGAATTGTGGAAAGCTTCAATCATAATGGTGCCCAGAAGAAACTATACTGACATTGAACGTGTCTTCATAGGTCATTGGAGATGGGCCTCTTCCAGAACGACGTGAGCTCGCTTCATCCTTTCTCATATGCCCGTCACGAAGGAATTGCGGCCTCGGCATGCAGCTTTCTGGAATAACAGACGGCGCGTCGCCGTTGTTGCTGGCGCTGGCTTAATCCTTCCTCCGTCATGCTGAGCCGCCTCACTCACGCGCTCGTTACAGGCATGGATCAACGTGTTCGGCTTGATAGCTGGCCTAGCAGCTTGGCGAAACGGCTGGAAGGCCACTGCATTGCCTTCTGCGCCAGCTGATGGTCCGGCTGCTGTCCCGGAGCTCGATGAGAAGGCACCAGTCGAACCAGGCGCGGTCGATACGCCGTTGGACCTCGACATTCAGGCTCCCATGCTGGACGAGATGTGACGGATGCGTGGTGTAATGGAGAATGGTGAGTGATGGTCCTACTGCGAAAGGCAAAGCACTGACTCGCGTCACCGGTAGGACTGCGTTCTTGCCTTTGTATTACTAGCACAGCCTATGCAGGATATTCACTGCTGTTGCTCTACTAGTGGAATTTGCTTATGTCTTTCACTTCATACAAAGGACAATGAATCCAATGTACGTTGATCTGTTCGCTAACAACCTTCCGAATCGAATCACGTCATTTGCAGCGAACAGCACTCGTGTGTGCTGTTCTTGGAGCCTTCTCACTGTTTGTCGCAGGTGATTCAAACCGGTGTCTTGACTGAAACTACATCGGGCCTGATTCGTCTGACGGCGGTCTCGTTTGCCTTCGACTTGTAATCGTGCCGGCGACTGCGCAATGTCCTTATCTATGATGCTGCGCTATGAGTACATGACACCGATTCGCACATCGATTGCGCCGGACGCCTCAGGCTGCCCAGCAAGCCACTCTGACGCGTTGGCACAAGCGAGCTCTCTTCTGGTATGGTTTCGAGCGCTAGCGTTTGTAGCTTGCTCACTTCACTGCAGCGCTGCGTCGCCCATGAATCGAGTCAAAAGACGTGCTGGCGCTAACAAGACGGGCTTCATTGTACGGTAATGTCCGTGTCGGAACCGCTGTCAGACTCCAGTCGTTCCTCATCCTGATCAAGTTGACATAGTAAATGTAAAGACGCCTGATGGGCTGTCAACGTACAGACCATATCCGCTGTTTGAGCCACACCGCCGCTGTACATGTACAGGTGAGCCGCATTAAGCTTAAGCAGCCCGTGCTGAGCAGCTTAATGCGTCCTTAGTAACGATTTCAGCTTTGTTAGATCGTTGCTAGGAGGTTGCCAGCGCACAGGCGAGTCCTGGGTACGGAAGTTGTCATCAACGGCAGACTCAGAGACATAACCCTAGTATGACGTGGGACCATCTCTCACCTCGCACCGTTGGTGCCGGTGATAGGAAATGTGGGTTCTGAGAGTCACTGGCAAGGGGCATTGTCACCTCTATATAGGAGTTGTGTAGTGAGCCGATTTGTCTCTGGGCAGGCAATCTTCCATAGGCTGACGTCCTCGACAATGCACGACTCGGAACGTCATGTCAGTTGTAGTGATGGAGGTCTAGAGACCGTCGACGAAGTCAGGTTGTGGCGTGCGCGCGAACTGGGGCGTACGTCAATCCAGGCATTGCAACTGCAGCAGTATATTCATGAGAACTACCCAGGCTACGTGTGCATCGATCACTTGGCAAGCTACAACACCAGAGCATCCTCAGTATGCGGATGAATAGTGGTCAACCTCGCCAGAAACTCGGCCCGCATCATTCAGAATCCTCGCCGCTCAGTTCAGCCCATCTACGGTTCACTGGCAGGAAGGCTGTGCAGAGAAGCTTGTGCTAATTGAGTGGTGCCCGGGAAGCTTTCACTTCTCCCGCGTATCTCACTTGCTACGTATAGATAGTCCGACGATTTATGCATAGAAGGGCCCGAGCGGCTGGAAGGTTGTAGACCTCCATTCCGGATTTCCTTCGCTGCGAGTGTTCGGCCTGCTGCTAGTTGAGTCAGGATTCGGCGCAATATGAATTGCTTCACTGCTCCATCCTTTAGTACGAAGACTGCCGGACTGCCTGCTCAGCTTTGAGCACGCTTTGACCGCAATTGCCCGAGACTCTGTGCGGCACAGATCATAATGTGGTTCAAGACGGGAACCAAGTACGTACCCCGAGTCGTGCGGAAGGCGGTACGGCCTAGGAACACGACTAATACGATGATCAGGGACTGCGTTGGGTGTCTCACACCAGAATCGGTCTCTCACATGAAGGAACTCAGCTTGCAGGCTGATACGTGGGCCCAAGTTCTGGCTTGTTACGACCCGAATCGTGCTGGATGTAAACAGTGTAGAGCCTGAGCATGGGACCAGACCCTAGCCATGGGCGGCGCCGGCGCAGCAAAAATAGGAGCCAGATACGCTGTGACGGTCCCGAACATCGAGTGCGGAAAGGCAGTGGATTATTGCGAAGAGGTGCCGTCCATGGGCAAAACTCCCCATAAGCTTACTTCCGAGACGATGGAATTGAAATCCGGGACCCTTGTGGAAACCGACGGATCGGTGTCCAGGCTGCTGTATTGTGGGTTACGTCGGCGCAGTCTTGAACAGACGATGCGAATTTGCAGCCGCGTGCATTCATAGTCAAAGGCTATGCTCGAGCTGGGCCAAACATAGCAGCGGCGGAACAACAGCATCATAAGTTGAGTTGAATGCACCAAGACACGTCGAATTGATGCTCGCCTACCGTAAGGAGCACACACGACTACACCAACCTACATACATGTGGGGTACCCTGGTCAGCTGCAGTGCGTCTCTGACTCGGAGTACATGGCACACCCACTGCCCTGAACCTGCCTTCGGACCTGTGAGCAAATAGCCTCCGAGTCGAGCGCAGCGCCGCTGGAGCGAGGCTATGCTAAATGTTTACCAAAGACATTGACCGGGCGCGGAGCCGCCGCGGATGGGTTCGTGCTCCTTGACTGCCCTCCTGGGAATGGAGCGAAGCCGGGAGCAAAATGCATGAACCTTCCCGGAGTAGTGTTCGACCTCATGCTAAGGAGCACGGTCTGCCTGAAATGGGCACGAAGTCGTGTGTATTGGCATGCTCCGAACGTCCAAATAGCAGGCAATATTTCTTGTTTTAGGACACTACTGCCCGCTGAGCAGCATTGATGCCATGGGGTTGTTCTTGGGAGCGGTGAGCAGAACATACGCACCGCAACGCGCATCCTGTCTTGGTCCTGTCACACGCCGATGTCAGCTTCCTAAAAATGCTGAAGACCCTTCAATGGGTGCTTACCCCTGGAGCACAGCCTTGCGCGGGTCGCCGTGACTGCTGCGCAGCATCGCAAGTCGGAACGCGCGTCGCGTCAAATGCGGCATTACGCTGAAGGAAGTCCCGAGTTCATAATGCTGTGCTTCTGGCTGAGTGTTAGCCCTACCCTGAGGGGCGCTCTCAGCGCATCCTACGCGGCATTCGCGGAAGTTGTTGACGGACTGCTGCGCGTTACCAAGCCTATGCGCGGGGAGGGGCGTTCAGCGGACATGACAGTGGCGGTCTGACGTATATTTTGAAATACCTGCGACAGTCAAGCGGTTTGACAACATAATTAAAGTAGTAGGCTATTTAGACCGGTCAACTCCCTGCGTGTGAAGCGAACACCCACAACGGGTATGAGTCGGGTGCTGGCGACTGAGGAATAAACACTGCACTTCAATGAACGGTGAGTACGCCGCTCCAGACTTGAATGGACCAGGAGGAAAGCGAGAATTGGATCGAAGCGCGGGATTGGTCATGGCATTCTCGTCATCTTTAAGCGACGGCGGCGACGGGACGGATGCATCCGCGGATGTGTCGCGAACGTCAGTACTAGTACCACGTTGTATACTGCTGCGGGAAACAGGTGGATGCGGACATCCCGCCGGCGCCAACCATATTGGTACACGTCAGAATGCGGGGCAGCCCGCCATCAAATCGAAGCATCACAGGCGCCGGCGGCCCGCCCCGAGCACCACCGCCGATCATATGCATGTTTGTCGTGTACCGCGCTCTGGCACCGATCGCGGCGGCAGGACTGAATCGCGGGCGAGACAAAGGCGAGAACAACCGGGGCGCAGAAGTCTTCGTTCGTTCATATGACGTGGACGTGAGATGCGCCCGTGACGGATGCATGCTGTGGCCCTAATGCGGAAGGTCACTTACTGCAAATGGCAGCTTTGCGCAGAAGCACCTCGTCGATCGACATCCATCAGCGCGCGCTGGGAATCTTTCATCTCTGGCATGATCGAGGACTGTATTATGTATACGTAACTCACAGGAATGTGCATCGTATGGCGTGTCTGCCATATAAGGGGTTCGTTGGCCTCCAGCCCGCGACGAACATTCCTCTGCTACTGCCCCATCGTCGATATTCGTGCTGTCCTTCCATAGAGATCTGTACAACAGTGTCATCATCTCTGAGCTATGCATCGCTGCCAAAAACCAAGCCCGATATCCAGGAAGACGAAGTAATGGGGTACCTAGTCGACAACCAATTGAAGTCGACGGATGCAAGCAAGACACCAACGTACCCAAAACGTACCGGGTATGTTTCCGACACGATCTTACCCTCTCGTCAGCTATCCGGACCGGCCGTGTGCAACTCAAGTGAGACTCCTCCGATGGGCGATGCACACTGTCGGTGCTACATCATGATCATGATACCATCGGTACGGCTTCCACCTAGACGAGAATCTTTAGCTTGTATACGATCAGTTCGAAGAGTGGGTCTCGACGTGATTCAGAAGATGCCAACTGAAGCGAGCAGGTATGCAAGTCGGTTGGCGGTACTACTACTACTAGTACCGAAGACGATGATGTAGCATCTAGCGTAGGTCCCAAGTGATTTCCGCTCCCGCGCATGACACGGTTGTGACCTACGCCAAGCAGGCGAAGCCTTGAGGGGCGACTGCGAGGATCTGGATAATAATCAGGGCAGCCAAGAATAACATGACCACGTACGCCGCCGGGATCCGGGATGACGAGGCCCGATTGGTGGCTTCCACTATTGCAGAGTATGATGTGCGTCGTGTACGCCTGAGTGCATCACTGTGGTTTCAGGCGCGCTGAGTGGGTGGGTAGTACATTCCCCGTCAGGATCCTTGCCCGGACATGCACAGGAATACGGGCAGCGCAGCGGGTGAGAACATTCCTCTGCGTGAGATGCCCGATGCCTACGGTACCAGCCGTTTCGGGTATCTCCAACGAGCGGTGGCAACGCAGCATAGGCGCCTGATCGCCTATTGCCACATAACAAGGCGCATCAGGACGGCGATCCTCTAACTTAGGAGGAGTAGAACACACACCAGGACGGAAAGAATGTGGACAGCCAGGGGTGGGTTCGGAGAACCACATAGGATGCACGGTAAGATCGGTATCTCGATCGCACTGCGGGCGCATCAGCGTCGGCGCTCTGAGGGCGGGCGCTGGAAGCACGCCTGTCGTCATCTCGAATCGCCTCAACTCACCAACGAGGCCGCCTGCTCTCCCCCATGCACGTGCTGGCCCCCACGTCGGGGCGAGGCAGGCAGGAGTAGCCCTGGTAGCGACGCAGGCCCGGATGCAGGCCTCATGAACATGGCATGACGTCGCGGGCACGAGCTAGGGACGAAGACAGCTACCGCAGACCACGAAGCCTCCGAGATGATCGACTCATGACTATTGCGAGGTTCGTCGAAGCAGATCCCTTATCTGCGACGGCGCATGGGCCGCCTGTCTCATACCCCAGACTTCTGCTTCATTGTGTGCCCGGGGCGTGTAGCCCACATGCCTGGACGGCGGAGCCCACGCAGCGAAGGAGACGATCGAGGCGGTGCATTGCAATTGAGTCGTGGACAATGTACACTCGGGATCCGCGCCACACTGGCACTAGGACATATGTAAGCAGGCCTGCGGCGGAACTCTGTGTATCAACGGATCGTCCCAGTGGACGCGCACCCTCATAGATAAGTGGACGGATGGCATCGATTGGGGCAAGTGCAAGGACCGGTGTACTTACCTTGGACAGGGGTGGCCTGCGGGCAGCCAAGGGACGCAGCCTCGAAGACAGCAGCAGCTGGGCACCACACGTCAAATACAACCGCGCTCTGGCCCACCAAGGGGGTGGAGGGGTGGGGCGTCGCGCCCGTCTCAAGACCGACAAGTCGAACTGGATTATCCAGGCACTGGCGAAAGAACAGCATCAAGTAGAGGAGGTGTTCTATGCTGAGGCAGAGTGTCAAGGAGAAAAGTGTGAATAAAGCGATGCTGGCCGTCTGCTCGGCAGCATGATACATACAGGGATGCGCAGCGCCCGAATGGGACCCGGACGCGTCGAGGCTTGAGAACCACCTGAGAAGTGCCACTTGGTTGAAAGGAAGGGGCGGACAATGGGAACTGACGAGACGCGGCCAGAGCGAGGAGGCAACAAAGAACAAACGTTGTCGACGGGACGGGGCAGCCCACGCGGAAGCATCTGAACGCTGTGCCCGGGAGCTACGGCTTTTGGATGTCTCGCAGGTGCCGCGAGCGCCGGGCCGATAGAGCGCCTGACAAGCCACTCGGCGGCGGGCGGTGCGCCGCTGCTGTCCCGCCCAGTCCGCCCAGCGCTGCGCCTGGCGGCGACTCGCTGGGCGCAAACAGGCTGGGACAGCCCGCAGGGTGCGGAGGCGTAGCATAGCCAGAAGGGGCGAGCTGAGTCGAGCTGGACAGGCGGGCTCCGGTGGCGCGGAGAAAGGCTTGGCAGATCTGGTTCCCGATTGGAGGAGGCAGTGTCCAACTTCCAGGGAGAAAGGTCGCGGAAGCCGTTGTAACGTTGAAATAGCACGCCGGCCTCAAGGTGCGCTCCTTTCCAGCCATCCGCCTCTATGAGTCTCCTGTCCTCCGCTTTCTACTCTCTCCCATCCGTGTCTACCGTCTCCGCACAATGTCTCAGCCCGACAGTAGCAGGCCAGAAATCCCCAGCATCGTCACCACCGACCTCTCGTCCAACACCAACCTCTCTTCCGGAGTAGACGACCAGCACGTAGAGCTCGACGTGCAACCGCCCACTCCGACCGGCCAGCAATTTTTGAGCGCGTCTCCCACCTACCTCTCGCCGTCTGGCAGGCGTCCTTCTGTTACGGGCCAGTCCTCTCTCGACGCGCCCTATTCGCCCACCGCCACCGTCTCGCCCACCCTCGGCCAGCGCTCTCCCTCCCCGTCCTACGCGGGATCCATCTCCGGCTCGTCTCAGCATGTCCCTCCAAGCCCGACACTGTCTGCGCACTCAAGCGTGCACTTCGCGAGCTCGCTGGCGCTGCGCGACAACAAGCCCGAACAAAGGGACGGCATCTCCTCGCTCGGCCTGCTCACCCCGAACGCGGGCTACAAGCACCGGCGCAAGGGCAGCGTCGCGAGCAGCGTCGGGTCAGACGGCACCGAGCCAGACGTGCAGCTCTCGGAGTACGGCATGGTAAGCGTCATCAGCCCGCGCCACGACGACGAGTACAAGTCCGCGAGCATCCCACCGAGCCCGACGCACACGCACTTCGACGGGGCGAGCGTGAATGGCGCCGCGAGCGAGTTTGACGGCACCACGATGCGCTCGCGCAGCGGGTCGGCACACAGCCGGGCCAAGCTCATCTCGCCACAGCCTCCCGACGACCAGGATCCGAAGGCGTCGTCGAAGAAAGGGAAGAATGTGAACGGCGGCGACGGCGAGGACCAGCCAGACGACAAAGACTCGCCGCGGCCGGCACTGGACCTCTCCGCGGATGACGCGCTCGACGCGGGGCCTTTCGCGTTTAAGCCCTTCAGACTCGCGTCGCTTGTGGATCCCAAGTCCCTGTCCTCGTTGGAGCAGATGGGCGGTATCGAAGGCCTGCTGAGGGGCCTCGGGACGCATGCGAAGCAGGGGCTTTCCGCCGTTGCTATCACAGAGGCGACAGACTCGAAGCCAGGTATAAGTGCCGGTGAGGGTGAGGGTGCGGGACAGCGCCACGACCGACCACAGGAAGATTCGGGGCGACCTCAGTCCGGTGAAACCGAGGAGGAAGTCGTCCCGGGCATCGTTGTGACAGGTCCGGGCAGTGAGGTTGACGTTACCCGAAAGTCGAATTTGGCGGACAACCAAAGCGACGACGAGGTGGGCGAGAAGGCATATGATGCCTCGATGGATGAGCGACGACGCGTTTTCGGTGCGAACGTCCTCCCGACACGCAAGACAAAATCGCTGCTGCAGCTGATGTGGCTCGCGCTGAAGGACAAGGTCCTGGTACGTACTGCTTCTCGTGCTCGGTCTGATGATCAGGGCTTCTTACCGGTTGTGTTGCGTTGTCCAGGTCTTGTTGAGCATCGCTGCTGTCGTGTCTCTTGCACTCGGTTTCTTCCAAGACTTCGGCACACCAAGGCCCGCCGGCGAGCCTCCAGTCGACTGGGTCGAAGGTGTTGCGATTATTGTTGCTATCCTCATTGTCGTGCGTACTCGTTTCCTGGCGCTGATTTCATTCTTGCTCACCTTCCATACACGTTGTGCCGCGGCATCCCCCGACGTCTATTATTGGACTGCGTTGGCGCCCATAGGTCCTTGTTGGCTCGGTGAACGACTGGCAAAAGGAACGTCAATTTCAAACCCTCAACGAGAAGAAAGAGGAACGTGGTGTCAAGGTTATTCGCGCAGGCAACGAGCGCGTCGTTGACGTTCACGAAGTCGTCGTCGGCGACGTCGCGATTCTCGAACCGGGCGAGATCATACCGTGCGACGGCGTTTTCCTCGGTGGCCACAATGTCCGATGCGATGAGAGCGGTGCGACCGGCGAAAGCGACGCGATCCGGAAGATCGACTACGAGGAGGCACTCCGTGCGCGAGACGGACACAGCGAACACGGCTCGCACGCGGACTGTTTCATGGTCAGCGGGAGCAAGGTGCTTGAGGGTTATGGGAGCTATGTTGTGATCGCTGTTGGTCCCAAGAGCTTCAATGGGCGTATCATGATGGGTGCGTGTTTAGTCTTCTATGCCCGCTCGTCTGCACCCTATATCCTGCCCGCCCCCATCCTGCGCGCTTCGATCAACACGCACCCACGTGGTGACATACGCTGACCTATTTTTGTACTCGTCTAGCGCTCCGTGGCGACACGGAAGACACGCCCCTGCAGCTCAAGCTCAACGACCTCGCGGAGCTGATCGCGAAAGCGGGCAGTATCGCGGGGCTCGCGCTGTTTGTCGCGCTCATGATCCGGTTCTTCGTCCAGCTCGGCACGAACGACCCTGCGCGCACGGCGAACCAGAAGGGCATCGCGTTCGTCAATATCTTGATCATCTCGGTGACGTTGATCGTCGTGGCCGTTCCTGAAGGTGCGTGTTAGGCAGCTTAGCGAGGGAGTGAAAGCTGAGAGTACGAAGGGCTGCCATTGGCGGTGACGCTGGCGCTCGCGTTCGCCACGAAGCGAATGACGAAGGAGAACCTTCTGGTCCGCGTGCTCGGTTCCTGTGAGACGATGGCGAACGCCAGTGTGGTCTGCACCGACAAGACTGGTACGCTCACGCAGAACAGCATGACCATCGTCGCTGGCACCGTTGGCATCCACTGCAAGTTCGTCCGCAACCTCTCGGACAACAGGTCGCGCACGAACGCGGAGGGCGACCAGCAGACGCAAGACAGGCAAGCGGAGGACGTTCTCCAGGGCGCCCGTCCGACGAACGGCAAGAGGAAGCACTCCCAGGACTTCTCGATCGATCAGAGCGAGATGAACAGGTTCCTCCATCCGGCGCTGCGTGAGCTCTTCAACGAGGCGATCGCGATCAACTCGACGGCCTTTGAGGACACGGATCCGGACACGAACGAACTGGTGTTCATCGGGAGCAAGACGGAGATGGCGCTGCTCAAGTTCGCGAAGGAGCTCGGCTGGGCGGACTACAAGAAGACGCGCGAGGCCGCGGACATCGTGCAGATGATCCCGTTCTCGAGCTCGCGCAAGGCGATGGGCGTCGTCGTCAAGCTGGGCGACGGCAGGTGCCGCTTGTACCTCAAGGGCGCGAGCGAGATCCTCGCGCGCAAGTGCACGAGCTACGTCACCGTGACGCGGGGCGGGGACGCCAGTGAGTCGGCCGGTGTCGAGACGAGGGAGATCGACGACCTGGCGAGGGATAATGTGTCACGGACGATCATCTTCTATGCGAACCAGACGCTGAGAGCGATCACGCTGTGTTATCGTGACTTCGAATCCTGGCCGCCTGCAGGTGCGTCGTATACTGCGGATGACGAGGTAAGTTGGTCACTCCTCGTTCCCTCTGCATCGCTCAGGTTTCTCTGCTAGGTCGAGTACGAAGATTTGGCCCGGGATTTGACTCTCATCGCGATCACGGGCATCGAGGACCCTCTGCGAGAAGGTGTCCGTGAAGCTGTCGCGGACTGCTTCAAGGCTGGCGTTACTGTGAAAATGTGCACTGGGGATAACGTACTCACGGCACGCTCTATCGCGCTTCAATGCGGCATCTTCTCTGAGGGCGGCCTCATCATGGAGGGCCCTGTATTCCGGAAACTAAACGACCAAGAACTCCTGGAAGCTGTCCCGCGGTTGCAAGTGCTTGCACGGTCATCTCCTGAGGACAAGAAGTTGCTCGTTGAGAAGCTGCGTGAGCTCGGCGAGATTGTCGGTGTCACTGGCGACGGTACGAACGACGGGCCTGCCCTCAAGACCGCGGACGTCGGCTTCTCTATGGGTATCGCGGGCACGGAAGTTGCGAAGGAGGCGTCCGACATTATCCTCATGGACGACAACTTCGCGTCGATCGTGAAGGCGATCATGTGGGGTCGCTGCGTGAACGACGCGGTGCGCAAGTTCTTGCAGTTCCAGCTCTCGACGAACGTCACGGCCGTCGTGGTGACTTTTGTTTCGGCCGTTGCATCGGCGTCGGAGTCGTCTGTGCTCTCGGCGGTGCAGCTGCTGTGGATTAACATCATCATGGACACGTTCGCAGCGCTCGCTTTGGCTACGGACCCTGCATCTCCCGCGCTCTTGGACCGCAAGCCGGAAGGCAAGACCGCCCCGCTCTTCTCGGTCAACATGTACAAGCAGATCATCGGGCAGTCTGCGTACCAGATTCTGATCGTGTTGCTCTTCCACTTCTTGGGCGCCCAGATTTTGGGCTTCGACCCGAAATATAGCTCCACGGTTTCGCAAACTACGGTGTTCAATATCTTCGTGTTCGCACAGATCACGAACTCGGTGAACTGCCGGCGTCTGGACAACCGTCTGAATATCTTCGAGGGCATCACGCGGAATTACTACTTCATGGCGGTCACGCTCATCGGTTAGTGCATGCTGTGAGTTCCATTGGTCTGACGTCGCTGACGGTCTCGTTGACAGAGGTCGCCGTGCAAATCCTGATCGTCTTCGTCGGAGGTGCTGCATTCAGCGTCACGCGCATCGGCGGCGCTGAATGGGGTATCAGTCTGGCTCTAGGCCTCGTCTCCATTCCTCTAGGGGCCCTCATTCGCTGCATCCCCAACGAGCCGGTCGAACGGCTGTTGAAGGCCCTGCATATTATGTCGAATCCGGCGGTTCTCCCGACGACGCGCACCGATGGCGACTGGAACACTGCGATTGAACTCGTGCGGGATAATCTCAACACGTTCGCGCATGTTCGCGGTGGTCGTATGCGTGCGTCGTCCTACGTGGACAGGAGTCGCAAAGCCCGTCCGCTTCCTGAGACTGAACTCGGCTTGTACGTTCTCTTCCTTCACGTGTTTCCATGCATCTGCTAAGTGCGAGTCAGGCCATCTATTATGACCATGGTCCCGACGCTGATTGCGTCATCCATTGGACGGGCACCATTGAGCCCCAACGGGCTTGCCGACCCGACACAGTTCGACCCCTCGAAATCCTCAGCTGCGCTGTGGGAGGGCAGGATCCAAGTACACCCAGACACGAAGCCCGATGACCCCACCCGCCAACGGTGGGAGAACGAACCTAGTCCTTGCTAATTGCGCGCTACCTCATGATCACGACCCGCCCATGTGTACGATATTGTACCGATGCTGAACATTCGCGACGCAACGCTATCCTACAACCGCCTAGTCCTCTCCTGTCTTGTCGATGCATGACCACCCCCACGAACGTACCATACCCCCGCAACACTGTTGTCATATACATACGTATCCCCAGCCTTATTCATCACAGGCTGCTAAGAGACGTCGACAGCTCCGATTCCTGCTCCTTGATCTTCCACATGTCGCATATTCACTGCATATTTCCATCACATCCAGACGGACATTGGCCGTCGTTAACTCGCTTAGACGCTACAATCCATGACTGTACGCCTTACATTTCTACTTCAGCATGCCAATAGATACGTTACTGAATAAATAACACCCATGTCTTGTGATCCTCAAAGCAGTTCGTCGCGCATATCGATTGTTCAGTCCTCATTTTCCTGCAAGAATTCATCTAAGCAATGAGGTGCGTCTTAGGAAATAAGGCCAGGCTGACTACTATGCAACTAAGTAGGATTTAGACTTCGCCACGTCCGTGAGGTCGAACCGTTCACTCAGACAACCAGTGCCTCGGATAATTTCCTGTCCCCACTCTGTTATGTCCACTGCGACACGTGAAACTGCTCGTGTCTGCGGCGGTTTCCAGAGGACAGTGGCAGCTGGACATGAGAACGCCCATCGAAGATGGAGTAATGTCTCTATTAGGCTTGCATTTCAATCTCGTACATCGATCTTCTTGGACTCAACGAGACATGGGACACTCGTTCTCAAAGCTGGGCGATACGGTCGGTATTGAGTCGAAGTGACTGCCCATCTTCGGACTGCTTCAATAAACCGAGTTTCTTCCACAGTTCGCTCCCGTAATTCTCCGCTCGCATCCAGCTCTCCAGATTGTGTCCGTTCGGATTCACCTTCCGTATCCACTCCCAGTCGCGCTTGATCAACTCGTCGCGATACAGCGCCCACCACCTCGTCCAGTTCTGCCTCCACGTTGTCGACCCGTCACCGGGCGTGCGATCGGCCGCGAGGGGCCTGTCAACGCCCACGAAGTTGTCGCACCAGTCGTCGCTTGACTGGTAGACGACCTCCGCCTTTTGGCCTGTCACTTTCTCGAAAGTCGTCCTGAGGTACTCCCAGTCGACCCAGTCGGAGCCGATCTTCAGGTCGGCGGTGGAGGTAAGCTTACGGTTGTCAAAGGTATAGCGGGCGAAGAAGCCAAAGTCGGAGAGAGCGATCATGGGGACGGAGCCTTCGCCGATGGGAGTAGCGAAGACAATGGTGCCATCGTCTCGCTTCTTCATTGGACCAAATACCATCTGAACCGGCATTAATTATTGTCGATGAACCGGTAATATGGAGAGCCTGGGCTTACGTTGTGCAGCATGTCCATGTACGGTCCAGAGGTGATGACAGACCACGACATATCAGTGTCACTGACCACCGATGGCTGGGATTTCATGAACTCATGAACCCTGCCCTTTCCGTTGTAGTGATCGGCTTGGTACTTGGGATCGTAGTCCGTCATCTGTCACTTGACGTCAGTTCATCTGTATCAGTTCCAGGACAACAGAAGGGTCGCACCCCGCCGATGTATTCTAGGTTGCTCCAGACGTAGTGCTTGACTCCGGCCTGCTTTGCCAGTTCGAAGATCCGGATGCCCGCCCAGGTCTCCGCCTCCTGGCCGATCGTGAAGCTGTCGGTGTTCACGAAGGCGCCGTACGCGCCCTGCAGGGCAGCAGCGACGGAGGCGAGGTCGTGCGTGCTCCCTGCCAAGTCAACGGTAGAAAGTCAGGACAGGGCTAACGCGATGGGAGTATCGGACAGACCTTTCTTGAGCTCGATACCCCTGGCGGCGAGTTCCTTTGCCCGTCGGCTGTCTGGGTTGCGAGTGAGTGCACGTATCGCGTACGGCGAAGGAGAGCCGTCTGCGCCCGGTGCGAGCAGTTTGTCGATGACGGCCATGCCCTGGCCACCGGTGGCACCGATGACAAGGATGAGCTTCTTTGTCGTGCTTGCTGCAGTGGGTGAAGACATGATCACAAGTGGATGTGAGGTATAGTGCTGATAGTAGAGGTTGTACGATCCAACTGACGGAGCCCCACCCTTATATACCTAGGGCAATGACTGCGCTTCTTGTCAGTCATGTAGCCGGGCTGAGTGTATCTCACCGAAGAGCTTATGCAGAAAATGCCATATTGAAAGGCGCCTTTGCCTTCTCCACCGATGAGCAGAGAAAGTGCAACGTCACCGACACCGATGCTCCGTATGCCAATCAGTCAGTCCGAGTCGGGCTTCGGGCCTGCATGACACAGCCGCTTACTTTAGTTCGCGAAATCCCCCGAAGCGCAATGCGTCTCTGATAACCCGGCGTATGCTGCGTGTGCGACTCGCGTGTCAGAGATAATCTGCTCACGTACCACAATACAATGACAACAGGCCACCGTTTCTCCGATGAAGCGCTCAGAGAGCCTTGAAGTGGCGTCTTACCGACAGTCGAAAGAAGACCTCGTTGATGCAATCCTGTAAGGTAAATTGATGCGATTTCATCTTGTACTTTCCTAGCAATGGCGCCGCGTTGTATTCCACCAGTGCGCTGCACGCTACGCTGCGATCGATCTTGTCATGCAGGTCGCGGTTGGACAAAAACGCTCCTCGTCGCGACACATAAGAGAAATGTCTCCAGGGGTGTAGTATCGAGTCACGGCATCAGAAAGGACCCCTGCTCTTGATAATTCCAGCCCAGCTCCGTCCAATGTAGCCTGCAAACGTCCCTGCGTCCTGTAGGGCCGATTCAACCTTCCCAGAGGAGTCTAGCAAACTCTCCAGAAAGTCATATACCGTGCTCGGCGAGTTCAGCTGGTGCAGTTCTGTCGATTTCATGAGCGAAAGCATGGCGGTGAGCCGCAGATATCACTGTACCTGCAGCAGCGTAGACGGCGCCTAGGGTGGCTCGTCGGCTGTACCAGGCAAGCTGTAAATCAAAGCATCAGACGACACAAAGTCTGAGAGAGAGAGCTGTACATACGCCGATATTATGCTCGCCAACGATGTGGCAAGCCTCGTCTGCAACGCTACCAGCGTGCTTCAAAGCAGGTAGAGGATCCAGAGGAGGCAGGCCGTTTGTTGGTGACGCCAGCAAAGCGAAAGCCTATGCAAAAGAGTTTTGATTCAGATGCAACATGTCTCCAAGTCTACGAACCTCACCTCCGGAAGGAACTGCAAGACTGGTTCGTTCTGCTTCAGCCGCTGAGTGAGAATAGCCTTGATCGTCGGCGAAGGTGACGCCCTCATGTGTTGACGAGCGTCTTCTAGCCATGCGTCGATTAGTGTCTTGCGTGCATCATTCCCCTCCCCGAACAGTGCTGTCACTGCAGAGTCAGACAACTGCTCTGAATGAGGCTTTGGGAGCCGAAAGACTGAGTGGCTGAGAGCTGCGCGGGTGAAACCGTAGGTCTGTACAAGCGGAATGGCCAGCTGGAGAAGCTGGGGCCTCCGGTGGAAGACTTCAGTCGGAAGCGTATAGCCGCAGATTTCGGCCTCACCTCGACATTGAAGAGGATCAGGGAGATGTCTGTGTCAAAATCTTTATAGTCGTACGTCCGAATGAGCCCGCGCCAACGGTTCTTGCCTTTCTGAGCAGATGATCTGGGCGTGGATCGCGGTAGTTAGGTAGGCGCTCGATGCCACTCGAAGCGTACATTGGGATGGAACTTGAGTATTACATTCTACCTCTACACGAGTATGAAGCTACAGCATTATCGATGGTACTCTACAAGCATATGCAAGATGTCCATTCAAAGGGCCGCAAGATACAGAATAGTGCATCAGTCCAGTGATCTACGGCTCAACAGCATGGTAATCTCGCGTCTTTCCTTGAGCCAGTCAGGGAAAGTCGCCTGGGTCCTGCTTTCACCTCCTTCCTTCATCTCAATGAGATAGTTGGCGAATACAATCAAGGTGCCATATCGATACCTGGGACAGATTAGTCAGACGCAAGGTACAACGAAGGTAAATCGAAACGTACAGGTAGTTGATGCCGATATCCATGAGTTTGCGCTGTTTGCTACTACCCTTCTCGCAGGCGTTCACTTTCAGCTTGTAGCTGGTCAGACGTCAGCGCATATTTATACTGATGAAACTGTGAATCCCGTACTCGTAAATGGCTTTCCGCAGATTCTGTACATCCTGCATCAAGTCGATAGCGCGGTCCGTAAGTCGTTTCGCCATCTTCCCGTGGGACAGTACGCTGACAAGTTGTAGGATTGTCTTGTACTCCCCTGCAGCAGCATGTATATATGAGGTTTTTCGATCAACCTGCACAAAGACGACATACCTTGCAAGTATGCCTCTTCTTCTGAAGGGCCATCAATGGAATCATAATGCCCCATGCGGTCACCGTTCTCGTCATCGACGGGAGACTCTAGCATCACGTCCTCAAGGTCGTGAACCCATCGTGTAGTTGTGGCGATGAGGCAAGCCGTGACCATGCCCGTACTGGTACGGCCACGACCCATCTGACAGTTGAATATAGAGTCGGCCGCTTCACCATCCTCGAGTCCAGCACGAACTCGTCCAAGGAGTTGAGCCAATGCAGCGGGAAGAGGAGCCTGCTCGTCCGTCTGAGGTGTGGGTGTTAGTGTTATATTGGTCTATGCTCAGCCTCAATATGCGCACCACTGCAACACGATCATAGTTGACCTTATGCGTGGTAATCATTAGCAACATAGTTAGATTTCGCAGCAAGACCCTCGAACTGACCTTGTAGCCTTCCCTCACAACCATGTTATAGACATCTCGTGGCGTCATGATATCCTCTTCGGTTACGTCTTCCCAGATTGGGATGATGGAGAAAACGCCAGGCCTTTCCTCGACCTCATCGTGAAGTAGGATGCGTCCGCAACCCGCTCGCACCTCGCGTATGACGTCCCTCTTGAGGTTCTCCTCCATCGCTTCTACCATCACTGTAGTGACCCCCGTAGCCCTGGGTGTGCATTTAGCCCTGTTACAAAACATTGGGAGAAGACACTTACTCGACGTTCTCCAAAGGCTTGTCGACGAGGCGTAGTACATGAGGTCTGCCCGCCACATAAATCACTGGTTCCTGCAACAAGTCGTGAATGTTCAACGCTGTCTCCTTGATCATTGTAGGAGAGCTACCTCGCGCAACGACGTCCAGTAAACCGAGTTATTGCCTCCCGGACCTGCATCTACACGGACAAGTGCATTCCGCAGTCTATATATGGATGAGACAGCTGTTGATTGCAATGTCCAACTCCGACTTACCCTTGCAGTGTGGGCATTCCGCTGAACGACAGTTGGTCACTCAGTTGGCTATCGCATGAGATCTCTAGGTCCTAACTCACCATCCGCATACCCATCTGTGATCGGCTGAGGTATTCACCGCAAAGTCAGTCTTGTCGGAAGGCGATGCTGACCCCGACGGTACAAGGCGTAGCGTGAGCGGCACCCTTCGGAAATTCGGGGCCCCTTCGATGCGTCTGCCCATGCCCTCTCAATCAGTCACGATCCTACACACGGTGTGCAAGTGATACGTACTCTGGAAGACTCATCTTCTGCAAGTTTGAGAAGAAGTCACTCTTGAGGATTGTCGACGCCGACAGGATACTTCCCGAGCGGTTGGCAACGATTCTCTGTACCTCATCCGGCAGTGCGACGCCTTCGGCAGCGTCGACACGTTCGAGTGGCTTCAGTGTGCTCATGTTGTCGGATGCCAGCTCCTTCTCGAAGGTCTTGATGACTAGGCATAACGTCAGTCAGTGGTTGCATCAACATAAGGGTCTGCGCACCGGGCCGATTTTCAACGAAAGTCTCGAAGCTCTCGAAGTTCTGCATGGTGTCGGGCTCTATGGACTGCAAATATGACTGGAAGACCATAAGCTCGAAGTACCGTCGTAGGTTCTGTAGTCCTATAATGTGGAGTATGCCATCAATATCATCCACAAAGAGTCCGTCGCGACCGGGGGTAAGGGTACAGACCTTTGTGAGCGAACTGTCTCCGCTGCCGCTCGTCCGTCGCCTGTTCCGCCCGTGCTCTTGCATCCTCGATGGAGTCCCGCAAATTGATCACTTCAGCGCATTGGTCGATCGCGTCGTCCACTGTGCTCTTCACAGCGGGACCCCTACGCACGACACGGAGAAGATCTAAACAGAGGTAAACGTGCTGAGCTAAGGTAGTTGACATGGACGTACTGTTGATCACTTGGTAGGACTGGCGCGGTCGATGTTGATCCACAGTACCGTCCACTGGCAAGATGGATACCGCTGACGGCAGTGAGCGAGTCGGCTTGCGGGGAGATTGAGACGAGTACTGTTCCGCCGCTTTGTTCAACCACTGTTGAATCAACAGAATGATGACCTGTGGAATAGCCAAGCTCATGAGAATCGCTGCCGACTCAACAGTATTCACCGTACCGCCGACATTGTGCTCCGCCCGCGTCCTAGCTGACAGTTGATGACAATAGGCGCCCTCGACGCGCTGTTGCGCACCGTCACGTCGATCAACTCACTGAGATCGCTGAAGTCCGGTGGCCGCTCAGCAGTGATCGGGATACGTGCGTAGGCGAGCTCCGTGCTGTCGTCGTTGTGCCTCCGCGCAGCCATTATGTCCTTGAGCACTGACACATTCTGTGGTTCCACCTCCTCCCATACAGGAATGACAGAACCGTCGGGCGTCTCGGTGTGCAGGAGTAGTCGACCTCCGAAGGCATGCAGCTCAGAGATTACATCGTCTCGTAGTCGTTCCTCAAGCACCTCCAGACGCGAGGATGAGATGCCGCCATAGTCTGCCAACACGTCAGCCAGTGAATATGACCACGAGAGACGCATCGTACCCTTCATGTTCCGCAAAGTGAACCTCTCCCGCCGCAAGCAATACGGCGCGCCGTTAATGTATACGATCGGTTCCTCTCTGAGAGTGATCCACAGAATACGGTTCGCCTCCGGGTGCGCGCTTCGCACACGGCTCACGACCTCGTCGATCGCCTCCAGGGTCGGCTGCCCAAGTGCATAGATCTTCGTGTTGGGGATGTTGCGGAAATTGATTGCGCCGCGGACGCCGTTTGCCATCTTGTGGGACTCGCTGAACCATTGGTCCGACTTGAGGAGCGTTCTGCAGCGAAGAAATCAGTTGCGCTGGGTGACCAGTCAATGGATAGGACGTACTCCTCGCGTAAGATGATACCACTACGATTCTACTCGTGTATCCGATAATCAGCGAACGTATAGAGCAACAACACGGGGCACCTACCCTGACGACATGGTCTGAATATTCGTCTCCCAGTATTTGTCCACCTGCGATGGCAACGTCGTTTTTCTGTCCGGGAACAAGTGCGCGCTCCTGCGAACCCGTCTTGGACAAGTTCGAGAGATCGTTGATCGGCGCGAACACATTGAGACGAGAGCCATACGACTTCCTCAGGAACATGACTTGACTGTCGAGCGCTTCAGTTCACTGGCCACAATACACGAGCATATACGTACTTCCAAATCTCTGTTCTTGCCTTGGAGGGGGTCAGCACTACGATCAGACTAATGACGTCGCCGCTTACCTTGAGCCACGACGAGAAGCTCTGAGAGGAGTTATTCTGGCCATCGACGTACTCCGCAAATGCGATAATGAAGAAGCTTCCATCCATCATGAGCACGGATCCGATGACGGCGCAAGACGAGGGACTTACTACTTCTCCAGCGACCGCACTGCCTTCACAAGCACGTTCTCCCTCTGCGTCTCGTCCATGGTCGTCGTCAGCGAGTACCGCACGCGGTGCGTGAAGACATCCTCGCGGAGGTTCGTCACCTGGTCGCCTACGCAGCACGTCAGCTTCATCCCACCGTTGGACTGAGCGGCGCGGCCTACATGAGTCGATGACGCGATCGATGAGCTTCTTCGACTTGAGCCCGTGGTCGAGGCATCCGAGCAGGCTCAGGATGATGCCGTAGTTGCCCATGTGCGCCTTGCGCAGGCTCTCGAAGAGAGTTGGCTGCGTGAGCAGAATTTCGATCGCCGTCTGCGAGTTCTTTGTCTCCAGACCTGTATAGCACGTCAGTGTGCGCGGGCGTTAAGGTCTGACGGGACGGACATTGTTGGAGGATGGACGTGATGCGGAGGAGCGAACGATTGAGGTCTTGCTGCACGTTGGCCTGTTCGAGAGCTTGCTGGAGTCTCATGCTTGATGGCTAATGGACAATCATCAACGCACGCACTTTCGAGGACAAAGCAGATATCTAGTACCTGGCTACCCATTGACTTTCGTCATCCACAATCAACATCTCACCAAAGACACGAAAGACACGAGGGGAAACACCTCACCGAAACGGCCATCGGCTTGGGCACTGCAGTCTTATTGACATACGGGTCTTCCATCCCGCGCGTGATGAGCTGCTTCCTGCGTATGATACACGCCGCAACCATAGCGAATGTCGTGCGCACCGCACCCATGCCGCAGTTGAACACGAGCGCAGTTGTGGCCGGATCCGTTTCTTTGATGACGCTGAGGTACGCATCCAGGTAGTTGTCCTGCGCTCACTGTGTGAGACTTGGTGCCTGGGGCGCGAACAAAACGTACACACCTCAATAGGCCGTTCCGGAGAGATGGGGATTCTGTAATCGGTGAGCACGCGTATACTCGAGATACTTAGGTCAGCCTACCTGTGGTACTACGGGCGCAGATTGAGTTCAGTTGATACAACGGTATTAATTGCGAATCTACACACCTCAACGTTCCAGCCATCCTTGCGCATGTTATCCATGAGCTCACGCATCGTGCGCACGTTCGCGCTATCTACCGCGGTCCAAGTCGGGACGATGGCACCCTCGCCGGCATCAGAAGCTACATAGGCTCAGCACCCGAGAGCCACATTGGCAACAGACGTACCCACCGATTTCGTTGTGCGTCAAAATCAGGCCTCCATACCTAGCACACCGTCATGAATTGAACTCGTCTCTCGCGTATGTTAGACTTACTTGCTTGCTTCGACGAGAATGTCGGTCTTGAGTCGCTGCTCGATTGCTTCCAGGTTCTCAGCGCGGTCAGACAGTTTCAGTGTCCGGCGTGGCTCTGATGCATCGCGGAGAACGAATGGGCGGCCAGAAACATACACTTCAGGGGAGAGCATCGCACGTCAATCGTTATTCTACGGGTGTCAACTGAGAAGGCAGAGCTCTTCGACCCGGACGCACCTACCGGCTCCTCCCTTGTGGAGAACCATATGACATGTGTGGGCTTGGCAACGTTAGGGCGACAGCGAAGCACGGAGAGGATGCCGCGAAGACCTTGTGTTCGAGGTTGCGCGACTCCGAAGACATTCAGATTGCTATTCCGAGGTGCGCGAAAGTTGGGGGCGCCGTGCACGGTCAGACCGAGGTCGAGCGCACGACCTACAGTCCAGCAGCACTTGAGACAGTCTTCAAAATTGAGTACATATCCTATTACGCACCTGACGGCCAGTAGTCTGTCTTCAAAATAAACCCTCTTGAGAGCACGCTCCCGGTCCGCGTCTTCACGACAGACGACTCTGTGCGTTGCAGCTGATGCATCAGGTCAATGGGTGCCCCCACTGGTGGTATTCCCATGTCCACGCGACTAGGGATCTCCGTGCTTGGTCTGTGGGGCGGGGTATGGATGCGGGAGTCGTCGAGAGCCGCAAGAGAGGGAGCGGGGTGGGGGAGGACTCTTTCAGGATCGGGGGGAGCCGAGGAAGGACGCGCATTGCGCTGATCGTCGAGAAAGGCAGGGTTGAAAGATCTGGGGAGGGACGACATTCCAGGTATTTCGCGAGCAGGACGGCTGCGAGGACGGCTGGACGGGCGGGAGCAGACGCCTGACGCGCGACGCGTGCCCGCGCGCGTGCCTCGAGGTCGCGTCCGAGTCACGTTCCCCGCCTCCGGTGGGCCCATCCTGCCTTCCGCCTCCCATCTCCCTCGCCTCGATCGTCGTCCAACCTCTGACTTCGGGCCTCACGATAGGTGTCTCGCTCGTATCATACTCGGATGAAGGTCGCGGTTCCCCCATTTACTCGGAAGACGTGGATTTCACGCTACATTGCTCGCTACGTAGCCTGGCGATCGCTCCCGGGCCGTGTCCCTCAGGATTGTTCAAGGGAGTGATCCTCGGAGACTGGTAATGGGGCCATAGGGCCGCGAACCTTCTGTGCATGGCGTGAAACTACGTACGAATATGTCGCGGTGCGTGAGCAGTGTCTGACAGACTGCGCATGCTGCGACAGCGCCGACTCGCTGTTCCAGTCAAGCTTCAAAGTAGCGTGAGCATTTCATCTTTGCAATCAGCGCCTCGCTATGTATTACTGTCGCCTACAGCTCCAATGCCGCATCGGCTAGGCGAGAACCTGCGGAATGCGACAAATGTGGCAAGCCAGGGCAAGCCGGCGGCCCACAACGTACAGGGATGTCATTTAAGAAGGGTTAATTATAGTTCATTAGTGAACCTAATCAGGATTAAAATGAGTTCCTTAAGAACTATGATTAGGTATTCATTCTGTTAATCATGGGCTTAGGGTGGTATGATTACCTCCATTAATCCATGTTGGCATGAAACCATATTATGATCCCAAATGAAGGCACTAGCCCTGACACAAAGGGCTGATTCTCTGCAAATCCCAGTCAATTTACACTGAATCATGGCATAATCCCAGTCATGATCATGCTTAACCAATTCATGACTCTTAATCCTAAGATAATCCCATTATTTGGATATCATAATCATGGCATAACCTCAGTGTTGATCCTGCTGAAATGGGCATAATCATGACATATGTACAATCCTAAACATTCATTATCAAGCCCTAACCTCAGAGCTAATCTATGGCAGGCATCATGAATGTAATCATTAATTCAATGCTAATCCTGGCTGCTGATCCTGATATATTGATGTCAGATTAGTGCTGATTAGCCAGATAATCTGCAGAACAAATCACAGTGATCAGATCAATTAAAAAAATGTTGTGCAGAAGCCAGGACTGAACCAGCGACTTTTTGAAGCATTACATAATCACCTTATTGGGCAAAGAAGCATACACTATAACCACTGCACCATACTGTCTTGTTATGTCTGAGATGTTATTGATCTATGTCATGTTCTTCGATTGCTGGACTTAGACACATTTCTAGTGCCCTCCCATGATGCAGTCTAATCCTGATCAACCTGAGATTAGCAACCAATCAATCCTCACTAACCCATGAGGATTTGCAGAGATTAATCCTGAGGTAATGCTTCTTTGCCACATAAGACTGTGAACAGATCAAGTCCAGATTAGAGGTGGGATTAGATAGTCTTCAATCTGATTAACTTACTGCTAATCTGCAGTGTACAAACAGGATTAGGGTTCCACATTACTGAATCATGATTAAAAGTACCAAGTACAGCACATTGAAATCATCATTGAAACAGCAGATTATATTGGAAATAAATCTTTGCAAATCCTCATGGGTTAGTGAGGATTGATTGGTTGCTAATCTCAGGTTGATCAGGATTAGACTGCATCATGGGAGGGCACTAGAAATGTGTCTAAGTCCAGCAATCGAAGAACATGACATAGATCAATAACATCTCAGACATAACAAGACAGTATGGTGCAGTGGTTATAGTGTATGCTTCTTTGCCCAATAAGGTGATTATGTAATGCTTCAAAAAGTCGCTGGTTCAGTCCTGGCTTCTGCACAACATTTTTTTAATTGATCTGATCACTGTGATTTGTTCTGCAGATTATCTGGCTAATCAGCACTAATCTGACATCAATATATCAGGATCAGCAGCCAGGATTAGCATTGAATTAATGATTACATTCATGATGCCTGCCATAGATTAGCTCTGAGGTTAGGGCTTGATAATGAATGTTTAGGATTGTACATATGTCATGATTATGCCCATTTCAGCAGGATCAACACTGAGGTTATGCCATGATTATGATATCCAAATAATGGGATTATCTTAGGATTAAGAGTCATGAATTGGTTAAGCATGATCATGACTGGGATTATGCCATGATTCAGTGTAAATTGACTGGGATTTGCAGAGAATCAGCCCTTTGTGTCAGGGCTAGTGCCTTCATTTGGGATCATAATATGGTTTCATGCCAACATGGATTAATGGAGGTAATCATACCACCCTAAGCCCATGATTAACAGAATGAATACCTAATCATAGTTCTTAAGGAACTCATTTTAATCCTGATTAGGTTCACTAATGAACTATAATTAACCCTTCTTAAATGACGAAGACGACCACAGGAGTTGATTATTTATGAGCACAGAGGTGGGCTCAGCGTACGGTCGTCGGAAAGCAATTCACTCCCTTTGTTTTTACAGTGTTGATTGTGTCTCGAGCTTGCGCCATTGCGTCTGACGCTCTAGTACTCGGGGTGACTTGGTGTTTCAGTTTCGAATTTCACAGGAGGACAGGGGGCTATCTGCATTGGCCTACGGGCAGGTCGATTAGCAAGGTGCTTCTCCGGGATGGTATGTAGGCTGTTGCGACGATGCCATGAGCTAGGATATTAACACAAATGTTATGTGTCAACAGGAACCGTGTTCTTCGTGTAAGTCAGTCTGCCTTATCAGGCCATCTGGTTCAAGAACTCATCCATTAACAGGGCTCTCTTCCTGCTTTACATCACAGAGCTGTTGTCTTGGTGTGTCAAGGTGCGGCAACACTTGGGTTAATTGTCTTTTTGCACGCATTAATATGACGTACCACAGAACGTGTTGTTTGTCTCCGACTTCACTCTTCCGTTCGTCACACGACATACTTATATCTCACGCCAGTATGCTGACTTTCAGAGTTCCTGCATTTGCGCAGGCTGATGTCTATCCTCGTCTCGCGCTTTCTCATCAATCTTCGGCGCGCAGCGAACTCCTCCACATTCACCGTCGACACCCAGAGCCCAACTTCCATCTGCGACACCCTCGAAACGACCACCAACATGTCCAGCGTGGACTTCACCCCACGCAGCGCTGACTCGGGAGCAGACCGGTCGCCTTCTGATGTAGTTGGAGAGTTCGACGGGACAAAGGGCGACTTCCGGTCTAGTATCATGAACGCTGAGGAGCGTGATATGGAGCTGGGACTCGGAGGACTCGGAGACAATAACCTAGAACCGGATATTAGTGTCGTCCCCGGGCAGATCTAGACTGATGAATACCGCCCTCCTGGTACACTAGTAGCTACCTCATGGATGCCGGTCTAGTCGTATTGTAGGTAGAGCTGAATGGACTGATTTCTCGTGCTGACCTACTACCTCCTAGTGAGCATCCGTGACGGGCTCGGGGATCGCACCCCGGTTCGCCGAAGCCCGAAGGAAGAGGAGGAGATCATGACCTTGACGCCGCCTCGCCCGGCTCGCTGTAGCTAGTCTCCCCAGGCAGACAGTAGACATTTCCTTCAACCTTCGTGCCTCAGGATATCCTTGTCTGACGCTGCCATGTAGCTCGCTGTACAGGCTCGCCGGAGGCGTCCTATCAACCAGAACGACGTTGTCGCGGCTTGGTGGCGGCGAGTGGATGCTGAAGACGACACAGCAAAACGGACATTATCTGTATGCACAGAACGTGTTCAATGTGCTTGGTAAAAGCAAGCGTGCTAGGATGGCACGCATACCCTCGCCATCACCTGCTATGTTCGCTGATTCACCGTCAGCCATCCGGATATGGCCACCTATGTAAGTACCCAGTACGTGCGCTGCCTTACAACAATTACTTGCGAGCTCCACGCAGATGGGTAATGAGAAGGAGTGTGTATAAGCTGCCCGTCGGCTGCGATTACCCAGACCGCGCCATTACTCGGACGAAATAAGCACGGGCTGGCAATTACTTCTCTTACCTCACGCTCAGCCTGTATATATACTCTGCCGGTACGAGCATGATACCTATCGCTCTGCATGCAGAGACTCGGCCAGCAGCATGGCTCTCAACCAATCGAACAAGCTCATCCTCGTCATCGGCGCGACCGGCGCACAAGGTCTCGCGGTCATTGACAAGTTGCTCGCATCGTCTGACGACGGCTTGCCCTCGCCATACTCCGTCCGCGCCTTGTCTCGGGACCCGGGTAGTCGCCGCGCCAAGGAGCTCGTGTCGAAGGGCGTCGAGGTAGTCCGAGGTAGGTAGCGTTCAACGCAGTTACCGTCGTCCACATGTAAATGCTGACGGGTATCCAGGTGCATTTGATGACCTTGCCTCAGTCAGGGCTGCCCTTGCAGGCGTATACGGTGCTTGGGTAAACACCGACGGCTTCACGGTGGGCGAACAGAAGGAGATGTGGGCGGGCATCAGGATCTTCGAACTGGCAAAGCAAGCCGGGGTTCGCCACTACATCTGGAGTAATCTAGACTATGGCTTCAAGGTAAGGAAGACAGCGGGCTTCAACTGCTTGTGGGCGCACTGGCTGACTGTTAGAAACACCAGCTCTCCAGCTACGACACCACTTACAACTGCGAGCATTATGACGGCAAGGGTCGTGTCGCCGAATTCATGCAGGCCCAGCCGTCCGTGGTCACTGATACCGATATGTCGTGGACGGTGATCACCTCGGGGCCCTACATGGAAATGCTATTCAACGTAAGCACATTGAGACCCAATCAGGACGCGACTTAACGAGGACTATAGTTCATGTTCGGTCCGTACAAGAAGCGAGAGGACGGGACGGTTGTCTTCGCCACTCCGGTGGGCAACGGCCACGTACCGATGATCGCACTCGAAGACCTCGGCTTCTTCGCCCGCTACGCCTTCGACAATCGAGAGATCACCTCCGCCCAGGACCTGGAGATCGCCACGGACAAAGTCGGCTGGGAGTACCTGAAAGCCACGTTCGAGAAGGTGACGGGGCAGCGAGCGGAGGTCATCTACCAGTCATTCGACGATTGGTGCAAGAACTTCAAGAACGTCGATATACCCGTCGCGAATGAACGTCCGGTTGGCGACGGGTCCACAACTTGGAGGCAGAACTTCAGAGCGTGGTGGTCGATGTGGCGTGACGACCTCATTCAGAGGGACTACGAGTGGCTCCGTCGAGTCAACCCGAACGGGTACACTCTGGAGAGCTGGATGAGGGCGAAGCAGTATGGCACCCACGCTCTGTGGGAGAAGGTGACCTTGCTCAAGAACACCGAGGATGGAAAGATGGTGATGCCGAACCTTGACTATATCGCGGAGAACCTGTAGTTTGCATAGGTCACGGAGTGGACCGTTTGCGAGGTTGCTCGAATTGTATTACTTCAGACCCGAAGCATTTTGAATCTCGACAACGCGGCGCGTACGGTGTCCGTGACCCACTAGTGGCCACGGCTACCTACATTCCTAACTTAGATTCAATGCTATATAAGTGACGGGGAACCTTTCGTGCAGGTGGAGACGATAGAAGGACTCTGTCGGGGTCTGTAAGCTGCCCTCGGTTGTGATTACCTAGCCCGTACCGCGATTACTAGCTCTCGGGCGGCGAGGTGAAGTTCGTTTCGCGAGTCCGCCCGCGGTTCTGGGCTTATATAACGTTCGTCGAGCTGAGCACCATGTCCGTTGTTCAACACCCGCACACCCGAAAAGCATCATGGCTTCCGCGCAGTCCCAGAGACTGATCCTTGTCATTGGTGCGACCGGTGCGCAGGGCATAGCCGTCATCGACGCATTGCTCGCACCGTCCCCAGATGGATCGCCCTCACCGTACACCATCCGCGCCCTGACCCGGAACCCAGAGAGTCGTCGGGCCCAAGGACTGGCAGCTAAGGGTGTCGACGTAGTCAAAGGTACGTGGACGTCGTGGCGTCCCCATGATTGTTTCTAGTCCTGATATGTCCAACCTTCGTCCAGGCGCATTCGACGACTTCGCGTCGGTAGCAGAGCGTGTACGGCGCCTGGGTTAACACCGACGGCTTCACGGTGGGTGAACAGAAGGAGACATGGGCGGGGATCAGGATCTTCGAGCTAGCGACGCAGGCCGGGGTCCGCCATTATATCTGGAGTAACCTGGACTACAGTTTCAAGGTATGCGGACGAGCCAAGCAGTGATCATACGGACACTCAGGCTGATCAATGGGTTTGCAGCTTTCGAACTACAACGCCGCTTACAAATGCGAACATTACGATGGCAAGGGCCGCGTCGCCGACTTCATGCAGGCCCAGCCATCTGTCGTCAGTGACACCGATATGTCGTGGACAGTGGTTACGTCGGGGCCGCACATGGACATGTTGTACAATGTAAGCATCCTTATATGCGGATCATGAGGCAGTCAACTCACTTGCAATCAACTCACTTGCAATTGCAGATCTTCGGGCCATACAAGAAGCGAGAGGACGGCACAGCGATCTTCGCCACTCCGGTGGGCAAAGGTCACGTCCAGATGATCGCCTTGGAAGACCTCGGCTTCCTTCTTCGCTCGTTACGCTTTCGACAACCGGGCGTTGACGTCCGCACAGGACCTAAAGATTGCATCGGACCGGGTGGACTGGGAGTACCTGAGGGCCACCTTCGAGAGGGTGACCGGGCGGCGCGCAGAAGTCGTTTACCAATCCTTCGACGACTTTTGCAAGAACCTGAGGAACGTCGACCACCCCATTGCGAACGAGCGTGTGGTGGGCGACGGGTCCACGACGTGGCGACAGAACTTCGGGGTGTTTTGGTCGATCTGGCGGGACGACCTTATCCAAAGGGACTACGAGTGGATCCGGCGGGTAAACCCGAAGGGGTATACACTGGAGAGCTGGATGAGGGCGAAGAACTATGGCGAGCATCGTCCGTGGGAGGGGCTCCTCAAGAACGGTGAGGATGGGAAGAGTGTAAGGCCTGACCTTGACTACATTTATCAGAATCTGTAGCTCAGCTCGTTGACGACCCTGTATGTACTGATACAAGATTTGTCTTGGGTGAAATGCCGCCTTGAGTGTGCATCGCGCGATGCATGTCCGGCTGCCCGGAAAGTTCTCGAGGCAAAAGCCTGGGATGCACGAGCCATGCGAGACTTGAGTCGCGTAGTTGGACCCGAGGGCGTACTAGCATCATCATCATGAGCCTTGTTACAGGAAGAGGGACTGCAAGCGTTCACGCGCACGAGCGAAATCAACAAGTCGAAACAAGCGCCGAGTCGTGACTATGATCGGTCCGGGCGCTTCCTCCTGGACCGCAGACTGCCATCCGCTCGCCTCCAGAGTCGCAGTCCCTCACACCTTCAAGGCCTGGATGTCGCTCGTTCTACGCTCGTAGTGTGCATTCATCTACTTTGACTCTCACTTGGCAGCTATCTTCTACGAATTCACGACCCAAGTTGCCTAGAAGATCGGACAGCAGTCAAACACTCGGTCGCGACTGACGGCTCCGAGCCGGGCAGGTCCTCGTGTTCAATTTTCTGCGAGTCTCATGTGTTCCCAATATGCTCATGGAAGATGAGTCTGACTTCTTGCACTCATAGCACAGAAGGTTGCCAGTGACACCTGTTCATGTATTCTCGAGCCCTCAGACTGCGTCCGCGTGTATGCACACTTTCACCGGTACACGCACCTCCGGCTGCGTTCCTGCGAGTCTCGTCTCTTCGTTCATATCAGACGTCGAAGTCGCAGAAGCAGCTCGCCGCGGAAGCCTCGCACCTGGATGTGACGACAGCAGACAAGCCCAGGCCATTCGCAATCGAGCGCGTCGGCGGTCGCGAATGCCACGTTTCTTGGACTGACCGCGGCATCTCGAAGGAGTGGAGGGAGATCTCGAACACTGTAGGCGAGGACGAGCAGGCGGGGTCTACCTCGGCGTCGTTCACGGGCAGGTTCACATCGTGGCTTCGGCAAATGTTCCTACCCACCAACTTCCCGCAGTCCGTCCATCGGTCGTGAGTCTTTCGCAGCATCTTTTGCCCTGTTCTCTCCTGGACTCGAAAACCTATGAACGTCCGTGTCTCACGCTTGAACTGCCATAGGTACCTGCCGTTCCACGGCCTCCAGTTCTTCGAGACGATCTTCGGCACAGTCGTCTCCGTGCTGTGCAACCAAGCTATGCTCACGTCCGTGGGCGTCAGTGCCGAGGGTAGTATATTCGGTGCGGTCGCCGTACAATGGATCATCAAGGATGGCGCCGGCGAAGTCGCGAAACTCTTCTTCATCCGCCGCTTCTCGCCATACTTTGACAGCCACCCGAAGACGTGCACGCTCTTCGGGGAGAGTATCGTAGCGCTGGGCAGTGCTTTGCAGATCGGGACCATTCTCGTCAACCCGTCTCCTACCAACTTCTTGTTGTGCGCAGGTGAGTGTGACTGCTTGTCCAGCATCAGCTTCCAGCTCACTGTATGTCAGCCGGTGGGAATGCCATGAAACTTATTGGATACGCGGTACGTCTCGCCTCGAGCTCTTCTCGACGATCTATGCTCACAAATGCGTCCGAATAGGTCTGGTTCACGACACACATGAAGTGGGTCCGCTACTTCTCGCTGCAGGGCAACATGGGCGACGTCGCAGCCAAAGACGAGGCGCAGACCTCCCTGGCCCAGCTGGTCGGGTACGCCGCCGGAATCGGTCTCCTGACGTTCTCGCACTCGCCCGCGTACCTTTACGGGCTGTACTCCCTATGCACGCCCGCGCACCTGGTGGCCACTGTGGCGATGATGCGTCTGGCGACGTTCGAGACGTTGACGGTGCCGAGACTCACCGTGCTCGCGCGAGAGTATGCGACACCTAACGGGAAGCAGGTCGTGCCGTCCTACAAGGAGCTCGAGGATGCGCGCGAGACTGGTGTCTTTGGGGAGTACTTTAAGAGCAAGAAAGACCGATATGTCGCTCTTGCGCCTCGTGTGGCGGATGTCGTGGGACGTGATGCAGAGCCCGAGGCCAGTAGGTGGGATATCTGCACCAACACATTCTGGGTATGTTGTATCTCCTCATTCATCCATTGAGATCTATGTTCGCTCATTTGCTCATATCTACAGAACGAAAAGTACATGCTGTACCCGTCAGCGTCGTCCCCATCCCAACCAACATCCGTCTTCTACCACCCAGACGCCACCTCAGATGACACCCTCCGCTCCGTGCTGCACGCAGCCCGACTGCAGCATCTCATGGCTGGCTCACCGACCCCCAACGCAGAAGCACTGCGAGAAGCGCTGGCAGAGTCGTATGCATGGACAACGGAGCAATTTGACGGCTTCAAGACGGCATTGGAGGAGAAAGGCTGGCGAACAGACGAGGTCGGCTTCGCTGACCATGGGCACCGGCTCTTGTGGGGGGCTGAGGCGGACAGAGGGACATAGTCCCCGCTTGCTCGTCGTGTCCAGCCGACTCGAGGACTGGTGCAAGCTACCTACTCCCCTCTCTAGCCCCAAGACTTAGCATGAGCGTCCATTTGGGGTTTGGCGCTGCGTGACAATTTGGCAGGGCTTCCCTCAGCGGCGAGTCATCCGATATTCTTGCGCATCTCTCCACTCGTCGTGATTGACAGGGGTCATGCACGCACGCCAGGCGACGTGCGTTGCGGTCCGGACGTATTGAAATCATAGATATCTAGAGTATTGCCGTATACATATGTAGAGTCGTACTAATACACACCCAACTCTTATTGGAGCTTCTCTTATGCGTGGAGATGGATCAAGGCACTCGGCCTGTGGTTTGGAGATGGCTGCTCCCACAGTTCTGCGCCACGGTCGTTGGCCCGCGTGGGCGAGCGGTCTCGAACGCCGCCCACTGGCCGTCCACCGCTCCCGAGGTGAGTCGCTGAACTTGAATCTTGCTGGATTCTATCGCATTGACTCGGACGATACCTCACGTTTTAGGTCTGTATGTACTGCTCTCACATCGACGCGATGTTCGGAGCGGCGTAGCCGACAGCTCCTGTTAGCAGTGAGCCTGGCTCCGACGGACAGCCATACGGTGCCGGATACTTGAGTGCGTCCTCCACGTACTATCCTCGTTCTGATGCGATGCAATCATACGTTGCTTCTAGTGCAGTGCAGTGCATTCGGGACAGGGCTTATTGTCCAGTTCAGTCCAACCTGGCATGATTCCTTGCCGCCGGGATTATCCTAGCCTCCGGCGAGGAGGTGCCAGCGGGCTACGAACACGGCCGGCCGCAGGAACCGTTCCATCAGTACAGTCGACGCAGAGATAAAGCCGCCAAGGCGAGTCGACCATGCTCTTGTCCACTTGCGAAGCAGCGTCGCACCGCAGAAAATAAGGCGTCGCCAGGCTCGCAGAACCCATGATGATGGCGCGCACCGCCCACCACGCTGTCCGTGCTTCTGTCAGCCTCAGCCGATCGATAAGGACGAGTGGCACAAGGCGGTCCAAATCGAGAGAACAAAAGGCTGAGTCGGAATGGCCGACAATGGTTGTTTGGTGCGACCAAATATGGACCCACAGACCCGCATGATATAAGGCCGGCCAGGATGCCACTTCGTCCCCATCCCTCTTGACCCTGGACCGCCACTCGGTCTCCCCGTCCCCCATGTCCAGCACAAGACGGGGCACAGGGATTGCGTGACGTCGTCGTGCGTCAACGTATGGCCTATATGCAATCACACCACACCTAGCACGGTGTCATGGTGGCTAGACGTATGTCCCTCTCTCAATCACATCTGAGTGTCACGCTCACCAGGGCTGCCTTCTCGTGCTTCTGTCTTCCCCGACGGCGACCTGGGTCTCATGTTAGGCCACGCCCACCTTGACGCCACAACTGTCGTTGCGCCACAACGGCGTTGACGCCTGGGCCGCAGAGCCATCCATGCACTTGGTAAGATCCCTCAAGAACAATGTAAGTCCGCGGCGCCATCGTCGAAGCATCGTGGTCACTCACCTCCTGGATCCGCAGATGCACGCCTCAATCCATGCGACGACTGCAAGACAAGATTACAGTTGAGGATCATTGCACGCGGCGATCACTCATCCACCTCTTAAACGGGGCCACCCGTACGTTGCACGATCGGTGAGGGAACCGTCCAGCCTAGGTGTCGTCCGGGCCCGGCTACTCTTGCCGCAGAGTAGTCGGAAGCAGCTGTAGTGTGGCCGTTCACCACGGATGTCGAGTGTGCTACTGCGCCACTCCGCAGATGACATGGTGCGCGGGCCCTCTATGGGGACCGTTCCGCTGATGACTGGTTCGACTCCGTCATGGGGCGGACCACGAGGCTATTCGATTGTCGCGTACGGGTGAGAAGGCATGGCTTATGTGAGTATCCGACGTCGTTCAGCTGTGTGACAATGACTGACCTTAACTTGTGTAGGCCATGTCCAACGTCAAGGGTCCCAAAGATCCGCGACGGGTGTACACACACGAAGACTACAACGGGCCGAACAACCCCGGTACGAAAGAGGGGCGCCGTTCCATAAAATTATCAACTGAGCGGTGCCCCTGGCGAGGATGTAAAGTGAGTATCCACACTACGCCTCAGTCGACCTGCTCTAACCGTCGTCACAGATCCATCCAAGCCGAACCTCAAGGACACAAGACATCGACGAACAAGCATGAGCCATGCCCGAGCGATCAACAAACGAAGAACGAGCCAAATCGCAGGGCATGGCTCGACGGACACAACCGTCTCGCGCCTCTCCTTGCCCGGGGAGGTGCGGGGCGATGGGGTTTTTAGTGGGTATGGGCCGGAGCGCGTCGACTCCCAATTCTCTAAGTGCACTACCTGTCGGCGCGCGATGACGGTCGAGTCCTACACTGTTCTCCCGCAACAGGAGTTCGTGCGCAGCCGCATTTTCCCCGGAGGAAACGAGCGTGCGCCTCCTCTGCTGGGAGGCGCCTCGTTGTAGCCGAGCAGCCCTCCGCAAAAAAAAAAAACTCTTGCACTTGCACTGACGTTTGAGTGTGCCGCGTGTACGGTGAGTGACATGCCTCGTCTCTGCATCTTCCATAGTGTCTTATGCGATTAACGTTTGCTCAACGCGCCTTCACACGAGGCAGGTACTCCATCAAGCCGGTACATCAACTGCCCATGCAGACGGCGCGCGACATGTTCGAGAGCGAAGGATAACATCGACTGCGCTGAGCGTCGAGGGTGGCAGAGACGATTACGACCTGCACGACGGGCGGGGTTGGTGTTCGCTTGTGATATATAGTAGACTGTAGTAAAGATTGGGTCGTAGGGACTTGTTGCAAGCCATGGAAGCGCAGATGCGCGTTGCGACACGATGCTTCGACTAAACGGTCCCTTGGAGACAGATATCTGTCTCTGAGTCATGAGGGGAATGCATATTTCGCGATAGTTAACTACGTCAAATGAACAGATCTTGAGCTTGAAGTGTATGTCCGGCCAATGCTCCTAATCACGAAGGGACTTCATATGAGTAGAGCGATTCATGCGATATGTCGCAAGTCACTTGCGTACCTGCGCTCGAGCGATGGAGTACATAGGGAGCTCAAGGACGGTCGCCGATGTACGAGCACTAGTTCAGAACGAAGATCCACAGAACGTCAATCAGTTTGGCAGGACGCTAGGACACAGTGTACATACATCAATCGTATCGTCCAAGCGTTGGCGGAACCATTATATCTTGAGGTGGCCGGTCAACAGCTAGAGAGCAAATCGTGCTGACATCAGTACGTTGCAGTAGGATGAGCAGGCACATGGCACATACAGTTTTGGTCTCTCACCGTCAAGCGGAATAACCCTCTTCTGTAAGCGTTCCGACAAAGCTCATCCAGACACGCCTCGAGTGCTCCTTTGGGACCTCGCCCAATTATTTCGAACTTTCGTAGATCCTTGAGAGCGGGCCGTTCGAGAGTGTCGTTGATGCTGCGCCAATCCACCATCCGGAGGTGGTCGAAGTTCCAGTCATCACCCTCCCAGACCACCGAGTATGGATTATTGTCGATCCTCAGAGTGATCGTGTCGAGAAAAGGAGAGTGAAGCTGAGATACGAGCACACTGGCACACTTTACGATTTTTGTGTGTTCCGGCGGCTCACCGCTGAGAAGCTCGATTGTTATCGTGCGCAGGTTGGTACAGGGCTCCAACAACGTAACGACTTTAGACTTTGGTCAGGCGTGGGTATGCTAAGATGCAAGGTAGCAGGTACCTGGCATGAAGTATCCTGAGCGTCAGGTGTGTTAAGCCTTGCGGGCCGAACGTGTCGAACAAGGCCTGCAGAATGTCCGGGTTCCAGGCACAAAAGATTTTGAGTGTCTGGAGCTGCTCTGGCTTGAGCGTAGCCATGAGCCAACTAGAAACCCTGTCCGAACCGACATCTATGGGCACATCATCGTAAGACAACAGTGTGTGGGCAGTCCGGACGCCGCCCGACGACGGGGTCCACAGCGTTCTGTGACGCAGCGCAGATACTTAGAGTAAGGCTCGGCCATCGACAACCTTTCGAGACCAGGGAAGGACCTCAGCAGGTTGTCTAGCACGTCCAGTGGCAGGACGCAACGCTTCGTGGACAGCTCTTGCAAGGCAGGAAGCTTGGCACCGAGGTGTGTGAAGTCGCGCCGCTGGACGAACTTGCCGTGATACATTTGGAGCACCTTGAGGGCCGGGAGCAGAGGGAAGGCGTCCGAGAGCACGTCATAAGTGAAGGTGCAGAGACGCAGCTGTCGGATAAAGACCGCTATCTCCGAACAAGAAGCCACGAATTCTCTGAACGCGGTGACTCCTTCATCCTCCGTGATGGTGAGCGACCGAAAACGGTGGTAGCGAGCCGCGGGCAACCAAGCGCGACATGTCAGAGCACATGCTCACAGCGAATGATTGTCTTTGTGTAGGTAGTCGATGATATGGTCAGTGAGCTCGAGTGGCAGAGGAGGGGCCATAGTAGCTGCTCGCTGCGTGAGGAGGAGGAGGAGGAGGAGGAGGAAGGGGGGTCGATGCTACACGCGCATACCACGTGGTCAGTGAGGTGGCTGAGCAAGTTCCGCGATCGATATGTACATACTGTGTGACGAGCGCCCGTACGATTAACGGTCAAGGATGCAATGGCCGCAATACTACATAGTGGTCTAACGCAGCAGAGGTTCTCGACTCTTCACAGCAATCAGAACAAAGTAACTGAGAGGACAAACTTCGCAACGACGAGAGGAACGACGAGAGGGAAGTTGGAAATACTATGTCTACATGGCTTCGATCGCCCTCCGCAACGTCGAACAGAGTGAATTGACAAACGAACAGCAGACTAGACCGCGGCAAGGTTGGCAAAGCTCATGCCCGATGAAGCGACGCCCCTTGAAGCTTCAGGTACCTTCGAGCCGAACGTACACTATCACTGCACTGCTCGCGAAGCACTGCAGAGGGAGAGCCCTGTACAATCGCGTATACCATTCAACTATAGTAGTGACACCGGCCACACGGTAATTCTAGGCCTGTAATCCGTCAGGCTGTACACCACGGGATACACGGAATGCTGATTCGGGACGACACTCACCAAAGTTGCACAACACTGATAGGGCCACCGACTCGGTATTCGCAATCCCTGTCAGAGCGAGGTCATCCGGGAAATGGAGAGTACGCCCCTACCGACCTTCTGGTCAGAGCTTACGCCACGGAACTTCGGAGTGCCAGTGGCATCATGCAATGTCTTTCGCATCCTGTCCCAACTACTAGTGCGACAAGGCCGTCAATGCACGGAGCGTTATTCCCCCTAGAGACAAAATCGGCAGCGCCAGTGCCACGGCAACGGTTTGGTCCCGAACACTTGGTGGCACCACAGATATTCAGAATGTCAGTCAATTTGGTATGAAATCGCCGTGGTGACGCGTGCCCTGGGGCCTGGGGGCTGAAGATGCTCTGAGAGCTTCAGTTTTGAATTGCATTGCACGCAGTACGGGCTCACCGATCACCTCATGCAGCTGCATGTCGAAGTGTTTCCTGGATACATAGTTCGCTCGCTGACGCAAGCCAGGGTTCATTATTTGAAAACGGGTTGTTGTGGTCAACGTATGAACTCTACCTTGATAGCTCTGCACTAGCCTTCTGCGCGAATTGAGGTACCGTGAAACCGCTATCGTGTCGTCGAACCTCTTTGTGAAGTCGGAGCCTCAAGATGCGCGATGAAGTGTCTGAGAAGGGACGTGCTTCGGGCTACCATCGGTACCTCGTCCAATGACACGATTGCGAAGCGCGGTGAAGAAGTACGACCGGCGCTGGGTGCACAATTCACGGACGAGTGCGTCTTGAGGCATCCATGAACCATGCATCAAGAACTAGTCACGCTCTGTATGCGAGAAGAGTGGTGCGCATTAGGCTGGTCCTGTGTGTAGCCCTCAGCTGCGGCAAGAAGCGTCAACAGATGACGCGGCGGAGGCGAAGGCGTGTGCCTTCGCTTCGAGTTGATATACGAGCGAAGGCGCGCTCAGGGACCTTGGAACTGTCCGGTCCGCTCGGAGGGTCTGCAGTGTTAGCCACGATATCATCCACTTCCGTAGCTCAGGGCCACATACCACCGCAATACGCTAAGAGCAGCATAACCCTCAAGGAGACCTACGCATGATATCCTTGCTCCATGGAGAATCCCGCGCGCAGGCCTCTCGCGTAGTACTAGCTGTGTCGGCGAGCGGTGATGCATGATGCTGTGCAGCACATCCACGCAGTTCGGGGCCGAGACTTCGCCGTTCTGGTACCGAGCCAGAATGGGGTGCTGACGGGTGTTTTTTGGAGGTTTCGCAGAATGCAATGGGCGAGTCTCTCGACTCAGGACCGTGTGTGTCATGTAGAGCTCTGTGTAATGAGCGATAGCCGGACTCTCAGATGAGCAAGTGATGGACGCACTCGCCTGGCAAAACATCTGTAGGTAGATGTTGAGGGTATCCCGAGCGTCGAGCGCCCTTGCTCGGATGTTCACGACGCGATAGAGACTCTAATAGAGTGCGCCGGCGCCCTCGGTGACGTACAGGTCGTCTTGACAAGTTCTTGCAGTGAAGCTGTCGAGGCGCACGTCCCATCCGCGTCAGTGCACTCAGACGATCCCCATTCTCACGGAGCCCCATATGCTAACCGAATGGAGGGATGTGCGTCCATTGTGCAACGGACTGATGGGGATTGAGCGGCGCGGAAGTTACATACATGAATGTATCCGGGGTGCTTCGCGAACTGCCTGTGTAGCGCCACACCGTATGGCGGGGCATCTCGCGGCAGCACGGAGGCGGAGGAGTTGCCAAAGGGGGCGAGGAAGACGTGTGGGCGTGGTTGCGATGGGTGCCAAGCATCGACGGAAATAGGATCCCCGACAGTTTCAGCGCGTTGTGCGCACCTGTGCTCTTCCAGCTTAGCTGCCATCAATTCAGTCGTCGTGCACTCACCTGGGAACGAAGGTACCGCTCGGGCGGCGCGTCGCCCGGGGTCCGCGTCGCGTGGTCGTGACAGGCCGTGACGGGACGCGACAGCCCCGCGGCGGGGAGGGCAGGCGTGACAGGGACCCCGGGAGGAAGGGCAGGCGCTGGAGCACGTGGGGAAGAATAGTGATGGGCCCGCATGGGATGGTGGACGGTGGTCGCGTCGAGGGTCAGCGGGTTCCCTGTCTTCGCTCGCTTGTTGTCCAGCGTGCCCGCATAAAACATGGCCGTGCACTCCCTGCGCAACCTCTTCTCCTCCCCGACTCCGGTGCGCCGCCATACCCTCCCCAGATACCCACCAGTCTCTGTGCTGCATCTATCAGCACCACTGACGGCGCGTCCACGCTTCCTCGCTCCAACTGACCCCGCCGCCTGCAGGCCAAGGGCTAGTTCCGCACCTGCCACCGTCCGCTAGCCCAGCTGTGCTGCACTCGAACTGCACTCGCAATTCCTCGCCTGACAGCAGCCTCCGGTGGGCTATATGAGACCCAGACCGCAGTGCAAACTGGTCCATTGGCAATCCATCCGCCCCTAGTTACGTGCGAAGCAGCAACCTCGCGGCTGTTCATATAGCGTTCGCTCTCCACGCGTGCATACGACCCCCACGTCAGATCTCTGCGCCGTGTCGCTCACCTCCCTCCCGGCCGTCCGTCCGTTCTCACCTCCCCCCTCCGCCGATGGCCGCTGCAGCCCCTCCTCCGGTGCTCGACCAGGCCCTCCCCACCCTGCACGACAGCCCGTCTCACACTGATCTGCAACCCGAATCGCAAGGATCGCAACCTGTGCCTTTCCCGCGGCAGAGCAATGCGGATGCGCGAGCGGGTGGCGCTCCTGGCAGCGGAAGCAAACAGACGATCGAGTCCCACTCGGCGTCTGGCTCGGGTGCGCTCTCCTCCCCGCCGCGGTCTGCGGCCAGCCCCGCTGCGAGCATCGGACATACCGTGGAAGGCAGTCATTCTGGTCCCGGGTGAGTGTTCTATACTTTATTTTTATTTAGCATCGCGTTCTTGGCACATCAGTCTTCTCGAGATACGCAGCCTCGATGGTTCCCGTTTGTACAATTCCCGTGCCTCCTAGTAACCCTCTATCCGCGTGTTCTCCCAAATACAAATCCCCTGTACGTTTATCGATGCACTTTGCAACTACAGCCTTTCCCAGGCGCATGCTTCTACCGACAAGTCACCTAAACACATGTCCGCCCAAGAGACCACGACTCGCTATCCTATCTTCCTCTCTTCTGCACCACTTACTTCGACTGCTCGTCTGGCCGAACGCTCGTACTGATGCTTTCATCTCCTGTTAGACACTCGCCAGCACCTCTGGCTGACCCTCGCTACCTCAACCCGAATCCTATACTGCCCCCTCCAGTATCACATCCACGACGCATCAAAGATGACGATCTCCCCCCACTTCCCACACCCGACTCTGAGGCATCCTCGTCCACCCCAGGCCTCTTCAGGCGCATAACGAAGCGGCTGCGCCCAGCCGTAGGACCTGGCGAGCAGTCCGACGCACCTACGTCGTTCCAAATCTCGCTACCGACCAGGAGCCGCAGTCGCAGTCGTAGTCGCGCTCGCGGCGACTCGGCTAGCGGTGCTGATGCACCCCAGCCTCAGATAGGCAAACAACGCAGGCCGCACGTGCGGATTCCTGTCCCTATCCCCAAGGCTCCCGCGCCTGCGCCCCTACCCAACTCGTTCACCTCTGCTGAGAACCGCCGTGCAGCTCTACGAGCACGTGGGCTCGTACCGGCATCGGGGAGTGCCCCGCGGTATCGGGATGCGCATGGATACTGGATGCCGCTGAGCGAGCAAGAGAGAGAGCTCGATCGGATGTTCGCTGTTGTAGTCGAGGAGAAGATGCCTAGCCCGGATCACGAGGATACCGAGGCAAAGAAATTCAGAGATGCCTGGCTCGCGAAGTATCGCTCAGAGTCGGAGCAGGGCAATGGCTCCGAAGACCAGGCGACGACGGCGGCATCGCCGTCATCAGATGCGCGCCACGGCGTTCGCGCCGTGTACGAGGATGGGTCCAGGTCAGCGCTTCCCTCTGCGACGGATCTCGCACACGCCTCCGAGCCGAGCAGGCATGCTCGACGGCCCAGCGCAGACGGCGCCATGCGCGGCCGGGCATACTCCGCGTCTGCGACGGCTGAGAATCGCAGGCCCGACCTCATGCCCGTCGTCGATCCCTCGTTGCCGGAGATGCCCTTCGAGGACACAGCTGCGCACCGATTGCCTCGAGCGCGGGATCGCCGGTCTAGCGACGTCTCGGAGCGCGTCTCCCGCTGGTTCCAGACGTCCCTGCGCCCGCGATCCGCATCCGCGTCCAGGCCCGCATCTGCAGGCGCCGACGGGGGCGCGCGGTTCGGCCTGTTCTCGCGCCGCCGCTCGACCGACGCGTTGGTCGTGGCGACGCCGTACACCAAGGAGAGCGACGCGAGACGTAGTGCAGATGTCACGGGGTGGGACCGCAAGGCGAGGACATCTGCTGACTCCGAGGTGCCTGGGACTCACTCACTAGGGCGTCGCCACCCTGCGCGCAAGCTCCCACCGGCCCCGCCGTCTGCGTTCACTCCTGTGAAGGAGAAACGCGATGCTACCGCCACCGCCACCGCCGCCGCCACCGCCACCGCTTCCCCGACAGACGTGAGCCCCGCCGCCGCCGCCGCCCCAGCGATCTCTATCAGCCAGCCAAATACCTCACGCACGTCCCTCGAGCGCGCAGACGACTCGCAGAGCCCCCGCGTGCGCCGCGTGCAAGTCAACCACCGGCGGGGCCGCTCGACGACGGTCTCGGATCTCCAGCAGCACTCGGCGGCGCCCGGCGCGGGCACCCTGGAGAGCAGCAGCTCGCTCGTGTCGCGCAGCCACTCGCACACGATGCCTGCGCTCTCGCCGACCAGGAGCACGTCTTCGTCCGAGATGGGCCTCCCCGCCACACCCACGACGGACACGCATGGGTGTGAGCCCCCGCCGCCCCCGCCGAGGGAGCACCATCCAAATTCTGGCTCAGGGCGCAGCCAGAGCCAGCCTATCCATCACCAGCCGGTCAAGCAGCCCTCGCAGAACTCGCTTTCGCGCGCGAAGACTATGGCCAAGAACGCGAACGCGCCGTCTGTCCCGCAATCGCAGCGCTTGGCTGCGGCACACGCCAGCGGAGCGCGGGATGACACGAGCACGGAGTCGGATCTGGACTCGTCGTATGTGGACGTGGAGGTCGACGTGGAGTTCGGCGTGCGCATGCAGAGCGAGGCGCAGAAGATGCGGGACTTGATGGCTGCGGCTGCTACGGCGAGTGCGCGCCCGCGCCCCCGCCGCGAGAGCGTGGACGACCCCGAGCGGAGGCGGTCGCTGACGATCGGGCTGTTCGCGAAGAAAGAGGATGGCGATGTGAGTGAACCGTATCTGTGCAATGTGATTTGGAGGTGCTGAGACGAGTTGATGCTAGGCCCCGCCACGGTTCAAGAACCCGCGCGCGATGAGCTCGATGCAGAACATGAAACGCACGGTGACCGGTACTTTGGCATCGTTGAAGCCGCGCCCAAAGACGATCGTGGAAGACAATACACACGGGGAGCCCCCGCGTAGTCCACCGTCCCCCCCGTTGCCTCCATTGAAGTCCGCGCCGCCGACATCATTCCCACAGGTCCTGGCCGCGCCGAAGCGAAGGAAGAACTCCGTCACACAGGAACAGGGATCGTCTGGAGGGCCGGGGTCAGGTCCGCGCCAAGCACTCAGTCCAACGATGTACAAGCGCGGTAGTCTTCAGGTTGAGGCCGGCCGTATCGAGGACGAGGAGAGTCGGCGACTGAGCGAGATGGCATTCCTCGATTACTAAGCGCCGAATCATCCGTCGGTTTCGCTCGTGGTTCTATTCCGGCTCTTTGGAGGTTCATTTGTTGTGCGCCTGATCTCATCGCATCTGTATTTTAGAATGCATCACGGCTCCTTGCCTGTTGGCTGACATGCACATACCCTTCGTTTGCGCCTTGCTGCTCGTCGCTCGCTTTCCGTCTGTCTCGCTCCCACCTCTGTGTGTACATATATAATTCAAATGTCCTGCAACGATGATATATCGGGGGTTGTGTATGTGCAACGAAATTGGTCGCGCAAAATGGCTTGAACTCTTCCAACAGGCGAGTGCCGCTTGTATGTACTAGGAGGCTGTGTTGCACATGACTGTTTGCCAATTCTGCTAGATCTCATATCGCAATGATCAGTACATCTTCAACTTGGGTCTGATCGAACTTGCTCTCCACCTCTCCTCCTCCTCCTCCTCCTCCTCCTCCACCGAGTAGTCATGGTCGCTCCGCTGCCGCCAGAGCTCACTGACTATATCATCGACTACCTGCACCGAGACGTCGCTTCGCTTGGTGCATGCGCTCTTACGTGCAGCAGTTGGTTGCCCGCGGCTCGCTACCACCGGTTTCGGTTGCTCCGCATGTCGACGAATGCAAGAATCACCGCGTTCGGAGAACTCGTAGCTTCGTCGCCTGCAATAGGTCTTATCGTCTACGGGTTGCGGATTCATCGGCCCACTCTCGAGTGCCTCTTATCCATCTTGCCTTCACTTCCGTCACTCGTGGGCCTTGAAGTGTCCAACGGCCAGTTTACCCAGGGCAATTTCAAATGCCGCCGCATTGACACCAAATTTCCTGCTTTGCGGAGGTTGGAGTTCAACGCCTGCATACTTCGATTGGACATACTAGCGAATCTGCTCATGTTCTTCCCTCGACTCTTAGACTTGAGGATGCTCCAGCCCCATATTCATCCCATCTCAGGGGATGCCGCGCACCCTGTCGTTGGCCGGCGTCTGAAACGTCTACGGACTGTGATGGTGGATCACGATCCCATATCACGAAACGAGGAGCCACACAGACTCTATAGCTGGCTTATAGACAATTTTGGCCCTAATCGGCTTGTGCGGTTTAGGATCAATCGTAAGCGCGACGACCCGAGCCCTCTTCAGCCCGTGTTGGACGTCTTTGGCCCGCACCGCTTACGGGATATATTATTGGGTCTATACAACCTCGAAGGTACTTGCCACCCTGCTCTCAATATGCATACTATTTCTAACTACAATGCAGACAAGGCTTCTCAGACTCTGTTCACGCTGAAGCCCTGCGTCAACTTGCGCGTGATAACAATCAAGTTCGGCACCCTTGAGCCCCCGGCACCTACGGTGGACCTGACATGGATCAGCGTGCTTATATCCCAGCTCAACTCTCCTTTTCTCGAGACGATCGATCTGTCGATCTCCGTTCTACCATGCAACGCGTCCTTGAATGACTGGAGGTTTGACAGCATCCGGGCGCTGGATTGGGAAAACATCAACCAGACGCTCCAGCGGCCTATTCTCAACAATCTGCGAGAATTCAAGATATGTGGCCGAGGTCCCGTAGGGCCATTCAAGGCGTTTCTGGAGGAGAAATGCCCTGCTGCTTACAAAAGAGGTTTATTCCAACTGAAACCGTCACACGATTGAAGTGCGTATGTGCCGATAACTTTGTCGCTTCAACGTACTCACCTCAGCAGAGTATATCTGATAGCTGTCTTGATCGGCACAACCACTGGCATTCCTATCCGTTCGCAACGAAGTGCCTGACCGGGACCTGCCAACGCTCGAAACCGCGATGCGTTCGATACGCATGTCCATGTATTCTGTCTGCCAGTGACTGGTCTGGTCAATTCTGGTCTTGGTCCGTGGTCTTCCCTCTACGCTGCTCTCATAAGTTACATTCCCAGTAGTTCCACTGGGCAATGTACTTACTTGGTGCGTGCCTTCATCCGGCGTGGAAGGGACAGCCGAAGGCTGGAGTGTCACGTTTTGTTTTATTATTTCTGTTGGCTCTGTTGATGCCGTAGCTCACATGATTCTGTATACAGACATTATTTGCAAATAAACCTCGATCTACTGTACATACCATCGACTCTACCGGCGCGCTCGCGATGAACCGGAAGGCGGAGGCGGAGGACCGACCGTAGGCGGGTGTCCCACACGGTACTTTCCTTATTCGGTATCATTCTTTCCCGATCTGACAATGATCGCTCGTCTTTGCCTCCTTTCGAGCCTCCCTCATCTCTCCTTCTGCCATCCTGCACTTCTTGGCTCATTCTTGTCCTCGTCGCGTTGCGTGCACTTATAAAGGGCTGCGTCGCCCGCTCTCCCCATCAAATCAACTCGTGACGAATCTTACCCTCTCGCTTCGCGCGCGCTTCAAGTTCAAGATCTTCACGGACGAGCGACGCGACGGTCGCGCGTGAACGTCAAGTCGAGCGAGTCGAGACGTCGACACGCGAGAGATAAGTATTCGTGAGTATTCTGGTGGCCCCACTACCCTCTTCAGAACATCGCCCGCCGTCCCATCACCAGCCGGATCACCCTACCGCTGCCGACTCTACCACTCTCCTGCACCATGAGTGTGTTTGTTTGCTGCCGCGCACGCTCTCTCTCCGACACCGGCAGCGCAATATTTTACAGTCCGGGCTCCAGAGAACCCCGACAAGTTCAATCTGAACCTGATTTGAGTTGGGCGAATTGGAGGCGCTAACGTTCTTACCAGCACGCCGCCATCTCCTAGCATTTATCGCCAGTGCTCGTACATCATCGTTCATCATCGAGTCCCACGGACTCACCATCTGTCCAGCAGAGGAGCTCGCGCTCGCAGTGCACTGTGCAGCTTCCCTGTGAGCTCACAGACCATATCACCGACCATCCGTACGATGACGTTCTTACCCTCGGCCACTGCGCCCTTACCTGCAGAGCATGGTTGCCAACCACAAGGTGGCACCGTTTCCGGGCTGTTGTCGTGGATCTGGAGAAGGAGGGTAGACTCGCCAAGCTGAGCAAGTTACTCTGTTCCTCGCCGCGCAAGCTCACGCTCACGGTCCTAGTCCCCGGGTCCGGCACCTGGGATTGATGGGTGTAGAGGGAAGACTCCGTTGACGCGTTGCCGTTCTCGGATCTCTCTCTGTCAACCGACTCTCATTTTACTGGTGGTGACTGAACTCAGGATCTCCCATGTCAAGGCAGTTTTCGGCGACGACCACTGCGATGATCAACTATCCCTCGACGCTGGAGAGTCAGAGAATAGATTGAGTTGATCCGTAATGGTACATATAGCTCGTTACTGCCAGTGGACTGGATACCGTCATCGCTTACAGCGATCCTCGTGTGCTCCGTTCTGAAAGAGATACTTGTAGAATGTGAAGAGTATACGCGCTGCATGACAGAGTAGGAAAGGTGACGACCCGGTAGAGAAATGACAGTCTGGGGTACAATAACAAAGAACACATCTGACAGCTTCGGGATCGGATGCGGCAATGTGAGCACGACCTCGGACTCGTCCTGCGCCCATGAAAATCGATGCGCAGTACAGGACGCCTATGCCGCAAACCGTGCTCAGGTCAATACAACGGGCCGACATGAATAAACAGAATGGGACGCACCACGCATTCAGTCTTGCTGTACCAACCGGAATAGCCCTTGCTCGTACGCATCTCGACACATCTCCTTTAGATGGGCCTCCAGTGACGCTTTATCACCTCGGCCATGTATCCTGAATTCCTTTAGATTCTGGAGAGTAGGGCGTCGGAGGGTAGAGACGATGCTTTGCCATTCTAACGCTCGAAAGTCTTTGAACTGCCAGTTACTCCGCGGCGATAATGGTCGAGTGCCCATCGTCAGAGTTAACGTTTCGAGGGAAGGAGAGTCGAGCTGGGAAATGAGCACGCTGGGCCACTTCAGAACCCTCGGGTCGCTCTCCTGATTCGTGAAATGGCCGAGCTCTATCGTGCGCAAGTTGACGCAGGGCTCTAGCGTAAATCCAATCGTTGCAGCGTCTGGGTGATGATCGATCATCAGACACGGTAAGCATACTGGAAGGTATAGCAAGCACAGACCTGAAAAGAAGTACAAGCCAAGAAACAGATGTTCCAAACTGCCCGGGCCGAAGGTATCGAAGAGCGGTTGGACCGGGATAGGTCGCGGGTCGGCAAGATGAATGACATGGAGCGTTTGGATTTGCTGTGGCTGGAGCGTACTCACGAACCAATCCACAGGGCCGTAGTACGTGCGCTTTCCGCGCGGTAAACCACTAAAATCCAGACGCAACGTGCGGAGAGAGTCCAAATGCCCCACGACGGGTACGCCGTCATACAGTGGCCGGATAAGATATGATTGGGCCAATGAGAAGATTGTCAGACCGCTGATGGATGACAAGAACTCGGCGAGCGCGTCCAAATCCACGCCACATAATGACATGCTTAGCTCTTGCAGAGCGGGAAGTTTGACACCGATACCGGCGAGGTCGCCAAGGCGGAAGCCGCAACCACAGAGCACGAGCGTGGTGAGGGTCGGAAGCGATGGAAATTTAGAGCAACGTAACGGGGAAATCGAGTTGTATATCCGTAGCCTTCTGACGACGAGGCCTAATGCCGGCGAAGGTGCAACAAGGTCCCGAAGTGCCGTGAGCTTTGCATCGGTCTCAACGCGGATGTCGCGGAAACGATGGTAGCGCGCTGTGGCCAACCATGCACGACACGTCAGCGCGCATGCACCGAGGGAACGGCTGTCCTTGTGTAGATAGTCGAGGATATGGTCGTTGAGCTCAGGCGGTAGAGACGCGATCATAGTGGTGAGTAGTACGCTGCAGACGAGCCACACCGTGGCCTGCGATTCAGATCTGCCAGGATCGCGCAGGCGCCCGGGCTACTACGTTCCAGCGCTTCCGATCAACATCCCAGTCTGTCACTGTCTTGTGCATTCACGCGTGTTTTCCGTTTAGTTTGCATATAGACCGCCTTCCGATCCTCTATGTCACTTTATCAAGCCAGCAGCTCCTCCAAACAGGTCACTCGCACAGGCTTGAGTGAATTCGACATACTGAAGGCCTCGCACAAGTACGTTCTTGTCTTCCCAGTTGTCGGGAGGAGACACCGACGTTGGCCCTTGCCACAGATTCCTGCGCGAAGACGGGGAAACAGACGAAGCCAAGCTCTCGTGGGATGACAAGCTCGCAAAAAAGTACTACGAGAACCTATACCGCGAGTACGCCGTCTGCGACCTGAAGCACTACAAGTCCGGCAACGTAAGTGTCGCCTCCCGAGCCCCCAGCCAGCCTCTCGGTCTAACCCGCACCCGTAGTTCGCGCTCCGCTGGCGCACCGAATCCGAAGTCATCTCCGGCGCGGGCGACACGACCTGCGGGAACACGCGGTGCCCCCTGCACGAGCAGCGCGCGGTCAACGAGCTCAGGCCGTCGCTGAAGACTCTCGAGCTGCCGTTTTCGTACGTCGAGGATGGTGAGGGCAAGTTCGCGCTTGTCAAGGTCGTACTGTGCGACAAGTGCCTCAAGAAGCTGATGTGGACGCGGTCGAAGGAGAAGGACGTGGAGAAGACGGTGCAGGGGAACGGGAAGGTTAAAGTGGAAGAGCAGGAGGAACGGGTCCCCAAAGAGGCGTCGCATGGGAAGCAATCTGAGCGCAAGTTGCGGGGAGAAGACCGAGAGCATACGCGTCCGAGCCAGCCATCGAAACATCGCTCATCCGGAGATGAGACGCACAGGCGAAGAAGGGAATCCAGGTCTCGATCCCCTCTTCCTAGTCGGGGGAAAGCACGTCCGCGCCCCGACTGATGCACCAGACGGGGTTCTGCATATTTTCCGACTATACTAGGCACCTTCCGTCATGGCGAAGGTATCAAGCTCCGCATCGCCAAACATGGCATAGAGCTCTACGCATCCTTCACGAATGGCCACCTCTCCTCCACCCGCACTTCGCTCTCGTCCTTCCTCGTGCCCACAATACCCATGACCTGGTACTGGCTCCCCATGCCAGTACTGTCCACAAGCCTTTTCGCCGCCTTCTCGATCTCCGCCGCCCGCTCCTCGCTCTGCGCAGACTTCTTGAGCGCCTCGACCCGCGCCGCCAGCCCCATGCGCGTCAGGAAGGTCCCTTGCGTCACCGGACCCAGAGGCGTCGCTACGAAGGGAACGAAGGGTCAGTGAGGAGGACATGGGGGATAGGGAGGACACGCACCGAGGCCTGCGAGGGCTTCGCTGAGGTAGGCAAAGTCGACGTTGACTGTCAAGTCGCACTCGCCCGGACGATGGAAGACGTCTACGATCTTGTGCTCCTTGAACGCCTGACCAATCATACAATCCCCGTCAGCATCCTGCCATACATGTGATACTATGGATGCTATGCTCATACCCTGAACGAATTGCCGAACGCCTTCTCTGCGCCATAATCCACGACGAGGCCGCTGCCCGCCGAGCGCTCTCCTTTGCTCTCCGGGTCGTGCATCAGCTCGCCGACTTTCCGCGCGATCTTGAATGCCGTTGGTGAGACCTCGATTTGGCTACCAGGCGGGAGGTCCTTGAACCGCGAAGAGGATAGGCCGAGAAGGTTTGAAGAGAGAGCAGGGTGAGGGGACAGAACGCGGCGGAACCGAGACGGCACTCCTGACTGAGAAGTGGTGGAGTCGCGTTTGGGCCTCAAGGTCGTGTCAACGTTGAGGGATTTCGAATCGAGGTTTGTAGAGTCTGCTGTTGCGACCATGACTTCTTGCCAGCCCTGCTGCGTTTTCTGCGTAGCGACAGAGGTGGTCAGACCTTCTGTACCGTCAGCAAAAAGGAACGAACGTACTTGAATGAGATTGAACGGTAGGGCGTCGAAGAACTCGTGCGCTACCAACAGCGTGAATCTCGAGGGGTCTTGAGGGATCTCTTCAATGGATGTATGCCATTGTAGGTCCCACTTGTGTTGGAAGGCAAGCGGCGAGAGGTTCTCGTCTTGCCGTTGCCGCATGTTCGGGCTAGTCTCCACTAGGTGGACGGCCTCAATTGCTTCGCAGGCAGCTGAGAATTGGGAAAGCACCTGTGGGATCATAGTTCATGTGCCGTTTGAGGCAAGGTGCGACACAACACGTACTCTGAGAATGTCCTGCATCAATGTGCCCCTACCGGGCCCGAGCTCAACGAGTCTCAGCTTCCTCGAGTTGCCAGCATACAACCATTGCGATAGTAGCCATACGCCAACGAGCTACCTCACGCGCTTCTCGTCGTCATCTAGTATGCTCAAGCCAGGCTTTGCATCCTACGTACCTCGCCGAACACCTGGCTGATCTCTGGGCTAGTGGTGAAGTCGCCCTTCTCGCCAAAGACCTGCTGGGAGGACTTCATGTAGTACCCTTCCGTAGGATGCGACAAACACATCTGCATGTATCTCCCGAAGGATATCGGGCCTGTGGCTTTGATATTGTCGAGAAGTATCTTCTCGATGGGCGTAACGGCATTGTTGGCAGGGGCAACATATGATCGGTGTTGAATGCGTGCACCCAGTGCAGACCAGATCCGTCGAGGACCGGAACCACTATCTCCTGCTCGAACATGACCCGGTGCACGGAAAGCGTTCCGTACAGGCTGTGCGCGGTTGCTTGCTGTCGCGCGGAACATCGCACTGGCTCCGAACTTCCCGGCGAAAAGTGTCAGAACCAAGTCAATATACCACGCCTTTGCCTCGAGCGATCAGCAACGAGTCACAGATAAAGCGTAGAGGCCTAGTCAGGAGGGGAGAGTGCCGTGGTGAGCCGGCTGGGAACGACGAGAGGTCGTCGGTACCGTGACCGTGGCGCACTGACTGGGTCGCGTCCGTCCGATCGCCTGTGGCAGAGAGCGTCTTCAGCCTTTTTATACGCTTCCGTCAAATTGTAACCTCATCCCACCGCCGCCCTCTCAGCTCTCAGCAACTCCTCCAGTCTCCTCCTCAACCCCCAGCACACACAGCGAGCCGACCCCACGACAAAAAGACCCCCAAAAAATGGCTACCCGTAAGATCGCTCGCAGCCCACTCGGAAGACCGCGCCGCTGATCGAGAGACCCACAGGCATTCAATTCGAGAACAGCAGCGACATCGGAGTCTTCTCCAAGCTGACGAACAGCTACTGCCTGACGGCTATCCAGGGCAGCACCAACTTCTACTCCGCCTTCGAGGCCGAGCTCGGCGATGTCATCCCCATCGTGCACACGAGCATAGGCGGAACACGCATCATCGGTCGTCTCACAGCAGGTATGCACCCTCGTCTCTAATGCTATTACGTCTTGTAATATACGCGACAAAGGGAACCGTCACGGCCTGCTCGTGCCGTCAACAACGACCGACCAGGAGCTCCAGCACCTCCGCAACTCGCTCCCCGACGCCATCGCGATCCAGCGGGTCGAGGAGCGGCTCTCCGCGCTCGGGAACGTCATCGCATGTAACGACTACGTCGCGCTCGTGCACCCGGACGTCGACCGCGAGACGGAGGAGATCATCGCGGACGTGCTCAAGGTGGAGGTCTTCCGCCAGACGATCGCGGAGAACGTGCTCGTCGGCAGCTATTGCGCGATCACGAACCAGGGCGGGCTCGTGCATCCCAAGACGAGCGTGCAGGATCAGGACGAGCTGAGCAGCTTGCTCCAAGTACCATTGGTGGTGAGTGCTGGAGTGCTTTTATTTGCGACTTCGTTGAATTTTTACGCCCCCAAAGGCTGGTACAGTAAATCGTGGATCGGATGTCATCGGTGCAGGCCTTGTCGTGAATGACTGGTGTGCATTCACCGGCCTCGACACAACCGCAACAGAGATCAGTGTCATCGAAGCAGCATTCAGTGCGTCTTACCGTCCTCCCTTCCCTCTACCACCCGCTGACACTGCGTCCCGCAGAACTACAAGGACAAAACCAAGCCGCCGTCATCGGGGAGATGCGCGACTCGCTCATCGACAGCTGGGCGTAAGCCCTCGCTCTGGGTTCCTGTACATGTGGACATCGCTCCTGGATACCTGTATGATCTGGTCCTCGCTTTCGGTATTTTTATGGGCAGCAGCAGCACACAATCAACTTGTATCGGTACTTTGTCATTGTAGATACACTTGCAATTGCAATACCATCCTCACGCACGATCACAAAACAGAGTGTACAATTCTCTGCAAGAAAGCTGATATATTGTTCGGAAGATCTCATACACATAGATTCTCTTCTTTTACATTGCTAGGCGCCTTCTCGCCAAGGTTCTCACTGTAAGATTCTTCTCGCTGGCACCGACTCAGACAATCTGGCGGATCTGATGCACACGCAGTTATGTCAGTCATCGCCGGCCAGTGTAAAATGGAGCAACCTACCGTCCCAGTCTCCACATCATACACCCACCCAGTGATCTGCGACTCCGGCAGCACTAGGGGGTTCACCTTCAACCACGCGACGTCGTCCTTCACGCTCTGGTCCAGATCCGAGAACTCGAGGAAGTCGATCTCATCGACCGCCTGGACGGCGGGGTTCGACGGGTCGGACTCCTTGATGAGCGACCGGAGCTGGGGTGTCTTGAAGGAGATCATGCCGCAGGACGTGTGGTGAATGACCGCGATCTCGCGCGTGCCGAGCAGGCGCTGTGAGATGATGATGCTACGGAGAGCGTCCTTCCTGTGGGGCGTAACGGTGAGGTTAGTGAGGGGAGGGGAGAGGCGGGCGAGGACATACGCGATTCCACCGGCGTTGCGGATGATATGGGCCTCGCCCTCCTTGACGCCGAGCAGCGCGTACAGACTGTTCCAGAGTCAGCCAGCTCGCATACAATTGGCTTGACGCGCCGACACTCACTTCAGACGAGCATCCATGCACGTCACTGCCAACGCCTCCGAGTCAGTTCACACATCGACACAGCCGCGACGGTGCGCTCTCACCTATCGCGAGCTTCTTCGACGGCGGGATGGGGAGCGAGCCCTTGTCGCCGAAGTCGGCGACGTACTTCTCGTTGGCTTTCACGAACTCGGCGGACATTGCGGTGCGGGTCAGTCGTTCGGCTTCGCGCTGGGGCTTGCCTGGGCCGTCCGAGCTGGACTCCCGGTCTATATTGGAAGGAACAGAGAATTGGCCCTAGAGCGGTCGGTGCGTCAGTACAATGCTGCCGAGCGGGCTTTAAGACGAAGGAATGGTGGTGTGCGATGGCGAACCATTGCGCTATCTCGCAGACTGGGTCATTTGCACAAGATAATGTTGCGATGCTCCACATCATGGGGGCTATTCGCACTAACTCCGCCCCCAAGGAAGAGACGTGCGGCCTCAGTACTGGGCAGATTAGGAACGTTGGTCCGGGCCTGAATTTGTTCATGTCGGGTCCACGGGCGAGAAGTACTACCAAGGCACTGTAGATAAAGATCAATGAAAAGGACATACACGCACACTATTTTCCTGGGTGTCCGTCGTGCAAAACCGCGAAGACGCGGGGATGACGGTGCGCGGCGCTCGCTGGACCAGGAAGTGCGTGCTCTTGAGATGGTTGAAGCCGCCATTGTACAGGCGTCGCAGTAGGATTTGCATAACCTAGCCAGTTTCGTGGTAGGTGTGAAAAGCGTGCGCTGGACTCAAGACAAGTGGTGCAGGTCTGGAAGACGGCAGCAAGCCAGCACAAGCGAGACAATAGCTACGTTCAAAGTTGCTGGAGCTCTGGAGCTCCAGAGGCTGGAGGCTGGAGCTCGCCCCCGGCAAACGCCGTCAACCGCGCAACAGCTCTGGCATCGCCTGAAATTCCCGCCACAGTGCGCTTAGGTAATCCCATAAGCTGTGGCGCTACCAACTGGTCTGTACAACGTCCTGGGAAGGGGTTTGTATTATATATGTCTTCAAAAAGGGGTGAGGATGGTCTGTCCGTACTTTCTCCAGAAGCCGTGACCCTCAAATAATAGCAGCGGGTTCTACACACTCCCGATGACATTGGTATACCCGATTAGGCCAACGGCGCTTATCCCAGACGTACCTGCGCATTGAAATAATCCATGCTTGATGTGCGATGCAGAGTAAATGGGACACCGTACACGTGTAAAAATAAATGCTAGATGTGTATGGAGGTCTGTTTCAAGCTGCAGGTGAAGCATGTCGTATTGTGCAGGCGAGGGTCTTGCTGCTTAGTCAGCTGCATCCCGTAATCAAACCTGCGAAGGGAAAGTGAGACGCTTGCTGTCAAAAGACCTTCGCAGATACACGAATAGCTCCTAGGAGCGGTGGTATGCATAAAATTTCACGCATCTTCGTGCAATTGTACGCAGGGAAAGGATAACTTGTCGCGGTCGAGTCACAGACGTCACGCGCGCGTGACGACGGCAGTGCGCTGTGGCGGCATGCTCTGGAGTCTGGAAACGCCTGGCGGCAAACCCCGAGAACCGTCACCTCCAGCTCCGGGCTCCAGCTGGAGCTCCAGAGCTCCAGCAACTTTGAACGTAGCTAATGCATTTTGAATATGGGAGTCATATTCGACGAGCGCCAGCGCGCTCCATGTAGACGGGCGCTTATGACCGTCCGCGCGCACAAGAAGTGACCGAGTAGTGACCGTCGCAGAACAAGTGTTGCAGTGGCCTACAATTCATGATGACGAGGTTCGGGCGAGCTTGTACGGCATATGTGGCATTGCGGTATAGAGCATATATGAAGGTACGATCAGCCAGGTTGAGATTGAACGTGTCGGCATTCCCTGAAGTACTGTAATTTATCGCGCTGGCGGCTGAACACTCGCACTAAGAAGTACATTGCCGGGTGAAATTACCAAGGTCGATGCATTGTGTGAGAGCAGAGTAGAAGGAAGACTACAGACCAAGACCGGAATTGACCACTTAGACAGAAGGACATGCTGCACATGCATATTGAACGCATCACTATCTCGAGCGTTGGCAAGACTCATAATTGATTCAGACTGGATAAAAATACCAGTGGTTGATCAAGACGTCTAACAAACACAATCAGCTGATGTGAGTACGTTGAGACAACGTGGACATATACACGCACATACCCACCTCAATAGTCTCTTACGATCATTCGAAACAACCCTCTTTTGTAAGCACCGGGGCAGCTCTGCTCCAAACACTCCTGGAGTGGCTCTTCAGGACCTCGGCCATGTATCTCGAATTTTCGCAGATTTTTGAGGATAGGCTGCTGGAGCGTGTGGTTGATGCTTTTCCAATCCAGCGCCCGGATACTGTCAAACTTCCAGTCACCCTCCTTCAAGATTCGACGACCGTTGATCGAGAGAGTGATCATCTCGAGGAAAGCAGAGTTGAGCTGGGATATAAGCACATTGATCCATGTCAGGTCCACCGTCGGTCCCGGGGGCTCAGGGGTTCCGAGCGTAATCGATATCGTTTGCAAGTTGACGCAGGGCTTCAGCGTGAATAGAGTCCGCATAGCCTTGTCTGATTCTAGTCAGGAATGGTATGCATACTGAGAGGCAAGGTGACAAGTACCGTTGATATAGGTCAGTTCCAAGAACAGGTGCCTTATGCCCTGCGAGCCAAAGGCGTCGAACAAGGGCTGAAGAGGCCTCGGGTCGTGGTAACGAATAATCTCGAGCGTCTCGAGTTGGTCGGGGCTTAATGTGTCGATAAGCCAGCTATAGAGTCTCTCCAGCTCGTCATCGCGTGGTGCAAAACCGGCATTTATTGAGACAGTCTGTAGACGGGCCAGACTCGGAAGCCCAACAGCAGGGTGCGCGGCATTGTATGGAATGGGACTCAGAAGGAGCTGAGATATTGCCAAGCTTTCGAGCCCAGGAAAGAACACGAGCAGATCCGCTAGCACGTCCAATGAGGGAAGTACGCAGGCCTCCAAGTACAGATCCCGCACAGTAGTAAATTTAGTGGCGATGCATTTGAGGTCGCCCCGGGTGAACTTGCCGTCATACAGTTCAAGCTCCGTGAGTGATGGAAGTGAAGGCAAGATGGATAAGAGGCACTCGGGAGTGGGCCGGTGTGCTCGCAATTTGTGGACGATAGGACCTATTGCGGGCGACGAAGCTACGAGTGCTGCGAATTCTTCGAGGTCGTCATTGGACTTGATGGTGAGCGACCGAAACCGGTGGTAGCGAGCCGCGGGCAACCAAGCGCTGCATGTAAGAGCGCATGCGCCGAGCGACTCGGAATGGACGTATTGATGCAGGTAGTCGATGATATAGTCAGTGAGCTCTATGGGCAGCGGAGGGACCATGGCTGCTCGAGAGGTGGTCGACGATACCGTGACGACGGCCTGGGTTGGCTTCACGAGCGCCACCGCAGGAACAGTCACGTACAGTGACACGGTACGTCCGAGTCGTGACGCGTGATCTGAGATCTGAGTCGCGGGCCACGGTCATTGTGGGAAAAGACATAACTGGCTTCAAGTTGCGCTTGTGGCTCTGGCCCTCTCGTTTGCAGCGTACTCACCGCCATGATCGCGTCTCTACCGCCCGAGCTCACCGACCATATCCTCGACTATCTACACAAGGACAGCCGTTCCCTCGGTGCATGCGCGCTGACGTGTCGTGCATGGTTGGCCACAGCGCGCTACCACCGTTTCCGCGACCTCAGCGTTAAGAGCCATATAATGCTCACGGCACTTCGGGACCTTGTTGCGCCTTCGCCGGCGCTGGGCCTCGTCGTCAGAAGGCTACGGATACACATCTGGACTTCCACGTTACTTTGCTCTAAATTTCCATCGCTTCCGGCCCTCACCACGCTCGTACTCTGTGGTTGTGGCTTCCGCCTCGGCGACCTCGCCGGTATCGGTGTCAAGCTTCCCGCTCTGCAAGAGCTAAGCATGTCATTATGTGGCGTGGATTTGGACGCGCTCGCCGAGTTCTTGTCATCCATCAGCGGTCTAAAAACCTTCTCATTGGCACAACCACATCTTATCCTGCCACTATATGATGGCGTACCAGTTGTGGGGCGTTTGGACTCTCTCCGCACGTTGCGGCTGGATTTTGGTGATTCACCGCCCGGGAAGCGCGGCACGTACGTCCCTATGCATTGGCTCGTGAGTACGCTCCAGCCACAGCAAATCCAAACGCTCCATGTCAGTCATCTTGACGACCCGCGACCTATCCAACCGCTCTTCAATACCCTTGGTCCGCGCAGTTTGGAACATGTGGCGCTGAAATTGTGCTTTGGAGGTCGGTGCTTGCTATACCTTCTAGTATTATTACTATGTCTGATCATTACCCAGACGCTGCAACGTCTGGGTTTACGCTAAAGCCCTGCGTCAACTTACGAACGATATCGATTGAGCTCCGTCATTACCCAAGGCGAGAGAGCAACACAAGGATTCTGAAGTGGCCCAGCGTGCTCATATCCCAGCTCAACTCTCCTTCCCTCGAAATGTTCACTCTGACGATGGTTACTCGACCATCAGCGGCGCGGGTTGACTGGAAGTTCGAAGACATTGGAGCGTTAGACTGGCAAAGCATCGCTTCTACCCTCCGACGCCCCACTTTCAGTCATCTTCAGGAATTCAGGATACATGGCCGAGGTGACAAAGCGTCATTGGAGGCCCGATTGAAGGAGATGTGTCGAGATGCATTCGAGCGAGGGCTGTTCCGGTTGGTACAGCGAGACTGAATGCGCGGTGCGTCCCATTCTGTTCATTAATGTCGGCCCGTCTTACTGACCTGAAGACAGTTTGCGGCATAGGTGTTCTGTACTGCGCATCAATTTTCATGGGCGCAGGACGAGGCCTAGGTCGTTGCTCACATTGCCGCATCTGATACCGAAATGCCGGGTCGCCACCCTTCCTACTCTGTCATGCAGCGCGTATACTCCTCACAATTCACAGCTATCTCTCAGACCAGGGCACACGAGGATCATTATATGCAGTGACGGTTTACACTGGCGGTAACGAAATGTACCACTACGAGCCAACCCAATGTATTGTCTAACTTTCCACCGTGGCTAAAACTGGGCGCACAGTTCCGAATGTGCATGCCCGCCTCTTTATAGCAGCAGAAGTTCTACGTCAGTCTGTGCCTGGTCAGGCTGTCGCTCACGTAGGCTTCGAACCGTCGTTCGGGATTTGAAGTGTCAATTATATTCGTCATATCTGATATCCAAGGTCACACCCAGTGCGACGGGTGCTTGTGCTCACTCGCGGCCGCAGACGACTGATTCACGAATCAAGACAATGCTCTTCGCGCCGACTCACGGCTCCTGCGATCGACATCTAGACGATGTTAGCGCGTTGCAGACCGGACGTCCTTGAGCGCTTGAGCGCTTGAACATCTACGCCGGTCAATGCTGCTCGATCTCATATGCACATTAGCAGCGTCGTTCGCAGATTCAGAACTGCAGCCATGGACCCGGATATCTACTGACCGAGTAACCATACCCGGCCGGGATCCTGGTCGAACACAGCAAGCAAAACTAGTAATTGAGTAATTCTTAAGATATAGTAGTCCGTTGACAAAATGAGCGACACAGAAGCAGTCCATGACAGTCCGATCCGCTAGCGTAATTCTCGACCAATACCCAAAAAACATCCAGAGCTAGCATCTCAATTAATCATCATACGGGAAGAGGAAGACCTGCACGCCGTAGCAGGTGCTGAAATCGTAGACATCGCTGTTGTCTGCTTTCGCCTGCCACACCAGGATGTTGTTCGGATAGGGGTTCGGGACCGCCTGGCAGAGCGAGAAGCTGTCCGCGTCGTTGTTCACTGCCAACAGGGTGTTGCCGTTGCGCGACTGTGTCAGAGAAGCTCAGCAAACATACTGAAGTATCCAGGCGACGACTTACGGCGGCGCAGTAGATCTCAGGGTTGTCCCGGCCGCTCTCAGCGGGGAGCACGTAGAATCCGATCGCGGCCCCGGAGGCGATGTCGTAGTCGTACGCCCCCAGACCTTCCTCGTCTGGACCCGGGATGGGATACAGTGCACCGCTCTGAAGGGAGAAATACGGCCATTCGTTGGAGTGCCATTCCGCGTACGTCTGTAGAGCATGATCAGCATCACAGAATACCGCCCGGACTGAAGGTGCTCACCGAGATCACCCAGTCGCTCGAAGCGGGGCTCGATCCGGCAGGGCCCCAACCGAGGACGAGCGGTGCTCCGGTGGCGTTGGTGTTGGGCAGCGTGGTGTTGAGCGCCGTGAGCGTGAAGTTGTACGCCGGGGTGTCGGTGGAGCCACTAGAGAGGCCTGCACACGACGCACCCGTCTGACGAGTGTTCAGAGCCGGGACGGCCGACGCAGAGGCAGCGAATAGGGCAACGATGGCACTGAGAACGAACATGGCTAGTGAAGGAGAAGAGATTAGTGGAAGAAAGGGTACTGGTCGTGATGAACGAGCGGTGATCTGGTCATCTGTGCTCGAATCCGTTCGTCTTATATGCGTTTCATCTGTGAAAAACCTAGGCCAGGAGACCTATCAATTAGTTTCCTCGGCGCAACATCGCCATTCAGAAGTTACATGGCTGATGGCAACGCTATAAAGAGTCTGCTGCCAGCCGCACATCGCGGCGAGAGATCGCCGTTCATGCTGAAAGTGGCAGTGCGAGAGTCGGGACGTCGAGCGAGATAGTACAGTAGTAGACGAGGCTTGTCACCGTGCAAAGCCAAGACCTCATTGGATTCGGGCAGTACGCGCGACCGCGGCCAGTGTGCAACAGCGCATGCACTGGCAGACTTCGCCAGAAACTTGCCAGGATGCGTGCCATGAGGATACGATCGGTCTGAGGGCACCGACGCCAGGAAATCAAAAGATGGCGCATCATCGACGAGTAGTGACATTCATGACAGCATGTACAAGCAGTGAGCGCCACGCCTGAGACCGATGAGACGACAGGATCCCACGTACTAAATACTGGTACATCCTGGAGAGGGTAAACAATGACTGGAACGCGCATGTGCGCAGTTAACCGCAGGAATAGCAGTGGCTGAGTCTGTAAGTACCACTCACCTTTCAGCACGCACGACAACGTCATACGCATTCGTAGTCACAGAGAAAGCAGCTTTGCAAGTCCAGTTCACGCGTTAGCCTGCAGCACAGGATGCGAAACGGCAACTTCACCGAACCATCGTGGTACACGCTGGTACACGAGCTCGTCTAGCGCGTCTCACCGTGACACCATGTCCATCTTCTTGGCAAATTCCACATGCCTGTCTGCGAGGTTTTCAGCGCGTGCCGCGGCGGCGAGTGGTACACATAAGTATATCCAGTGCTGCTTTGCAGTGACAATAAACCTCACCCCGAATAGACGCGCTACTAACTTAGGCGTAACGTAAGGGCATTGCCCAACGGGTAGTTGCGGGCAATGGTAGCCGTTCTTGACATCCCAAGATAACTAGCAGATCCGACGAGAGACCGTGGTCAGGAGCGCACAATATATGCACTAGTAAGTACTCACCCCATATATACACAATATTGATGTGCGCGACAGCAAGGTTCCAGTCAGACGGTTGAGTGCACTCGACGTAGTATGTAGCGCTCGTCAGATCGCAATCTCCGTGGCTCTGGAGCCTCCGGGTCCATAGATGGAATGGCAGGAGACTGGGCGGACCGGTCTGGACCGGAGCGTGGAGACGGAAGGTGAGGAGCCTCGTCACGGTGGCTACGCTCCCGTCCATGTTCTGGTATGTTCTGGCAACGCCGCCATGGCTGGCGCGGATTCCAGCCCGCCCAGTCGCAGCTCTACTTATTACCTGCTCAGCGCCCTCGCGCACCCCACATATACGTACGACCCACGACCATATACCTCTTGCCCCGCTTTCTCCCATTTCCACGCACTATTCCTCGTTGATACACCATGGGCACGGACTACTACAAGTTGCTCGGCGTCGACCGTAGCGCCAGCGAGGATGATATCAAGAAGGCCTACCGGAAGATGGTACGTACTGCTCGATTCGTCCTGACCCAGAATACGGCTGACATGCGTATCATCAGGCCTTGAAATGGCATCCAGACCGTAACAAGGGGTCCGAAGAAGCCACCAAGAAATTCAAGCAGGTGTGTATACCGCCTGACCAGTCGGCTTCTTACTAATAGTCGTCTTTCAGATCTCAGAAGCTTTCGAAGTTCTCAGTGACAAGCAGAAGCGGGCGGTCTACGACCAGTTCGGAGAGGAAGGCCTCAAGGGCGGAGGCGTACCACCACAGGGCGCAGGAGGCCCTGGAGGCGGCTTCTCCAACTTCGGCGGATTCCCCGGGGGGACCTACACCTTCACGACGAGCTCACCAGGAGGCGGTGGGTTCGGGAGTAGCGGGTTCAATCCGACAGATCCCAACAAGATCTTTGAGTAAGTATTCCTGTCACTGGCGCGTGGTATACGTACATTCTAAATGTTCGTTCTACAGGCAGTTCTTCGGTATGGGTGGTCTTGGCGGACTCGGAAGCATGGGGGGCTTCGGCGGCGGCGGTCGCAGCCGCATGGGCAGCATGTTTGCAAACGAGGATGATGACATGGGCGGGTTCTCGTTCGGCGGCATGCCAGGCGCAATGCCAAACGGTCGCTCAACACCACGCACCGGTGCCCAAAGACCATCATCACCAGCACCGTCAGCCGCACCCTCCGAGATCACACGGTCTGTGAAGGTCTCATTGGAGGACCTGTACACGGGCACGACAAAGCACCTGAAGGTCGGGCGGAAGCTGCTCGGCGGCGACACCGAGGAGAAGGTGCTCGAGATCCAGGTGCAGCCCGGCTGGAAGAGCGGCACGAAGGTGCGCTTCCCGCGCGCGGGCAATGAGCAGCCCTCGGGCGAGGCGCAGGACCTCGTGTTCGTCGTCGAGGAGAAGCCGCACGACCGGTTCGTGCGCGAGGGCAACGACCTCATCTGCCACCTACCACTGCCGCTTGTCGACGCGCTTGCTGGCGAGGGAGGCCGGCGGACGGTGGAGCACCTCGATGGACGGAAGCTGCAGGTCACGATCCCGAGCGGCGTCGTCAAGCCCGGGCAGAAGACAGTCTTGTCGGGCGAGGGCATGCCGATCCGGAAGGAGGGTGCGGTACGGAGGAAGGGTGACCTACTCGTGCAGTGGGATGTTACCTTCCCTGACCGGCTAACACCAGCACAGAAGGAGGGCATCCGGAAAGTGCTAGGTTAAACGTAACTATCCATCGAGGACTTCACGAACGTTCATTGCATTCATCATGTAGCAATACTCGTTGTACTATTGTAGACATTCCTCATATTATGTATCTTTTGCTCACTTGTGACTTTGCCGCAATGAAGCGACAAGATTTGAGAGCCGTTCTACGCAATGCAACATCTACATTATTGCACGCAGGTTCGGGCTTTCCGCCTCTGAGCAAACCTTATTCCAGATCGGTTACCGATCTCCCCGGGCATTCTCTGGAAGAGCGCTCCTGCTCTCTGCCACCGTGCCACGGTTCCGGGTTGGCCACCTTCGACGCGACGCGACGCGTCCCAGGCGCGTCCAATCGTGCTTTATACGCGTCGCGGTCCAAACGTTAGCTGCTATGGTCACCTCGTCTTTGTTCGATGCGCTCGCTGTGACCTGTCGGCGCTCGCGAATTCGCCTCTCGATCGCGGCTTGCTTCTGCTCGTATCGCAGATCCCCTCAAAATGTCACAGGTGGTCGGGACGTGTGCCACTAGATGCTTGCTTGCTCAGTGGTGAGTCACGAACGCACGGGAAGTGACGGTGTCTGGAAACAAGGCCGACCAGTCGGTGTAGTACTAAGTACCGACATCACCATGTTTCCCCATGTCTGACGGAGATTCAGTACACCATCTTGAAATGCTGGGAGGACGGCACACTAGCCCAGTCTATACTGCAGACCAAGGCAGCTTCGGCCTGGATGCTGCTACATGACATGTGCCTACAACTGCAGAGGTTCGTAGTATTGCTTCGTCTACGGTACGTCAAGCGGTTGATGTAGGCTGCGCACGTTCAGCGGAAGTGCGTCATGTTCCTACTATGACTCACAAAACCCAACGGTCAGATAGGTGTGATAATGGCCGTCTGGTGACGTGGCAGCTCATCCGCGTAGCTCTGAGTATCGCAGAAGTCTGGCCGATGGTCGGTCCCCAGATGACGGTGCCCTTCAATACTGTTCATCGTCCTCCGAACCATCATGCAGGATTGGAACCGTGACCTTCGGTGAAAAGACAGCATCTCGTCCGTCTCAGCGCTGGGTGTCTCCACGTCCTTGTCTTTGTCGATGTCCTCAAGACCCCCCACAGACCCATCCGGTCGACTTGCATTCCGAAGGAAGCTAACGCACTCACAGTCGCTACCCTTTTCTCGTCAGTGTCATTCTCCGTTGCCTCGCTGTATCTAGTCACTATCTATCATCACCCACGTCAACATGGTGCGTCTCGATGGACACTGCTGGAAATAGGCTCAGTTCGGCCTCACAGTAATATGATGTCTTCGCGGACTTGTGAGTCGTAAATTCGTAGCTAATCCTCTCGTCTCATCGTCAGTGACTCACGGCCGGAAACAGGTGACCTATATTCGATCATCAATCACGACGTGTGTACCTCCTCCCGATAGTCAAGCTATTGATATCCTCAGCCGTGACGTCCTTGCAGTAATGGGCCAGGGGCAGTTAACACTCTGCACCGATTCTCGCCTGCACAACATGTCCTCCCGCGGCCGTCGTAATATCAGTGCAGATACTCAGTATGACGGTGCCCCACCGCGACTGTCGCGCTCTGTGATCTCTCCTGATTCCTCGCTTACGCACGGCAGAGAAAATGAAAGGTAGGTGGTTATCTCGATATGTCTCCAAGATACTGAGACTTTTGCTGTCCCTAGTAGAAGTGTTGGTGATCGGTGGGTCGATGTCAGATACGCTGATGACTGGGCGGGACGCGACCACTGAGGCGCCCGAACACAGGCTGTACTGTCAGTATATGCATTGCTCCGGCCAGCCGAGACTTGTTGTCCTTTCAGTTCACTGTTCGACTGCCGCACGTACTACTTTATCGTCAAGATGCCTCCTTCTCCACAACTAGTCATCAGACACATCGTGGACTTCATGACGAAGCTAATGTATCCAGTCATCTCCTCAACCTCGTAAAGAGCCGTGCCCTCCGTTGTTCGCGGTCTAGATCATGGCGCCATGGACTAACGAAACGCATTCAGGTTTCTCTACTGAAATACGACAATGATCAGAGCATGCAATTCACACATGGAAAAGAGGCTATTATCTGTCCTACTGCGAGGTGTGTGGTTAGTGGCGATGTCGCAGGCACTTTCGTTGATCGGTGGGCAGATTCGTCTATACTAGGATGTGCCGTAAACCTCGCTGCGACGACTGTGATACCTTCGTGGTCAGCGGGGCGATCGCGCTTGCCGATAATCAAATGAATTGTGTACACCAGTGTGGTGCTTCTCTGTCTTGCCACTCAACATCCTGGTCACATTGCGTCTGCTGTGCAGGAAGTGCTTGTGCTCCCAGGCCCTGGATCTCATACTGAAGAACACCAAACACAATGTCGGTCACCTAGACCTCGGTTGTGTCAACCTCGCGAGTTTATAGATCTGGGTTTTGTAACCATGTGAGTATATGGCAGGGTATCTATCGAGGACTCATCGCTCAGAACTCAAGGGCTGATTGATCAGCACACTGCTGGCTCAATCCTATCTGATTACGGTAGTAGTATGAGCGGCGTACCAGAAGCCTGCAATGTTCCGGCCCAGCCTATCGAGTATGAGTCAATTGCAGGTGAGGTCTTCTATCTCAGTCTGCCTCTCGGCAGTGACTGATATACCTACATCCACGTGTAGGGTGTAGCCACTCCGAAACCGCGGTTCGTTGCTGCTTTCGCGTACTTCAACGCAGCGGCGACATGTCCACTGTACGCTTTGCCAAGTCGTTTTAGTGCGGCCATGTCCTTCAACTACAATCTCTTCGGGGCTGTCGTAAGTGGCCTCAGTTTTCTGCTCGTCTTCAAATGGATACGAGTATTCCTACCCTCGCGCTTGTATACAAGACTCGAAGACTCCATCAAAAAGACAAGCGACGTCCTGGAGGACATGCGCACCGATTTCCTCTCTGATGACGGCCTTGCCCATACGTGGCATCTCGCAGCTAGGGAACTAGAATGGTAAGCTAACCTCAACTATATGTCGTGCCGTACGGCTTACGGATTCCTCGTGCCAGCTACGCGGCTTGCGCTCGATGTTTGCGCAGTGAGGTTGACGCATTGAGCGGTTTCCCATGGGAATTCCGAGGATTGGTATTCGGCCTCTCGTGGAAGCTCTTTAGACTTTGCTGCAAGGTGCAGCATATTCTGAGACAGATTTCGGTGTGTTTTGCTTCTGTGCAACTATTGGAGCGGGTCCTGATTCTCTTCGGACAGAGATTGGAGTGCAAAGTGTTAAGAGAAAGGCAGCAGCGATCACTGGGGAGCGTAATCATGCACGGAGCAGGCGTGCTACCGTTATGGACAATCTCTCAGACGTCGCAACCTGGTGACAACGGTGCTTGTTCACCAACGGCGATTGATGCCGACAGTTCTGATACAGTGTATGCCTAGTACCGCAGTATGCTAGCGGAAACAACACTAACACCGCATTGTACCACAGGGATAACCGGCCTGTCGCATGCACTACAGATCATCCCGGGTGCGCACGGTACTACGAGGTTTTGAATGGTACCCATCAAAATGAACTCGGGACAAGCAACAGAAGCCACTCCGAGAGGGGCCTATCCGTCGACGCTCTAGCATCCATATCTTCATTAAGAGCATCAGCGTCAGTATCTCACAATGATCGCTGGTCTAAATGTCACCTGATTTGGTATTGCAGAGGGCCGGGTGTTTCACTGAGCTCTCCATCCACTGCCAGTGCCTCTTACATTCCGAACTCGCTGGGTCGGCCTCTCAGAGAGGATGACTCTGATCTGCTCGCACTGCAAACAGCTCCCAGAGAAGGCGAACTAGAGATGGCACCAGGCGGAGATGCTTCTGAGACTACGACCAATTCTCCACCTTCAGACGACTTCCCTTCAATCACGGCAGATCTAGCTGGTCGCTATGAACGCCCTTCCTCTGAAATGGGGCTTACAACACCCGTGCCCGGATATTCGGATGAAGTGCAGCCTGAGGTCGGGGATCTCTCAGAAACATATCATAACCCGGATATTCAAAGGTACATCATTCGACGTGCACTTCACACACTGTTGACGCATTTTTGGAGCAGTAAGACCCAAGATGCGTCGCAATGGTCGGGCTCGGAAGGCCGGGACAATTCCGTACAGAATGACATCGTGGAGGTTGGCAACGCTAGTGGGCTCAGGCGACGTCACGGCATGTGGAAACCGTTCATGGCCCGGGGAGATGTTGGTGCGCATGACGATTCATACTACTGCAGCTGGTTATCATACAAATCCCTCGTTGCAGATGAGAATGGGCGTGATTTGCAAATCGAGTGTCTCTGGCGAGAAAACGGAGTCTCTTGCGGTCGCCGGTTCACCAAGGACGATATTGCCGAGCATCTCGACGACGCACACATACACCATCGTCATTGCAGGTGTCCGCAACGATGGCAACCCGTTAGCAATAACCCAACAACTGCAGTTACCGACACACCATCACATGCCTCAGTATCTGTTGACCCAGGGTGTTTACGACACAAGCGATTCTGGCATATTAGTATCCGCAAATATCCGTATAGGATCGTTCTAGCAGAGGATTAGGGGCTCCAAAGCTTGGACACCGTCGCATACGGTATGTACATCCAGCCCATCGATGCTGCGGAACTATAATCAATATGATAGGCTGTATGACGACACGTACGTTATTCGCCACTGTTATGTGATGTGATGTGACATCAATCCACTCCGCCCAAAGTGCTCTTGTCCCCTCCATTGTTGTGCTCTGCTTGCATCTCCTCATCCCGCTTTGAGTTCCGAATCTTTTCACTATGTATCTTCGGTGTACTCTGCCTCCGATTGACAATTCCCGGGGCATCATGCACGGTACTACGAAGCCCTCTTAGCTTCTTAACGAATTACTTGTATTACGTACGTTAATATACCTCGACTGTCGGACTCCGACATCTTGCGCTTGACAAGCTTGTTCCACCGAATCCGGGCCCGCTGCACTTCGAGGATCGAACCGGATATTCGACTCGACTCGACATTTATGCGTTGCGATACAACATCTTATAATACTGGGAGGACGGCACGCTAGCGCAGTCCACACTGCAGATTAAAGCAGCCTCGGCCTGAATGCTGCTACATGACGTCTGTTCGACTACTACTATTGCAGACGTTCGTAGTGCTTCATCTACGGTACGTTAAACCGTTGAAGTAGGCTGCGTTCAGCGGAAGTACGTCATGTCCCTATGACTCGCGAAATTCAACGGTCAGGTCGGTGTGAACAATAGTCATTGGTGACATGACTACTCTCAGAGTCTAGAGTTACAGGAAGATCTTTTTGCTGCTCTGGAAGCGAGTTCCATCGGGATGCAGGCGGAGAGACGCGATGTTCGAGTCGTGGACGGTGCTCACTGGACGACGCGTTGACACGATGCATGCCACCAACGGCGAGTCTAGGCAACATGCAGCCAGCCTCAGGCGTAATAATATGCGAGAACGGTGTCTCACAGTCGTGGAGAAGCTAGAGCAGCCTACAGGTATTGAGTTGACTGGTAGACATATACTAGGCATTGTCGCCGTGTTCGGGAGGGTAACACCCGCGTAATATCACACATGGACTCAATCTTATTAGGCCTGGAAAAGCCTGAGCGGGTTGACGCAACTCAGTCGATTTCGTCACGCCTGTGTTCGATCACTGGGGGTCAATGCAGCCTTTACCAGATCACATCATAATATAGTGAATACAGCGGCTCGTTAGCTGATTGGTTACATAGATTAGACTGGCTCATGTACTCTTCTCAACGAACGGTACAGCAGATGTCTGCCAGTAATTTAGCAGTTGTCATGCCCGCAGGCACCCTGTCAAAGAATACATCATCAGCATCGCATCCTGTCGTATTCGCGCGAAGACGCGGGAAAGTGATGTGACGTACACCGACGAAACGGTAGCTCTGGTCGCTCGGGTTGAGCGTCTTGCAGAACCCGGTAGCGGTGAAGTCGTAGCCGACGTTCTGGCATGTGCAAGAGCCATCGCCGGACGTGATGACGAGACAGTACTGGTTGTCGCCGGTGGTGCCGAGACCGTCGTTGGGGATGTAGACGGACCCACGGCCAGCCTCACCCAGGCAACCAGTGTTGCGGATGTCGACGCCTTCGCCGCCGTTCACAGAGCAGGCGGTGTCTACGTGAAGATAGTTAGTTCAGCAAATCTTTGAGGAGGACAAGCGGTCGTACCATCGAAGAAGTTGGCGTAGAAATCCGCCTTGACGGGGGCCAGGAGAGCCATGGCAATGGCGACGCCGGAGGTGATGGTGCTCGAGAACTTCATTGTCGTTGAAAGTGGATGAGTCTGGTTGTCTGGGACGGTGTGCTTTGGGATGAAGAACCATGAGCTAACTCGAGGGCTGTTTTATAGCATTCTCGTGTGGAGTCGCTTGAGCCGCTGGAATACTCATGATCAGGTTTTGACATGCTGTGACTACGGACTGGACTCACCAAGGACTCACAACGTCGATTCCTGGCTCACTCTGACATCAATCACTCTCTGCTGACCGTCACCGCCCGAGCCATCGCTGTCAAGCTTCCGTGTTTCGAGGCTTCGAGCTCCAAGGACGTCACCCGTCGACCGGACTGGCCATCTCACAAGCACACGGCGCCCATGCCGACTGGAGCTGGTTCACAGCTTTGCTACGCCGCAGGTGGTTGCGCTCGACTGGACAGCTCGGGATTTGGGGCTCGTATGGACGAGCACGCGCACCCGACACGACCGCACGAAGCAGATCCCTTTGTAAACCAAGGAACAATTCCATTCCGCGATGCAAGGCCCTCGGAGCGCACGTGCAGAAATTGGTGTCGAACCTAGGAAGGGTCGCGTTCGATGCGCCAAAGCTCTGTAGGAGGGTCCGACGGTGATCGGGATGATTCGTCAACACCTAGATCAGCGGCTATGTCATTTATGGGCGACAATCTCTTGGGTTGACGAGTCGGACATGCATGACGTTTGTTCAGGTGTCGTGGTTTCTCGAGCTGCGTCCGAGTCGCGCTGAATGTGCGCAACGACAGTGTCCATCGCACCAGTTGGACTGTCTTGGTCCGACTTCGGCATCCGTAGGCGATGCGGAACTGGTGTATCCTGAGGCAGAGGAATCAGTGGTAGTTGTTCATAGATGCAGATGCTGCACAAGCCACACATAGCGTATGTAGCCATTTTGAATGTACACTTGTTCCGTTGGAGTACTTCGTTCTTGCATCAGCGAAACGTCTGAATTGTCGGTATTGAGGGTCTGAGCGGCTGACAGGTCTAATGCATCAGCAAAATGGAGCGTTGTCTGAATATTGGGTTCGAGGGTCAGTAGAACTGACAGGGACCCGAGATGGCACTGACCACACCTGGTGCTTCCGATGACACATTGGAGCGTGAAGAGTAAGACAGACCTGCTGTTCTAGGGGCGAGCGATGCAAGCGGTGTCAACAAACTGAATAAGAATAGACACGTTCGCCGGTGCATGCACTGCCACGTAGGGATTGAGTGGCGTACGCTCCATGAGCGATATAAGCCCAGTCAGGATCATTCGAGGTCGGCCAGGAGCTTGAGTGAGAACTCCCCGATGAGGCGCTGGCAACTTACCATACTCGTGTTTTTCCGTGTCTACGCAAGTCTCCCAACTGTGTTTCTTTGGTGCGAATTACGCCGCCTCCGAGCACTTCATCGCGGCCGACGAGTGGCTCACACAGGACTCTTCTCTTCACTTAATTTGTACCGGGCTGAGGTCACCGTTCATCGATGTCAGATGATGTAACTCCGGGCAGGGTGATATGTGGTCGTGTATGTGACGGCAACAGCTGAGACATTACCGCGGGTCTGTCCGGCGGTGTGTTTCGAAGACATGCCTGCCGACTCAGGCTAGCCAAGACCTACGTGGCACGCATTCAGCATGCTTACTATGAGGACGTCGTCAGAGGAGTTGCATGCGTACAGAGAGAAGGCACATTTACCGTGTTACTCTATAACGAATCGATGCGCTGCGACAGCAGCATCCGTTCTAGTGAGAGGTTGGTGAGAGGAGCGGTTCTGTACGGTGGCCGTGGCAACCCGACGAACGTGACGATGCAGGAAGATGCACGATAAGTATGTACTTACTAGTTACTTAGCGCTGGGGCGTCGGGCGCGTATGGTTGACGGGACGTCCGAGGTTCGTTTGCCGCGCGCCTCGGGCATCTGCGGGCCAGGCCGCTTACGTAAACTGACCTCGCAGACAGTGTCTCGCTAGTATTTGGCTGCTTTTTCAATAACGGACACAACTCAGGATGCTGAAGAATACCATACCGTGCTTTACTGGCTTTTCCGGGTGTCGAGATCGAGTTCTGAGATGCACTGTGCGCAAAACCGCCATTTCTGCGCACGGACAACATAAGCGCCGGTGATAACGGGCATATCAGTGATCTAATCTGACATGGCTACCTAAACGGGCGGTCTTCGGACAGATTACTATGTCAGGTTGCGATGCTAGTATCTGAGTAGTATGTGCCTCACTGACATTCCTTGGTTATGCTAACGTGCATCGGGCTGGACAAGTTTTGTGCTTGAATGTTATTGATTTCTCGGACGAGCAGGTGATCTCCAGCTACATCTACCCATTTAGGCAGCGAACTCAGATAAGATCACTGATGTGCTCATTATCACGGGCGCTTACAGCATGTCTTCCCAAAATGACCATTATTACGCGTCCTTATCCCACACAGACCGGGAAACCTACTGAGAACATCTGTAAGGTCCATATAAATCGGTTCAAATGCACCAAGAGTGTGTTGGGCAGTCCGACACGAGCGAGGGACACTGTGCGAGCAAAGCTTACGTAAGCGGCCTGGCCCGCAGATGCCCGAGGCGCGCGGCAAACGAACCTCGGACGTCTCGCCAACCATAGGCGCGCCCCGCGCCATCAATCTGTCAGCGCTTGATGACCGATCCGCGACAACATGGGGCTCACTGTAAGTTACCATGGCCGTCTCACAAAGTTGCCCTTGACATGAATATATTGTACGTGAGTAGCTGATGGAGGAGTACGTACGAAATTGAGCAGTGCAGAAGTAAAACATTCAGTACTTCTGAGAACGTGTGGCGACCATGTGGAAGAGACCGTCGAATCGAATCTAGATAGCAAGCACGTGCGTGTGCTGAACCACCGTGGCTTGTGCCTTGGTTCGTAGTATCGTACTCGAGGCTTCCAGCCTGCCCACCAGTCGTCGTCTCTTCCTCACATACCATGGACTCGGAGACAGCTGTACTCAGTCTCAATGGCAACAGCGGCGGGTACAGGGACTCCCTGCTGAGGCGGTCATGGCACGCAATGTCGGACATTCTCTCACCGTTCTCACCCTCGGCTTTAGCCTCGCTTCCGAAGAGAACGCTACGCAGGAGACCACGCTACACTCGTAACGACAATGTCCCGGAGGCGGAGAGCGATGAACATGGGCAGATGCCCACGGTGCGGGACTACCATGCTATCAACAGCGTGCCGCCCCAGGTGAGGGTCCCGAAGAAGATTGCTACACCTATCAAGGTCGAGGGAAAGGTCTGGTTTGCGAATGAGCGGAGTGAGTGCCTCGACCCTGCTATATGTGTGTCTTCTGACCGGGATCCACATCGTATAGCCTGGATTGCATATCTGAACATGTCTGTCCTCATCGGAACTTTGGCGCTTGCGCTCTTCAACGGGTCAAAGGACGATGTGTCACGATACTTTGCATACGCATATGCTGGCATCAGTGTGGGCATTTTGGTAAGCATTGAAATTTGGTTGAAATGCAGGCACTTATTACGCATTTACTCAACGGTAATGAAAATAGGTGTATGGCTATGCGGTCTACCAGCATAGAATCACCCTCATTCAGAAACGCGATCCAGGGTCCTTCGGTAATATTTCTCTCTGCTCCGACAAGCATGAACATCCCTTCTCATCTGCTCACTCTCAGTTCAAATCCTTGGACCGGTCATGATCAGCGTATTACTGTTCGTCGCCGTGCTCGCCAATTTCGTTATCAGGGGTACGTCCATCGCGGTGTCGAGCAGATGTCTTCTGACAGACAGAATATTCACCTCCGCCTCATACGTTCAGTTCGGGAGCTGTGCGTAACGATCGCTCCATTCATGCGCCAAGACACTAACTCCGTCTAGGCAAAGACAAAATGTCGAAGTCCCGGGGCTGTCTCTCTTCGAATTCTTACGTCCATCTGCTTGACCGAAGTATAGGGACATCTACTTTGACACCTATGTGACATGGCTATCCTTTTCTCTTCGGAAATGTCGTTTCTGTCTTGTGTGCCTTAACCTGCTTTTCACGGAACCTCGCTATCATCGCTATGTCTTTCCGCTTGACTTGTTCCATCAGCTATCCAATACAATCGTCTCCGTCGCTCGACCACGATTAGGCCACGCGCACGAGTTGACACCGCGTAGGAATTGATCCCGTCTATCATACGCCGGGTATTGACAATGGCTTACGCAAATACGGAAGCCTTGTATCAAATCTCAAAGTACTTCAATGCTTAATATGACGGACGGGACGACGTAGCTGTGATGGTTCGAAGATTCTATTGAAAAGTATGTATTGACCCGATAATATACGGGCATTACTGACATCCACATACGTTCGCTATTGGCTGGCATATTGCAGGTAGCGCCAGGACGCCGCAGTGCGTCAATGCCATTGCATATCGTATACGGCGTATCGCCCTGAAAAGCGGACATGAGCACCCCTCTTCAAGTGCTATTACTAAGTCGAGGTGCGCACCATCTTTCGCTCCGTCACTGTCGGACGGAGGGGGGAGAATGGGAATTATAAGCGCCATCAAGGTTGTCCAATGCACCATGCTCAATAGACTCTCATAGTTCACTGTAGCGCCGCGTCAATGAATCGGGCTCAGTTGCAGGGCAAGTATCGCTGAAGCCGAAGACGACAATGCCATTGCCATTCCAAAGGGAGCCCCCTGCTTCATTGATCTACGGACGCTGAGCCGGGATATTGGTGCAACTGTCTTCTCCCCTTGGCATATGTAGGACAAGTTCACGATCATCTGGAAGACGCATTGGCTAAAAGTGGATATCTGTGCAGGTCAGCAGCGTGAGTGGATTCTTACCATCTAGGAAGGTCCAGACTATCGCCCATCACCACAATTCTGCGCGGGGCATGGAATCTTTGCCTGCATAAAGTTTGGATGCAATAGGTCGCGTCTCTTCTAGCGCGATTACTCGTATGTCAGTGCATTTCCATGTCATGCGGGCCTTCTGGCGGTCCATCCTATTGATCTTCGGGTTGCTCTTTGTGGACAACCTGTGGGAGCATACTTGATCTTCGTTGGACCCGAGCATCAGGCTGCCCTCAGCGTCCTCAGCACAGCTCGAACTCAATCGTGCGGAACGACATCTCGTAAGTCGTTCGGCGCGACCCTCCGATCGCACAACTTCGCATTGTTGCAACCGGTCCTTACCTCAAGAATAGTAGGTTCATCCGATAAGTAACTTGCACAATGAAGATCTCAGCGGCGATATCGACGAGGTGGAAGGTAAGCCGCATCCGTATGTTGCAAGATCCAGAATGCAGCCGTCCTCGCTCACATTCGGCGTTGAAGACCTGAAATAACTTGCATCACGCATGACCCAGCATCGAGCCTAGAAGGTGGCGATGGCAAGGTGGTAGGGTTATTCATGGCACCCGTTACGGACACGTCTAGTTGATACGTTCGGGCTCTGTACTGCTTCTCATGTAGTGACCATACTCGATTCTGTGTACATCAGACCCTGCAGATACGGTGGGGGAATGTATTGTGAGTACCTCGTTTGCGCTCTTATGCCCCAAGGATTCACTAAATTCAAGAGTCTAGCTCGACTTTGTAGTGTATACTCGTCGGAAAAGACAGGTCCAGTACCGTAAAGAAACACGCGCGGCAAGTTATATCGACTGAGCACTCTTCTGCTCTGTCGTCAATGATGGTGTATTCGGTGAGTTCATGATCATTTGGTCTTTCGCGCGTCAACCACTTTCAGGTATTCCCCATAGAAGATTTGACCCATACCCATCGCAGCGATAGGGCAAGATCTCGCAATCGCCAAAACTTCACGGTCGCTTGTTCGTGCTATATTTATCATTCATTCAACTCTGTTTATCCCCTTCGGATGAGTCAACGGCGCGTCCGTCGACGTTGATAGTCAGTAAACGAACGTGTGCAGGCAAGTGATTTGTCGATGGACTTCTTCGCATGTTTCCTGCCGTCATACGTATCTGGCATTTCGCGGCTCTGTCTAGAGCGACTATCGGACTATCGCAAAATCTGATGAACTCAAACTGCCAGTATATGACTCAAACTTTGGTCGGTCCTGCCGGATCACAGGAAGACGATGTTCTACTTGAATGGACGGCGAGACGGCACCAGCGTGATCGTTCGCTGCCTTGAAGAAGCAAACTCTACAGGGAAACCGTGAGCAAGACAGATCGTGAAGCTCCCATACCCATCGCTTAGCGAAGAAGTCGTGCCGACGCATGGTACTTACAACATGGTATTCGTCGTTCTGCCGCGAACGCCCAACGCGATATGATGAGTATCCGTAATCGTGGGTTCATTGCGTCCATAAGCTGCTCTGACTAACAACCAACCGTGGAAAAGCAGAGGTCACGTCGTGTGTCTTGGTGTACGAGCGATGCTTGTTCACTAGCCTGCATATGTCAAGAAATTGCCCGGTCCTGGAGCGCGCCGCGAAGCTCAAATGATGGTCCGTCCACGGTTACTGGTAAGCACTTGCATTTGCAATCACGCGCGTCATGACAGTCATGGCCCAGGGTGTCTCGTCATAAGTATTAGGACTGGGCACCAAATGTGAAATCCATTGGTTGGTGAGAAATATCAAACATAGTAGTTGGAGACAAACTGATACTCTAAACACACTATCAGGACCATAGTAGAGTCTGGAGCGAACCCCAAACAGCATCAAGCGGGGACGGCCTTCGAACCGGATGGATGGTCTGCAGACCGATGCCCATATGAAATTGGGTCGCTGGGAGTACCTGCGGAGCGCCGTCGAAATTCTACTCTCAGCGTCGGAAGCTTCGGTGGCAATACGGGCATACTGCCACGCTGGCGACTCCCAGGACAATTTTCTGCTGTCAATTGAGTCGAGAGGAGAAGAAGCGCGTCAGCATTTCTGGTGGCATTCCTTCAATCTCGGTGAGTCTGTTCGCTGCCATTATTTGCGTTGGACATAGATAACCCTGGAGCAAGGGGAACGGGAACAAGCCGTACTAGCTGACTATCTGAATTCTCGACTTGCGGTGAGAACAGCGAGAATGGTTGCCAACGCGACGATGGACAATGTTCTCTTCTTTTACGCCACGAAGTCGAGCGGTAGTGGAAGTCGTCTCGGCTTGTTCCAGCTCTTTTCATTTTGATTGGACTACGTCGGAGGCCAGAAGACACTAGATGGACAGGCTTCAAACTGCCCGAAACGACGCTGGCTCGGATTATCACACCGCTGGGTCTTCTGCTGCTTCCCCTCATTGACATTCTAGGGACACACCGCACGCTGTCGAGGGGGATACGGAGAGCTTGAAGAGTTCACGCCAAAGACGGTATAGTCGCGGCGTTCCGCGAATTTACGACAAATGTAACATCTTTCAAGCCACCATTTCACAGCCGGTACTTCTTTCCATTATTTCAATAGCCAGATGCCTTTCTGTCTGACTGACTCCAATCGTTTGGGGTTAGTTCGGCATCCCAGCCCCGACTGAGTCTCACACTTCTCGATCAGGGCACGGATCTGCCGTAAGTCTTCCGCATAATCAGACCGCGATGAAGGAGAAGCCTATCAGCAGAAGCTGCGAAGGCAAAGCTCCGCTCCTCGTGCCTGCTGTTTCAGCAGCGGCAGTGGGCACATCCCATGGTGTATACGTTGATTGCTCAGGTACCCAGGCCACCTCGAATTGCATATCAGTGTCTCCGCAGTACCTGCGTCCCCACGACACATACATTTACGTCCAGGTTAGGGTGAGCAACGTGTTCAGGGTCATAGCCAACGCCGAAGTGCTAATCGCAAGTCTAATTTCTTCCAGAAGAGTGATCCTCGACGTCGCGACCAGGCTCAATTCAACCGCACGTGCTCTCACTGAACTTCCCGCGATCATTATGAACATAAAGAGACGCGCGTGGCCGAGGATGCAAGACGGCTTGGTTCCCCCGACTTCGGACCGTACACGCCAAATAGAACGAAGCCCGCGTCGCCAATGCCCGAGAACTGACTGGGCTAATGATTTACCGCAGAGTTGAGTGCTACTGAGCGGGCCTACCGCGAAGCCTTCTTGACCGCGACCGTGACTAGTAGTAATCTGACGACGTAGGTGACGGTACATGCATTGATGATGGGGGACATACAACTACAGCTGATTATACAGTGTTTAGGGTGTGTGTGGAATAAGTTACGACGTGACGTCCCGGCGTCGCTGTGGCGAGAGCTTCTATGTCTAACTATCTATGTGCATAGGTTTGTCTGTGGCTACAAGAGCCAATTTTACGATGCGACGACTGTCGATGCTTGGATCCGATGATTCGGAGTCGATGCTAGAGACGGAGGATTGTATCCAGTGAGTCAATACACCACTCCATACAATGAAGATACTCACATGACATTGATAGACTTATGTCGCTCATATAGCATGGGCGTCGCCGACTCTTGCGACTGTCTACGGAGGTTGCGGATGACGTAGTATCCTCCGAGTGCGCCGCTCTAAGCGAACAGTGTGGTCAGGCTGATGTTTACTACCACAGTGCCGCATTCGTGCTTACTCTGTACGATTGATCGCGTGGTACTTCGACTGCGTTCAGCCACTCGACCGACAGACGAAACCCTGACGCCTCGACCATTCTCATAATGGTAGACTCCAGGTATGTCCGTGGTATTGGGGAACCGTTGAGCGTCAGCTCGACGTTCTGCGAAAACGTGTCGTTCAGAGCTTGAAGGCAATCTGCGGATGTCTTCGCCTCGAAAACGCGCTGAATGTGTTCTTGGGACCATGCATAGAACGTGGGGAGGATCGTCATGGCCGCGTTCTCTGGAGGAAGAGTGGGATTATTGGGTAGGTGTGGGATCAAAGACGAGTGCGGAGGGTGAGTTCATGAACCCTATGTTTAGACGGCTTTTATGCACCCTCCGCTGTTCAAACAGATCACCAAGGGACAGCACATCCGTGTGCGCCCATAACCAGAATATTTGACTGCTGGGTTCCCGTGAGATTTGATTTGGACATCATGCGCGGAGAGGAACGTGGCGGGGACATGACAGGGTTCGCGAATCTGCTCTAGCTTCTCACCCCTCATAAAAACGACATAGATTCGAGAACTCTATCCAGGTTCTTAATGATCCGCAATCGGGAACGCGTTCGACCAGTACGTCAGCGGAAGGAGTACAAGATGTGGTTGGGAGTGAGGTTGATCGTGACGGGCAGATGGTACGGCGCACTCAGGGGTCGGCAGTGGCGCGCACAATTGGGCGGGCATGATCCCTGTCGTTTCCTCGGCTCCTTTGAGGCGTAATGGGCGGTTGTGAGCGTTTTGCGATGAACTGACGTCGGCCGCATCGAGCGACATGGAAGGGATAACGGTGAACCCTGACGGAAGACAGCCACCAGAGTTTGCAAGGGCAAGCACTCAATGCGCATTCTCGAACGGGGACATTGATCGACTTGACACGCATCCACGAGGAATATGCGCCGACACTCCCACTCGGCGTTGTCGTGCTTCGTCGTATTGACCGCCTGGGATGCACCGTGGTGCGTACCGACTCGCCTGGGCCACTTACGGAGCGTGAGTGCAGCACTGACACCTGGCTCTCAACGCGTCAGTCCACTCACTGCTGGCCGCGGTCATCCGGCGTGATAGAATCTAATGATTACGGCCCTCGAACCATCGCGGTTCATCCGAGGGACCGCACGCCTCCCGCGTATACAGGACGTCGTCCCGGATATGGCCATGGTCGTGCGGGTGTCAGCGCAGTCATCGCTTCACACGCACGAAATATAGACTTTTCCAGCGCGGCCGGAGCCCTGACCGCGAGCAGCGAGATCCATAGCTGCTGGATCCACGAGCTGCACACCGGAAGAACCCACGGAGGCTGAACACAAGGCACGCTGGCCATTGCCGAGCTTCGTCCCACCCTGCCCTCGAATATACTGACTGCCACGGTGCGAGCCTATACCGCACTTAGCAGGACGCGCCCGGACACATGCGCGGCTTGCGAAGACAGCTCTTTAGACACCACTCTCACATCACCGTTCACACTACAGTACGAACAGTGCACCACAGATGGAACGGACGCACGAGAGCGGCCCCGCTGTGCGTACACATGCGCTTCCTCTCATCTGTCAGCACGAGGCACAGCGCGGACGTGTTTAGAGGATTACATGTCGAGCGACATTGACAAACGACACGCCCGTACGACTTGAGAACGCGACTGGCACGGACTGCGTGATCAGATGTATAGCCCGGCGTCATATCCGCGCATGTCAATCAAAGGCAATTACAGCACATTGTCTATAGATTACCTCAGTCTCGGGCAGCTCGACAGACTGATACACACCTCATGCCTGGTGCCACCGCTGATCATGCAGGCCGCGGCCAATGTCCTAAGCGGTTACATACAAACGTTTCCGTTGGGGAGCGAGTATACAGCGATATTGGTAGGTATCCGTTGCGAGGGGCGCATTATGGGGGCTACAGGGTACAGGCGCGGGGAGTCGGGTCGGAGTACAAAGTTTACTTCAGTGCCCTCTTCATTTGCTGCAAGATGAGAAGTCCAGGCGGGTCAGTGCCTCGCGCGACGGGGGATAACAAACGAGGGCTACTGACCTGTTCCATCGTGTCCAGGTTGTCCGTGTCTATCCGCTCGATCTTCTTCCCGGTCGCCCGCTCGATCTCCGCCATATGATCCCACGTCTGCTTGTTGTGAACGAAGTTTATTGACGTGCCGTTGCGTCCGAACCGACCCGTCCGACCTGCACACGCACGGGAGTTTCTCGTGAGCACACGGCACACCAACGCGACAAGACGACACATAGAAGATAGACGGGGCCACAAGCCAAACCCAAACGCGCGCGCATCGCCCGGGAAAAGGGCTGCTCATGCGTGGCCCACTCACCGTCCTGCGGTCCAGGTAGTACGTCCTTCTAGAAGCAGATTGGCTCGCCGCAGATTCAGGCCTTGCGGGGCTGCTCTAGGCGCGGAGTGATCCTCCACACATAGTAGAGCAGCATTCTCGATAATCATCCTCGGCGAAGCTCCAGTCGGGGCCGCAGCCACCCGACCTTTACCCACCATTCTCGCCAGAGAAACGGCGAGGGAAGGGCGTCATGTGTATGCGTGAGATCTGCCGCGTGGCCCATTCTAGCGTCCAGCCATGTCGGACATGACGCAGAGGCGGTCATTTATCTCGTTCGAGGGCACCCGGCGCAGCAATGTTCCATGCGGAAGGGTGGTGTGCGGGCCCAAGCTCGACAGCTGACTCTGTCCACCGCCCCTCCCGCTGACAAGGCGCGAGGCAGCGTCGAGGTGAAAACTCAACGAGGCAGCAATTACCGCGCGGGCCCGTCCTCCACGAACCACGAACGCCCAGAGGCGCGGCTGCCAAAGCGGGGAGGGCCCCCCAGGATCTGCGGCGGAAACAATCTCGAGCGATCGTCGCCGCCCCGCACGCCAGAACGGCGAGCGCTCTGTCTTTAGATCATAGACACGAGTGCCCGCTTCCCTGTCGGTCGAGTGACTGCGCCCGCGCATGGGACGGCTCGCGCGCCGGACCCAGGGCCGCGCGGGACTGAATTGACAGCCCCCGAGGGCGAGGGACCACGATCGGGTACGTAATGCGCACGAGAGCGGCGCCACGCACGCAAAACGCACGACCCAAGAATAGCGGAACAAGAAAAGACCCAGCACATCATCCGGCGGCACACGCGCGACACTCACCGATGCGGTGGATGTACGTCTCGATGTCGGGGCGGGAGTCGGCCTTGTTCCCCCAGTTGTCACGCTCGTTGAGGAGCGGGAGGTCGTAGTTGACGACCATGTTCACCTGCAGGATGTCGATCCCGCGCGCGATCACGTTCGTCGTGATGAGCACCTTCTCGCGGCCCTCGCGGAACGAGTCGATGATCGCGTCGCGCTCCGACGCGTCCTTTGCACCGTGCAGCGACGCGACCTTGTGTCCCTGCGCCGTCATCCGCTGTGCGATCTGGTCCGCTGTGTGTCGGTGCTGCGTGCGCGCATTCAGCTTCATACTTGCCACGGGCCACAACGCGTACGCACCTGACAGAAGATGATACTCTGCCCAACAGTGAGGAGCTCATAGCATTGCGTGAGCGCCGTGAACTTCTGCTCCTCGCTCTTGCAGTCGAGGTAGAACTGGTGAATGTTGTCCACCGTGAGCTCATTCTTCTTCAGCTCGATCTTGTTCGCATTCGGTGCGAACTTGGACGCGAAGCTTCGCACGTGGTCCGGGAACGTCGCCGAGAAGAGGATGATCTGCACACCGGTTCGCGGGAGCATGCTGCGCGCGCGCGAGAGCGAGTCAGCCAGCCAGTCCAGCGTCTGTGCGCGACGCGACGCACTTTTTGACACGCAGCGTCTGGTCGCCGAGCCCGTCCTGGTCGAGCATGTTGTCCGCCTCGTCGAGCACGAACACCTTCACCTCCGAGGTGTCGATGACCTTGCGGCGGATGAGGTCCGTCATCGTGCCGGGCGTGCCGACGACGATGTGCGCGGACACGCGCGACGCGCCCTTGGGCAGGTTGTCCTTGATTGCGTACTCCGTCTGCACCGGCGTGAACTTGCCCATCGCGACGACGACGGACATGATCTGCCGCGCGAGCTCGCGCGAGGGCGCGAGGCAGAGGGCCTGCGATGCGGGTGTCAGTCAGGGTCCGATATGTGGGTGAAGGTCGAGAGGGCCCTGAACCGTTGCCTAACAGAGAAAGGTGTGCCAAGCGCATCCGCGATGTTGACGACGGGTCTATACATGGACGCGCGCCGATACGTTGCGAGGAGCTCCAAGAAGCTTTTTGTGGGGGCCGCGGATGGCACGATGCGGCGGCGGAGGTTGAGGCGCTGGTACCCGAGGCCTTGCGGGCACCGTGCGCTCTGCGCACGCATGCCGGCATCCACGCCCTCGCATCCGGGCGCAGAGATATGATGCCCGAATGTCGTGATCCCCGACGGCCGTCGGGCAGAGCTACGGGCGATCTATGGTGCCCGTACGAGCGGAGACACAGGCGATCAAGGGCCCTGCAGCAGTACTTCTACTCCGTCGCCTCCGAGCATCGCAGCGCATCCCCGTGTGGTAACCGATAGCCCACACAGCGATGCACCTTGTAGAGAACCCGCATGTAACGTACGCCCGAGCGAGCATCGGAGAAAGATGAGACGATTCGCTCGAAGAGTAGTTGTTCAGATGCCTCTGAGCCCCTTCGTCGCAAGGCCACTTCCCAACTCTGCACATGTGCTCAAGCAAACTTCCCGCGTCACGTAATGGCGCCATTGCGTATTCCGCTGCCCAGCAGATGCATGCATGAATGGAAAGCCACGCGGGCATCCGAGTACAGCCGACGCCACACGATATAGAGCCTCTCGCGAGTGCACTGAGAAGCAAAAACTCACCTGGGTCTTGTGCTGCGTGAAGTCGATGCGGCTAAGCATGGTCAAGACGAACGCCGCCGTTTTGCCTGTACCCGACTGCGACTGGCCGATCATGTTGGTCGGTCTGGGCCACGCAATAAGTCAGCATCAGGGTATCGACGGGGGTAGGACGTAGCACACACGGATTTGATAAAAGGAGGGGCAGGGCGCGTTCTTGGATCTTGGATGGCTTGGAGAAGCCCATATCGTAAATCCCCTTGAGGAGGTCAGCGTGACTGGGGCGGGCGGTCAGACGGCGCGTCGACAAGGAATGGAGGAGCGATGAGACGCACAGGCCAAGCTGCTCAAATGTCTTTGCGCTGAAGAGCGGCGAGTTCGGGTCGGCTTGCTGGTCGGCTAATGTGACCTGGGGGGCGTCCGGTCATCACGAACAAGGTCGACAGGGAGGAAAGCGGTGGCACTGACCGAGACCTCGAAGGAGGACTTGATGAGATCTGTCGCTGCACCTGCGGAAGGGACGCGTGCGGGTGAACACCGAGGAGCGATCGAACCGCGCGGAGGCGAGGGAGGCAGGACGTACTGTCGAGATCCTCTGCGGCGGGCTCCTCCTTCTTCTCTGCCCCTGTGCGTGTGTCAGATTAAATGGGATGTAATTGCGGAGAACATACCTGCTGCTGCTGGAGCGTAGAATCCGTCCGCGTCCTTCTCCATGGTTGCAAGAAACAGAATCGATTTGGGCGGACGCGAAGAACAGACACACACAAGCGCCCGCCTGATCGCGATCTCGCTCGCGCGCCGCAATGATGACCGAGGCATGGCCGGGCCTCCTCCTCCTCCTCCTCGACGCTCTCGACGACCGTCTGCTCGCCGTCTGACTCGTCGTCGTCGTCGCCATCGCTGCCACCATCGTCGCCCGCTACTTGCCTCGGCGACCTCGCAGCCCGGCCGCAAGCCGTGCATGTCTGTGCCCACCATGGTAGCTCTCCTTCCCCGCACGCGCACTGAATCAGCCTCCCGCAGGCACGTCCATGGCCTCCTTCGCGTCCCTCATTGACCGCGTCCGCGGCGGCCACTCCCCCGTCGAGCTCGTCTACGCCTCCCACCCCGCCTGGCCCCACCCCCCGCGGCCCGCTCCCACGCACGGCACTCTCCGCGTCGCCGTCCTCGACTCGTCCTTCAACCCGCCCTCGCGCGCCCACCTCGCCCTCGCGAACGCGCCGCGCCCCGCGTTCTCCGATGAGGACCCATCCGACGGCGGCGACTACGACGCGAAGCTCCTGCTGCTCTCTGTGCGCAACGCGGACAAGCAACTCGCGCCCGGCGACGCGGCGCACACGCAGCGGCTCGCGATGATGATCCTCCTCGCGCGCGCCGTCCTCCGCGTGCCCTCCGCGGCCGTGCTACTCCCATCCAGCGACGGGGCCCCCGGAGGCCCTGCTGCGCCCGGTGTTCCCCACGACAACGTCGCAGTCGCGATCATAGACGAACCCACGTTCGTGGGCAAGTCCTCCGTCCTCCTCTCCTACTTACGGCATCGCCTATCCGCCCCTCCAGCCTCCCTCTCCGCCCCTCCTCACCCCGAATCCACGCCTATTTCCCAACCCCCCGTCGCCCCCGCTTCCCCAGACGTCCCACGCCCGCAGCTGACCTTCCTCGTCGGCACCGACACCCTCGAGCGGCTCTTCGCCCCGCGGTACTACCCCTCCCCCGTTGCGATGCAGACCGCCCTCCGCCGCTTCCTCTCCGCGCACCCCGCCGGCGACGACGCGCGCGTCGTCTGCGCCCGCCGCGCCCTCGCCTCCCCCGAGGCCGACCCGGAAGAGGACAAGCTCAAGGCGGCGATACGCGAGATCGCCGAGGAGGGCCGCGTGCTCCTGGTCGATATCCCGGAGGAGCTGAGGGCGGTGAGTAGTACAGCGATCAGGCGAGACGTGCGCAGCGGGGATGCGTGGAGGGCGATGGTCAGTCCGGCGGTGGCGGAGTACGTAGTCGAGCATGATTTGTACCGTGCTTAGCTATGCTGTTGCTACGAATGATCTACTGGTCTCTTGAATATATCTGCTGAAGGTGACTGCGGTCATGCAAGCGGCCAACGATGACTTCGATGATAGAACCACATGTCGAGGACTGGCACATCTCGACAGTCACAAGTTGACTCAGACGTAGCGGGATGAGAGAAAATAGTAAATGCATTAGTTCGTGAAACCATTCCAGGCGTGAGTACATTCAACATGCGCGACGTAAGTGTAGTAGGATACGAGTATGTGTGTAGATGTATGCGAGAGTGAGTACCATCAGAGAGCAGCAGCGAGTATGTATCATCTAGATCAAAACCAAGTACGACGAACGACCTCTATAGAGCAGAGCAACCAGGATCGACGAGCGACGAGCGAGCATTTTATGACGACGAAGCCTGCGCGAACGCAATCGCAACAGTCTGCAACGCAACCAATCAGCTATAGCTCACGCCAGCGAAAGGCGGACAACGGAAAACTCACCTCAGAGTGACTCAGCGACAAGTGCACCTTCGCGACGCCCTTCGCGTCCGCAGCCGCCTTCGCCTCGCCGTGGAGTGCAACTGTGGGCACGCCCGCCTCGTCCGGCAGGATCTCAATGTCCTTCATCGGCGCGGCGGCGCCGCGCGAGGCCACCCCGAGCGACTTGAACACCGCCTCCTTGCCGACCCACCGCGCCGCGAACGACGCCTCGGGCGCCGGCTGGCCACGGCAGTACGCGATCTCCGCGTCGGTGAAGTTGCGCTCGACGAACGTCGGGTTCCACGAGGGCACCGAGGAGATCAGCTCTGCGCGGATGTTAGCTCGTGAACATGAGAGTGTATTGGCAGTGCGCGTACCTTGGTCGACACCAACGCCAGCAGTAGCACTTGACTGCGCGAGCGTCTCTGTGACCGCCTTCACGTTCGCCTTGTCCACGGGCGGCTCCGTCACGAGCTTCGAGAACGCGTACGAGCCAGTCTTCGGGTTGTACGACGTGCGCGCAAGCGGGTTCAGCATCACGCTAGCCTCGATCTCCTTCGTGAACGGCGGGCCCTCCTTCACGCGCACGAGCGAGTTGGTGGTCATCATCTCGCTCATCGCCTTGTATGCGAGGCGCGCGCGCCGCTGGTTCTTCGCCTTGTAGATTGCGTAGGTTGACGGCTCGAGCGCGCCGAGGAGGTACCGTGGGTTGACGATGAGGCAAGTGCCGCCGACTTGACCGAAGCCGAAGGAGGACTGCGATTTCAAAATGAGGACCGAACAAGAATGAGGCGATGATTCAATGACTTACCATGATACCTGCGCGGATGCCATCGGTATGGATCGACTTCGACGGGAACATGAGGTAAGTGTAGTCCTTGAAGTGTGAATCGACGTTGCTACAAGGCATTGTTAGTCACGTGTAAACACAATAGATACGAGTCACTCACTCCGCGTTACGGTTGCCAGCGACGATACCACTGTGCACGCTCTGCAGGAGACCGGCGAGCTGCCACGAAGCGGAGCCACCCTTCGAGTGACCGCAGATGCTCTTCTGCGCCATGATGGGGACAGCATTGCCAGGCGTCCGGTGGATGGTCGAAAAGATGTCGTTCCACACGTGAGTCTCGTTGCTCTCCTGCAATGAGTTGGTGAGCACACATCACGACAAGGAAGTCATACTACTTACGTTCGCGCCAGTGCCGGTACCATGAATGGACAGGACACCGATATCGTCGGCGGTGAGACCCCAGACAGCGAGCGCACGGCGGAGAGGAGAGACCCGAGGGTCTGTTCCATGCAGCATACCGTACGTCGACAATGCATCCTTCTCTTGCCGGGAGGCCTCTTGCTCTATGTCTGCAACGCGAGAAGCGATGTGCTCCTCGTCGACTACTGCGCCTTGGCTCTTGCGGAACTCAACCTCGTCTTGGAGCAGCTGTCGTTCGTTCTCGAGCCATTGAGAGATCTGCCTGCGGCGGAAGGCGAGCTGGCGGGAGCGGTACGCGACATCGAGAATGGGAGCGGGGTGTTTCGACTGAATCTCACGGCCGATGGTTAGCGCACCGCGGCCTGGCGCAGGGACGGATCGTCCAGCCTTGTCACTACATCGCGAGTTAGGTTGCGTCAACACCATGAGGGGACACCACTTACGTTGACGTCGATGTGAAGCCGACAATGCCTCGGATGGGGCAGCCGAGCTCCAGAGCAGTCTTCGCGCTCATGAGGACATGCACACCAGTGCCTTGCGCCTCCATGAACTGAACACACCATCAGACACCATATCATCACGAGTCAGCATGAACTTACCCCTGCACGCGTAGTGGTCGCCGGCCTTGACATCTCCGTTGGCTCGCGGCCCATCGCAAATTCAGTCTCGGAATTGCTGGTTGCCTTCATGTTGGCGAACTCGTACGAGCCTTCCTCGCTGAAGTCATCGTAACCGCCTGCAAGCATGACCTTGGCCTTGCCAGTCAGCAGAGTATCGCAAGCGATCTCGACGGATTGCAACGCGGTTGCACTGAGAATCCGTCAGCATAATGCCAGTCTCAGAATTGAGCGAGTACTCACCAAGCACCGACGGGGATTTTGACCGGCCCGCAGGACGACAAGAGCAAGAGGTTGACCCAACCTGCGGTCGTATTGATGAAGCTGGTGAAGACCATCGTGAGCTACCAAATCAAACGGGGACGAAAACAACGACGTACGTCTCTTGCAAAATGTCGTTCTGAACCTCCTTCTCATCGCGACGATCCTTGAACATCTTGCCCAAGCTCTCCATACCACCCATGCCGCTGCCAATACTAGTACCGACTTCGGACGGGTGCATGTGCTCGTACAGCTCGTACGGATCGGTGATACCGGACATGTTAAGCGCATCAGCCGCAGCCACGAGCGTCCAAAGAGCAGTACGGTCGGTCTGAGCGATGATATCCGCCGGGATACCATAACGTCCTGCGTCCCATCCGGTAGGGATCTGGCCAGCGACCAAGCGGTTGAACTTGAAGGCCTTCGGTACGAAAAGGCGGGCGCCGCGCTTGAGCTTGACGAACCATTGCCCACCCTCAACCTCCCAGATGTCGCAGCTGTCACCGTGCTCGTACTTGAACTTGTCAGCCTCAACCTGGCTAGCCTCGAAGGGCTCGAGGTCGTGCGACAACTGGATCTCTTGGTTAAAGGATTTCTTCTTCGGGTCGTAGCCGCGGAACAGATCAGGTTCTACAATCAAATTAGCGGACGGGGACTGCGAGAAAATTGGAGAACTCACCGATGAGACGAATACCCGCGTGGCTGAGAATGTCGTTCTCGTAGCGGCTCCTCACTTCCTTGTCGTCTACGGGTTCACCGGACTTGGCATCTACCCATCCGACGTATAGAGAACCGTCCTTGAGGCGACCGTCAAAGTGCTTGATGTAACCCATCATCCAGGCCATCTCGATGCACCCTTCGATGGTGAACTCTCCGCGAGCCTCCATCTCCCAACGTGTCCGGGAACTACCCCAAGGTCCGACTTCGGCAAAGCCGGTCACGACGACGACCTGGTCAAGGTCCAGCATGCCGCGCAGCTGCGACACGTCGGAGAGGGACTCCAGGGATTCCAAATGAGGGAAGTCAAACTTGTGATTTGCGCGCGGCGTTACATTGACTGTCTGAAGGACTCGCTCAGCTTCCCCTCCGTTGGTGACCTTGAAGTCTGCAGCGTTGTCGCGAGCAATCGCCCGACGGAGCTCGCTCTTCTTGTTGAGACTCAATCTGATGCGCGTCGTGATCTCCGCAAGGTCTGGAAGTCGATCCATGCCACCGTTGAGGTCGGCCCAGATCGGCTCGACTTGGGTGATGCTGAAGAGGAGCGGATGCATCAGGCCGAGAATGTTGAACGCCATCTCCTTCGCGGAGAAAGTGCGGACGCCGTGGCTCTCTACCTCCTGTGCAACGATGTTCGTGCTGTCCATGAGGCCGGTACCACGAGTCCATCTATTGAGACAGTAAGTCACGCAGCCACTCAGGCGATCGACATACGTACCCGATAACGGCTCCCGCAAGGCAAAGGTATTCACCCCAGCTTTCGGAGTTCCAGCGGTTGAAAAGCGTCTCAAGGCCGATCTTCGACTCAGAGTATAGACCATCGTTACCGAAGAGACCGTGGTTCGGAGAGAGGGGAAGGATGACTTGCGTCGGGCGCGTCAGAATGTGACGGGACGCCTTCTTGACCTTGACCGACCCAAGCAACCGCAGTAGATTCACCAACATGATGCGATGCGCGAGCTCGGACTTGTCGTCGAGACCGTCGATCTCACGACCGTTCTCGGGAACAGCGGCGAACGGCATGATGTAGTCGAGATCGAGGCCGAGCGTGGAGTAAATGTAGTCGACGAGTGCCTCGACGTCTTGCTTCGATCCTTGGTTGAACGGCACGACCGTCAAAGCGGAGCCCTTGCTGCCAAAGCGTTGGAAGATGCCTTGGTAATACTCGACGGTGGAGCGGCTGTATCTCGACGTGGTGATGACGACGTGGGCACCGCCCGACAGAAGACCCTTGAGAACCTCGACGCCGATGGAGCCCTTGCCGACACCAGTGAGGAGAGCATTCTTATCCTTGAAGCTCGTGCCGGAGGTGGCAATTTCGTGCAAGATATCGAGATACACGCCCGTGAGGTTGCTGCTGTACTCCCATGTAGTGCCGACCTTGCGCTTCAAATGCAGAAGAGGAATCTTGTCAGCGGAGACGGATGCGATTCCAGATATCTGCGGACGAAGGAACTGCGAGGACGAGCGACGCGTCCTAGGAGCACCCGGACGCGGACGCGACTCCGAACGCTTGCGCAGAGAGCGAACGACTCCCTCGTACAATGCCTTGATACGGTTCTTCTGCTCTTCGCTAATTTCCGGCTGGGACTTGACGACATTCCACAGCTTTAGAACATCATCCTGAATCTTCTGGACGCTCGACGGTGCTGTGATAGTGTCGCCGCTAGCCATCTCCTCGACGTAAGCTTCCAACTTGCGAACGTTCTCCCGAACGACCTCGGAGTAGACGATGTCACCCTTCGCGGAGATATCGGTATGCGGGGCTGTGGGGAACGTGACTAGGAAGGGATAATGAGCAGACACATGGAACGTAGAAAGAAGTTACTCACCATCCTTATAGAGAGGAGGCTCGCTGACGACCTCCCGACAATTGTCAATTAGCTGCTGGCCGAACTGCTTGGCGAGCTTGTAGGTTTCACCGCGAGTCGCGTCGCACTTATCGATGTAATACTGCATGTACGTGACGAGTTCAGGGTCGGCGCGGTTCATGATCTGGATGCAGCGGGCTGTAATCTCGCGGTCGACAGTGGTGAGACGGCCGAAGATAATGTCGTAGAACATGAGCAACGCGTCTTGACGGACCCAATTCCAAGAGGAGTCGAAGTGCCTGGCCTTGAGCGCGTCGAACACGGGTTGAATACCGTCGAGGTAAGTGTCGCCGTGCTCGCGAGTGATAGAATCGAGGCGCGACTGGAGGGCTGCGACGTTCACCTTCTCGTTCTCGTACTTGTGTTCTCCAGCCCGCGAATCGCGCTTCAGGTACCGCATGTAGAGCTCTACCTGCTGAGCCGCAAACCACTCTTGCTCGGCCTGGAATTTCAGGAACTCTTCGCTGTTGATCGTCGGTCCTGCTGCTGCACCACCTGCGCCGCCTGCAACGGCGCCAGCCGAAAGACTGATGCCGGATCGCTGAGCATACACGGCCACGACAGAATCCAGCCACGCCTTTGCTTCAGCCTCAGATCCAAGTCGTTTCGGTGGCTCCATCGTTGTACCGAGCAGTAGCACGCCGTCGGCACGAGCAGATCCCAGACCCCAGCTCTTGGAGAGGTACGACTTGATGGCCGACATGTTGAAACCGCCGGGCATCTTGCCGCCAACCAGACGACCGATGAGACCAGACGTGTACTTGCCCAGGTTACCTGCGAAGCCGACACCGAGAGCAGAGCCGAGTTCCTCCAAGGGGAGTTCCTCTCCCTTCTCGGGCGCTGAAGAGAATTCGAGTTGGAGGTCACCAAGTATCTCATTCTGGAGCGTGGATTTGCCGCCGGAGAGGTCCTTGATGGACTTGGAAAGCGGGATCTCATCGACCCGCTTCTTCAGCTTCTGAGCAACGATGACGCCCAACACCTCGATGGCCTTGAGTGGCGCGTCCTCCACGCTTGCGGCAGCGGCTGCTGCAGGTGCAGGTGCAGCGGCGGCAACAGGCGCAGCGGCGGGAGAGGCCGCGGACGTAGGTGCAGCGTCTGCTGCTGGAGCCTCCGTGGCTTCCGGCTCATCCTCGAACTGGTAATACACCTCCTTGACGTTCTTAGCGTGGCAAAGGATCACCCTCATGTGGCTGACGGAATCGTCCTGGGCCTCGTACTTCGCCTTGAGCGTCCTAGTGGCCATACCCGTGAGAGTCGGCGACGGGCCGATCTCGATCAAGCGTTCGAAGTCATAGCGAATGAACAAGATATCCTGCGTCTCGATCCAGCGCACAGGCGACGCGAACTGGTAGGCGAGCAATTCGACGAGGATGATGTATGCGAGCTTCTGGCGCTGCGCAGCAGATCCCCACTCCTCAGAGTCCCACTTGCGGAGGACCTTGTCCAGGCGAGCGGAGAGCGTGCGGTCGTACACAAGTTGGACGTATTCCTTGGACACTTCGAAGGGCTGCGCGACAAGGTTGGGCACGTACTTGCCGACGAGAGTGTCCGGGTTCAGATGCGCGGGATTGATCTTCTTGGACAAGTCTAGTGAAAACGTTAGTGTGGTTCAATCGACGAAAGGTGAGCTACATACAGGTTCTGAAGGGCATGACACCGGCCCACAGATAGCGCGAGTGGAAAGGCACATCAATGCCAGGGAGCGGGATGGTAGCAAAGCCACGCTCGAGCTTGATGTAACCCTCGCTTTCCTGCTGCTGCTTGGCTTTCGCGTAGCAAGAGTCGATGATTTCGCCGAGCATCTCCTTCACCTGATCAATCGTGAACTTCTCCGTCAACTGCGACATGCTGTCAGTACACGCGAAAACAACATTGAAGTCGCCCTACCTTCTGAATGTCGATCTTCTCGATCTTGAGATAGTTAAGAACATTTGTCATGGTCTGCAGAGCAACAAGCTCTCCAGCACAGACGTATTGTTGGCCCTAGTACACAACGTCATTCAGAGAGTAGCGGCAATCTGTTCAACCGTACTTACCTCGACGTTGTAGTTCACGATCTCGAGGAGGCAGTTCGTCTTCTGCGCGATATCGTCGACGACCTCACGGAGCGCGGCATCTGTGAATGTCTTAGACACACGGCTCGGGTTGACTGCGCACATCGCGTAGTTCGACCGGTTCTGCGAGTCGCGCTCGACAGCACGCTGCATCGTAATGCCACGGTAGAACACAATGTCGACGAGAGAGGAGATGGCAAGGACGTCGGCGATGGACGCCAGCGCAGAGTACTCGCCCAGAGAGTGGCCAGCGAAGGGGGCACCGTTCTGGACCAGACCCCTCGAGCGCATGTCTTCGAACGCGGCACGTTCGGTAACAACGAGAGCGATTTGAGCGAACTGGGTGGCGAAAAGCAAACCCGTGGGGTGGCTGAACGTGTATCGCTGAGTGCGAACGTGGATGTCACCGAAGAGAGGAAGTGTCTTGACGTTGCCGTCCTTGTCCATCGTATCGTAGGTCATGTCCATGTAGCGCTGACGAATGGCCTGCCCCTTGATACCACCGAAGTGAATGGTCTTCTCCTTCGGGTTGTCCTTGACGATCTCGACGATGGAGAACCCGTACACAGCAGTGAGGTGAGCATCAGCAGCCTCCCAGACCGAGCGCGCCGCAGGTGAATTGTTGTACAGGTCCATACCCATGCCCGCCTCCTGGGAGCCTTGGCCAGTGAAGACGTACACGGTCTTCGGTTGAGCGACCTCGGCAGTCCCCTCGAGCACCTTCTCGCCTTGGGAGTTGGTGGTCTCCACGCGTACGACGATGTTCCCGTCACGCATGCCAATGTGCTTGACCTTGACACTGAGCTCCTCTTGCGGCAGAACCATACCGACGAAGGCCACATCGTAGCTGTGTGCTTTGGTCAGCAATGTGACCATGTTGATACAGAGAACAACTACTCACGCCTTAACGCGATCCGGCCTGCCTTGAGCGACGACAGTCTCGACGAAGCGCCTCGTAGCCGCGCTTGACCACATGCCATGGGTGATCGTGCCGGGGAGCGCGGCGAAGTCAGCGAAGTAGGGGTTGATGTGAATGGGGTTGAAGTCGCCCGAGATCTTGGAGTAAGGTTCGTTCGTTGCAGGCGAAGCGAACGTCGTAGTGCCCGACTGGCTCATAGTGTAGCCCTCGTTGGCCAATGGGCTCGGAGAACCCTGCTGGCTACCGTGGCGTTGGAGATATGCGAGAACGGGGTTGCCGCGGCTGTCATCCTGCAAGAAGTCGATCGAGCCGACTTTGACCAGGCGCTTGAGCTGGTCGCGGACGAAGATGTCGCCAGAGACGGAGACGGTCTTGAAGCACGTCTTGTTGCGGTAAGTGACCTCTGAACGGATACGGAAGATGAGACCAGTCCCGGCCTGGAGCGGCTTGGACTCGTCGTCCCACTCGAACCACTCCTTCGACTGTAGCACGCCGACGTCGGCCTCGGTGGCGACCTCGACGAGGTAATCCGGCTCCTCGGTGACCTCAAAGGTGTTCTCGTAGTCGGAGTACCGGCCGCGGTAAAGGAATGATGACACAACCTCAATCATCGGCACGCCCTCACGCTTAACCACGCCCTTGACCTTGACGATCTTACCGGCGTCACTGTTGGTGACGGAGACGATACGAGCCTCGGCCTTGCAAACGTCGCCGGCCTTGAGGGGCTCAGCGCCCTCGACGATGCGGAAGCCGTTCGAGAGGTGAACAAGCTTCAGCAAGTCGCCGTCGATTGCGGAAGGGAAGATCGCCTTCATGATAGCCTGGCGAAATGTCAGAACCCCACGAAAGTCGCACAGAATGACTCTGCCTTACCTGCCAACCCGTAACAATCGCGAAATCCATGGGAGCCTCGACGCGCTCGGTCCTGACAGTCTTGAATGCCTCACCCTCGTTGCCGACAACCGCGCAGAACGTCTCGACGTCGTTCGCCTCAATCGTGACCTCGGGGCCGGTGAAAGTCTCGCGGAGATTGATCTCCGGGAGCACCTCGTTGTCACCGAACCAGAGGCGCCAGTAGAAGTCCTTGATGCGCTTGTTGCGACCCTCAGCGATCTCGTGGATCGGGGCATAACCCATACTCGGCTTGTAGAGGAACTTGAAATACAGAGGAACGGAGGTGTCGCGGCGGTCCTCGAAGAGCGTGGCGTCGATGGCCTGCGTTGCCTGGTCGAACTTGACCTCGACGGCCTTAAAGTCGGATTTGTGCTGGCCGTACGAGCGGGCCCCGCCGTAAAGAGCGACGGACGCAGGAACGCCACCAACCAAGGTGAGAACGACTTTCTGGCCCCTACGAGGAGCGAAGAGACGGCGCATGGGGTTGTCGATGTACGACGTGCCCTGGACAATAGTCGTCGACGTGAGGAGGGCCCTGAGCCAGTGCTGACTGGGCCCAGCGAGAGTCTCGAGCCAGGTCGACACCTCAGGCAGGGTGTTTCCAACGGAGTATGTGATCTTGTCGGCCTCGACGGAGCGCTCGACACCGAGCGACGCAACGACGCTTTCCGAGAGGGGAGCAGGCTTGGTGCTCAGGTAGTCAGCAGTCGGGACGCGGCTGAGGTCGCCACCGTAGAGCCGCTCAGAGAGCTTCTCGACGAGCATTGCGGTGATGTTGTCAAGCATCTCCTTGATGGGTTCGTCCTTCTTCGTCGCATGCTTGACCGCGACTGGGCCCTGCAGGATGCAGACACGCTGGGGGTCCTGGTCGAAGACGGCGTTGATGTCTTCAGCAGCCCATAGGGAGTCCTACCCAGAACGTCAATTGCAATCCCTCACCACGAAACTATCAACGTACCTTCTTGAACCAGACCTCGAAGTTGGCGTCAAGGACGGGAATGAACGGAACCGGCTTCTGACCGGGACGCTGCGAGATCGCGAGGAAGAACGCCTTGTCCTCTGAGGCCAAGAGCTGCTCGGTGGCTGCAGGGTACGTCGAGAAGAAGAGCTTGACGAAGTCGTCGGGCTTGTCGAGGGAAGAGTACGACTGCAGGATCGACGCCTTCGATCCGCGGTCAATGCCCGCAAAGCGCTCTTCAACCCGGCGGAGCCAATCGCCCGTGAGGTTCCTGAGCGACAAGTCGACCCAGCGCTCCTCGTGCTCGACGTACATGAGGCGGATCATCCGGAGGACGACCTCCTCGTACGTCATGTCCGCAATATCCTCGACGGCGCTCCCGTCCTTCTTCCAACCGAACCACGGCTTCGCAAAGTCCTTGTTCAACTTCGCGATGATCTCAGCGCGGCGCTCATTGAGCCACGCCACACGCTTCTCCTTGGGCATCTTGAACACGGTGTCGTCGAACTCTTTCCAGAGCTTGACCGCGCGCGTGGCGACCTTGTGGATCGGCTCGCCGAGTTCGGACTTGACGGTGAGGATACCACCAGTCTCCTTCGCGTACGTACCCTCCCACTGCGCGTCATCGACACCTCTCGCGGCGACGATGAGGTCCTTGACGGACGAGCTCGTGTGCGCCTCCTTCGCGACCATGACGCGAGACGCGAAGAGGAAGCCGTCGAAGGGCATGGGCTGCATGCCGAACTTCTCGACAGACCAGTCACCAGTCAGGTACGGCCAGACATCGTCCGCACCACCGAAGCCCGAGCCAGCAACGAGAGAGATGTTGCTGTGCTGGCGGATGGAGTGGTACGTCGACAGGATCGGCTGGTGGAAGTCCTCGCACGAGTGGTGACCACCCGCGCGGCCGCCCGTCCACTGGAGTATGATGGGGAAATTGGGGTTCGCGGCGGCGATATTGACGACCTGACGGATGCCGTCGACGGAGCCGGGCTTGAACGAGACGTGGCGAATGCCCGCCGCATCGAGACCGCCGATGATCTCCGCGGCCTTCTCCGTGCTGGGTATACCAGCAGCGACACAGAAGCCCTCGACGGGCAACCCCTCGCGGCGCATCTCCTGCCAGAGGGGCAACTGGAAGCCGAACTGGCGCGGGTTGATATAGAGCGAGTTGAGAGTGAGGCCGACACCAGCGGCAATCTTGCTCTGAATCTCGGCGACCTTCGCGCGAAGCGCATTGGCGTTGTAGTGGCCCCCGCCCGCAAGCTCGACGTGGTAGCCGGCCGCGAGGACGGCACTGACGAAACCAGCCTTGACAGTCGTAGGGGTCATGCCGGCGACCATGATGGGCGGTTTGCCCAAAAGGCGAGAGAATGGGGTGTCGAGGTGGATCTTGCCGTCGCTACGGAGCAGTCAGAACTGAAAAAGATGGCGCATACAAGGTCAACTCACCTCGTCTTGACGAGACCGGGCATGAACTTCTTGCTCCACCATTCCTCGTTCTTCACCGTCTGCGCGTCGTACAACTCGACGATACCCTTCGCCTTGTCTCCCGCGACGATGACACGGACCCCACGACCATTGAGGTTACGCGCGGTCATGGGACCGACGCCGCTGAGACCACCCGGACCGAAGTCGATAGCGTGAGTAGCTGTCTCGGGGAAGTTCGTCGCCTTCGCCCAGTGGAGGGGCGACGTGAAGATCTGTTCGCCCAGGGAGCACGTCACGGACGTTGTAAGCTCGCGGAGATCAGAACCTAGCGACAATACTCAGCAAGTGGACACTCTGAGGGTGCGGTTCACGACTCACCGGTCTCGGTGTGATACACCGCCATACCCAGGTCTTCCTTCGTCCACATCTCCTCCCCTCCCAAGTCCTCCTCAAACATCTTCTCCGTCATCCCCCGGAGGTACTCGCTGTGGTACGGCACGCCGACCACCAAGAAGCGCACCGAGAAAACGGGCTTGCGCTGCGAGAACGGGATCTTGCTCTGGTCGAGCCCGCTGGGCGCACGAACCTTGCGGAGGTGCGTGACGAGGCCGTACAGCGCGCGCGCAGGACCGGTGACGACGAAGGCCTTCGGGGCGTTGTGGAGCGACACGCGGAGCTGCGAGTTCGCGGGGAGGTGCTTGTTCGTGCTCTGGACATGCTTCTCGAGGTCCTTCAGCGCGAGCCCCGCGACGAGCAACATGGGGCTCGGCGCGCCCTCGCCGCCTTCGATCGCGTCCTGGACGATGCTCGGCTCGAGCGCGAGCACGGGGAACGCCTGCTGTCCGCGGTAGCCGCAGTAGAACAGCCACTTCATTCCCTTCCGGCACTGCTCGAAGTACGATTCGAGGCTGGTTGACGCCGCAACGACCACGGCGGAAACGACACCCTGCGAGTGACCAGTCGCGCCCTGGAGCTTCTCGCGCATTTCGCCGGGGCTGATACGCGCGACGCGGCAGGTCACCAAGTACTGGGTGAGCTGCGTGAGGCCGATGAGAGGCAGAGACACGGGAACCGACGCGAGGTACGCGGTCGGCGGGCGCGGCTTAGCGCCAGTCAACCAGGACATGACGTCCAGACCGTGCGTGTAGTATGTTGACGACTCGAGACCCTCCATGAGGGGATCAAGGACCTTGGTCATTTCAGCGAGGAATGACGAAACGTGCGGCGTGTACGTGTCGTAGAGAGACTGAAGCTCATCGAAGTAGACCTCATTCGTCCCCTGTCCACCGAAAAGCGCGTAGATTGACGCGTCGGGCGTCGTGAACAACGCGGGTGCTGGTGCGTATGTGATGCCAGCGACGTTCCTTTCCTCTAGGGCTCCAAGAGCGTGAAAGTAGCTCGAAAGCACGGTCTTGCGCACGTCTACGTCGAGAGCCGCCGCGACGGTGTGCACGTCTTGCTGGGACAAGTATGTTGAGGTGAAGTGGTTGACTGCCTTGCAGAGAATCGCGGCGCGGTGGCAGTCGGCGTCTACGTTTTGCGCGACGGATCGCAGGAAGCGGGCGAAGAGCTCTATGGTCGCCTGCTGAACGTCCTCAATTTGCGTGGGGGTATGTAGTGTATCGTCGTGGGTGAATTCATCGCGGAGGACTTCGGCAGCAGTCCACTCATTGGTTTCCGTGGAGATAGGGATGGACACCTGAGACGGTGCAGACAGTCAGTCATACGCGTTCGTGGGCTCGCCGGCTGGAAGGACGTGACACGTCGCGGGCATACGATGGTATACCTTAGACGGCTCTTGCTACACTCCGACCCCTCTCCGGGTGACGACGCGCATGCCTCACGTAACCACGTCCTACACAACCGCGAGGAGATGATGAACACTCACTCTAATGGGGCCCGACTGGATGAGAATGGGGCGCGTCGTGCTGGTGCACGAAGCAGCGGTCGGGGACATGGCGGGCAGTGTCCTCAGGAGTCGAGAGACAGGGATAGGGTGAATGTCCGTCGCGCGGACTTTTGAAGAGGCACGAAAAACCCAACGTGTCCCTCGCCCCAAAGAATCTCTATGGGCGCTTCCTTCTCCGCATCTACGTCCAAATTAGGTAGGTGCAAGCGCCCGTGCCCCAGAGGGGAGCATCTCTGAACAGGGGGGCGGTACATCAAAATTTGAACCACGACGGAGAGGTCGGGCGTGACGGTGTCGATGGGTGTATCAACGGATCCCAACGCTCACACGTATGCGTATCGGCTATACAGAGCTCTCTACAGTTATCCAGGTGCACGACCTTGTAGCTTGTGCGGCCACCAAAAGACCTCACAATTGAACTTTGTAGCGACTAGTAGCACAGTCGCTGGGAGAGAGGAGGCCGTGTTTCTGAGATGTACGTATCTGGCGCTGTATGGATACGCGTTGAATCGCAGAGGATAGCGGAGTGGCTGAAGATGGCCGAGTATAGAAACCGCATTACCGAATCGAGACGTGTTCGTAGGGTGGACATTGATTCGGCGGTGCTCCCGATTTGCATGAGCGTGGCTCGTCGATCCTACATAACGTACACAGTGCTGACTGCATTGACGCGCAGCGGTCCGAGCAAAGCAGCATTCCAAGTACTGCCTGTCACCAAAGGCGCCTCGACGACAGTGAGTGCGACACTGTTCCCCTCGAGCCCTCTGCACAGTAATGCCCCACCTTCCATGTAACACGAGCATGTCGCTAACTAGGTATGAACACGCCATAGCCCTCAAAATCTCGCGATGTCGTTTGCTGGGGCACTGACAAATTACTTCGCACTGTCGCCGTGTTGGGGTTGATAGGCGCGGCGTAGTATCAAGTAGAGGTTCATCGACACTGTCTTCAAAGTGTCTTCCCCATAAACTCGGGCGTGGCGTGATGCAGAGGTGTGTCAAGTTCATGAGAATTCTTCGGAGGCAACACCCGACTCCGTGGCCGCGTTGGTCATATTCGGGTCCGTACACGCATGTAGTACGCATGTACGAGGTAAGCGACCATGCGTGATTATCCGAGCCACGCCCCAGCAAGTGCATTTACGCAGACGGAGAGTAAAGGGGAGTTCCACATCAACGTTCTGCTCGAACACCGTTCTCAAGACAACTTCTGCTGAGCCGTCGGTTCTGCTTACACAACTAATGAGGCAAACTCCCGCCGTTCCAACATGTAGCGGCAGAGGCCCAGTTTCGAGTCGTGAAAGCACCCCCGCGCCGCCAGTGGCAAGCCCTCTTATGCAACGCAACCTAGAGTTCTCCAAGTCGCAGATCGTGTCGGCAATTCTGCAGTAGCTTTCCTGTCCGTTTCAAGTGCTTGTCATCGAAGTCGACGCAACGCGCGGGCCCGGGCCGGACATGCACTGAAACGCGTCTGTGGCTGTCATAGACGCCGAGACCAGGTAACGTACGCGGATTGGTCGCGGTTCAATTGTGCGTTGCACGCGCGCTATCATCTCAGCGCTACGCTCTTCCCACGACTTAGGAGGGCCAAAGCGATTCGAATTGAACGCCACGGCCGTCTCGCAAGTTAGGTGGAGATAGTTAAGCACCTAGAAACGCAATGGAAGGTGTATGAATCTCTGTTTGCTCATGTCCGGCTGCATACTCGCACTGTGCGGAGTGATTCGATGAAGCCCTTTCGGAGGTCACGGGCGCTAAGAGTCTGCCACTGCGATGCGGTCTTCAAAGTGGTTGTCGATTGCTGCAAGTACTTAACATACTTTTTCGGTGAAAAGGGGCTCGCTAAAATCCGAGGGCGTATATGAATGAGAAGACATAGTACCAAGTCAAAGCTTGTGCCCAGCCACCGGAGCGAGCTGTGGCCGTGACAAGCGTGACCGTGCACTGATCATGTTTGGTTTTGTTTGTTCTCCTCAGAAACAGTCCCCCTCGGCCATCGTAGGCCTTTCTTTTTGTCCTACCACGCATCTTCATAAAACTCTGAGTATATTATGAGATGTTTCAGCCATGCTCTTGGCCTACAGCCGTAGAGGGCTAGGCAAAGGAGGTTTAAAACATGAACGCACCGGTGGCAGGGCGCGAGGTTGAGCGCCCTGATAGACGCGGGAAACGGTGCGTGTGGCGCAAATCAACCGCGACCAATCCGCGTAGTATAACCAGGTAGCCACCGCCACCTGCGCGTTGTGGTTGAGATAGTACCATGCGCCTGTCCGTCTGCCATGACATGAACTTATGCGTTGCTTTACCCCTATGACTTTCCCAGTGCGTCACTCTAGATGAACACGGTTCTTGAGGACAATTGCGCCACCATGTGTTCAAGACAATCCACACGGGGGTGTCAAAGGACGCCGGACTTCAAGCTGGTCGGTCAAATTGAACGGGCAGGGATTGTCACTTTACCTGAATACGGAAGCGTGTACCCGCGAATAACTGATGACCTTCACTCGATCGAACTAGCGGTACTCTAAATGGTGCGGAGTACATTGACAGGTCATATCGGTCCATGCCTGGTCTCCGGGCCTAACTTGAATCTTGCCTCCTCACGTAAACTTCGTAAGTCTCTCGTCCACCACACCATTTGAGCCACACTCATTTGAAACAAGATGAGCTCTTCTAGCTGGCCCATTGTGGTATGCATTACATGTCACTGGCAACTCCGGTCGAAGCCGCCATCACAGTGGATCCATAGGTGACAGGTCCGTAGTCACACGATCTCATGAACTGGCCCCGGGCATTTGGACGCCTACAGGTCCTGGCCACGGTAATTTGTCTATGTCGCGGGACATACGCAAACTGCGGGTATGCTGACGGAGTGGGTGCGGGATATCAGTCGGTGAGTAAAATCATACCGGTTGTGTAGGTTCGACCGGGTGCTCTTCGACACTACATGTCATGGTCAAATATCCGGAGACTTGGAGTCCAAATTCCTCCACAGCTAGACATACAGTACGTCGGTGCGTGCCACGTCTAACAAGCCTTGTTCCCGGTACTGACCACGTACAAATGGTATTGGAATGATTGCACCCATTGTATTGCATATGTCGGTCACCCCGCGCCTCACTCAGCGTATTCGCCACAGAAGCTCTTGCCGCAATCGTCATCTCGAGCTCCCGACGCCGCTGTCGATAACGTACATGACCGCACCTGTGGTCCTTTCGGCGCATGCATTCATGAAGACAGCCTGTACGAAGAAATGGTTTGGTCACCGTGCCGGCCTCACAACTCGGAGTATGCAGCTCTGCCCTTCTCCGGCTTCTGCGTCCAAGAGACGTGCGTCGGAGCTACATCTTGGCCTCCATCTGCTGTATAAAAGCTCAAACGCGGATGTACGACTGACAACACCTCATCCAACGCCCAAGCAGCAGACAGAAGCCTCAGGCGCATCGAAGAATGGCGGCAAACCAAAACGGATCGCGTATGTATTGAGATCGAGCATCCCCCACCGTATACAACCGTCTGACATCCTCACACAGACTGGAGGATGCAATTGAACAACTTACTGCAGGCCAACCCCGCCCTTGGCATGCTCGAATGGGAAGATATCCCCAGGGTCCCGCGTAGCCATCAGGGTCCATGGACCGCGGTCGCCAGAGGTCAGTCTCACACCCCGTTTACTTACGAAGAATGAATGCTGATAATATCTGAGTACCTGTAGTCGGAGGCGTTGAATATGGACGAGGCAAGGCCAAAAGCAAGCCCGCCGCAAGGGAGGCTGCTGCCAGGCAGGCTCACGGGCAGGCACTGGCTACCATAGCCCAGCGCCAGGGAACTTGACGTGCGCATTCAGAAATAGTGTTCTGATTGCGAGCTCGTTGGGCTGCATACACATATATACATACTACTGTGTACGAAGTACTGTACTGCACCAGCAAGCAGTCCTTCTGATTTGGGCTGTTGTTGCAAGTATGATGTAACCGCTAATCATTGTTTCTAACATATCTGCAGCAGATGTAAGTTAGTTCAAAATCCTCGGACCCTCATTTGCCACTGACAACCGAACCGTCCGAGTTCCAGTCCCAGTCTTAACCCCGAGGATCGGAAATTGACCCCGAAATTCGAATATTTGCCCACTCATATACTTACACAGGAAACGAACACTATTCATAGCTTGAACCCTGGTTAGTATGTTGCATCCGATGCCGAGCCCCGGAACATCATGATCACGTCGTTGTGCTGAGATGAACGTAAACAAGTTGTCCTCTGCGCATGCAATCCACAACGGCTCTGTTATTCATAATGGTACAAGTCATATCCCCAATGACTATCCTTCTCGACATGATGTGTAGCGGCGTCGTGATAGCCTCACTTCACCGATCATCTCCTTCCAGTCCCAACAACTGCCACTCAGACTGCACCCCATTGAAAGACTTGCGAATCATGTCAGCGTGTTTGGCAGACCGTGGAGCGAATCCGGCTTTGAAAGTGTGTGGCACACTAACGAAGCCTTCGCTCCACGTCATCTCCTCGTTCGCGATGTCAGGCAATATCGGTCGTTTCGTCTTCGGATCCAGCGGCGCGTAGAAGTCGATTCCCCAAAGTATGCGAGACAGGGTGATGAATAGGGATGCTTCTGCTACGTGGCTGCCCGGGCAGAAGCGGCGACCCCATCCAAACGCATAACTAAAGTCGGACAGTCAGTATATCACCAGAGAGTCGACGAAGGATAATAAATCACATCTGCCGTTCGTGCGATATCGGGCGAGTGTCCCAACGAGTCGGTTTGTCTGCTTCATAGAACCGCTCAGGAATGAATGCCGTTGGGTTGTAGAAAGTATTGGGATCCCTCTGGATTGCCCACAGGTTCCCGATCACTGTGCAGCCCTTTGGAATGTAGAAATCTTTGTAAAAATCGTCCTCGATCGTCGCATGTGGTATAGCTAGAGAATGGTCATCAAAATCATATACTAGCAGAATAAATCGGATGGACGTACCCAGCGGAATGCCCGGCCGATGTCTCAGGCTCTCTTTGATACAGGCCACAAGGTACGGCAATCGTTCTTCGTCATCGAAGTCCGGCATCCGGTCTGCACCCACCACGACATCAATCTCCTCACGCGCTTTCTGCAGTACGTTCGGGTAGCTAAGCATATAGAGCACGAATGTCGCTATGGCCATGGCGGTAGTATCGGAGCCCGCCTCTAGAATGGTGCCAGCGGTGTAGGCAAGCAGCTTGTCTTGTAGCCACCGTCCTTGCGTCAGTCCCTTCCCGGGCGCATTCCATCAGGAAAGTGGCACCTTGCCTCAACGGCCTCAAACGGCCTCACCAGTCTAATTTGTACCTCACATGTCTCACTGCCTCACGGATTTTCGACTTGGCAGGCCATGATTTTTCGCACTTACTGATCGACAATACAGTGAATGCATTACATCAGTATATGTACTATGACACTATCGCTACCGAATTGCTTCAATACTCTCGTTCCGTCCACTGCTCGATCAAATCTGTATTCACCGCCCGTGTTAGCGGTGAACCGTAGGTTGAATCATCGCAGGTGTTCTGCACTTGGGCTTACCGTGCCTGTGCCCGTGCCCGTGCGCACCGCCCGCTCGCTCGCTCGTTGCTGCACCTCCGCCCGCCGTGTCTGCCTTCTCGCAAGTCTGTCGTTTTTCACCATAACGCCATGCTCACCATGATGCGCCCTTGCACTCCATGTCCATTTGTCTGGCGGGTGCATGACCGTGCGCGCGGGGGCACCACGCTGTGCCCCGTCATTGGCCAGGGTGGCGGATGCGCGTGACACATGTCGCGCGGGCACGGTCGGTCGATTGCGTGCAACAACGGACGGGGATGTAAGAGAGAGTGGGTACATAGAGCATGCAAGCGGGGATGCAGACGGGGCGCGGCAGGCGCAGACGACGTCGCGAGGCGCAGGGACGTTACGGGAGGTCATTGTGGGACGCGCACGTTGTCAGTCGTGCAGGCCATGCACGTCGTTGGCCGCACAGGTGGTCACACACGCCCGGGGCGGTTGACGAGGCGGAGAGTGATGTTGTGCGGCGACAACAGTAAGTGACTGTTGCGGCTTGCCCGAAGCTGAAGAAGGCTGAAGAGTCAAGACCGTTAAATGTCTGCCCTGAACTGAATTACGACTCCGACCGGCGCTTGGAGTCGACGCGCACACGCGGCCTGCTTTGCTGGCACTTACCAAGCACTTACCCTCACATCGCGCAGTCGCGGGCACCCACCATCGCCGTGCAAGACATCCCCCAAGTACATAGAATGTGAGTTCTGTGTGCACACGCGTGCAGTAAACTGATGGTGGGCACTGAGGCACGCGCAGCGATGGGTAAGGGCCCGGGCGAGTGGGCAGCAGGCAGCGGGCGACTCTTGCTGTCCGCGACTCGTGTGCCGCGTACGTGGACACGAGGATGACCTGAAAGTCGGCATGGGCGGGCAGCGCGTCGTGGGTCCGCATGTCCGCTGGATCCGCAATCGGAACTTGGAAGGAGAAGGCGAGGGAATCGTCGTCACGACCGTCTGGCGAGGAGATGTTTTGCGTGAACCTTTGCGGGAACGAGAGCGGTGAGTTCTATGGCTACGCGAGGTGGGTTCACGTTGACGAGGCAAGGTAGCATAAACAACGAGCCCTACTGACGCTGATTCTTACAGGACGGTCGGTTCTATTCAGTGCGGTGAGCACCGCGTTTCCGTGCGGAGTCGCCCATGCGCCGCGGCACCAGCCGTTCCTCCGCCCAGTCCGCGGGGGTTCTCAACAATGTATGTTCTTCAGTCCTGCGGAGCAGAGGTGGAAGGACAGCCCGCTCCCCGTGTCGTCTGACCCTCCCTCACAACTGCAGGTGCAGGCGCAGCTCCCGCCATCTTCGTTTATTGTAGGCCATGCTCTGCAGCTGCCGACCGAGTCCGTCCACGCAACCCCGCGTCACTCAGCTTTGCCCGAGATGCACATGGCTCACCATCAATTGAGCAGAGCCGGTGGTACTCAGCAGCATCAACCAGCGGACGAAGGCCAGATATCTCGCGCGCAGAGTCAGCATTACAACTACGGGCGCTCGCTGGAGAACATTAACGTGCTGGTCGTGCACTGCGGCGCGACGATCTAGCGCTGGTACAAGAATTGGCTCGCCAACAAGGACGAGGTTGTTGCGGTGACCGGTGCATGGCCCCTATGCATTCTAGACATGTCGGAGACGCTGATCAACGTTGCACAGGTGAACTCATGCCGATTGAGCAGCAATGGATAGCATGCAGAGACGACAAAGCGCGGGTGTGCATGGGGTGACCTAGTGGGATGTGGACGCCCTCATGGCGCTCGCAAATAGGGTCGCTGACCACATCTCGGACGGGTACAGCGAGGAATTAGGACTACTGTTGTAAAATACAATATTGGCTAGCTGAAATATATTTGCTGCTTTGTCGCACTGCTTTCCCGCACGCCTAAGTACCTCATGTGTCTATGTGCCCTATGAGCCTCATTGCCTCATCGCGTCTCAGATGAGAGATAATCTACTCAAATGAGACTTGAATGAGGCAGCCGTCTCAGACTGTCTAATTGCCTCATTGCCTCAATGAGGCAACATAGGCAGGTGGCGCACTTTCCTGATGTCTCGTGCCCGGCAGCCCCACGGGCACTCAGGTAGGAATTAATAAACCCGCTTCGTTGAACTCCATTGCGGAGAGCCGCCTTGCAATCGTCGACGAGGCTTCCCCACAGTTCCATCTCCCTGCAGAGGTTTAGTCAGAATCAGCACTCATCTTTCTCAACGCGAAGCAGTACGACTGACCATAAATGCAGCTGCTGAGCTTTCACCCTCCATGGCGCCAAGAAGTCGGGAAGAAGTCGGATAAGCGGGAACACATCCGCTCTGCAATGACAGTGGCTCGGGGTCAGACCACCATGCTTCATGATTCCGCAGTATTCAACATCCTCACAGATAGTTTCCGGGCTGCGACATTTCAGTGAAGTTGTTGACGACATCGTATATCTTGTGACTGCATCGAACAGGTCAGTAACAATTGCCGCCAGAATCAATTCTGTCCTTACAGGTCTGGGTTATTCACATAACGGGCCACTCGCTTGCCATACATTGCATACAATGATATACTCGCTGCCTATAAATGCTGTTTAGGGCACTGAAAGGCTGATAGAGTGGACAAAGCTACTCACATATCGTCTCACTGGCGCAAACCAGTGTGTATCTGGTACTTCGCCATGTGGACCGCCAGGCGCGTCGTGAAGAAGACTCTGATCACCGTGACACATGAGGTCAAACAAAAGTACGCGCGATTCATGCTCTTGGTACTGTCGAAGCTGCTTGGAGGGACCCGGACCTAGCGTGCTTTGCAAGGCCTTCCTGACTGCCTAACGAAATCGTCAGAAGTTCCCATGACAGGACAAGAGTAAACATATGCGTAGCTATGTACCTTCATTGGACCATCGTACTTCAAGAATGCGAGGCCGAGGCCGTCACGCAAGATGTCTTGAGCGACGTGTGGAGTCGCCCGGCTAGAGTAGTTGTGACTACGCCGGGATAACAACTCATCGGCGGCTTCCGCTGTATTGAGCACGACTACGTCCTGTCCGCCCAATTTGAGGTAGAAGATTTCCCCGTACTGACCGGCCCATTCCAGAAGCTAGAGTTCGAGCATGAGACGACCATCGTTGAATTCCATGAACTCGGACGTTAGGCTGCTTACCTTTGGATGCGGCCGTAAGGCGGGGTATTGGTACAGATTGCCAATGAACGGGAAGCCAGGCGGTCCAGGTGGAAGCTTCCGTCGCAGCGGGGCACGTCTGTAGATGAAAGCAGAGATAACACCAGTGAGTAGCGCAACGACGAGGAGTACTAGTGTCTTTGCGTCACTATTAGATAACATCGTGGCGGTCATCTTGGACCGTACGACCGAGAAATGGACATCCTATATAGCATTCGCCCGCGATAGGAGCCCAACTAAGGGTCAACTTCGATTCTCGTGACGCTCTAGATGGGCTCGTAGGATTCGTAGAACGTTGATCACGTAACCACCCCTGGCCGCTTGAGGGCCCGGGCCTTGACATGTGGGACAACGGGAGAAGACTGTGAAGCCGCAAATAACATACAGTTTGGCGCATTTGGTATTCCCAACGCTGTTTGCAATGCATAGACGACCAACGGGGATATATGAGACCAAGCGCAAGCGCTGCGATAATGTCCTCGGCGTCTCCTCGATACGAATTCGCAGTGACATCAAGTCAGAGCGTGTCAACGGTAGAGGGAGAGCTCGTTCGATCTAACGTCAACAACGCCCTAGGGTTTTTTTTGGTGCGCTAGCCTCCACGATAGACAACGATGGGATAAGAGCGGCCATCAGCAACAGCTTCCGAGAAACGTTCTATGGGGTACATGAGCGCGGATCGCACCTTTACGATGTTGTGCCGTGCAGACATATAGTCTTGTTGTCTGCCAGAGAGTGAGTATCCAGGAGGTGCCTAATGCGTGTCAATCGCCTACAAAGGTGATCCTTCAGTATTGAATAAACACAGGACGGGCATATGAATGATACACTCACTGTCCCATGGTAGTCCATCGAACGGTGCAGGCCGGTGAATGAGCTGTGAAATATCTTCGCATCAGGCAAGCTTGCAAGGTTCTAATGCATTGACAGTGGCAGACACGGTCAGTACAACGTACACGCCATGCTAGACGGCCGTGGGGACGTACCGTCGCTGAGCAATGTCCTCGTAAGCGTGACCTATGGTCGCGGTTGCGGTTGTCTTGACGGCAATGTCGAGCGAAGTTGTGTCATAGTTAGACACGCGCCGGACTTCAGCTCGATGCATGGCGCTTCGCACTGCGCAACGGGTGTGTAGAGGCGCGTCTGAGTCGGCCCATCGCCATAGTGCAGTCACGCGTTGATCTCGAGGAGAGGTAAGCTGTACAGTCGGACGGGGACCATTCTCCACTGACAGTCCGGTCCAATTGAATTGGACTTTGCGATGGAATCCCGGCCCTTGCGCATGTCGTCCTTGCCTCCGGCGAGCACAGAGTTTCGGGCTCTGGCTAGGGCCGCCCACTGCGATAGGGACCATTCCATCAGTACAGTCGACGCACAGATAAAGCCGCCAAGACGATTCGACCATGCTCTTGTCCACTTGCGAAGCAGCGTTGCACCGCAGAAAACAAGCCGTCGCCGGGCTCGCAGAACCCATGATGATGGCGCGCACCGCCCACCACGCTGTCCGTGCTTCTGTCAGCCTTAGCCGATCGATAAGAACGAGTGGCACAAGGCGGTCCAAATCGAGAGAACAAAAGGCTGAGTCGGAATGGCCGACAATGGTTGTTTGGTTGACCAAACATGGACCCACAGACCGCATGATATAAGGCCGGCCAGGGTACCACTTCGTCCCCCATCCCTCTTGACCTTCGACCGCCACTCGGTCTCCCCGTCCCCCATGTCTCGCACAAGACGGGGCACAGGGATTGCGTGACGTCGTCGTGCGTGAACGTATGGCCTATATGCGACTACACCGCAGGTGGCACGGTGTCATGGTGGTCAGATGTACGTCCCTCTCTCAAATGCATCGGAGTGTCGTGCTCACCGAGGCTTCCTTTTTGTGCTCCTTTCTTCCCCGACGGCAACCTGGGTCTCATGTTAGGCCACGCTCACCTTGACGCCACACCTTGCGTTGCGCCACAATCGCGTTGACGCCTGGGCCAGAGCCATCCATGCACTTGATAAGATCCCTCAAGAACAATGTAAGTCCGCGGCGACATCGTCGAAGCATCATGGTCACTCACCTCGATTCGCAGATGCACGCCTCAATCCATGCAACGACTTCAAGACAACATTACAGTTGAGGATCATTGCACGCGGCGATCACTCATCCACCTCTTAAACGGGGCCACCCGTACGTTGCACGATCGGTGAGGGAACCGTCCAGCCTAGGTGTCGTCCGGGCCCGGCTACTCTTGCCGCAGAGTAGTCGGAAGCAGCTGTAGTGTGGCCGTTCACCACGGATGCGGAGTGCACTATTGTGCCACTCCGTAGATGACATGGTGCGCGGGCCCTCTATGGGGACCGTTCCGCTGATGACTGGTTCGACTCCGTCATGGGGCGGACCACGAGGCTATTCGATCGTCGCGTACGGGTGAGAAGGCATGGCACATGTGAGTATTTGACGTCGTTCAGCTGTGTGATGATGACTGACCTTGAGCGTAGGCCATGTCCAACGTCAAGGATCCTAACGATCCGCGACGGGTGTATGCACACGAAGACTACAGCGGGCCGAAAACCTCTCGGTACGAAAGAGGGGCGCCGTTCCATAAAATTATCAACTGAGCGGTGCCCCTGGCGAGGATGCGAAGTGAGTATCCACACTACGCCTCAGTCGACCTACTAGCTGACCGTCATCGCAGATCATCCCAGCCGAACCTCAAGGACACAAGACATCAACGAACAAGCGTGAGCCATGCCCGAGCGATCAACAAACGAAGAACACACTAAATCGCAGGGCATGGCTCGACGGACACAGCCGTCTCGCGCCCCCCGTGCGAGGCGGTGGGGTTTTTAGTGGGTATGGGCCGGAGCGCGTCGACCCCCGATTCTCTAAGTGCACTACCTGTCGGCGCGCGATGACGGCCGAGTCCCACACTGTTCTCCCGCAACAGGAGTTCGTGCGCAGCCGCATTTTCCCCGGAGGAAACGAGCGTGCGCCTCCGTGGAGAGGCGCCTCGTTGTAGCTGAGCAGCCCTCCGCAAAAAACAAAAAAAAAGAAATCACGTACCGAGCGCATCCATTCACCTGCTGTGTACAGATATTGAAGTGAAGCTTGTATCGACTCGTAGGGTAGTGCGTTGACCGCTCGTGTTAGCGGTGGGAATAGAGGCGGAGATCATGGCGTACGTCCAGTCGTAGCGAGTGCACCGTCTTCCAGGTTGTTGTGTATGTCTGCGATACCTGAGTCTTCAAGCTTCAAGCTTCACAATCTCTCGGTGGACCGCAGCGACGATAATGAGGGTCAGCTCGCCTCCATTTGACCGCGCCTGCCACAGGTTCCCCACCATGCACTGTGCGACATGGCTCGCGCACAGAAGGAGGAGGAAAATGGGCGAACTTCTCCATTCTCTCGCCAGGGGTCGACACGCGTACGGTGCAAACCCTGACCTTTGAGTCGGGGCTACTGAGGCCACGGCACTGAGTACCGACATCCGATTGAGTCCGACGAGGCTGCAGACGGTGCAAAGGCAAGCAAGCTTCAGACCCCGGATCGGCGGACAACGCTGAGTGCGGAAGACTCAGACGGGACATGCAATGCTGGTGACAGGTGTAATATCCGAGGAAATACTGCACTTCAATAGTCGTCAGGACGGATGGAACTTAGATGGCGAGGGACGAGAAACCTCGACGCGCTCTGGGAGGACGCGTCTACGTCACGGTAGCGCGTCTACATCCTACCGAGCGCTCCCCCGGCCCGTATACTAGGCATCGAGCTCAACAGAGCTCAACCCACTCTTCACTTTCACTCAGACGACAACGACGAATGGATTATACGTATACTACAACACAATGTGATGCGTATGATACACCATGTCCAGCACAGTCCACGGGGCGAACCAACGTACATAAGGAGAAACATCAATCTCAACAAAAGTCACACAACAACTCGAGAGTCGAAAGTCAGAGTGAACCAACTGGGAGCGCGAGCGGGGTCGACGAACTTGAAGGGAAAGAGGTCCGGGACGCGATATGGGGTTTACGGTGTACAGGATGGTACGGTAAGGCGAGGTGCGTGAGGGACGGTGCGTGCGTGCGTGCGTGAGGGTGGGGTAAGTGGGGGATGCGAGATGTATGGATCCGGATGAGCGGGGATGTGAGCGTGCAGCGATGCATGAGGGATTACGGATACGACGACAACAAGGGGACGAACAGACGAACAGACAGACAGGCAGACGGAACTCAAAGCGAGCCTGAGATCAAGAACAGAGACGCACGGCGAGGTCGAGAGCACGAGCAGAGCCTGAGGAGCAAGCGAGCAGAGACGACGAGGAGAGCGGGGACGCCTGCCAATGGGGTATGGGAGGGTCAGTACGTGCAGCTCAGCAGCGCAGCACGCACGGCCAGCTGCGCCGAACGATGCACGCAGCGAAGGAGGATCCAGGCGAGAGAGAATCATGCCGAGAGGCTGGCGGACCGGCACGCGCCGCCGTCTCGGTGCGCGATCGCAGGAAAGGTGGACAGGACGAGGTCAGGACGCACCCACCCGGGTCCGCTGCACCGGCACCCGCCCACAGCTCACGGAAGGCACGAACGGCGCAATCAGAACTTGCGGCCTCTCCACGCATCGTCGCGCATAAAAGCGTCCCGCCCGTCTCCCTCCGAGTCGCCCGCCCGGCCCCCCTCACCTCGACCGCGACCTCCGCCGCGCGTGCGCGTCCCGCTCGTCCGCCTCGCGCTCGCGCTCCTCGATGAGCCGGACGAGCAGCTCGACGTCGACCCTCGCCCAACCGCTGTAGTCCCCGCGCTTCATCTCCTCGATGCGCGCGCGGTGGAAAGCGATGTGGTATGGCAGGATGACCGCCCAGTGGTGCTCCTCGGAGAGCGCGACGAGCCGTGCGAGGTACTGCGTGCTCGCGGTCGCGATCGCCAGTACATCCGCGCGGCCCGGCGTCGACGGCGTGTGTGACGACGACGGCGGTGACGAAGGTGAGTGCGGGGACGCCGGTGAAGATGGCGTTGACGGGGCGGGCGCTGCGGACGCGAGGGCGAGGAGGATGCGGAAGTAGGTGGAGAGGGGGGAGACGAGCGCGGAGAAGGAGGGGTAGTAGCGCGTGATGAACTCACGCGTGGTCACCGTCGTGGACGCGGACAGCGGGTGCGAGAGGTCTGCGGGCGGCGGCGTGTTCGCGGAGCTGCGGTAGTGCTCGTCGAGCTTGTAGAGCTCGAGCGGGTCGAGCGTGTGGCGCGCGATGGCGAGGAGGATGTCGGGCTCGACATGCGGGAATTGGTCGAGGAGCACCCGGGCTTGCGACGGGATGGGCGCGGCGGGCGTGCGGGACGGCGAGGACTGCGAACGGGCGATGAAGGGGCTGGACGGCGCGGGGTGGACGTGAATGAGGGAGATGAGATACGCGTACTGGTCTGCGGTGAGCGTGACGGTGCCCGGGGCAGGGCTCTTGCGTGCAGTTTGTGAGTGCGAAGACAGGTCTGGTCTGCGCCGGTGCGCATCCTGGGCGTGGCGGGGGTCGGTGGACGGGAGAGCAAGGCCGCCGAGGACGGCGGCAGCGGTGGTCATGGCGGGAGGTGGGCGTGAGGGAGAGCGAAGCTGGCTACATATGAGTACACGGGCGAGAGGGCGGGGAAGGCTAACTGACCTGAGGACGAGGCAAGCGAGCACGCGGAAGAGGGCGGGTGAGAGCGAGAGAGGATGAGGAGATGGATCGGGAGGGGTCTGATGGAGGTCTGCCTTGGGCGCATGCCGCCAGCCCACAGAAAAGGAGAGGTGTGGCGGCGAGTGGCAGGAGCTTGTCCGGACGGGGCGAGACGAGCGTGAGCCTCGAGCGATCGCTGCTGCTGTTCGCACTCCACTCGCATCCCTGCCCCGACGCACACTCACCCAATCGTCCCCCGGCGCCTCCTGCGATCGGGCAGTGACGTAGCATGGTGCCTGGTGCGGCCGTTGCCGCTTCCCCGCCCCCGCCTTCGCTGCTGTCCGCCAGCGCTGTCAGCCTCGTCGGCCTCGCCGCCTCCGCAATGCAGGAGGTGGCCGCTGGACGGTGCTGGTCGTGTGCCTCGGACGCGATTTTCGAAGGCGTGACCGCGCCTCCTGCCTCGCTCCTACAAGTACGTCATGTCTTTCTCGCCGTCTGCGGCCAACAACTCACGGCTATATCGGGACCTGCTTCCTCCGGTCGTCCGCATCATCTCAGACACACATCGCTGTAGTCTTCTCGGTCGGACATAAGTACATCACGTCGCACGACACTCCACGTCAGAATCCTCTCCTATCACATATGCCTGAAGAAACGGGTCAACAGTGCGTTCTTGAGCACTCAGTTTGGTCGGCCAAAGTACGGATCGGTGCCAAACACCCACCGCCAACAAGCATCCTGGCCCAGCCGCGCCGGTACGTGCTTCTGCGATGACGTCTTTGTGATCCTCTACGTGGGCCACACAGTGCTTGCCGCACGTCGGCCACTCAGAGGCATGAAAAGCGCTCCTCCGGTCCAATCCTGTCAAGTAAGCAGATGATGGGGGCGTCTTTCTTTGTCCCATGGTATACCCGTTTGTATACCGAACGCCATCGTGTCTTCTCGAATGTCTGCAATCTTGTAGTGTCCTGCCTGATCGCGGGGCAGTTCATCGGGCACGATGTACCTGCCCAACTGCCATAGGTACAAGTGACGTCAGCTGTCGCAGTCTCCTTCATCTACACGTCCAGGAGGGAACATGAAACGCGTCCGGCTTCATTCTGATACCTGATCGAATTCATGTGAACTCCCTACAGACACTCACGCTGACGAACATGCAAACAGTAATGCAAATGGGTGACAGATCCCACCGGTGTTTCGCACTCGCATCCCCCATCCAGCACACTTTCTGTCTTGCGGTCCACCCCCCTTCCTCCGTATCCTCGGGTCACCCCATGACATGCCAAAGCCTCCAGCATCCCCCAGGCGTCCCATCCTGTCATCGCCACCACACAGGCTGCAAAGTGCGGACCCGTCAGCGCTTCAGCCCAACCACTCCGCTGCGGCTGGTCATCCTGAGGCTTAGCATGAACGCGAGGAAAGGTACAATAATACGATGCACTTGGCGGTGGTGACGTCCTCTGTTGTGATGCGTTGTCCACGATCGCCGCTCAGCCGCCGTCGAGACGTCGAAGCCCACAGCTGGCTCTACTTGCCTATGTACGTACCGTCACTGCAGGCGGCCCGCGCGTAGGAAGCGCGTGGCCTGAACCCAATCGCCTGTGCCGGGGCTTCGTGGGTTCCGCACGATGACGTCCTGATAGTGCGTGTGTACCGAACGCCTTGGTGACTTCTCGAAGCATGATCTGGGGAGTGTTAGGAGCATGGGATGATCCCTGGCCGCGCTGTCTGTGAGTCTGCCGTGCCCCGTTCGCTGCGCGACGAGGGATCGCTCCACATGCGAGCTATCATATAAAGCTCAATTAAACTGCGCGACGCGCGAGCATCCAAGGGTACCGCAAATCATATATATGCATGTAATGCGCACCACGATGGACGTCCTGTCATCCCATCCCATCCAGCTACCCCCTCCTCCGAGTCGGCCCTAGGCCTTGGGTGGAGGTGCTCTGGAGCTTGGAACATGTCCACGGGCCCCTGTGACATCGGCGATGCCCAACGGATGACCTCCAAGAATCGTTCTGCATCTGCGTGTTTCAGCGGACGTGGCGGGCAGGGTTTGAGTTTGCGGGCGTGTCGCCGATGCTTCTCGCCAGATAACACGATAGCGTCGCGCGTCTGTCCCTCTGCGCCTGTCTCGTTCTGTGTGATCCCGGTTGTGCCTTGCGCTGCGTCCGGCCGGGGTATGCTCACCACTCGGAGCGTTTCGCTTGAGAGTTGAGTGGGTCCAAGGGGCCAGGTTGAAGTACTCGTCGATGCCTCGTTCCGCGGTCGGAAGTCTGCGAGGCACGGTCGGAAGTCTGCGAGGCACGCGCACTTGCAAGGGCTGCCTAACTACGCGAGATAATCAACACGATTGCAAGGTAGAGAATGTATGACAATGACACGATGAGTTCCGCTGTTCGGCGTGATGTCAACTTTGCACATAAAAGTGCATCGGCCTGTGGAACGATTGCGCCCTCGGCCGGCTATGAGAGGACCTTGTCCGATGGTTTGCTGCATGTCCCTCATGCCTGGTATATATAAGGTCAGTGCCGAGGGCCAGTGCTTGCGCGGACGCACCGCAGTTCCTAAGTCGTGCGACGACAGCCACATCGTCTCAGTGGACTGCAAGTCTAGATACGGCATTCGCCGCATGAGCTAAGGGACCACTTACCGTGTGCCGAGCTTCAACGTACGGGGGATCACCGTTGTTCAACCACTCTCCAAAGACCAGGCGTTCGGCACGTGGGGGAAGTCCTCAGCAAAGGAGGGTGCATCTTCGTCACTGCTGGGTTCGTCCACGCTGGGCTAGTCCGCGCCCGGAGGTGAAAGTGACTTGGCTCCTACTCGACCTCGTCAATGAATGTGCCGCTGAATCAATGTTGTCGGACGAGGGACACCTGAGCGGAACATAGCCAATGATCAGAGTCTTCGCAGTGGGGCTCCGTTCGATACTAGGCCTGCTCGCAGTCACCGCTGCGCGAAATCAGCTGCGAGACCCCGCTGAGAGGAAAATCGGGGGCGGGTGAATTGAAGTTAAACGGAGTGAAGCAGGTCATGAGTTGGATGATGGGGCATGGGTGCTTGAAGGGCCTCTCCAAAGGTCGTGTGGAATCCGCCTATTAGTCCCTGGGGCTGTACGGCTGTTGCTAGCAGAAGCGAGGTCGTCTGGCCAACTTGAAGGGCAAGCCAGGGGCGCCATGGCCCAATATTGGCCGAATTGGGATTGGCAGGCGTTGCGGGGGCGGGTCGGGGATGGAGCCGGAGTAGCCGAGGCGCGTGAATGGGGAGGCAAGGCGGGTGCACACACGGACAACCAACGACCTCCTGCACCCGCTCCCTCCCTCTATGTCCCCGCCATCTCCGTAGCACCATGCCCAGCGTCACCTCCACCACAGAGGCCGCCCCCGCCAGCCTCAACCTCAAGGCCTCCACCGGCAACCTCTCCATGTCCGCCTCCGTCCCGTCCACTCCTTCGTCCGCCTCGCCCAAGGCCTCCTTCTCGTCGTCCAACTCGACCCTCGCCAGCCTGCGCGGGCTCTACCCCCGCGCTGCCCGCGCATTCCTCCAGCGCAACGTTGCGCTCACGCACTCCCTCCTCACCGCCGCCTTCGCCCTCGTCGAGCCGCCCCCGTACTCGTATTACGCGGACGCCACCAGCGGGCGGATCGCGGACCCTCTTGCGAGCCAGCGCAGGAAGTGGGAGGTCCTGCGCATCACGTTCGAGACGACGCTGTATGCGTCGCCCCCGCAGACGGAGGACCCCGACGAGCTCCCGCCGCCGCTCCGTGCGAACCTCCTCCTCTCGCCCGAGCCGTTCATCGCGACGCTGCACAATCGTGCGCTGCAACTGTTCACACCCACTACTTCCTCCGGTGCGCAGATGATGAAGCCGAGCTCGACTTATCTTCCCGCGCAGGTGCTCGTGACCCTTGCTCTGGCGAGTCTGAAGCTGGGATGCACCGCAGTCGGGAGAGGCATGATCGAAGACTGGCTCGCGAGGCGACCGCAGTGCGCGGACGCCGGCAAAGAGGATCGGGAAGGGTATTCTAAAGTTATGGAGCTATATTGCCTGCACGTCCTCCCCCGTCTAGAAGATTGGGACTACGCAGAGGACTTCCTGCAATACGAGCGCGAACTGGCGCCAGAGACAAGGAAGGTGCGTTATTGTGGTCGCCCGGTTATGTGTCTCGGCATGGTGTATGATGTGTGCAGGCACACTGCTCATAGCGCAGCCAATGCCTCTGTCAGCGGTTCGTCCATGGAGTCATGGGCGAAGCGTTGACGGAGACAGCTGTGCTCTGAATAGTGGGCACGCCCGCGGGCATATTCTGATACAGGTGGACTCCTATGGATAGCTGCTGTAGTGCTGTCTGGAGTCCGCAACCCCTTCCATCTGCTATTATAGGTTATCCCTGGTCGTGAGCAGACCGCTAACAGCTCGCCCGTAGTACATGATCTCGTCCCTGCAAAGCCTCCGCGCACAAGCCATGTCCTCTCAGCCACCCTCAACATTAAAAGGGGTTCCGTCGTCCGCGTCGGAGCCCGCTCTATCCACCTCGCGCTCTGTCTCTCCTGCACGCTCCGACTCGTCAGCGTCCTCGTCCTCGAGCGGGTCGACACACACCGCCACACCGACCACGCCGCGTCCAGGCGGGAAGGGCAAGGCCATGCTGCACCCCATCTCACACATGACGTCCCTCCCTCCCTCCGCCTCTTCCCAATCCATCTCTTCCACGACCACCTCGCGCACCGTCACCCCCTCCAACGCACATGCCACCTCCCCGCACCGCCGCTCGCGCTCGGCGAACCGCTCAAAAGCCGCAAACGGCAGCGCAGACGTCTCGCTGGCCACGCCGCGTGCGGCCTCGCCTCTCCCGCACACACACGCGTTCCCGAGGCCACCACGCACCGCGCCGCTGGAGGCCCCCGCGCCGCAGCGCGCGCCGAGCACGCTGGCGCTGATCCGGACGAGCTGCGCGGCGCTCGTGCGGGGGATGTCGCGCACGAAGCTCGCGGCGTACGTGCTGGTGTTCGTGCTGGTGCCGCTGCTGTCGTTCGTGCTCCGGGTGCGCCGGACGCGGGGGCGCTCGGCGGGTGCGAAGGGGGGGACGGTGGAGGAAGTGCGGCGGCGCCTGAGGAGCGCGGGCGGGGGAGAGGGGAAGGGTGTCGTGGCGAGGGCGTGGGAGGAGCTTGTGAGGGCGTTGGGGGATACGGTCCAGATGGGCGGGCGGGGGCTGGTGTAGGGAGGGTACTGCGCGGGTTGGTGCTTTCGATCTTATGTAGAGGCGGTTAACGTTTGTGCAGTTTCCGCTTGCTTATGCCGGCGATACCTTCATTGTCGTGCTCGTTCGTTGTATCCATGGCATTTTGGGTATCAACATTGCCTTTGCGCTCTGCAGGAGTGCGAGCCCCCGTGTCTGATCCTGCAGCTGCTTGATGTTGCTGCACTTTATAGCATTTGGTCTCGCGGAGATGCGCGTTTCGCTGGGCATGTCGCCAGAGGGACTGATCAAATCTGTAATGACATCTCCGCGTCAGTGTTCGACATTTGTCAATGTCAAGGACTTTCAAATGTTGTGAGTGTCGTGAAAGTCTATCAGGGAGTCAACAACTTGTGGGTCAATTGCATTCAAGGTTCGGTGTAAGGACACCTATAAGGGGTCTATTAAGACCTAGTCTTGTAACAGCAGCTCTGGGATCGAACATATAGCTGCTCGATGAAGTTGAAGCATCTAAATGCACTGCGTAGACGCTCAATCATGAGGAGATCTAGAGCTCGGTGCCGGCGGGCGGCTGTGGCGAGCGCATTAATAACTTACCTGATTTGGAAATAATATGGGAAATTGGAAAAAGCGCCGAGGCGGTGATGGGATTTCTCCCTTGAGGTGTGACATGGACAGGTCTGCCCCTGTTGCCACCTCGCGAGGCCGGCGAGCACATGCAGTGAACTGGTGGGCTGTAAATGAAATCGGACGGAAGCTTTTTTTCGAGCCATCGAGGAGGAGCGGACGGGCGCAGGCGGTGGAGCGAACAGTGTTCTGGAGAGCCACCGTAGGCGGCAGCCTCGTGTTTGGCGCAGAAACCTGCGCTCGGGACTCCTCCAGTGCGCCGCCATCCGCCTTGACAGAACGATCCTCGTCCTGCATCGTCGCTGCTGGCTGTCTGCCTCTGCGCCAATCCGTCGAACGTGCGAGCGTAGTCAGCATCCGCGTGCCTGCTCTCTCTGCACCTCTCTGCTGCCCGACCCCGGCCGCGCTCTGCCCGCGGTCGCGTCGACATACTGGACCTCCTACGCTGGCCTCGCGCCGCCGCCGCCCCATCCTGGGCTTCCTGCCGCGCGCCCGCCGCCGCGCCAACACCAGCCTCGCCCCGCCGAACGACGTCACGCCCCAAGCGCCACCGCAGCCCGCCAGGCCGAACACCGCGTCCGGGTCCACGTCCACGCCCGCTCCCGCTCCCGCTCCTCGCCCGCAGCCCCGCTCGAGCGGCCGCTCCGTCTCTGACCTCCCCCGCCCCCGCGCCAGTACCCTCATGACGACCGCCCCCGCCGCCCACGATGCCCACCCCCACGAGCCCGCCCTCCCCCAGACCAAGCAGAACCTGAAGGCCTGGTGGAATCATTTTCGCTTTGCCCAGCAGGCGAAGAAGGAGGCTGAGGAGAAGAAAGGCGAGTCTGCCCCTATACTTCCTCCCATTTTTGCGTCCGTCCCCGGGCTTCGAGGCGTTGGTCTGGGGTCGACGCCGGTCTCGAGTCTCGCTGCGTGCGGCGATGTATGTTGGATTGCGACACCGCAGGTCAGGCAGTCCTATACGACCTTGTGCGACCCAGCACCGCGTTCCACGATCCAGGAACCTAATCGAGCACGACTGATCCCATTTCCCCGCGCTCGATCATCTCGCCCAGCAGACACTAATACGCAATGACTGTGCAGCAGGCGAGGGCGTCGTCTTCAGCAAGCCGCTAAAGGAGTCCCTCAAGTACGCAAGCGTCCAGATCTCCACGGCGAATGCGAACGGCGAGCTGTACGTGTGGGGCTACATCCCTGTGGTTGTTGCAAAGTGGTGTGTACCCCTGCCGTGATCGTCGGTGTGCTGTTCGATCGAGCGGTTGCTGATGGTCGTTGTAGCGGATTGTATTTGAAGGAGAATGGTGCGTCGTGCTGCTGGTTGTGGGGTGATGTGGGCGTCGACGACTGAGTGGCGGGCTGCTGTAGCGACGGAGGTGGAGGGTACCTTCCGGGTGAATGGCTCGAATAAGCGCATGCGAGAGCTGCAGGCTGCGTTCGAGTCTCCGCCTAGGGTGCGTCATGATCTCCATTTTTCCCTTGCGGTGCTAACGTATTGCCTTGCAGTACGGGAAGAATCTCGACTGGAAAAAGGAGCATTACACAACGCACGACGTCGCGAGCGTGTTTCGACGATTCCTCACGCAAATGCCAGTACGTGTCCTTCCTCCGCTCGTCTATCTTCGTACGCTCAGCACCACCCAGGAACCCGTGATACCCCACGATATGTACCACTATGTCAGTCGCATCCCCTCTTACGTCTGTTGCCCACACTGACCGCGCAGGCCGCTAGTTCCGGGACACCCTTGGTATGTCCTGTGTTGCGTAGAACAGTCCGCGTAGGCTGACATATGTCCAGCGAAAAAGCCGAATAATCAGGACGAGATCATCCAGACGTACAAGCGACTGATCCGCTCAATGCCCCGGGCGAACCAGTACCTCCTCTTGTACGTCCTCGACCTGCTCTCCGTCTTCGCGCGCAAGGCCGACAAGAACCTCATGAACGCAAAGAGTGCGCCACTCCCTCCTCTCCTCGTCATCCGCTGACCCTCCCCCCTGCAGACCTGGCGGTGATCTTCCGGCCAGCGCTGATCGCACACCCGAGCCACGAGCTGAACCCGCAGGAGCACCAGCTCAGCCAAGAGGTGCTCGAGTTCTTGATCGCGCACCAGGACTGGTTCATGCTCGACATCCCGCCACCGCCGAGCCGGACGGACAGCGCGCAGACGGTGCCGACGACGCCGGTGGACGTCGTGCCGAGTTCGGGGAGCGATGATGAGCAGCCAGGTGGGTGGAAGCTCGTGAATAGTCCTAGACGGATCACGAGACGGCGGACGACGACAGAGAGATCGTCAGGTGTGTTGCAACCTCCTTGATGCCGCAGAGGAGGTGCTGAAGGGAACTCGCTGGTGGTACAGAGAGACGAGCAGAAGGGGGTGACTTATCGCCCGTGCAAGAGACACCGCCGTCGAGACGGAACTCGCGCAACGAGGGCTCGGTGGCGAGCGTGACGCGGAGTCGGACGCTGCCGCCAGCGAAGACGCGGCACAACCGGGAGACGTCGGACGAGGAGCGGGGCGCGAAGCTGCACAAGAAGAAGCGGGCGTCGCTGCAGCCAGCGAAGAGGCCCGCCGCTGCGGCCGCGGGGTGACGCGCGATCCGCGCTGCGTTGTGCTTTTTGTATATCTGTCTCTCTTTTTGCGCCGTCGGACGATTTTCCCTCCGTATGCTCGTGTCCCGATACTCTCGATCGACTGCAGCCTGCAAGCTACCTGACATAGAGGTGGGAGTATATATATGTATTCGCGCGTGACAGTGCCTCGCGCGCGCGGCCCCCGTGTTCTTATACCAGTACCCATTATTCGCTCTTCCTCGCTCATGCTACGCGTACTCGTACCGCCACACCGTCCTTGTTGCCATACTACTCCTCCTGCGCCCGCCGGCTGTGTTCCCATACGTATAACACGCAGTTCATCTGTGTGCGTCCACCGTACTGAACGTTCTCTGTGTCCCATGCTCTCGATTCTTTCTGGCTGCGAGTGTGGGTCTGAGCGAACATTTACCGTACCTGCGCGCTGCAGACTCCGCACCGACGATGTTCAGATGTACTTATATTTAGCGATCTACTGGTAATGTCTGCTTTTATTAGTGGCCGAGTGGCTGTGATGCAGTCTGGCAGAGCGTCTCCAGAACACCGGGCGTGCCCTGCCAAGGGACGGCGAGGGGAGCCCGTTGTTGGTCCATGCGACTGTACACAACTAGAATACCAGTTGAAGTCCATCGCTGGATAACGAACGCGTTGAGGAGCCAGGCTGGGACGACAAGAGAGATGAGATGGGGTTGTGAGAGCAGTGGAGCGCATGGCCGGCCATCGTTCGGCGAGAGCGTGGCGACGGGGGCGGCGGCAGTCAGGGCAGCTGCAACAAGGCCCCGTCCAGCTGACTGCTCTCTCTCCCCCATCCCCGTCTGCTGTGCAGCACCCCCGACAGCCCACCGGCGCGCACGATCCTTCCCCACATCCTACTCTCCACCCACTCGCCGCCGCCGCACGACGCGTCTCACAGCACCATGTCCGGGCACCGCAGCACATACAGCAACCTCGACACGGGGACGCCGTACCAGAACGGCGCGTACAGCAGCTCCCAGTGGCTCGAGAAACAGCAGAAGGGCGGCCGCAAGTCCAAATTCATAGTGAGTCCCGTTTTATACCGCCCATCTGTTCGCGGCCTCTCCTCCCCGCCCCCTTCCCCCCGTCCCCGTCCCCGCTCCCGTTCCTGTGCTTCCGCGGACAGACTCATCGCTGACCACGCGTCTCCGCACTGCCCCCATGCGCCGGCGTTCAAAGGTGATTGGCTCGGTCGTCGCCCTCGTCGTCCTCATCGTGGCCGGCGTCGTCATCGGCGTCGTCGTCTCCAAGCACAACAGCAGCTCGAGCTCCTCCAAGAAGTCCGCGAGCGGCAACTCGACCTCGGGGTACGCCGTCGGCCCGTACGGCGTCGTCAAGCAGAGCGACCCGAACGACCCGAGCTCGTTCCTCAAGGACGACGCGCTCAAGCAGTCGTTCTACGGCCTCGCCTACACCCCGGACAACTCCCAGCTCCCCGACTGCGGCAACTCCCTCGGTGCGTGTCCCCGGCGTGCGCGCTGTGCGTGCCAAGTTAATTTTGCTGAACGTGCTGCGCAGCCGCGGTGATTGAGGACATCCAGCTCATCTCGCAGCTTACCACGGTGAGTCCTCGGCGCCACCGCCCCTCGCTTCTGCGCAGGCTAATTCCCCGATAGCGCCTCCGCATCTACGGTGCTGACTGCAACCAGTCCGCGCTCGTGGTACGTCTCTCATGCGCGTCTTCGGTGCAGTGCACTTTGACTGAGTCTATGCGGACAGCTCGAGGCGATCAAGCAGACGAAGGTCAACGTCACGGCATGGCTCGCCATCTACAACGTCCCGAACAACGCGACCGCGTACGAAGAGCAGCGCGACAAGGTCCTCGACGCCATCAAGACGTACGGCACTGACCACGTCGGCGGTGTCACTGTGGGCAACGAATTCGTGCTCGAGTGCGTGTGCCCCGCCTCGGATTTGCATTGGCGAGTGTATGGACTGACGTCTCCGCAGCTTCATGGGCGCGAACGGCGGTGGAAGCGACCCGAACGACGCCGTCGGCACCGCTGGTGGGGAGCTGCTGATTGCGAACATCACCGACATGAAGAACCAGCTCTCGAGCCTGGGCTACTCCGTCCCTGTCGGCACCTCGGATGCGGGCGCGTACTTCAACGACAAGGTCCTCGAGAGCGTCGACTACGCTGTGCGTCCTGTTGTTCACCCTGCATGCTGCTTGCTCCTGACAGATGTACTGATGCTCCGATCAATTGCAGCTGTCGAACATCCACTCGTGGTTTGCGAACGTGTCCATCGCGCAGGCCGCAGACTGGACGTACACCTTCTTTGAGGAGGAAAACGTTGAGGTCGCCCAGGGCCTCTCGAACAAGCCCGACTTCGCCATTGGCGAGACTGGCTGGCCTACCGTGCGTGATGTGCCTTCCTCGTGCTCCGCGCGACGGTGCTGACTCGAGATGGTGTGCAGAACTCCACGACGGCGGCGGCGGCGAGCAACGGACCCTCGACTGCCTCCGAGGAGAACTTGCAGACGTTCCTCAATGACTTCGTGTGCGGCTCGAACAAAAACGGCACGGAGTACTTCTACTTCGAGGTCAGTTCTCCGATCCATGGGCGGGGGTCGATGCTGATGCGAGGCGACAGTTCGCCGACGAGGACTGGCAGGCGAAACAGTTTGGTGGTGTGGAGGGCTATTGGGGCCTCTTCCACGACAAGTGCGTTTGGGTGCCCTTGGTTTATCCTGTCCGATCACTGACGAGGCATCTTCCAGCCGGACCCTCAAGGGCATCACTATTCCCGACTGCTGAACGCACCCAACTCCCACATCCTCCCGTCCCCCCGTCCCCTCATATATCCGCACTGTATCGATTTGCATCCTGCCTGACATTCACATTCTTGGCCCCATTCCCCTCGCTTCATGACCGTTCAAGTTCGCATTCGGCTTCGCGAAGATCGGACCCTCTTATTGAAACGTGCCGCCCCGGACACTGCACACAGTCTATAGTCTGACTTATCTCTCTTCGCGCTTGATATGTGACTCTTCCGCAGACACTCATACCCGCGCGCCCCGTCCGTCCGTTCCCGCTCTGGTTCATTTCGCATTTACTTACTACCTTCTTGATCGGACGACCGTGTCGATGGCGCGCGACTGTACGCTATGATCGCCATGCCATGGTCCCGCGTACTAGTGCTTCCCTGCTTGGGGACACGGCCCGGGATAAAGGAGAGGGACAGGTGGGTGGACGGTCGATGGACTCCACGAACGATTGGAATGTTGTTGTGTGGATGAAGGTGGTTCTATCTATGTATAGGTACTTATCTGGGAACGTAATGAGAGTGATGGGCTTTCTGGCTGCCACTGTTATGGGAGAAGTTGAGAATGTGTATGCTAGTCTGCGGCGGTGCCTTCTGATGATAGAGGGACAATAATAGCTGCGGAATGTCTGCGCACGCGACCGAGGTATCAACAACGTGGTGTGAAGAATGTCAACTGACTGCAGCTGCAGATACCATTGGAAGAGACTACTTGATACAATATGCAACATAGAAAACTGATGCCGATGTGCGAAATAGGTCCCAGTTCCGTATGCATGACGAGGATGAATGATATCTAGCTACCGTGAAGTCATGATCATAACAGTCATAAACGAACCGTCCATCCGGCAGACCATATACATGCGCCCTCAAGCTCAAACTCAGGGTCGCCAGCCCATCACCTTCCGGAGGTTCTGCCACCGCGAGGGCTGCGCGTACTCCCCCTCATTGAAGATGAACTCCCACCGGACAAGCAAGTCGCCCTTGCCGACCATGCGCCCGCCCTTGATGACGGGCATCCCCGCACCGACGATCCGCGTGCCGTCCGCGCCCTCCGACAGCGTGCGCGGGATCGGGAGCGCGAACTCCTCGCCGTCCATCCCGAGCACGTACGCGTGGTCCGCGTCGCCCGCGCCGGGCGGGCGCTCCTCCCAGGGGACCTGCACCGCGGCGACGAGGTCGGCGCCCTGGCGCATGAAGCGCGGGTGGTGCTCCTGCTCGACGACGAACACGATGTCCTGGAAGGACCCGTCCGCGCGCTCGTTGCCCATCCCCGGCACGAGCACGCGCGTGCCCGTGCGCCAGGCGGGGTCGACGGGGATCGGGATCTTGACCGACTCCGTCGCGCCGCTGCGCAGCGTGCGCGTGATGCGGTAGTGGTGCGCGCGCGCGTGGTAGAGGTCGTCGAGCGTGAGCCGCAGGGGGAACGTCCAGTCCTTGTCCCGCCGCGGGTGGTCCGAGGGGTGGTGCGGCGAGCGCAAAGGCGGGATCGGCGTGCCGAGGTTGATGAAGTCGTAGTCGATCACGTCTGCGCCTGCCGTCGAATCTGCGTCCACGGGTGGTGGGTCCAAGTCGAGCTTGGAGCGCTTGGGGAAGAAGCCTGGCCTCCGCTGTGACGTGGTGCTGTGTACGGGTGTTCATTAATGTGAGAGCGAACGATCGATCAGTGAGCATGCATGAAAACCAATGAATGGGCAACGACGCAGCTGACCTGTCATCTGAGCGTTGGCGGGTCTGACGCTTGCGAGGCCAAGTGAAATAGGCCTCTGCGCTGTGATGAGGATGCGTTGGAGAATGGGGAGAATGGGGATGGGCGTCCTTGTTTTGACGACTCGGAGATTGCGCACGGAGATTGTCCTTTGATCGCGATGAGTGCTGCCTGCGCCCTTCATCCTTCGTACGGCGTTCGGTACGTGTGTGATCGTCGGGAGTAGATGGCGAAGGGCGGACATCGCTCCTCTCTTTGCTATGAGATTGAGAATGCCTGCTGCTTCGTGCATCGTCACGTAGGTCCGACCGTGATGAAGTTGAGTGCCGGCCAGCGTCACTCGCATCGTCTTGGCGCGGCCGGTCCTTGTGTAGCTTGTTTCGTGTTGAGCTCTTCGGTGACGAAGGCGGAGTTGTATAGGAGGTATGTGAACTTGACCGCCTATAAGCAGGCGTTAGTACCCGTTGGCAAGAGGTCGACTTTGGCACTCACGTTGAATGAGCGTCTGATTCGTTATGGGTGCGTGAGTGCGATGACTGGGCGTCCTCGCTTCTGTGTTCATGAGGGGAGGCGCCTGCGTCCGGTGCTGGGCGGGAATGCTCCTGACGAGGACGCTTTTCAGGGTGAGGGCTGCCTCGTTTCCTATGCTGATAGTACTCCAGCAAGACGGTATAGGCCTCGTTGACCTGCAAAGGTGTCACGGCGTTCAGTACCCGTCGACATGACGTGCCACGAGGAGAAACAGGCCTCGCACCTCGATGAACTTTTGTTGCGCCTCGTCCTTGTCGTTGGCATGACGGTCCGGGTGCCATTTCAAAGCCTGGTCGCCCGTCAGCGCATCGTCTTACGGAGAATGATACGACGTACAAGTCTCTTGTACGCAGCTCTGATTTCCTCTTCCCCGACATGATCGGGCTCGAGTTCTAACGCACTGAAATACCTGCGGCTTGGGATAGCGACCGGCATAGTGAGCGCAGAGGACAAGACGGTACGCGAGAGAGAACGTGGCAGCACAGTAAGGGGTACGAAGATTGGGTATCGGCTCGGAGGGGACGCCCTGCCTCTCGGCTATGTTTTATGTATCTTGAAGTAATACGGAACGAGGCAGCGGCAAGATGCCACCGGATCTCGACGAGTGGCAGCGAGTGGCTCGAGCGGCTCAGATCGCCTTTTGGTGAACGCCTCTCCGACCACCTCGTGTTGTACACGCCGATCGCGTATGGCCGTCGCTTTCGGTTGATATGCCCTTGTGGCGTTGGTCGGACTCTTCTTTCCCTTGTTCGCTCTGCACAGTGCACACAGCTTATTGTGCTGCGCAGAGTCCAGGCTGCTGTCAGGGACCGAGCATAGCCCTTCTGCTGCCCCTGGTGAGGATGCCACTGTGTGGTGTAGGGTACCGGTTTGCAGCCACAACGAGGCACTTATGCAGTCACACAGCCATGTAAAATCAGGCGCACGGGTGTAGGAGTCACGATTGCGAGATTATTCCTTGGTATCCTCTTGTAGAACATGCTGGACGACGATTCACGCTGCATGTCCCGCCCTGGGACGGAGATCATCACGGCATGACGCGCTCGGCGAGCCGCGCGATATGGGATGATGCGCTAGCAGCATATGCAGAAATGAAATCGATGCGGAGACAGTTGAGCATGACCTACGGAACTGCGACAATTGTCGGTGCTTGTCGTGAGGCTTCGGGGACGAGACGCGTTCGGACGCGCTGGCGGCGAACACGCGAACGCTGTTCAGCACGTGGCCTTGTCGCGTCGCGCCACAGCCGCAGCCGTCCGCGCCTCCTGCTGGCTTCCTCATCCAAACCTGCTCAACGATCCACGAAGACGACTGTTTTGCGCTCCATCTGACATTCATGAATACAAGGGAAATTCCCGCTATGGAGAGTTGATGGCATAGTCCTCGATACGCGCGTATCAGTCACGGTGGTAAGGACTCCTCCGCATGCGGTTACGGTGTATGGCACATACTGGTGTTTAAGGTTCGCCGTACAAACGGCACTGCAGAGTTGACTTGTAGGTGATCTCATTATTGGAGAGATATGGTGTGTTTGACGTAACATCTTATTCGCCGCTTTCGCCGCAGATAGCACCGCATGTTCAAGGCCTGCCTATTCTTTAGGCTGCAGGGCTGCATCGATCATAGGAGGACCAGACATTGCCCGACTCAATGCAAGCCCGTAACATGCCCTCGCTTGACAATAAATGAATGCGTGCGGCATACGACGCTTCTAGGGTTGGGCGGCGCATGCATCCTCGACGCATCCTCTGCACGGTGAGCTCTCTGGACGAATGGGCACTTATCTATTGTGCGTCGGGAGCTTATAGAGCGGTCGGCGGTCGATGTTGCGGAATATATCGACGTTGAATGGCGATCGCCCCCAAAATCAATCCGCCCTGGACAGCTAAGTAGGACATCGAGCTCTGCTGTGATACTCTGGAGGCATCGCGCTGACCTGTTTAAATCACGTCTGTCTGGCGTGCTGGCCCGCAGTCTGCAGCCGATGGCCCTTGACGGGACTCAATGACGGTCAATGCCTCCGGGGAACCTCGAGCAATCCTTGCGTATGAAAATGAGATGAAGGGCATCTCCCGTGGACCTGTTATATCATTGTTGGCCATAACCGTACGCAGTTTCTCTGGTCCGGTCATTGGGGAAGGGCATATCCTGCTATCCGGCGTGAAGACGACAACCATCCTGTCATCCTACAGACATACTCAGTAGGACTCGGACACGCACGATCACATACGCGATGACCTCCGTGCTGGCCACAGGCTCGCCACACGTCCGGCATGTCCACTGAGTCCTTCTGGGGGCTTGGGCAGAGATCATAAAGCAGCACTGCCCCACACGCGCCATACAGCCGGGAATCCGTAGCCTGGACAATGCAACATGTCTCGCCTATTCCCGGTCGTACGTCTTGTGTTAGCCTGAGGCATCCCTCTGAGTAGCTGGACCACCTGTTGCGTCTGCCATCTTGCTTCCCCCGCATGGCTGGTGAGAACTAAACGGCCTCTTGGGTTGCCGCAGCCACAGTCGGTAGTTCTGAGTGTTATACCGTATCAGAGAACCCGGCATGAATGACGACCGTACATGCGGTACGTGGCATAGATGCAACCGAGGAGTACATTGTGAGCGTGTCTCACGTCGGGGTCCAGGCTTGTATGTCGGTTGACCCCCAGCACTCCTGACGGCGTGTCGAATGATGGTCAGAATACCTCTACCAATGCTCGTCCTGGGGAGATGACCGCCACCGGCTTGCTAGACAAGTCGAACGTTCCGCCTCCTTGGTAAGCGACGAGGTCGCCGCCGTCCTGACCGATCCATTCACCCACGCACAACAGTTTCTCGAGGTTCGTTGAGACGAAAGCTTGTGCTTGTTCTTTGGTGATGCGTCCGTTGCTCTCTAGCACCGTCTGGGATTCATTGAAGTGAGCGAGGTAGGATCGAGGCAGGGATGCAATGTGACGTACCCATGCGGCATCAAAGCGGGTGTTAGGTGCTTGCCACGCATCGCGGACCCCGACCCCGACTGTGACTCCGGCATCCACAAGGGCGACTAGGGCAGTGTCGTTCGTAAGAGGCGGGCCGGCCAAGCTAGGAGATGTGAACGTGGGTGAGTTACTAGGGCGTCGGGCATCTCTCTGGAGGTACTCACATCCTGCGGTCGTCCCATGTGTGCGGAAAGGGTCTCGCCGGTTCCAGTATGACCCCCACGTTTGCTTTAGCTAACAACGCAGTGTCAGGAAACGATGGCCGGATGACCTGTTTTGCACGTACCGATATCCTCCGCAATAAGATGAGCTTCAGTCGCGTGGAAGAACACCATTCTCATGTTAGATCCGCGAGCCTCCTCGATCTCGTCCTTGAGCCTAAGCAACGTCGCCATTATGTCGGCGCTCGCGACATCAATGACCAGCGGAATCCCTCCCTACACCAGTCCGTCAGCATTCATCGCGGGCAGCCTCTCGGACGAGCCACGCACTTGGGCAACCTTCTGGAACCAATAGCCTATCTCGGTGTGATCAGGCTCGCCATCAAGCAGCAATCTCCGTAGCGCGGCGATCTGAGTGCTGACGCTCACGCGGCTCTCAGCAGAGAAGGGCGCCGTGCGACTGACGACCACATGAAGCGCAGTGATGTCCTTGAGGATAGCGCCAGACTCCAGTGCATGGGCAGAGCCGGTGCGGAAGGTGACTGAGAGACCAGCGAGGGTGTATGGACTTCTGGCGAACGTGCTGCTCTTCGCTAGGGAAGAGGCGGCGTACGTGACGCCGCTGCGGTGTGTGAGGCTGTCACAGGATGATAAGTCAGCTTGCGCAAGAGACCGGAAGATAGATCGCCGTGACGCACAGGGCATTTCTTGTCCCAAACTGTAGTGCATCCGCTGCGCGTACCATACCGCCCTTGTCGTCTAGAATCCCAGGAGCATCGCTCAGGAATGGGTCATAGAGCAAGCCATCTCCCGTTGAGGGCTCGCCCGCAATCTCCTCGATACCAAGAGGCGACCCGAAGCTCATGAGACCCGGCGCGATGCTGCCTCCACGCAGGTCCAACTCTGCGACCACGTCAGACCCATCGACGTTCACGCAATCCGTCCTGACGCAGACGAGTCTGCCTTCGTCGAACACGACGTCTCCTAGCCCTTCCCCAACGAAGAGGGACCGTAGACCCTCCTCCGCCTCTGGATCCCTGACGACGACCTCACCGACATTCCTAAACCTCACGCAACCGCTATGCTTCACGGTGCCGAGGGGCGGAAGCCCCTCCCACTTGACCGCCTCCTCCCGTTCCTTGTCCCAGTTGGGGACGCTAGGCACGCGTTGAAACGCACTTCCTCCTTTGCCCTTCCCAATCACTACGGCATCCTCATCTGAACCCACTTGCAGGATGCCGTCAATCCAGACTTTACGCGGGGTAGCGCCGAGCTGGAGAGGATGAGAGTCCCAGAGCACGATATCGGCGTCAGCACCTTTCTGAAGAATGCCGACGCGGTGCGACATGCCGGCAGCGGTGGCCGGCACGGCGGTGACGGACGACAAGGCCATGTTGGGGGGTAGTCCTGAACTCGGAACTTTTAGTAAGATCTGAGTATGTACGGCTTTGGGCCACGTACCGAAGTAGTGTGCCTGTTGAGCTTCGAACAGGAGGTAGCGACTGTTTAAGACAGGATGATCAGACTGCATAGGAGTGAAGCGTCAAGTTGAGAACGTCGAGCAATGGGTCACTGCCGGCTAACTGACCTTCATCACTACGGGTATGTCATTATCTGCAAGGATGCGAGGGGCGAACTCAGAACCACGGTAAGACTCGCGCTTGAACCGATGGTTCGTCGCGAATATGGCTATGGCAGGGGTTCCGCCCCAGCTGTGCTTCATGAGTGAGTACTCTGTCAGGCCAACGTGCATGAGATTACCCACGTTCGCTTGAGCACTTCAGGAACAAGCCAAGCTTCTGAGGCGTGGTGGAAGGAGGCAATTGGGAATTGAAACTCGTTCGTCAACTGTGTCATGTCATCATCAGCGGACGGCATTGTACGATGTGCGTCGAACGACCTACCCGGACAATATCATCCAAGTCTACTTCCTCGTAGCAGTGATTGGAGATCTGTTGCTCACGATCAATTCGCTTGTTGCAACTAGGAGAATTCGACGCGCCTTCACTCGTCCTCTCAGCACGTCTACCAATGCCTCCCACTGTAAGTTCTCCGGATAGAACTGTCCCCGTATCTCGTCCCATAGACCGGCCTCCACCTTAGCACAATAAGTGTCTTGCGCATCTCTGATCTTTCGGGCCTCATTATATGCGGAGCGGAAAGACCAGATCGCATCCATGCGATTTCCGTAACGCCTCAAGTTCTCTCCGCACGCCTGCCTGTGGAGCACGCGTCAGGCACTCGTCACGGGTAGTAATCGGCAGATATCATACTTCATGTGTCTCCAGCGTAGAGGCTCGTCGTGGTCGGCCTCCGTGCCGTTCAGGCTGTGTGGAGGTTCCAGGAGCATGGATGTAGGTGACCTGTCAGATGTTTTGCGTAACTTGAACATAAAGGCTTGACCACCAATCGCGTTGCCGCTGCCAGGGAGAACTTGGACTGTTGTCACACCACCAGCAATCGCGAGCAGGAACGCGTCGTCATGTGTGTCGAACCCGTCGATACTCCTGAGCCAAGGAAGTACTGGTCCATGCCTAGAGTTGACATCGAACGTGCCGCGCATGAGCGGCGCACTGAGCAGACCAACATGAGAGTGAAGGTCAACTGCGCAAAAAGATAAAATGAGTTACAAGACGGGTATGTCTGTAGGCACTCACCCAATCCTGGAGTGACCCAAGCACCTTCAGCATCGTATACTACAACATCATTCCGCTCCGTGTACAGTGTTTCCGGAATATCGCCAAAGGCCTTGATAATGCCCTTGTCGAGATAGACATCACCGTACACAATCTCGGTACCATTGCGCGCACCCGTCCAAATGGTCGCGTTCCGAACCAGCGTCGGCTTCGTATCAGACTCGAACCTCTCTGACGTCTCTCGAGCAGAGAAGCCGGTCGGTGGGCCTGGCGTCTTATACAGTGCAGCACACCGCGAAAGGATCACGTCCGCATCGAGTGGAACGTGCTGGAAGCGGTGGGGTTGGGTGTCTTCTGAAGCGCGGACAGCAAGGTATGCAAGAAATGTCGCCGCCGCCAGTAATGTGTACAGCACAGGCAGGATGTTGCGCGTAGCAGTTGGACGACGAGTGTTGGCAGGCGCGGCCAACGGTAGACCTTCAGCTTCAGCAGCCATCGTACTACCTCGGAGCTTTCGATGGGTGAGAGCGAGCCAGGAGTGAGCAGCGTAGAGAGACCTAGCACTACACGCATGAGCACACCACACGCGACATACGCGTGAGATGAGGCCTATGTTGGCCGAAATTCCTGCGAAACCGGCCACGGCGGCGCAGTACACTGGCAGATAAGCGCACGATATGCTCCAGGAAGCATCTCGAGTTGCAGGACAGCAGACTGATGCGCGGAGTAAGCCAGAAGCTGAGGAAGAACTGGTGATAAGTATTACACCAGACCAACTGCCAACACTGGCCCAACAGTACATAATGATACTTTGAAAGTAAGTAACCTTCGACGCGGCCCTTGGCTCCGACACGCGCTGGTGGCGCAGTCGACTCATCAACTCAGTCTCAAACTCAGCGGCGAGTCAGCCACATGCGCGTCGCCGCCAGACGTCTCCTGCTCTCTCCTGCCCTGGACATACACTGTACAGTCCTGCGTATGCATCTCAGGCGAGCTCGCCTGGGACCTTCGTTGCTCAGATTCGGCGGACTTCAGCTTCTTTCGGGAATGCGAGTCGCACGACGCGGTCCTCTAGCACCAACGTCCAACCCCCGCCCATCGAGACGATGGCGCTCGGAGAGTCGCGCCTTGACCCGCACAGTGACACGCGCGTCGACACTCAATAATAATCGGCATACTTTCGACTCTGAAGCGCGGGTGCGTCAGTGTATTTCGACGATCAGCTCTACATACTAGTACTACATACGTGACCAGTGTCGTAGGCGAACAGCGCAGTCAAAGCACATTCTTTTTTTTTTTTTGCGGAGGGCTGCTCAGCTACAACGAGGGGCCTCCGAAAAGAGGTGTACGCTCGTTTCCTCCGGGGAAAATGCGGCTGCGCACGAACTCCTGTTGCGGGAGAACAGTGTAGGACTCGACCGTCATCGCGCGCCGACAGGTAGTGCACTTAGAGAATCGGGAGTCGACGCGCTCCGGCCCATACCCACTAAAAACCCCATCGCCTTGCACCTCCCCGGCCAGGGAGAGGCGCGAGACAGCTGTGTCCGTCGAGCCATGCCCTGCGATTTGGTTGGTTCTTCGTTTGTTGATCGCTCGGGCATGGCTCACGCTTGTTCGTCGATGTCTTGTGTCCTTGAGGTTCGGCTTGGATGATCTGCGATGACGGTCAGCTAGTAGGTCGACTGAGGCGTAGTGTGGATACTCACTTCGCATCCTCGCCAGGGGCACCGCTCAGTTGATAATTTTATGGAACGGCGCCCCTCTTTCATACCGAGGTTGTTCGGCCCGCTGTAGTCTTCGTGTGCATACACCCGTCGCGGATCGTTAGGATCCTTGACGTTGGACATGGCCTACGCTCAAGGTCAGTCATCATCACACAGCTGAACGACGTCAAATACTCACATGTGCCATGCCTTCTCACCCGTACGCGACGATCGAATAGCCTCGTGGTCCGCCCCATGACGGAGTCGAACCAGTCATCAGCGGAACGGTCCCCATAGAGGGCCCGCGCACCATGTCATCTGCGGAGTGGCGCAGTAGCACACTCGACATCCGTGGTGAACGGCCACACTACAGCTGCTTCCGACTACTCTGCGGCAAGAGTAGCCGGGCCCGGACGACACCTAGGCTGGACGGTTCCCTCACCGATCGTGCAACGTACGGGTGGCCCCGTTTAAGAGGTGGATGAGTGATCGCCGCGTGCAATGATCCTCAACTGTAATGTTGTCTTGAAGTCGTTGCATGGATTGAGGCGTGCATCTGCGAATCGAGGTGAGTGACCATGATGCTTCGACAATGTCGCCGCGGACTTACATTGTTCTTGAGGGATCTTACCAAGTGCATGGATGGCTCTGGCCCAGGCGTCAACGCGGTTGTGGCGCAACGGAAGTTGTGGGGTCAAAGTGGGCGTGGCCTAACATGAGACCCAGGTCGCCGTCGTGGAAGAAAGGAACACCAAAAGACAGCCTCGGTGAGCGCGACACTTAAATGCAACCGAGATGGGGACGTACATCTGGCCACCATGCCACCGTGCCACCTGCGGTGTAGTCGCATATAGGCTGGCATACGTTGACGCACGACAACGTCACGCATGCCCTGTGCCCCGTCTTGTGTTGGACATGGGGGACGGGGAGACCGAGTGGCGGTCGAAGGTCAAGAGGGATGGGGGACGAAGTGGCACCCTGGCCGGCCTTATATCATGCGGGTCTGTGGGTCCATGTTTGGTCAACCAAACAACCATTGTCGGCCATTCCGACTCAGCCTTTTGTTCTCTCGATTTGGACCGCCTTGTGCCACTCGTTCTTATCTATCGGCTAAGGCTGACAGAAGCACGGACAGCGTGGTGGGCGGTGCGCGCCATCATCATGGGTTCTGTGAGCCCGGCGACGGCTTGTTTTCTGCGGTGCAACGCTGCTTCGCAAGTGGACAAGAGCATGGTCGACTCGTCTTGGCGGCTTTATCTGTGAGTCGACTGTACTGATGGAATAGTCCCTGTGGCAGCGGGCGGCCATAGTCAGAGCCCGCTATCTGTGCTCGCTGGAGGCCAGGACAGGGTCCGCAAGGGCCGGTTGCATCCAGTCGCGAAGATCCACTTGGACTGGACAATGGTTCCTGTCGGGCTATACGAACCTCTCTTCAAGATCAGTGCGCGACTAGCACCATGGCGACGACGTATTTCTATCCGCTGTATATCAAATCGCGGATGCTAAGGCTGAATGCGAAGTTCTGCGTGACCTGCTTGTGGCATGACGAAGTTAAAGTTAGGAGACGCCTTTTACCATCCGATGGTGACGGGATGGATGCAATAATTCGCAGTCAGATTTTTACAACAGCAGCCAGGTCAGAGAGGCTACTTACTAGTGCATTGACCCGTACAATAGTAAGCTGTTCAATGAGCGAGTCGCCATGAACGACTACTAACCCAGATCTGAATCGCAGATCTGGTAAGTGTGCTTACATAATATTGGCCCTGCAGTTGTCTTGTGGTTCCTCTCGATGTCGTTGGGTGCAGCGTGACAGCCATGATCCCCTCTCTACCACTCGAGCTCAACGACTATATCGTCGACTATCTGCACAACGACACCCGGTTCCTCGGTTCATGTGCCTTGACGTGTCGCACTTGGCTGGTCGCAGCTCGCTACCACCGTTTCCGTGAGCCCATCGTTGAGACCGACGAAGACCTCATGGCGTTTGGGAAACTCGTGGCACTATCCCCGACGTTAGGTCCCGTCGTCAGAAGGTTACGAATAAGCCGCTTTACTTCCGCGGTACTGTGTTCTGCGTTGCCTGCGCTTCCAGCTCTTACTACTCTGGAACTCGATGATTGTGACTTCGAATCCGGTGACTTCACCAGCGTCGATGCCAAGCTTCCCGCCCTGCAAGAGCTTACTATGGAGCTCTGCACCATCGGTTTGGACACGCTAGCCCAACTACTCTCGGCTTTGAGCGGTCTGAAACGCCTCTCCATAGCTCAGCCCTACGCCATCCTGCCAGGCGTGCCCGTCCTCGGACGTTTGGACTCTTTACGCTCGCTGCGACTGGACTTCTGTGACCTAATGCTCGGGGAGGACGCGAAAGTCCTTGTGGATTGGCTCCTGAGTACGCTCCAGCCACAGCAACTCCTTACGCTTCATGTCATCCGTCTTTATGACCCACGACCTATGCAGCCGCTGTTCGATACCTTTGGTCCGGGCGGTTTGGAACATGCGACCATTGAGTTGTATTACCTTGAAGGTTTGTGCCTGCTATACCTCGGAGTACATCTACCATGTCTGATTGTCGCCTAGGGATTGCAACGACTGAGTTTACGCTAGAGCGCTGTGTCAACCTGCGCTCGCTATCGATCGAGCTCGGGAATCACACGGAGTGGGAGGGCAACACGATGGATTTGAGGTGGTCTAGCTTGCTCATATCCCAGCTCAACTCTCCCTCCCTCGAGACAATCACTCTCACCGTGATTACTCGACCATTCGAGCCGCAGGACGACTGGGAGTTCAATGACATACAAGCATTAGATTGGCAAAGCATCAATTGCACGCTCCAGCGGTCAGTTCTCAGGGAACTGCGGGAATTCAAGATACACGGCCGAGGGTCCAAAACATCGCTGGAAGCTCGTCTGCAGGAGACGTGCCGAGATGCGTATCAGCGAGGGCTCTTCCGACTAATACAGCGAGACTGAATGTGTTGTGCGTCCATTTTGTCTGCTCATGTCGCTTCGCTGTACTGACTTGAGCATGGTTGGCGGTACTTATAGCCTGTGTCGCGCGCATGAGGGCATCCATCGCTACTCCAGGCGGTCGTGTTCGTAAGCCGAGATCGTCGCTGTGCCTGTACTTCAACTGAATACTGAACATCTCATACCCGCCACTACGTCAGGTTCGTTGAATGAGCCCTACTCAGCAGACGGGTACTGACCGACTTTGTGACTTGCAGGTTAGAAGCGTCATACGAAGCTTGATATCGTACTAGCGATTACATCCGCTCTTGTTGTACCGCAAATTAGGACCCAGACAGGTTAACCATGGACGAATCAGTGACGCTCATATGCCTATACGTGAATTCACATAAAGCACAAGTACACCACTCTGTCATTGTCCTTTAAGGTTGGTCGTAGATCCTGGGAATATACGCTGACTCGCGACCTCGCTACTAAGTAGGTCGGTAGCCATTGGGCCGGATTGTCAGCCACAGTTCGGACCACTAGGAAGCCTCGGCGCTCGCAGTGACTTCCGTCTAAGAGATGCTATCGTCTAATTGAAAAATGTATGTTGCTGTGACCTCACGTTGCTGGAACTCTGACTGCCTTTTCCCAAAGTGGGTAAGATAGTCCGCGGAGGCCACAGGCGCAAACGTGATCCAAAGTTGTACATCTCCTTGACTCCAGTGAATCCCGCCGGTATGCCACATGTCAAGACTGTATGCTCGTAGGCGGTAAGGGTCCTACTACTGTCCTCGTGTCCCACGCAACAAAATTTCTTTACCGCCAGCATGACCGGAGGCAAACCTTAAGCACAATCTTTGCCGCTCATAGTGCGATATAAAGGGTGGCTTCTGCACCTTCCATCAAGCTGCCCCCACCGGCAGACTCATGACGGTGCAGTCCTTGCAAATGGACCCTCTAGTATTACCTGTTTTATTGATCGTCTGCGTCTTCTGCATCTCTCTATTCAGACGCAACTCGCTGCGGGGGAAACTGCCACCTGGACCAACTGGCATCCCGATTGTTGGTAATTTGTTCCAGTTGCCTGCGTTGCGGCCGCATCCGAAGGTATGGACACCGGCTTCTTATTTCTTATCGACAATCTGACGCTCGGCTTGTAGCTCCTGGAATGGGCCGCCCAATATGGGGAGATATTCTATCTCAAGCTCGGTGGGCAAGACGTGGTGGTCTTGAACACCGCGGAGGCCGCCGACGAGCTGTTGTCCCGCCGTAGTCACAACTACTCAAGCCGACCGACTCCGCATGTTGCTCAGGATATTCTGCGCGGCGGGATGGGACTTGCATTCCTGAAGTATGATACTCCCTTCAAGGTTCGATCAAATCGACTCCATCTTTCCATTTACACCTCTGTTGAGCACTCCTCCTAGGCGGTCAGGAAAGCACTACAAAGTGCGCTGGGTCCTGGTCCCTCGAAGCAACTCCGCCAGCACCAAGACAATGAATCTCGCGTGCTCCTCTACGATATGATTCTCCACGGCGATCAAAGTATGTTACAAGAACCGCTGCGTGGATCACACGGAAAGATCTTGGATCATCACTGGTTTGCACCGGTGAGGCGATATGTGAGTGGATCTCACTGTCATTCTACACATTCTCATGGTGTGACGTCCTGGTGTATATACAGGCAACGAGCGTTGCTCTGTATGCAATGTATGGCAAGCGAGTGGCGCGTTTCGTCGATAATCCGGACCTGTGAGTTCACTTGAGCTGGATTATACAGCTACTGATACACAGATTCCTACTACTAGTCATAAGATATATGACATCGTCGATAACTTCGCGCACATGTCTCAGCCAGGGAGCTATCTGTGAGTAAACCGACCAGCCGAGAAGCGTAAAGAATATCGGACTGACTCGGTGATCGTCGCTGCAGGGCAGATGTATTTCCTCTGATGCGACGCCTTCCCGATTTCTTGGCTCCTTGGAGGGTCAAAGCTCAAGAACTGCATCTATGGTCAGTCGCTCGCCGTTTGGAATATGTACTAGATGGTCATGATCTTGCGATCGTAGGGAGATGGGACTCTGGGGAGGCCTTGTCGATGACTGTAAGGCAGCTCTACGCAACGGAGAGCACCGGAGTGGATTTGTCGGTTCCTACCTGAACTCACGGACAACCGCTGGCCGCGAATATGCACCTGGGAAGGGGTTGACCGAAGACGGGTGGTTGCAAGACAGCCTCCTTGCGTACGGCGCCGGCTCCGCCCTCGAAGCGGGTTCCGATACCACTGCCATGAGCATAGTAACATTCGTGCTCTATATGCTTAGCTACCCGCATGTGCTGCAGAAAGCGCGAGCAGAGATCGACGCTGTGATAGGAACGGAACGTATGCCGGACTTCGACGACGAAGAACAACTGCCATACTTCGTGGCCTGTATAAAGGAAACTATGAGACATAGGCCAGCGACTCCGTTAGGTATGTTCATCCGATCCTATACACCGGCATACAGCTGCTCATCGGTACTCGCCAGCCATAGCGCATGCGACCGTCGAAGAAGACTTCTACAAGGATTACATCATACCAAAAGGATGTACAGTGATCGGGAACGTGTGGGCAATTCACAGGGATCCGGAACGGTTCTTCAACCCGACGGCATTCATCCCGGAAAGGTTTTACCAAGAAGGCAAGCCGACTCGTTGGGGCACTCGACCTGTTTCGGACGAACGCGACATGTATGATAACTTACCCCTCTCTCATTGCGTATCACTTATCTTCCGTCGACAGCTATGCGTTCGGATGGGGCCGTCGCTTCTGCCAAGGCAGCCACGTCGCAGAAGCATCCATCTTCATTACCCTATCTCGCATACTTTGGGGAATCGACTTCTATGCGCCGCTCGATCCGAAGACAAAGCGACCCATTCTGCCTGACGTCGCAAACGAGGAGACGACGTGGAGCGAGGGCTTCGTCAGTGTGCCGCACACTTTCAAAGTCGGCTTTGCTCCGCGTTCTGCCAAACACGCCGAGTTGATTCGCAAATCGTTTGATGGTGTGCAGTCGGAGTGGCAGCTGTTAGGTCTCGAAGGGGATGACCGATGAAGCTATACGGCCGTATTGATTATTGTCAGTTGTCTTATATCAATTGAATATGCAGTACTTGAATCATCCTGAAAGTTGAGATCGTCTTTGGTTCTGCCTGACGATTCTTGGTGATATTTTTGACCATTTCGTTACTAGTACTGCCTACACAACGCCGTTGCTACGATAAGCTTAACCCCGCCCCACGTCTTGTCGGAGATCGGGTACTGTCATGGCGTACATCTGCATTAACAACCGCGAGCCTTGTACGGTCCCGCAGTCGATTGAAGTGACGGATGAAGAACGGTGCGCGTAGTTTCGATCACGGGATCGTTCAACCCCATTGTGAGTCTGACCAAACATGTACAACGCCAACATACTGTACGCCGTTGTTCATAACGTTCCCCGATCAGCGAAGTTCATGATTCTGAGTGCCACTGGGTATTGAAAATATTCATTGCTGCTCCCAGTGAGCGACTGATCTCTCTGTGCCTAGTTATCGCCAACTCGAGACATGCTTCGCTTAGAGGCGAGGAGTCGGCAGTGAGTGCACGAAGTTGGCACCATTGAATGTGATTAGCAACATCATTCTTCTCTACTCTCACTGACAACAGCTGACTTCGTCTCCTGCGAATCCGACAGACACATTTGGATTTTTGCTCAGCAGCCAACACTGGTCATCGTCTCGATCACCAAGTCTAGAACCCGCTATGACTGTACCCCGCGCGTCCGCCAAGCGTCTGCACGTACGTACCCTTAGGGGGGGCCGGAGGGTTATTCGCAGTGCGCCTAGATAGAACACTTCCGACGTTCTTGCGCAAGCGTATCTATCGTTGGTAAGCTATACAGTTCACTAGTATATACCATCGGATCGGGCTGAACGGCGCATTTAGTGGCACACTCTCGACAAGTTGCGCTGTGACGACATGGAAGACGCAACGATTAGTCGCGGAATAACATCATAGGCTGCGGACTCTACGTACGCACATGCGTATGTCAGACCTGTTGCGGCCGCCGAGGCGTATGTCAGCTGCTACCTGTTCTACTGCTAATTCCTAGTAGAAGTCCCGCCGGTCTCACTCGTCCTGGTCCGATGGTGCCGTAAGAACTCACAGCGGTAAGCTCCATGTCTTCTCAACTTCTGCCAATGTACCTCATGCCAGAAATTGGCACTTCCGTCCAGGCGAGGAAAACCGCTGGGGCCTTCGTTCTCATGCAACAGGCCCTGTGCTGCTAACAGTACTGGAGCAGCTGCCAGTGAACTTGAAATCAAGGTTTCGCTTCCAGTCGTATAAAGTGCCACCCGCTCCGCAGAATGTCCAAGTGACGCATAAAATGATCGTCCCACTGCTTACAGTCTTGTCGCTCTCCTTCATATTTCTCTTATTCAGAAGGCTCAAAGAAGACTCTTCGCGGCGACGAATACTACCCCCAGGACCTTCTGGTATTCCTATACTGGGAAACCTACTTCAGTTACCTGCCTTACGACCGCACCCCAAGGTCAGTCGTCGCATCGCTGCTTCCGAAGCAGTCGCTGACAAAGATGAGTGTTAGCTCTGTGAATGGGCCTCCCAGTATGGAGAAATCCTCTACGTCAAATTGGGCGGCCAAGACGTTATAGTTCTGAACACGGCAGAAGCCGCAGATGAGCTGTTGTCCCGGCGCAGTCACAACTATTCAAGTCGGGCAATGCCACACGTTGCCCATGACCTTCTTCGTGATGGTCTAGGGATCACTTTCATGGGATATGGCACGTCGTGGAGAGTGAGAGTTGCGGCCAGTTGGTTCGACTTAATCGGCAGATACTAATGGTCCATCACCTAGGCACTCAGGAAAGCCCTGCAGGTCGCTCTCGGTCCTGGCCCTTCAAAGAATCTCCGCCCTATGCAGGAATATGAATCGCGGGTCATGCTATACGATCTGATGCGTCATGGCGACAACAGCGTCGTAAGAGACTGTGGCATCAACGCACACGGAGAAGTGACGGATAGTCACTGGTATGCGCCAGTGCGACGATATGTGAGTGTCACGATTGGTCGCATCGGTGTAGCGAGTGGCACATTGATCACCTTCAGGCGACAAGCGTTACGCTGTTTGCGATCTATGGCAAACGAACCAATCGGTTCCAAAACAATCCAAATCTGTATGGTCGCCTTTGTGTATCGTTGACCGAGCGATCCATAACTCATGAGTTCTAGTCATCTCATATATGATGTCGTCGACAACTTTTCGCGAATGTCCCAGCCTGGAAACTACTTGTAGGCGCTCAAGATTACATCTCCCCAGAAGCTCGATAACATACTCTGGCATGTAGGGCAGATGTGTTTCCGTTCTTGCGACATTTCCCCGACATCCTAGCGCCATGGAGGGTCAAAGCACGTAAATTTCACCTACGGTCAGCTTGGTCTTGCCGCTTCGCATACAGTCGCTCAAACTGCACGACAGAGAGAAAGGCTTATGGGAAGGCCTTGTCGAAGAGTGCAAAACAGTTATGCAAGATGGAGAGGATCGGGGTGGATTCGTCAATTCATACCTGAGAGCTCGTGCCAAGGCGGGCCAAGAGAACGCTCCAGGAAGAGGGCTCACGGAAGGCGACTGGATGCAAGACAAATTCCTGGCCTTCGCAGCGGGTTCAGTTCTGGAGGCAGGGTCAGACACTACCGCGATGACCATAGCGACGTTCGTGCTTTACATGTTGAACCACCCGCAAGTGCTACAAAAGGCGCGGGAAGAGATAGATGCTGTGGTCGGGACGGAACGCATGCCCGACTGGGACGACGAAGAGCGGCTGCCGTATTTCGTTGCTTGCATCAAAGAGACTATGAGGCACCGCCCTCTCGTTCCTCTAGGTAACTGTTTCAGTCATTGACGTCCGTTGACGCCCTTATTTGAACTTCACTACCCAGGTATACCGCACGCTACGATGGAGGATGACTTCTACAAAGGCTACCACATTCCGAAGGGGTGCATGGTGATCGGAAACATATGGGCGATGCACCGAGATTCCGAACGGTTCTATAACCCAACCGCATTCATCCCGGAGAGGTTCTACGAAGAGGGCAAGCCGACGCGCTGGGGCACTGGGCCTATCTCGCAAGAACGCGACCAGTAAGACATTACGCAACTTTCTGTCCACATTGAACTGACACATGGCTTACAGCTACAGCTTTGGCTGGGGCAGACGGTTCTGCCAGGGAAGCCACATCGCAGAGGCGTCGCTGTTCATCACCCTCTCTCGCTTGCTATGGGGACTCGACTTTTCTGCGCCGCTCGACCCGAAGACGCAGCGGCCAATCCTGCCTGACATTGCGAACGAGGAGGCGACCTGGAGCGAAGGGTTCGTGAGCATTCCGAACCCATACAAAGTCAGGTTTGCTCCGCGATCGGCGAAGCATGCTGAGTTGATTTGCGACGAATTCGAGGCCGTGCAGGCTGAATGGCGGAGGATGAGGTTGGATGTCGATGAACGGTGAAGCGGCGTAGTGCCCATGCATGATGCCGGAACGAGTTCCTCCCTACGTCCGCTTTGAAGCGAATGCACAGCGGTGGTCGTGTATGTATCTGCGTCGTGCCTGCCTGACTATTGTATAGATTCGTCTTGCATCATCGTGTTTTGTTTTGCCGTTCTGCGTGAACTCTAGAGATCTGATCCAATCGCATCTACGAGCGGCGAAAGCAAACAATATTTGCATGACGATGATCAAGCTTCGATATACCTAACAAGACAAGGGCTCTAACATATATGCATAGCAGTACACGATGTGAACGATGCCATCATTTCCAAATTCTGGGCTGCCAGATTTGACAAATGACTTTTGGGTGACTTCGAGAGAGATTCAGGTACTGCCGGAACGAACGAGCGCTGTCAATTTGATTGCCATGCAAAATCGCGTTCGTCGCACGTACCTTGCGTTCTTCGCCCGATTCATCGCTCAGTCCCAGTGCGCGTCGTGCGTATAGCTCCACGAACTGCGAAAAGCATACACGGGACATACGACGAGCAACACGAGTCCTTCCAGTACCGTCATGAACCCGGCGGCGCCGAGTCTGAACGCATGTGCCTCATTCAGCCCCCCGTCCAGTCCGCTTCCCAGAAAGCACGCGCCCGCATACGCTCCCAACAGCCCGCCGACGGCGACGCCGCAGAGCAACCCGAGCGGCATGATGGCTTCACCGAGTCTATGTTCGACACCATCCGCCGGGTCGTGCCTCCGCATCCAGCGCCGTTCCACCTGAGTCAAGCCCCAGCAGAAGGTGAAGATCGCGAAGCCTATTGCGGCACCGCCGATGCTGCTCACGCAGAGGATCGTCTCCCGATTTGAGCTTTTGTATGGCTCACGCGACATGAGGAAGATGTAGCCTGCAGAGGTGCACACTAGAGCCGCAGCGCCGGAAAGCAAGGCGTAGACGGTGCCATGCGCGATATAATCGGCCAGGGCGAGAGCGATGGCCCAAAGAATCCTGCGCAGCACTCCAAAGGACGGATGTTTTCTTGCGCGCCTCTTGTGAGTGTCATCGATGATTGCGAGTTCGCGTCTTGATGTTGGTACATGCGCAGGCTGCCGACGGGAAACGTCGAACGGCGATCCAGAGGAAGGGGTAGATGATGAAGGAAGACCGCCATAAATAGGATGGCTAGAGAACGGGAACGAGGGCGTGGTGTACGGCTGGGAATGGCGTAGGTCGACGGAGGTGACCGTGAATGATTCGGAAACGTACGAGGCGTACTGAACGGAGGTGCGTGCGGACGGAAAGAACTCCTTTTGCACGGTCATAGTCGTAGGTTAACGGTCGCGATTTCGGTGGGCACGTCCGGTTGGCTTGATCGTGAGCCGCGGGTGGCTTAGGTGGTCATGCGAGGATGCGGAGAGTTATACCTCTCAGAAACTCCGTAGGAAGTCTCGAACGCTGACATCAAGGTCTTGTGTGGTCGGACTGGGAAGATAGACGTACTGTCAATGGAAGGACGTGGAGGCGTGACGCAGCTCCACAGACATAAACGGTGCGCATGATCTAGATTTAGACACGTAGATCAGTCGAGAAGGTACCTTGAGGATGGGAGACCACACGGGATCTACCTATCGCTGTAGACTACCTTTCAGTTACAATATATTTAGACGAGGCTGTGTTGCGCGGTCCGTGAGGCGAGGACATGAAAACAGAAACCATCAGTTCGATCGATGAGGGAAGGCAGAAGAAATCACGTACAGCCCCTCAACGTGTTGGATGATGAGCTAGATTGTGGTCTTCACCGTGATGTGCGGTTCATCGCGCTGAGTATCACTGCCAATCTGGGCTACTTGTACGCCCACAAAGACCCACAACAGATCCCCAGATGAGCAGAATTCCTTGTGACCTGTTGCAAGTCCGGTACCGGGCCGCCCACGAACGATGAACGCAATTTGAAAGGTATGCTTACCAGTGATGCTGTCGGTCAGCCAGGCCACTGGTGAATGATGCCCACGTTGTCAGACCCCACGGCAATCGCAACTGTGCAGCCTGAGCGGCGAAACTGCCTTGCTCGTGAAAGCCATTGTAACTTGAGCAGCAAGCACACACGATCCAGTCAGAGTGCCCAGTAGGTTTGGTTTCGAGGATGCTCTACTCCAAGTTCAATGGTATCAGCGTCAACGAATGGTAGAATTGCTAAAAGCGTCATGAGTTTGGGGTGTCCTTACCCCCGATAAGAAACGGATTCAGACATTGACCTGAAGACTTTTCAGACGATGGTATGTAATGCGCGCAGGTGGATTGGTGGTGAAGTGCAATATGTTGACTTTTGGTTTCGCTCCGCCTCGGGCAAGCGTCAGCGTGAGATCTAATCTCGTCCGCCCGGTAATATCCGAGTCGAGATTATCTCTGCTGCCTGTGGAAGTCGATCGTCATTCGAAACCCCTGCCATCCGTCTTGACCCACGCCCGCGCGTTCGTTGTATAAAATGTCTGATTGGGGTACGTTTGCTTTACCATAAGGGGAGTCGTATGTTGATACATGAAGGGCATACAGACGCGTCAGACGACGAAACGCCTGCGGCCGCGCCCTCCGCCCCCGTGCCCAAGAAATCAGCAAAGAGCAAGTGGGAGGGTGAAGATGACGATGATGATGCTCCTGTGGTACGTTTTGGAATAAGTCTGTGCGAGGGTGTGGAATGCTGATGTGTTACACCGATCGTGTTCATCAGAGCGACTGGGAGGCATCCTCGGACGAGGAGAAGAAGCCCGCCAAGGCTGCCGCCCCGGTGGCACCACCAAAGAAGAAGGGCACTCTCAAACAGAAACTTGCAGAGAAGGAGGCCGCTCGAGCAGCACGAATAGCCGCAGGCGAGGACGAAGACTACGACGAAGACGCCGTGCTCGATCCTCGGGAGAAGATGCGCTTGGACAAGGAGAGGGAGCTCAACTCTGACTTGAACAACGCGGCTGACCTGCTTGGAGCCGCTGCTCTCGGAGGTTCGGACATCCTCGTGTCTGCCATCTCACGCGACTCACGTTGGGGACAGGGACCTCGTCCTCCGAGTTGGACGAGCTGATCTCGGCTCAGCCACGGACGAAGGAAGACTTCATCAAATTCTCGAACCAGATCATCCAGTATATTATTCAGCGTCATCAGGACAAGCCGCTCTACCCTGCTTTCGTTGAGCACCACGTACGGGAACTGGCGGTGCCCTTGCGCGATGTCGAGGTCCGCAAGGCGGCCAGCGCCCTCACTACACTCGCGAACGAGAAGCAGAGGGAGCAAAGAGACAAGACATCCGGCAAGAAGAAGCCAAAGGCTACTACCAAACCTGTGCTGGGTGCCGCAAAGGTGGCGAGCAAGTGTGTCGTCTCGTTCAATTACGCATGTTCGCGGAGCTGATGCGCTCTATTCTCAGGCTCGACACATCCGTGTACGACGAAGCCCTCGATGACTTCGGGTCGACCGCAGACGATTTTATGTAGAGGTAGTGATGCTGTGCTGTACGTCGCCGCACAACTTGTATCAGGTCATTCAGCTGTAGCATGGCATGTTATTGATGAGAATTGCTTGTTGATCTACGACTGCTTGTGAGAACATTGAACGGTTGCACCTGGGTTGAACATTTTAATGTTGAGGTTCTCGTCACCTTCAGTACGTGACTTGTACATGGTAACGTGCAGTTTAGCTAATTGCGTGCCGTGCTTTCTGACAACGCGCAGCATCTGATAGCGAGCGACATCCTGCCCACAATTCGTCGAGGATGAGTCGTCTTACAACAGCGCTACGTTCACGACAGCCACGATGACATGAAACTCCAGCTGAGTAAACCTCACTCATCCCCGTCCTCATCGCCACTGCTATCTTCGTCATCACTTGCAACACCGACGACGCCACCGCCCATCTTTTCCTTCAGCATCCTGCCCGCTTCGGCCAACTTTGAGCCCAGGGCTTTTCGTGCACCCGCATTGGCACCGATGTCCCACACCTGCAGCTTGCCCTGGGACCCCGCTGCCGCGAGTGTGAGCGCGTCGTCGGGCGACCACGACGTCGAGAACACCTTGCCCTGTGCTGCCGTGAACAAATGTAATGATGAAGGCAGGAGTGGACTGGACTTACCACACCTAAGTCGCGCGAGATAACGAGACTGACTTGCCGCTTCTCGAGGTCGGCGTCTTCGTTGACGTTCCATACCTTGACGACCTTGTCAGTCCCGCCAGTAACGATGCAGCCCCGGATGTGCGGGTTCACATCCAGCGCGGATGCGGCACCGTCGTGGGCAGAAAGTGTGAAGCGTGCGGGTGAGGGAGAGCTCAGATTGGAAGGCAATGCTCTTGCGTCGAAGTTCAGGACAAGGCCATTTTCCAGCGACACCTGGAATCACGGGTGTATAAGCTATCAGGAATGTGCAGTGAGGTAGCGGGACTTACATAGAAGCCGTGTGCCTCCCATGGGTCCCACCGGATCGCCTCAACATCTGCCCCGACTACTGCCCCAACGCCCGCGTCGGGCGCTCTCGAGTCGAACGTTCGAACCGTCCGGTCGTAGCTACCGGTGAGCAGTACCGTGGGCTCCTTTTCATTCCATTGCACAGCCTGTACCTTGTCCTTGTGCACGTCGAAACTACGCAGCGCACCCTGCCCTTCGTCACCCTCACCACTGATCGTCGGGTCGCGAGTGAGGTCCCACAGCTTGACCGTGCGATCCGCAGACGCAGATGCCAGCAAGTTCCGATGTGTGCGATTCCACGACAGTGAGAGCACGGCGTCGACGTGGTACGCTGACGACGTTGCGCGGTGCTTGGTCTTCTTGCGCTTTTTCTTGCCAGTGCCAAGCGGTGTTGGTACGTGCGCGGCGGTCTTGTCTGGGCGCCCGAGTACCATGTCGGGGTACATCGCATCGACGACGTCGAGCGACCAGATCTCAATCTCGGGCTCCATCGTGCCGACGGCGATGTAGTTGCCAAACTGTTTTGCGGGGTGGGTGGAGGTGGCCTGGGCGGAGGGGGACGTGACGGGAGGGAAGTCAAGCCATTCGAGGCAGAGCGGGAAGCTGGGGAGCATGAGGTCATGGTGAGCGTAGAGGTTCTCTTCGGACTCGTCGTAAACGTAGATCTCGAGTTGGGAGATTTCATCTTCGGTTTTGGCGGCGACAAGGATGTTGTCGGTCGGCAGGATCTCGAGTTCTTCTCGCTCGTTCTCTTCCTCGTCCTGAGCAAGGGTTAGAGACGAACCAAGGAGTGAACGTAACATAACGCACCTCCTTCAAGGTGATGTACGGATCCTCATCGTTATTCCGGTGGTATGTGAGGCCTTTGATGTTGCTAAATGGACCCATGGCTTTTTGGGTCATATTTCAGTCCAATTTTCGACGAGAATAGAATTGTTACTAACCTGGCATGGTATCATCCTCATCATAGTCATCTAAGTTATACTCAGCGAGATCGTCGTCTCCATTCGCAGACTTGGCCGGCTTGTGAGGCTCGTCGACTTCCATGGTGACATCCTCGTCCGCCTTGTCATCATCTTCACTTGTAACTCGTTCACTCAATACATGAACACGCATGAGAGATCAGGAAGGACTCACTCGACCCATGCGCTCTCATCCTCATCCTCATCTACATCGTCGGCCTCCTCGCCCTCGGCTCCCTTCCCCATCGTTCCAGCAGCTTTGTGTGCGGCTTCGAGCTCTTTCCGCGCATCTTCTAGCTCGATGTGGGCAAGTGCACTAACTCGAGCAAGCTCGTTATCGTCTAAGACATATTTCCCGGGGTGTCGGGCTGCTACCCCTCTTTTGACCCTGACGGAAACATAAGCAGCGGGCGGACACAGATATTCGCATAACATACCAGGAGACACAGGAGATGAGGCTGCTCATCTTGCGCTACGATCGCCGCAAGATTGCAATGTACAACTTGCAGCGGCTGCAGAAACTCGGAAGTCAAGATTTCTGCTTCGGGCACATCTCGGGCACGTGTAGGAAGAGAGAGGGCGCTTAGCACGGCCCCGTGATTGACGCGCGTGGGACGCGCCACGGTCACGGTCAAGTCACGAGGCATGTTGAACTAGGACGAAGCCACGGCTCGCGCACGAGTTGGACTGCTGAACGCACCAGCGACCTCCGCTTGACCTCCTGTCTTCACTGTACTCCTCACACCCCTGACTGCCACGTCATGTTCAAAAGCATCCTCCCCTCTCGCAGGGTCCCAGCTACGGACTTCCAGATGGTAACTCCGCCCTTCGACTCTGTGCCGAACGGCAAGGAGAACTACCCCGAGCTGTCCGCTTCCGACGAACTGAAGCCGTCTCGCGTCGAGAAGTCTAAGAAACGTAAGGGCAAGGAGCAAGCCCAAGGCTCGGATAGCTACGCAACCACACATGCATTCGAAAAGCTACTTGTGAGTATTGGCTTTCTGAAGCTCGTGGAAGCCTTCGGACCCCCGTCCCTATGCGACATGGGCTTGCTCTATGACGATGCATGTCTCTGTTGAGTACGCTATCGCATCAAGACACGGTAGTATATACTACACGCCATGTCTCTTCTCTGGTTGCTCGAGGCCAATACCTTGGACATGGCTGACTCCATCTACAGGATGAACTGCAGGTACCTGACAACATGCGCGAGAAGCTAGCCACGATGGATGCTGGTGTGAAGGCGGCCTTCGTCAAGTCTTCGAAGGACCTCGCCATCATGTCATCTAAGTCTGCCGAACCGCCCATGACGCCTCGCGGTGTCCGCAAGGCGCGCAGCATCGAGTCTATCTCCTCACCCCAGCCCACACAAAATGCATCGCAATCCAAGTACAATCTCTCGAAAGTGCCCGACCGCCCGCGGTTCATGAATACGAATACGCACAACCGCGGTGTGTCCTTCGATGCCAACCGCCAGACGATGGTGTTCCACGAGAAGCCCGCTCCAGCGCCGAAGCCAGCGAAGGAGAAGCGTAGTAAGAACGCAATGGCACCTGCTAAGCTGCAAAAGCTCCTGAGCAAGGCGCAGGCCACTCACCTCGACATCGAGGTCGCCAAAAAGCTGCGACTTCACCTGCGAAATGAGCCCGCTTCGTAAGTCGTGCGTGCCTCCCAGTGATGATTGCCACTCATTGTCCGCAGCTGGACTCAGGAATTCATTCAAGAGGGCGGGTACACGACCATGCTCACCCGTCTTCACGAGATCCTTACTGTCGAGTGGCGGTAAGCTGCGCGTCTTTGTCTCGGTCCGGCTACGTCTGACTGGGCACAGTGAGGAACAACACGATGATCAGCTCCTTCACGAACTTCTACGCTGCTTCAAGGCTCTTATGACCTCGGCCGTCGGCTGCGCAGCCCTCCGAAGCTGCTGCCCCGCACCCTACACGCAAATTGTCACTGTTTTGTACTCTGACAAGCGGCCTGGCGACGTCGCCACTAGACACCTCATGATCGAACTGCTCCTTAGCCTGTACGAACTCTACCCTTCATCATCCTTACCATCCACTGGCAATCCCTCCCGTGGCTCGCCGACGTCTCCCTACGGCCACAACAGGACCAGGTCGGTCCCATGGGAGTCTGAGGCTAGCGCGACACTCTCGACTGGCTTGATCGTGCTCCCTCCGCCTCACTCCTCTGTTTGCTCGCTTGTGAAGTCCCTTCTGCTCACGCCGGCCCCCCGTCCCGCGGAGGACGATAGCGTCCCTGTTCAGCCTCACTTCTTCATTGAGAAGATCCACCGCCCGAGGGTCTATAAGGCGTATCTTGAGGAAATGAGCAACCTCTGCCGGGATTTCTTTTGGATCTATTGCCATCCGGCGAACAAGATCTGGAACCTGGACGAGACGGATGAGGAGAAGGCCGAAAGACCGCGCGCTCCCAGCGGTATGTCTGGGGGTGTTGAGTACGAAGCGATGTGTTATATGGTCGGTGTCGCCTTTCCGTGGAGGGTCGTCGTCATGCCTAATGTATGCTTTGTTGGGCAGAGTACACACCTCAAGTTCTTGAACGCTTATTGTCGCGCTGCCGAAGAGCTGCATTACCCGCCGCAACATCCTCTTTCGGCGTACCAGTTCCATAGGGATCTCTTCGCCTCCGGCATGGACCGTATCATCATGGTTCGCGGTTTACCTACCTCTCGCGATCTTGAGTTGACATCCATCACAGATGGCTCGCAGGGCCTCGACTGCGTATTATCCAATCCTCCATCTCGAAATTGCGCGCTACATCCGCTGGGCTACGCGTTCTGGCATCGAAATACCATGGGGCATCTCGCGGCTCATGGGCGAACCGCCTGTCTTGTACCTGCTCATGAAGCCCAGACCCGCAGCAGAGGCGAAGGAGCCCTCAGTTGCCCCCTCCCCAGGCAAGACCAACAAGGGCAGCAGCTCCGTGCCCAGCTCGCCGACGAAGGCGGGCAATCATTACACGACGGAGCGCAGCCATGCTGCGCCTCCTGGCCAGGGTCTGCGCAGAATCACTCCTATGTTTGGCTTTTGATTGCACTTTAGATACGCCTGATTGCATGGGATCTGCTTGCTCTGGGAGACGTCACTGGTTCCTTCCTACAATCGTTCTTCCTCGACTCGTATATATATGCTCTCCCCGATCTGCTCTTGTTGTCTTAGTACCCTCGACGCTGCACGTCGCACATTGTATATCAGCGACACCGCGACTGCTGCATGCATCTGCCTGACCCGCGCTCTGTACTGTAGATTGACATGATTTGACGACACTGCTTGTTTGAAATGCCGATTGACTGAGAACGAGGGATGTTACAGTGTTTCCTGCCGAGGCGCAGCAGCCATGTCCTGGACACGGCCCGACGGATTCGCTCGCCCGACGGCTTGCGTGCGTGCTCATGCGGCGACACAGGCTGTGCGTAGCAGCGTGCTAGTGCTCGAAGCGAGGGCTGCCGTATTTGGGAACGCTCCTCAGTCGCCGTGGCAGCGGGGGCACGTGAGGGGAGGGTGGCTGGGTAATTTCGATAGTGCGGGCGCGACGACTGAGACTCTACCGCCCGACACAACCGCGATTTGTCTTTTCTATCCACGAACATCGTCAACGACCTCCTCACGAAGCCTGCCCAGCTCTGTCGTCCTCGAGCTGCTCAACTGTCTCCCTCATCGTCAGGCTCCATGGTGAGGTCGGTCGTCTACAGTCGTTACCTCGTTGCGCTGTTCGCCGCGCTCCTCCTTGTCCCCTTCGTTGCTGCCCACGATGCTCGTGCACTAGAGCGTCGAGACATTAGCAACATCTTCAGCTTCCCCGACAACACCGACACGGACAAGTCGACGTCGACCTCCGCGGCCAGCAAGACCACAGGCTCGACCTCCGCGACCAGCGCAACCTCCGCCGAACAGTCCAAGTCGACCCAGTCGACCCAGGCGTCCGCTGGAGGGAAGTCGTCTAACTCCGCGTCGGCGACATCGAATTCTCAGTCGACGTCGGCCAGCAATAGCCAGTCCTCAGGCTCGAACACCAACAGCCAGACTGCGACAAGCCAGTCTACGCCTCCTCCTTCCAGCTCGAACGCCCGCTCGACTTCATACTCGACGAACTCTGATGGTGAAGTGACCACGGTCGTCGTTACGGCACCGGCGTCTGCATTAGCGAGTGCGTCGTCAGCCGCGACGGATTCGGGTGGAGGGTCGAGCTCGGGCATCAGCACGGGTGGTATCGTTGGTCTTTCGGTCGCAGGCGGAGTGGCACTGCTCGCCGTTGTCGCATTTGCTGTGTTCAAGTTTAGTCGCAAACGGTATCTGGACGAGTATGATGACGGTGCGTGTGACATATCAACTGAGCTTGGGGACCATCTGCTCAACGTGTACTTCCCTCAGCCGAAGCGATCAAATGGCCTGAGCTGGGCAACCACGGCGATTCATCGCATGCACTGCCCACGCACCGTACAGGCGGAGCTGGTTTCGATACATCGTCCGAAGTGAACTTGACGCGTCCGGATTCGCGCGCGGGCAGCATTGCACCCTCCGCAGCCGCTTCTACTGTGGACCTTTATGGTGCGCAGCAGGATCCTTACGCTGTACCGCCGCTTCCGCATCTCAACCCCAATGCAGGTGGCGGCGCGTTGCAGCCATACCGCGATGACCCTGCCGCCACATCCTACTACGACCCCTACAGCGGCCCTGTCCCGCAGACGCTGGAGGGCGAGGCTATCCCTATGACACAGATCCCCGGCCGCGCACGCAGCCCAATGCCCATGCAGGGTTCAGGCTTCGCGCCGGGGATGGGAATGGACGGAAGGAGATCACCCGGACCCGGCGCAGCACTCGCTCCACCTATGCTCTCACCAGTTGGCATGCGCTCGCCGAGTCCAGGAGTGGGCATGGCGAACATGCGCTCACCGAGCCCAGGGCCGAACGCAGCGTACAGCGCAGGTCAGTTCGCATGACCTAGTGTCGACGGGAGGTAAAGGTGGATGGCTGGCCCATGTCTAGGGAGGGGAGGAGGGTGATCTACTCGGATTTTCGTATCGATTTCAAGGGACACTGGGTCTGGATGTCATCAGCTCAGAAGACAGGGCTGCGGGTGTGCGGAGGACTGTAACGGTACTGATACCCTCGAGTGTGTCGCATTCTGGATCGTGCAAGGATAGACAATGCATTCGTCCGTGCTTCATTTGCTATACGCCTTGGTTGCATACTCACGAGTGTCGTCCGCATTGCTTCTGTAGTCGACCGATCCGTCCACGTCCCCTTCGCGCTGGCTGGGCCAGCACCCGCTGGGCGTGTCTTGCTGCCATGCACCTTCGCTCCTTTTGTCGCTCGCTACTCGCTGCAATTACGTTCGTTTAGTTCTCGCGTGCGGGGCACGCGCCCGCGTCCTCGCCGCAGCCCCTGCAGTGTGCCCCGCCGTGCCCCGTCTTCCGACTGTTCTCCCCTTCGCACACCATCGCACACCTTGACTCCGGACAACGGACTTATAATCGCTTCTTCGCTCTGCATTTTCTGCACTTTTCACATAGACGGATGGAACGTCGCCATGTGCTCGTACAACACTAATGTCTCCGGTATCATACTATCTCCATATCTATGCATGTGAACCACCGCACTACGTTAGAGACAGCTAATGCGAAGGATCCTATCTGCAGCGCGAGCACGGCATCCAGGCAATCTCAATACCCGCTGGTACTAATGTTCATACACGCGTTACGCGCGTGGCCGATGTCAAACATTGTCGGACATGCGGGAAGGCGTAGTACCACTAGTCGCGGTGAGTCCTCTTCAGTTCATACGCCGCGAGTAGACGCTAAGTCACTCTATGAAGCGTTTTCATCGTCCCTTCCGGCCGCCGTGTGTGGTTAATACAGGGTAGAAGCACAAGGTGTGCCATCTGGTGGGGTCGATATCAGAGTTGTGTCCGTTTTACCGCCAGAGATCATGATACCTCAGGCTAGCCCACCCCATTGGACCAGTCACACAATGGCTACCCAATCGGTGCGTCGATGCGATGTGCCTCCACTACTGAGAATTGCCCCCAACTAGCGTATCTGAACCTTGAACTTGGGATGCTGGAGTCGCAGCTGATCGTGTAATGGAAGAATACAGGCTGAGACAGCGCGGGCCTCGTTTCGGTCCAGCATCGCTGCCATATGTCAGCGTACTGTCGCTTTTCGCATGCCCGACCGCACCTACATGGAACTCGTGCCCATAGGCTCGGACATGATCCTCGTTCATCGGGTCCTATGCGCGCAGGCGCCACGGAGACCATATAACTGGCACCACTCTGCCTGCGAGACTCTCATGGAGAGACTGCTAGACATGTTGCCGGAGTCGGTGCGCAGTATCCTGTCCCTAAGGACATTTCCCTCCCTATGGAGAATACTCAACGAACATAGGCTCTTGATTCCCACTGCGGCTCTGGGTGCTGTCGCCATCTTGTTTCGTTATGCCCTCTCACGGCGACGGAGGACACCGAAGTCCGCTGACTTGAGGCGATTCGCTCGTAACCTGGCGACTGGGAAAGGCGACGATTTGCAGAACTATGACATAGTGATCGTGGGTGGTGGTGAGTCCATGATGTACCTAGTACGCACGGTACTTTTGTCTGATTTTACACCCCGTAGGCACAGCTGGTTGCGTGCTCGCCTCTCGATTGTCGGAGGACCCAAGTTTGAGTGTTCTGCTACTGGAAGCCGGCAGCAGGTTGGTACACCCTGACACGTACTCAGATTCCATTACCAACTGAAGCTGTACGATGTTGCAGTTCGTTGCACAACCCGTTATCTCGCGTACCGGCCATGTACCCCCAATTCTTCCATTCGGAGTATGATTACGACCTGTACACGGTCCCTCAAGAACACGCGGGAATGAAGAGAAAGTTCCACCCGAGAGGCACGGAGACCTTTCATCCATACCTGACATTGTCTAATGCATCATTCCTTTGACACAGGGAAGATGCTGGGGGGATGTAAGCTCAGCCATTGATATCTCAGGTTGTACATGCTCATATGCGTTTGGAGGCTCGTCTATGAACGCCATGATGTTAGTCCTCTTTCATGGCGTTCTCATCACTTGCGACTGATCGCAACGTCAGCTTCCACTATGGCGCCCCGTCGGATTTCGATCAGTGGGCCGAGCTTCAAGGAGGACAAATCGGTGCCTCGGAGTGGAGATTCGACCACTTCAATCAGTAGGCAGTGCTATTTGCCTGGCCCTCCCTCGCGTCTGAAGAATCACCCAGGTATTTACGCAAGTTTGAGAACTTCCATTCAAGCGAAGACCGTCCTCTTGTCGACGCCTCAGTACGAGGGGCGAGAGGCCCGATGCCCTGTAAGCGCTACTCGTATAAAAGTGTTGCTGGACACCGATCGCGGTTTAGGCGGCTTCTTCGCGAACGTCTCCGATGGGGCCAAGCGCTTTCTGAAGGCATGCGGTAAAGCGGGGATACCGCTCAACCAAGACTTCAACACTGCGAAGGGGACATTAGGCGTAAACGCGGTGAGTGGTCTCTCAGTCGCGTTCCTCATACCTGTGATCGTGTCCTAATCGGAATTCTTTAGCCATGTAGGTTCGCTTTCAACGGCACAAGAATATTTATGAACATCATAATTTCTCCTTTTCAGTGACTTTCATCGACCCCCGCGGGCGACGTGTGACTACAGAGTCCGCATACCTGACGCCTGAAGTACTCGCACGGCAAAACCTCACCGTTGCCACCCGTGTCCAGGTCACCCGTGTCATGTTCAGGCAAATGAAGGGAAAGAGACCGCGCGCGGTGGCTGTGCATCTCAAGGATGCACATGGTGATGCCTTCGAGGTCAAGGCGAGGCGTGAAGTTGTCCTGTCGTGAGTACCCAAACACTGTCGTGCGTAGTACTAGTATTCAGTTTGACGCGCTATCACAGAGCGGGTGCCATACATACTCCCCAGGTATGGATCCCTCGCGGCCTAGACGAAGCTAGATCGACTCACATGCCTGACAGCTCCTCATGCTCTCTGGGATCGGTCCAGCTGCGCACCTGTCCGCATATTCCATCCCCGTCATCACAGACCTTCCGGGCGTCGGCTCACACTTAATGGACCACCCCGAAATAAGCTTCCACTTCCGCGACAAGACGAAGTCTGTGCTCGCGGGGCTCTCGCACGACCCGCGCAGGCACGGCAGATTTGATCTTCTCGCGACGCTCTGGCGACTCGCTCTAGTCGTTCAGTATGAGCTGACGGGGAGAGGCCCGTTGACGACTATCGTACGCCTACGCGCTTGTGCCAGAGCTTTTGCATACGCTGATCTTCACTGCCCAGGTTGCAGAAGCGCTGGCATTCGTCCGTTCTTCGGACGCTCCACTCTTGGCAAAGGCTGGCGTTACCTTGCCCAACCCAGATGACATCGAGGATTCCTCTACGGGACGAGATGCACCCGACCTCGAACTCTTGTTATCACCCATGGCTTGGCTCGAGCACGCGTGCGGAGCATATCCCAAGGGGTATCATTTTGGACTGCACGAAGTGCTTCTGAGGTATTCCGGTTCGCTCGTGGTAACTGAGGCATACACTGATCCCAGTGCATCGAGGCCCACAAGTTTAGGGACGATCAGGTTGAACTCGGCTGACCCGTCCGACCCACCGCTGATCGACCCACAGTGCGTCTAGGCTCCTATTTAGACTACTCTAGCACGGCTCATACCCATCTACATCGCAGGTACCTCTCCACCAAGCACGATGTGCAAGTCCTCATCCGGGGCGCCCGCCTCCTCGCGAACATCCTGTACCAGCACCCGCTCGCCGACATGCTCGACCCCTCCGGATCCAGCGACACGAGTGGCTTGCTCAACCACGACCTTGCCTCGAAGAGCGACGCGGAGCTCGAGGCGCTGATCCGCGACCGCGTCGAGACGATCTATCACCCGACGAGCACCGCTCGCATGGCGCCCCTCGAGGACGGCGGGGTGGTCGACCCGTACTTGCGCGTGTATGGTGTGGAGGGGCTGAGGGTGTGCGATGCGAGTATATTTCCGACGATTACGAGTGGGCATACGGTAGGTGTCGCACTCTGTGTATGTGTTGTAAATGGTTGGTGACGGAGATGTTTGCTGTTCTAGGTGTCTCCGACTATTGCGGTCGCTGAGAAAGCCGCAGACATGATCATAGAAGCACTCCGTTCTTAGATTTCTTCAGGCGTCAAGTTTGCTTGGAAATGTCGTATGCACCCCATTGTACGGACATATTGTTGCTGCAAGTGACCTTTTGCATCAGCAAGTCGACAGACCCTCATGATGAGTTTTTTTTTGGAAAATAAAGTATACGACGAGTTTAGGTTGTATCTGCTGGTGCTGGTCGTAACATCAACGCTGGTGGCCTAGTCGGTAGCACCGTTGCCGAAGCCTCATACGATAGGCCCCCTGCGACTGCTGCACCGTCACACATGAACGACAACCAATACTGTACTGGTACTAGGAGCCCGCCACAGCCGGCGAACCAGCCCGGGGCTGACGTCGCTCCAGTACACACCGCCTCATGCTCAGGCTCCTGTACTAAATCCTCTTGGTCATGTCATTGGCGAACAAACCGTCCTCCCAATCCTTACTTACTCGGCGACTTATGCACCGCCTACGAGCATTGCCTGCGGCTTAAAAATCACCAGAATTGGTATGTACTGTTCAACGAGCTCCAAAAGACCGCCGCGTGCGACACTGTCGAAAGTGTTACAACGGTCATGAAAAAGGCATAGTGAGGATGCGAAGACTCGACACTTCATGTGTAGTGAGTATGCGGGTTCACACCTCTTTGGAGAAGGGACTAGTGCGCACGATTCGGACTGCGTGGTATACTCTACTCTACACATCAATACCGACTGTATCGGCTAGAACCACAGATATGATTATTCGCCGATACAAAGTGTGCATACACGACTCATGCTCATCAGGCAAAGGGAAATACCGGCACCCCCTAAAACATATTGTCAGCATTCGTAAGATGACCATGCGAAAGCCGGGACTCCTACGTCGTGATCTCGGGGATCAATTTCCGCTCTTACATCCTCGTCGATGTCTTGCACGGCTACAAGGCGAAACGGGTACCACACTGCGCTGTGAGCATCAATCCACAACAACCACAACCTGACGTCTGGGCGAGCAAGCTTGCATGCCAGAACAGCCGCTGCCTGCCGAAGCGCTGAGAATTGAGAAGCATGCTCGCTATCAATGTAAGCTCGCAGCGTAGACAAGTTGCTCAGTTTCGCTAGATGCAGAGCGAGATCAGTCTGTGTGAGCGTGACTCGTGATCAATATATGCCTGCAAGCATGATGATCGACAGACGACTCACGTCGGAGAGACTACTACGATTGTATGGTCGAATGCAATGAATCTCCATAGATCTCAGTTGGGAACATCGTTGTGTCATATGGCGTAGGAGGTCATCTTCCGCAGCATCTGCACAGTATTCCACTTGAAGGTATTCTAAGCGCGGCGCTTCGATCTGTGAGAGGATCTCCAGCATCTCCGAAGCGTGCGTTATAGGGGATTCGATGCGGGACAGTTTGCGTGATTGCCACATATAAAAGCAGTGGTGCGGGGTGCATCGCAAGGATAGGCATCGCATGGTTGGCGGAAGGTGGGAGTAGATTCTATCGTCGGGGCTCGGAAACGACACGGTTAGATCCTCGAGGTCGGGCCATGGGAATCGGGCTTCGTGATTCTTGGGCCAAAGTTGTAGGACTTGTCTATCGCCGCCCTTGGGTAGAGACAGTTCCAGTGATAGAACACGCAATTTGGGCATTCCGGCGAAGAGGGTGACGAATGGAGTGTGAGTATCAGGATTTAGATGAAGCACACCCATCAAACGCAGTTCAGTCAGTCGCGGCCATTGGTTGTCTGCGAGTGTTCCGAAGGGCGTGACCTCGCTGGGAAGCAGCAGTGATTCGAGAGTGGGTCGCAATTTCGTGATGACCAAGCCTAGAACTCCCTCTTGCGACGGATAGCGGCAAAGTTCCGAGCGGAGTGCGGCATGCACGAATTGAAATGTGGTGAGTGAGGCGAGAGACTCGATGCTCACAGCCGTTGGGGTCTGTCGCGGACTAAAGAGGAACTGCTCAACTGTGAGAGTACGGAGCAGGGGAGTTGATAGGATGGCCTCCAGAGTATCCCACCCGATCCCGTGTACCTCCCGACAGATGAAGGACAGATAAATCGACTGCAGGCGGGGCATCGCTCCCAGGACGCTCCTAAGGAAGGCGGGGTCCATGATCCCACAGAGCAATGGGTCGTCGCTAAACCTCAGTCGATGTTTCCACGGGGCGCCCCTCATGGCTACCAGATCCGGGCACCTGTCTATCAAAGACAAATGGCTGAAGCATAAAGATCTGTCAACATCATGGTTCAAGTGTAGTCTGAGAGTGCTCGACGAACCAGACGTGGAGCCACAAGGGAGGTGGGAGAAATCGCTCTGCGCAAAGTGGGCGCGCCACGGTGGCCCGACATCGTCGGAACAGCACAGGCATGGTCTCTTCCCGAACCCACCGGCACGACGTAGATAATGAGCGCAGACCGCTTTGAGGTCGCAGGTGCTCAAACACATGCAGAATGACATCAGGGTTCAACCGACGGAGACTGGTAGAAGCTCAGATACAATACATTGGACTATCGTTGTTCCGGCATGACTTACGTGTCTACGTCCTCCATGACGTTCAGTGAAGCGTTGTCACGTCTCAGAGGATGGATTGGTATACCGGTTAGATGGAGAGGTCCTGGAGCGGAGACAGTCGATCTAGCACAAGGAAGTTCAGTACATCGCTCGTCCGCTTTCGTGGCGCCACAATGGCGAGCATGTCACGCTCACACTTACGTCGTTACACCAACACGCGAGTCTTCTGTGGCGGCATTCAGCTTTTCTCTCCTTACAGTCGATTGCGAATATGTTGGCACTCACAGAATTTTTCGACATGCGCGTGAACCTTCCGACTGAAGTTCCCACGCATCTTCCGGCCCATCTTCCGAGTCGTCGAGAGAAGCGTTGCGCGCCTAATCCATGCACTACGGTACTTAGACTCAAGTCTGCGATCGGCTCGTGCCTCGCCTCTCTCAGACTGCCAACCAGCCAGCTGAGATGCTGCTCGGCCGGCTGGGGACGCAGAGGTGCAGGGGTGGTCCTCCCTCTGCGATGAGCCTGACAGGGTGGTTCAACAGCGCTAGCCTCGGCGGCGTCGAGTGCGAGCCTCAGGGCCAGTGGTATCTCGGATGGCGTGCCGCGGGCGTCGCTCGAGGTACTTACATGTGTGCTGACGGGAGGGCGGGCGACGACAAGTCGGTGCAAACGGCGGGGGTGCGACAAACTCGCGTCCGCGGGACGACGATGCAGGCTATGCACGCCGGCCCTCCGCGACGAGCCTGTCGGGGTAGTGAGTCTGTTTTCCGCAAGGATGTGAGTACTATAACATCGTCGTTCACATTTCTTGCTAACAACCGACTAGACTATCGCTTCCATCTCACCGCGCAAGAAGGCGATCCTAGATCAGTTCGCAGTCTGTCCTGTGGCTTCCTCTGACTTAGAGCATCGAAGCAACTTCTTTCGCAACGCTCGTAAGTGTATATCTCTTCATAGTCTGTCATTGTGAACCTTTTTCATAGCGTATCATTGGAGCCGGCGTAGCTAATGATCACAGCAAGTATCGGGCGGCAATCGAGTAGAAGCTCAAAGAGGCATATATCGCTCGTCCGAACGAGCTGTGAGGAGAAGCAAGCTGGGACACGTAAGTTCACACTTGTCTTTGATATGTTGACGTTTGATTGATACATCGCCGCAAACGTAGGTAGGAGAAACAGCGGATCGTGAATAACGAAGTGAAGCTCGGGTCTGCCCACTCTGCCCCGGCCGCGGTTGTTTAACCTTACGTTTCGCAAACGGTGGACTGGATGGCTGCAAACGCTGGAAATGGTCCCGGGAATTTCCGCCATGTAGGTTACTGTATGTGGATGAACACAGAACAAGTACTAGCATGTCTTTTAGCAGAACAGCTGCAAGAGAGGATCAGCATATCGATGATCTTGTGACCGTAATTGATTAAACAGTGTGCGTTTCGAGGGAGAAAGCGAAGCAATTTGTGGGCGCGACGTCGCTGCAACTATGAAACCAACAGGCAGTCTCTGTTCAATTCGATGCTGGTGTAATTCAGACGAACAAATACATCAACTTCACTATCATGCGATACAAATACAATCAATCGTAACTCGTGAGACTCCACTAATCAGCCGACAAGCCTTCGACCTCGTAGTCACGCAGGTCGGTTTCGAGGTTCTCGGGCCATTGGGGGGCCATCCGTACAAAGTGTTCACCGTCCTTCGCTTTGTGCAGCGAGACGTACATGCTCTGGAAGAAATTCTATGGAGAGCAATGAGTGTCGAAGCGGGACCGTGACGATCTCACGCTCAGTGCTTACCAGTCCGAAAACACCAAAGTCGACATCTGGGTCTTGCGGGAGTATCAAACCCTCCAATAGCCGATTGGAGCCAGAGCGAGTGGGGCTTTCTTGATAAAAGAATCTCTCGAACGGCCCATAAACCTCGACACTTTGACCACGTTTTCCCTCGAACTCGTACAGAACCTGCACTTTGCGTCGCTCCACCCAATCGGGTAGCGGTGGGGTGACACGCGTGGTCCGGACGTCGTCAGGGAGCGTACGCTTATAGACGTTCACGTAGAGGTCCTCGACATAAGGTGAAGGCAAATACGAGAGGCTAGAGCCTGGAAGTCATAGGTCCATTACTATGAAGTCCTGTATGAATCAGGAGATTCCTTACCAGTATCGAGCAATATACGCAATCCACTGGGCCTCTGAGCATTCACGAAGTTCATGGTAGTGCCTTCCCAGCCAGTTTCTGCTGCTAGGTCAGGACGTGCTACGCCCGGCGAGACGATGAAGGTCTTTATACGCTTCAGGTACACCTTCCATTGCTTGACATCCGGAGGAACAGGGTTGCAAATAGGGATCTTCTTCTCATTCCACTGAGGCTCGTTGGTACATGGCCAACCATTGAAGGAGATCCATGACTGTCTGTTGATAACGTGAGTCGTGACTTGCATGCCGTAGTAGTAGAGTGATGACAGCATACATGGGATATTCGATTCGGGGAACATGATTGCGGTAAGTTTCCGAGTCAGGGGATAAACGAAGGGCAAAGTAGATTGCAATAGTTTCCCCACGTCGCTGTTGTACTATCAGCAGTAGTAGTGGCATGGTTTTGGAGACCTTACATTAGCAGTCGTACGAATTCGCGACAGCCTTTGTTCCAATACCTCTAGGAATGTCTGTGGTACTAAGTTCAGCACATGTGTTAAGAGTCTGGACAGTAGAGCTGCGTCACACTCACGGGAGGTGCTGGAGTGCTGGAACGTGACTCGTATGCTCTTTGGGTCCTAATATGCAGCTCCATAGTAAGTGATCATGACATTTGCCGGGCAAGATATGAAAGACTTGCCCGTGTGGGCCTAAGCCAAGAATACCACTTGTAGGATCACGCATGACGCGCTGATTTACAGCAAAGGCAGCACCAAACTGCCAGTAGAGGTACACCGTGCTTTGTGCCTCTCTTTTCCAGTCATAACAGAACAGGATGCATGTTCTCGGGCTCCGTACAAGAGCCAATTCTGCAAGATGATCTGTGATTAGCAGATGGTTCCCTTGTCGAAGAAGTAACTCACGGGCGACGCCACCGTCCTGAAACGTTATTTCTCCAATAATGTTGCCTCTGTCCTCCATCTCCTTATTGGTGAGCGTAGGATCCACAGGGTTCCGAATGGCAGTGTGTACATTGCCCCGAATGATGTCGATCAAGTCCCAGTTAGTTCGCTCAACTAACATTCCGAGTCCTTGATTGTCTCTCCGTCCACCAGACAAAACCTGCATGACCCCTTTTCCCATGACAAACCTGTTGAGCGTTTGATCGGTAATATTCAATTGATCAAAGCTTGTCCTGCACTCACGTATCCTCGCAAGCTGAAATGAACGATTGCCGATCATCGTGCTAGTGAGCATCTAGCAATTCTTCTCAGCAGGCAAACAGCTCACCAGTGTCAACCAGGAGCACATAAGTCTTGTCAGAGTCCATATTATGTTCGTCTTCAAGGATGTTCTTGAAAAAAAAATGTTACTACACGAGCATTTCATATATCCTAATAGAGGACGTACGATCGAAGCTGTATAGCCTTGCGCTGTGCGACATTGTCTTCGTCAGCCAAACGGTGATTTTTAATCAGTGCACACAGACATACTCTGCGTGGGCTTGCGATACGGGCTTCGAGGTGCGAACTTGGCCTCAATTATTGCATCTGAAGGTTCCAATGATTGCATGCTCGGGCCGGAGCGGTTGGCATTGGTGTGGGATGCGCGCTCTCTAGGAACAAAAAGACACATATCGGCCGCTTCATCTTTGAGTGATAAAGAAGAAATATCCGGTGAATCCTAGTCCCGTATGTGAGCGTGAGCGTGAACAGTAATCATGTGCTTACTCACTATCGGTGTCCGTAGACCCTGGGTAGAGAGATCTGGACTGGAGTGACCGGAAGAGACTGTATCCGTAGAGTCGTCTCCGCTGTCAGTAACTGCAGTGGGCACACGCTTCGTTACAACGTGCAGCCCTCGTGATCCTGGCTCGGAGGGATCGATCTCAGAGGTGGTTATACCTCGTGCCCTCCATAACGCCTAAGAACGGATGGTCGTCAGTTAGCGTGGGTCAGATTCGAAGCCAAAATGAAGTGGGCATACGCACGCGCTCATAGGCAGATGCTGGCGGAGGAGGTTGTAGCCCGATCACAATTGTTGACGTATCATTGACAAAATCCCCGTTTGTATGACGGTAGTCGCTAGGAGGAGTCTCCATCGCTATGGCAGTAGAGGGTAGTAGTGAATACTGCAACCCAGCGCCGTCCTCGCTGGACTTTATATGTGACGAGCAAAATCGAGACATCACATCAGTACACGATTGTAGGCAAGCACCCCCATCGTCATAGCTTACTAGAAGTCCACACAACACGCGGAAATGTAAACCTGACACACCTAGAACTCCTCTACATCACACCCATGATGTTCGGCATCCAATGCGAGGTGACCGGAACAAGCAAACAAATCAAGCTTCTCGAACCTAGTGCAGTGAAGAATCCGACAACAACTTGTATTCTGCGGGCGTGCTTCCTTCGCAAAGACAATAGTAATCTTCCTACGATCGATGGGCAAGACAAGGCCCCTCTTTTATGATGTTATCTGTAGACGTACCCAAGGCACAATCAGCTGTCCACCGCATAGCCAGCCGTTCATACTTGTTGAGCTCACCTATTCGTGTGTATCACTTAGAGCGGCGGAGCCTTCGATTGTCCCAGTCGACTAGAAGTTCTTATCAACCATCATTTCGAGAATTCAATTGTGTTCACGTCGACTCCTGTGTATATGGTGTCGAACATTCTAGTCGGACCGAAGAGATGCCCGTAGGATAAGAGATTGATTCAGATAAATGTACTTTCAGTAGAACTTGCGTAGGACGTACCGTACTCACCGTACTATGGTCCCGCCGGCCCTTATCGCCGGCGAACATCGCTCGCCACTCTGCAGTAGCTTCAAGGCTACGGCGCACGACGTCGGCCGTCTGACAGCGTCATACCTGATCTGTAGACAGAACTTGTAGATACGTAGGCAGACCTTGTAGAGGAGTAGGCAGAGAAATGCATACTCACCTCAGCAGTGTCCATTGCTAGACGCTCCGGTCTGCGAGACCCCAGGCACGCTGCGCTAGGCGATTCGATCCTCGTGGTTTTGAACATCGCGTTGTATGCGCGATATAAGGCCTATTAATCCCGATATCAGCCAAAGGGTAATCGATGTGAGTAGATGAATCATCATGCTACCAACTCCTTTACAGTGCACAAAATCCGCCGAGAGACCACGCAAGTGCGCGATGCCTATTCAATTGAGGGCCTAATAGAGGGCGAGTTTGCTGACACCCGTCACTTGTGTGACCGCCGCGACTCTGCACACCAGGCATCCGGAGCAACTCTGTCACCGCCCAGTGGCACATGCTTGCAACGCCCTCTTAGCACAGGTTGTACGGCTCGTCCTGCACATGCGTATCGCCCTTCCTCTCATACTTCGCGCTTAGGTGCAGGAGATGCACTGCGTACGCGAGCCAACAAGTTTTACCTCGAGTCGGGCGCGTCGGACACTGTTACAATGTCGCCTGCAGCATGCATACCTCCTCGCTGGGTCCGACACCCTTGCAGAACCCTTGCAGAGCATCCCGTGCAGGTAAATGAGCTCTTCTCCTGTGCTGCACAGAGGCAATTATCCGGTCGCAGAAGGACGGTAGCATGGTGAAGAAGGAGGGCTGCGAGATACAACGTTAATTTGAGAATACGGAAAGGAGTATGAGTACCTCAAGGGCGCCACAATGCCGTCTACAGGAGGCCGTGACTCGGACTTGGGTGAGTACATAGCATGCAGACATTTCCACCGTCGAATATCCTGCGAGGAAAGGGAACAAATTACTATGATAGCCAATACTAGCCGGGGAACGAGTTTACCGAGAGGAATTACGGTCATCAAGCTCAATGCCGTCGTGTTCCAGTACTGCAGTAGAGCGCCACACCGGAAGCGTCAATAGTGCGAGTCGAGTGGAGCACTCAAATCCGTTCACTGATCACAGGTTGAATTTGTACCTGCTGAAAGATGGTGTTCAATTGGTAGCTATCTGGAAGAAAGTATTAGTTTGGCTCGCACGGCAATTGAGTGGGAGGTCGTTCAGCGGCGTAAATGTTTGTAATGTCACAGATTTAAGTCAGCTCGACTACTACTGACCCAGATGCCGTCCCCTCACGATTCGAGGATGAATAGAAGATAGTACTGAGTAGGGGATACATGAGCAACATACCATACACGTAAAGAATGGATACCTGCTACGTGCTGTATATGGAACAGCAGCATAATCATTTGTATAGTGCAGTATCATCGTAAGGAAACACTCGCACACCCTAAGAACGATGTCAGCATCTGCGAAATTAATGGCACGGTCAACGCTTACGCTGTGGCCTAGCGGGTCGACCTCTACCCGCGGTTCCTCGTCGATACCTTGCTGTGCTACAAGGCGAAACGGGTACCAGAGGGTGTCGTCGTCGATCTTCAACAGCCACAGCCTGACGTCCGGGCACGCGAGCTTAGCTGCGATAACAGCCGCATTTTGCTGCAGCGTCGCAAAGCTGGAGTGAGGTGTAGCATCGTCGTAGAGTCGCAGCGTGAGCAGATTTTCGAGTTTTGCTAGCCGCAACCCAATGCCGGTCTGCGCGGGAGCAATTAGATCTGTCCGCAGGCACAGTCAACGAATGGCGACTCACAGCGGTGACACTACTACCAGCGGATGATCGGAATCGATGCATCTCCAATGATGTGAGCTGAGGGAACCTCTGAGCTACGCAGGCCAGAAGTTCATCTTCTGCGGCGTCCGCACGGTATTCCAAACGGAGCTCGTCAAGATCAGGGGCATCAACGTTTGCGAGGATCTCTAGCATCTCCGTGGCGTACAATATGGGTGAATGGAGATGCTGCAATCCGTGCAGCTTCCAGGAGTAGATATAGTGGTGTGGGGTGCATTGCAGCGACAAGAGTCGCATCGATCTGGGGAGATGGGAGTAAATGCGATCCTCGGGACTCGGGAACGAAACGACTAGGTCAATGAGGTCTGGCCACGGGAATCGTGCTTCATCATCGAAAGGCCATAGCTGTAGGTTTTGTCTGTCGACACCCTCGTGCAGAGCGAGCTCCAATTTCAAAACACGCAACTTGGGCATCTCAGCAAAAAGGGTGACGAACGGGATGCGAGAGTCCGGGCTCGGATAGAAGTCACCAATCAAATGCAGTTCCTTGAGGCATAGCCATTGGTTGGCCATTAGGGTTCTGAAGGGCGCGACCTCGCTAGCAAGTAGAAGGCATTCGAGAGTATGCCGCAGCTTTTCGATCACCACGCCCAGAGCGGCCTCCTGGGAGAGGAAACGACGAAGTTCGTCGCGCAAGACACGTTGCTCGTGTCGGAACGTTGTCAACGGAGCGAGAAATTCGACGCTGTCGGTCGTGAGGGAATGTCGCGGACTGAACATGAACTGAGCGAGTGTGAAACTGCGGAGCTGCGGCGTTGAGAGGATGGCCGCTAGGCTATCCCACCCCAATCCATGTGACTCTCGGCACATCAAGTCCAGTGAGATCGATTGTAGGCGAGGCATGGCTCGCAACGTGGTTCTGAGGAACTCGGGGTCCATGGTGCCACATAACAAGGGGTCGTCGGTAAAGTGCAGTTTTGGTTTTCGCCAGGAATGGGGTCTCGCGGCGGCGCGATCAGGACATCCGTCTCGCAATGAAAGGTGACTAAGTACATGGGTCTGTCAGTGTCGTGCATGTGAGTTTCCGGTCTGTACGCACTATACATAGGGCCACAAGCTTTGCGGGAGGAACCTATCTGCGCAGATTGGCTCTTCCACAGTGACCAGGCAGCGTCGGAAGAGTACAGGCATGGTTTCTTCTCGAATCCACCGGCACGACGATGACAGTGAGCGCAAGCCGCCACCAGGCAGCGAGTGCTCGAAGACACTTAGAAGAACATCGGGGTTTAGCCGGTAGAGCCTACATTAGAAGCTGAATTAAACAGGAAACTCCCGCTGCGATGCGACTTACGTGTCTACGTTCTCCGTCATCCTGACCAGAAGACGGCCCTTGTGGGTCGCGCTGAACGCACTTGCAGCGTAGGGTTGTATGAGACTGCTGAACCGTGTCAAAAGACGACGAGCGTGGTGGTGGTCCTCGATAAAGCTCTGGCTGTGCTCACCGGTCCACTGTAAGACTCGCGTGTCACAATAACCCAAGTGCGAACGTGACACGCAGTCACTAGTTCACTAGTCGCTGTGGCGCGAATCCTCCAAGCAGTAGTTTGACTTTGTGAGTACCGTACCTGCACACAATCCTACCTACGTCCCATGCTACAGTACTACTTACTTATTCAATCAGGAACACCAAGCACGATGGCAGTCTGACGCGAGGGTTCCGGATAAGATAAGATGAACCGGTCGCCCTGCCCAAGAGGGCGGTGGCGCGTGCTGCGAGGAGTCCAGGACGCGCTCCAGCCAGCGCCATTTGATCATCGCTCCTACGCTGAGCTCTACGCTCTCGCTGCTGTCACGACCCACGACGACCTACTATCCTTATTCTTGGCGACAACTGTATGAACACACTGTATCCATGCGCAACCACCTACGACGATGCCTGGTCGTCCTCGCGCTCGCGCGTGAGTTCTGCCTCGCGTACTCGCCCGATCCTAGGTACGCAAAAGTTCGACTTTACAATTCAGTCTTGTCTCACGAAACCTGTAGATGGGGGCAAGCCGTCGCCGTGGTCGACGACGTGCTCTTCGTCCAGGGCGGCAGGACCGACCAGTACAATCAATATGCATACTCGTCCGCACCACCGGTAAACGACATGCTCGCTCTCCCCCTCACATCATCCTTCTCCCTTTCCTCCGTGCCATGGGACTACGTCTCTGGCTGCTCAAACTGTTCCTCATCTCAAGGTCCGGCCGTCGCCTGGCATACCCTCTCCCCGCTCAACACCTCGTCTCTCCTCGTCTTCGGCGGCGACCTCGGCCCGAACTCGCTCATCACCCTGCCCGAACAGCCGGACTCCGCCGCTCTCGTGAACATCACGAGCATCACGAAGCCCGTATGGAGCACTGAGGGCGAGAGCTGGGCGCAGGAGCCGCTGCGGAGGATGTACCACTCCGCGTCCGCCTCTGGCGGCAAGGTGTACATCGTAGGCGGGCAGAAGACGGACGGCTCCGGCAACGCGTTCGCGACGCACTACGTGTTCGACCCGAGCGGGCCCTCGTTCAAGCAGTTGCCTTCGACGAACGAACCACCTGCTATATACGGTCACGCTTCCGTCGTCCTGTCTGACGGGCGTCTGCTCGTGTTCGGCGGCTACAATGCGAACAGCAGTGAACTGGTGCCGTTCACCACTATCTGGTCGCTCTGCACGACATGTGCGAACCCAAGCTGGAGCACGGTCGACGTCAAGTCGTCCAGCGTACCGACCGGCCGCCGCGGCTTTGCTGCCGCACTCGTCGATGACGGGAAGATCGTAATCCAGGGCGGCGCAGACGCGAGTATGCAAACTGTATACAGCGATGGTTATATACTGGACACCACGCAGGACCCCATGGAGTGGAGCGAGGTCAGTGCATTGTCCCAGCTTGGTCTACGCCGGGATCACTTCGCCGTCGGGCTCGGGTCATACGTGCTCTTCGGATTCGGTGCGTACTCTGTATTGTTTACTCCATTCGTCTGCATGCTAACCCGTACTCTGCGTGCGCCGTGTTACCCCATTACCCAGGCTACCAGTCCGGCGGCCCCGCGTCGACCGACCTCTTCTTCTTCGACACCTCCAAGAGCACGTTCGTTTCGTCATACAGCCCGCCCGGCGCCGTGACGTCTCCCACGACAACCACACTCTCCGGCCCAAAGCCCACATACACGACCGTGACCAACTCCGGCACTGGGCCTAGCCAAGGGTCTGGCACCGCCACTGGCACCCCCGGGGGCTCTGGCTCTCTGGGATCTGCAGACCCCACGTCCACGGGAGGCGGTAACGGGAGTGGCAGCGGGAGCGGCTCAGGCTCGGGCTCAGGCTCGGGCTCAGGTTCGGGCAACGGCGACCCCGCAGGCGACGCCTCGTCGGGGAGCCACCACGCGACGTCCATCGCGCTTGGGACGATCTTCGGCGTGCTGGGCCTGCTCGTCGGGACCACCGCCGCGGTGTGGTACTACCGCCGCTCGCACTCGCAGGAGCGCTTCCACCCGCTCGCCGCGTCGGGCGACACGGACGACGCGGACGGGGACCTCCCCATGGCGGGCGGGTACAGGGAGAAGGCCGTCCCGCACCACCCCGTCGTGCAGACCGTCAAGAACACGCTGAGTACCATCGTGCCGGGCCTCGCGGCCGTGGCCGTCCCGCACGGCGCGCGCAGAGATATGCTCGCGGACGAGGATACGAGGCACTTCGATGAAGCGTATGGCGTGCGGAGGGATGCGAGCACGGGGGGCTCGTCCTGGAGCTCGGGTGGCAGGCGGCCGACGTGGGGCAGCGTGATGCATGGCAGCCTGGCGTCGTTGCGCACTGTGGGCGGTGCGGTGCTCGGTTATGCGTCGGGGCACAGGCCGTATGGCCCGAGACGTGAAGGAAGCGGCGCGAGCTCGTGGTGGGAGAAGGGGACGTACTCTGACGAGCCGAGTGCTGCTGCTCTTATGGGCGCCGCCGCCGTCGGTGCTGGTAAGCCCTCCAGGCCGAGGGGCGGGAGGCAGCCGTCTGGTGCAACCATGACCAGTTCGCAATATGAGGATCCTTTCGCTGACTTCGAGGTGGAGAGCTTCAGGCTCCCGCAGGAGTATCTCGATTCGGACTCGGACGACGATCTAGAGAAGGGCATATCTGACCTCGATTTGACCGACCCGCCGCCACTGCCATACGCATACATCCGCCCCCCACAAGCTGCCTTCGGCATGGTAGATCTGACGCGCCTCTCGCCCGTCTCCGAGCAACCCTCGATACCCACCCTCTCCCGCATGAGCGCCTCCGACACCTCGCACGGCTCACACAGCAGCTCTCCTACGCCCATCAACAACACCTCAAATGCCTCTCACAGCAGCACCTTCGTGCAGGAGCCCTCGCGGAGCTCGCACGAGTCGCGCCCTGTGCGCCCGACGTCCATCCTCGACGCGAACCCGTCGAGCGAGCCGATGCGCCGCTCGAACTCGTGGTGGCTCCGCTTCGCGAAGACGCCGCTGCTCGACCGCCGCGGGAGCGACGCGAGTCGTGCGCGCCGCGGGAGCAGCGCGAGCGGGCTCATCGACTTCCGCGACCCACAGCCGCACCCGCCGCGGCTCGCGCTCATCGAGGAGTCCACCCACTCGCGCACGCAGACAGGCGAGGAGGGCCGGCGCCGCGACCTGTACGCGAGCACGGCGCACGGGCGGTCCGCGTCGTCGCTGCAGACGGCGCGCACGGCGGACTCGGAGATGATCGAGAGGATGGGGCGCACGATGGACATCGTGCAGAAGGGCAGCACGGTGAGCAGCCACTCGAGCGGGCCGAGCATGGCGAGCGTCGACGAGGGCACGGGGCCCGAGCCCGGCGCGCGCAAGACGTCGCTCACGTCGACGATCCTCGAGGACGACGCGAGCCCGCAGGAGGTCGGCCTCCGCGGCGTCATCGCGAGCCCGACCGAGATGAGCGCGGCAGAGGCGGAGGCTGCGTGGCCGACGTTCCCTTCCCCGCCCGTGTCGCCCCGGTCGAGTCCTCCAAAGCGGCCGACGTCCGGCCAGGTGGCCTCGAGAGTGCAGGCGTATGAGCGGCGGATGTCGGTGGCGGAGGGCGATGCGCCTGCGCCTGCGCGCGCGACGAAAAAGGACCGGTCGAGCGTGTACACGGTTGCGCCGAGGCCGCCGCTGTTCGTCGCGAACCCCGATCATCGACAGCGCGGGTCGGGCGACTCTGGGAGCACGTCATGATCTGCACGGTGCTGCTTTTCGAGCCCACGGTGCGCTTCGCCGGGGCTGCTGACGATGTATTGTGTGAGGCGGATTCGCCTTCTCCCGTCTCCGTAGACTGTTGGGGATACAGTATACCATATGGACTTGCGTCTGCGCGGACGACATTTCTAATGACCCTTTGTGCTTCTGCTTCTGTATTTGTTTTTTTTTTCATATCCGTGTTTGTGCTCATGACTGACGACCACTGACGACTTCTTGCATTATTCTTCAGACGTTATGAGTAGGTAGTATCACAATGAGCCATGTGTTGTTTGTACTGTTTTTGTTGCTGCCAGTGTAGCTGAAGTTTTTCTAACGAAGACAAATATATCTTACGCTACTTCTTCGCACCCGAGACTGCCCTCACACATGGTCTGAGGGACTCGGAGTATGACTCCGATACCGGTGTGCTTTGAAAGCGCATCTTGGTCTGATTAAGCAGGATGATGTGTGGTCTAAGAATACTGTTACACATGTAGCAGTGAAACAGCTGGTCCGCACTATCTGGAGTCCGCTCTGCAATGGTGAAGCTCATGGGGTTGAAACTTCGGCGATTGCGCTGGAGTACCGTACTGGAGGCTGCGGAAGCATTGTGTGATACGTGAGGGGGCGCCCAGCACGGCCGACAGGTCAGCGGAATTGTGAATAGATAAACGCAAATGGGTACGTCGGCGCCTGTGCCCGGTGTGGTTCTGACTTCGAAGGAGCGCGGGGTGATGTGCCTCCCGATTGCAGAATGGCCGGGCACCACAGGTGCTGTCGAATCTGGCTCTCTATCTTGGGCGTAGCGCTGCCAGCCGGGAGAGGCGTGGCGGGAGTGGGCAGTCGGGGTGGCGGGGGGTGCAGACCCCGGGAGGACGGTAGGCTCGAGTCGGAGCTTGGGGTGTGGTGGATTCGGGGTCAGCGAGCTGATTCGGCTGACAGTGGCAGCGACAGCAGGAGGCGGGCTGCTTACGACCAGGGCGGGACGTGATTCGCCATAATGAACGACGCGAAATTGACAGCTTCGTCCGTGGCGGAGCGCCCGCGAAGCCGCGTGAAGACGCCCCAGATCAGACGCCCCTGAAGTGTCATCCGCGCTCCCAGCCTACCGCTGCCCATCGCGGGCCTAGGTGCCGTGCAGAAGCCTCCTGCCAGCTGCCACCGCACGGGCCTCGCTATCATCCCCATCACGCCTGCCGTCATCCTCGTCGGGACTCCTTGTGCGGCTGAAACGTGCGATCTGCATGCCCTCCTGCTTCTCCTCGCAAGGCGCCCACTCGCCTCCGAGGACGCATGCACATACCCGGCCACACACCCGCTTTCCAATCGTACCCGTCTCATGACATTCCGAATACAACAGTCTGCATCATGCCTACACTGAGCTTACACCATTTCGTCAGCACGTACGCCGCGAGCTGTGGCTTATGCAGCCTCGATCTCGGCGATGTACTTCTTCGAGTCCTCGTCCCCAGACGCCTGCAGAATCTGTAGAGCACATCGCAGTATTCAGTCGATGTGCACGCCAGTACTCGCGACGACGTACCTCGAGCAGCTTCTCGATGTACTTTGCGCGGGCTTCCTCCTGGGACGTGCCCTCCACCGACTTCCATGCATCCCTGCAGCGAGGTCGCATCATCAGCGCGTGGTGCCCACCGGGTTTATGGCGCAGGGAGCGTGGAGAAGCTCCCGAGCCCATCAAGGATAAGCGATGCGTGATCAGGCAACTCACCATTTCGCCTTGCCTACGAAATCGAGCATCCCAGGCCGGGTCGTGTTCACGTCTCCGACCGTGGCTGCCCGACGCCATCAGTCAGCGCGTCCGTCAGCCATCACTGCGACACTGCGCACCTTGCTTGTAATACTTGTAGAACTGCCGCCATCACGGATCCGTCGTGAGCACGACAGTGGGCGCGGGGGTGAGACGGTGTTACCACTCACGAATAGCTGGTCGTCCTGGGTCGGCTTCACGGGGCCGTCCTTGGGCAGACCCTGGATGATCTGGACAGCCTTCTCAAACTTGGTCTCGGACACGGACATTGTGGGCGAATACGGTGTGCGGTGGGATGTGGATGTGGGATCGAGGTGGACTCTGGCAAAGGTCGTCGCTTTGGGGAAGAGATAGAAATCAGCTGCGAGTGGGCTCGGGGATGGCCCGATATGTCGTGACGAGGGCAGAAGATGGGGTCGATGGGGCAGCCGTTTGCCCGTCCATCGGGGCGGATCGACGGGGCTGGCTGGGGAGACGGTTCGCACACGGCTGGCGACGAGCACTCTTTATGTTCATGTCGCGAGAAACGCCGGCCGCTGAGCATGCGCCGCGTACGCGTTGGGCGGGATTCGCGGTGCGGGCGCGCATTTATTCGAGATTTCCTAGGCACGCACAATCTTCCGCGCTCGATCCCGCTCGATCCCCGCGGCGTCGCGCGCGTGGTGCGGGCGACACCGAATCTCGCATCCGCTGAGCGCGAATCGGCGGGCTGATGCGCCTGCCAGGCGCTCCCGATCCACGCGTCCGTCCGCCAGCCACCCGCCCCAGTGACGTCGCGTCCGCCACCACGAATGGAACTCCGACAGACTCCGCGCCGCTACCCGCCACTGGGACCGTGATGACCGGGGCGGGGACGGTGACGCCCGCTGGGCCTGGCAACGCTGCCGCTGTTGTTCGCAGTCGCTGACGGACGTTCGACCGCCACCACATCCCACCGACCCCCGCATCCATGTCCGCCACCATGTCCCGCTCTGCGCCACCGCCCTCCCACCAGGAGGTGACGCGCAAACTCTCCATGCACTCCAAGCCACCCCCAAAGGTCCGTGTCCTTGGCCGCGCCTTATCGCGCCGGCATCTGTGCACTCGCGGTGCCTATGTCATTGTATGCTGTGCTCACCGCCGCCCGTGCAGAAATCCACCCTACAACCACCCACATCCGATAGAGACTCTGACTCTGAGTCTGTCATCGTCGCCCCAGAGGCGTCCAACGCCGCCCCGACCGTGGCCATCGCCGGATCCGCACTCGTGACGAGCCCCTCCTCACAGCCACCCGCGCTCTCCGCCATCGCAGAGCGCCGCGACGGGAGCGGCGAGGAATCAGAGGAGGACGAGGATGAGGGCGTGGGCGGCTGGCGGACCGTAGACGTAAAGAGGCCCCAGCGTGGGTCGTATGACGAGACGATGCTCATGTCAGGCTACCTCTGGAAGAAGGGCGAAAGGAGAAAGGTACTTGGCATATCGCGTCGTCCGCAGCGTCGTATCTGACGACTCGCCCTCGCCGGCCCTCGCACAGACGTGGAAGCGGCGCTGGTTCGTGCTGCGCCCCGCGCACCTCGCGTTCTACAAGACCGACGCGGAGTACAAGCTCCTCCGCCTGCTCGACCTCAACGACGTGCACACCTGCACGCCCGTCGCGCTCAAGAAACACTCCAACACGTTCGGGCTCGTCTCACCCACGCGCACGTTCTACCTCTCCGCGGAGACCTCCCAGGAGCTCACGGACTGGGTCAAGGCGATCAGCAAGGCGAGGCAGGCCCTTCTCGCTACGAACACCCAGGCCTCCGCTACTGCCCCGGTCCCCATACCGAGCTCTACCTCCCACCACCATGTTAATAAACCTCTGCACTCCGCGCCGCCGATCGTTGCGTCATCGCTCTCGCAGTCCCCTCACGGGCACCACCTTACCTCTTCAGACTCGGACGACGCGTCCCCGGCGCCCGTGAGACACCTCCAGGACCACTCCCCGGGCAAGGCGGGGGCGGTCAAGGATTCCCCAATAGTCGTTCTGTCCGGGTATTTACTAAAGTGCGGCTCGCGGCGTCACAATTGGCACAAACGATGGTTCGTCCTCAGTAGTGAGAAGCTCGTGTATTCTCGGAGTCATATGGTGAGTTCTGCCATTGAGCCCTCAGCCACAGGCCTAGACGCCATGCTAACATTGTCCGTGATGCGATTCTTCTGCCCGTGCTTCTGCCCGATCCATCGTGTTACAACGCTGCACAGGACACGAAGCCACATCGACAAGTACCGCTGGCCCAGATCCTCGACGCACTCGAGTACGACCTTCCCTCGCACCGCCACGCACCAAGCAGCACGGTCGCCGGGAGCGCGTCCCCTCCACAACAGTTCGCTGGCATCGGCGACGGCGACGACACGCACGGCCAGAATACCTTCAAGATCGTGACGACGAAGCGGACGCTGCTGGTCTGTGCGCCTAGCGAGGAGGAGGAGATCAAGTGGCTGAGTGCGGTGCGTGCGCTTATCGCGCGGCGATCGGAGGCTGGCGTCGTGCCCGGGGATGCAACACCAGTGAAGCTCGCCCCCGGGGCGCCCGCTGCTGGTGCTGGTCCGTCCGCGGAGGTTGCGGGGCATGCGCCTGGTACCCCGGGGAACGCGGTAGGCGCGGGCGCGAGCATGGGTACGGGCGCGGGGAAACGCAGAGACTCGTTCGCCCGGCGGCTCAGCCTGAGTGGGCGACCCGCGCTGGGGAGCGTCGTCGTGCCGCAGGAAGCGGCATCTGAACGGCAATCTTGACGCGGCGGCTCGGACGTAGTCGCGGACGGTGTATCTGACCGGCACAGCCTCGTATATCGTATCTCGTATTCTGCTGGATCGGGGACGCCCAAAAGGACGATGTCTGCGTGCGCTCTCGCGCGGGCGGCTGAGGGGAGTGCGCTATCATGATTTCGTGGGTGGATTTTGATTCCGTTGCCCCTGCGCGATGTACAGTAATCTGAATGGGTACCCTACGATATGGCCTCTAATGGGATAGCACAAGGAAGCGTGAGGGTGGGGGCGTCGACATTTGTCGTGCGTGGCTGGGCATCAAGGCTTCATTGGCAGGCCGCGTCGAGGAATGCTATAGAGGAATAGATTCGTAGGATCAGGTGCATTGTTGTGGACAGCTGCCCGTGGGGGCCACGGCGCTGGGCGGGATCAGTCCACCAGAGACACACAGGGGGGCCTGGGGTAGCAGGTAGAATGCATACCGTATCTGTCAAACTTCCGGACTTCTGTGATTGTGGTCGCAACATGCGAGGAGGTCGTAAGTTTACCTAAGCGCCGGGCTTCTCTTCCGATGGGAGTACAGCCGGGTGCGGATGGTGGCGTCGCCGCAGCGATATCATGGGAGCACGTCGCTGCAGGCGTTGTCGCCGCCGCATGGGGCGTCGAGCAGGGCAGTGTGCACGCACAGAGGTACTTGTGTGACATGTCGGGTACGACATTTGTCGCGGTGGCGATGGGAGCGCCGGGAAGCAGGCGCGGGGATGAGCCCGGCGGGGGAGCTCTAGACAGGAGCGGTCGCGGCCGATGCGGGTGGTGCCTTGGGAATCGCATGATACCACTCCGATCTCAGCGGCTATGGCTGCCTCATGACCGCCCGTGGCCAGCCACGAGGAGGAGGGGCCCCTGCGCTGGCTCGCTGCTGCCCTCCCCGGCGCGAAGACCAGGGTAGAGTTCAGCACTGCGCCTCCCGCGGACTCGCTCCCCAGTGCAGCCCGGGGCGGGCCAGCCTGCGCCAGCGGACCCGTGAGGACGAGTGGCGAGCTCGTCCCGCGAGACGCCCGCTGCGATCAGGCGCCGGGAGATGTGATTGGCTCTTGCTGGCCGGGTGGGTGCCGAGCGGGGGCAGTGCCCGCAGGACCCCGTCGGCGCTTAGGAGGGCGGGGGTGGCCGGGGGGCGGGCGACAAGGTTCAGTCGACGCAAAAGGGAAGTTGGGCGACACCTCCGTCCTCCTTCGCACGTCTCCCCAGCGCCCTGGAGTACATATACCAGTCCTCCTCCTACCCGCCCTCCTTGTCCTTCGTCGGTCGCCCCGCCTCTCCCCTGCCCCCCGCCCCACACGCTCCCCCGCCATGCCCGACGCTGCCCCGCCGTCCCCCAACAGGAAGCCCATCTCCTCTGTCTCCGCCGCCGCCAGGTCGCAGAAGAAGGCCGGAGCGCCCAAGCCGAAAGGCGCCGTCCGCGCTAAGTCGGGCTGCTACACTTGTCGCATTCGCAGGAAGGTATGTCGACAAGCGACGCGTCGAGAGACGCGCCTTTCGATAGCCAGATGCTCACCGATGTCTTTTTTTCGCGTTTTTTTTCACCTCTGTGGCGCACCCCTCGCGACGTACAGAAATGCGACGAGCAGCCCAACGACCAGGGCGCGTGCCAGACTTGTGTCAGACTGCGTCTACAATGCCTTGGCTTCGGTGCGAAGCGGCCAGACTGGATGAGGGTGGGTCCTCAACGCCTCTGCCACTCGCTCGGCTGTCGTCCGTACTAACGCCACATCGCGTCGCCCCTTTAGGAGAACAATAGTGTCACCGAGCTGCGAGACAAGATCAAGTCTTTCCTCGCTTCGCAGGGCATGATCAAGGGTCATTCGGGATCGGGGCCGCGGACAAACGAGCAGGAGCCTCAAATGCTGATCCTGGTCGAAAATTTGCGCAACGCTTCCCCGTCGAGCCCTCCCACTCCTACCCTCTCCGCGAGCTCCAGTGACGGTCATCGGCCAGTGGGCGGTCTTGCAACATCCTTTGTTCGTGACGGTTCTCACTACCAGCCTGCTCCTCCTCCCATGCAACACGAACCGTCGTACAGTGCGAGTGCGTGGCATCTTTATTGTTGTGTGCGAAGCTTGGTGTTGAACTTTTTGTGTAGGCTGGCAGCCGACGCTTCCAGACTTGGGCGGACATCACCATGACTCTGCGTTGGCGAGGAGCAATAACGTACTCCCGAACGTCAACGACATGCTCTACCCCCCGCCCCCCGCTACTATGTTACCGTCGTCCAATAGTCTAGTTCCCATTTCTTCCTCGTCGTCCTGTAAGACTCCGTACCGTTATTAGTTGTATTATGCATGTAGCAATTAATGCCCTCGTTTGTTGTCAGGGCTTGTCTCCAATGGCCCGACCACCCCTGTGACCCCTGTATCTGCCTATCCAATGTCAGCAGCCCCTCAGCCAACTTCCTACCTCGGTCCGGGTGCGGGTATGCCCAGCTCGTTTGGTCCCGCGTACAACATGTCCGTCAGCTACAACGATGACGAGCAAGTGGGCCGCCCTCCCGAACCTCCAATACCGCCATCTCTCAACTACGAAATCCAAATGATACCTACCGAGCAGACCGAACTTGTGCAGCATTACTTCCACAGTGTGCTGCCCATCCAGTATCTGCTCGCTGATGCGTCGATCTCGAACTTCATGTTCCGCCTCATCCAGAGGAGTCCATCGGCGAGGGACGCAGCATGTGTGCTGTCCGCACTGCACATGCATAGCATCCAATATCCATCGCGGTCTCGTACTCCCGACATGGCGGTCATCTATCGACGACTAGAAAACGCACTAGCTACCAAGCGGACCTACAACGAGGGCGACGCGATGGCAGGGCTGCACGTCGTGTCGACGTTCCTCTTTTCCGGCGGGCGGGGGCCGTGGGGCGCGTACCTGGACATCGCGAGCCAGTACGTGGACATGGTGCTCGCGGACAGGCGGTTCTACGGGCCCGAGGACGTGCTCAAGAAGTGCTCGGACAGCACGCGCTTCATCATCAAGACGACGATGTGGTTCGACGTGCTCGCGTCAGTGACGACGCTGCAGGTGCCGCGCTTCCTCGAGACGTACCGCCACCTGTTCGGGCGCACCGCAGGGATCGTCGGCGGTGGCGGTGCAGGCGCGGCGTACATCGACGACGGGCTCGCGGCCGCGCCGGAGCTGTCGATGCTGCCCGTGATGGGCTGCGAGAACCACATCGTGCTCGCGATCGCGGAGATCTCGAACCTCGCGCACTGGAAGGAGAGCCAGCGCCACCGCGGGTGCCTCAGCGTGCCGCAGCTCGTCGAACGCGGGCTCGAGATCGAGAACAAGTACCTCCACCCGACCGCGACGGCCTACGGCCGCTTCGACCCGACGCAGACGACCTCGGACCCGGAGGTCGCGCAGCGGCGGCGCCTCACGAACGACATCTTCCGCGCCTCGGCGCGGGTGTACCTGCACACGGTGCTCTCCGGCGACTATCCGTCCTGCCCGGAGATCGTCGCGGGCGTCACGGAGACGATCGAGTGTCTCCGACGCGTGCCCACCCAAAACGCGAGCGCGTCGCGCTCCGTGCTCAGGAGCGTCGTGTTCAGTATATGTATCTCCGGATGCCTCACGGACGACCCACGCCACCGCACCTTCCTCCTCCAGCTCCTCGAATCGCAGCAGGGCGATAATGTGGGGAACGTATCCGAGGTAAGAGCGCTCATGGAACAGGTATGGACCCGCCGCGAGGACAACCAGGGACGCCCCGTCAATTGGAGGGACGTCATGCGGGAGTCGCAGCGGGATTTGCTGCTATTGGTATAGACGTTGTGGTTTCATGCGCTCTCTTTCTCTTTCTCTCTCTCACTTCTGTGCTGCTGCTCTGCTCCTCTGCTTTCACGACACGCTACGTTCTTTTCTCACCACTCATCATATAGGAACCCAGTCTGTCGCTCACTGCACGCTTTGCCCCTTTTAATGCCCCTCTTCGTCGCCCATGGTGGGCCCGTTGCTTTCGTGTATCTGTGCATATCGCAAGCTGTGTCTACACACGTCGTCGTCGTCGTGCAATCCTCGGTGGTCTCTCGTACGTGCCTCGTCCATACCATGCTGTCCGTAGCAGATAGACTGTATTAATGGGCTTCTCTGTATCAATACCGCAGTACTCCATACCAAACTCGCAATACCACACGCGGCGTCTCGCCCGCTTCGTTTCTCCGGAGCTCCATTGGGCAATTCCGACCCTTGTGTGTGGTCGTGCGTGCTCGACAGGAAGACTCATTGGGACCGTGCGCAAGGATGGACCGTGCGTACGTCATGTGCCTGCATAGAAGCCCAAGGTTCTGCGCAGGCGTATATTTGACAGGCAGACTCGTGCTCCTCGCAACTAATGTGATGGCCCAAGGTCCGACGTTCGTCGGGCGCAGTGTCCGTGTCGAAGACATACCCATCTGTCCACCAGTGCGTGTCTCTGTGTCGTGCCACCATCGCGAGACCGTTCATTTCAGTCTGGCAGGCCGGGCTAGAACTCGTGCGTCTTATCGTCGTCGTCCCACGGCTTCGCGATGGTCGATAGCCAGCCAGAACCACGGCCTTGAGGTCCACTGGTCTGTCATGCGCAGCCTGTATGACGACTCCGACTGCACCGGGTCTTCGAGTGTGGTCTGACACGACTGGCTGGCCACGCTAAGTTGACGCTAAGGTCAGTAATTGTGTTCTCTTCCCACTTCCTACTGCTCCCGGCGCCTGTGACTCCAGGCGAGGAGGACGTGCAGGCCCCGGCGAGGCATTGGCGCCGTTCTCTTCTTCGTTGCGAAGCCAGGGAGCTTCTGTGCATCTTCCGAGGACGGGCACTAACGGGGACGCATCTCCAGGACAAACGAGCGACTCGGCCGTGGACTCCGACATGTTGCCTATTCTGCGCACGGGCGCCTGCAGGTGCGTTCAGTATTGTATCAATCTGTATGTCGAGCTGCCACCACAGATGGCGATCTGGCTAGCCTGGCGTAGCGCCGGTGACCCCGGAGGGCGACGCCCGTTTCAGGCCGTCTCTCCGCCACCGATGATGAGTTGATGGCCCCTCCGCGATTGCAATCGGTCCCTCTCCACGATCAGTCTCGGGACAGATCACTTGCTCGCATCGTCCACGGTCTGCCTGCGTCGTTGGCCCTCCAAGTCAGTCAGGACACAGACATCCAGATACTTATCTATCATAGGCCGGTCACATTCCCGCCTCGAGGCTCGCAGCCTGTACGGAGCTGTGCACGCAAGGCGCAAGGCAGTCCGCCCGCTTTCCTCTGCGGTCGGCCCGCCGGACGAGGGTCTCCTCCGCCGACTTACCTCAGCGCTATAACGAGCCCCAGCCTCTTTGTCAGGTAACCGACGGGTCCGGCGACGACGGACATCGCACGGCAGTTCCGTCCTCCTCGCTGTCTCAGATCGGGGGACGTCGGACCTCCCATCTTGCTCAGCTGCCGTAAATGGCTACTCACGGTCACCCCATTGGTCGCTTCTTTATGACTTTGCGTGGTCATCATCACTGCGTTGCGATGCCAGCCAATCTCATCTTGCGCGTTAATGCACCCTTGCGCGTTAATGCGCCCCTCGGCGGCTTTCATACGTATTTGGATCGCCGAGGCACCAGCTGCCAAGTGACCGTATATGTCTCGTCATCCTTGGACCTCGCCCCTCATTTGTCTAGTACGCTACCTTCGTCTGCTCGAACGAGCCCTCTTCCCCGAGTCCGCGTACTTCACCAGAGATGGACCCTGCGCTACTACTGCATCGCTCGCACACGGCGATATACATACATCGCATGGCTGCTTCGGACCTACTAGGTGACAAATGAACAGTGGCATTGTCAGCAAGTACGCAGCCTGTATGAAGCCGTGCCACAGTCCACTCACTATCCCCTCCTGAGCGCCTTGCCGAAACACGCCTCTTGAACCTTCCAAGGTCCTCCCGCGCTCCAGACCATAGCTCTCATCTCAGTGGCTCGCTGCGATGGCAGGGATCCTCGCACTGTCAGCTTCAACGCGGCGCCCATCCGCTTTTGTCGCGCCCGAACGACGTAGCAGAGACTTCGATTCTTTCAGCCGTTTGCATTTGAAGAGCACGGAACAGTGGCTTGTGTACTTAAGAACGAGCTAGCTCGAGGTTCCCGCGTGAGTACGCCCACGAGTCGACTGAGCCCGCCCCTCTGCCCACTGTGCTGCGTCACCATCTCGCCCCGCATTGGTCGTCCGGAGACCTCGTCCTGGACATCAGCATGCGCAACAGAAGCGCTGGTCGCCCCACAGAAGATAGAACAGATGCCTCGAGGATGTGAACGACGAAAGAGGCATGTGGGCCCGGCACCGCATCGCGCGACGAGGACGGAATGCTGTGCTAAGCCGGCCAAGTCGCCCCAGGCGGCGAGGTCGGGCGGGGTACGGCTATGCAATCCTAGTATCCTCGAGGCTCGCTAGCTGCGACTCCGAGTACGCGGAGGCTGGAAATCCGGTCGGGCGGCTTACACACTTGCGGTCGGCAGAGGATGGAGAGCCGAAGGCCTCGGAGGGATGGGTCTGGTGACGCGGGCTCGAAGGTGCAGCAGCCTCGAGCTTGGCCAGGTAGTCATTCGCGGGTGCGCAGAACGTAATCGCCCCCGCACTGTGCGGTGCAGGAGTCGCGTACAGGCCCGCGTCGAGGCAGGCGTTGTGGCTTCCGGATAAGGTAGGCCTTGTTGTTGGGGGCATAGAGACCATCCATCGCCACGCGATCTTCACGATCGGTGGCAATCTAGGTACCAGATGATGGCTGTTGCCGGAAAGGAGATGCACGCGCACTTTGGACTCGATAATAACGGTCTGCCGCCTGCCGAAACGTGCTCGACAATTGGCTTGAGAGAATTTGTCTGCCCGATTCCGACCGGAGGCTTGGACGCGCGTCGGTGTTGGCCGCGTGGTCGTGTCGGAGCCCGAATGTGCAGCCACAGCACATCTGTTCTCTACGCTGCCAGCTGGCTCGACCGTGACAATAGCAGGAGGATTCGGTGCTGTTGGTCGAGTACGTCGCGTCCGCATCAGAGGTAGGTGGGAAGCCGGGGGAGGGCGACTTGGACGAAAGCGGTGCATGTCCGAGGACGAGTGTTCCGCAGAGGGGGACAGACGCACGGACTCCGCGACATAACGGGGCGAATGGACGCTGTGCGTCTACGGCGGTGTAGTCCAGTACAGGAATGTTTTGTCCCACGGACCGCATTCGTACGCCCTCTCCTCTGCAGATCACGGAGAAACGCACAGCTCGCGCGGGATCCGGCTGAAACACATGGTCCGATGATGGTCTATTCCTCTGCACTTGCTGAACCGAGCCTGGGGACCCTTGGTGACGACAAGCTTCTGGCTGTCCGCCAGGCGAAATCACATTTGTCACCCTTCATGTACAGGTAGAAGTACCATCCTCCTACTCCCGTTTCTTTTTCCAGCTCGAATTGCCGACCCCTCCGCCCTCCACCGCCTCCTCCTGTCTACTGTCCCCGTGCGCGCCCCACCGACAGTGCACACACTCCTACTTAACATCTCCATCCGCACATCCCGGGAGATCGTCATGGCAAGCAACTCTGGAACATCCGGCTCACCCGCGAGCGGCCCCAGCCACCTACCGTCTCCAGAGGCCTTCTCAGACACACCCTCCTCCAACGCCTCGCCTGTCTCCGCGCCTCCCTCGCTCTACATGGGCCGCGCATCAGACGAACCAGACTCGCCGGAGGAACAGCGCAGCATCAGCGACGCCGCGCGCTCTGCCGCCTCCGCCTCTGGCCTCCGCTCACATTCCGCCGCCGGCAAGGGCGGGTGCTGGTAAGTACCTCCTGTCCTCGGTGCCGTGGCGGAACTGATGGTGTCTCGGTCGATCGTTCAGGACGTGCCGTTTACGCAGAAAGGTACGCGTGCTTCGATCACTGTAGTCAGTGCGTCCCGCCACATGAGTGATCTGACCCGACTCCGCCCCCATAGAAATGCGACGAAGAGCAAGAACAAGACGGCGGGCCCTGCAAGACCTGCCGCCGCCTGGGCATCGAGTGCTTGGGCTGGGGCGCACGCCGCCCGGACTGGATGCGCGTAAGTACTGCGCCACATCAACGTCGGCGGCCTGCGCTGACCGCCATCTCCCGCGCAGGACAAGGAGCGCGTCGCCGCCTACAAAGCGAGCATCAAAGAGCAGCTCACCCGCGCAGGCCTCATCCGCGGCCAGCCACGGGCCAACTTCATGCAAGCCGCCTCGTCCTCGCCCACCATCGCCGGCGCCGGGCCCTCGTCCCTCCACCGTCACTCGCCGCTTGGGGAGGCGCGCTTCCAGCGGCCGTACCCGTCATCCCGCAGCCGTCACCCACCCATGGCGTCCATGTCAGGTAAGCCGTCCACGCCTTTGTAAGACTCGCTCGGTCTTATTCGCACTCAGGGTCTGCCAGCGCTCGGACGAGCCCCACCCACCTACAATATGACAACACCTCGCCTGGGGCCGCTGCCGTGTTCCCCATGAACGACCAATACCAACAGTGGACCCCTTCATACCCGCACGCGATGTCCCCTACGATACCCGTTCCCAGTAATGAGGAATACACGTCCTACTTCCCCTCTCCCGCAGACGCGTCCGCGTCCCTGTCTGCGTCCATGTCCGTGTCGATCAGCGCGCAGCCCGCGCCGCTGCCGCCCGCAGCGAACGAGATCTCGGACGAGAGCTACGTCATGTACTACTTCGAGAGCGTCCGGAAAGAGCAGTTCGTGTTCGCCGGCAATTCTCTCACGAACACCCTCTACTCGGTGCGCGGCTTCTTCTTCGATCGTGTGCATCTGGCAGATCCTGAACTCGCGCTCGCGCTTCACAGATCGTCCATGCAGATCCAAAAGGCCCGGTCGCCAACGCTATTTGTGCATTATCTAGTCTACATTACATCCGCGCACGCATAGCGAAAGGTCTCGAGCCAGACACGAACCCCGACGACTCGGTCACGAAAAACTACTACGAGAGCGCCCGCTGGCAACTCGGCAACGCGAGACACCTCCAGTACTCCGACACAGACGCGATCGCCGCGATTCTGCTCGTGAAGTACTCCCTTCTCACAGGTGGCCGTCGAAACTGGCAAGGCGAGCTCGAAGTCGCCTGCGACTGGCTGGCTGCAACACGGATCCACGAGGAGCAGAATCCCAAGCTTACCTTGATGAACATGACGCCTGTTGGTAAGGCCGCTGCGAAAGGCACCATGGTGAGTTGTTATCCGCACACCCGCAGTAGGAGTTGGAGCTGACAATCTGCCGTTAGTGGATCGACGTGCATGCCAGCGTCACCCTCGGGACACCCCCGCGCTTCCTCGCGCTCTACCAACGGCTCTTCGGGACCGGAGGGAGTGGCTTCTGGGCGAACTCGCCGCAAACCGATGTCCGCATGGATCTACTCACCGGGTGCCCGGACGAGGTCGTGCTCGCGATCGGCGAGATCTCTGCGCTCTCGAGCTGGAAGAACGCGGAGCTGCGGCGGGGTGGGCTGAGCGTGCGCGAGCTGATCCGCAAGGGCTCGCAGATCGAGACGGGTCTGCGCCAACGCCCGACGCCGCGCCAGCCGGGGGAGGGAAACCTAACGCCACTCGATGCGGGCCTCGCACAAGCGACATTGGACCTCCACCTCCCGGTGCCGGGAGGCATGCCCACTCCGTCGTCGTCAACATCTTCTGTGAGCATGCATAGTCATACCACTGGCATGCTCAAGGCGGACGCGCTGCCGCTCGTCAGCGAGCTCTGGAGAGAGGGTGCGATCCTGTACCTGAACACTGTGCTCAGCGAGAACCTTCCCAGTGGGTTGACCCACCTTGTGTATACGTCCACACCGACCTGACCATCTCCGCTTCGCAGATGTACCTGAGATTAGTGAGGCCGTGGCCAACATCGTTAACCTGCTGCATCAGCTGCCCACGTCCTCGTTCGACCGCTCCCTCATCTTCCCGCTCTTCTTCGCTGGTTGCATGTCCGATGACCAGGGGGCGCGCACGATGGTGAAGCGCCGTCTGCTCTCGATCGAAGATACCTTCGGCAACATCTACGACCTGGTCGCGCAGATGGAGAACCTCTGGGCGACCCGCATTATGCTGATGGCAGAACATGGCCCCGCCGCCATCGTCCCCTGGCGCGAATGTCTCATTCGCGGCTGGGAAAACCGTACCGTCCTCCTCCTATAATGGCTATGCCGCCCATCTACACTCACGTGACGAAGCCCTGTATTGTAGTTGTGTTGCGCTGTCCCGTTGATTATGTTTTACCTCATCTCGTCTCGTCCTGATCTGATGTATTAGAATTAGATGTATGCAGTCTATGTAATGAAACAACGTTATCGCACCATATCCCGTTGGCCAGGCCATTGCGTGAATGCCGACAGATGTTTGCTTGTGTCAACGATCGAACCTTGACAATGCCGCCCGATGACGCACACGAGCCCAGATGAGCTGTGCCTCGCGCGAATGTGGCGGAGCCCAGCGGGTAGAACTGACGCGTCGGAGAATGTGGTCGCGGATGCCTGCGCATGAGGTGCACGGGTAGCGGGGAGCGGAGGAAGAACACGTAGCGCGACAGCAGCGTGCAGGCAGCACGGGGAAGAGAGGAAGGCGGACGGGAGGCAGGAGGAGGGGAGGAGGGAGGAGGATGGAGGGCACTTTGATTCCGAGCTATATAGCTATTTCCCGATCAACCGGCATATAGCAACAGCCAATCAGCGGGCGAGAAGCGGGCGCTGGGCGATGGCGCTGGGCCGGCGCGCCCACATCCTCTGGCGTGCGCCCTTGGCGGAGTGTTCCGCGCCCCGGTCTTACCCCGTCAAGTCCCCACTGCCAGGCGGCTCGCTCATGCGTGGAACCGCTCGCTGGGACCGCCCACACCTCCTCCAGCGGCCTGCAAGCTCCTCTGACACACGCGAGCGGACAGCGCAGAACTCACCGTGGGACCTCCACGGGTCGTGGCAACTCACGCTGTGGCTGGAACATCGCGCTGGTCTTATACGTGCTGCACCTCGCCGCCCCATGTCTGAGACGTCCGGCGGCCACGTCTGTCCGAGTGGAAGATTTGGGCGTCGGACGGCTCTTGCGGCGTCCAGAGTGGGCCCGTCTTAGACATGGAGCGGCCGCGTTGTGAGCATTCCAGTCATTTGCTGTGCTTCTGCGTCGGGAGGCGATGTGGAAATGTCAAAATCTGTGGCTACGACTTGATGGATGCAGCGTGCATCTGTCGCTGGGTGGCGCGAAAATCGTCTGTGGAGGCTAGATCGCCCTCTACAACTGATTCCTGAAGGCCCTTTTGCAGCTCCGAGGCCACGTCCTGCATCCTGGCAGTCGTCATGCCTGTACCGATCCATGGAACATGCGAGGCAGTGTTCACATGCTGGTGGCCAATGCCCGTTTCGGCAATGCAGGGCGCGCAGTTCTCGCCGTCTCGTGGATCGCGTCCTGGTGCTCGAACCTACTACCGTCTTGGGGGAATCCTCCGCGGTCACGCTGTCCTCGCACACCTCGCGATCGCTAGCGTACACTCGTGCTCGCCTTGTCAGCTCAGCTACTCGAAGAGGTGCACACTGCAGCCCAGCCCGTGCTAAAGCTCGTTAATAGCTTCGGCAAGGCCTGCCAGCTTGATCTCATCCGTCAACGATTATTGCGCATCATCCAGACGAGCAGACTGCATGGTCTCGCGAGTCGCGACTCGTTTAGCGAGAAGGAGACACCGGGGATTACTACTTATACTCTTCGTGGCGCAGTCAACTCCTTGCTGCCGTGACAGGCTGCTGTCTGTCAGGTGGATGCGTTCTGGCGACTGAGACACACCGACATCATCGCGATTCCGTGGAACAGCATTACCTCTTATGTCCCAGACTAATGATATTTCCTCACTGGCAGCCACTTTCCTGGCTATCGGGCCTCGTCTCGGAACACATCCGTCCTCCAATAGACCGTCCAAGCTGCCATCACCGCTCATCCTCTCATCGAAGTCCCATCTCGGGATTCTAGCTTCCACCGTTCCACCTCCTGGCCAAACATGCGGGTCGTCGCGGGCCCTCGCACCGGTCGCCTCCACTGACCACGCCCTCGCCTACCTTCGCGCTCACGCACGGTCGCGCCCTCCGGGTTCCGCTCGTCCATCCGAATCCACAAACCCGTCCTTCGACGCCCGGGATCTCGATGCTACGATCGGCGCGGTCGGCGAGATCAGCGCGCGCCGCTGAGTTCGCTGCGACTTGACTTCATGGGCGGCGTGCCAGTGCGCTCCTGCTAACTTAGTCCGGCTTGGACAGGTTGGTTCCTGGAGGCCTCGAGCTCTGGCTCGGTGGCTGGCGGAAGAGAAAGAAAGGCAAGGGCTACTTACTCCGATCCGTCGGATTCCGAGTACACCGGCGAGGTGCCAGCGCGCTACGCTGGGTGCGGTCTGAGAATGGTAATGGACGCGGGATGGGTGGTCGTAACTTACCTGTGTTTGATCGTGCATCCTCGGTTGCTGCTGCGAGTGCCGCAGTCGACGCATTCTAGTATTCTGATCTTGGGTATTTTGGGATGCTCAGTCGGGTTATGCACAGGTGCTTTCCTTCCCTAGTACGGAGTAGTAGGAACTTGGATGTGCCTGGTACGTCTCGGGTATGTACCACCTCGTATCGTTGGGACAGGACATGACTGATTCCCTTCGTGCCAAGGCCTGCCTCGTACAATGTGCCGTCACCGAGACTCTGTTCGTCGGGCACTGCGGTACGTATCTTTCCTGGCGTGTCACGAAGACACCCGGACATGCCTCGGGCACATTCCGGGTGGATCCTGAGACGAGGTTTCGAAGTTTGGAGTCCTTGCAGTTCGCCCTGGGTCTGACTGAACGTGGTTTGCTGCAGCCCCAGTCCGGCTAGGGCGGACATACACGGTGTCCATGGACGAGACCGACCGCGGCCACAGGCCTGCAAATTACTTTGTGGCATTCATCCCGAGCCCCTGCTGGACACAATCAAGCAAGGCTACATTCAATCTTTGCGATAGTCCATTGCGCGCATTAGCGATGCATCAGCCTTGGAGACGTCTTCGTCGCTGGCCGGGAAGGCCATCTTGCGCAGTGATGTGACTACGTGAAGATGTATCACAGTATGTATGCCTCGCCATCCCCAGCGGCGTACCAAACGATGAGTTTCGTCTCTTCGAGCTAGAACTGCACAAGTGCCAGGGGGCAGTACTAGTACCATCTGCCTCAGCAGCATTAATGCGGCAACGGTGCGACGAACACATAGGGACTCGGATTGGGCCACATTCGCCAAAGTCGCAGTTGACCACATGGTACATTACTTGTGGCGTACAACAGAGCTCCGCGTGTAAGCTACCTTCGCAGATAGCAAGAGCCTAGGCATAGACAGATTAGGACCTATATACACAGAGTAGGCGAGGCGGGCTTCCGAGCCAAGTGATGAAGGTCAATCGATGTCCCAGGACACGTTGGTACCAGTGTTCCAATACGTATCGCGCGAGGAAGGATAGCGTCGTCATGCTTGGCGGCCGTGCAAGTAACCGCGATGCCGTCTAGATTGTTGATTATAACCCTAAGCCTACCCCTACAATGGCACCCAAATCATGCCCATGTCAATACACAACGCCGGATTGGAGGTAACCTGCAAGGTCTTCAGAGCCCGAGTCAACTCATACGCAGCATATGGTCAGTCATGACCGCGTATCTGTAGAACTCCCGGAGATATTAGGCCGCCCCAGACATGTGGGCAATCCTCGCGCAGGCAGCATGCAGGGCGATGATATCAGGATCAGGGGCCTGGATCACCTGGCCGTCGATATGGAGGCTTCTAAACACAACTTGTGGCTGGATGCGAAGCCGAACTTGAAGGTACTCCGGACCTCGATAGTGATTGACGGCATAAGTATCGGACGTGACCTGTTGTTGTGCGTCCGAATCATCGTTCTGATCCCAGCACTCGGCTGAAAGTAACGGTAGATGGACATACCGTGACAGGAGTTAACCATAAGTTGAGGCAATAAAAAACGTCATACGGGTCGGAGGACGATGTGAACGCATTCTTGGGAATCTGGAGGTTTTCACCACCAAGCACAGCGTCAGCGGCAAACCCTCCGAAGTGCCCGAGCATGGCTCCCGCTGTCTTGGCGCAGTCGAACTGAGGGGAGCTGAGATGGATCTAAGGAATCTGAGTGTTGTGTACACACCTTGGCACGGACCTGCGTGGTAGTTCTGGCTTATGATATGTGCGACGTTTGTGTAAGTGAACTGCGTGAATGAATCGACAGTCGGCGGCTTGCTGGTCATAGTTCACGTCAATGCGACCGGTGAAGACACAACGGTGATTGTCGCGAAGCAAGGTCTACCAGGCATGAGATTGATGTAATGTACAAAGAAAGAGACGAGGACGCTCATCAGCTTGCGAGGATGAGAAGCATTGCTAGACGACGACCCGATGAGAGACGGGTCTTGCGCAGCGGCAATGAGACGCTGTGAAAAGGGTCAATAATGGCAGACTATAAAGAGATACACACTTACAAGTGTTGCTAGAGATGCTTCGATGCTGTAAGTCAGAGGAGGCCACAGGACAGGGTGCGAACTGATCCAAGGTCGCCTCTTGCCCTGTGAGATGGAAGCGATAGTCTGATCAGGTGTTAGCAAGAAATGTGAATGACGATGCTATCATACTCACATACTTGCCGAAATCAGACTTACCCCAGTGCTCCATACGCGCTTCGTGATGCTCGCGATGTTGACGAGAGCGGCGGAGTCAGGCTGTTCGGGCAGGGAGATGAGTGAGTTCGGGCCGAGGTAGCCGCCGAAGACGAGGAGAGACGAGGTGTTGAGCGGGGAGAGGGTATGCCAGGCGACGGCCGGACCTTGAGATGAGGAACAGTTTGAGCAGCCAGAGACGTAGTCCCATGGCACGGAGGAAAGGGAGAAGGATGATGTGAGAGGGAGAGCGAGCATGTCGTTTACCGGTGGTGCGGACGGATATGCATATTGATTGTACTGGTCGGTCCCGCCGCCCTGGACGAAGAGCACGTCGTCGAGCACGGCGACAGCTTGCCCCCATCTACAGTTTTCGTGAGACACTGAAGTGGAAAGTCGAACTTTTGCGTACCTGGGATCGGGCTAGTACGCGAGGCAGAACTCACGCACGAGCCTCGCGCGAGGACGACCAGGCATCGTTGTAGGTGGTTGCACATGTATACAGTGTGTTCATACAGTTGTCGTCAAGAATAAGGATAGTGTGTCGTGTGGGTCGTGATCTCAGCGAGAGCGTAGAGCTAAGCGTAGGAGCAATGATCAAATGGCGCTGGCTAGAGCGCGTCCTGGCCTCCTCGCAGCACGCGGCGCCACCGCCGTCCTCTTGGGGAACGGTTCAACATCTTATCTTATCCGGCCTCCTCGCGTCAACGGTCAGACTGCCATCGTCAGGCCTTCAGGCCGGGTCTCCTTCCGGCCTGCGTGCTTCGTGTTCCTGATTGAACAAGTAAGTAGTACTGTAGCATGGGACGCACGTAGGATTGTTTGCAGGCACGGTACTCACAGAGTCAAACTACTGCTTGGAGGAGGAGAGGTTTCCATTGAGCCGCAGTAGCTACGTTCAAAGTTGCTGGAGCTCTGGAGCTCCAGAGGCTGGAGGCTGGAGCTCGCCCCCGGCAAACGCCGTCAACCGCGCAACAGCTCTGGCATCGCCTGAAATTCCCGCCACAGTGCGCTTAGGTAATCCCATAAGCTGTGGCGCTACCAACTGGTCTGTACAACGTCCTGGGAAGGGGTTTGTATTATATTTGTCTTCAAAAAGGGGTGAGGATGGTCTGTCCGTACTTGCTCCAGAAGCCGTGACCCTCAAATAATAGCAGCGGGTTCTACACACTCCCGATGACATTGGTATACCCGATTAGGCCAACGGCGCTTACCCCAGACGTACCTGCGCATTGAAATAATCCATGCTTGATGTGCGATGCAGAGTAAATGGGACACCGTACACGTGTAAAAATAAATGCTAGATGTGTATGGAGGCCTGTTCCAAGCTGCAGGTGAAGCATGTCGTACTGTGCAGGCGAGGGTCTTGCTGCTTAGTCAGCTGCATCCCGTAATCAAACCTGCGAAGGGAAAGTGAGACGCTTGCTGTCAAAAGACCTTCGCAGATACACGAATAGCTCCTAGGTGCGGTGGTATGCATAAAATCTTATGCATCTTCGTGCAGTTGTACGCAGGGAAAGGATAACTTGTCGCGGTCGAGTCACAGACGTCACGCGCGCGTGACGACGGCAGTGCGCTGTGGCGGCATGCTCTGGAAACGCCTGGCGGCAAACCCCGAGAACCGTCACCTCCAGCTCCGGGCTCCAGCTGGAGCTCCAGAGCTCCAGCAACTTTGAACGTAGCTAGTGTACGTCTACTACACGTGACACCCGACAGCGTTCACTACTTACATGACAGAATCCGACCCAAGCGGCCCCCTCTACTAACGTACTCTATTCGACAAATAACACGGCGTAGGCGCAATGCTACAACAATCGCACACCCCGGCCCACTGGTCACTAGCATAGTACTAGTAACCGGGCAAAAACACAGTGGGCGTTAGACATGGTAGTGGATCCGCGCCACAGCGACTAGTGACTGCGTGTCACGTTCGCACTTGGGTTATTGTGACACGCGAGTCTTACAGTGGACCGATGAACAGAGCTTTATCGAGGACCGCCACGACGCTCGTCCGTTGACACGGTCAACAGCCTCATATAACCCTACGCTGCAAGTGCGTTGAGCGCGACCCACAACGTCCGTCTTCTGGTCAGGATGACGGACTCGGAGAACATAGACACGTAAGTCGCACCGCAGCGGGAGTTTCCCGTCTAATTCAGCTTCTGGTGCAGGCTCTGCCGGTTAAACCCCGATGTTCTTCTAAGTGTCTTCGAGCATTCGCTGCCTGACGGCGGATTGCGCTCACTGTCATCGTCGTGCCGGTGGATTCGAGAAGAAACCATGCCTGTACTCTTCCGACGCTGCCTGGTCACTGTGGAAGAGCCAATCTGCGCAGATAGGTTCCTCCCGCAAAGCTTGTGGCCCTATGTATAGTGCGTACAGACCGGAAACTCACATGCACGACACTGACAGACCCATGTGCTTAGTCACCTTTCATTGCTAGACGAATGTCCTGATCGCGCCGCCGCGAGACCCCACTCCTGGCGAAAAAATCAACTGCACTTTACCGACGACCCCTTGTTATGTGGCACCATGGACCCCGAGTTCCTCAGAACCACGCTGCGAGCCATGCCTCGCCTACAATCGATCTCACTGGACTTTATGTGCCAAGAGTCACATGGGTTGGGGTGGGATAGCCTAGCGGCCGTCCTCTCAACGCCACAGCTCCGCAGTTTCACACTTGCTCAGTTTATGTTCAGTCCGCGACATTCCCTCACGACCGACAGCGTCGAATGTCTCGCTCCGCTGACGACGTTCCGACACGAGCAACGTGTCTTGCGCGGCGAACTCCGTCGTTTCCTCTCCCAGGAGGCCGCTCTGGGCGTGGTGATCGGGAAGCTGCGGCATACTCTCGAATGCCTTCTACTTGCTAGCGAGGTTGCGCCCTTCAGAACCCTAATGGCCAATCAATGGCCACGCCTCATTGAACTTCATCTGATTGGTGACTACTATCCGAGCCCGGACTCTCAAATCCCGTTCGTCACCCTTTTTGCCGAGATGCCCAAGTTGCGTGTCTTGAAATTGGAGCTCGCTCTGCACGAGTATGTCGGCAAACAAAACCTACAGCTATGGCCCTTTGATCATGAAGCACGATTCCCGTGGCCAGACCTCATTGACCTAGTCGTTTCGTTCCCGAGTCCCGAGGATCGCATTTACTCCCATCTCCCCAGATCGATGCGACGCTTGTTGCTGCCATGCACCCCACACCACTACTTCTACTCCTGGAAGCTGCACGGATTGCAGCATCTCCATTCACCCATATTGTACGCTACGGAGATGCTAGAGATCCTCGCAAACGTTGATGCCCCTCATCTTGACGAGCTCCGTTTGGAATACCGTGCGGACGCCGCAGAAGACGAACTTCTGGCCTGCGTAGCCCAGAGGTTCCCTCAGCTCACATCATTGGAGATGCATCGATTCCGATCATCCGCTGGTAGTAGTGTCACCGCTGTGAGTCGCCATTCGTTGACTGCCTGCGGACAGATCTAATTGCTCCCGCGTAGACCGGTATTGGGTTGCGGCTAGCAAAACTCGAAAATCTGCTCACGCTGCGACTCTACGACGATGCTACACCTCACTCCAGCTTTGCGACGCTGCAGCAAAATGCGGCTGTTATCGCAGATAAGCTCGCGTGCCCGGACGTCAGGCTGTGGTTGTTGCAGGTCGGCAACGAGACCCTCTGGTACCCGTTTCGCCTTGTAGCACAGCAAGGTATCGACGAGGAACCGCGGGTAGAGGTCGACCCGCTAGGCCACAGCGTAAGCGTGTTGACCGTGCCATTAATTTCGCAGATGCTGACATCGTTCTTAGGGTGTGCGAGTGTTTCCTTACGATGATACTGCACTATACAGATGATTATGCTGCTGTTCCATATACAGCACGTAGCAGGTATCCTTTCTTTACGTGTATGGTATGTTGCTCATGTATCCCCTACTCAGTACTATCTTCTATTCATCCTCGAATCGTGAGGGGACGGCATCCGGGTCAGTAGTAGTCGAGCTGACTTAAATCTGTGACATCACAAACATTTACGCCGCTGTACGACCTCCCACTCAATTGCCGTGCCAAACTAATACTTTCTTCCAGATAGCTACCAATTGAACACCATCTTTCAGCAGGTACAAATTCAACCTGTGATCAGTCAACGGAGTTGAGTGCTCCACTCGACTCACACTATTGACGCTTCCGGTGTGGCGCTCTACTGCAATGCTGGAACACGACGGCATACTGCTCGAATACTGCGTGGACGTTGCAGAAGACGACCTCCTACTCTACGTGGTCAAGAAGTTGCCTCAACTGACCTCCTTGGAGCCTCATCGCTTCACATCACGCGATGGCGATAGTATGAGTATTGTGAGTAGCCTTTCATCATGAACATTCTCGCGAGCGAACACTAATTGATCACATGTAGACCGACGTGGCTCTGCGGCTAGCAAGTCTCCCAATTCTGCTCGTTCTGCGGGCTTATCTGGAGTTTGGTCATCCTTCTCGCAGCTGCGCGAAGCTGCCGCAGGGAGCAGCCGTCTTAGCACGCAAGGTCGCGCGTCCTGGTCTCGAGTTGTGGTTGCTCCATCATTCTGGTGGTGACGGTGCAGTCTGGTACCCAATCCGACTCGTAGCCGAGCAAGGGGTTGACCAGGAGCCGCGAGCGGAAATAGGCCACTTCGGTAATGGTGTAAGCATACTTGCTGTTGTGGTCGACCTTGTAGACACTGACATCCCATTAGGGAGTGTCGGCATATCCTTTCGATTACTGGCTGTCACATTGCGCGTTCATCTCCACATCAGTGCCATACGCATGCTGTCGGGCGGCGTAATGAAGCTCGGAATTTCACTGACGGGCTGACGTGCGACGTCAACTGTTTCAGGCTCTTGGAGTCAGAGACCGTCGACGTCGACATGCAGCTGCTTCAGCACGCTTTACTTGAACGGTCTATCTTCAGTAACTTATGATGCTGCATCAGGAGGAAGCACCGGAGGATCGCAAATACGATTTTGGCCTCCAAAGCTGTAGAAGGATACACGTCGAATCTCGAGTACGAAGCGCATATGTCATTCGCTCGCTATACCATGAGACCAAACAGGGAGAGGTTTCGGTAAATCCAGCGCGCTGCGTTGGACGTTATGTTCTGAAGTAAGACATGAGTATCCTCTGCCTTGAGGTTCGCTGACGCAGTCAACAGTTACATGCTCTCTGTCACCTTTGGTACCCGCACCGGGTCTGTCGCGGACCCTCTCGTCAAGAGGGCTCTTCCATTGGGTATGGAGTTCATGCGACTGACAGGTGAGTCGCTCCAGAGTGTCTCCGTAATCTCTACAGTATTCATCCGTCTCAAGGACCGTGGTCCAATGCGGTCGACTTCATCAAACCTCTCCAATGGATACCTACCGGTACTCGTTCGCGAGGTCGCAAGAGACTTCCTGGACGTATACGGCGCGCCGATGGTCCGTCTCGTCAAAGAACGCATGGCCTCCGGCGAGGATGTCCCCGACTGCCTCGTCAAGTCCCTGCTTGCCTTCGAGAAAGAGGAACAGTTGAGCTGGACCGACATGTGCATGCTCACGACCGCCTTCGCTACTGGCGGCTCGCACTGCTTGGTGAGTACACTTCCGACATCATCTGGGGTCGCTCGGTGCTGACTATGCATAGACGTCCGGGACTATTCAATGGTTCCTCGCATTGATGCCTTCCCATTTGGACGTCCAGACCAGACCAAAGCACATCAGGAACTGGATCGCGTTGTAGGGCGTTCGCGGTGGCCCACGCCCGAGGACGAGCCGTGGTTGCTTTATGTACGAGCCATCGTGAAGGAAGTGTAAATCCCATTTATTGTCGCGTTAGGGCGAAGCCCTATGTAGACATGAACTGCCGGGGTACTGTACTAGTATAGTAGGTCAAAACGTGGGGTCGACGGGAACATTGGCGTGACAGGAGTCAACCATAAGTCGAGGCAATAAAAAACGTAATATGGGTCGGAGGACGATGTGAACGCATTCTTGGGAATTTGGAGGTTTTCACCAAGCACAGCGTCAGCGGTAAACCCTCCGAAGCGCCCGAGCATGGCTCCCGCTGTCTTGCGCAGTCGAACTGTGGATCTAAGGAATCTGAGTGTTGTGTACACACCTTGGCACGGACCTGCGTGGTAGTTCCGGCGATGTTTGTTGAGAGGCTGGCTTATGATATGCGCGACGTTTGTTTAAGCGAACTGCGTGAATGGATCGACGTCGGCGGTTTGCTGGTCATAGTCCACGTCAATGCGACCGGTGAAGACACAACGGTGATCGTCGCGAAGCAAGGTCTACCAGGTATGAGTTTGATGTAATGTACAGAAAAAGAGACGCGGACGCTCACTAGCTTGCGAGGGTGTGAAGCATTGCTAGACGACGACCCGATGAGAGACGAGTCTTGCGCAGCGGCAATGAGACACTGTGAAAAGGGTCGATGATGACAGATTATATAGAGATACACACTTGCAAGTGTTGCGAGAGTTGCTTCGGTGCTGTAAGTCAGAGGAGGCCACAGGACAGGGTGCGAACTGATCCAAGATCGCCTCTTGCCCGGTGAGATGGAAGCGATAGTCTGGTCAGGTGTTAGCAAGAAAATTGAATGTCGATGTTATAGCACTCACATACTTGCCGAAATCAGACTTACCTCAGTGCTCCATACGGGCTTCGTGATGCTCGCGATGTTGACGAGAGCGGCGGTGTCCGACTGTTCGGGCTGGGTGATGAGCGAGTTCGGGCCGAGGTCGCCGCCGAAGACGAGGAGAGACGAGGTGTTGAGCGGGGAGAGGGTATGCCAGGCGACAGCCGGACCTTGAGATGACGAACAGTTTGAACAGCCTGAGACGTAGTCCCATGGCACGGAGGAAAGGGAGAAGGATGATGTGAGGGGAAGAGCGAGCATGTCGTTTACCGGTGGTGCGGACGAGTATGCATATTGATTGTACTGGTCGGTCCTGCCGCCCTGGACGAAGAGCACGTCGTCGACCACGGCGGCTGCTTGCCCCTATCTATAGTTTTCATGAGACAAGACTGAGTTAGAAAGTCGAACTTTTGCGTACTCAGGATCGGGCGAGTACGCGAGGTAGAACTCACGCGCGAGCGCGAGGACGACCAGGCATCGTTGTAGATGGTTGCACATGTATGCAGTGTGTTCATTCAATTGTCGTCAAGAATAAGGATAGTAGGTCGTCGTGGGTCGTGATAGCAGCGAGAGCGTAGAGCTCAGCGTAGGAGCGATGATCAAATGGCGCTGGCTGGAGCGCGTCCTGGACTCCTCGCAGCACGCGCCACCGCCCTCTTGGGCAGGGCGACCGGTTCATCTTATCTTATCCGGAACCCTCGCGTCAGACTGCCATCGTCAGGCCGGGTCTCCTTCCGGCCTGCGTGCTTGGTGTTCCGGATTGAATACTGTAAGTAAGTAGTACTGTAGCATGGGACGCACGTAGGATTGTTTGCAGGCACGGTACTCACAGAGTCAAACTACTGCTTGTCGGAGGATCCGCGCCACAGCGACTGGTGACTGCGTGTCACGTTCGCACTTGGGTTATTGTGACCCGCGAGTCTTACCGTGACAGTGACCGGTGAACACAGCCAGAGCTTTATGATCGAGGATCGCCACGACGCTTGTCCGTTGACACCGTTCAACAGCCTCATATAACCCTACGCTGCAAGTGCGTTCAGCGCGACCCATAACGTCCGTCTTCTGGTCAGGATGACGGAGGGCGTAGACACGTAAGTCGCACCGGAGCAGAAGTTTCGAATCTAATTCAGCTTCTGGTCCTACGTAGGCTCCGCCGGTTAAACCCCGATGTTCTTCTGAGTGTATTCGAGCACTCATTGCCTGAGCGCGGTTTGCGCTCACTGTCCATGGCATGCCGATGGGTTCGGGAAGAAACCATGCCTGCACTCTTCCGACGCTGTTTGGTCGCTGTGGCGGAGCCACTCTGTGCAGAGCGGTTCCTCCCACAAAGACTGTGGCCTTACGTATGGTGCGTTATACACCATCACTCAGTGTACATAGTCTTCATAGATGGATATGCTTCAGCCACTTGTCGTTGCGAGACGAATGCCCGGACGTGGTCGCCATGAACTCCACGTGGAATCATCAACCACAGTTCACCGACGACCCTTTGTTATGTGGTATTATGGATCCCGAGTTCCTCGGGACCACGCTACCAGCCATGCCTCGTCTACAGTCCATCCATCTGGGTTTCCTGCGCTCGGAGGTCCATGGAATAGGATGGGATACTCTGGCGGCCATCCTCTCTACGCCGCAGCTACGCAGTTTCACAGTCGCACAATTCATGTTCAGTCCGCGACAGTCCTCGACCATGGCGGACTTCGACTCTCTCGCTCCGCTCACGACATTCCGATACGAGCAACGGTTCTTGCGTACTGTACTCCATCAGTTTCCTTCCCAGGAGGCCGCTCTGGGTACGGTCATCGGAAAGTCGCGGCATACTCTTGAATCGCTTTTACTTCCCAGCGAAATTGCACCCTTCAGAGTCCTCATGACCAACCAGTGGCCCCGATTGGAGGAATTACATTTGATAGGTGTGCTCAATCTGGCTCGTGACGCTCACATTCCATTCGTCACTCTCTTTGCTGGTATGCCTAGGTTGCGTGTCTTGAACTTACAACTTGCTGTACGGAAGCACTTCGACCAAAGTTTGCTACAGCTGTGGCCCCAGGATCGCGAAGGGCAACTTCCGTGGCCGAACCTCGAGGATCTGGTCATGTCATTTCCAAACCTCGAGGATCGGGTCTACTCCCACCTTCCCCGAACCCTACGACGTCTTACATTGCGGTGTACACCACACCATTCCTTCGATATATACAAACGATACCATCCCCCGTTGAAGGCGTCGGAGATGCTAAAGCTGCTTTCGGGTGTTGATGTCCCGCACCTCACGTACATATTGCTCGAATACTGCGCGGACGTCGCAGAAGACGACCTCCTACTCTATGTCGTCCAGAGGTTTCCTCAACTGACCTCCTTGGAGCTTCATCGCTCCACGTCACGCGAGGGCAATAGTATGACCATTGTGAGTAGCCTTTCATCACAAACATCCTCGCGAGCGGACACTATTTGATCACATATAGACCGACGTGGCTCTGCGGCTAGCAAGTCTCCCAAACCTGTTCGTTCTGCGAGCCTATCTGGAGTTTGGGTACCCTTCTCGCAGCTTCGAGAAGCTGCAGCAGATAGCAACCGTCTTAGCACGCAAGGTCGCGCGTCCTGGTCTCGAGTTGTGGCTGCTCCATCATTCTGGTGGTAACGGTGCAGTCTGGTACCCAGTCCGACTCGTAGCCGAGGAAGGGGTTGACCAGGAGCCGCGAGCGGAAATAAGTCACTTCGATAATGGCGTAAGCATACTTGCTGTGCGGTTGACCTTGCAGACACTGACATCCCGTTAGGCAGTGTCGGCATACCCATTCAATTATTGACCATCATATTGCGCGTTCATCTCCACATCAGTGTACCGCAGGTGTACCGTGCGAATCTTGGGATTTTGCATGTAGCCGAGTGGCCCGCACGAATGCCATGCACTCACTGCCCAGTAGCCCTACTGTACTACTAGTACGCCCACCAAGTGTACACAGGGACCATTGGGCTTTCGGAGCTGGGTACGTGGGTTCGCATATGCCGCAAACCACCGCGTGTTGACTTCCTCAACACAGTCGCCGTATATACCCCGGTATGCCCGTCGCAGAGAAGGAAATCTTCCTCGCATTTTCGCGACTGCTCTGGGCGTTCTGCATCGGCGCCGTGCCAGGAAAGCCCCCGTGCTTGGAAGAATACGACGGAAACTCTGGCCGCACGCCCCTCCCATTTGAAGTCCACCTCGTGCCTCGTCATGATCAGGTCGGTGCCGTGCTCGACGCCAAAGAAGAGGAGATCCCCACCGGTCTGGTCTGGACAGACGACATTGACTTCAAGCTTGCTTGATAGCATAGTGTCCGGATTCATGACGACCCGTACTCATGAGTAGCTCGAACAGACAGTCATGATACCGTACATCCTAGTAGGTCATTAATCGTCATTATATTGTTCGGTATCGTATATGTTTGAACTGATTGTGTTTACGCGCTTTTCCGTATCTTTATGTCAACAACGTAGCAGTCTTTAACCTAGTCCTGGTCTGCACGTCCTGCTCGTCCGCCTGGCCTCTCGCTCATTCTCTTGTCCGCGTGCCCATCTGCTCGTCAGAACGCGTCTTTCCGTTTGACTACCTGCGACTTGCCTGCTCTATGCACCTGTCATTTCTCTATCATCCCTTTCGCATGCTTCTGTCGGCGTGTGCAACTTCCTGGCCCGCTGCTCCATATGTCTTGTGCAGTACTCTCGTCCGCCTGCTCTTCATTTCGCGCACTCTTCCCTCTCTTGTCTCGCTCTCGTCTTCCATTCGTTTCCGTGCTGTTATCTTTACTCCGTGATGCCTCGGCTATCTGGTAGCGTTCAGCTTTGGGGGTACGGCGGTCGCTGGGAGAGAGGTCCTTTCGAAGAAGTCAGTGTGATCGAACGAGTACAGGTCCTTAGACGTACGACTGCCCTCCGCCCCCTCAATAGGTCGTCTTAGTGGTCTGCCTTGCGGACACTATGCTAGTGGAGGATCAGACGAGTACGTAGAACGAGACATCTAAGTGTCGGTGCAACTCACGCGGCCGCCGTCAGCCCCCATTACGATCTCCACGGGACATGCCTTGCCACATATCTTGGTAGCCCGCGGATTGTGGCACGAGCAAACTCATAAAGCGTACAACACCTGGATGCACCTGAACATGGTCGATGCGTACCCAGTACGCGGATTCTGCGCGATGACGTCGCGACTCGCGATCGTGAACTCGCGAATTCAATTGTAGTACCGGTAGCGCCCAGGCTATTGCGTGTGTCCTCAAGTACACGTGCCCTCCTCCCGAGGCGACCTCTACCGAGTCTTCGAGTAGAGAAACATCGCCCGTTATCCCAACCGCAAGAGCAGTCTGCTGCAGATGGCCACAGAGGAGGTCGATACGTAAGCCTGAATTGTACTGCATGTCTACTTGTGTCTGACTGAGCTACTTACCAACGTAGCCTGCGACGACTGAATGCCGATGTTCTCCTGCAAGTCTTCGAATATCTACGGCCTATGCGCGGTTTGCGTCCATTATCCATGTCGTGCAGATGGATCCGAGGAGAAGTGACCCCTGTGCTTTTCCGGGCCTGTCTCGTCAAACCGAAAAAGCCAATCTGCGCAGAACGCTTTCTTCCACGCTCATTATGGCCCCACGTACTGTGAGTCGAGTATCTCACAAACTCAACCATGATCGTGACAGTCTCGCACTTCAGTTCCCTGTCTCTGATAGACAACTGTCCGGATCTGATCGCTATGAGAGACCCCGAGTTTCGAATACCACAAGAGCTGCGGTTCACAAACGACCCTTTGCTATGCGGCATCATGGTCCCGGCCTTCTTGGCGACTACACTGCGAGCGATGCCTCGTCTGCGCTCTGTTTGCCTGGCATTTTTCTGTCGAGAGATCCATGGTATGGGGTGGGACACCTTGGCAGCCATCCTCTCGACGCCACAGCTTCGCCACTTTACTCTTGCGGTTGCCTTGTTCAGCCCACGACAGAATCCAACGCCCATGGACGTCAAACTTCTTGCTCCAATCACTACTTTCAGATACTTACAAACTGCTCTTCGCGCAGAACTTCGCGACTATCCATCCCAGGAGACCGCTCTGGGTCTGGTTGTTGGAGCATTGAGAGATACTCTCGAGTGCCTCCAGCTCCCTAGCGAGGTCACGCCTTTTGGGACTCTGGCAGGGAATCTGTGGCCTCGGCTGACCCAACTTCATCTTCTCGGAGAGGTCAATCCGACTACAGACTTACACGCCCCATTGGTCACCCTCCTGGCCGGCATGCCCAGCTTACGTGTCCTGAGACTGGACTTTGCTCTACCCAATGGCGTCGACAGGAAAGTCCTACAGCTGTGGCCGGAGAACTACGAGGCGCAACTTCCATGGCCGCAGCTTGACGATCTGACGGTGTCGTTCCCGAGCCCTGGAGATCAGATTTATTCCTACCTTCCGCAATCCTTGCAACGGTTGTCACTACGATGCACCCCGCACCATTTCTTCCGTCTACGGAATCCATATCGTTTCCCCTTTACCCACTCTCCGATACTACGCGCTTCGGAGATGTTGGAGATCCTCACGAAGATTGCTGCACCGCGCCTTCAATATCTCCAGCTCGAGTACTGTGCAGATGCTGCAGAGGATGACCTCATGCTCTGCGTGTCCCAAAGGTTCCTTCGACTGACCTTCTTGGAAATTCATCGGTACTCACCGCGCGATGGTGGGTGTGACACTGTTGTGAGTTATTGCTTCTTTATCGCGTTCGTCGTCCATATTGACGCTTTCGATATAGTCGAGCATTGCGCTGCACCTAGCAAAGCTCGGCAACTTGGACACTTTACGAGTTTATCTTGAACATGAGGATGGTGGAGCGTTGTACGATTCTACGCCAATTCGGCCAAATGCAGCCCTCTTGGCAAGCAGACTTCCCGGTCTAAAGATGTGGTTGTTGCAGGAAGATGGTCACAACGCAGCGTGGGTTCCAATTGGCCCCACAACGACCCCTAACGTGGTCCAAATGGGTGACGAGGTCAGCATGCTTAATAGTCTGTCCTCGCGTGCGCATGGCTGACATCTTCTCCCAGAAAGTGATGATGTTTCCTTTCGAGGGTTAGACACTGGCGTAGGCTCAGATAAGAGTGTCGTATCCCCATATGTATCCCTGCATGGGGTGTATGCCCATCCACAGTACCATGTTGGCAATACAACACGTACGTGACTCTCCTACTGGTTGATGTCCTAGTGTTGGACGAGCTTCATGGTGACTTGTTTTCTCGAGCCCTCAGACTGCGTCCGCGTGTATGCACGCTTCCACCGGTACATGCACCTCCGGCTGCGTTCCTGCGAGTCTCGTCTCTACGTTCATATCAGACGTCGAAATTGCAGAAGCAGCTCGCCGCGGACGCCTCGCACCCACAGCAGACAAGCCTAGGCCATTTGCAATCGAGCGCGTCGGCAGTCGCGAATGCCACGCTTCTTGGACTGACAGCGGCATCTCGAAGGAGTGGAGGGAGATCTCGAACACTGTGGGCGAAGACGAGCAGGCGGGGTCTACCTCGGCGTCGTTCATGGGCAGGTTCACATTGTGGCTTCGGTAAATGTTCCTGTAGTACCCACCAACTTCCCGCAGTAGGCTGTCCATTGGTCGTGAGTCTTTCGCAGCAGTTTTCGCCCTGTTCTCTCCTAGACTCGAAAACTATGAACGGCTGTGCCTCACGCTTGAACCGCCATAGGTACCTGCCGTTCCAGTCTCGAGTCGATCTTCGGCACAGTTGTCTCCGTGCTGTGCAACTAAGCTATACTAACGTCCGTGGGCATCAGTGCCGAGGGTAGTATACTCGGTGCGGTCGCCGTAAGTACAATGGATCATCAATCATCAAGGACGGCGCCGGCGAAGCCGCGACACTCTTCTTCGTACACCGTTTCTCGCCATACTTTGACAGCCACCCGAAGACGTGCACGCTCTTCGGGGAGAGTATTGTAGCACTGGGCAGTGCTTTGCAGATCGCGACCATTCTCGTCAACCCGTCCCCTACCAACTTCTTGCTGTGCGCAGGTGAGTGTGGCTGCTTGTCTAGCATCAGCTTCCAGCTAACTGTATGTCAGCCGGTGGGAATTTCATGAAGCTTATCGGATACGCGGTACGTCTCGCGTCGAGCTCTTCTTGACGATCTATGCTCACAGCTGCGTCCGAACAGGTCTGGTTCACAACACACATGAAGTGCGTCCGCTACTTCTCGCTGCAGGGTAACATGGGCGATGTTGCAGCCAAAGACGAGGCCCAGACCTCCCTGGCCCAGCTGGTCGGGTGCGCCGCCGGAATCGGCCTCCTGACGTTCTCGCACTCGCTCGTTTACCTTTACGGGCGCGGTACTCCCTATGCACGCCTGCGCACCTGGCGGCCACTGTCGCGATGATGCGTCTGGCGACGTTCGAGACATGGACGGTGCCCAGACTCACCGTGCTTGCGCGAGAGTATGCGGCACCTAATGGGAAGCAGGTCGTGCTGTCCTACAAGGAGCTCTTGGATGCGCGCGAGACTGGTGTCTTTGGGGAGCACTTCAAGAGCAAGAAAGACCAATATGTCGCTCTTGCGCCTCGTGTGGCGGATGTCGTGGGACGTGATGCAGAGCCCGAGGCCAGTAGGTGGGATATCTGCACCAACACATTCTGGGTATGTTGTGTCTCTTCATTCATCGATTGAGATTCATGTTCGCTCATTTGTTCATACCTACAGAACGAAAGGTACATGCAGTACTAGACAATGCCGACGTACGGGGCTCAGGATCATCGGGCCCCTAAGACACTGCACCCAGCTTGCTGGACTCAGAGGTATGCCGGTGCATTGGCTCCAGTGGCAGTCCGTCGCTATGCCTAAGATCCTGTAGATAATACCGCCGGAAGCACCCTCGGCTCGCTCATCGATGAGACGGAGAGTTTGAGGCTGATTACAGTGTCTCAATGAAGAAGCTTGTTCTGTCTCCGCAAAGCCGCTATTGTTGAGATGCTTCTCCGAACAGATTGCTTGGAACCTGTATACAAGCGTCCAAAGAGGGTACTACATGATGGTGAGATAGTGCATCTAGACCAACGATTCCATCAGCTAAATGTGCTTCTAGGATATCTGGGTTGATATTCAATTGTTCGATTTGTTTTGTCGTGCTTTGCCTTGCTGTTGGCTTCCCTATGGCAGTGGCGTACAAATCTGTGGGTGGTCGGTCTTGGCTACGGTGCAGTGTCCGGGGTTCTGACGAGCTTGGGCTATAAAAGACCAAGGCAGAATTGAAACCCAACATCCACTACTCTGTAGCGATGGACGCCACCTATCCTTCTGCAGGCAGCGATGAATATGCAAACAAGGCTGCTCAAACCAATGACGATGGTGTCATCCATGATGAGTCAGCTTACGTGGTGGCGTTACAGCCTCCAGCACCAGCCTCTGCTCATGAACGTGTATGTATATTATTCAATTGCCGGGTGTTCGATTCTTTAAACTTCTTTCAGGCGGCGTGGAGAATTCATGACGAGACCGTGTCTGGAAATCTCGGTGTTGTCCCAGGGCGGCCGCAAGCCCCCCAACTTGAAGGGCTGAGCGTGATAACAACGCTTGACCGTGCCAGTGTAACAGCCGAATCTGACTATCATGATGGTTCTATATTTGGTGATTGGACCTCCGAGTCTTCAAGTCTTCCCAGCCCAAACACGTCTACTCCGGGTTTGCTGCACACACCGGTGGTAAGCGTGCAATTGAGGCTCATCATCCGCGCATGTCTGTAGCGACGTACATCTCACTCCGTTAACAATGTTTCAGGACTCGCCCACTCAGGTACACAACAGCAAGGACTCGGATGAACAACTCAATGCACATCCAGAGTCTCCCAGTCGAGAACGCGCAACACAGGCCCATCGCTCTTCTAGGCCGAATCGCCGTGGTGATGCAGCGGTTGAGATGCAGCAACTGCCACCGCGAAGCCTCTTCACACAACCATCTGCGAAATGTATGTTGTCTGCGTACAATGTCTTTGACCCGGCTAATAATAGGCCCGTATAGCACAAGGTTATTCAGTTCGAATTGTATGTTCTGTGTTACTGTGTTACAATACATGTCTCTTTTTTGCTGATGCTACTGCAGGATTTCCAAGAAGAAGAAGAAGAAGACTCTTGGACGACATATGAGCTTCTTGTCGACACTGGTGAGTCCGATTTGGTGGGCCCGGCCCTCATCATATATATATAGTATAAAAACAGCCACTAACAGGCAATGGGTGCCCAGGACTTGATGAGACGTACGTATGGGATGGACAGTTGGAACGTGACATAAAGCTGACAGTAACTGAACAGATTTGTATTTGGGGACGGTCTCTTGCTAGTCGATTCAAAATCGAAGAACTTGAACACGGGAATGAGGGGGCGGATTGAGTGGCCGAACACAGATTCTGCCGAAGCCACTAGCCACTCATTCATACATCGTGGGCCATTCGATCCAAAGCTCAGCAATGATGTACTTGGAACAAAAGGAAAGACTGCGGAGATAGATTTTGCAGACGGTTGCGTTGCCCGTGAGTTAGCTTGTTCTGAATCTTCTGATGAGTCTTCTATCAGCTAAATCACATTGTAGAAATGGGTCTTCTGCAGCCTAGGATGTGTAAAATCTACTGCTATGATCACCGTCAGAAGGAGCGGGCTCGCATAGACCTTACATGGCAGTTTGGCGCTGCCTTTGCCGTGGATTCCGTACTCATCAACGATCCCAACGATGGCATCCTTGGCTTGGGCCTGACTGAGTGAGGATTTTTCTGAGCTTCTTCAACGTATGAACAGTGCTCTGAACGACTGTACACAGTTTTCAGATGGCTTACAAATCATCACAGAATGATTGGTGCCCACGGGTAAGCACTGTGGCCGCCGACTAGTATATCCCCATTGATCTTCGAATGTTGAATATTTGACACACCACAGAGCTTCCTAGAGGCGATGCGTTCTCGTTTGCGGAGAGTTTCTGGCTCTGTAAGTCCAAGTGCTCCTTTCACCCGTCCATACTCAATGCAAGGCAGCGGCCCGAAGAGACGATCGCTCTGTACTTTGCCATTCGTATGGCGCCGCTGTATTACCAACAAACCCGTCAGTTGCAGTATGAACAACTCGGAGTACCCATGTAAGACATTGATGCTCTGTTGCAGAATGTATACGATGTTTATCAATCCAACAGACAATCATGGATGTCCTTCAATCGGTGGCCTTGCTCGAAGGAGCCTCAGTGGAATGAGGACAAGATCGTCGTCTACGGTGCCGGTCCAGTTGCCTATACTAAGCAATGGGCAGTATATCTGAGGTCCATCCGGTTCTATCCTCTTGACCCAACCGTCCATCGCCCTCAATTGGACACAAGTCTTATGCCAGTGTACGGCGCTATGCTGAACTTCGTGGATAACAACAGCCCCAGAGGATTGAAGGTGCTACTGGATACAGGTATGGGAGCCCTCGTGATATTTCAACGCTCCTATTAAATATATTACCCAATCTCAGGTGCCAGTATTTCACGGCTTCCGTTGCAATATATCCAACAGATCAATCGTGAATTATGCATGCAAAAGAACACCATCAATCCAGTCCGTGACGGGATCCCCCGGGAGACTTATGAGATCTCCCACCACGTCGACAATCAGGATTTGAAGATCCAGGTCCTATACGAGTTCGAAGGCGCAAACGGCAGCGTTGTCAAAGTATATGGACCATTCGAGACATGCTTTTACCAGCGGCATAATGGTCGGAACGAGGCTTTGATATTTCCACAACGCCCATCTCGCACGTACGGCGTCTTTGGACTGGTAAGTGACAAGCTATTCTCGTTTAAATGCTCAGCTTCACATCAATTGCGTTTCATAGAATTTCTTCCAGAGCATGTATATCTCGCTGCATAAAACATTGGACAGTGGCGCCAACTTTGTTCGGATGGCCGCCCAATGGCCCGAGAACTTCGAGGCTGACCTGCAAGGCTACAACGTCCCGGGCCTGTCAGCGACCTAGGAGATGAATAGCGCACCTGCACAGTATTTCTCTTCATTGTACTTATATCACGTAGTGCCGGTGAATCTGATGGAACTGTTTGCTTGATTATACAAGACCACTTGCGGTGGCATCAAAAATGTGAATCGCTTCGCCTTGACCTTAACCACAGGTCCACGACGACGACGGATACTAGAACAACGTGTCCATCCTCTCCCGCAGTCGCTCTGCTGGTACGCTATTATCTGTTCTGTCTACTTCGCCGGGCCACTCGTCCGTAGGACACACACGGCGCAGACCACAAGTACAACTCATGAGTCGTGGTACTACTAGATCCGGGGAAGGCACAATACATACACGCTGATCATCCGCCGGCCCTTCACTCTTTGTGTGTGTCAGCCGGAGATCTAGAGCATGTGGAAACAGGTCGCGCAGCCCCTCTTACGCTGATCGACAACTTGTAGTATATGTGATTCTCCGGCCCGGGTCTGTACGCATAGTAGGGCTATGGCAGGGTTTGCGCGAGGAACCTATCTGCGCAGATTGGCTCCGCCACCGTGACTCGGTAGTGTTGGAAGAGTACAAGCAAGCTTTCTTCTCGAACCCACCTGCACGGCGGATTGATCGTGGTCCCTGGTCGTGTTCCATTTGCGTTTCGCACTGCGCTAGCACCACTCGTCTTCCCACGCCCATTCAGACACGACGCGACCGCCTACACGTCGGACGTGGTAGTACGTACTGGCAACTGTTACTTACTTGAAGTATGCCCGTAGAATCGTCTCTGCGATCAAGTCAACTACCGCAGTGACATGTAGCCCACTTGTTAACACATGCTTCACTCATCACGTCAATCATCAACCGGCTCAAACAAGACTAGACAAGACAGCGCAAAGGCCGGGGCGAATTCACAAGCACACGTCCGTTGGTTCTCATGACCGACTTCAAACCGACTTCATCGTTTGCAACATTCCACACTTAACGCCGCACAGGCTCTGCGCTGTCGGCCCTGTCTTTTGCGTGTCTTGCTGGCAATCCAACCATGGCGAGCCTGGAGAGACCGCACGCCGTCGCTGACCGCTACAGTGCTGTCCTTCGCCTGCTTCCAGCACCTCTTCAGGCTATTCTGAGGCTGCGGTCTGCCGTAGTTCTGGGCGCTCTCGTGGTTGTTCTGCGCGTCGTGTTGTCACGCTCCCGGCGAAAGTCCCGGAAGATCACTGACTTTGAGCGTATCGCTCGCCCAGTGAGGGGTGGCGAGAAGACCGGTGCAAGTGAGTATGACGTAGTGCTTGTGGGCGGTGGTGAGTTTCTGCGTTGCTTCCGAGTGATGTTGAAAAGTCCGAGTCGTCCTGATGCTTCACAGGGACAGCTGGTTGCGTGCTCGCTTCTCGATTGTCTGAGAATCCGAAGCTACGCGTACTGCTCATCGAGGCTGGCGGCAGGCAAGCATCGTCACAGTCAGACTCATACTCTATCGTTCCTGACACGCTATGCTGCCAGTTCTGTGCATAACCCTTTTTCGCGCGTACCAGCACTGTACCACAGGTTCTTCCATACGGGATACGACTGGGAGATCTTCACCACTCCTCAGGAGCATGCTGCATCGAAACGCAAGTACTGGCCAAGAGGTATATCTTCCATTCGTGCACCAATCGTTATGACTAACTGACACGTCTCAGGGAGGATGTTGGGAGGATGTGAGTACATGCCGTCATAAGCATAACGGTCTAATAGAAACTCGTTACAGGCTCGTCCATGAACGCCATGATGTAGGCTTTTCCATGGAGATTAGTCGCGGGTGATCTAATGCTATCCCCATTAGCTTTCACCATGGCGCCCCTACAGACTTTGATGAGTGGGCTGCAATGCAAAAGGGCCAAGAGGGCGCTTCAGAGTGGCAATACGAGAACTTCAGCAAGTACGTCGTGACAAGCTAGCTAAACCCGGCCATTGAAAGATTGTCGCGTTCCCAGGTACTTCCGGAAGTTCGAGAAGTTCCATCCGAGCAAGGACTACTCACTGGTAGACGTCGCCCTCCGTGGCTCTGCGGGACCAGTTAACGGTACATCGAGTTTGTCTCATTAGGATTTCGTCGCACTGAGTATATTATGCAGTGGGCTACTTCGGGAATAACTCCGAGACTACGCAACACTTCCTTGAGGCTTGCCATAACGCCGGGCTGGAGCGCAGTCCAGACCTCAACACAGCGAAAGGCACTCTTGGGTCCAGTAAAGTGCGTACGACCTGTGTTCTCGGCGATGACACAATTAATCATCATTGCCTCGACCCCTGTACTTAGACAAGTCAGTTGTCCCGCGCCCGAATTACGCGCATACATCCGCTGACTCCCGTCTCACAGTGACATTCATCGACTCTCAAGGCCGGCGTGTGACGACGGAGTCTGCGTACCTCACCCCGGAGGTGCTCGCGCGCCCTAACCTCGTCATCGCGACTCATGCACAGGTTACACGTATCCTGTTCGAGGGAGCTGAAGGTGAGGCTCCGAGAGCAGTGGGGGTGCAGTTCCAGGACAGGAAGGGCGAACTATTCGAGGTGAGGGCAAAGAGGGAGGTGATAATCTCGTGAGTCACACAGCGTTACTCCCATGAAATCGCATGTAACCGACGAATTCGCTGCAGAGCGGGCGCCATACACACACCTCAAGTACGCTCTCCATCCACTCATACCCTACCTCTCACTGACCTACCCTCACAGATCCTCATGCTGTCCGGGATCGGCCCCGCCGACCACCTTTCCTCCTTCAACATCCATGTGCTCGTTGACCACCCGGGTGTCGGCGCGCATCTCATGGACCACCCCGTCATCGACTTCCACTTCCGCGACAAGACCAAGTCGCGCATGTCCGCGCTCTCCTACGACGCGCAGAAGTTCGGCAAGGTCGATCCGGCGGCAGTCCTGAAGCAGCTGGCATACTTCGCGGAGTATAAGATCTGGGCGTCGGGCCCGCTCACCACGAATGTGCGTCTTGCAGTGTTGGAATAGTGCGGAGATCTGACGTGACGAGGGCATTGGTTGTAGGTTGCTGAAGCTGCCGCCTTTACACGCTCCGACGATGCTGGCCTACTCGCCAAGGCGGGTGTAACGTTGCCCGCACCGGACGACCTGGAGGACTCGACGTCGGGCTCAGGTGCACCGGACATCGAGATATTCTTCACGCCGATGTCGTACATCGAGCATGGGAGAGTCCCATTCCCGCCCGGTCACCACGTCGGGGTGCATACAGTCCTCCTCAGGTACTGTATCTCCTTGTGGTGTGGAGGTTCCGCATTTGATATTGACGAGGGATGCGCTTGTTTATAGGCCGACAAGTACGGGCACTGTGAGGCTCCAATCAGCAAAGCCCTCCGACGCGCCGATCGTCGATCCAAAGTGCGTATCTTGAATCCCTCCGAAGCCCCTCGTTTCCTAAGAACGACCCAGGTACTTCGCCACGCAACACGACATCACCGTGCTCGTTCGCGCCGCCCGTCTCGTCGCACACATCATCAACACGGCCCCCTTCTCGAGCGCGACCCTCGACCCCGCCGGGTCTAGCGACACTAGCGGCCTGCTCAACCACAATCTCGCGCAGCAGTCCGACGCGGAGATCGAGGCGCTCATCCGCGACCGCGTCGAGACGCTGTACCACCCCGCGTGCACCGCGCGCATGGCGCCCAGGGAGGACGGCGGCGTGGTGGATCCGCTCTTGAGGGTGCATGGTGTGCAGGGACTGAGAGTGTGCGATGCGAGTGTGTTTCCAACGATTACGAGCGGGCATACGGTGAGTGCGATGGTAGGGTGTGGACAAAGAGTGGGTTGGTTGACGTGATTGGGCATAGGCCTCGCCGACGATTGCACTTGCGGAAAGAGCTGCGGATATCATCCTGGGCGCATACGGGGAGTGAGTTGCCGGTACCACCAGCCTCGTCTTCGGTGGCTGTCTTGGCTATTTTTGGCGAATTGGAACTAACATATCAGGAGGCTGCTGCGCGTTGATCAGTCGCCTACTAATCTCAGTCTGTGTGTAACGTATTGTTCGATAGGGTGTCGAGGGTGTACCTCACTTACCATTGGAGGATGGCTCAGAAAGGTTGAGCAACCTCGCCAATTTGAAGGTGAGCAAGCGACTCAAAGCGCGCAAAGATCCTAGGATACATCGGAATATCACATGCGGTTGATACAAGACGGGCACCCGAAAGTGCCATACAACGATACCAGACAACTCCCCCATACTTCTTCACTCGACAGCGAGGCCCTTGTAGCAGGACAAGCCCGAAAGGGCCACTGAGGATCATGCATGAGCGAAGGTCTCAAGCTTAGAGAGACGAACTCACAAGGCCCACTCGTCTGAGCGTAGCCTCCGAAGGCCATCGGGTCGGAGATGTTGAAAGACTCTCCATCGTTCGACCCATCGCTGTTACCGAAAGGCTGTAGGCAAGCTTGTTCAGGGGCCATGATCTTCAACAATAGGGCGATAGAACTTACCCCTTCGACACGAACAGCGAGGGTGGACTGGTCGTATATGACGAAGCCGAGGCTATTGACCAGCTTGCGCTCGTAGAACGTCTGGTAGCCGGCACGGCCGAAGACGGCGAGCACAATCTCGTTGGCTACAACGGAAAAGTGGTCAGCTGATGTTGACGACGGGCTGCAGCGACCAACGTACCGTTCAACTCAACGATGGTCGGGGAGGTGGTGGTATAGGTACCGTGCGCGACGGCGAGGAGTGGATTGCCGCCGGTCTGAAATTCAGGCTTGATCTGGTACCAGGTCTGCAAGCCCTCGACCTGGCGGTGAGACAGACGTTAATGATGATGCAATATGAGCACAGTTACGTGTTAGACGTACCACCTTGTCATGCTGTATGCCGATGCGGCGAATGGGGTTCTTGGTATCGAGGATGAGCTGGCCTGAGAGAAGCGGCACAGGATTGATCAAGATCGCTCGTGGACCGTAGGGAACATTGTTGCTTACCATCATGAGCACCATCGACCAACGCGACCATGTCGATGAAGGCGGAGCCCGCAGAGCCGCCAACGAGAGAAGTGTGGATGTAGGCTGAGCTCATTGTCGGTGTAAGGGTGTGTGGACTTGTGAACTAAAGTGAGCTGTAGAGAGGTGCTGAACTGATGGTGCTGAGAGACAACGGCAGCTCCTTTATACTGATGATACCTATGGAAGAACGTCCTCAATGAATCAGTGGGCGCTGTGCCCTTCGTCCCTCCATGCATCGGAAGTATTGACGCTCTAGGATGTGAATGTTTCAGATCATGGGGACAGTATACTGTGGGCCAGGCGTACCTGTGCAAGGCACTACAAGCGACCAAGTGTCTGACGTTGGCATAAAGCCGGTGGGGAGCTTCTGTGTATCTTGAGCGTCGGATGCCCCGCCTGCTGAGAAACAGCCAGCATGTCCGAGGCTAGGGGTCCTGTCATGGACGACGGATCTCTGCGTCAGCGTCCGCACGTCCACACGTTAGAGATAGCATTACGAGCGCTGTTAACAGCCTGACGCAGACGGCGCTGGCATAAATGACTGCGCCCACTTGCAACTTGAACCCACTTGGTTAGTGTATCACCGCACACTTGCCCTTCCGAGTCAGATCCCCGAGGGCTAGACTTGCGCGCCACGCCCTCAGGCCTCAGCTCCCACAGCACGTCTCGGCCGCCTGGAAGTGGGTAGAACATAATGATATGTGCGCAGGCAAACCCGGCCTACCAAACTCCTCACTTTGCTTCCGAGCGCCACGTGCCTTGTTGGAACATTTCCCTTCTTGGTACATGTAGTCATTCAGATTCTTGCATCCTGCGATGCCTCCTTCTTTAGTTCTTACTTTGGCAATGCAGCTTCGTGTCAGGTCCGCGGTCCGACTGCCCTGTGTGAACGCGGATCTTCGCCCGCGCTACACTTCTGTTGAGACACTGGAACGACGTCCCAGTAGCGCTCTGGATGGAATTGCTCCAGTGACCACTGGCACTGAAGATGCGTCGTAGATGCTTCGATGCCAGCCACAGAACACACGTAGGGTGGCGGATATGGCCATACTACCAGCTAGATAGGTTCTCGCCATTATTCACAATGGACAGGACTTCCCCATTCCCGTGAGACGGTCCGATCGGTTCGTGGATTCTATGCTTCGCTTCACGGTCGACTGAACTACAGACGGAAGGTGGTACTTTTCCTGAGGTCTACTCAGGCCCCGAGGGCTGAGTAATTGCTGTATGCATGACCTCGAGTCCTGCCGCCTAGTGGCAGCCACGTATATACAGCTCTGGGTGGTACTAAGTATGTACTGAACTACTGCGCAGTCGCCGATGTAGTCTTTGACCAGGGCTATCGCATTGGCATGTACGTCGTTCTAGCGTCAAATCTCACGTCGGCATTGAAGTGGCTGATCAATATTCAATCCTAGCACCTAAGAATAGGACGCCTCACGTCGCAGTCTGACTTCGTTCTTCGCCGTGAGATGCAATTCATGCTGTCAAATAAGAGTCTGGACACTCGAAGGACTCCTAATGCGATCTCTGGCCGCGGCGGAAGTATGGACATATATTAGTCGATAGCTACAGCCATGGTCAGGCGAGTTTCACTGAGGCATTGCTTGCGGTACGAATCTGTCTGAACATGTCATGGTGCACCATGTCGTTCCGACTCGTGCTTCCGTCAGAGGCCAGTCGATTCTTGGGCCCGACTCGGTCAAGTAGCCCAAATAGGGCCACACGTACTAGTCGATCATATCCTTTGGGATTTATACGCGCGTAAACTGCCACAAACGTCTGAAAAGGCCGCGGTGGGGCATAGTGGCAGAGGTGCTCGCACCGTCAATTGTCTGGCTGCCACAGGAACGATCATTCTGTTGGTATGCGTGCCTGCTGTGCTTGCACCCGATGTCTGCCTTGACAACGTACCGGCTATGCACTAGCGTACTACCACTCCGTACAAGCAGCTCCACCGGACAGCAGCGGACAGCGCTGAGCAGCTCGGGGCACTGCCTCCGGGCAGGTCGGACGGTTATCCAACTGTTTTCCAAAACAATGGGCCCTTGCGTCTGGAGCTGCGCGGAGGCACAGTTGATGCTTTCATCAAGATTCAAGGTGGTAGCAGAAGAGGCAGCGACGGGGTCGAGCATGTCCCAGCCACAAGCTACATGTGACTAGTGACCGGCGAGGTCGAACGGCAGCCGGGGCTGCGGATCACTATAATTACTTGGAGTCAAGGCCCGACCCGACGTCCTCCGCCTATGTGTGTTTTGTCGAGGAGGGGCCTATCATTCTGGAGCCAGCTGTCACTACTGTGAGATCTCAACGTCAACTACCGGCCGTGCTATGGTGCCATACCTGTGATCTTGAGATGCCACGGTGGCTGACGACGATGCTTGTCAAAATCACGCTTTCTGACGTGCATCGTCGTGCCGATGTGTCAGAACAAGACAAAGAGAGATCATAGTACGGTTGGAGCATTTTCAGGCCCGGCTTCTGCCCTGGGGCGCAGATTGAGCACTTTATGCAGTGTTAAGTAGTTGGATATCAAGCAGCCCGGGGACCGAATGCGGAGCGTGGAGGTTCATCTTATCTGATAAGCCATGGGTTATCAATACAGCCCATCAGATTGGCTTGGTGAGATTAGATGACATGTACAAGGACCGGGATTGCATGCCTCGCCTACCGACAGCTGAGTCGTCGGTCTCAGGCCGCCCGCTTACTTCTCTCCCTCCCTCTCCCTCCTTTCTTCTTCCAGCACCCACGCAGCCCAGGACAGGGTAGCCCGTCTGATGCCTTCCTGTCGCTAATTCTATCTGCTCAGGATGAACAACTTGCTCAGAACCTCCGTCCTGAGGAGCGCGACGGCTTCCGCTCCGCCATGTCGATCATGTGTACAGTCTCGAACTCTCTGGCTCGCGCGTAGCAGTCTAGTCTCGAGTTCTCGAACAGCCCTCCGAAAGACCCTTATTGGCTATCGCGGCACGCAAACAAATGCGAACGGGAACACGCAACCTCCGCCTTCTCCCGCACCCGCACCTGCAGCCAAGGCTGTGCAGAGTGTCCCGTCTGCTACCAGTGACTCTGAACATATCAGTCAGGCAGAGCAGAGGAAGAAGGATTGGAGCATCGTGAAACGGCTAGTGGAGAACATATGGCCGAAGAACGACTGGTCTACTCGCGGTCGAGTATTACTAGGCTTCGGACTGCTTATTGGGGGAAAGGTGCGATAGAAGGCATGTGTATTCGTGTCAATGACTGAGTGGACAATTCATACGCTAGCTCTTGAACGTTCAAGTACCATTCATATTTAAGCAGATCATTGACTCGTTAAACGTGGACATCACCGCTGGCACTACGGTATGGATAGTGGCCGGATCACTCATCGCGGGTTGTACGTCCGAATCATATGTCGTTTGGGATATTGCCTCAGACAGTCTCTATTGAGTATGCAGATGGTGCAGCGCGTGTTGGCGCAACAGTATTTGGGGAGCTCTTGAATGCGACTTTCGCCAACGTCGGACAACGTGCAATACGCAAGGTGGCTCGGGAAACATTCGAGCATTTGCTGAACCTGGACCTCAAGTTCCACCTTTCAAGACAGACTGGTGGACTCACACGAGCGATTGACCGGGGAACGAAGTCCGTACACCTTGGCTCGATGCACCGCACGTTCTGAACATACATATTACCAGAGGCATCACCTTCATCCTTCAGGCGATCATTTTCCGGATCGTCCCTACAGCCCTGGAGATCTCGCTGGTGTGCGGTATTCTGGTATGTCATTTCAGAGTCGTAGCGAGCCCAGGTTGACTATCCACTATTGTATGATGTAGTCATATAAGTTTGGGTGGAATTTCGCGGCCATCACTGTCGTCACGATGGCGGCCTACACATGGTTCACAGTGCGCACGACGTCATGGCGGTATGTACTCCGTAGATCACTACGGACGTACATTGACACCCAGACAGGACGCGCTTCCGGCGGGAAGCAAACTCTGCGGATAACAAGGCCGCAACGGTTGCCGTTGACTCTTTGATCAACTACGAGGCGGTCAAGGTATTGCTCACCAGTATCGGAGCGTGTGCACGTTTATGTAACGTCCCTGCAGCACTTCAACAACGAGAAGCACGAGATTGCTCAATATGACAAGCATCTGTCTGCGTACGAGAAGGCGTCCGTCAAGATCGCTACATCGTTGGCGTACCTAAACTCGGGCCAGAACGTCATCTTCTCATCCACATTGACTGCCGTGATGTTCCTTGCTGCACAGGGCGTGATCAACGGTCAGATACTCATAGCTCGTTCAGTGTTCTATTTACTCATGCACAAGGGACTGTACAGGGACGATGACGGTTGGCGACCTCGTCATGGTGAACCAGCTCGTATTCCAGCTATCTCTACCTTTGAACTTCCTCGGTACCATTTACCGAGAAATGAGACAAAGTCTGTTGGACATGGAGACGCTGTTCAACCTCGTCACCCACAATCAGCCGCCCAAGGTGTGCCTCTCACAGTGAGATCTTGTGCTTGACAGACCTGACATGTCCTGCAGGACAAACCGGGAGCGAAGCCTCTCGACCTCCAAGGCGGCTCCATCCGCTTCGAAAACGTCAGCTTCGCCTACCACCCCGACCGGCCCATCTTCCACAACATCTCCTTCACCATCCCCGCGGGCAAGAAGATCGCGCTCGTCGGCCCGTCCGGCTGCGGCAAGTCCACCGTCTTCCGGCTGCTCTTCCGCTTCTACGAGCCCTCCGCGGGCCGCATCCTCGTCGACGGCCAGGACATCTCCGAGATCCAGCTCGCGTCCCTCCGCTCCGCCATCGGCGTCGTGCCCCAGGACACCCCGCTCTTCCACTCGGATGTGCTGGAGAATGTGAGGTATGGGAGGTTGGACGCTCCGGATGAGGAGGTCATGGAGGCGGCGAGGAAGGCGCATGTGCATGATGCAATCATGCGCTTGCCCGAGGGCTACAAGACCAAGGTCGGCGAGCGGGGCCTCATGATCTCTGGAGGAGAGAAGCAACGGTTGGCCGTCGCGCGCGTGCTGCTCAAAGACCCGCCAATATTGTTCTTCGACGAGGCTGTGAGTCTGCATGCTCGTACGTTGTATGGTGTCGCATATCGCTGATGTGATGCTGGCCAGACCTCTGCGCTGGATGCTCACTCTGAGGCTGAGCTGATGAAGAACGTCAACACCCTTCTCCAGGACAAGAGCCGCACGAGCATCTTCATCGCGCACCGTCTCCGTACGGTCGTAGAGTCTGGTGCGTCCTCACAGATACCGTCTAGCGGCAGTATGAACTCATCGGCACCTCAGATTTGATTCTTGTCCTCAAGGATGGTGAGGTCGTAGAGCAAGGTACTCACGACGAGTTGATTCGCAAAGGTGGCCTGTACCACAGCATGTGGCTTGAACAAGCATATCAGGAGCAAGCTGTTGACACGGAAGAGGAGGCTTGAGGTGCTCGGACTCCGTATGAAACCCTGTAATAATCGCATGACGACTGTTCTATCAGTCCTGTGGTATACTGGTTTGGTGTACTGTTTTCATACACACTACTCTCGAACCGAATTCTTGTCATGAACTGAATCTCATGTAAATCCTACTCAATCCTTCCTCTCAGCCAACCGAGCAGACCCTTTGTGCCTTCTCTCTCCCAGACTCTTCTCTGAGGTATCCTGAAACTGCAGAGCGAGGCATGAGAAGCATATGCAGAATGCATAATCGAATCACTCACACATTGCCGTCCACCAAAAAGACGTCAAGCGGCACCAGCCCCAATTCAGGCGGCAGCTTCCCTATCTCATTGTCCCGCAGATCAAGCTCCTCGAGCCTCCACTGCGGTACATCCCGGTTCCCCTTGAACATCTCTGCGAGACCCTGGAAACCTTCCAGCTCCGTAATCCGATTTCCGCGAAGCCGGAGGTGTCGCAGCCCTCTGCGAGGATTCCTCGTCTCCTCAGGCGGAGATGCGAGGATGAGATGCGTCAGGGCATCCTTCATCAGAGCGGCGGAAGAGAGGGTGTTGTACGAGAGGTCGAGCGTCCGCACGCTAGGGAATAACTTCGCCAGAAGGGACAGCAGAGGCTCGTTCCTGCGGGGCGAAGCATACTCGTCTCCATGCTCCGCATGTGACACCGGAACTGAATCGGGGAGATTGCATCCCTCCAGGCTCAGCTCCTCCAGGCAGGGTAGAAACGGCCCATCGTCCGTGGGCAGACTGAAAGAAGGGTCCTTCCGCCGATTGACGAGATTGAGCACTCGGAGTGTTTGCGCGAGTGGCTGGGCGATGATGGCCGCAAGGGGCAATGCGGCCGTCGGGATGGCGAGAGCGAGATCCGAGCCGTTCGACGCCGTTCCTCGCTTCGTGTCGCCCCAGGAGGACACGGCCAAGGAGATGGAACGTGCGTGAGCGGTCTTTGATGGGGGCGTAGAGGCCGGTAGTTTCAAGGTATGCGTGCTGGCGTCGTAAAATTGAGGATTGGAGAGCACGGAAGCGACGCTTGGTGAAGGTGAAGGTGATGAGCGAGCAGCGTCCGATAGTGCTGGGGATGCAGCCTGCAGCCGTGAGGCATCGTTCGAGCCGGCAGCGGCAGCAGCCTGAGCTCGCGCCCGCCGTTTCGCACCCTCAGTCAGTAGGCCTTGCTCAGCCTCGATCTCCCATTGCTCTTTGACCGCCCGATTCTTACGCGGTGAAGATGGTGTAGGTGAGGATGCGGACGGGCCAGAGGTCTGCGCTGCCGCCGCCGCCGCCCTTGCTCGTCTCTTCGCGCCTTCGGTGAGCAGCCCCTGCTCGGCTTCGATCTCCCAGGCTTCCTTCGGCACTGTCGCTCCATTGCGGGGAGTTGGGCGACCACCAAGATTGAGACCCTCCTCGACCCCAGCTCCACCGTGTCGGTTCGCCTTCGCCTTCGCTCTCCGCTCGGCTTCAATCTCCCAGGGCTCCTTGATGACCTTCTTGCCAATCACTACGCGCAGGACGCCCTCGGGAGGATCCTCATTTGTGACTTCGAATTCAAGCTCCTGCCGTAGAGCTGGCTTTCTGAATGCAGCTTCGATTGCGGGTCGCGTAACAGGCGTCTCCCCTAGGTCGAACACTCGGAGAACCGGTAAGATCGCGGAAGGAGTCAATGAAGAGAGTATGTCAATCGGGAAGGAGTCATCCCCGATCTCTGCGCGCTCCATGCGAAGCTCCCGCAGACGTTCCAAGTGCGCGAGGGCCTGCAGAAGCACCTTCGACGGGCCTAACGGATTCTTGGAGAGGTCCAGTTTTTGGATCTGCGATGGGAGGCTCGCACAGTCGATAGACAAGGCAGAAAGATGGTTATGCGACACGTCGAGGATGGTGAGCCGTGGAAGAGGGGTCGTCGCTCGACTGATGCTTTGCGAGAACCAATCCCCGCGTGCATCTCTCGTCCGAGAAACCGCCTTTGATGCCTGCGCACCGAATGGTGCTCTGAAAGGAAGGGACGTCAAGGAGTTGTGTGATATGTTCAGGGTCGTGAGATGGGGAAGGGCGAACAGGTTGGCGGGTAGAGTTGTCAGGGCATTGTGCGAGAGGTCAAGAGCAGTAAGCGCTGTCAGATCAGCGAAACTGTCTGGCAGACTGGATAATTTGTTGTTATGCAGCTAATCGCGTCGTGAGTACATTCATCCAGGGGCAGTAGAGTGCATACTTACGTCAATAGTCTTCAGTGAGCCAAACATCGAAATCTCCGGTTGAATCTCGACTATGTCGTTCGACCATGCTTTCAGCACCTGCAGGTCCTGTGCTTTGTACCACGAAGGTGCATTGGATTGACCGCCTCTGCGACGACCTGTCGAGATCTCGTCCGTAGTGGAAGTAGAGATAGGCGGTTCTTCCGGAACCGACTTCAGAGGTTTGGGCTTCACGCCCAAGTGGATCTCGAATAGCGCGGACGGCAGACATGGCAGGACTCGCGAAGCCAGGTTAAGGGCGCCTTACGGGTGACAGTAGTAAGAGTTAGTCTCAATGACCTCACTTATGGGTGAGGGCGACAGACATGTCAGGCAGCATGCAGTATTTCTCAATGGGCTGGCCTTACACATAGGGTGTTTTGGCAACCGTGCTCCCCACTTGATGGCGAGCACCGTAACCAGACTCAAGCCCACTGGAAGGCCAACTCCTTCATTCTGAGTAGGCCGATAAGGGTCGAGCACATAGCGATTATGTGAGAAGAGGTCACTACCTCAGCATGACTGGTAGCAGTAGAAGATCTGAGCAGTAGGCGATAGGCTTGCACTGACTCGCGTTGAATACGTGTGTACATCGATAGGCGAACCCACCCATGCAGCTGCCTGACATATCTGCGGACGACGATGGCCGACTCACCTGAGCTCCGAGCACGCTCGATGGTCTCCTTCACCGACCAGCGACCAAGATCTATCTCATCCTCCGTGCTTTGCTTCTTCGTAGGGAGTGCTTCCTCCAGCCCTCCGAGATCAAACCCATTGCTTCCCCCGGGCTGCGTCGTCTGCGACTTCTTCGCCTCCGCACGCCTCAGCGCAATCTGTTCCCTGATACTGAGCTGCGGTCTGTTGGGCTCAGGAGACTCAGCCTTGGCAGGCGACGGTCTCCGTAGAACAGGCGACTTCGGGGGCACAGGAGACTTGGACATTGGCTTGAGATTCTTCAAGCTCCGCTGCGTCCTCAGCGGCGTCGGTGTCGGCCTCGAGCTCGATGTTACCGTCGACTGGGTGCGAGTCCGTGGGGTGCCCGAGGAGAGCAATGGTGCAGGCTTGCTGGGAGTGCGAGAAGAAGAGGGCTGGGGAATGCGAGACATGTTCGCGGGTGGCAAAGACAAGTCAGGATTGTCGTGAACGCGTCTGGAACACGTGCAGACCGCGTCGCGTCCGTCTAGCCCCCGGCCACATCCACGTGGGGACCGGTGTCAGAGGTCTCCCCCGCTGGCGCTGCCCGTTTGGGGTAGCGCCAGACGAGCCGGATACACAAGCGTTCGCTGCCCGTCGACTTCAACGCATCCTCAAGGCCCCGCCGTTCCCTCAAGCTATGTGAGTGTCTCAGACTGTTACTTTGACTCAGAACTATGCTTGGAGGACGTATGGAGGAAATTCGTACGGCAGGAGAGGGTGGATGGGATGTTGAGCCCTTGGATGAGGATGGTACACCGATATGGAGTGGGAGCTGACTCTGCCGTTTGCGCACAGCCGGAACAAGTGCGACAGACGTTCGCAGTGAGTAGGATTTCGTATCTACAAGCATTGCGAGCTGACTGTCATTCCCAGCTTCCGACCTCCAACCGCCTTCGCCCAGCATGATCATTTCCAAGCCCCACCGGCGCATCATCTACGAGTCCCTCTTCAAGGGTACGTTTGCAATTTTTGTCACTGGGAGTTTGAAGGTCTCACACGACGTGATGAATTAGAGGGCGTTCTTGTGGCTAAGAAGGACTACAACGCGCCCAAACACGAAGAGCTCGATGTGCCTAACCTCGAGGTCATCAAGGCCATGCAGAGCCTCACCTCCAAGGGTCTCGTTAAGACCCAATTCTCCTGGCAATGGTACTACTACGCGCTCACGGCGGAGGGTGTTGAGTTCCTCCGGGAATGGTGCGTACACCGCCCATCGGCAGGCTGAGCACATCTGATCGTGGCAAACCACCAGGCTGAACCTGCCCGCCGAGATTGTGCCCGCCACCCACAAGAAGGCGGTTCGTCCTCCCCGCCCCGCACAGGTCCGTGGCCCCGGAGGCGAGGGTGCGTACCGTGCCCCCCGCGGCGACCGGGACGACTACCGGAAGAAGGAGGATGCGCCTGGCGACTACAGGCCACGGTTCGCTGGTGTCGGCCGTGGTGCCCCCCGGGAGTAGACGATTGTACGCTAGCGCTGGTCACACATTGGGCCGCTGGGAGCGGTGGGTCGGATCGCTATGATGAGTATATGGTTGCTACCTGCCGTCCGTCGCAAAATTGTAGTATGAGCACACCCATGCCTCGCTTATGCTATTCACGATGCTTTCCTCTGCATTACATTGAGCTGTACGTCTTATCCGAACCCACTTGCAACATTCCTTATCGCCTTGTGATTCTCCACGCGAGCTCGGAAGTCGGTGACCTGCTTTGCTATCGAGCTACCGGGCTTCAGGCACACAGCAGGGCTGCACTGAAATTCTGGCACGTACCTTACTGGACCGCATCCTTTCGTGCTACTGACGAACAAGGCCGCCTTCATGCTTATGGTCATGGCAAGCATGTCTTGTACACCTGCATCGTCCAGCGGGAGCTGGTCTTCATCGACAGCACCTGTGGTGCCATGCGTTTTCCTGACCAAGCCCTGTTTCGTCTCCAGCGACCAACGTTGCAGCTCTCCGCCGGGCGCGAATGCACCTCGTATGATTTTACCGGCCTCTTGATGCATATACAACAGCCTCTTCTGCCCCTCCTTTGGATTCTCTAGGAGCGGAAAATCCGACGAGAAATACACAGTTCGAATACCATAGTTGACCGACTCATTATGCAACAGGATGTCTAGCATGTCGACAAGGGCATCGGCACAGGCGGTCAAGACGGCGGGCGGCAGCTTGTCAGTATGCCAGTGTACAGCGAGGTATGGTTGCAGGTCTTCCGTCATTTTGTCTGCGAGAGCCCAGAGCCTAGGTGAGTAGTCGATCGACGCGGTCTGCGAGGTGGGGAAGACTTCGTGGTGTACGTCCCAATGCAGGAGGAGGATGTCCGCTTCGTTATGCAGAGGATGCGCAGTGACTAGCTTTAGTGGGTGGGTAGCACCTGTAGCGAAAGTCAAGGCATCATCCGCAGCCAGCTCGGAAGACGATGCGAGAGCGCTTCCATCAGAGCCTGGAGGATCAAGTCTGTCGTCCAGAGTTCCGACCAGCAGAGCAGCCTCGCCAGGGACAGCTCGCAGATCCCCGGCCAGTGATAGGTGGACAGACGTTGTTCCTACGTCGTCGAGTTTCAGAGACCGAAACCTGGTCTTGAAGCAGCGCATGTTCTTCATCGCCTTCTCCAGTATCGTCGGGCTGTATTCGACCCTCCCGACGGCGTCTGTGGCGCCCTCGTCTACGGTGACGACCTGAGTCGTCGGACTTTGCAAACGCATATCGACCCATGTCCGGAAGTCGTCCATCATCATGACGCGTTCTCCGCTCCAGCGCGCGGTCGAAGCTATGTCGAAATATGTGTCGAAGTCCCAACGAAGGCAGGTACCGATGCGCCCCTTGCCCACATTCGGAAGGACGACCGTGCGGTTCAACTGCCTGGCCAGTGCGAGGATCTGGAGAAGCTGCTCCTGCACCTTCGGCTCGGCGCGCTCGGTAACCAAGAGTGGAACGAGGAGTCTGCAGGGCGCCCTTCCACAGAATTGGGCATCTATTGCGTTGTCGGTGGATGCAGCCGGCGTGCCAGCCTTCTGGCGACCGTACGAGGCGGAGGCGCGTGCCTCTGGGAGCGCAGTGACGATTGGCGGCCAGCGATGTTGTCTAGGAGAGGAGTAGCGGTGGTCTCCTTGGCCGATCCGATCGTCACTGTCGTCGTCTATAGTACTTGCACCCACGCGCTGAAGCTTGTTGAGAACTTCCCGGCTAACGAGAGGAATGGGTGTCCGCGACGTGTAGTTGTTTTGGTCCTCCAAGCGCGGATCAGCCTCAATGAGGTCGTCTGTCCAATGCATGGTCAAAACGTCGACATCCGATTCCGAAAGAGGCGATGCAGGCGGTTCCTCGCGATTCGGTGGGTTTGATCGATTGAGGACGACCACGAGCAGGACAAGACAAGAGATCACAGCTAGGAAAGCCCTAGGATAGCCCATCTTGGTCGTCGCCAGGGGACTGGGCAGGTCGATACAAATCAGACGTGCACGTATGTAGGAGCAGCAGCAGCACCGATAGAGTCAACCGTATGCGCGAACTTCAGGAATTGGGGTAGCTTGCCAACACGAGACCGTGGCTAATCTCGAACAGCTGCACCTGCCTAATCGGGTTGTGTCCGTGATTCCGTGATGGCGCAACGGCCGGCGCTATGTTGCTCGTTTCTCTCCGTTGCACAATGCAGACCGGCGGCAAGTGCGCTCAGTCGCATTTAGGCATCACAGTCAGACTCTTCCTTTCCTTCAAAATTTTGTCCACGAGTGCCTGAGAATCCTCGCAAGCTCCCGCAAGCCTCCATGCCTCTTCATTCCCTTATGATGAGTCCGCATACTATTGTAATTTGTTTCCACGGCGTGCATCCGGGGTGCAGCCAACACCAGTGGAAATTCAGTCCAGTAAGTCGTTTTGTAGGATGCTCGATGAGATAGCAACTGACGTCCGTCACATGCAGGTATGTTATTAGCTCCAGTGTCGGTACGTCGAGACAGGATGGCCCAGCCGTCATTGTTGATTTATTCAGAGCGTGACAAATGCCGGTTGAAATCCCTAAAGTACTTCAACGCCATTGAGCAGGCGGTGTCCAGTATCCACAAGAACGCGCGTCATGACCCGGTTTGCAGGAAACACTCAATGGCTGAATCAAATGTGCCGAGTGCTTCGTTATAGCCTTGTTTTCACTGTTGTGGGCCTGTGACACGGTCAGCGAGGTCGGCACTTCTACTACGATGTCAGATGTACTCTACTGTACACGCGGCTGTTGGCATTTTCACCTCGACGCAGTTCACTATCGCGCCACTGAAGTTACACGGCCCATCGGAGTACCTGACACGTACCCTGGGTAGCGATGGGCCTACGTCAGCGCTATTGGTTATGGGGCCATGGGTAAGCAAATAGCGTACAATCTACCTCAGTACCTGACAATTTGCAGTAGGGATCGGATCGGTGCTTTTTACAGAAAGAAAGAAGAGGCTCTCAATATGATAACTCTGACCTATTCCGCGAGTCGCGGAGGCACCTTTGGGGATATCCACGGTACAAGTGAGTAGTTCGACGGAAATTTCATGATAGCGGTCCTATTAAAATGTGTCGGTGTATAGGCCAGGAAATCATCGTAAGGTGGTTCGCTCGGACAGGCAGACGGTCTGAAATTTCCCTGGCTACGAGATCCGGCGGTGAGGACCTCCGGCCAGACGCCCCGAGCAGGATGAAACCTCACAGCAAGCCTTGGTACATCGTCCGGCGGCTCGAATGCTCGCTCGAGGACCTGAGGACCTGCAGACGGACTGGATCGGCCTGTAATACGAGCATCGTATCGATTCGGAGGTACCGATCGAAGATACTTAACCGTAGCCGATCACCAAATCCAAAGCGAGCCATGACGTACTCACATGTACAGTGGTACATCTTGTTCGCGTAGCCGTCGTCGACACATTCCGGCCGTGCATCGAGAGCGGCAAGGTCAGGCATACCCATCGGCATCGACCGTATCCAAACCGTATCTGCGCGCGCGGAATGTTCCCGGCGTGGGCGCGAGGGTCGTCGCATGCCCGGTGGAATACAGCCCCTTTGAACTCAGCATTGGGAGTTCCGGATTTACCGCTGCCACGAGGGAGATGGGTGCGTCAATCTCCTGGACGCGGCAGCCGACTGCCAGTGCCCCAGCCAGTCGCTCGCGCTCATGATTGGCTTTTCCCTCCACCCTGCAGGGCTTATCACTGGGCGCCATGAAAAGACACTGGAGAAGGGCACGTTCCTGCACCACTGATAGGCTTCTCCGAGCAGAACTCGTACAAAGATTTCGAGCTCGTCGACGAAGTTTGCGCGATCGCAGCGAAGTACGGCGCCACGCCGGGCCAATTTTCGCGGAGCTGATTTTGCGCGCATTGTAGCCGGGCTCGAGCAGCGTCGCACGGCTGGACGAGGCAGCGGAGATTACGCTGGATGTGGAGGACGCTCCGTGCGGCGGTGTCAGTGTCCGCCGCCGACGTGCAGGTCAGACACGCTATCCTCCGGGGTACCTGCTGGTACCTGGCTACAATGGCACTGCCAGACAGTATAAGCAGCCTCAGTACATCAGTGGCAAGTGTAAGGAAGCGGGAGACGTCACCGCGATGTCATCCTCCGATATGACGAGGATCAACGGTGGCAGATGAGCGCATGCGGGCCGAGTATTCTCCAGATGCAGCAATGTCATACTCTGCACACTAGGATGCGCCTGTACAGCCTACAAGCTACGTACGGTACCGGGCTATAGTACACATTATTACAGAGCATGCAGGGTGCCCGGGGATCCTCATTACGAGATGCAGCCAGAGCCCCGAGCAGATAGTGAGGAATGCAGATGCGATGCGGGAGACCGATGAGGGAAGGGATGCGAGTGCCGGAGTAGTATGCCTGCGATTACCCCAGAATATGCGTGCAGTTCAGAAATGAGAAAGAGTGTTCAAATGAGCAAAGAGACGCGACATGGATGGTGAGAGGCCAAGGCACGGGGGAGGGAGGGAGAGACAACAGGAACCCATGCGACGAAAACACGATTATCATACACTAAACCAACTCAGAAAGAAAGCGCGAAAAGGCAGGGGCGACACCGACCACACTACCATCCCGCGTAGTGATAGTCGTCCGCCCAGCTCCGATTACGCGCGACGTTACGCTGCTTGCGCTCGTCCTTGATCTCATCCTCATCCCCGCTCTTGCTGCCCGATGTGTCATTCCGCGGTTGATCGTGGACAGCAGTGAGCGGACGGAGACCATTGCCGAGGAGACCGTTCCGTCTGGGACCCATCATACTAGTCCGGCTGACCTGCCGCTCCCAGAGCAAATTGCGGCGCAAGCTCTCCGACAGCTCCGTCGAGAGCATCTGCCTGCGCGTAGTCCGGGGAGTCATAGGCATGGCGGGGGCCGGCAAATTATACGGGTGGCCCAGAGGGATCGGCGCGGTGGCGACGCTTGGGATCTGGGGGCGGACTGCAGGCTCGGAAGGCGGTGGCCCACGGTCCGAGTAGCGTCGGCGACTCGAGTCCGCGAGCGCGGCCAACTTCTGCTGCGCGAGACTGTGCGAGACCTGCAGACCGTTGTCCCCGGTCTCGTCCCCGCTGTCCGAGTCCTCGAACTCCGCGCTCTGCGGGCGGCCCTTCGGGCGCGCTGCGTCCTTCGCCTTCACGCTGCTCGCATGCACGCCGTCCGTGCGCTGCGCCTGCGCGACAACGGCCGCCGCCTGGGGGAGCGCGGCCGAGCTCTTGCTCGTCTGCAGCGGGGGCGGGGCGGCCTGGCGCCCGTACTGGGTGACGTCCTGCGAAGAGAAGCCGCGCCGGTAGGGGTGGTTCGGCGGGAAGATGTTCGGGTCCGGGTTCATCAGCTGCGAGAGCAGGCCAGACTGCGTCCGCGGCAGCGTCGTGTACGACCGCCGCGGCACCTTTGCGAACATGTTCCGCTGCCGCTGCGCCTCCTCCGCCGCCTGCTTCAGCCGGCTCTCTTCGCGCGTGCGCGCCTCCCGCTCGCGTGCCCGCTCAGACCCGCCGTTGTCCGACGCCCACTCCGAGTCGTCCTCCGAGTCGGTCGTCTCGTAGTCCGATGACTCGGTCACGACAATACCGCGCCGTTGCGGTGCGGAAGTCGTCGCGGGTGCCTTCGAACTTTCGTGCTGACGGGTCTTGGGTGCAGGCGCGGCCGGTTCCTCCTTGCGTTTGGACGGACCGCCGCGTGAGCCATTCGAAGAGACCGAGCCGATATTGAACGCCGCCTTCTTCGTCTCCCCGCCGTTCGCGGCCTTGCGTGCACCGGTTGCGCGGTGCTGGACGTGCGTCTGGGTTTGCGCGCGATGAGGCGCCATCGGACGCACGGGCGCATGGCGGACCGTCTCCTTGCTCTTCTTTGCCTGGGCGCGCATCATACCGCGCTTCGCGCTCGGCCCGTGTCCACCCCCGCTCCCACCGCCACCCCCGCCTCCGCCCGATCGTACCTGACTGAGTTGGCTCGACGTCGCGCTGCTCGGGCTCCTCCCGGCAAGCTCGTCGCTGCGGGCGTCCGTCTTGTTGGAGAGGCACGCCGAGATGCTGCTGTGGCTGTCGGGCGAGTCTTGCTCGGGCGACGCTGCGCCCTGGAGGAAGAACCGCCTGTCGGACGCCTTCAGCGTCTCGTCGATCCGCTCCTTCTGCTTCAACTTCTGCTGAGCGAGGATGTCATGTGATGGTGATGCGGGTGCGGAGGGCTGTGGGACAGCAGGCGTCTTCCGCGGGGCGACAGGCTGTTCGACAGGTGGGATGGCAGATGACTGAGGGCTAATCAAGGTCCGGCTCGGAGGCGGAGGAAGAAGGTGTGTCGGAGCTTGCGCTGGCGACGGGAGTGCGGGCGTCATGCGAGGCGGCATCTGCGGGGTCGCGGGAGGGGTTGGATGCGGGGTCGGGTTGACTACAACAACCTTCGGGAAAACGGGTGCCGCGGACGGAGGTGTGCGGGGAGTTTGTACAGAGACGACAGGGCGTGTGGTCACACGGGTCGGGGCGTCCGATGGCGGCGCGGGCCTCGGGTGAATAGCGGTCTTGGCCGCCTGCGCCTTCTCTCTCGGAAGTGCGAGGTTAAGCTTGCTGGGGAGGATGTCGATGATCAGGCGGCCGACATGGACGACCTGTGGTGTTGGGCGGTGTCCTGGGACACTGGCACTACTCATGCGGCGATTAGTGGCCAACACATTCAGTTTCGCCATATCGCCGTGCCATGAGTGCGCCTGGATGTCGGGGATGGCTTGAAGCATCGGTTGGGGAGACGGCGCTGGGTAGGCGTCGGAGTCAGCGCCTGAGGTGGCTGAGGAGAGAGGTTACATACCATGCTCGTGCGCATTCTCGTCCTCCTCTGATATGGGTGTGATTGGAGTGGGACTCCGCTGCTTCTCAGAGAAAGGCGGCGATAAGCTTCCTGGCGAGGAGAAAGTCTGCTGTGAGGCTATTTCGCGGTACCACAGACGCCAGGAGAGGTTCTCGAGCCGCCGGCCGTCCTTGAGGGACTCTTTGCACTTTGTGAACACTAGGTGCGGGGAAAGTGAGCTTCGCGGCTGCGGAGACAAAGGACGCGGTACTCACAGGCCCAGAGCCCGGACAGGGCGTCCTCGCCTTCGAGGTCGCGGACGACATCGGCTGCGACGGAAAGGACGGGTGAGGGAAGGTGCGCTATCATCGCGGGGCGCGACTGGAGCGCGACTAAAAGTACAGGTAGGGTAGAGGAAGAGGAAGAAAGGGAAGTGGAGGCAGACGAGACGGGGCGGGCTGGATATGGGCAGCGGCCGTGGAAAGTTGAACAGTGAGATCGTCCGGGCGACGGCAGGCGTGGCTGGTGGCGGCGGGGGTAAGCTGATGAGCCTGCTGCCGCGGGTGGGCGATTAGGCGACAAAGGCGGCAGGCACGGCGGGGTGCGGGGAGGGCTGGGCCGCGAGGCTGGGGCGGCGGGGTCGGTGGTCGGGCGGGACGCAGAGAGCGGCGGCTTGGGAGCAGGCTGAGGCTGAGGCAGGGGAGCGGCCATCGCCCAACCTTTCAGGCCCTCCCACCCACGGCCCGGCCTCCGCAACAGGCGACTCTTCAATCACGCTCCCGAGCCCTCGCCCGTTGCCGCGCCGCACCGCTTCCCCTTTCGGCCACATCCCTCGGGCGCTCCCCCCGCGGCCCTGCGCGCCTCCTGCGAGGTCATGTGGCTGCCCCGGACGACCTCCCTCCTCCGCCCGTCTCCCATCGCCCGCCCCCATGACCAGCCTCGCCCCCCGCCTCGCGTCCTCCTCTCGCGTTGTCACCCGCACAGCCCCCCGCCGTCCCCGCCGCCCGTGAGACCATCATCTCCGCGCGCGCCACCCCACCACCACCAGTCTGCCCGGTGACCGCCCGTGTACGGCAGCCCGGTGTACTAGCACGGTCGTGAAGTACCGTCATTATTCCACACCCCGCAACTGTCGTCCGCGTACGGTATGCGCTCTCTCTCGCAATGAATGGCATCAGCCTCCGTTGTCAATCCCCCGCACCCCTTTCCCCGCACCCACCCGGGGCGCAGCGTTTCAGTTCTCTTCGCCGCCTACGCGCCCCGAGTCGCGCAATGCCGTGACGCGCTCCGAGCCTGCAGCTTCCCGGCGGGTAGCGCGTCCCTGCCTGTTCCTTACTACATACGAACACAAAGTAGCAGGCTCTCGCACGCCCGGCTGCTATCAATCGTGTAAAGAAACGAGCAGTCCGCGTCCCCCTTACGCGCAGGCTCGTCCGCTTTCCAAATGCGCGAGCCTCCGTTCCGCTGCTAGGGCTCGTCACGCCGCGCGATAGCGGCTGTGTGGCCTTCTGCCATTCTGCGACTTATCTGTACGTACAAAGTCGACCACTCCCTGTTCGCTAAGGGCTCGCGGTGCACATAGGTAGAGTATAAGGGAAGCCACGTTCACTGCGTTCAGAGCCTTGAGGCGCACGGAGAAAGAGTTCAGCACGGAAGAAGATACAGCTAGAGACGCAAAGTTACCACAGGACAGGGCGCACATCCTGTATTCGGCCAGCACCATTTGTGAGTGATGTATCTGTGCGCCTCGTTGTCTTTCCTGGATGTGTCGCCGCCTGCCTCAAGGACTGCTATCTGCATGATCTCTCGTCGGAAAGGCTCGCCGCAAGCAAGTCAACGCATCCAGCTAGCACTCTAGATCTGTCATCCGCCATTCGCCAACGGGCCCTTCAATCAACTGCAGCGCACGCAATACGTTCCAAGCCAACTGCCATACACAGACCATACACCACACTTCCTTCCGGATCCGCCCCTGCAAGCTTGATCGCCGAAAGTCGCCCCCACCGTTCCAGGCTCTGTCCGCCTGGGACGTCCGAACCGCCGGTCCTGATATTCTTCCGACCAAACCGCACTTCAATCTTCCTCAGGCTTTGCCGGTCTAATTTTGGTTCATCAGACAAATATTCAGTGTTTTGCTTCCGGATCCCAGTTACGCCCCTCGAGGCTCGTGTGGCGGTTCGGCACCGTAGTATGCAGCGTGGCTGGACCACGCTTCGAATATCGAATGTTCAATGGCGAATATCGATCGATCATACTGGCCAGGGCGCCAGCCGACCCCGTCTGACCTGGTTGCTAGCCTAGTGTGACTGTAGTGTCAGTCAGAGACTGCGACGCGGCGCACTGCAGACGGGCACAGGACCGCCCTCGAGCTCGAGGCCACAACACGGACACACCGTTCCTGGGCCTTACTCCGCGCATGTTGCAGGATAGTGTATGCGGTTGCGTTCGTGCGAAGGCTGGACTCGGACACGCGAGCGTCCGGGCAGTCAGGCGACGACGTCGCTTGTGGTCGCAGCGCGCGGCCGCTCGAACGCGAAGCCTCAGGCTCGCGCGCGAAGGAGTCTGAGAAGGAGAAGGCGCAGGCGCACGGACGCCGCCGTAACGGTTCGCGGATCATCTTACGGCAGGGGTGTCAGTGCCTGTGTGAGTCGCGGGTGGGTCACGCTGAGAGCGGTGCGTAGGCGAAATGCGCAGGCGTGGCGTGCAGTAGGTGCAAGCGTGAGTACTAGTACTGTTGCATTGCAAGTATGGTACAGTCTAAGTACTCAGGCGAACGCGGGATGTGGACGTGAATGGCGCGAACGTCCCACACATCAAAGCTTCAAGCATGGCACCTCGGCCTCATCACTAGCATATCATGCTAATCATTGCAAAGTCCAATTTTCGCGCCGTTCGTCATGCACCCGAGGGCCGACATGCCTCGCCATTCATACGGTAAGTGGCCTGTCGAAAATATTGGTATTGCTGAAGCGCTGACAGGCTGCGGTCTCTGCCAGTGCAGGATGCTGCCAACGCGCGATCGGACGTCCTCCGAAGATGTTCCCTGCCGACTGCCGCTGCGAAACGATTCGCGCGGGGAATGGCTGCTCCCGCCGGTATGTGCACCGTGGTATCTCGAATGTTCGTAACAGCTTGTAAGTAGCTCGCTAGGCGTGCAACGCGCTGGGAATATGACGCAGCTGAAACCGCCGCATCTACGTACTACGCTACGCTACCTCGAGTCCGCGCGGCCTGCTTCGCAGTCAGCGGACTCGGATCGCAGCTGCGGGTGCAAACACACTCCGTACGATTCGTCTCCTCCCGCGGGCTTCTTCTCCAGGTAACGCTAACGCAGGACAGGTGAGCGCCACGAAGTACCAAGTAGGACGCCGGACAATGGGCCTATGTTTCACTAGCAGTATCAGCGCGGAGGTAACATGGGAAGCTTGAAGCTTAAACAAGCTCGCTGGTCCTTCCAGCGGAGTCCTCAGCGGCCCATTGGCATCAGCGCTTCTGGCCCGCAACTGACGATAACCGTCTTACGCACCGCCGGGCGTGAATCAGAATTGGCTATTGCTCCCTAGTCGAGGCGGGTTGATGCGCGACGCTTGCGAATCCAAGACTCGACGAACGACTGGGATGCGGACGCTTCCAGGGCGTGTGGTTTTGTCAACCGGAGGCTCCCTTCAGCTTCCCTGCGCCGGTGGTGCGCGCGCGAATGGCGGTTCGCGCATATGCTGTGTCACTGTCCGCGCAGACAGACCTTCCCGTCCTCGAAACTCGAAGCTTCGAGTCTTCGTGCGCACTGGCCTCACACTCCCTGAGCTAGCTGCACAAGTCTATTCCCGACCACCACGGGCACCATATGCATCTTGGCCATGTCCCTGGTCTTGGACTCAGATTCGGGCTCAGGCTCTCGCGCCACCTACGACATCTCTTGCGACGTCGACTCACGCGACCCGGGCCCATCCTCATCCTCATCCTGAACTGAAGGAGCCCGCAATACGCATCACCCCTCCTCCCAATATACTGGCTGTCATGATTATCGTCACCTCGCCCCTGTCGTGCAAAACCACAGCAACTCCGAGTCAATGTGCCCAGACTAGCCCTGAGGCCTGATGTCCGCCGGCGGTACTGTCTGCATAGTACTAGCTCAGGACCAAGCCCAGGACGAGCAGGTCGGGTGCAGTAATCGCCCCCCCCCTGGAGTGGGGTTGGCGCAATATCGCGAAGGCTCCGACGCGCGGCGGTAGTACCAGTATGTTGATACTCATCGTGACGTGGCATGATGGGTGACCAAGATACTATGGCTAGCTACACTTACTATTAGGCTGCAGCCATGCCGCTGGGCTCCGGAGTTGTTAGCGTATGTACAAACGCCACCCGCTCGTCGCTGCTACGTACGGGCCTCCAACGATGTACCTCGCACTATATGTTTGAAATTAATGGGTGCCCCCGGCGACCCAATTTGAAACTACATACTCTTAGTACTACGGTACCTGTCGACTCGGAGGAAACTCTGCGGTAGGAATCCCGCTCGCTACGTGCCATTCTTATGAGTCAGTGTAACGCAAGGCATGCGTACGGGGTCTGCCACTGGCATATAGCCGCAAATCTCCAACGACGTACGTCGATTGCTGCCACCAGCAATCCACGCCGGTACTATGCTACTTATCCAAGTCTGATCCATTAGTATAGGTACGTGCCATCCACCCGGACGCACGGGACAACTCCAGTCATGCGCACGGGCCCGCCATACTCCCGCGAAGCTAATTAGTACTGTAAGTAGCAGTACAAGCGAAGCACAGCTCAAAGGGCCCGGGCCACCCTTCTCGAAACTGCACCTCCGGAAAGTCTAACGCCACAAGCCCTCCGAACCCCATTCCGAGTGCACGTCGACGTCCAAGTGGCGTTCAGGTTCCACATAGCCTCCTCCTCGCCCTTTCCGTACCTGCTACGGCATGCGCACACACGATCGCGAGTCTAAACTCAGGCAGCGAGCCTACCTCCACTTCGATCTTTACGACACCTCGAGAGCTTCTGCTCCATGACTTACGGGGTGGCACGTCGGCTGCCATCTGTTCAGTGTGCTCCAGTACTGCAATGTCTATAAGTAGTAGGTCTACAGCTGCCGCGCTGCTTTTGGACGGATACATGCGGTACCGCGTATTACTATAGCTATACGTGCGTACGTAGGCTCTGCTGAGAAGGTCTATGAGAAGGTCTATGCACAACGTCTATCATACACGATAATACAACAATAATGTTACAACCACCAGGGCAAGATACGGAGTGCCTGGGGCACGTTTTGGGACAAAGGGACGTCCGAGCCCGAAGGGGAGGGCAGCGAAGACTCCGTAAGAGGACAGGGAGGCACTAGCGGCTCCGCCGACGCCGTCAACAGCCCCCGGGACGCCGTCAGCTTCTCCGCACGCTCAAGCCCCGCCGACGTCCACACGCCATCCGCTCGCACGTCGCACGTCTCATGGCGACTAGCGAGTCTCGCGCACGGAACCCGAGCGCGGGATGCACGCAGGCAACACACCAGCCCGCGTGCCCAGACGGGAAAGTCAACGCACTCCCCCGAGCGCGAGGCCCGCCGGCACGGGGCAGTCAGCAGTTGGAGGTGGCGACGGCGACGGCGACGTGCCACTGCCATACGACGCCGTCTGCTGTCGCCTCCAGGGGTCACTACGGCAGGGCGGAGGCACGTCGCGTAACACCGCAACAGGCACCGATGGCTCCATACTGGACGAGCCTGGAGACGGGTGCTCGGAGAGGACGGCTGCATGCATGGAAGCTCGGGGGATCCCGTCACTCGACACACGATATGGGCTGCGCCACTTGCGCGAGGGGAAAGCGGAGAGGTGATGGATACCGGGGCGGGGCGGGGGATTGTCGGTGGGAGAAGGCTGGAGTAGAGGTAGAGTACAGGGATATACAGCAGCGTGCTGGGGTGTATGGACAGGGTAGCTCTAGTGGTAGGGAGTACTTTTGGTTGGCGCCGTGGTGCATGGCAGAGGCGAAGATGCAGGCTGAAGCAGGCTAGTGAATGCATCACGGCATGAGCGCTCCAAGCCGGACCAATGTTGACTGAGAAGACGTACCACTGTTGCAGCAATGCACGCGCAGGCGCGCGACTAACTCTGGGGCGTATCGCCCGTCGATGGTGCCTGCGCTGGCTCGGGCGGCAGCACGATCGTGCACGTCCCCTTCTCAAGGTGGTACTTGAGCCCGTTTGGATTGAGGTACGCCTGCTCACACGGCCGTCAGCTAAGCTCCCGGCACCCACGGTGTTCGCGAGACGAGCGGACACTGACCTTCGAGCAGCCCGGTCGCTACGTCGCCACCGGAACACGCGAAGCAAGGCGAGGGCATCAGTGATCAGGGAGGGCGAGCAGAACGCGAAGGGACTCACGGGACACTTGTACGCCTTCTCGCGCTCGCGCGCGCGCCGTTTCTTGTGCGTCTCCGCGGGTGGCGCGTGTGGCTGGATGTGCGGATGGTGGTCCGCGCCCAGCAACTGAGCCTTCGCCTTGGACGCTTTCTGCTTTGTGGACGCCGATGCGGGCTTGCGATGCGCGGGGCGCTGATCTTTGTGGCGTTCGATCGCCGGTTGACGCGGTGGGAGGACGTCTGGTGGGAGTGGCGGGTGGACGGTGAGGAGGGAGGGCGGGAGACACATGGGCTCGCTGGGGTTGGGCGAGGGGAGCGTCGAGCCGGAGGAGTAGGACGCGGAGTCGGAGGTGCCGTCGGAGAAGTCGTGCTCGAAGCCGTCGGGGTGCGGGTACAGGTGCGGGTGGGTCGCGGAGGCGAAGGGCGAGGAGGCACCGAAGAGCGAGGAGGGCTCCGCGGGTGGGTCAGGTTGTGGGTAGCTGAGCACGAGTGGCGAACATGTCGGACGACCGTTCATGACGACGTGGTGTTCCTCGAAGTGGTCGACGAGGGCGTGCAAGTCCGGGAGGGACAGCCCGCAACACGAGAAGTCTGAGCACTGCAGACCGGTGTCAGCTCAACATATACGCGAAAGACACGACATGCGGACGCACTATGTCGCGTTGTGTAGGATCAAAGGCGGGGGGTGGGGTGGAGGGCTCGTCGAGAGATGAGAAGCTGTAGGACGGTTAGCAGGAGACGCGAGGGGGTGGAGGAGGACGCACTCGAAGATGTCGTTCCAGCTGAGGGCCATGTGAGGGGAATGTGACGGGTGAAGGGGCGGAGGCGAGAGCGCGGCGGGCGGGTGCATCGCGTGTGATATACGAGGCCGAGGAGACGGCGCGCCTAGAACCCTTCCTCGACGCGGATCGGCCTCTCTGGCGCCCGTACGCGAATGAAAGAAGCGTGCTCCGCGCGTGTCCGCCGCGTGCGGCCGCGTCTTCGGCTTCCCAGCAGCGTCGTGCGCCCAGCGTGCGCCCTCGCGGACAGCGGATGTGCAGAACGGGAGCGGGCCGGCGATCGGCGTGACAGCGGGCGAGCGTGGGTGGCGACGGAGACACGATCAGCGGTCGCGCAGGGCTCGGGGGGCTGGGGGCGGCCTGGTATATGTACAGCTCGTCGGCTGCCTCGTGGAGTGGGTACATATGGTCGCCCGCATCAGTCGTGAAACGCACCCGCTCGCCAACGGCCCTGGGCTCTCCTCGTCGCGCACCACAGCCCCGACGCACCTCCCCGCCACCAGCGGACGCCCAGGATGATCCACCGCCAGCCTGCCGACGCGTTTCACGTCTCCTCTTGGGGCACCCTCCTGATGCGCCCCTCGCTGGCACGTAATCGTCCTCCTCGCTGCTCCTCTGCTAGCAACCGCACTTGCCGCCACGCCGTTCCGCCCAGAACTTCCACGCGCGCTGCTGCAGACTTGGAGTGCCCAGGCATGCTTGCGGCCATGTATGGCAGACGTTTGATGATCGCATTTCCAGCTATCAGCCTATGATGTCGACGCAGTCGGGAAAGAGATTCCTCCAGAAGCGGTTCGAGGAGCCGCCAAGACACCCAGTCATGTGAGACATCTCAGATTTGAACTCTACCAGACGCCATGACGCGCATCGCGATTCACAGGTCCACTGGTCTCGGTCTCTGCCTAAACTATCAAGCATGCCTCGAACTACGCCTTCGCGAGCATCGCTAGGCGGCCAGCGCGTGTATGACGCGTTTCTTCTCACTCTCGACGCGGTCGCAAACGGCGTTACTGTGTGTGGCTGTAGTGCCATAGTTTACTGGTGGGTACACTAGATGTCGCGTTTGTGCAGATGGGGATAACTCTACATCACAGCGACACAGACTACCATCTGGAACCGATGATGCCAGTGATGACGAACTACGATGATCAGCACTGACATCAATCCCCCTATAGACTAACTCGATTCGGATAGGAGCTCTACTAACATCGTCTGCTTTACTGTTCAGCGTATGTTCTCAGTTCTGCTTTTCATAACGGTTTCATGACCATCAGATGCATATACAGTGGTTCCGAGAGACAACACGAAGTACGATTTCAGAAGAGGCTTCCGAGCTGAGCGAACCTGCCGTCCACACGTACGTCATAGACTGTGCGGAAGGCAGACGCGCTACAAATTCCGAAACAGCAAGATCTGAATGGTGCTCACCATCTATGTGTGTACATCGGTTGTTCTCATCATATTCTGCTCTCAGTGTCGAACTGGAGACGTGTTTCGTCGCGGGAAGATAGATGCACGCCAGTAGTACTGGGACCTACGCCCTACGCTCGCTGTGTATCATGCCGTCGATGACGAACCTTCGAATACATCTTATCATCACATCATCCCAGTCGTCCGGCCAACGCACGCAAGAGACACATCTTCGATAGCGACACGCGCCGCCACGAACACCGAACGGTACACACAAGTGTGTAACAGGAAGACAATCAGCCGGAAAATATTCAGCGCGTGGGTGACCGGTCACCGTACACAGGCTCACGCTAGTAGTTCTCGAGCACATGTCTAGCCCGCTCGCCATATCCGACGATGGTTTTGTAACGCTTGACTCGGCGGAGCCTATGCTGTAGATCGAGGTCGATGTTCGTCCGTTCATTCCGTTTATCAACCTCAGTCAACCCTGCGTCGCCAGTGCATTGAGCGCCACAAGGTCAGTATATTGGACTTCGTAAGTTGCACCAGAACGCGAGAGCCACAATCTGACCGGGTCCGGGCACGCGAGCTATTCGCGTGCTCAATGTCGGAACGACTGTTGTTTCATAGGTAGTCTGTGCATTCCGAAGACGGTAGTGTGTGATCAGACACGCATTTACATGAGATACAACGATACGCGATACAAATACAATTGAGATGTCTGAATACTAACTAGGGCTTCGCCCTCAGTGACAATAAAGGGAAACAAACAAACAATACAATTGAAGATAACGCTAAGTATGAGGCCACGCGATCCATCTGCTAAGGGGGTGACATACCCTCGATGAGGTAGTCTCGCATGTCGGCCTCGTAGTTCTCTGGCCATTGTGCGGCCATCCGGACGAAGTCGTCACCATCCGTCGCTTTATGCAGCGAGACATACATGCTCCGGAAGAAATTCTTTGACAGATTCAGCCAACGGCTACAATGGCCAGAGTACCATTACACTTACCAATGCAAATACACCGTAATCGCGATCCGGGTGTTGTGGGAATACCAGGCCCTCAGGCCTCAGGCCTCAGGCTCTACAGGCCGACTCTGGCGAATGTCGTCATGCTGATAAAAGCAGATCTCGAACGGTCCGTATACCAAGACACTTTGGCCATGCACGCCTTCAAACTCGTACACAACCTGGATCCGTGATCTCGGGTCGGCCACCCAGCCAGGGACGTGGTACGTTTCCAGGATGGGCCTACTATCCTTGGGGGCTTCGATGACGGACTCATTCCCAAGCAATCCCGTGTTGATAGCCTGCACGAATGACTGCCGTAGCCTCGAGACACTTGTAGCTAGATGAAGATGTATTCAAGGCCGAGTTGAGCACACAAAATGGAGGTCCGTACCGGTATTGAGGAGTACGCGCAGGCCCCTAAGTCTGGCATCGTCCACGCAGTTCACAGTCATGTAGCAGTCTTGAGATACCAAGTCTGGCCGATGCTTTCCCTCGTCGACGGGCATGAACTTCATAGACTTCAGGTATACGGCCTACTGAGGTCCATAGCCGTCATCTTTGCAAACGACGATCTTGTGCTCATTCCAACTCGGCACTCTCGTGGAACATGGCCAGGTGTTAAAGGAGATCCATGACTGACTGTTTTATCCGATTAGGCCGAAGCTTGTAACACAGAGACGCAACGAGAGAAATCAGTGATCGCCTACTTACATGGGTAATTCACCACAAAGTTGTCGGTAACATTCGGGTGGCATGCGAATGGCATAATATATTGCCAGTTTCCCGCCGCTCCGTTGTGGTGCTTTGAGTGCGATTATTTCGGAACAGTTATGGTTGAACTCACGGAATATGCGACTGGATTCATTTCCGCGAGCAACACCTCCAGGAAGCCCTGTTGGATCCCAGATGAACGAGAACAACACATAACGAGGTTTGTGGTGCTTACAAGAGGAGATCGATCACCGTAGGTCTTTTGATGACTGAAATTGGTGATTACAGTGAACTGTGCAAAGAAGCGATAGAAGAGTCCTACTCGTTCAAGCCTAAGCCGAGAATACCATCTGCATAGTCATCCAAGAGAGGGATGTCTATGGCGAAAGCAACACCGAATTGCCATGGCATGAACAGCTCATGACACTGGCTTCTCCGCCAATCGTGGCTTAGCATCATCCACGTCTTCGGCTGCGGCAGGAGACCCAATTCTATCATCAAGCAGTCAACAAAAGAACAGTGATTTATGTTCAGCAGTAGGGACATCAACTCACGAGCGGTACAACCGTCCATGAACTTGATTTGTCTGATCATCCCAATTTCTTCCAGTTGTGTGTTGGTTAGCGACGGTTCAAAGGGGTGCTCGGTGGTCGTATGACCCGCGCCCGTTACGATCTCCATAAAGGACCAACCCTCTCTCTCGTCCATGCCGCGCGTGTCTGTTTTGTTGGTCGTGACTTTCCAGGCATCTGCCCCAACTACGAAGCTGTTCGATGATGTCATTCACCGACTCGTTGAGCCCAACAAACTTGTGCTGCACTCACGTATCATCATATGCTACAGCCATTGATGACATATGAGAAACTACATCGATGTGTTTGATAAGATTCGAGACTCACCAGTGTCGATAAGATGCACAGCAGTCTTCGCAGACGTCAAGTCGTCTTCATCTTTGAGTATACCCTTCCACTATATAACGTCAATCACTAGCAGAATGTATGCATCAGACGACATACAAGTGTAACTGTGTAGCCTTGTGTTAACAAGGGAGCCTCGAGATGCATCCGCCATGCCACCTGAATTTAAAGGAGAGGACAGTAATACATGTCAGAAGGATTGATTAGTCTAGAAGTGCTACACGTACGCGATCGTATGCGGATGCAGGTGGAGGGGGGTCCAGCCCCACTACGAATGTGAAGTTATCATCGTGGACGTCAGCTGGGAATGACTCAGAGTAGCATTGGGATCCAATATTGCCGCGGATGATGATGGACGTTGGCAGCTCAAAGCATGGCACCTTTGAAGGCTTCACCGTGACATCTCTGGTAGCTTTTCGAGTAGATATACATCGCTACATTTAGAAATGAACCTAGAAGCCCAGACAACATCCGGACGTCCGCCACGACGCACGGCAGCACGGCCCGGGCCAGGCGCCACAGCGACAAGTGACTTGTCAGTGTCACGCTCACGCTGATTATGTGACGCGCGAGTCTTCTGTGGCTGACAATGTCGGGAGACTCGTCCGTTCATTCTGTTCATCGAGCTCACACAACCCTGCGTCGCCAATGCATTCAGCGCAAGCCACAAGATCAGTCTATTGGACATGATGACGGAGAACTCAGACTCGTAAGTTCCATTAGTAGGACGGTGGCGCGACATTTCCGAGTCGTATTTAATTCAGCTTCTACTGTAGGCTCTGCCGGTTAAACACCGATGTTCTTCTAAGTGTCTTCGAGCACTCGCTGCCTGACCGCGGCTTGCGCTCACTGTCATCGTCGTGCCGGTGGATTCGAGAAGAAACCATGCCCGTACTCTTCCGACGCTGCCTAGTCACTGTCGCGGAGCCGATCTGCGCAGATAGGTTCCTCCCGCAAACCCTGTGGCCCTATGTATAGTACGTACAGACAGAAATTCACAAATACAACACTGACAGACCACATGTGCTTAGTCACCTTTCCTTGCGAGACGAATGCCCTGATCGGGCCGCTGCGAGATTTTACTCCTCGCGGAAACCTCGACTGCACTTTACCGACGACCCTTTGTTATGTGGAATCATGGACCCCGAGTTCCTCAGGACCACTCTACGAGCCATGCCTCGCCTGCAATCGATCTCACTAGACTTTATGTGCCGAGAGTCACATGGATTGGGGTGGGATAGCCTAGCGGCCATCCTCTCAACGCCGCAGCTCCGCAGTTTCACACTCGCTCAGTTTATGTTTAGTCCGCGACATTCCCTCACGACCGACAGCGTCGAATTTCTCGCTCCGTTGACGACGTTCCGACACGAGCAACGTGCCTTGCGCAGCGAACTCCGTCGTTTCCTCTGCCAGGAGGCCGCTCTGGGCGTGGTGATTGGAAGGCTGCGGCATACTCTCGAATGCCTTCTACTTGCTAGCGAGGTTGCGCCCTTCAGAACCCTAATGGCCAACCAATGGCCACGCCTCAAGGAACTTCATCTGATTGGTGACTTCCATCCGAGCCCGGACTCTCTCATCCCATTTGTCACCCTCCTTGCTGAAATGCCCAAGTTGCGCGTTCTGAAGCTGGAGCTCGCTTTACGTAGCTATGTTCACAGGAAAGATCTGAAGCTTTGGCCCTTGGATCATGAAGCACGATTTCCGTGGCCTGACCTCGTTGACCTAGTCGTTTCCTTCCCCAGTCCCGAGGATCGCATTTATTCCCATCTCCCCAGATCGATGCGACGCTTATCGCTGCGATGCACTCCCCATCACTATTTCTACTCCTGGAAGGAGAACAGATTGTCTCATCTCCATTCGCCCATACTGCACGCATCGGAGATGCTAAAACTTCTCCCACATATTAACACTCCTGATCTTGAAGAGCTCTGTTTGGAATACCGCGCAGACGCCGCAGAAGATGAACTCCTAGTCTGCGTCGCCCAGAGGTTCCCTCGGCTCACATCGTTGGAGATGCATCGCTTCCAATCCGACACCGGCAGTAGTGTCACCGCTGTGAGTTGTCATCGATTCATCCGTTGACCATACCGCGGACAGCTCTAACCGCTCTCGCGCAGACCGGCGTTGGGTTGCGGCTAGCAAAACTCGAGAAGTTGCTCACGCTGCGACTCTATGACGATAATCTACCTCTTCCCCGCTTCGCGACGCTGCAACGAAACGCGGCCATCATCGCAGATAAACTTGCGCGCCCGGACGTCAGGCTGTGGCTCTTGCGGATCAGCTCCGACCCTTGCTGGTACCCATATCGCCTTGTAGCGAAGCAAAGCGTTGACGAGGAACCGCGGGTGGAAGTCAACCCGTTAGGCCACAGCGTAAGCATGTCAACTGTGCCATCAATCTCGAAGATGCTGACATATTCTTTCAGGGACTGCAAGTGTATCCTTTCGATGATGATTACTAGGTATTGCTAGGTATCCCCTCTTTACTTGTACGATCTGCCTATGACTCCCGTTCCGTGCGTCGGCCTCGCCTGGCGGTCTTCTTCGTCCTGCTGCCTTTATCCCCTCCTACTTATCTTCGGCTTCCCAAATGCGAGATCGCCGTATGTCGTTAACGTTGTCACGAAGCAGCCCGTGTCGTGAATGTATTGTACTGTCGAGTTCAGCGAGTGTCGACTGGACTTCGCTGCCGGCCCATTGATGCGGCCTTTCAGTCGTGCGCGCGCCGAATCAGGAAAACCAGATCGACCTGACGCGCCCTGAAGGCAGTGAAGCCTGAAGCTTGAAGCTTGAAGCTTTGAAGCTTTGTAGGCCTGCCCGGACGGGCCTGATTACTAGTCCCCGACTCCTCCCGAAGGGAGGGAGGGCTCTGTCAAGTAGAAACGGTATTCCGCCGGGGATGCCGCGTCGCCGTGGGAAGTTCTCGTCCCTACATGGTGCGTGCGATACCGAATAGGGAAACTGTCCATGCGCTCGCGCTCTGTGCATCTAGTAATATAAAGCAGATCCGGTGAATTCGTTTACATCTATCTGGCCGGGCTAAGGTCGGCCGGAAGGCCACAGTTCAAACGCGCCCGACTCGGCCATGGCTCGGTTCGGCCATATCCGTGTGTCACCGTTCACGCCTATGCCCGCGGCCACCGTGACTGTGCCCTCGCGCCAGCCACGGCCAGCCTCTCTCAGCGCCGCCGCCGCCTCCATCCAGCGCGCAAGCTCATAGGTGGCTTCACTCTGACCCCACGTCTTCACTGGTTTGATACTCCCGGTACTGGCTCGCTGCTCCCGGCTGGTTTGGGCCTTCGGCGCCGCGAGGCCACCTTCAAGCCACCCTCAAAGCTGCCCACCCGTCAGAGCAGCAGGCTGCCAAAACGGAGGCAGCATTTTTGCCCAAGCTCTACGCGTAAGTTGCTCCCCGTACACCTGCCTTCAACGTGTCCTCACCAGTGCGCCCTCAGTCTTCTATAATGCTCCGAAAATCACCACATGACTCGCTGGGACCCCGCCGGCGAGCACATCGTTGTCAAGCAGCCGTCGAGCACATCGTTGTCAAGCAGCCGTCAAGGTCGAGCTGGCGAGGATCGAGTCTCCGCCATTGCGATCCCCTTGGACCTCACGGACGTGCAGCAGCCCGAGGGGAATGTCCTTGTGTGGTGGTCTGCCATGGCTTCTTTCTCAACCTCTACGACAAGGTTCGAAAAATCTTCTGTGCGTTTAGGGAGGTCGGCGGGGGTTGGCGGATAGAAGGGCAGGCTGAGAAGCCTGGGGTGGGACGTAGTTGATGGGTGTTATATATCGTCGCATTGTATCATGAAGGCAAACTCGGCGTTTGCATCGGACTCAGGATCCTTCTTGTCGCCATCCTTGCCCTTCTCGCACTCCATCTTCTCAAGCTCAAGGCTGGCAATATGTGCCGCGAGCTGCCGCTGTCGCTCTGTGCGTTGCGCGGGGTCAACATCGTCCACCCTCGGAAGCTCAACCAGGCGACCTGCGCCTGTAGGGGAAGCTGACCTGCGCTGACTCGGAGGAGGTTGCTCCGAGTTTTCTGGGGAGCGAAACCTAAACACATTTCCTCGCTACTGCATGACATCGGGCGTAAAGTCAATGACTCGGATGCGGTGCCATTAGATTCATTATGTGTGCGCGCCGGCATGATTGACTCTACTCTTGAACACCTGTTGACCCCTAATCGCCGTCACTGCCACCACCTTCCGTCACCAAGCCCATCTCCTTGCAGAGATAGTTGCATTCATGTTGCTCAATGAAAGCATCTATCCCTTCCTGACCGTGGTCACCTACACCAGAGTTTCTTCGGGTAGCATTGACATCAGTATCGTGCAACATCGTAAGAAAATTATGATAGATGAGAACGCACCCATCTGGAGTATGGGTCATGATATCAAAGATCACATCGGCCACTGTTCCCGTGTCTGTACCAGCAATTGTACCTGCGGTTGTGACAAGTCAGTGAATCTCATCAGCATTATGAGTTGATCCGACTGACGCACTTTGTAGATCAGCAGCAACGAGCTCGGAGTTTGAGTAACCGTAGATAAAATGGGCAAGCACGGACATGGTTGCCCCCTTTTGACCGGCAACAACTGGGTGTGACATGGTGCCGCTCCAGCGGCGAACGGAGGCTGCTCGACGAGGTTCAATAAGCCAGTAAGCACCGGCTTTGTCAGGTTCGCTGTCACTGTCGATGTCTGCTTGCGAGACGCCTGACGCGAGCGAAAAGCTGCCAAGATCATCAATGACCTCTTTGGCGAGGAGCGGACGAACAAAGCGGAAAGCTAATTCGTCAACAACAATAGAATCAGCAGACAATCAGAATAATGGCATGAGGAAGATACAGACACATGTCGACCTCGATGTCTCTCTGGCGAACCAGTTTGTAGAACTCGTCAAGGAACCACTGGCCTTGAATGGCGCGACACACCTCCTGATAGAGGTTCTGGTAGTTCTGTGATGGGGATACACGCCGGCCTGGGGCTCCGTCACCACCGATGTTAAAGAAACGCTTCGCAACGTATGTTGTGCCGTCCATAAACAGCTGCACGCGAGTAGAAGTAACTGTGAGCCAGTGCTGTGGGCTACAATCTAGAATCAATGCTTACCCGGTACACATGTTTAGTCTGTCCAGACATCATCTTGTCCACCTCAAGCTTCGCTACGACCGTCTTTTTCACTGCAGGCCATGTGATCTCGACGGAACCAGTAGCTGCATCTGTATGTACGTCAGCGAGAACAAGACTGATCGTCTCGGTGGTGTTGACATTTGCTGATGCGGAACTAGGTGCGCGAACGAAAGAAGATTTCGGGAATGGGTTCGAAGTGTCTGTAATGACAGCCCTCCAGCGAGTGAGATACCATAGCGACAGGTATAGAAGTACGACTCACTCCGAGGCTGTTTCCCAACAGGGGCGGACATGGCGTCAGTGTCGGCTTTGCGTTTAGTACTCTTCCTGAGGGATGTGGTGGTGTCGGTATCTTCAATACGATCAGTGTACTGAGAAATCATGATGATTAGCAGGGAGAATGTGTACGAAGAGATCTCAACGTTTACCGCATCCAGCTCGATCAACAACTCGAGTGTAAGAGTGTGTGAGTTTTTCGAGCCGCCAGGTACTTTACGAGTCTTCGGCACATAAATTTCTTTGTTAGCCCCAGTGGTATGCAGGCGGTAAAAGTCGGCCAATAGGAGGATATCGCTCCCCGGAATGGGGAGTTTGTTCCCTTCAAAACGCAGAAGAACTTCGTCGCTGATGGTCCAAGTCAATCAGCCAAAAGAGGATACATTAGCAAATTGATATAGACGCACCGCCGCAAGGCCTTGGGATACTTTCCGACCCAAGTCGTATTCCAGATTTCAAGAACTCTGGCAATAATGTCTAGCTCTTTGTGTGAGTACTGATACACACGGTCATGATCGTGATCTCCGTGTGATGCAGACCTTCAATCAGGAGATTGTCTTCGTAGGCAGCCATATGCATGCCAAGGCGTGTATCAAGCTTCTTGGACACGCGTGCCTGAAATGTGAGCCAAATGAGTCGAACCCCCATAGCCTGATTTTGGCTGTCCGGTGAAGCTGGCATACGCCCAGGGCGAGCAGCGTTGAGAGACTCTGTCGTTAGAGGAAATGCAGATGCCGAGCTAGCGGCCTGAGCGAGATGATCATTAGTCGAATGACCAGCTTGCGTGCGCGATGATGTTTGCATGCGGGCTTGAAATGCCTGACTACGGTGTAGTTGAGCTGCTTCAACGCTTTCATGTATGAGTCCCTTGTTCTGTGCACCGTGTTTCAACCAAACAGATGCCGTCAGAATACATCAATGCCAATGATACAAACACTTACCCGTTTGCACTGGCCACACAATTCGTTCTGAAGCCTCGCGGCTGTGGCGCCGCAATCGCTACATTGCGGCCAGTCCTAAAACATAGCATCAGACTACGTTGGCCAGTGAGACAGAAACCTCAGCTGGGTGATGTCACTGACACCTTTCCGCTTGAACTCGTCGGTCTCTTGGTCGAGCTTGTTCAGAAGCGCGCACTTCTGGCACGGGCCAGGTTCATCCTTCTTGGGGAAGTAGTTGCGACAAGATAAGTCGCTTTCATTGAGACTGATGCAGACATTAGGGTCCGAGTCAGATGTAGACATGGGGAATGCAACAAAGTCCGGCAAAGAGCATTGATGACGCAGGGAGCTTCAGACGTATTTATATGCTATGCAGGTGTGTTTCTAAGACTAGAGACTGGCTGCTGAAAATGTACATGGCCGTGGATGATCTCACGTACCAAGACGCCGTTGCAGGGGCGGGCTGAATGCAAAGTCGGATAATAACGTTTGGGTCAACCTGACACAGTCTGGACTCTGGAGTCGAAATATCCGAAATCGCAGATTCGTCACTTGGCTGTCGGTGGCCAGTCATGAACAGACCGTACTTGCCTCGTGCTTCCCATACAAGTGAGAGTCGCTCGAATTGTGAGACATGTCTTCTTTCCTTGATTGCCACCTACTTCTCTGTGCGGAGACCTCAACGTCTATCACTGCCTCCAGCTCCGAAATGCTTCTATTTGTCGGTACCGTTGAACCACCATTTACGAGCGTTCAGTGTGAGATACTCACCTTGGCAAGCCGACCAGATGGCGGCCCATTTGTGGAAATAATTGGATTGCACAAAGAGTGTATTCACAAAGATCACGGAAGCACTCACGAAAAGTACGGTACGTTATGTAGCGATATGGACATGACAGAGATGCTACGAGCTGGAGGGGAAGCAGCACGCTTGGGCCTTGTGCATGGCGGGAAGATAGACAAGTGGCTGGACAACAAATGTGTGTCCGCGCACTGGGCCTTGACCACGGCACGTCAGCCCAAAGGATTTGGTGGGCTTCTTCTGCGAACAGGTTGAGCGGCAGCACTGTATGATGGCTAGGGCGAAACACGTTGAATAGCGAAGTCCAAGTCATGCCGTCCGCCACGGTTGTTCCAGCGCGCACCGGCATAAGGCTCGGGGAGCGCGCATGGTCACCCGTCCATTGTTGCCTGAGCCGTAAGGGTCCACTGAGGGCAGGTGGGCGAGAGAGACCGTGCAAGAGACCGTGGGCACACGACTCGGAGAGACGGTGTGATACGGCAGGCACACGACTCGGAGAGACAGTGTGCGCACAAGAGACGGTGTGCGCACAAGAGACGGTGCACGCACAAGAGACGGTGCACACACATCAGTGCTGGCACCTGCAGCCCTGCACCTCACCGGTCACCACCTTCCCTCCCGAGTCGCAGGATTTGCTTGCAACTCGGAGCCAACAAACAAACACGCGCTCAGCTCCTCGCTCAAAGGATGGTTCGCAACCGGGGACTCGGAAGCATCAGCGCACCTAGCTAGCATTGCATCGCCTAAAGCTTAATGTACCAATAGCGCAGCTGGTGCGCAGAACGTCCATTGAGGAAGAGTGAGTGCCAAATTAGACGAACGCACACAAGACCAGAGAAGTAGTGTAGATGCACGAGTGACGCAGGCGAAGCAGAGAGGAGGTACGGCAAGCGGGGATCATGCCTCATTCTCGATGACCTCTTTCGCGTATTTCTTCTTCATGAAGCTCACTAGACCCAGTAAGGCATGGGGGATCTACACCTCGAATCAGCCACGAATCACACGCGGAAGCGCAACCAGTGCTAACCTTCTGGTGCAGCGTCTTCCGTACACCCTGGTCACTCACCACCTGGTTGCTGTTCTCCAGAATACTAACGCAACACGTCAGCACAGACCCACAGGCGGACACTGACCGGCTATTTACTTCTTCCCGTTCTCCAACCGCACAACCTCATTGCTCAGACACACGAGCTGCCAGATGATCGCCTTCATCGTGTCCGCCAGACGATACTTCTTGCCGGGTGGATGCGCATCCCGCACCGCCGCACCGCTCTGCGCCGCCGTCTCGTCGTCGTGCTTCGTCTGCGCGAAGAACGTCCGCTCGTCTTGCGCGAGCTCGGAGTCGTCGATGAGGGGTCGGGCGTGTCGTAGTACTCAGACCCACGGTTCTTCTTCTGCCCTGACAATGAGGCCGCGCGCAGCAGTACGTGGGAGAGGCGCACCTTTTTCCGCTTCTTCTTGAGCTCGTTGCCATCGCCCTCGTTGGCGTCCTCGCTGCTGCTCTCGTCGCTCGCGTTGTGCTTCGCGCGATGCGACGGCGGGGCGTCCCCCATACGAGCCTCCAGGGGCCGGGGCGGCTACTGGATGCGTATGCGCGAGGTCTCGCTCGCCTTCGTGTGGTCCATCGGCGCGAACGACCGGACCTTTGCATGGAGCACCAGCCTGGACTGGGTCCTTGTGCGGCTGGTCGCCGGCAGCTCCTTCGTGTTGAACATGGGCGCGGGCGCAGGCGTGGTCTCCCCCCTTCGCATCAGCCGGGCAGCAGGGAGGAGCACAGCAAGATCGTGCATCCTCGCAGCTGGTGGGAGGGGGTGTGCACAAGCGGTTGAGCCGGCCAGATGTTGGCGAGAGCGCAGAGCCACGCAGCGCATTCGAGAGGGGAGGCGGGAGAGGGCCCGCTGGAGCACTGACGAGTAGAGGTGCTGCAAATGAAGGGATGAGCGGGGTGGGCGGAACGGCGAAGCGCAGGAGCGACGGCGAGCGCGAGCACGCGGGAGGTGGGGGTTCGCGCCCGCGTTCGGACCGGGGAGCAGGCCCGCTGATCGAGGGCGGCTGCGCGTCGGACGTGGGGTAAAGGAGGGGCGCGCGAGCAGGCCCCGCCAGGTCGCGAGATGAAGGCGACTCGGCGGGGAGGTTGCGCGCTGGCCGGAGGGAGGAGCACGCGATGTGCACGCGAGAGAGGGGGAGTTGGGGAGGGGGGCGGGAGCGTTCGGCGGGCACGCGCGTGTCGTGCGAGAGGGGGCGCGCAGGTACCGGAGGCAGGAAGAGGAGTGGGAAGAGAGGGGAGCCGCGAAGGGTGAGATGATGGAATACTCACTGGCGCGGCCACACCCTCTTGCACATACGCCGATCCTACTTCTCCCTTCGCTGCGGATGCGCGAACGAGCCCCCCAGATGAAGAAGTCGGGGGAGCGTGTGCGGCCGGTGTGCGTTTCGCTGAGTACGCGGGTAGATGCGGGTTCGCGGGTCTGCGAGTGGGCGAGTGGGTGTGGCACACGTCGGACGCGCCGAGGGCTGTATGGTGGGCGGGAGACATGCGCGCGCGGTGGCGGCGGCATGAAGTGAGGGGGGTGGGGCCGCAATCGCGGTCAGCCAGGCGCGGACGTGCCCGTCGGGGCCTGCGCCATGTAAGCGCCCGTCGCGGGAAGCGGCGGCACCTCTTTCCTACAACGGCGTCGGACCTGCCGACCTCTCGCTACCTCTCGATGGCGTCGGAAATCGCGGCGGTGTGCACACCGTACGGGAACCAGCTGCGCGACGCCGGCATGGCCACGATGTCCACGTCGCCGCCCGCCGCCTTGGCGCTCTCGTTCTGGCTCCTCACGGGCAGCGCGCCCCTCGCGACTAGATCGTGACCGATCTGGACCGGTGGGCACGCTGGACGGATGAATAGCAAGCTTTGTGGCGGCGCGGTGGATTAACTGGCGCGCGAGGTGTTCATGGGCTGGGCGATTGTCATCGGGATATGTCCTCCCCGTGAACAAATCAGTGACAACCGGTTAACCAGCACTCGTGGTACTGTGGCCTCGTAATATCACCTATTAGACTGCTGAGCCAGCATAAGCAAATGTAACAGCGCGTCGTGGTCGGCCGGAAAATGGGTGAGAAGTAGAGCGCACCCCCCGTTCAGAATGTCTGTACTGTTACGAGGGGACGCGGTGAGGGGGCCCAGTGTCTGCGCGCCCCATTTATATGGCTTCCCATGTGCGTGCATGCGTTAAACAAACACGACGCGCGTTTTGCACGTGACCGTGCTTGAGATCACGCATTACAGATATGCGCGCTGAGCGTTGACCTCCACATCGCTCACAACGACCCATTACTAGGCAGACGATGCCGCGCTCATGATGGAGACAGCCACGTTCACGATCTATGCTCCTCCGCTCGGCATGAAGCAGGCACCGCCAGACCTGGCACGGACCTCCCGACTACTCCCTTCACCTCCCTGACTCTCAATTCCAACTCCCCGACTCTCCTCCACACTTGTGCCCACAAGCTCCTCGTCCCCCTCCATCTCCCAATTATCTGCCTTCTCCACCTTGCAACAACGTACTGATCCAGCGTCCCGCGCTCCACGATCCTGACCCGCTACGCGCCCTGCGTCTTGATGACCACGCGCTCGTCCAGCAGCCTCTGCACATTCTGTATCTCTCGCATCGGCCCTTATGCGTTACCCGCGCTCCGCGGCGGCAGCGCGGCGTTTGGCGGGTGGTTCATCGAGGCGGTGTGGCACGCAGCTGCGGCAGACGTCAAGGGAGCTTGCATGGGAGGTGCTTGGGCCTGGGGTGCGGGAAGGAAGGACGAGGAAGGAGGCGGCACATGGGGGCGGGATCGTCCTGCAGCGCATATTGGTTGTCGCGAGGCAGCGTCGGAACATCAGTCGATACACAGCACACGCAAAACCCCTGCAGGTGTGTGTCGCATGTGAGCAGAGCAAGGACTCACTGCCGCTCCAAGATATGCGACGCGGTCGGCATGCCGGGGAGGCTCAAATAGCTTGCCACGCTCGCCACACTCCCGAACCGCTCCCTGCTGCGCATCCGCTCCCACTCCTAGTACCGGAAGTCACCCTCCCGCTCGCGCTTGTGCTCGTGCACCTCCTTCGGCTTGCTTGACACCGACCCGCGCGACTCCAGCCCCGGCGGTGGTGCCCCAAACGAGAAGCCCTGCTCCAGCAGCGGACCCGGCGGCGGCGCGGGCACCCCACATGTCGAGCCCGCATACGGACCCAGCCTTCCCATCGCTGCGGGCGCGCTGTACTCCAGCATCATAGGACCCGGCGTGGCCACGAGTGGGTACGTGTCAGCACCCGCCGCGTACGATGCGCGCCAGAGGGCGCTATGGCTGGGCGAGTGTGCGAGGCTATGGAGCCTAGACACGGGACTGTGCGTCCGAGTCGAGCTCAAGCGGTGCGCGGCCATCTGTGCGCGGCTGTTCGCCGCGACCACAAGGGGCGCGTATGGGTGCGAGCCGAGGCGCATCGCGTGCGTGTCTGTGGCGGCGATGCTTGTGCGATGAGCGAGGATGTTGTACGGGACCGCCGGCGCGCTGTTGTAGGTGTTCCCGGCACTGTATGTGTTCGTCCTGAACGACTGGCCGAGCGGGTCAACCACGGCGGCGGGCAACGCAGCCTGGTTGAAAGGTAAGTTGGGGAGGGAGCCCCGGCGCAGCACGAGGATGTCGTGCACCGGCGAGGGCGGGTGACTGTGAGGGCGCGTTCTGGTATGGCGAATACTGACTCGCCTTGTTTGTTGTAATAGGATCCCTCCGCGGCGGTGGTGGCCAAGGTATTCGGAGGACACCCCGAAGGGAGAGGTGAACGCAACGTTGACCGTCGGCAGCGAGGGCACAGGGTCAGCGATGTCCTTGTCGGTGTCGTGTTCCGGGGGTGGTGATCCCCGGGGTCTCGGTGCTTCCCGACGCGGATGAGCTCTCGGATGTCTCAGAGTACCCCAACGTGCCGGTGTGCGGACAGCCTCCCTGCGCATCGCCCACTGGCTCCGAGTGTGCCTTTGGTGGAGGAGAGGGAGAGGAGCGTGGTGGGCAGCCGTATTGGATGTGTCGTTTGATGTGGCCGCCCCGCGGAGTGCCGCAACCTTCTTCGCCTCATTCTTCACTTTTGCACGACTAAGGGATCAGTCAGTCAGTTAGCACATGCAGATAGCACGCAAGCGCAGACGAAGGAACGCAGTGCGTACCGATATTTTGGAACCAAACCTGCAACAGATAGACACCAGCAATCAGACCTTCACCACCCGCGAGCACGACAACGCAGTACATACCTCAGGCTGGACCTCCGTTGGCGCCATGCCAAGCTGCCTGCTGAGAACCTTGTGCTGCGTCGCGCTCGGCTTCATCTCCTCCTTGAACATGCTCTCGAGAACCTTCAGCTGGTCGCGTGTTGTGCGCTTGCGGTGCTTCAACTCGTTCGGCGCGTACAGGTAGAACGAGCGCATGTCGACCCGCATGGGGTTCATATCGTCGCGGATCAGGTGCGACACGGACGTCGCGACTTGGTGCAGCGCAGGGGGCTGGGACAGGTGCGAGGAATGGAGATGGGGATGAGAATGTGTTTGTGCAGATGTTGTGGGTGCGTGGCGGCGGTCGGGGGCCGCCCAGAGCCAACGGATACGAGGAACACCCGCACTCTGTGTGCGCTACGGAACGGAAGTCAGCAGTAGGTATGCTAAAGAGGTAGGCTTACCTTCGCTCTCAAGCCTTCATGCTCGCTTTGTCTTCCCTTGCAAGCTTCCGCTTCCACTGCCTTCTCCTCCTCGCCGTCTAACTCGGTATCCTCGCATTGCGTGTTATTTCTGTGCTCATCGTGTTTGGGCTGTGGTCGGGAAACGTCGTCAGTCGGCGGTGGCTAGCTGGCTGCTGGCAAGCCGCAACAGGCACGGGGACCGTGCCACCGCACCCGGCGCACCGCCGCTTGTGGTTGTGGCCTACAAATGGGCGCCAAAGTGACATCTTGCACTCGCTGCTGGCGTTACGAACTCGGGCAATAGCCACTCTCATGCAGTCATCATGGCTCGGAATCCCTTACTCAAAGACAAGCCTTCAACCAGTAACAACCACTCTGGGAAGAACGGTCGCGACAACGGTGATTGTAAGTCTTCTCAATGTCCTCTGTATGATCCCACTCGTACTAGGCATGATCTTCCTACTTCTCTTGAATACCATGTCGCTGTTTCTGACTCAAGAATGCAGGGCCAGATGAAGAGATTTTGAAGGCTGCGCTCTATCGTTATTCGCAAGAACGTCTTCCACTCCCGCGTCGTATCAAGCGGTTGGGCCATGAATTACAACTGGATATTGGGTGAGCTGTGCAGCCTATACTTACTGTATGTCCGTGTGACTTGTCATTACTTGCTGACATGACATACAGTCTAACGCTGTTGAAGAATCTGAACAAGCATTTTGGAATTCCTTCGTCGCGGAAGGCTCCAAAAGGTGTGGCCGCAACACAGCTCGTTCTGAACGAGATGTCCGAGGATTCATCGGGACGGCGTGGCATTGGTGCTATGCAAACACACCTTGCAATTTCTGGCACACCGTTACCACGGCGAGTGATAGCCAGCTGTGTAGATTCTGTCAAATTTGCTTACTCCCAATCAGGAGTGTCATCCGAGAGGTTGTGCGAACAAATGACCCAGACGGTGCTGCGGCCCGCTATCCAGGGCGGAAGCCTCAAGCAATTCTGCGAGGAAGGCTAGTCGCGCTTGGGCCAATGTACGAAGTGCATTGTGACGGGCATGACAAGCTCGGCGCATTAGCGCTGCAAATGGGTGGTGTCGCACTGCCTATCTACGGTTACAAGGACAAGTGTTCAAGTGTATGTATCCAGCTCGTCATTATTCCGAACAATCGGAAGGCAGACGTTGTTGGACATACGTACTGTGACTGGGTCAGTGAGCTCGGATGTACGTGCTGCCTTTATACAGTCCTGCCCATTCTTGAGCTCACACATTACATTCGTACCAGGTATTCCGTTGCAACTCACGTTTGACAAAGGCTCCGAGACTGGCGAGCTCTATGCTATGCAGACAGCGTTCCGGTACGATGTGTTCCTCTATCACATGATTGCGACGTCGAGCTAATTACACGGCCATGCACTTCACTATAGTGAAGTGTATGCTCCAGAAATTGACACGACAACATATCCTCCATGCCACGCAATGAAGAGTGTCCATAATACCCCAATCGAGAGCTTCTGGCATGCATTTCGCCAGCATACTGGCCGCAACCTGTATGCTGCAATCGTACGAGGTAAGGAGGATGGCATTTTCCACGTCAATAACGAATTACATGAGTGAGTGCTCAAGCCATTGCATTTGCGTGCTCATTCACGATCGAATTCCTCTTCAGATGTCTCTTCTACTGGATATGGCCGCAAATTGTCCAACGGGAGCTAACCGACTTCCGCGACTATTGGAACATGCATAAGCTCCGGGTTCAACGTGACAAACTCATGCCATCAGGAACGACACCTACTGACCTCTGGATTGCACCGGAGGACTACGGACATGTGCGGATCAGTATACCTGTGCCCCGGGATGCTGTGGAAGCCATGCGTCGCGAACGGCTGCCCATATCCCGTGACGAAGCATTCAGTTGGGTTGACCACGAGTTTGCAACGTCTGCTGAGCAGGCCTACAGCTCACTTGGGTGCCCACGGCTCAACAAAGATACTGCTTGGGAGGTCTTCAGTCGTATGGAGCCAATGTTGAAGTACTAGTAGTGCGTACTGTAGGCTCAACCGTGCACACCGATCATGCTGTCTTTGTGTTATGCCTCGCTCAATCATAATATCATGCTCCATTGGGAAATTGCGCACTCTGTCTGACGGCAATTTCAGGCGATTCAGAAGTCGGGTCCGTCATACAGTAGCCCGTCAGATTACCCAGCTCGTCGGACAACTCAGCAAAGATGCAAGAAATGAAGTCAATCAACTGTATATATTTCGATTCCTACTGATTGATACTGACATACAAAAAAGTATTAGACAATATGAGTGCAAGCTCGTGCGAGCAGTCGCCCCGCCGCGGCAGGCCGATGCACATCCTGGTTCTGTTCGTTGGGCACTGCTGCGTGAGTGCTTGCTCGGCATGCTCGTCGATCTACGATACCTGTTGAGCTCGTCATCCCGTCACACTCACGCATTGCGGGCCCAATTTGCTGGTGCATCGGCCGTTCGTCAGATTATTCATCAGGAAAAACGTTTCTTACTTCAGAGGTCTTAAATAAGAACCATGCGATCTTAAGCGACCTCTGGTAACTTGTGCACCTTAAACGAGTGCAGTATGCACCTGAAGACCGCTGAAGGGAAATGAAGTACCTTTGAGATTTGCGCCTTGTTTTCAAGACTCGAGCCATGCAGCTTCAGTGCTCTACATTAAGACCCCTGGAGTACGTGTAAGCTAGCTAATGACTACCAAAGTGTTTGATACGCGTAGTGAGAGGTCCAATTGTTCAATAAGAACTTTGAAGCGCAATCCAGTACAGTATGAGTCGTCCATTCCTCTGGTAGATGCTCAGGAGAATCTCCCACTGATCCGGGGAACTTGGGAATCAGTTGGCAAGACTGCCGTATCATGCTGAGAGGTATTATCTCTCCTTGGGGATGTCCGTTGGCCCTGAGAGCGGGTTTGTTGACCGCGTACATCATATGGACTGGGTCGGCTGTACGTGCGAGCTTGGAGTACCATTCCACATACGCTAGTGGCCCTTGATCTGGCCAGGACGCAGGCGCAGGCAAGGCAACGCTGGTCCGCGGGTCATGTATGCGCTGCGGGAGTCTGAAGATAACCTTGACTCGTCCTATTCTTGTTCCTGAGCGACATGCGTCTTTGAGTAAACGAATATTCATTTGAACGCGAGTCGGTCACATACCTTGGAGGCCGGTCGTCTCTGCATCACTCTCCTGCAGGATGACTGCTGTATCAAAACGGGCAGGCTGTTTGGCGCATGCTGGACGCGCCTTCACCACGTCGGTCTCGTTCTTGTCGTCAGTCAATGGCTGGGGAGCGAACTTGAATCCGTGGAAAACGTCGACGCGATTGAACGGCAAGTTGGACGACGCGGTCTGAAGCTCAGTCGGAGTGAGGCGTCGACCGAGTTTGAGGGTATAGATATGCTGGAGGAGTGCGTGTGTAAAACCGGGTGCGTTGTGACGTTCTTCGACGAGCTTGATGGACTGGAGCGGTACGCTTGGATTCTTTGGCAGCTTGATCTGGGTGTGGCGCTTGGTCGAAAGGTCCGGGTCTTCAGACGCAAAGGCAGCGTCCTCGTCCGGATCCTCGTCGATTTGTAGCTTCCTGCGAATGGTAGAGCTGAGCATGATCATCTTCTCCTGGCGTGCTAGCCATCGGACCATCTGAGGACGCGCGTCGCGATGGTTCGACGCCCTCCAGCCGTTCTTGGCATAGTCAATATGAAGACGTTCGAAGGCTTCCGTGTTGTAGTTGTCTGTTGCGCCAAGCAACCGGATTGATTCGACGTAGTGGAGGAGGGAGTGGAACTTCGGGATCTTCATGTGTTCGCGCACGCCAAGATTGACCAGAGCTTGTTTGTTCTTGTGATAGATTTTGAGGGCGTCTTCCATGTACTGGAGGGTGGAGTCATCGTGGGTGGTGTATTGCGCGAGATAGATGAAGTCGAGTAGAGATCTGAACGCAAGCATGACGTTCTGAGGAATCTTGCCGACCAAGCATCCCAGCAGGATGCGTGCGATCTGCTTGGACTCCATACCGGATACTTGGGATAGAGAAGTGATCCCGTTAGCAAAGTGACGAGTCCCGAACGCGGGGGGAAGGGTGCGAATTCGGCGGTCCAGTTCATTCTCGTCGATGAGGTCGCTGCACC